CCCCCACCCCTCTTTTACCCCCTTGTAGCAGCAAGCACCACCACCACCCAGCACACTTTCACATGACCCTCATCCACTTGCCTGTTGCTGAAGTAATGTCACAGCTGCATGTTCCAAGATCCGTGCTACGCCATGGGCAATGCATTTGACGTTCAAAGCTGTATCCAATGTGATTGAAAAAGTGCAACTGACTCCGAGGCAAAAACATGGCAGCGGCCATTGTTTGCACTGATGCATCGTTCCACCTACATAGTCGATATCGATTATTACCAGAATGAGAAATATGGAAATCCCTCGAACCTTTCATAATAAAACCCGCCAGTGCTATCGAGAAACGAAAAATAGTTCTGATACTCAGGCGAACGCAGATACGACAGCTTGACAATCATGAAATTCGACTCGATTTGGCAATAATTGAAGCCATTTGCTTTTGCATACATTGGATCCTTGTTATCAACAAGCCATGGAAAGAGGCTCTCCTTGAGTGGTGTCATCAACTGCATATTCTCCTTCATGAATTGCAACGTTAAAGGATAAAGACTTCGGACCGCCAATGGCTCTTCACGTTCTGTAAGAATGAAACCTAATAGCACTACTTGTCAACCATGATACTCACTCTCCCTTCCCTATATATGTATACATACCCATTGTTTTATTCCTTTGCTCCATTTCCACAAAAGGGTCGGTATCCATAATACAACTGTAATCCGATCCAGGTTCGACACGCCATGCATACTCGACATTTTGTAAAAGAGGGTGATGAAAAAAGAAACCTGCATGATACCTCTTGGGCAGTCAATATACAGAAGCATACACATATGCGAATGGGATCAATCAAATACCTCGATCGCTGGCGAAAGAGAAAACTCGTTGCGTGCTTTACATCGGATGAAGAAAAGTACTTCATGTAATCTTCAGCGCGTACTCCAGATACCCATGATGGATAATCCCAAAGCTCTGCATCTATCTTGCCGAAGAATATGGGTGAAGTGGTGAGCTTGGTGATGTAATTGCGAAAACTGGCAGTAAGGTGTTGATTGCTCAGCAAGATCCAGGGATATCGAAATCGATGATTGAATCGGTCTTCTACACTTCGAATGGATGCCCGAATATGCTGTAGATCACCACTATCAACCACCATGTAAAATGCACCCTTGACTGGTAAATCCCTCCATACGTTGTTGTCAATCACTGTATCCATGGGTAGATGTTCCTCATTTGCTGTATGTGATGCACGTTGATGTTCCAATAAAAGTTGATTTGATGATTTCTCCAACATGTTGCTGCCTGATTGTTGTTGTTGATGATGTTGCTCACATAAAGATTGAATGATCTTTGCGCCTTCCTCGCCAATCATGTTCTCGTTTTGAAACAGCCGCTTTAGGTTATCAATTGACAGTAGTATCACCAATGCCACCAATGTCAGAAATGATAAAACACGTATGGTCGCAGGACGTACGAGTAGTCGACTTCGCCGTAATGGTGTCTTGGCAGTTTTCAATATACCATTGCTTTCGCTTCGGTGAAGCATGACGTATATAGCAACAATGATAAAGAAGAGAGGAAAAAAAGATCAACCAGCAAGTGGGAGAGGAAGGGAGTATCGTATTGCATTACGCACCGCGCCATATTCATCCCGTCATCGATCACAGAGGCACCTTACAGAAATGGACATATATGCAAGTAATCAGTTTGGAATGAAATACCTGCAATTTGACAAATCGATTCCGTTAAACTTGGTTTACAACTCTTCTCCCTTCCTTTAAACGCTCTTGTACATACCCTTTTGTATTTTCATTCCTCGACATAATAGATACATACACCCCACTCTGCCAATATGGCCTTCTTTTCACGTCGCTGGTATTGGCTCTTGGTCCAGATTCTTGTTGCCGTGTATACCATTGCATCCGTTGGCTATCTCATATATAGACCTCGAAATCCATGGAATGCGCCACATGAAGAAGAGGGTGAATCAATAGTGGGTCGTATATCTAGAAAGCAACCGAATTATTATGTGACCGGTCCACGTGATAACCCAAAACAACTTACGATCCATTTACCAGCACCTGGTAATACGACGACACGGGTGAATGCTGGATTCGTGGTGCTTGTTCGTAATTCAGAGCTATCAGGGATGTTAGGATCCATGTATGATGTTGGTACGTATCACTAGTAGTAGAAATCACCAAGCACATACCTTTCTCATGCCACGCCCACCAGAGTCACGATTCAATCGAAAGTACAATTATCCATGGTTGTTCCTGAACAATGAACCATTTACTGAGGAATTCAAGCAGAGAACATCACAAGCAACGAATGCAAAAACTTACTATGGCTTTGTGGATTCTTCAATGTGGTCCTATCCACCATGGATCAATCAATCGTTTGCTGCTGAATCACGTGAAATGATGGCTGAACTCCCATATGGTGACAGTGAGAGCTATCGTCACATGTGTCGTTTCCAAAGGTAAGCTACTACAAGGTGTAAATATACGATTTCAAAAGACAAAGTGAAGCTCACCTCTTTGCGTGTCTGCGATATTGTAGCGGCTTCTTTTGGCGACACCCTCTTTTGCTTGAACTTGGATGGGAGTACTATTGGCGCGTGGAACCTGATGTCCGTTACTTTTGTGAGCTTGACTACGATCCATTCGTGTACATGAAGGAGAATGGGAAGCAGTATGGTAAGTGCTTATCCTCTTGCAGCCCATGGGACCCCAACCACTTACCATGATTGCTGTGGTAGCTTTCACCATTTCGTTTATTGAGAACATCGACACCGTACCAAGTCTATGGAATGCCGTACGACGATTTGCCAAAGAGAGTGCCAGCAAAGGAAAGGATCATTTCAAGTTGAAGGCCAAGGACAGCTTGCATCGGTTCGTGACAGATGCCAGAGCAGAGGAGTACAACGCCTGCCACTTTTGGACCAATTTTGAGATTGCGCGTGTCGACCTGTGGCACACGGATGCATACAAGGAATTCTTTGACTATTTGGATATGGATGGTGGATTCTTTTATGAAAGGTAAAGGAGAGGTGAAATGGCCAAGTATCTTAGGAGGACGTATGCTCATTAGAGACATGGGATGGAATAGATGGGGAGATGCACCTGTGCATTCGATCTTTGCATCGCTATATCTCCGGAAGGATGAAGTTCATTATTTTCATGACATTGGGTACCAGCACTCCACATACCAACATTGCCCAGAATCAGAGGAGCTTCAAAGTCGATGTTACTGCGATCCTGTCAACACACTCGATTACACGGATCCAATGAGCTGCCTTAATCAGTATATGTATGCATTGGATGAAGATTCACCAGGCACTGATGAAACGGTGGGCGATCTCTTGGTGGCTGCATGAATAGCGGCTATTGAATTATCATATGATCGGCGAAATAAGATCCCATCCTATTGTGACATATAGCATCATCCGGCATTCAACAAATAAATCATTGTCGCTACAACCAAAAGACTCAATTTGCTTACTACCAACTTGGTCAATTCAGACGTCGCATTTACAATATCGACTATTCCATTCCTTTTCAGTTATTCTTAATCCCATAATACAGCAGCATCATGGTTTTGGACTTTGATACAACAGCAACTACGACTACTACAACGCCACCATCACCACTATCATCATCCACCTCAACAACAGATAGACTGCTTGTTGGAGGCAAATTCATTGCGTATTATCAACATGGCAACAAAACAATCACAGAGCACGTGTAAGTGAATCACCCAATGAATGGTAGCGAACCATACATACATTTCGTCTCATCACCCTGCTCCTCTTGTAATTTAGGTTTCAAGATGCGAGTTTGGAAATAGTTGATGCAAAAGCACCGTTCTCATACGAGCTGGTTGTTACGCATACGCCATCATCACCATCCGCCACTGCTCAAGCCCTTTGTTGTAGGTCGACGTTATTGTATGCTTATTATAGTCCAACATGTTCACATGATACGTATCCTCCTCGATTAGATGACAAAGAGCAAAGATTTTCATTGTTACCGGAACTACAACTCTCCATCCATGAAGGCTATGATGATCCAGAGGACGTGCCGCCATCACTAACTTGGGTGGATGCAGTAAGTTTATCTTTGCCTCCTCCTTCTTTCAATTTGAACCGTACAGGGTGGTTAACTACGTTCTACTTAGGAATTTGGTGAGGCATTTGAATTCGTCTGCAGACCATCATGCATTGAGCAAAATGAACTACAGAGCTTTGTCAAGGTGATACGCCAATGCATGTTCGAGCATGCTTTTCAAAAGAGTCACAAGCTTATGACATCTGAAGATGCCTGTCAATTCGAGCTGCCGCAAGTATTGCTTCTTTGTCTTTATTAGTAGAGGATGCTGATTCTATTTTTAGTGTCTTCAACCCACCTCTCGGGTCTCATCGATTAGCCAAAAATACGATTGCTGATCACCACAAGCTGTCAACAACAAATCGCCTACAAAGCAAGCGACATCTTCAGCTACCCAAGATACAATTTCTTCCACCCGCTGGTAGTGAGCCACCTGCCGAACCAGAGAACTTTCTTGCCAGCATACAGGCCGATCTATTTTTATTTGAGAATGACAATGAGCGCTATGTCCCTCTCGAAGCAGGGGTGGATGTCGACCTGGTTAACTATGACCCATTTCATTGTAAGGCACACTATCACCTAGCAGCAACAATGAATACTCATGTTGATTATTGTATACGTAGATTGGATCCTCATCCAAGGCGATAGTATTCCTCCCATATCTCATCCCATAGAACCTCGAACAAATCCAAACTTCAACAAGGCACGTATACTTTTAAATCTGACACCAAGAGGATAATAAGCTAATCATAGCACCTATTTTGGTACCATCGAATAGGAAGATAAAGTTGTTACCTGGAACTACTATGAGAGTAAGTATATTGGAAATGAATGAAGGAGAAGTCATCGCGTATATTCATCCATTCGATTTGTTCATTTAGATAATCGGTGCTATTCATTACTACTCAAGATCATTGAAGAGGAGGATTGGCATGAATTCGCGGGAGCTTTTGGTCAATGCATCTTTGAAACCTTCAGCCACGTGCCATTTTCTAAATCATGCGTATGTATACAATCGAGTCATCACTTGTACTTGGCATTAGCATTACTAACACAACATGTAGAAAGGCAATCAAGACTTTGTTATCAATGCTCACGAAAACAACGTGCCCTTTGATTGGCGAGATTCGGATGGTAAGTTACTGGATGACATGACATGATCACAAGGCACGATATTAAAAAACTTCTCATATAAGACGATGATTGCTCTAGTGAAGGAGAGGCAGAGGATGAAGATTTGGATTACGTGGAGGAAGCTTCTTTGAGCGAAGATGCTCAACGATTTTTCAGTAATGAAGCCAAGAACAGCAGCATGGTTCTCAGCTTCAAGGACAATAACTCATGCTTTGTCTTTCGGGGAGGCGAGATGGGCATCTTTTCGAAGCGAGACGACCAACAGCAAATTACGTTATCGCATACTGCCAAGATGATATTGAAGGATGGAAGGCATTTACGGCAAGCAATCCCATATCTTGGCGAATCATCGATCCTGCTAGTGGATTCTGAAAACCAAGTATCACATCTGGATCTGGAATGCGAGCAAATTGTGAATGAATGGAAAGCGGGCGGAGATGATCCATGCAAGTATCAAGGCATGAATGGCATTAAATTGATATCCATGTAACTAATGATGGTACTACTACAGTGATTTCTCTTGCACCAAGCTCCAAGTACGCACAGGCAACGGATGAGCCAACATTGATTGGTATTTCCTCGAATGCTGTGTTCCGCCTTGATCCACGGCTTGATGGCTCGCACAAGGTGGTGGAAGATGAATGCAAGAAGCATATCGCCAAAACCCAATTTTCGGTAGTAGCAACTTCTCAACAAGGCTACATTGCTGTAGGGAGTCGTAAAGGAGATATTCGGTTATTCGATCAGCTCGGCTGCATGGCCAAAACTACATTACCCCCTCTTGGTGCACCCATTCTCGCCTTGGATATTTCATCCGAAAGTCGTTATGTCCTTGCAACTTGCAGTCAATATCTCATGCTCTTTGACGTATCTAATGGACACGGCCAATTGGGTTTTAACAAGGCGTTCGATAGCAATGAGAAGCCTATTCCACGACTACTCAAGCTGCGTCCAGAACATATCGTCTACATGGATCAACCCGTTTCATTTACCAAAGCAACATTTGATGTTGGTGACAAAGGAGATAAATACATTATTGCGGTATGTGATATCAAGAAAGGATTGTCTAATGAAAACCATTGACATGTCGATCAAAGTCAACAGGACCCTATGTGGTATTGTGGAAGCTGAGCGACGTGTGCAAAGGAAGAACATACGATTATACAATGCAGAAATTCGACAAGCCTGTCGTAGCTGCTGGATTTCATTACCAAAAGCGGGATAAGATCATTGTCACGGTAAGCCTATCAACCAATTCTTCATCACGACACGTAACACTAAACATTACATGGCATCACTGATATAGTTGGAAGATGACGTTCTGCTGACATCTCGCTCTCAACAAAAGTTACCATCAACCCGGCTTTTCCTGCTGCCTGGACAAGCAACTCGGCCATCGGCAACGCAAACAGCAAGGAGCTCGTCATGATCACACGTGGATGCTATTATGAATGGATTAAGTTTATTACATTAATATGAGCCTAGCAGCATACATAGTACTTTCAACTCTTATAGAGATAATATTCAAAGCTACATACACACGTCATCTCCCGCCGTATACTAATAAAATAGCTATCTTAGAAGATCTCAATCACAAAAGAGGAACGTATGTTAAGATGTTATTGACGAGATCTAATAATAGTCAACGTCATTTTATTTTAGCAAGTGACAAAAAAGGAACTCTAAAGGGGATGGGAGCGACAAATCCCAACTTGTGTGCGTGTGTGTGTGTGTGTGTGTGTGTGTGTGTGTGTGTGTGTGTATGCTGAGAAAAAGATGATCATAGTTCAAGGGAGTACTTGGTGAATTGAGTATAGCTTTCATGAGATAGCACCATCGTCATTGTTGGCATCAGTTGGGGATATCTTGCTGAGTGTCCACGACCCATTCAATAGTGAAATCGTTACATCACCCCCCATACAGGCTGTAGTACAATATGCCACCTAACCCAATACAACCAAGTGATCCACATCTTGCACACATGGGCTGATAGAACGATACCTTCCATATTTGAATCTAATTTTCATTCAATGTAAAGTCGAAGCATAGTACATGGTAGTGGGGGCGTTTGTCAAGTAAATGTGATGAAAGAACATTGCAAATTGACTACGATATGGGTGGATCACATCGAGGTAGCAGGGATAATTGTGTCATTGTATTCTTGGTGGTTGCCGCCATAACATCCTTCATCCATGATTCCAAATCCGTTGCTGCATGCATTGAATCGAGTATTCCAGTACCATCCATAGCTGTACAACACCTTTTGTCAAAGCTATAAGCCCTCTCGTCATTCCCATCCAATCCACCATCATCCTCAGTCATATCCACGTGACATGATCCATCCTACCTTCTTACGACGCGCCAAATAACCAATCACTGCACTTGATTGCACCCATCCATCCATCCATAACCATTGCTGACGTGCTTCCTTGTCCATCCGGCTGCTGGTCCATCTCTTCTTTGGTCATTTTCATCGTAGCTCAACCAGGTGAAGATTGCTTGTATGAGGTGTACTTGATAGCTGATATGGCATCATCCACAAGTATCCGAATGTATTGAAGCATGTTGCATCACGTAAATAAAGCTGCTCTTATACATTGACTATCTGCTGTTCACGTAGCAAAGGCCGTAATGCAAGTTGTTGCAAGTAGAAAACGCTGTTTGAACCTTGCTAATAGTAACAGCTGTTACGTTTCACCGTGACAAAGGAGTGTGCAAGTACGTGTGTTGTAGTAGAGTGACAAGGTTGTGAACGCTGTTTGAGACAATGGAGCAATGACATCCGCTAATAGCAGCTGCTGGATTGAATGCTGTTACGTTTGATTGTGGCAGAGGATTGTGCAAGGCAGTGTGTAGTATCAAGAAAGACGCGTGTTGTAGTGGGGTGCATACGCCATGGACTTGCCATTCGGTTAAAGACAATCGGATCAAGGCAGTTGTAGGATTGACATGATGGGTTGAAGCAGGACAATCGTTCGCAGGTGGTAGTTGTATACTTGAATGGGGCCAACAGTTGAGAATGGGAGGAAGAGACAAGAGGTGGGGAGTGGAAGAAATGGAAATTAAATAGGTCGGACACCTCTTGTATAAATGCATGAACACTGTACATCAATCCTCGATATTGACATTTCCCCTTTCGAACCTGAAACTTTCACACAAGGTGCTCTTGGTCATGCTGATCATGCTGATCTAAAAAAGACCTCATGTTTCATTTGAAAATTTGGAATGGGAGGGTACAATGTGGGTTTACTATGTAAATCGGAAATGGAGGACAGCGCCGATTCATGATTTATCGAAATAGTATGTATTACCTTGGGATTCACCATTTCGAACATGAAACTTTGTCAGGAGGTTCGCTGAGAGATGCTGATCAACTTCATTCATTTAAAATCTGCAGACTTCATTGTGAAGATTTAAAATGCGGGGAGGTCCGATTGGCGGATGACACGAACAAAAGAGCGGACGGCCTACCGCCCCGAAGTTGCCCACCTCCAACTTGAAAATTGGTCAGCAGGGTGCTCTCGAGCATGCTGATCAACATTTTCTAATAAAGACCTCACGCTTCATTTGAAAATTTGGAATGGGAGCGTCCACAAGTTTGAAAGACGGAGACATTCGCAGGGTCTGTCTTTCAAGAATTTTCGTGTTTGCCGTTCCAGCGTAGCTCAGTCAAATCGGCTCGGATCAAGCAACTTGAATGATGGAAATGATGGGCTGGAGCAGGAGAACCTTTCACATGCAATAGATTTTGCAACAACGCTGATTGTGAGGAAATGGCTGATAGCGTACAATATATAGACTATTGTGGATAGCCATAAAGTATAATCCATCAATCCTTCCATTCATGCAAGATAGCTGTGTTACACAAACACGTCCCTCTGTATCTTTTGCTCTGCCAGGGTCTAGCTACTCGACAATGAACAAAGACCACTTCTCATATAGCATCACGCTTACAAACATAAAGGTGCCTGTATCTCCAAACTTTACAATCGAACGTGGGTTTTTGAATAGAGCAATGGGCTCGGCTTGGCCAACAGCACCTTGTGTGAAAGTTTCGCGTTCAATGTCGCAAACAGCCCAAAAAATATTTTTCTGGTCGTCGTCGAAAGAGGTTGAGCCCCGGATCCAGTTTGGCTGGTAGCGACATTGCGAAATCTGGGATTGGCAAGCTTGATCGTGAAACTTTCACCCAAGGTGCAGTTGGCCAAGCCGAGCCCATTGCTCTAATAAAAACCCCACGTTTCATTGTAAAGTTTGGAGATGCAGGCACCTTTATGTTTGTAAGCGTGATGCTATATGAAGAGTGGTCTTTGTTCATTGCCAAGTAGCTAGACCTTGGAGAGCCAAAGATGCAGAAGGACCTCTTTGGGTAACTCAGCTAAAAAGTCAGGACTTCAGGGACAATGCATGAACGGTACGCAACCCTCACTTTTATGTCATACATTGGCAGCTAATAGCCACTGTTGTGCATTCCCAACTTTTGTGCATTCTATTGTAGGTGGACGATGCTCCTGCTCTAGACATTCATTTCCATGATTAAAGTAGGTTGATCCGAGCTGATTTGGTTGAGTTACGCTCACACAAGATTACATCGGTTGAGCTACATCGAGCGTGCTCTATGTCCAGAGTGATGTAATCTCTCTTTGACAGCAGCTCAGTCAAATCAGCTCGGATCAACCTACTTTAATCATGGAAATGAATGTCTAGAGCAGGGGCATCGTTCCCATGCGGTGGATCTCGCAACAATGATGAATGGATAAAAGTGGCCGTTAGCTAGCAATACATGCCTGTTCCTAGATGATCCGTAAAGTAATTATACATTGACCCTTCCAATCATGCAAAGTAGCTGAGTTACACAAAGAGGTCCCTCTGCATCTTTTTCTCTGCCAGGGTCTAGCTACTCGACAATGAACAAAGACCACATTTCATATAGCATCACGCTTACAAACATAAAGGTGCATGTATCTCCAAACTTTACAATGAAACGTGTGGTTTTTATTAGAGTAATGTGCTCGGCTTGGCCAACAGCACCTTGTGTGAAAGTTTCGCGTTCAATGTCGCAAACAGCCCAAAAAATATTTTTTGGTCGTCGTTGTCGAAGAGGTCGACCCCTGGATCCAGTTTGGCTGGTGGCGACATTGCGAAATCTGGGATTGGCAAGCTTGATCGTGACACTTGCGCCCAAGGTGCAGTTGGCCAAGCCGAGCACATTACTCTAATAAAAACCCCACGTTTCATTGTAAAGTTCGGAGATACAGGCACCTTTATGTTTGTAAGCGTGATGCTATATGAGAAGTGGTCTTTGTTCATTGTGAAGTGGCTAGACCCTGGCAGAGCAAAAGATGCAGAGGGCGTGTTTGTGTAACTTGAGTCATTCAGCACAGGCGATGCATGATTCTTGTACACTATTTAGGAATAGTTCAAATGCCAGCTAATAAACTTAGTCCTCCCATTCTCCATTGTTGTCCAATCCAATGCATACGAACGATTGTCCTGCTCTCGCCCAGCATGCCCATCCTTCAACTTTCTTGATCCGAGGGGATTTGGGTGAGTTACACTCAAGCACAAAACATCATCCAATTTCACAAAAATCATTTTGCAAAGTTATTTGTAAACTGCCACTTGATAGTTCATTCCTCCCATTCACCTTTGTTGCCCGATCCAATGCATACGAACGATTGTCTTGCTCCAGCCCATCATCTTCATCATTCAACTCTTTTGATCCGAGAGGATTTGATTGAGCAATGCTTAAACAAAGAAACGCCATCCAAGCTTCAGTTTCAATTTACTTAATTTCCAGCTCTTCCACGTCCCACTTCTTGTGTCTTCCTCCCATTCTCCACTGTTGGCCCATTCAAGTACAACTACCACCTGCGAACGATTGTCCTACTTCACCCCATCATGTCAATCCTACAACTCTCTTGATCCGAATGTCTTTGACTGAATGGGCAAGTCCATGGCGTGTACACGACCTTCTTGTCACTCTTCTACAACAACACACGCGTCTCGAGACACTACACACTCTCTTGCACATTCCTCTGCCACAATCAATCGTAACAGCATTCACTGCAGCAATTGCTATTAGCGAGGTCTTTACACCATTGCTTCAAACAGCATTTACAGCCTTGTCGCGCAACTACAACACACGCTCCTGCACACTCCTCTGTCACGATCAAACGTAACAGCTATTGCTATTGGCGAGGCTCATACAACGTTCTCTACTTGCAGCAACATGCCTTGCAGCCTTTCTACGTGAAAGCAGATAGCCAATGTATAAAAGCAGCTTTGTTGGTGCAGCTGGTTGTTTTCAGTACAAAGGGATTCCCATGGATGATGTCATATCAGCTATCGAGTACATCGCAATACAAGCCATCTTCAACTGGTTGAGCTGCAAAGGAATAAGCATGAAAATGACCAATGGCCGGATGGAAAAGAGAGCATACCAGCAGCGATCAGAGAGGTTCTTATTGTATTTGCAATGGTTATGGATGGATGGATGGAATCAAGTGTAGTGATGAGACATCCTGGATTGTTGCTTTGGATACTTGGTGCGTCGTAAGCAGCAAGGATGGATCATGTCACATGGATACGGATGAGGATGATGATTGCATTGGATGGGATTGACAAAAGGTGTTTACAGCCATGGAAGATATTGCAATACTCGATTCAATGCATGCAGCAGCTACTTCCCAACGATGGATGAAGATCCTTGTAACGGCAACCAGCAAGAATACAATGACACAATTACCCCTATTGCCTCGATTATATGATTCACCCCTATCTCATTCGATTTGCAATGCTGTTCATTCATCACATTTACTTGATAAACATCCCACTACCATGTACTATTCTTCGACTTATTTCATTGAATGAAAATTGGACTCAAAAAAATATGAAGGGCATCGTACTATCAGCTCATGTGTGCGAGATGTGGATCACTTGGTTGGCTTCTGGAATGAAAGTTGGGAGGGGGATGGAAACTTGAAGATTGGAAAGCGAGATTGGATCATGTACATGGGAGCCGTTATTTCACCCTGATGTGTTGGCTGGGATCATGCACGCTTGCGTACAATGCTTATCGACTATGGATTCTCTTCTTGAAACGAGCGCTTACAAAAGTATCCTCGAACTAGGTCCTATTTCATAGAACGTGGAGACAGCAAGCGATTTGGTGATGCCATTGTTGGATGACCTTGTCTATTTCAATCCTGATTTATGGATGCACAATCAATCACACCAAAGCTCTCTGTAACGGCTCATCATCAATCTACCAGCTTATCATCATTCTCAACAAACATTTTATCACTGTTTGTGGACACAGAAATACTCACGCCCACCGTGCAGATATAAACAAGATGGATGTTGTCGCCCATCGTTCTATTCCTACGCATCTCTTTCTTTCCATCATATCACTCTTTGATCGCTGACACCTTCAAAATCCATTGGTGAGTATCATGGTGGATGGTCCTTTGGATGAGCGATCTATGTACTAAGGTTGTGTTGTTCAGGTCCCATGGCATTGTTATTATCCTAGTACTACCACTTTCCTTGTTGTCATTGTGATAGTTGGCTCTTTTAATAAGGTAAAGCCTAATCATCTCGCTTGACGAAGCATGTGCTTATATACACATTATGTCCTTTTTGATGTAGCTACCTCGCAAGATGCGACTTGAAAGGTGGATCGGGTGGCATATTGTACTACAGCCCGCATGGGGGGTGATATGGGTCATGCAAGGCACGGGTGCGTGTTGTCATTCTTCTTGACTCAATGTCGCTCTCCTTATTGGAGTCACCATTACAAGAATTGGCTGGGCATATCCCACGGAGCTTGAGTTTCCATGATCGCAGCAGCATTCCTGTGGTCATGGATGCAAAGCCGCTGGTCACGGGTATTGTTGCTATATCCGCATCACTCGAAGACAAGGATCTCGGTAAAATCTTTATATTCAATGCGTGAATGGTGGTTTAGAGACTGTCATTGGAGTCATTAACACAAGGATATATGCATAGCATATGCTGCGAGCCTCTTGTTCGGTCCCCGTAGCCCATACATCGGGTTCGTGGTGTCCGAGCAGTGCTCGACTAACTCGCGGGTCCGATCCGCAAGCGACGAGCAGTGTCGAGTTCTTGTTGGACCATTCGGTTTGGCAACTTGGTTTCTTCAAAACATCCTTGTATTCTACGTGCTGTGGAGGGTTGTACGAGGCGTAGTGTGTCAATGATATGCATCTGCCCTTTGGTCACTTCTCACTCTGCACACACACACACACACAAAGTCCTCTGGGGGTTCGTATTCTTGCTTATTCATTCAAGGTCTGCTTCATGTACTCATTTCATGTTGTAGGTGGCCACAACATCATCTCCTTTGTTTCTCGTTCTCTTCTCCCTGTTTGCACCTGGACCTTGTACATAGCCTTATGGATATCAAGTTTTTGCTTGGCCATCATGGTAGCTTCTCGGGTGGTGTACGATACCAGCATCCACTTGTAAAAGGTCATCTTGCCAGGCCGTATTAACAAGCCAACCATCCCAACATTTGCCTCTTTCCATCATATCATGGCACCCTCTTCTGGGACAAAGCCATAGTCATGTATTAATGTATTACGTACACGCGTAAGTTGATGATGAACAACTGAATGTATTTTCAATACTAACATCACATGACTCTTAGCAATCCAATCCTTTGGCACCATTCATTCCAATCCTCTTGCTAGTCCTTCCTTTATTGGCTTTCTTTCGTTGCTTTTCCCATTATCGTCATCTGTATCCCCTTTCTTTGTATTCTACTATTGTACATTTGTTGAAACACATCATAAAACAGCGTACTATCCAATAGCACACTCTAATCCAAAGTTTAGTAGATTATATGCATAGATCACGATGGCATGGTTTGATGAGTTGTGGATGCCTTAAAATGGCGCTAACGTGAGGTAGGGGAAGTCATGCGTTTTCATGTTGCATCACAAACAGATAAGGACTACCATTTTCAAGGTTTACAATGGTTAACGATCGTCATCACCGTTACATACCTTGTGCACACGTGGAGCTAATTTCGTATAGTCATCCCATATGACCATGATGGCTCATCATCCATTGATGAATGAGCTAGCACCCACAATCATCACCCTGATTCAACAATAAACAGCCATTCTGTAACAGCAAAGGAGGACATCTTTAGCACAAAGGTAAATTGTTGTATGCTCGTGTATGGGTGTCAGTAGATTTCCTCCCAGCAGGGATATTTTGTCATGAAACGTACGCTTGTGGTACTACAAAGACTGCTAACAGAGCCACTGGTGGTGGTGATTGTTTCACAATGATTGTTCTGGTTGCTTTCCCTTTTCGATGTGAATTGCTGAATACGATCCAAGGTAAAGTGCTTAAGAGAAACGCCAAGCAAATGAATGTTGAAACAACCAATCCCGCTTGTGACATTGAAGAAATGAAAAAAAATCCCGCTACTAGTGTGCTGCATGATAATGCATTGCATGCATCCGAATCGATTTCTCACGGATATTGAATTACCTCCTTCCCACATCCTCCGATAGCATAAAAAAGCGAGAGTACAGTACCAGGTGATTTAGGCAGGGCGATCCTTCGATCGTCATGGTAGCAGTAGCAGCATTGTTGTCCTACCGATATGCGCATAAACCTGTTTACCACCAATAGTGCGTTATGCATTATACACATCCATTTTAGGGATCCTGTTCATCAGTTTCATGTCGCTACAAAGTCAACGATTGGAATATGATTGGCATTGGAATGTTACTACTGTTTTGGGTAATCTGTGTGGGAAAGATGCTACAGTAACAAAGTTTACCTGTGGTGGGGAATGCGTTATTGACGCAAAGACGATCATCATGATTAGCTGTTGCTGCAAGTGGCAACCTTCTCATGCATGCATGCGTGCATACTTTTGCATGATGAGATTTTCTCTCTCCCGTTTTACCCAATTCTCCTGGAACGGGAACAAACAAACATGGGGCTATTGAATGAAAATGGAAAGATACAATGCTAATGTGCTGCGCTCTTGCAATGGTTGTATTTACATTATCTACGATATAAGGGGAAGGCAAGGGGATGAAAAAGAACAATGGCAGGAGAAACAAAAAGGGAGAATGAGAAGGCATGTGGGAATGGTATGTCAAATGTGGTGTATGTGGTAGGTAGTAGTAGTGGTGTATGCGAGTGATGGTGGTGGTGGTGCTTTTAGCTTTTCATATAAGAATTTCATGTTGTGCCATCCTCCTCCTTTCACGAGCCAATTCAAGCTCGACAGCTCTTGGAGTAAGGGTATCTGCAGCTAGTCGACGATGAGGAAGTGTGATGAATTTGGGCATAGGCCGTTGTTCAAGGTCAAGTGAAATGTTGATAGCTAATAACAGCAATAGCCCTATTAATGGTCTAATTCACCTCATTCCATTTTACATTGCCACATACCAGCTTGCATATGCTCAATCCATGAGATCATTTCAACTTTGCTTGGCAAACGTATCAGCCATTGGGGTCCATCAGCAAGCGTGAGTCGAAGCACATGGGGTCGTTTTGCATAATCAAGGGCACGCTTGGCTTCGGCACCTGCAAGGGACATGGTCATGATGGGTTGTGGCTTCTGATGTTTGCTGCTGTTGCCGCGTAACCACCATCCCAACATACTTGCCCTGCTATTGGGATCCGAGTTGTATACACGTAACATTGTTCCCCAAACTTCAATATAGTATTTCCTATACAAGGTGTGTCAAAATACACACGTTTGAAAGCGCATTAAAGATAACCTACCTCCAATGGCGCCAACGTGTTTGAATACCTGGTGCATCCATCTCAGGTTTTACACGTACAGGACCCATCTTAAACACGGTGCATTTGTAAGGAGGTAATTCTTCATGGCCCTCTTCCTCTCGTGGTAAGACAAGCGACTTGCACTTTTCCCAACGTGGTAGATGGATAACCGATTCAAGATAATCTGGTGGCTCGTCGTCAATATCCATCATCAAAGGTGGCATTGACATGGGTCGAGGTTTCTTGATTGAAAAATCATCGGCCATAAACGTGCTATCGGTGGGTGTGGAAAGCATAGGTGATGGTGGTGGTGATGCGGTGCTGTTGCGTGATAAAGCTGGTGGATGAAACAAAAAATCACTGCTGCTGGTATGTTGAGATAGATCGAATGAGACCATGGATCGTCGTGTGTTGTTAGGTTCGCGTATGGTCGTTTCAGCTGTTAATGTCGACATTGTTCATGAGAGGCTGACAAAGTGACAGGTTGTGATGTCCGCAGTAAAAGTAAAAGAGCAAAGAGCAACAAAAGAAAGAAGAGAAGAGAAAAAGAAATGCACAAAGGATTGCACAAAAAAGTACAAGCCGCCTTCTTCCGAGCGCCCTTGGGCTTATTTGGGATGTTCTAAATGCAAATGCTGCTGTGCGTCTCTCGCTGATTAGAAACAAACAGAACGCTGATCACAGCAAAAGACACAAAATTGGGTTAGCTTAGCAGCATAATAGGCAAGTGGATGACAACGCATGCTCCCCCCCAGTGCCATTCCATTACACAGGCACACACACATTGGTAATCATTTCACTTGCCTATCATGATGCCCTTGCTGACCTTGGTCTTTCTCTTCCTTTCCACCATCCGCGCATTGTAAATGCGTGTCCCATTTCCCTTACTGCTCCATGGATCAACACCCGCTCAATCGGGCTCTTTGTTGCGTGGGAGACAATGCATGAAATAAAGTAGAAACCTGACACTGGACCAATAATCGTTTTGTATTCATCAATCTCCGTGTATGGTGCTGTAGACTTAATCTTAGCACTAAGCAGTAGCAAACAAGGAGTTTTGATCACAAGCTTTCTTCCTGTCTTACCAATACAACGATGCGCAAGAAAATGCAAACGTAAAAATTGTGCCTCGCATAATTGCCCTGGGTACAGCAACCAGATGGGTACCCCGGCGTATAGATTAATCAAGGCAACATGTACTACCACCCACCTAATCTTGCTTGATGATAGTAGTATCCAAAATCAATTGATGGAAGCTGATGGATCGGCACCAAAGTCTTTTTGGTTGGCAGGAACAAGCACCTTGGTACAACTTGTCCCACGTGCCAAAATGAGTGTGCTACAAGCGGACTTGCACAATTCGGCTTAGGATGACGCCGTCATCGGTTTCCGTTTCATATGAATTGTCGTGTATCAAAGGTGGTGCCAGCTTTCTCTATTGTCTAGATTCCCTTCTTTTTCCCGTAGCCGCAGCAACAAGACCCATACTTCGGCATAATTGAATCCCTACGTTTATTCATCGAAAGAACAATTATCCGCAACGCTGCCACGCATGCATGTACGACCTCACTGTTACACTTGTGGGCCCCGATATTTTACGCCCACTGAGAGGAAAAGGTTAAAGGAAACCCATGGAGTAAGGCCCAGAACGACCTTAAGGGTCATGATGCATAATACTGCAACCCATCAGGGGGGTCACTTTGTGTGTGATTCATAAGCCGCCATCATTACTAGACTTTTGTACATAAACATAGGCACACACAAACGATTGGTTTGCATAATGAATGGGGCTCTCATGTGTCCATTGACGACTGTAACCTCGGAGAAGCTGGCAGACTACCACCGGGTACGCCCGATCATCGATGGCCTTTCTCACGTGTGCCCTGAGAAAAATGACTCATGAAACACAAAGGTGTCATCCAAGACCAACACGATGGATATCATGTCGATCAGTGATCTTTTATTTGGGGTGAATGATGAATTGAAGTTAAAGTGTAAAGCAGATCACAAAAAAGCACGTAATGATTTTCTTTGGTGTGTTTTTCTTGTTCCGATCCTGGATGCAAAAGCGGATCGGATGCAACAATGAAAAGAGAGAAGGGGGGGATACATGCAGCACTATCATCTCCGTTTTCTAATCCTGACCCCACTCCTCCCCCCATTGGTGATCAAGGTGGCTGCTACCTTAAATCACCCTTGTCATCTTTCAAGGTGTCAGCCTTGTTATCTTTCATTCATTTGCAAGGAACAATGATACCATAACGATAAATTGCCAGGAGATAAAGCATCTACCCCTGGTTTTTCCTGCATTCACATATGAAGTATACCAAACAAAAACATCTACATACCCAAATGGCAGCTGTTACATGTGAAAATTTACCTTTCCAACTTACCAAAGAATGAGTCAGCATTCAAGTGTGATGTATGAGGGCATTGTCTTTTGATACTTTAAACATGAGGATTCACAAGGAAGGTACCATTCATCATGTGATCCTAAAGGTGGTAGTGGTTAAATGATCTCTTTTAGTGATACGAATTTTCATTAAGCGTTGCATGCTTGATTTTGATTGTGAGCGATGTTTATTGTGCTAGTACCCAAATTTTGGATTGCTCATTTATGATGTAATGGTAGCTTGAAGCTTTCAATGTTTCGTATTGTCGCATCCAATTGACTCGTTGTTGTGTCCTACTTTGGGCGAAATGGCACTTCAACATGACGTGGGTTGTCATCATATCGCAAGTTGAATCATCAATAAGCTATAATGGATCATTATCTGAAGCTCTTCTTCACTCATCCATGCGTTCAATAAAGCTAGCCATCCCATCTTGATATATGGATTGCATCCTTGTTGGTGGTGTGCTCAAAGCATGCATCAAAACCAATTCACAGGTCGAGGACAGCAACACTTGTATCAACATCTTTATGGGAATTCAATGGAGTGGTAAGCTTTAATTAATTGATGGATTGCAATACTAGTAATAAGCAGAGGATCCATGGCAGTGCAATGAACAAATTTATGCGCAATACAGGTCAAAGGCAATTTCCAGCACCACTGGTCTCTTCTTACTCCACACCTCTTTTGCTTCAGAAGCTGATAATGAATGACGACAAGCGCAGCAGGCGATCCACCTCACGATCGACGTCTCCATCGCCGCCCCCACGAAAGACTAAAGTACAGCATCAGTACCCTTCGAATTATCCTTGACAAAAGACCTGGTCATGCAGTGTTGCTCACTTTTTACTTTCTCCTGCGAACTTGATCTTGCCCTTCAATCCAGCCCATTGCACCCACCAAGTTGCAAGCATTCACTGTCGGCACACACAAGAAGACGCCTTTTCAAAGACACAAGGAAGAAATCGAGTTGAAAAAGAAGGTGTGTTGATACACAAGGTGTGTTGTTCATACAAAGCTTATGTAGTTGTCTACCAGAGAGAATCCGAAGAAGCTGCCAAGGTCTATGAAGAGTTTGTCGCCTCCTTTGAGGATCCGCATTCTTACAAAGATGGAACACAAACGTTTGTGAAGAGCAGTACAATGATCCCTCGAGGTATTTGGATATCTTCATTTGCCATGCATGAAGCTGAAAAGTGTATTATTTCATTGTAGGTGATGAGTATGAAAAGCAGCAACATGCGTCCAAAAAGCATCAGCCATCATCATCATCATCCATCAAGACCACATCCTCGATCAGTGCAAGCCCTTCCAAGCCAAGTTACAAGGCAATGCCGTTTATCAAAGCCGGTGAAGCAGCCAAGACCAACCCACTCTCGCTTAAACGATCAAAGCCTATGCAAGAAGATGAAGACGATGACGAGGATGATGTAAGTATAGGGCTGTGGTATTCAGTGGAAGAATAGGATCATTGACCTTGGAAAATATCATTCAGGCACTTGCTATGAAGGAAGCACGAGCACACAAAAAGAGAAACATGGATACATTCTTGGAAGAGATCAAAAAGTAAGGGTTCATTGTTTAAAATTATAGGGTCTTTTTCTTTTTCACTTATATGATTGATGTAGGGAGCAAGAAGATCGCGAAGATCGGCTACGTTCCAGGAACGCTCATAAATCAACAGCTGCAGGAGATCGATCCGCTGCTGGTGCTTCCGATTCGGCTGGTATTACATTGAAAGCTGGTGAGTGTGATTACGACGACTACGTGTGGATTTGAGAGAGACGATGATTCACATATGCGATTTAGCCTTCGAAGAACGACCTGGATCACACGATATTGGTGACCCATTGACGACCAATTTGTATGTTGGCAACATCAATCCTGCAGTGAGTAACAACAATGAGCGTTTTAGTGTTTTGGGTGGCTAATAAGAAGCGGATGGGTAGGTCAATGAAATGATGATTTGCCATGAGTTTGGAAAGTATGGACCTATTGCATCTGTCAAAATCATGTGGCCACGGACCCAAGAAGAGCGAGAACGCAACCGCAACTGTGGATTTGTCAGCTTCATGAAACGACCCGATGCTGAGCAGGCGTTGAAGAACTTGGATGGCAAAACTTTTCATGATTTTGTGATGAAAGTGGGATGGGGTAAAGCCGTGCCATTACCAGCAACCCCGGTGTTTGGTAAGATCAAGGATGGACACGTATGGGACTATACCATCGGGATGAACTAATCTTTTCCTCCTTATAGTATTGGACAAATCATCAAAAAGCGTACAGACGGGTCTCCCTTTCAATGCTCAAGTTGTCGATACCCAAACCGGCATGGTAAGTGTGCTATTAGGGATGTATTCTTTGGATATCAGTGAATGATGAATGATGAATGTCAATTACTTAGACGTCAAAGCCACGTGCACAAATTACCGTTGTCAAGCCAAGTAACATGCAACAAGTCAAGATCATCCATCGAATGGTTGAGCGCGTTATTAGGAATGGTTCAGCATTCGAGGTAATGATGCAATATCGCACATACATGGGCAAAGATCAATTACTGATTAAGTTTTGCTCCAGGCTATTATTATGGAACGTGAAAAGGACAATCCAAAGTTCAAATTCTTGTTTGACAACCGGGTATGTGATACAATGCAAGGAAAAGATTGCAGTAGCTGATTATGGATGCATGTATATGTAGTCTGAGGAACACATATACTATCGGTGGCGTCTCTATTCTATTATGCAAGGGGATACGAGATCACAGTGGCGAACAGAGCCTTTCCAAATGTTCGAAGGTGGACCATGGTGGGTACCTCCAGATGTTCCCTTTGATGACGAGGTAAGGGAGATATAACAAGGATGATCGAAATGGTTGTGCTCATCATTGGTATAGGGCATGAATGATATACTGTTGGATACGGATGATGAAGAGCGGGAACGAGATCGTGAGCATGTACCCAAAGGTACTCTTGGCAAGATTGCAAAGCAACGCTTCGAGATCATGTTACGGCAAGTCACCTTTCAACGAGGCACCATCGCACGTGCTATGGCATTTGCAATCGATCACGCAGATGCTGCAGATGAGGTATATAGATGCATGGATACTATTATTATATGTATATGGGGACTAATATGGCACTTTCAAGGTTATCGATATAGTCATCAAGTCACTTATTATACCGGAGACACCAATTACACTCAAGTTGGCAAGGTTATATCTGGTATCTGATATTCTGCACAACAGTGGTACCCACGTGGCAAATGCATGGAAATATCGTGCTGGGTAAGTGGTAGCAGTGATGGAATCATTGGTGATGGAGCATGTTTTTCTAATCAAGCCGATAGCTTGGAAGGACGATTGGTGGTGGTCTTTGAACATTTCAATGAGATTTATCGCTCGATTTCAGCACGCTTGAAAGCTGAGCAATTAAGGGTAAGGAAGAAAGATCATGGATGATTGGGGTTCATCAGGCTGGTTATTCACATTTACCTTGCATAGCGTCACATCAGCACTGTACTCAGTGCATGGGAAAATTGGATGGTCTTTCCACAACACCACATTGACAATTGGAACGGCATCTTTATGAAAAAGTCTTCAAGCAATACCTCTGAATCCGAATCGAGAAGTGCATCTCCCGAGTCAATATTAACTGAATCACAAGCATCAGTACCAGCAGCAGCAGCAGCATCCACTAGCGAGTTGATGGAGGAGGATAATGATGTGGATGGTGAACCTATACCAGATGACGTCGATGGTGTTCCCATGGAATCCGAAGATGTGGATGGTGAGCCTCTGGAACCAGAAGATGTCGATGGTGTGCCATTAGATGAAGGTGACATGGTTGCTGATGATGATATCGATGGCGAACCTTTACAAGAGGATGATCAAGCCCCGGTCAATGAAGATCAACAACAAGTCCCATCGTCAAGTGACATAGATGATATGTTTGCACCTGTATGATTGCTTTATATTAAACAACGTTGCAAACGGCATGTGTGCGTTATTGATCTCGATATTTAAACACTTGGATGTTTGTGCTATTGTCATCTGGGAATGAAAGTGTATAAAAGTGCTGCATCAACACGACCACTGGTCTTTTATTTAACATGTATACTAATAGCAACACACAACCTGTAGCTTTATTTATTAAAGTGGTAGTGGCTAAAGTTTATAGTCTTATTGAATGCCGGCGTTTTTGCCATATGTCGCTCTGTTAGAGTGGTAGTATAGGGAGCAAGAATCAGTGTGGGGTGTGTCAATGGTAACCAAGCAGCGGGGCGGGAGATGAATTTCCATGGAGACGTCACCAGGCGCGTTGGGGGACGCGATTTAACGAGTTGATTCCGCAGTCTGTGCGTTTCTCTTTACACCCTTTTCAAACCATGGCATCTGGCACTGCATGATCTGGCGATCGCTTATAGCACTTTTGCGGCCTGTTCCAATAGGCAAAGTCTCGCTAACCCTAAACCTTTACAGATTGTCCCGGCGTTATTTCCAACCGTGTAGGCAATGGGGCACTTCTAGGTCTTTTTCTTCTTGGGGTCTTGGGTTATTCTCCTCGAGGAAGTCAAACTCAACCAGAACAATTGAAGACTCTCTTTGTGAGGAACTTGTTTGCAATCGTCTTGTGGCTCGTGGTAACCCCCAATAGTCAACTGTGGTTGTTCACGTCGTGCTTTGTCATTTGCCATCCAAATGCCGTTGATCGAGTCTTGCCGACAGGTTTGTCAGGGATCCAAAGGGTTGCCAACCAATGTTGGAGTGCTGCTTGCATGTTGGTAAGGGTGGTATGGTTTGGAGTCCTATTCGCAAGAGTAGGATGGGCTTGTATGCCGTTCCAAGCTATATTATTCATTACCATTGGTCTTTTGACCAGTGCAACAGAGCCTGGAAGACCTTGGCTACCTCGAGGCACATCACCTCGGCTCTCTTTTCCTCTTCGCTGCCAAATCAGGTCTACGTCCTGGAGGGGATGGATCCAGTAATGCAATGGCTTATGCCCTTTTTGCTGGTGAACGAAGAATTTGGCTCTCATTATGCTAGCTTTTGTTCTCTTGTCAATAATAAAGTACTTTTTTATTGTAATCGAAATGATAATGGCTATTGCTTTAATTGTATTTGGTTCAAGGATCAATAAACGTGTATACTCAATTCTTATACTTTGTAATTGCTAGGAGCGATGGGTTCTGTTTCAAGCGTATTGTTTAATGATATGGTATTGAAATGCATCTTTTGTTTATGGTAGTAAGATATACAATGGTAGTGAGAATTGGAATAATGAGTACGCAACTATGATATCCTGCATTGGTTGTATAAAAACATGCTCAAGAGTGTCAATCATTGACATGATGCGAAAAGTAGCAGAGAACAATCAACAGCCATTGGGTGGTGTTGAAACTCAGGTGGATGTGTGCGGCTCCATATTGCTCGAGTCAGCTGCCAACCATTGCACTTCCTTTCGAATCCGTTGTAAAAATGGCTGAAAACGCTCGGTAGGTGTCGACACTATAACAAAGCTCATGGATGGATGGATGAATGGATAAAAGAGACGATGGATGGATCTATTTCAGTATCGGATGAATGATAAAAAAGGGGAGGAGGAAAGAGTTGGGGCAATCTACAAGGAACCAGCATCTCGATTAACACACCCCATGCATTCGAATACAGTCTGTACAGCAAGGGCCGCGTCTTGGGCTTCGCTCGTTCCAAGCACAACCAATACTGCGACACTTCCTTGATCAAGCTTGAAGGTGTTCAGACCACCCAAGATGCTCGTTTCTACCTCGGCAAGCGTGTTGCTTATGTCTACCATGCCAAGAGAGAGAAGAACGGTAGCAAGCTTCGTGTTATCTGGGGCCGTATTGCTCGCACTCACGGTACCTCTGGTGTTGTTCGTGCTCGTTTCCGCAAGAACTTGCCTCCCAAGGTCTTTGGTGCTTCCGTTCGTGTCGTAAGTATCAGGGATAATGGATAAAGTACAAAGTGGAAAAGGCTGGTGGACTCATGTTGTTCTCTTTGCATAGATGCTTTACCCCTCCAACATCTAAATTGAGAGGTGTGTAGATCTTGAAATGGAATAAAATCCAGTTTATATCGTGCAGACGAATTCTCATATTTCATTGTGTGATAAGGATCCCCATCAATGCTGTCTGTGTGTGAATGTTGTATGCAAGGAGCTTTTTTATTGGTGTGCTATGGTTATCAAAAGAAGGGGGAGTGCACCTATTTTGTACTTTAAAAGATACGGGATGGATGGACCTGTGCAACAATGATCTAGAACAAATGCTTAGATTGCATTGATGTATCCAGATCTCTAGACATCAACTATGAAATGGTACTCAACATGGTCTCTAGTTGAAAGTATAGTATACTTGGATTAAAATAGAGTTTATCATCATGCGCAGCAGCCCAACTCAACGTTTTCGCACGGGCAAGTTCACTAAAAAGAGAGTAAATGGGACCTTTGGAGTTTCTCCGATATCTTTTACATCTCTCTTTCTCTCTCTCTCTTTTTTATATTTGTGGTTTCCCGCCCTTGACTAAAAAAAACACAACAACAACCCAAAAGACATGGCCCAACCATTAGCACCTCCTTCGCCACCTACTACAACTACTTCAACAGGTCATCACACCACGCACAAGAAACACAATCGCCATCATGTTAAACGACGTTCAGCTGGTCGAGTCCATGTCACCAAATTGGCTCCCATGGCGAGAGCTAACACTTCACATACCGACACAGAGGCTGATATTGAGCACCATGACAACAATAATGGCAACCATAAGCGACCTCATATGCGTAGATCACAGTCGCAACGTTCATTAAACCGGCTTTCGAATGGCGAAAGAAAAGGTGGAGGAGGATTAACTGCACTAGCACCCATTCATCCATCCAAGACATCATCTACTGTTGCTGCTGCTGCTGCTACCACATCATCACCACCCACTACCCCATCACCACCACCTAGTGCAACTGAAAATGATGAAGAAGAGGAACAAAAACCATCTCGACCCAAGAAACAACAACAACCACAACAACAACGTAGTAAACAAGATGAGAAGGGACAATCATCAACAATAGCGCCACGTAAAGATAGCCCCGCGTTCTTTGTTTCAAGTCAAGCGCCCGCTGCACCTATCGAACAAACATTCAACGCAGTAGCCAAGAACCTTGTCTCATCTAATAATACTTCATCACATACTTCGCTACCATCCATTCAACCATCATCCAATCATCGATCTTCTCAACCATTACGATCCCAATTCATTGATGAAACAATCGATATCCACCACCATCACCCTAAGCAACGTACACCGGTATCATCCACAGCAACAGCAACAACAACAACAGCTGATGCGAATGGGAAACGATTAAGTAATGTTGCAGCAGCAGCCAATGCACAACCTCCCGGCATGTCACGCACTCAACAAAAATTACTTTTGCAACGACAACATTGTTTAGTGGATGATGAGAACAACCTTGGTCACCCAAAGAATATGCGAAGACTTACTCGGGAATTGGAACGCGTGGGTCGTGAATACCAATGCGTGAGACGCTATCATGATCCAATGATGGAAAGTTTACAACGATGTCTTGAGCAACAACAACAGCAGCAACAACAACCAAGAATGAGATTGAGCCAACGTACTCGATCATCAGCCGTATTACCTACATTCACCGAATCAGCTGCAACGACCACTACAGCACATCTTGAACCCCATTATGAGCAACGTCAAGCTATTCATCGTCGACATTTACAATTGAAAATGATGGCTCAGCAAGGACATAGCCATTATCATCCAGTGGATCCTCCCCCATCTCCCACTCAGTCAGCTGCTACAGGTACTTTGAATATCATCCGTTGGAGTGCCGGCGTACTTTTGGATCGTGTGTGGAATGGCAGTAGTAGTAGTTATAGTTAATTCCTCTTTTCTCTCGCCCCCCCACCTCCATTACCTGATTTATTCCCTCCATGTATGCTTTTTCTTTCACCCTTGTCACTTGCCTTGTTCCATCATTGTAAAGGATTTGTTTTTTTTGTATTTGATATTTCAGCGTTATCCCCCCGCTTGTTTCCCAACCACCCATAGAATATTGTATAAATATAGCACACTCTTTTTGATGATCATGTGCACGGACCTCTTGTACAATTCAATGAATCCCCCAATCACGCATGCATCTCATGGTAAAATGTGACATTGGATCCAGTAAGGATGCTATACAAGTGTGGCTCGTTGTATAGATTGAGGGGTGGGTCTGAGATGAATACATAGAAGACATAAGATGGTGTTCCATAGCACACGCACGCACACGATCTTCATCCTGTGCAACCATTATATTGTGTAACATGCAACAATGGAGGTGCCATCTTTATGGAAATTCCCAGTTAGTAGTATTATGAGTGGTTCGTGTCCATCCGAGATGGCGGGATGATTCTAACAATCAATCACATCAAGGTCTTTTCTTCGAGAGACAGGAATTACTGATAAACAAGCCATCCACTCCTCTGTCTATGAACATAGGAATACCCACGCCCATGCATGTGAGGCGCATCTTCAATTGTTGGCACCTATAAAACTAAAGTTGAGGTGCCTATCATGATAACGATCCATGTTCTTCTTACATTTGTAATCCTATTGCCATTAATATTGTTGTCATTGTGATGCTTGTCTCTTTTTTTATTAAGGTAGTAGAGCCTACATAGCCATCTTGTTTGATGAAGGACATACACTCACCTTCCTTTTGCTGATGTACATAGCTACCTCCCAAGACACCCCTCTGCAAAGTAATAGAGGGCAAGGCTTACTACTGCAATCTACTTGGGGTTGATGATGTAATGACTTCTTCAAGCTTGGTACATAGATGCCCACCACGGAAGGTGTCAACCTAGTTGCAATGGGGCAACATACGTACAACGTGTATGGAACAACACAAAGAGATGGCACAATGTATAAGAGAAACAAACAATAGCTGGTGACTACATCCAGCTATGTACATCGAAAGGACATCCTCTTCTCTATCGTGCTCCGATTTCACACGCATGACTTGCACAAACCACTCTTTACGCCATCACCCACATTGCTCACTTAAAATGAAACATATAGTCTCAGTGTACCTTGGTCTCTTTTACCGCTATCTTTTTATTTGTATGCGTTTCAAAGGCGTGATGATGCGTTAAGGATGTAAAAGTGTGATGTGGAAGGGCGTTTTTTCCCTTGCATATTGAATGGGGTGGAAGAATAAACAGAGATGAGTGATGGCAAATAGTCTCGTTTTAGGTTGGAAAAGAAGGCGGAGTCGTACAGAATTTGACACACTAAGAAAGGGAAGGGGTTGAAAAGTGATGTGCAACGGAGACGACGACGCTCTTTTTTCTTTTCTTGATATCCTTGCAACCCTTCCTTCGTCCACCACCACACCACATTCATCATCGTCATCATTATGTGGTTGCAACGTTATCTAAAGAACAACTTTGATATCGAGTTTCCTACTCAAGAGCAACTAGAGAACCTTCGTTACTACAAATATGCAGCCGTCGACAAGTCTTATGTAACAAAGTACATTCTATCGCATTACTGGAACTGGGCAATCACTCTCTTCCCAATGTGGATTGCGTAAGGATCGCTTTATTGTACAACAACAATGGCAGACATGACACCCATTGACACACTCTCTCTTTTGATAGACCCAATCTCATTACGCTCATTGGACTTGGCTTTATGGTCTCCAACGTACTACTGGTGGTCTACTATGTGCCCGACCTCGGTATAGATGCACCCAACTGGATCTATTTCAGCTTTGCTGCCGGGCTATGGCTGTATTCGACCTTTGATAATGTGGATGGAAAGCAAGCACGACGTACTGGCACTTCATCACCTTTGGGAGAGCTTTTCGATCATGGTTGTGATGCCCTCAATACAGCCTTTGTCTCCATCCTTCAATGTGCAGCTCTCGGTTTAGGCCATACCCAGAATTCATTGATCATTTTCATCACCACCGTCTTTGGTTTCTACATGTCGACAGCAGAGGAATACTATACCAAGGTTCTCTATCTCGGCGTCGTGAATGGACCCACAGAAGGCATTTTACTCACTTGTTTTGCATTCATTTGGAGTGGCTTCAATGGTAAGAGAATCCGAAATTAAATCCTGTGAATGGTCTTATTCATCAATGTGGGGATATCATTAGGTGCAGCGTCGTGGCACGTGCCACTAAGCAAGGGCATTCCATTTGTTGCTCCCTTGTTTCCAAATGGTACAACAGCAGCTGACGTCTTTGTTTGGGCACTTGTACTTTCGTTTGTATTCACACTCTTGATCCCATGGTAAGATGACTGGATGATGATGATGATGAAATGAACAAGTTCTCTTTTACTTATGGTGCGTATGTATTTAGCTTACATTCAATTTACACCGTTTGCCGAGACAAGAAGCAGGATTGGGTCGAAGCTTATGCCAATGTGCTGTTTCCCATCATTGTATTTGCTCTTGCGGAGTTTTGCTGGGTCATGTCACCAACATCGGCCATCCTCAAAGGCGAACATCTGTGCCTGTTTGCATTGACAGTCGGCATGCTCTTTGGTTTGATGGCTTCCAACATTATCCTTGCTCATTTGACACGCTCGCCTTATCCCAACCTTGGTTTTATTGTGGCTCCGGTCGTTGTCATGGCCATTCTCGTCAATAGCGACTTGCTGATCTCCATACGCATCCTCTCTTCAAATGTTGAGATCGGCTTACTATGGGCTATGTTTGTCGTTGGTTTTATCTCTTATGGTGTTTGGGCCACACTTGTCATTGATGGATTTTGCCGATTCCTTGGTATTCGTTGCTTGGTGATTCGTCGCCAAAAGCAACCTGAACATCGCATTGACGTAGAAGGTATGGATCATCAAAGTCTTTTTGGTTGTTGTTTGTGATACTGATATGTGTGTGTGTGTATACATAGCTGATCCTGAGGCAGATGCCTTGCTTGACGCTGAGGAAGCTGCAGCAGCAGCTGATGTGGCAGGTGGTAGTAGTAGCGCTAGCAACAGCGCAGGCGCATCAACGAGACGACCCGCTGACGATGATGGCCGGAATTCATACAGCACTTTCCATTAGACATCAGCATACCGATATCATCATCTTATTTATCATCATCCTATTCTTACATCATTTCACTCTTCGTACATCAACGTCACCCATCGCTACACTATTGCGCATTCCCAACTATCCCCTCCCGCTTCTTTCAACAACACAACTATACGCATATTACGGATTTATATTTATCACTCATTCACCCACCCAACCATCCATCCATTGATATATATAGAGAGAGGCAATAGACAAAAAGTTCTTCTTTTGCAATATCACCTTAATGGTTTATCTTTGGAATTGTACTATGAGGGCCATATATGGAGATGATGAGAGTGAAAATAGATGTGTGTGTGTGTGTATGTGTGTGTGTACGCGACTAGTGGGATGATGGTAGAATATGCAAAGGATGAATGTGTGACATAAAAGGAATGGTATGCTTATGCGGATGAGAAGAAGGGGGGAAAGGTTGGGAAAAAAGGAGATAGGTAGATATCTCCATTTTCCATTAGCCCAGACAAAGAAATATAAAAAAGAGGCGAATAAAGAAAAAGAAAACAAGCATAATGAAGAATTGTCTATACAAAGAAAGGGCATGAAAAAGGGCAAGAATTAATAATAAACGTGACTAGCACGACGATGAAGAGGGTGTCCAAAAGGGATTCATAGTATCGGTTGAAGAGGAGGGTGATGAAAAACATGATGAAAACGAATGTTGTTGTTGTTGTTGTTGGCGACGTCGTTCTTCATGACGTTGATGGGTCTTGATGTGTTGAGAAAGATTATCTGAACGAGAGAATGTCTTTTGGCATCCAGGATACGTGCATGCAAATGGGCGTTCCAGTGTGTGTATACGCATATGGCGTTTAAGATGTTCGAGTCGTTTGAAACGTCGTTGGCATTGCATCACCGGGCACATGTGTGATTTTTGTTGCTCAGGTTTATCATCATGGTTACCACCACGTTGAGTACGTGCCTTTTTACTACCACCCGTACAAGTAGTAGCCTTGGATGCCTCCTTTTCATTAAGGTTCTCAATACTTGGTAAAGAGGATTGTTGGATTGTCGTCGTTGCTGTTGTTGTTGCAACTGCAGCTGCTTGTGCCGCGGCAGCAGCTGCAACCATAGCGGGATGCTGTGGTTGGCTACTGTTGATAGCTGAAGAAGAGGTTGCCATGGATGGTGTTGTCACACTATACGATGCTGGATATCCAAAATGGGGTGGCGCTCGAACCTCGGGGGATGGTAAAAAGAGAGATGACGAGGATGTAGAGGTAGTAGAAGTTGCCATGGATGGTTCATGATTCAACAATGAGTTGTTATTGTGGTTGTTTGGGGAACCAAAGATGGATTCTTGTTCCTGCTGCTGATTCTGCAAGTAGGGTGGCACCAGATTGCCATACATCGACTGCTTAAAAAAAGGGGGTTGGGTAGCACATGTCAATATGGCACATTTGCAGCTGTCATGGAAGCACACAACTTACCTCGCATGATGTTGTTGATGATGTTGCTGTTGCAGCTGAAGAAGAAGCAGTATATGGCTCACCCATAGTATTATGAGTTGAATCACAATTCGATTGTTGTTGTTGTTGTTGTTGGCTCTTTGCCAAGGATGCTGCTCTTTTTGTGTGTGTACGAGAGTGCGCATGAAAGTTGTCGGATCGACTAAAGCTCTTGCCACAACCTGGAAAATGGCACACAAAAGGACGCTCGCCTGTATGAACCAGCATGTGTCGTTTTAAATGCTCGTATCGCTTAAAGCTCCATCCACAAAATGGATACTGACAAAGATGCTTGTGGCCCTTTTTACGTCTACCGCCAGAAGCAGCAGGAGCCGAGCTACGTCGTTTTTCTTCTGATCCAACCTTGGTATCCATTTTCGGCGTAGCTGAATCAATATCCAATACTGTGGGTGATGGCACCGAGTTGTTGTCATGATGAGGATAATGGTCTACATCATCTTGTTGGAGCAATCCTGCAAAGCTGGTGGCGTGAAAACTTGTTGTCGTGGTGGCTGGAGAAGAGACAGCTGGGTCATTGTTGTAAGACATGGCCCCAACAGCACTGCATGTCGACATACGACGGTACATGTCGTCATGTTGTTGTTGTTGTTGATATTGCATTGCTTGTTGTGCATCATTCATGGTATAGGGATGATGGGGAAAAGTGCCTGACAATGTTGCTGCTGCTACTGTTGTGGTGGTGCGCTGCTTGTTGAATTGATGTTGCATCGAATCAAGCAAAAACGATGAAGGTGATACGGCAGGTGTAAGTGGAGGTGAGACTACATTTTGAGCATACAATGGATGGCAGTAAGTTGCATTCATTGGTGTTGTTATCATTGATGAGGAAGACATTAAAGATGTAAAAGTGGTTGTTGGCATAAAATGGTTGCCTTGTTGTTGTTGTTGTTGTTGAGCAGTTGCATCAAGCATGGCGATACTCGGTAGTTTCTCAGGTTGGGGAGGTGTGTTTGGTTGTTCGAAAGAAGACATTAAAATAGGTTCAAGAAAGAAACCAGAGAAAGAATGAAATGGTATCCAAGATGACAGCCGTATTTAAAGGTAGCAGCCGCATGTGCATTTGATCGACAACAGCCAAAAGGAGTATCTTGTGCAATCAAGCATTTGCGGACCTGGATGTTGGTTGTGGTGGTTGTGGTGGTTGTGTTCATCAGTAGTAGTGACTCAAAATGTAGACTCACTGCACTGCACCCCTTTCTTTACCTCGAAAGGAGAGATCTCTCGACAATTATGATTCAGGGGTCCACCATCACCATTATCCACATCATTCATCCATCCACACACATATACACACACGCGCACTCATTTCAAGCTGCTGTACTTGGAATAACAGCAGTAAGGTGCCTAACTGATACCTCGCTCCTTCTTTAAAGTCAATTTTTCCTTAACTGGTTGTAGAAGGAATGATACAAGTTAAGATCCTCTCTCCCAAAGATAGCTCCTCTTTTGACCATTTTGAGATCCCACCTGTCAAACCACCTTGGTGGGCTCCTCCTCATCCGATACACGTTATTCCGGATGTTGTGTGTGTGTGCGTGTATGTACATGTTGATCGAAACACACACACACACACACACACACACACACACACACACACACACACACGCTCACCCTGGTCAAAACGTGCTGTTCGTGTGTGATTTTGGAAAAAGGACAAAGAACAACCATGCCATGCAATGCATTACAATACCCCAATACTCCGAACAAATGGGCTTTCCTTCCTGTAATATCCTCCTGTGTACAAAGAATAGGCAAGTATGATCGATCCGGATGCATCTAATGTATTCATCATTATACCAGGATAGTTGGAATGCTTATCATCATTCATCAACCGTACACCCACACATGTCGATTATGGGTCTAGTCCTTCTTCTCCTCCTCCTCATAAGAGCACATGAGAAACTAAGGAGGCCCTTTTTGTTGCTCCAGCCAATCCAACCATCAAGCGCGTGGACCTCGTGTCGATTTTGATAGTTCCACATTTTTACATTCTTTTGTTTTTCATCCTAACCCCTCTTCCGATTCACTCATGAACACGTAACATCACGGCCTTTTTTCCTTTTCTCGATGCGTTATGGATCGTCTTTGATCTCCTTGGCTAAAAGTTGATGGATTGAGAAAGAAAAAAAGAGTCCAGCTGCATAAATTTCCCAATACAAGACTCCTATCCTTTAAGTTACAAAGGCAGCTTGTTAATCCACATTCATCATTAGGGGTGTGTATGTCGCTATATCTTTTTTCTTTGTTATTCATGTATGGATCGGAGCACATTTCATTCCTTGCCATTGTGCATGAATATCCGATAATTAACATCAGCAGATTGCCGGCTCAATAATAGTGACAAGCCGAGAAATGGGATACTACTACTACTACTACATTCTCTATCTTATTAGGTAGCTCAATTTTCCCACTATGCTTGAAATGACGTATGCTAATGCATATCCGTTTATTATGATGTATGTAATAGTCATGGGCAACAAAGTGGAATGACCATCGCTTGTGATGATGATGATGATGATGGCATTAAAAGCACAGACCAACCATGAGTGACTGGGGGACCCACCTATTACAACACGGCATCACCCGTGAAACAGAGATGAATGTTGTGTGACACCTGCTACAGCAGTGGTATATTAAAGATCAGAAAGGCATTTTTCCCCACGCCTTCGTGTCGTTTTCCTTCCGCAAGCTTGAACGTGTTGGTTGTCCAATGTCCACATCGACGCTCATTGACGAGAAGAACAAGATCCAACATCGCGATCGTCTATTGCAACTGTATGGCGTGGACCTTGCTGCTGCTGCTTCGTCTTCTGCTTTGGTAGCACCTTTTATCTCCGTGGTTGACAGGTACTAGTACTACTCTTTTCCAAAGGGTTCTTTAATAACCATATGATGTAAGCTGATGATGTGGATTGGATACTTCCAGGGCAATCATTGAAAATGCCAATGGCAAGCGTCCCCTTGGACAAGGATTGAAGATGGGGTTGACACGTATCTTTACACAACCTATGCAGTTTGCAGGCACGCCTCAATTTCGGATGATCTTTGGGTTATATTTCAGCACGTATGTTACTGCGAATGTGATGGATACAACAAGTGAGCATTGGGATGTGCCACAAGGTACAGCGGCATGGTATAAGTTCTTGGCAACGTCAGCTATCAACATGTCATTATGCGTGCTCAAGGATCGTGCATTTGCTCGGATGTTTGGTGTCACTGCAAGCCATAGCCTGCCATTGATGTCTTATCTATTATTTGCTGCAAGAGATTCACTCACCATTGCTGCCAGCTTTACGGCACCCCCTGTGGTCACTCGATGGCTCTTTGAAGAAAAGCAGGTCTTTTCATCTCATAAGAACGCAGCTGTCACAGCTCAACTCTCGTGTCCTGCCGCCATTCAATTCATTAGCACCCCGTTACATCTCCTTGGTTTGGATCTATACAATCGATCTAATGTCTCTCCTGCTCAACGTGTCTCTCTCATTCGTGCTGAATACCTCAAGAGTACTCTCGCCCGTGTCGCAAGAATTGGTCCAGCTTTTGGTATTGGAGGTGTAGGCAACACTTACTTTAGAAGCTTCCGTTCCAAAGTGATGTAGTCGTAGTCATCCACATCTTTTATTATCTGCATCATGGGTTGTATAATACAATACACACGTATATATAATATCATCCTCGTCTATCAATTCTTGTCGTTGTCTTGGTTGCTGGTGGTGGTGGTGGTTGTCTTGGGCACAGGGATACTCTGGATACCATGTAAGATGCAATGTACTATGAAATGTAATACCCCCCACCATCATCTTACCATATCAGGCTTCATAATCTGGATATACCATAAGTTAAGCTACTTTTTGACAACTAAAAGTGTGTTTTAAATACCTTGTTAACAGCCGTGCTGCCAATGCCCATGCCAATGCACAAGATGCCAAACGTGTAAAGCTTGTTGATTTTGGCCATGTCGTCGTCAAGGATACCAAGAGTGAACAAGTCGTGACTTGCTGAGTTATCCCGCAGATGAATGCTGTTGTAAGTGCACTCGTGGGTGGTGAGCGGCTGAGACGTCCACACTCTCTCTTGTCTACACATAAGGTATGATGCACCCAGCTTGACAGTTCACTCACATCAAAAGAGAAAAAGCGATCGCCATCTAACGCATGCTGGTTCTAGATTCGTCATGGCTAAGGCACCCACTCCAGAACTCAAAAAGTAAGCCAACATCTTGTCGATTTTCCACCATTGGGGGACAGCGCGTCTTCGATCAAACAGGATTGCTGATCGTGGGTCTTCTCATTGTAGGTATATGGATAAGCGTTTACTGCTCCAGTTGAACGGCAACCGACGAGTCACTGGTGTCCTTCGTGGTTATGATCCCTTTATGAATATTGTGTTGGATGACGCTGTGGAGGAAGTGAGTGCAACAGAAAAGAACCATATTGGCATGGTGGTAAGTATATCAACACATGCGATCATCGATAAGTATGCTTCTTTTCTTACATGGGATCATGTGTATTTTAGGTCATCCGTGGCAACAGCATCTCCATCATGGAAGCACTTGAGCGCATATAAAGACAGCAGCAGCAGCAACAACAAATGTGTAGTTTTTTTTTCTTCTCAACCCATCCACGTACAAGAGACTTACATGCAAATAAATCAACCGCCTTTCCATTACGCACAACATGTTTATCAGAAAGTGTCGTCATACGATCATGATTCAGGAAGAATGTGGACTAACTGCTCATCTTGCTTTTGCGAGTGTGGAAGGATTGGAGGATCAAGGAGCCTATGCCCTGCTATGTGAATACAAGAGCATACGAATGTGTGATATGGTTCAAGTAATGCCGTTATCCTATGGTCCAAGAGGCAAGAGGCAAGATGCATGCTATTCCTCGATCGTGAACGAACATACTACGACCTTCAAACACCAAACGTGGGTTTCATTGGGCTGTCAATCATGATAACCAAAGGTAATTCAATCGCTTTTAGCTCTTCACGACGACGACGTGAAGACATCCACTATGTATATAGGTTCATTAGCGATCGATTTGCCCGGTACATTATTCATGCATTCGCTGTGCTTCCTATTATGCCATCTTCAAATCGAGCTACAACCAAGGTAGGGATTATGCAGCGTTGTATCATTGCTTTCGTTGCCAACGGGTCGCCCATCAAGTTTAAACGTTGTATGGAAGGTGGTTCGATGATTAGCAATATTGCTCCACAATCATTTTCATTAGAGCGTAGATAGTGGCTCCTTTAGTAATAAAGCAAGGATTGAATACGAGCATAACCGGATGGAGACTCTTTGAGGGTTGCGCATTATAAGGATAATAGGCATTGTGACAGGCTTTGCTATATCACTGTATTAGGATGGCATGACATCAATGTATACGCGCTTTGCAATACGACTGAGATGAAAGATACTTTTAGCGTGTCGCTGATAGATGTCAAGACAACGTCATGGATGTATGCATCAGCAATAATAACATGATAATACCCAAATTTTAGAGTAAAATGGTTACAATGGATCAGTAGATCAACTACCATCTTTATTGGAGAGAATAATTGAATAGCTACAGAGACCACAAGGATATGAAAGATGATTTTATCTGAAGCGAGTCGTCACGAACACTAGTGAGGCTATTGTAGACTACCATTGGCAAATGGAGTGGTGTCTTTCAGGCACCGGCTTCGGAACGATTTGTGACCAATCGCAGCTGCCGAGTAAAAGTGCTTTGAGTAGGCGAGCCAAGGCATCCTCCTTTTACCAAAACCATCCAACATGGGTACGTACATGCAAAAGTCATCGATCCATTGCATACATGGATCCATCCATCTAGTGTTATAATCCATCAATCGCTAATCGCCTCTTGTCTCTCTATTTTAGCTGTCGGCAAGAACAAGTAAGACGATTTCCCCAAACCAGCACACTCACATCACACACGCTCAATTCACCCAACCCCCACCCCATCGACACACCACGAGACGATACTGAATGTTTTTTATTTTTCTGTTTCTAGGCGTCTTAGCAAGGGAAAGAAAGGTTTGAAGAAGAAGGTGTAAGTGTTGACGACTCGATCGACATTGCTATGCGCGTGAAACTTATAGAGTCCATGTCCATTTTAGCGTTGACCCCTTCACCCGCAAGGACTGGTACGATATCAAGGCTCCCTCTATGTTTGAGGTTCGCCAAGTCGGTAAGACTTTGGTCAACCGTACCCAGGGTCTCCGTAAGTAACGTTGTGAATGATGATCATATTGGAAGGGGGGAAATAAGGCTAATATCAGGTTGCTAGGTAACGCCAACGACTCGCTGAACGGCCGTGTTGTCGAGGTTTCCCTTGGTGACTTGAACAAGGATGAGGCCCGTGCCTTCCGCAAGATCCAGCTCAAGGTTGATGAAATCCAAGGCAAGAACTGCCTTACCAACTTTTATGGTATGGATATGACCTCTGATAAGCTCCGTTCCATGGTCAAGAAGTGGCAGGTAAAATATCACATAATGAAGGGAAGAAAAAAATATGGGTTTTATTGATGCATTATTGTAGACTTTGATTGAAGCCTTCGTTGATGTCAAGACCACCGATGGCTACCTTGTTCGTCTTTTCTGCATTTCCTTCACTGCTCGTCGTCGCAACCAGCTTAAGAAGACCACCTATGCTCAAAGCTCTCAAATCCGTCAAATCCGCAAGAAGATGTTTGACATCATGACTGAGGAGACTGTCGGCTGCGACTTGAAGGAACTTGTTGCCAAGCTTACCGCCTCTGCTTCCAACTCTGCTCAAGATGCTATGGCTGTTCGCATTGAGAAGGCTTGCCAAGGTATCTACCCCTTGCAAAACACCTACATTCGCAAGGTCAAGATCCTCAAGGCACCCAAGTTCGATGTCTCTGCTTTGCTTGCTCTTCACGGTGGTGCTGCCGCTGCTGGTGATGTCGGTACCAAGGTCTCCAAGGACTTTGTTGAGCCCCCTGTCTTGGACTCTGTTTAAACCAGATCATCATCATCACACAAAAAAAGATCATTAAAGACTTTTGCCTCAACCTTTGCTCGCTTGTGGAATTTATTTTTTTGTGCTTTTCTTTCTCTCTCTTTTAACATTTCATCATGATGCCCTATTCCGGTCGAGACATCGCTCTCTTTGTTATTGCCTTTTTCTTTCCACCTATCGCCGTGTTGATAAAACGTGGTTGTGGTATCGACTTCCTTATCAATATCTGTTTATGGGCTCTTGGCGCTGGTAAGTGATTCCACTTGGACCCATTTTACAACGCCCATCCTTTCTCACATGCAACCCCCATTGCAAGTTCCCGGCATCATTCACGCCTTCTACATTGTCCACAAGTACAACGAGAACTTTGAAGACATTGAACGTGGCGGTCTAGAGTATCAGCCTGTACCATCCGAGGAGCCAAACCGTGTTGGATATGGTTCCACCAATGCAGCAGGTATGTCCTCTATCCCACGGTGCTTGGCACCTTGCTCATTGTCTACTATCCTCCTTTCACTAACAATATGCACTTTCTTTGTCTCCTTTTAGAGTAATGCTTATGATGGGAAATCCTATACATCACATATTGAAGATGCTACTCTTTTTATTTACCCGATTCCTTGACCACATATATTTTCCGGAGCCTTCAGTAAACATCCCCAATTCCAAACCATTAAAGCGAGTGATTGGTTTTAGAGGACTTTTGGATTGGCGAATAAGGATCGGAATTAGTGGTGTGTGTGGGTGCATGAATTGGGTCATTGTTAGCCGTAGTTGCTGTTGCCATGTTTATGGTCTCCCCCAACAACATTCAAACATAACCATTACTTGATCCAATATGATGTATTACTACCAATGTTAAATAAGCTATGTCTACTCCAATATCTCGAGATTTAATAAAAGGACCGTTTATTGTTGTCAAGTGGTGGATATCAATATAAGCATATTACAGCCTGGCTTTTCCTTGTTGGACTGATGCTAGATCCTCTTTGCCAAATGGAACATACGTATTGCCACATAGCCAGAAAAGTGGTTGATCATTAGGAACTTTGTCGATGCCTTGTTCACGCAACTCGTGCTTTTGCTGTTTGAAGGTGCCAGTGGCAGACATTTCGGGCAAGATGCGAATGAAAACAGGAATTGCGTATTTTGCGAGCCGCTTCGCCAAGTACTTGTAAAAGTCATCCATATCGAGCTCCTTGACTTCTGGTTTCAACACAATGGCAGCCATCCCTATTTGCTAACAATGAGCGCCAATTCCATAGGCATGTCGATGCTATCCTCAATACATACCTGCTCTTCCTTCATGATTTGGCACCAAAGTACCATAAACGTTGGCTTCAGCAATACCTGAATATTGGCCTACAACATGGGCTACTTCGGTGGTTGCTACATTCTCACTGTGCCTATGTGTAGTGAAAAGAAGGGTTAGCCAAGAATTGTCCAGCACGATAAAAATGGATGCTTACCAGCGGAACGTATCACCCAAACGATCATTGAAATAAATGAAACCAGTGGGCTCATAGCGTATAAGATCACCTGATCGAAAGTACCTTGATACCATAGGCAAGGAGTAAGTTTTCCTAATGAATGGAACAAAACCCATCGGTGGATATCACTTACTCATCTCCTTTGGTAAACACGTTGCGAGCGATCTTCTTTTCGGTTGCCTTCTTGTTATTGTAGTACCCCACAAAAGGCATGGTTGGTCGATGGTTGATGCGACGTAACAATTCACCAGGCTCACCAGGCTTGCACTAGAAGATAGCATACCTATCAATAATGCATATTTTACCTCCCCAGCTGAAAAGAAAAGAAAAACATACTTCAATACAAAATCCATTCCGATCACGTTCTGGTTCCTCTGTGACAGGGTCAACTTTGACAATTGACCAATCTCGATTCAAAATATTGAGCAGTGTTCCTTGCTGTCCAATGGCGCCTGCACCCAATTCTCCCCGTGATCGATTGAAAAATCCACCCGTTCCTTCTGATGCGCCATAAAACTCGACAATTTCCTGGATACCAAACCTATGACAACGTTGAATACCATATACATACCATTGATCCAAAACACCTACCTTTCTCGAATAGGTTTCCAGACATCAGGTCGCATACCATTACCAAAGATCAGTCGAAGGTTGTGCTTCCGCTCAAGAGGATGTGTAGGTTGATTGACAAGATAACGGCAGAGCTCGCCAACGTACTATGTTGAAAAGACACGTGTAAATTAGCTTCATTTCAAGTTTGATCTTGCATTTACCAATCACTTACATGAAACACGGTGACATTGTATTTACAAATATCATCCCAGAACCTTGAAGCAGAGAACTTGCGAGCCAGCACAACTTTACCACCAACAAGAAGTGTGCCGATAAGCGTTGTGAGTACTAAACGATGCAATCATGAGTAACAGAGGAGATTTGAATTTTGCAATGTACGTACATCCAGTACTGTGATAAAGAGGCAAGCACAAGTAAGTGGTGTCGTTGGCTGAAAGGCTTTGTTGGGAAGACGTTACCCAGGCGACAGCTAACAATAAACTTCAAGTTAATGCATCATCATGTGAGCACAATTCAAATCACCATCTTACCTTCTGCTCGATAATGAGGAGTGACAGCAGCCTAAGGTAGCATATATCAGCATCAAATCCTTTTTACATGTTGTCGCATTCTAAAGATCCATACCTTGGGCAATCCAGTTGTACCACTTGAACGGATAACATGAATTAGAGTAAAGCAATTGTGACACAAGAATGTCTCACAAACCTTGTATAAATCAGTATAGCAGGATCATCGGCTTCCACATTATGCAAGCAAGTGTCATCAGGTTGTTCTTTGCTGAAGTTGGCAAGCACCTCTTCCGTCACCATAGGGAAATCGTTCGTGTAGCCCTCACCATATCCATACAAGGCCATACTAGACGAACGCGCTTGATCTGCCACAGTAGCCACTTGTTGCGCATACACCGGATCAAACAAAAAGAGCTTTGAGTCTGTCACTCGTAGACAATGGAGAAGTGGTTGGTCGCTTAGGTTGTGGTTGATCAAAGCTGGCACTGCACCGATTTTGCTGATCGCGAGGAATGCCACCACAAATGAAGGATGGTTCTGGTGCATCATACACACGACATCTGTTTTATCATTGTTAGTAGCTGTAACTTGCGAAACAATAAACTTTTTACCTTTGGGCTTGACATTTTGAGAAAGGAGCCAATGTGCCTAAGAGTGGAGTAGGGAGAGAAGGGGGGAAGTGGTGAAGAAATCCATGGCTGCATAAGTCTACTGCTCGATAAACCCCGCTCGCCACAAACAACATTCAAGTATTGGGCAAACTCTACTTACAAGTCGATTGGATGCTTCAGGAGGTCAAACAGTAAAAGGGGGTGGGGGTATGCATATGTCATTACTCATCCTATTTTACACACACACGCGCGCACGCGTGTTCTACATCACATTCCATCATACCTTGTTCAAGTTGTCGATACGTATAAGTCTTGTCTTCAAAGATCAGAAATACGCGATCAGGTGTCGCATTTGCTTTCTCTTGGAATCGATAATACATATGAGCACGTTGTCGCCGAATTGCCAATTTTAGCCTATACCATATACCCTTGTCATCACACGACTCTTTTGTATACCTTCTCCATCATCATGCTTGATTCTTACTTGATCAATGCTCCAATAGCGGTACGCAGCTGAAAGAAATCCTTGCTAAAGTGCGTCCGGGCATCCGCATACATGGTACCCAATATACCAGCTGAAATAGCAGCCACTACCTCTCCCATTGCTGAAGGAGCAGTGGTCGATGTGAGCTTTCCACATTCGATATCATCAGCTATTGGTTTAATATTTACCGCGTGTCATATTTGTTGTTTGGAGGTGGTGGGAGGGAAGAAGAAAGAAAAGACGTAAAGAGTGGGGAAAAGAAAGGAAAGGCTTTCCGAACGTTGACCCGGTATTGCTCATGCAAGACGGATCACTTGCCGATCACCTTTACATCCCGCTAATGATGTCTCATGACGTGTCCTAATCCTCCTCCTGATGCCACCGCTGCCATCATCCAAGCTTTTATCATCATCGTGCAAATGTTATCTATTCACAAGCCTCACTTTTATCCTTTGGAGGTATGCCAAATCACGTTCACTCGATTTTTTCTATTCTCACGACCCACAATCCTTTATTGCTTGAGGCCCTGATCGCACCCAAAAGCAACGCATTCCATAGGAAATGATATCGGGGATCACAAAAACATCAATGAACACAAGTAATAAAGCAATAAAGAACACCATGGATGATGACAAAGATCAATGAATGAGTGCTCTTGATCACAAAGGAAATCCCTGACATGTACCAAACAATGAGGCCCATGATGAAAAATGTGGACGTCGATGTGTATGCGTGCATGGGAACGTGGGGAGTGTTATCCACAGGGGTTTGTGGTAGGGTTGAGCTGATTAATCAAGTACCTGTCAACAGCTAATAGCTTAACCTACCTAAATGGAAGGGCATGCTTGTTCGTGCACAAACATGGCCACAGCAACGTTTGGGTCACGTTTGTGTAGTTTCCCGGTATTCAACTTCCATGCGCATTGACGTCTCGCGTTGGATCTCCGATGCATTGTATATATCAATAAGTGATGGTAGGATCGCTTCAACGGTGATGCCTAGGGAAAAAGAACATCCTTCCGCGGATACGGTTACCATGCAACGAAATTTTCCTCGCCTATATTTTCATTCATGACATGTAACGGGGCAGGAACAACAAGATGCCTATTACCAAAATGGTCTTACTAGTTTGAGTACAATGAATACTTGGGTAATGCGCAAGCCAAGATCCTTCCAATTTATGTACATGTTCTTGCTATTGTAAACGTGTTGGAGGGTATTAAGGCTTCGAATGATGCTATTGGTACTCGGCGTGTGGGAAACCTTGTTGAGCAAACAAATAGTGGACAATGATGACACTATAGAGGACATGCCATAGTATCCCCTCGTCGGCACTTTTTCTCGAGTGAACAATGTAAGACATGAATGATAACAAATAGCTACAGCAGGGCGTGAAAAAGAACCTGGTATAAAATGAATGCCAAGGTTCATCTAACGCATACAACTGAACTTTCTTATCATCCTTTATTCGATTACAACAACGATAATGAAAGTAACTAGCATCCTCCTTGCGGTATCCATGGCCCTGGCGGCTCAAGGTAATGCATTTTTAGCCGCTGATCCACTACCACGGCTGTACTAACTTTTTTTCATAGCACAAAAGAACCAAGCATCGCCATCTGATGTATGTAGTACGGATATCACTGGTAGCGGACAAGGCGATTTGGACGCTATCAAAGGCTGCAAGACCTATAAGGGTACCATCACCATGGAAAAACCACCTGTGGATCAGTTGATGTTGGAAGGTGTCGAGTCAATCCAAGGCAACTTGATTATTCGTGGTAGCGACACGCTTACGAGCTTCCGTGCCCCACAACTCAAGTCCGTCAAGGGTGAATTATCGATCTCGCAGCATACACGTTTGGAACGTCTTGACCTTGGTGCTCTTACAGAGGTCCAATCGCTTACATTGTCAGTGTTGCCTGTATTGGAGAAGATCGATTTCGCAGCTGGTCTGTCACAAGTCGATGATTTGCGTATTGAAGATACACGTGCATCCAACATTGGTGGTCTCAAGCTTGAGAGGCTTCATTCTTTTGCTCTCACCGAGAACACTCTTATGAAAAAGTTTGAGTTATCTGCCAAGGAGATCACTGGTAAATTGTTTGTCGTTGGCAACAGCAATGAAATGGAATTCGATGTAAGTTTTTTTATTTTATTTTCTCTTGCATCAATGATCCTCCATATACTAATCCCTTGTATCCTATGTACAGGCCTCTCAATTGGCATCCGTGCAAGATGCTACATTCCGCAACCTTGCCAAGATCAACCTATCCGGATTGGCACACGTGCAATCTGATATTTCATTCCATCAAAACGGGTTCAGTGATTTGCATATTGACAATGTCGAGGATATTGGTGGCACTCTTGCTATTGCCAACAATGATCATTTGACTGAGACCTCGTTCAAGAAGCTTTCTCTCATAACGGGTGCTTTATCCATCGGCAACAACACGCAATTACAATCCATCAGCGGCTTCCCTAGTCTCAATGCCATTCATGGTACAGTAGACTTGGCTGGTAACTTTGACAAGTACGAGTTCCCTCAACTTCAAGATGTGCGTGGTGGTATGCGTATCCAAACTACCAGCAGCTCATTCAATTGTCCAGAGCTTGAGCAAAAGTTCAAAAAGAGCAGCGTTGTCAAGGGCAGCATCTGGGGTTGCAAGTCGAACATGGATGCCAACAATATGGATCCCACTATTGGCCAAGGCGGTGCTGGTGGTGCTGGCGGCAGTGGTGGTTTGGGTTCCATGCCCAAGAAACAAAAGACCCACAACTCATCATCCTCCAACAAGTCAGGCGATGATCACTCATCAGGCGCATCCTCTATCTCGCTTCGAGGTTCCTTTGTTGCCCTTGCAGCTGGTTTGCTTGGCTCTCTTGCAATGTAGATGACATTTCACATTTTCCTCATATGACATAAAGAATAATTAGTAATATACTTCTTTACTTTGCAAATGAAAAGATACAAATAATGTGTGCTATATACAAAGAGAGGGTGGTGGTATTGTCTTTTGATACTACTAGGAGTGTACACTCATAAGCTCTTCGACTACCTTGCATAAATCTTCAACAGAGGACTCCAATCTTCGACCGCCGTTACGACCATCGACTACATTTTGCATCTCTTGTGGTGTCAAATCCAAGAAGCTTTCAATCAAATCACCATCGATAAAGTTGACAGCTTTGTCACGTATATCACGAACGTCAATATTTCGCCAGCTAAAAGAAAAAGCATATGAGCATCACTTTTCCATATCAAACCACAAATCCATAATACATACTCTGTATGGCTTAAATGACCAATGCTCGGTACCACCTTGACGAGGTTGCTTTGCATTTGTAGTAAGAGCTTGAAGCGTTCTCCTGATAAATCTGCTAGCACGCCGATGGATCCATTAGCTGTGCAAAAGATAAGAGAGGGTGCCACTGGCCGAGTGTCTGGATCAGGTGGATTGGTAGCCAAAGAACCAAATCGAAAACTATGAATGCGTTCACCAAAGTGCCACTGCCCGACAATGTCAAGACGATCTTCTACTTGATCCATGTTGGTGGTGTTGGCGCTGCCATTCGCCCCAGGGATAGCTCTTTCTCCTCCTCCTCCTTCTTCCTCGACCTTGGTCGTTGTGTGCTTGTAGACAAATAAATGGCCACTTTCCTCAGCTGCAAGATAGAGATCATCGCCTAATGCTTCAACAGCCGTTATCTCTTTGGGTTGCTTGTCGTGAGCCACAGCTTCAATAGTTTGCTTTTGTGGGTTGTATCGCATTGCCACCACAGCACGTGCCATATCACCAATCACAATCATGTTGCCATGTGTTGCAATAGATTCACAAATAGATGGAATGGGACAAGAGCATACAAGTGCTAGATGACCACGTCCGCTTACTTCGAGCTCCCACCGGAACAATTGTATCTAGTACATCACAAGTCAGCATCACCATCAAATGGATATCCCTTTTTTCCCTATACCTTTTGTGAGACGCTTGCCAGAAGCTTTCCTTGAAACAATCGCAAATTGTCGGCAATACCATCCACCTTGAGTTGGCTCACAAATTCCAATTTACGATCGGCTGTAATGCGATACACCACCAGCCTTCCAATAGCATCTCGCTCGTATGGATCATTGGTATACCCTGTAGCGAGCACATAGTACTCATCTCCATCATTGTCGAAAACAGCATTGACCACTGACATGATCCTCTCGTGGTTCTTGACATAGATCCGATCGATTACTAAAAAGTTCAATGTGAGCTTCATGTTGACTTTAAAAAAACCAGCCAACGCATATCCTTACATTTGAATGTTTGATCATCGTGTACTTCAAAGGCACTGGTGGTGGCATTGGGTGACTCGTACTTCCTTGCAATCAGACGTGATGTGATAACGCCAAATGTCTTTGATGATTCTTGATACACGATCCTGCTTTGGGTATCTCGGGTGCCAATCTTGGTAATGTGCAGCTTTTGGATCTCCTCCATTTGGCCAATAACCAATCCATCTTTGGTCGTCAATGCAACGGCGTCGGGAAATGAAGAGCTGTTGAACGAGGTAACACAACGCACGTCCTGTGCATGACATACATATATGTTTAGTCACCCATGCTCTCATCATTTCTTACTCCAATGTTACCTTCAAGTTGACGTTAGAGTAGATAAGCTTTTGATTGCGACTGTGGATGACACTTGGCTTGTCGGATGCGGCAAAGACGTGTGTGGTGTCGTTGGATGAAAAGGTACCCAGGGCAATAGGCATTTTACCCAAAAACGAACGTTTCTTGTCCCATAATCGCCCTTCACGGGTGTCAAGCTTAAAGTTGTAGAATTGACCATCACCTATGCAAAGAATGAGTTGATGGATCAACGCATACCGTAATTTACAACATACCAAGAGCAACCAAAAGATAAGAGATGTCCTCAAATTTGGCCATTAGAATAGAACGAGGCATAGCTGTACCAGCCAGTATTTCCTCGGCCACCACTTGCATTGTTGGTAGGGATAAAAGACGAACCCCAACCTGCTGCCACACACCAATCGCCACGACCGATGTTTTTTGCGGGCTTGACGTATCCAGCGGGGTAATGTCGATACATGAAATCTCATCATTGAGCTGCGTGTCTCTATAAAGATGTCTTAGCATAATAAAGGGCTATTGCGTATATATCTCAACGAACCCTGTCTCCATGATACGATGATCTTGAACCTCCAGCACAAAAAGTCGACCATGGCCTGTTGATAAGACGCACTGCGTTGGATTCAAACTTGCCACCGTAATTTGTGCACCATCCTTTGGTATCCATTCATCCAGCAAATTTCCATGTACACCTGTCTCCATCAATCGCACGCTTTGATCCGTGACTTGAATGATAAAGTTGCCCACAACATTGCCTGCTGCTAGTGTACGTCGCGAAATGTCAAAGCTTGCATATGGGTGTATCTGGCTCATCTCATAGTCTCGCAGCTGCAATATACTCGTTTGGTTGATAAAGGAAAACACAATCATGTCATCGTGGCTGTTTATGTCAAAGGTTAGAAGTCTCATTTCAATCCAAGCGATATAGGTCACGTACCTGGAATCAAATGCTGGTCTTAGCGACCATATCCCTTTCACGCCCGTAATATCAATAGCAGCCAGCTCATTCAATCCAACGCCATTGCGAATAATCCTTAATGAACTATCTTGACCAGCTCCTGAACATGTCACCAATTGTGCTTGCCCCTATTCATAAGAGAAATGAGGAAAATGCCATCCCATGCCATCCCCATGCCATGCTTACCTGCTTATCCAAATCCACCACACAAAAATCAGGAATGGGCGCCAAGTTAGGGAACTCTTCCATGACTTCGAGGATATCGTCTGCAGAATTGGTTTGGCTGCTGTTGATATGCACCAGCTGAGAATCACCAACGTGTGAACCCACAAACACGACATCATTGTCAAGATACGCTAAGCATATTGGTGCCGAAGTCTACCAACCATTGAATGAGTTGACAGGTCCCTCATCTTTCCAATTCTCTATCTTACCTGGCCAAGCCGTATAAAGTTGATCTCATCCACACCATCGTCGATCACCTTGAGCGTGAGAAGATACAAATGGCCCATGGTCCGATCACCCAGCAAAAACCGTGTTCCTTCCCGATTAATCATAGTGTAGCTGTGTACATGAGAAGGAAGGTCCATGTTAATGGAAGAAGAAGATCCATACCTTGTATGACCACTTACCAATTGATGCTACAATTGCGTATACCAACAGCCTTTGGATTATGATCCTTCTTGAGATAGCGAATGGTTGTTTCACCGATCAGTAATACACCACCGATGGGGGATGGGACAGCGATCAAAAGATTGTCATTCTCATCGGCACGCAGTTGTGATATCAAGAGTTGATCTGGGAAGAATTCGCCTGATCGTGTGTGAAGTACAAAGGTTTGCAGGAAACGTTCCCGATCTGGATCGTCGTACAATACTGCAAGTGTTGGTTCCTTTGCATCATGCAAAAACACCATGCTCACCAACTTTTTTTCACCGAGTCTATTGTTATCCATCCAATAAGCATCTCACACACACTTGGATCCAATTCATTGTGTACTTACCCAAGATTGATTTGGTTGGATGGTTCAGGTCGTTGATAATGAGTTGATGATTTGCGTCGAGTCTCTCTCGTTTTCAATGAGCTTCTGCGAGTTGAATATCCCTCACGTGCTTGGATTTGTGTGAAAGCGTCGTGCGTTAAGACTGATATCATGCGTTCATGTAGACCAATAGCAAAATAACGACTTGTCGGATCAAGTAAGCCGAACATGCGATTCGACCAAAGATGTGGTGGCCCTGTTGGTCCAATCTCGCCGTTTGCTTCAGTGATGATTTGCTGCGTGCGTTCAGAGTAGGACAAGATGCAAAACATGCGTCGACTGGTGAGCACAAATAAGGATGCCTTGTCTCGTCCCTGCAAAACAAAGAAGAGGTGAGTACGCTTTACAGGAACACACACACACACACACGCACGCGTGCAAGCAACTTACACGAGGCTTGTATAGATCGAGAGCTCGAATCGTGCCATAGATACTGAATTCAAGCGTAGGCTTCAAGCCATCTGGTGTCAATGTATAGATCTCGATGCGTGTTCCTTTGCTGTCATGTGGATCAATAAAAGAGCTGTTCTTACTGAATCGCGCGTATATCGCTTACCCAAGGATAAGATTAACATCGGTGCTAGCAGTGAATGGACCCTTGACTGTAAAGTGCGTAGCCGTTGGTTTTTGTGCTGTGACAACGTACTTGTAACAGGTCATGCCGAGAGGGGGTTGGGTGGGGGCTGTTAGACTTGGACAAAGAGGCGATCCAAGTTGAACGTGTAGAAGACAAAGGGATACAACCACCTTCTTCCGCCCTGTGCTGGTGCTGGAATTCAAATGGGCCTTATTACACTTCCATAGCTCTGCTGCCTACTACAACAATGGACGATATCATCCATTGTGCTAATGGCCATTACTACTACTACTACAACAACAACGTGTCTCCTTCTTGCATATGGCTGTGCCACATAGGATCATACTCTATCTCTTCCTTTTTAGAAAAGTTTCATCCACATAGATGGGTTCCCATACAATGCATCAATAAAATGATGGATCATCCATATTCACACGGACCATTACAAGTTTCATGCGTGTGCTATGTGTATCTCGTGGTTGCATTTGTTGATAATAGGATTTCAATACCAATCATCACGCCCCACGAAAAAGCGAATGCCGTACAAGACTTCTTGATACAGTATCTCCTCTTGTTTCTTTATCATCCATCATCACGCGGAGCTAGCAGCCAATGCCGTACAATGGCCGTACAAACGCCGTACAAAGATTCTTGGTCTCTCTAGCTCTCTCTCTATATCACGCGCTTATGCATTCTACGCCGTACAAAACCGTGTAAGGCCGTACAAAGAAAACATGATCTTGCCATGTTGAGTAGAACCCCAAAACGGATGGGTAAACTTTTCATGATGGATGAGATCTTCGGTTTGCTGAAGGACAATCATGATAAAATGTATCACACCCAATGTGTTGCTCAAGGTGGGAAACGATTGGTGAATGCTTGAGGCACATATGAGTCGTGTCAAAAAGAAGGGGACACAAAAAAGGGGAGCACGGGCTAAATGCTATTACTGCTGCTGCTGTGAATACGGCCGATCAATAGCACAACAGGGCCTTGTGGTGGTGGGATATGTGTGTGTGCGTGCGTGTGTGTGCCGAGGATTGCTTACTGTACACTAGTGCACAACCTACACAAAAATGGCAACTTTCGAAAGAGATGTGACACATGGATCTAATTTACTACCAATTCCTCTTCCGGGATTCGCATATTTTTACACGAGACACTGCAATTACAACTTGTTTGGGACCATAACTATAATGCATTAAACAAAACAGGAATATACATACACTCTTCGTTTTCCCATGGCCATTGTGTTGTTTCCTCTATCACTCATGGATGTATGAATGATGAATGGCAATAATGAGCAAAGCCCGCCGCCCGTGTGTGTGTGCGCGCTTGTGTGGGGATGGCGCCATCCCCACGGTTGTGGTTAGCGGAATCTAAATCCGCATGATCAATCGTTTACGAAGATTGCGCAATGCAAGAGCATCATCTTCCTACTCGCCGGGACGAAAATACACAGTCATCACGCAACCATCACGCAATGGAATGCATACACACACTCTCACACACATGCACACACACACATAAACATACGCGTTATCTATATAAACCCCCTATCATGATTGCAACATCCACATCTTCATTCATCTTCATCACTTTATTACAATAATGTCTGCCGCTGTTGCCAATACCACTGGTGCTACTCCTAGCAACAACAACTGGAGAGGCTTTTCCACCACTGAAACCAACGTCATTGAAGCCAAATTCCCTGACAGGATCGAAGGCCCCTCAGCATGGGATGGCAAAGAACTTGAGAAGCAACCTGAAAAGTGGATCTACCATGTCACCCCTGAAGACATTGCCGACATTGATAAGGCACTCAAGCATTTCAAGTCACTTGACCTTCCCTTGGTATGTAAACTATCTTTTACCCATCACCCAACAAAGTGCTAATTGATAATCATAATAGACCGAGATTGCACCATCCAACTTTCCATTGACCACATTTGCTGACGTGATCAAGAAACAACGTTCTCAGCTATTTGACACGCTTGGCTTTGGCTTGATCCGTGGATTCCCTATCCTTGATTACGAACGTAAAGACCAGGCTATCATTTTTATGGGCATTGGGTCTTATATTGGTATGTAAAAAGATAACATGATTTAACGTGTTTGATATGCTAAACATCCTTTTACAGGTAAACGCAAACAACAAAATGGCAAAGGCCATGTGCTTGGCCATGTCAAGGATCTCACCTATGGATCAACCACCAAGAGCGTCTATGATGCAGAATCACCTACGACCCGTATTTATGCTACTCGTAAAGCCCAACCTTTCCATGTGGATGGTACCGATGTTGTTGGACTCTTGTGCTTGAACGAAGGTTACGAAGGTGGTGAAAGTTCCTTGATTTCATCTCACACGGTGTATAATCGCTTGCAAGAATTGCGACCCGACATTGTGGAGCTCTTAAAAGAACCATGGCTGTGGGATCGCAAGGATGAGCATGGACCCGGAGAAGCTCCTTACATTGCTGCTGCGCCGCTTACTTACTTTAAGAATCGCCTTTTCACATTCTGGGGCCCACACTTTTTCGAAACCATGAGACGATTCCCTGAAGTGACGATTGATGAACGCAAATTCGAAGCTATGAGATACATCCAAGAATTGTGTGAACGTGAATCCCTCAACATGTGGCTCAAGGTCGGCGATATGCAATGGGTCCAAAATTATCAAATCTTGCATGCACGAGGCGCTTACAGAGATCAACCCGGTGCTACCCGTCACTTGTTACGTTTGTGGTTGCTCGTGGATCCAGAACAAGTTGGCTGGGAAATGCCATTCAAAAAGGGCGACTATGACTTTGGCTATGCCAACCACACCGTTCCTCTGGAGGCCGAGTAAAAACATGCTCATGATGGCTTCTTGTAACAATATCATCATCGTTTATTCCTTATTGCTTCTTCTTTAGTACCTCTTTTCATTCCCTATTTTCCCTTGCCTATTGTATACATCCTCTATTTTGTCACATCCCACCCATCAGTGGCATCGTACGTATTCCTGTATAGCTTCCCAACTTTTTACGTCTTTTAAAAATACATCCATTATTCGCACATACTTTGATGATCATGAACCAGGATTTGCTTTATTATGAGTGGTTCAGCAATTAACGAGGAAAGGGATGTCTTGAGCTACTATAATAACCCACCCATCTTAAAAATGTACAAAAGGAGATTTTGTCACGAGACGACTACGTCTGACGACGAATTTCTCCTGCTACTGCATAACCTAACGTAACTCAAATGCAGCTTCATGTGTCAGTGAGCTACATGCAGCAGCATACCATATGCTGCAGATGACATTGATGCATTACCATAGCTCATGTTGCCTTGATACTATGGGGTCATTCGATGATCGCATGTGCCATGTTAATAACCCACTTTTAGAACGGCGGAGATATCGATTTGGAATAAAGCACTAAGGTGCAAGGAAAACAACAACTGACAACATAGCTAACTTGCCGCTGCAATGCGTTCAACACAAAAAAGGAGTCAAGTAAACGCCCGCTGCAGCTATACGCACAGGCACGTGATCATTGGAAAGCCTTTTCCAAGTACTCATTTTTATTGTGATCGGCAATGATTTTTTTGGCTGAGACCCCTATATACAATGTGTCTCTCTCCCTTGAGGATAAAATGTGGTTCAATCATTAATCGATATTTCTCTTCTCCTCAATCTTTTACACCCCTTTTCATCCCTACCCAATCCCCTCATTTTCACACACTTACTCTCTCTCACTCATTTTTTTCTACCCCTGCACATTGGCAACCTGTCACCGGGACACCTTGAACCCCCACCATCGTCGACAGCATGGCAAATGCGCGCCACCATAAGGAAAACAGAGGTATCGATGATACATCTTGTACCAAGCCTATGGATGAAAATCCATTGTAGGGTGCTTCATTTAGGCCAATAAACGTGGGCATGTTGTAATAAAATGGCGATGAATGATAAAGGGCATCATAAACAGCCTAATAACCAGTTGATGACTTCATTGCGGATACCATAAAAAGATTTGCGGAGAATATGTGAAGGCGCGCGGCATGATAATGTGTGTATTATTGCTTTATAAACCAATTCTGCTCATCACTCTTTTCTTTTCTTTTCTTTATACAACGTACATCCATTTTCTATATATACATGCTATCATCGCCAAGAATGAACGGAGCAACTGCTAATGGTCACTATGACGACAATGACGGTCTTTTGCGTGACATGTCAACCAACACACTCATGAACCGGGAGCAGCAACTACGTGACGAGATTGCCCGATTGCGACGTGAAGAACAAGAGCTGCGTGAAAAAGATCTGTGGATCAAGCAAAACATTGTAGCCGTGAGGGAAAAGATGATGATGGTTTCAGACAGACGTTAATAGTAGACTTTTCATTGTGTTGTTGCCTCTTTGTTTTATTCCCCCCTTTTATTGTGATTGTCAACAACCATTTCTTTATCGTCCTATCAAGAAGAAAAACGTTTGGGTCGTCTGGAGCTGCAGGATTTCCCTGTAATGTATTGTTGGCAGGATGGATGGCATTGGTATTGACATGCTGATGATGAAAGGAATTTGCATAACACATAACATACCATGGGAAAAGGTGGGCGTGGATGATATAGATCATTGAACATTGTGAGTTTGGGGTTTGCCTTTTTGCTCCTCTCTTTCACACACACTCTCTCTCTTTTACATCTCCTTTTCACAATCCCTCATTTCTCGTATCCCCTTCTTCTCCTTCACCTCCATCCCTTGGTGCATAAAAGAGATATTTACCTCGGCATACCAATGCACGTGGACCCCATAGTTTGTCCTGACAGTATTCACATTTGCCTGTTGACACTTTAACATGTTCAAACTCATGGGCATCATCCTGTTGTTAGTGAACAAAGGTACGTCATGATTAGCTATCTACGTAATGCATTCCTTTTTCACTTTTCCACTTGCCTTCAATGGTAATCGTTTTATCCGGGTTTCCATCTGTTCCATCGCTCGTTCAAGTTCTAAAGTGGCGGATTTCTTGTTTGTTGATTGTTGTTTGTTGGGCTATTGAGAGAGCGAGAGAGCATGTTAAAATAGGATGATCCACCACACACACACGCACACAACAAATAGAAGGCTGACCTGATATGAGAATCCAATAAAGGGCAGGTGATTGATATGGTCAACACCAGTTGCATTCTTCCATATTATGTCATCATGATCGTTGTTGTTGTTGTCGTCATCCAATACAGAAAAGTTCGATGTGTCGTCAGGAGAAGCAAGCGTTGGTCGAAATGGTGGAGTGCTTTTGCGTAAATGGTCCCAATCGATGCCATTGAAGAAGGGATGTGCCTTGATTTCCTCTACTTTTTTGGGTCTCGTCTCACGTTTCGACAACAACCTATCCTCGAACAACACACGTCAATCCACGTCAAGCAATATCATATGACCGATAATAGACATTTTTACCTGAGAATGAGATCACGACATGCAGGGGACACGGGACGTGGAAATTCGATTGATTTGTGGAACATGATGTTGAGATAGGTGTCTTTTTCACTCTTGTCGCTGTGAAAGGGTGGATTTTGTTGCAAAGCTTCATATAATACGATGCCCACAGACCACCAATCGACCTCTGTACCATACGTTGATGCACATTGTAACACCTCGGGTGACACATAATCGCAAGTGCCGACGGGTAAGAGCATTTCTTTGTTGCTGTTGTTGTTGCTACTGGTGCTGGTGACACTCTTCATTGCAATACAAGATCCAAAGTCAGCGAGTTTTACGTGGCCCGTGCTGTCAATCAAGATGTTTTGTGGTTTAATGTCGCGATGGAGGTAACCTAGTTGATGCAGGCTATCAACAGCAAGGATGGTCTCGGCGATGTAAAAGCGCGCTTCCTTTTCATTCAAGCACAATGTCTCTTTACGATCCAGTACGCTAAATAGATCACCACCACCAGCGTATTCCATGACAAGATATAGATGATCATCGTCTTGAAAGGCAGCATGTAAACTTGGGATCCATTCAGTGTTAGCTTGTGATAATACGGTCCGCTCCTCCATAAAAGATGCACGCTATTATATGGCATTCTCGGCTGTTGTGAGTTGATATGGATGATGATGGTGAAAAGAAAAGAAGAGGAAGCAGTACCTCGCGTTGTGCAAGCATATGGCGTTTGTTCAATGTTTTCATGGCGTAAATCTGGTTATCCAGTCGACTGCGGACGATCGATACCTTGTGGTTCCTTACATATCAGCAACGCGAAGATTATAGTAGGGTGCCATGTTTCATTACCTGTGCAAATTGACCTCTTGCCAAGGGACGTATATGTTCAAAATCATCCTTGTTGATTCGTAACCGAGCAATATCATTGTAGATGGGTTCAACTTTTTGGATGTGTTCATTCCATTAGTTTTTGGTTACAAGGAATTAAAAGATCCGATGAACGTACATTGTTTCAAAAAGGATGGTATTTCTGGAAGAGCTTTGGCGTCTTTGTAGATAGCAACGATACAATCCAATAGAGCGTTTGAATGAGAATGAAGGAGTTGATCAAGTTGCTGCTGTGCGGAGGTTTTCGGAGTGGAGAGCATGATGGTGGTTCGTGTGTCAATATATGCAACAACTGGGGGAGGAGGTGGAGAAGAAGAAAAAGAGAAGAGGGGGAATTGTGTGTGTGTTTATGCAACGAGGATGTATGGCCAAGTGTGAAAAAGAGGATGGATGAGGCAACAGCAATGATAGGTTTGGACCTGGAAAACATTCTCCTTTCTTGGATACTCTGGATTCTAATCTTCCGATGCGGATGTTGAGGATGAAGATGATGTTCACGCAGCAACAGCACCCAGCAGCAGGAAATATCCATCCTCCGCTCTCACTTTTACACCCCTTGTTCCTACTCTTTTGAACTTGTAATGTCAACTGGCAACAGTGCAACTCCCGATCAACGATACACACGACTCGAAAAGCTGGGCGAAGGCACCTATGCAACCGTCTACAAGGGGAAAAGCCGTCTCAGTGGTGAACTTGTTGCGCTCAAAGAAATCCACCTGGACCCAGAAGAAGGCGCTCCATCGACAGCCATTCGAGAGATTTCGCTCATGAAAGAACTCAAGCATCCCAATATCTTACGACTCTTGGACGTCATTCACACTGAAGGGAAGCTCATTCTCATTTTCGAGTACATGGATCAGGACCTTAAGAAGTACATGGATGCCACAGCACGGTCGTCAGGTGGCAGCAACGGTGTTGGCGGTGGACATCAGCATACAACAGCATTGGACCCTGCTGTCATCAAATCATTGATGTATCAACTATTGAAAGGCATCGCGTATTGCCATGATAACAGGGTGTTACATCGCGACTTGAAACCACAGAATCTATTGATGAGCAAACGACTTGATTTGAAGCTAGGCGACTTTGGATTGGCACGTGCATTTGGTATCCCTGTCAACACCTTTTCGAATGAAGTGGTGACCTTATGGTATCGAGCACCGGATGTCTTGTTGGGATCACGCATGTATTCAACTTCGATTGATATCTGGTCGGCTGGATGCATCATGGCTGAAATGTATACGGGTCGTCCTCTCTTTCCTGGCACTACCAACGAGGACCAATTGCAAAAGATCTTCCGTATGATGGGTACGCCAACAGAACAATCATGGCCAGGTGTATCTCAATTACCAGAATACAAGCCCAATCAACCTATCTATCCAGCTCAACGATTGAACACCATCCTTCCCACCGTCGATGCATGTGCTATTGATCTCCTCACTCGTATGCTGCAATACCAACCTCAACTCAGGATATCCGCCAAAGATGCTCTCAATCATCCATACTTTAACGAAGTCAGATACATGCAATAGTAGTATAGCTGTTTATGGACAAAACAAATGAAGAATACGCTTTATTACGATAACAATGCCAAGTAAGAGAGTACGCTAGGGGGGTTGTGTGGGGGAATATGCAACAAATGAAAGAGGAAAACAAAGAAGAAACGATGAATAGTGGGGGTTGTTGTTGTTGTTGTTGTTACTTTTGCAAGCCATCCCAATCCACAAAGAGTTCATCGAAAGCATTGTTGCTTGGTGGACTATTCCCGGTACTGTGTTCGTCATCGGATGAAGAAGAAAATGAGAGCATAGGCGATGGCATTAATTGTTCTTGTGGTGTTGGAATAGCCTCCGCTGCAGGGAAAAGGAGATACATCATTACGCATAAACAGGTCCATCCATTCATCCATCGACAGCAAAAAAATTACTCCATTGGGTGGGAAGATGGGGTTTGTAAGCCTTGGGGTGGGGTTTCTCAATTATCACGTTATGCTGCGGTGGATGCTGTTGTTGCTGTTGCTGCGGTTGTTGCTGTATTCCTCTTTGCGATCCGTGCTGAATCGCAAAAGCCATCCAAACCAAAGGGCAATTTGCTCAACGCCATGAGCTGTGCACTCATCAATTGTAGCTGTGCTTCAAGGAACTGATTTCGTTGCGACAACTGATCGTTTTCTTCTTTTAGACGCTTGTTGCTTTTCTCGAGGTCCGTAACATAGCGACGCTTTCTGTCCCTTGATTCTTGGGCCGCAGCTCGATTACGCAAAATTCTTTCCTTGGTCTTTTGGTCCTTATCGTCAAGCGTAAGCTTCATTTTCTTTCGGCTGACGTTGGTAATATCGGTTGATGACATGGTTCCCACCCAATGGAGTAAAAATAGTTGAAAAATAAAGAGAAAACCAAAGAATTCCAAGCAACAAAGCAAAGTGCAATCTTTATGTTCATTGGCAGCCAATCACAATGGAACACGATCCGAGGAAGATGCCGATATTTTTGGAAACCCATGGATGGCTGGGCGCTGGTATTCATTGTCCCGCGGATTAATACTTCGAGACCACCCCCCCTTCAATGCCCCACACTCAAACATCACATTTAGACAGCTCCGCTCACATGAAGACCTTCCGGTATCTCCCGTCATCAACCTCATTCATATAAAAGCCGACAACTTTGATTCCATGCCTCTTTGAACAACCCATAATTTCTCTTTAAACAACATTCACCCTTCTCTCTCTATGTCAATATGTGGAACAACAAGCGATCTGCCCCTGCTACACCATTTGCTCGTCAATTATCACCTCGTCAGGTAGCCTCCAAGGCCCATTCCTTAGCTTGCAAAAAGCTGGATCGAGACGATCGTCGCCGTAGACCACAATATCACATGCGTGAACGTGTCTTGCTATACAACACCATGTCAAGTGCAGACTCTTATCTCAACAAGCGCACTCCACGTTCAAATCGACGAGTCTTATCTGCTGAAGAAGATGATCTTGTTGGATACGATGAACAACCACAAAATCACCATCACAATAATCAGCATCATCCACCACATCATCATTCACCACTCTGTGACAATCCTATGACCGATGACGACGATGAAGAAGATGATGAAGACGTTGATGAGCCTCAAGAAATCAATAACACAATCATGACACCCCAAGATAACAAGCATGATAATGCGCAGGCGCACTCTTCATCATCATCTATACCCCCATATTCCGCCACTGCTATTGCTGATTGCCGGATTAATGATCTCTTTAATGCATACCATCCCCCAAGGCTCTCCTGCCTTTCTCCAGTCATCATTTAAAAAAAACCCTCCATCATTCACTCTCATCCCAAAACCTTGCATGTATCATAATGTCTCATTATTAAAACCAAAAACAATGAAGCTTTTTGCTTTACAATGCCGGCAAAGTCCAAGCCGGCTTTACCCGAAACATTCCGTTGGTCGTTAATGCATGTCGCAATAGTAGTCGAGATCATCATATGAAGAACAACAGGGTCGACGGAAGGGATTTCAAAAAAATACCGCGGATCCTAGATTCCGAGGTGTGAGCAAAAATAAGGAGTGGGTGTGAACGCAAAAACAGCGCATCGTGTAAATGTCCCATCACAGGCAGCAATGTGCTTGTTCATTAAACAAGCCTACTACACTTGTACACTCAATCCATTTTCTTTTTCTTGTTCACATTGACCCCTTTTTACTCATTGATGATGCCAAGAAGTGGTTGTCGTTGAATTATTGTTATTATAGTCTAGACCCAAACTGCTTGCTGCTGCTGTTGATGCAATGCAGCCATATGTTTCCCCTTGCAATCCAATATCGACATCAATTTGGTTTCGCTTTCACACCTCCGCATGTAAGAAATACATCTCATAATGTCCGATCTAGCCTATCGTGAAGAATATCAAACATTGCCAGTCGGGTGGGATCGGGGTGGTATGCACGCAGTGTGGTTCCTGCATATGGTCAAACATAAACGTCATTATTCTAATCCATTGATGCGATCCATGATAAGTATGATCTCCTAATCATGTTGTCATACAGGACCCATGATAAAAGAAAAAAGACCCCATTGAAATGTTTGATCCATCCATCGATCTATCTACAACATCATAGGCGTAAAGGAGTTGTCATTGTTGCAATTGGGATTCAAGCAACACAAACAAAGAAAATACAACGCCCCGATCCAACAAACCAAACTTGCGGTTGTTTTTTGTTTTTCCCATAACCTACCTAAAAGCAAAAAGAGCTGGCAATGCATTTGGTATATGCCGTGGAGGGGGTGGTTTGCATTACAATGGTAAAAGGCATCATTTGTTGAAAGCATAATGCATTATGGTGGCTTTTCCGAACAATAAATGACTTTTGCGATCCCACGCACAGATCGATGTTTCGTGTAACCAACCCCGTGGTTTCACAGACACAAATTTGCCACACCCGTGACGATAGAAATCTCAGACATATCACTGCCACATTAGCCGATCCCCAGCTTCTACTTGTGTCATGTGATGGTTGCCATGTTAAGCAACTCCATTCCCATTGCCATAGCAACAACCATAGCAACACCTCATTGTGTATGATAGCTGATATCGTTCATGATGTTGGATGTTGGCTAACGGCGGCACCATGGCCAACTGATCTTTAAAACATCAAACACATGTCGTCATGGCTACAAGGTCCGTCGTTCTCCGAAACATGTGCTAATGGAGCTCGGGCCACCAAATGACTTTTTTTTCTTCAAATGACGTCCTTGATTAAAACCCATTGATTGATGTATGCCGATAATCGGATATTCTTGCGTAATGGCCTTTTTGATCAAACTCGATCCATCGTTGTAAAGGATGGACCACATCCTCATGCTCGCATTCGGGTTCATTGCAAATTAGAGTTTTATACTTGCCCGTGAGTGCGCATGACAATCATCATCTGGTGGTTTACCAATGCAACGACAATGACAGAAGGGGTCACTATAGGCTGCATATGAAATGAAGGGCGATGAGACATTGCTCAATGGCTTGTTCCTGGTAACTCAAATGAAGATGGGATAGGATGCTTATGCCGTTCGATTGATGGTATGCGCCTTGACAAGAATGCTCAAGGGCTGGTCTTTGCCACCATCACACTTGATTGACAACCTTAATGCTAGCCCCAACTATTGAATTTTCCCAGCCTTTTACTGCCTCACTTTCCAAAGGCATCAAGAAATTACCATGTGACATGTCCGCCAGTGCCTGAAGCTTGTTGAGTATGCTTCAAGACACATCCAGACCATGATGAGCAAAGCCGTAAGTATGCATACCCATGCACATGACCCCCCATCGCCAATGAGCAATAATTACACACATGTGGTGTAACCATAACCTTCATAAAGGTTCTTCTTCGTGCTCAAGCTTCAGGTATATTTCACTTGCCTGAGAAAACATTGTATCTTTTGGAACAGCTCCTTTGATTGCAATTGGCATTTGCAGCCATGGTTTTAAACAACGCGAATAGAAGTATACAGCTGTAATGCAAGGCTGGTATCCCATGAGGAGTCATTTATGGGAAATCTATCTTGCCAATGCCTCAAACATTCATGTCAATAATGCACAGCAAATAAAAGAAAACGAGGCACTTTGCCAAATCTTGATTGCCGATAAATCTTGAAAGCCAAAATATGGCCGGGTCTATCAGCTTGCTTCTTATGCATAAAGACAAGCTCGCACTATAGGATATACAATCACTAAAACATCACTGCGTGTTCACCATCACATCACTTCCTTTCATCACCAAGCGCGGGGAATGTTCGTAGTCAGGGGAGGGAATCTAACATTGCGCTTATCTATTGTCGGTATTTCAACAAATGTACAAAAGTAGTATACAAAGAAAAGGGAGGCACAAGTAATAATAATGGGAATAGCAAGTAAAGAGAACCAATAAAGGAAGGACCAGCAAGAGGATGAGAAGGAGTGTAGCCAAAGGATTGGATTGGTCAGAGTGAAAATGTTGTTAGTATTCATAATAAACTTAATCCTTCATCATCAACTTACCTCGTATTGCATCAACTACGCTAACTCAGTGATGACTGATGGTGGCGATCTTGCAAATGTGCCTTTGTGACTACGGACAAGCATGAGGGCGGTTTACTTGATAGAACGCACCATACTCCCCGACAAAGACACAGACCACAGAAGAGAGCCAACAAGGCCTTGAGAGCAGAGAGAGAGCTTGAGAGAGAGAGCAGAGAGAGCTTGAGAGCTTGAGAGCTTGAGAGCTTGAGAGAGAGAGCAGAGAGAGCTTGAGAGAGAGAGAGAGCTTGAGAGAGAGAGAGAGAGCTTGAGAGAGAGAGAGAGAGCTTGAGAGAGAGAGAGAGAGAGAGAGAGAGAGAGAGAGAGAGAAAAGAAGAAAAAAGATAGTTAAAGAAGATTAAATTTGGGGATGATCAGCTTTTATACCATTTCTCAATGCCGCTATTGTATGACTCAACGTTTATTCCACCAGTAGGGAGACTCCCGAGAAAACAGTGGTGGAAAATGGCGTGCTCAATGAGACAACATTCCTTGGCGCCGATGCATGATCGCATTGGTTCGTTCGGCAGGAGATAAGGATGGCGTGTGTGTGATTGTTGGTGCATGAATCTCATCGACGTGCAGGAATTGACAATGCGGTCCACATAGCCACGTGTAACAAACAATAAAGAAAGCCGTTGGTCTCTCATCGACTTTCAATCAAAAGAGAACCCTTGGTACAATAACGCAAGAGCGTCGCATCGAATGCAAAAAATGAAGACGATTGATATAATGCGTGATGCACTAAGAGCAGAAAGGACCAAAAAAAGAAGCTGCGTCAAAATCTGCATCTCGTCTCAGATAGCCACGTGTTGAAGAAAAAACGGTATTGTTTATTCGTGAATGTATTGGTTCCCACAAAGAGATAATGGTCGTGTGCATAGGGGTCTTTGCATGATTGCTTTACTTTCCAAGCACCAAGGGATAAGGCGGTCGTATTATATTGACGCACGAACGCTTTGATCAGTGAGCAGGAGGGAAAGAACGCTTTGAGGACATTGCATGGCATACCAGAAGCAGAAAGGGGAATAGGCGAACATGAAAAAAACCCATCTTGCGGATCACATGGCCACGTGCAGGAGAAAAAAGTTGATTCTTCGTTATTGGTTCTGGAGCAAGAGATAAGGAAAGCATGTCATTGTTGATGCGTGAATTTCGCTACTCATGGAGTGCGATAGTTTGGGGGGCGTTCTGGATCCATTGCACGGGTTTATCTCGTGTATATGGTATGAAGGTGTATCATTGGCTCACGGGCAAGAGATGAGGGCGCCATGTCATTATTTACAGCTGTCGCATCTTTGGTTATAGCCCTGGTCTCGTTACAAGCACGCCGTAAAGCTGTTTCAAAGACTTCTTACGGCTCCTCCATTGTTCTCGAACCCCAAAAACATTAACGACGGCAATTATTTGTTGATACGTGAGCACCATTTGATGGACATTGCTGTCGTGCATTACCTGAGCATGCTTTTGGAAAAGAACTACCCTGTCGGATTCCTCCAATTTCTTCATATCGCGAAGTTGTAGATTGGATATAGGTGCAACACATCGTTGTGGAGGTAGATTGCTGTTGAGAGCATCATTAAATGTCCTGGCTGATCTAATACGGTAAGAGTGGCCAATTCGCCACTCTTACCAAATATGGAATGGTGGCCCTTACCTTGACCATGCCGTGTCGTACGCGAAATGTCCCATGTATATTATATCCAGCTTTTACTACAAAGACCATATCCAGAAGAGCACAATGAGGTTTAGCTGGCTATGATCTCAACTTAAACGACGGCATATGGAGTAACCCTGTAGCAAAGTCTCCATAGTGCCTGGAAATTGGGATGTTGCAGCTGTTGCTTTGGTCAGCTTTGCTTATGCTTGTTCGCTCTTATCAGGTTCATGGTGAACTCAGAGGCTTCATCCTATGTTTGTTGACAATAAATGCATAAGCTTAAGCAAGAATGGCTATTGGTCTAATCCTTCTTCCCTTTTGTCCACGACAAAGATAAACCCCTCAAAATACAATGTCAATCTTTTAATAACGGTTAAAGGTAATTTGATTGTCACTCAAAAGGTATCATTAAATGCTGTAACCAGGCTAGCAAGTGTACTAAATTCATGTCAAATTATCTTCGCCAGGACTGAGCTGGTCTCAAATTAAGTCTCAGTTCTGGTCTCACAGTGTAGATAAAATAGCTTATTTTGACACGGCAAATCACTTTTATTCCATGTTCTCAACGCACGTCTCTTTTGGTACTTTCGAACCGTTACTCATCATTGACTCAATAACACCGCTTGAAGTATCATTATCTAGCAAATGAATAAGATCAACTCCACAATAAATGGCAGCTTTTACGATGACTAGGGTACAAATCAAGGAGCCAAGTGTAGATGTGAAAGGAACATACAAAAAACAATGGTAAAGAAAAGAGGGAACAGCATTGTATTATAAACAAATAAGATACAACATATATAAAAAGAGCACAGACAAAGAACGAAAAAAGGGGAAGAGTTACAAGATGGTGACAGTTATCGCTTTGGATTTCGTACTTCCCGTAAACGTATGTGCGCTCCTTTGGTGATATGATGGAAGAAAGAAAAGTATGGCGACAGCATCCTTGTTTATATGTGCATGGCGGACGGGATCACGAAGAACGGTAGGTGTCTGTTGGGGATAGTTGACGAGCTGATAGATCGTGAGAGCTCTCGTTGTTGGTGTGATTGATTGTCCATGCATAAATCAGGTATGAGGTGAACAAGGCACAATCCATCCCCATCAAACAATGTCATCCACCGGCTATCACGGATCCTCTGCTGTGCTCAAAATCCACAAAGTAAGACCTTGTTCGAGAATATGTACTTGGGTGAGTGGTCGTTCCAGAAAGGAAAGTCGATGGCACCTTCATTGAAAAACATAGTACACACGCGTGAATGTTCCGCACCATGAGGATCATATAACAACCTCCCCACCTTCTTAGTGTCCAGGATCATCGTTGTTCCCATCCATCCTCTCCTAAGGCTCTTGAAGCGTGCCTTCCCAAATCCTCGAATGGTAGCCGCCAGCTTGTCACGAGAAAAGCGCCTTGTTGTGCATTGACGGTGTCAAACAGTCAAAAGGTAAGGTTGCCGATGATGCACAAAGACACAGTGGATGATCAAAAGCCTATTCAATAGTAGCATTACTCATTATTACAATAAACCCTTCTTCACTGTTTTCATTGCACTTGCCTTTTTCATATGCATGAAGACCCTTGTTGTTGGTTACTGTAACCGAAGACCAAGTTGTAGAGTAGTTAAGCCCCAAAAAGCCAACCGAGCCAACGTCTTTGAGATCAGTCTCGCAATCTATACAAGCCAACATGTCAATGGAACAAGCTCTGCTGCTACATGGGGGCATTGAATGTACCTGGTGCACCAAACGTGGAGCGCATAATAACGAAGAACGAGAGCAACGGTGTCACCATGACTACAAGCACCCACTGCACTCCCTGACAATGCATGTTCAGAACTACATTAATACCTCACTGCCAACAAGAGCACTTTTTTATAATACATTACCTTGATCGAGACGTCGTGAATGGAATAAGGAAAGGTGGGAGAAAAAGAAGAGAAGCGTTGTCTCAAGTCGTGCTGCTGTCCCCCAAGTTTAAATCCCCTGCTGCTATTACACTGAGGCCATTCAATGACCCCACACACACCATCCACCCATCATGAACATCACCCTCACGATAGACAATAGGTACACGCAAATAAAAGAAATGATCCTGACGTATAGCAAAAGGGTGTGTGCCATTTTACACTTTACATGATAATGATGATGATCCAACAACAGCCATTACCTTACTACCAGGTTAGCTCGAATCATGAAAGTTGAATGATGGGGATGATGGGCTGGAGTAGGACAATCGTTCGTATGCATTGGATTGGACAACAATGGAGAATGGAAGGAATGGGCTATTAGCCGGCTGTTTACAAATAACTTACCAATTTGATTCTTCTGATATCGGATGATGTTTCTGTGTTTGAGCGTTTTTCAGTCAAATCTCATCGGATCAAGAAAGTTGAAGGATGGGCATGCTGGGCTGGAGCAGGAGAATCGTTCGTATGCATTGGATTGGACAACAAAGGTGAATGGGAGGACTAGGTTATTAGCTGGCATTTTGAACTCTTCCTAAATAGTGTACAAGAATCATGCATCGCCTGTGCTGAATGACTCAAGTTACACAAACACGCCTTCTGCATCTTTGGCTCTATTGTAGTAATACTACTTTACAATGAACAAAGACCATCTTTCATATACCATCACGCTTACAGCATATGTAAAACATAAAGGTACCTGTATCTCCAAACTTTACAATCAAACGTGGGCTCTTTAATAGATCAACGTGGCCTCGTCGGGGTCAAAGGAATCTTGTGTCAAAGTATGAAGTTCATGGTGGGCAATCCCAGATTTCACAATGTCGCTACCAGCCAAACTGAATCTGGGGGTCAACCTCTTCGAAGACGACGACCAAAAAATATTTTTTGGGCTGTTTGCGACATTGAACGCGAAACTTGGACACAAGGTGCTGTTGGCCAAGCCGAGCACATTGCTCTAATAAAAACCACACGTTTCATTGTAAAGTTTGGAGATACAGGCACGTTTATGTTTTACCTATGCTGTAAGCGTGATGGAGTTGCTTTTTCCTAGTGGATGGTGTCGGCTGCATTAACGGAAAGATGAAGAGCTGAGTGAATTGATACGTGGTGGTTACACATGCATCGTTGACAGGCTGACTGCATAAATGGGATGATAGTTGCTTTTACAGATGTCTTGGCAAAGCCTAAGCCTGACGATTTGAGATACACCGATGGCCATTCTCTCTACTGCCGTCAACCAAAGTAAAATCACCCGGCTGGGCGACCTTATCTTGCAACGGATAGAACAATTTTACGTCCCCTCACTCTTCATGCACTTTCACACAAGCTATGTACTTTCGGATGCACTAATCAACATGGCTCGTCAACCATACCATGCTTACCTCTAACAATTTTCAGCTTTTGCTATCATAAGCGCTTCCATCGTCTTATATATGACCTTGTTTGTATGATACGGGACCTTGAAGACAACCAAAATCATTGCTACTCTCACTCCTTTGGCACAAGATACTCTCGGATCCACTGGTCATACACTAAGGTTAACTCCAAAAAGATTCCACAATATTGGCTACATCATGGGGGAAGGATCCATCATGCACCCTCCACCTGCAGCATTGACCTTTCAAGTCTTGCCTCTCATAGGAGGCGTGATGGTCTTGTTGTGAGCACCAATTTCCGGATGATGCATAATTTGAAATAATGAGCCAAGAGCTGCATACATTACCAAATTAAGGCAGGTGGCAATACGCACCCATAATCAAACAACAATGACATTGACCAAGTATCACAAATCACTTTTTGTACTCATACCTACATGGCTAATACAAGGAGGATTGGCATTACCATCAAGCTATCTATTATACCTGTATTGTGGTATATGTACAATCTACGTGTTCAAGTACTGCAAGCAGCAGCATGTTATCAACGACCGAAACCAACCTGGCATTGGGATTTGAGAGTGAGACAGCCGCAGAGGCGGCGCCCTTTTGTTCATTTTCCTTCCCATTGGTTCCTCATCATTTCATATGGATTGAGCACAATATCAAAGCACCCTCTTATAGACCAATGTTTATACTAATGCAATGAACGATGATCTTTATACAACATGAATAGGGGTATCGCTAATGTACTGGAGTGGGTGGTGAAAGTGGTGTAATAACATGATAGGCACAGGTAACCACTAGCAAGCAGCCTGGCTCCGAGAATTTTTTATCGGACAGCGAGCTTTTTTCACCCACCTCCGCTTGTTGCACTACTTCCTCGATTATACAATGGCCAGCAATTTAGTAGAGAAGAAGCGTAAGCGCACTCACCAAACCAAGGCCAACAAGAAGAAGCAGCAGGTCGACAAGGGAAAACCCAAGCAAGTTGAGGAGGAAGCAGCCGAGATTGCCGACGAAGGTGAAGAGATCGTAGCCGAAGAACAAGATCAGGAGGAGATCGATGACAGCAACGACAAAGAGAGCTCTGAATCCCCTTCAGCAAACGAGAATGAGACGACATTGGAAGAAGGTATTGTCAATCAAGTGAGATCGAGGATCGTAGTGCTTATTGTGTATATACCTTTAGGAGACAAGGCCATTGATTTCAACTTTGAAAGCCTTGATATCAGTGACAAGACGAAGAATGGTATCAAGGAGATGGGTTTTACAAAGATGACTGAGGTGCAAGCTCGTACGATTCCACCCTTGATGGCTGGTCGTGATGTGTTGGGTGCTGCAAAGACTGGTTCGGGCAAGACTTTGGCCATGTTGATTCCTGCTATTGAAATGTTGTACAAGCTCAAGTTCAAGCCAAGAAATGGTAAAGTGGATAGTGATTACTTTCATGAGTATCCATTGATTAACGTTTTATGTGGATCATGATCAGGCACTGGTGTCATTGTGGTATCTCCTACTCGTGAGCTCGCATTGCAGATCTTTGGTGTCGCTCGTGAATTGATGAAGTATCACCAACACACATTCGGCATTGTTATTGGTGGTGCCAACAGAAGAGCCGAGGCTGATAAGCTTGTCAAGGGTGTCAACCTTCTTATTGCCACACCAGGTCGTCTTCTCGATCATTTGCAAAATACCCGTGGTTTCGTCTACAAGAATCTCAAAGCTTTGGTCATTGATGAAGCTGATCGTATCTTGGAAATCGGTTTCGAAGAGGAAATGCGCCAAATTGTCCGTATCTTGCCCAAGGAACGCCAAACGATGCTCTTCTCAGCTACACAAACGACCAAGGTTACCGATCTTGCCCGTATCTCGCTCAAAAAGGGACCAATGTATATCAACGTGGATGAGAAGAAGGATACATCGACTGCTGAAGGTTTAGAACAAGGCTATGTCGTGTGCGATTCCGATAAGCGTTTCCTATTGCTGTTCACCTTCTTGAGGAAGAACTCCAAAAAGAAGATCATTGTCTTCTTCTCCAGCTGCAACTCTGTCAAATACCACGCTGAATTGCTGAATTACATTGATGTGCCAGTGCTTGAATTGCACGTAAGTATATGAGGGGGAAGGTGATTTGATTCGAACAAATAGGCTAACATGGTATTGTCTTTGATAGGGTAAACAAAAGCAACAAAAACGTACGGCCACCTTTTTCGAGTTCTGCAATGCTGACAGGGGCATTTTGTTGTGCACGGATGTTGCTGCTCGTGGATTGGATATTCCTGCAGTTGATTGGATTGTACAATTTGACCCTCCAGATGATCCCCGTGATTACATTCATCGTGTCGGTCGAACAGCTCGTGCTGGTGGACAAGGCAAGAGTTTGTTGTTTTTGCTTCCAAGCGAGCTCGGCTTTTTGCGTTACCTCAAGAATGCCAAAGTTCCCCTTAACGAATATCAATTCCCCACCAACAAGATTGCCAATGTGCAGAGCCAGGTAATATCGAATGGAATCATGATGCTTTATGTTATCGTATGCTAACGTGTCATGTATAGCTTGAGAAGCTGGTGGAAAAGAATTACTACTTGAACCAATCTGCTCGCGATGGCTTCCGTTCTTATCTTCAAGCATATCAAGCATTCAGTCTCAAAAAGATCTTCAACGTCAACAGCCTCGATCTTGTCAAGGTCGGCAAATCGTTTGGTTTCAGCGTTCCTCCCAAAGTCAACCTTAGCATCCAAGCATCTAGAAAGTAATAATAAAGCATCCATCTTGTAATTCATACAGCGAGTCCTTTTGTTGAGTTTCAACTTGTCTACAATGAACAATGGTCTTTTTGGCATTTCATATGTCTGTCCGTTTTCTTTCATTCACGTCATGGGCGACAAGTGGTGGTAGGTAATGACTTGCTAATGCATATAGGCTTACCAGACTACAAGACCACTACCATTGCCTTTCTTTTCTTAACGGTATCACGAACATAGCTACAGTTGACCATGCGACATGTTGCCCTTGGCAACCACCCCACGGATTACCCGATTTAATGTGAGTGCATCTTGTTTTATGCAATTCCTTTCATTCCCCCGCTCCATACATGCAACAATAAAATGCATCCATTTTCAAACTTTAAATCTCATCTCTTTTTCTTCTCTTTGATCTTTATCTTCTCCAATCCCTCCAACCCCAAAAGATGGCACATAAAACTGTCGACTATTCTTTGTATCTTGTGACCGATAGCAACCTTGTTCCCGAGGGCACTACTTTGCTCAACCAAATCGAACGTGCTTTGGAAGGTGGCGTTACTATTGTTCAGCTTCGAGAAAAGAATCTCGACACCGGTCCATTCATTGAGCTGGCTCGTCAAGTGCAGCAAATCACACGCAAGTTCAATGTACCACTCCTAATCAATGACCGTCTCGATGTCGCTTTGGCTGTGGACGCTGACGGTGTTCATATTGGACAAGACGATATGCCTATGCGTCAAGCGCGTCAACTCCTTGGACCCAAAAAGATTATTGGTGTATCCGTCAACACGATCGAAGAAGCCAAGGAAGCTATTCAAGCAGGTGCTGATTATCTTGGTGTGGGTGCTGTTTGGGATACGAGTACCAAGAAGCTTACCAACAAGACATTGGGTATTGAAGGCACCAAACGTATGTTTGCATTTGTGTGTGTGCGTGTGTGTATCACCAGCATGTTGAGTCATTAATTCCTCCCCCACCTCTCTCGGACCTTTGTTTAGATGTTCTTGATTCCATTGATCCGATTCCTGCCGTAGCCATCGGTGGCATCAAACTCGAGAATGCACAAGACTTGATGAAGGGTGCCAATCGCCTTGCTGGCTTGGCTATTGTCTCTGCTATTATCGCATCCTCAGATCCCAAGGCAACATGCATCGACTTTAACAAGATTATTCGTGGATGTCTTGCTCAAGCTCCAAAGACAACGGATTCGGCTCTCGAGGCACGTCAATTTGCTATCCAAGCTGCCAAGAATGTTAGAGCTGTGGGTCCTATGGTGCATCACATTACAAGTAAGTATGCTTATACTTTTTCCCCGCCTGATCCCTCATTTACCCGATCCATGTTGTAATAGACTATGTCGTGATCAATGATAACGCCAATGCCACCTTGGCTGTGGGTGCATCCCCTATCATGTCCACCAATTTCGAGGAACTCAAGGACTTGGCGGCTGTGAATGGTGCTATGGTACTCAACATGGGCACTCTCAACAATATCCAGACCATGTTTGCTGCTGCTCATGCCAACTTTGAACGAGGCAACCCTGTCATTTTTGATCCTGTTGGTGCTGGTGCAACCCAATTTCGAAAGACGACTACCCAACGTTTTCTTAACGAGTGCGATTTGACGGTGATCAAGGGTAACGGAGGCGAGATCTTATCTATGGCAGGCCGTGGTGGTGCTTCTCGCGGTGTCGATTCAGTGGGTGATAATGGTGGTGAAGAGAATGCAGTCGCAGCTGTCAAGGAGCTTGCACGAAAGAATGGTAAATGATGATGTTGCTTTATTATCATTGCTCTAATCGTATCTTTATAGGTTGTGTGGTGGCAATGACGGGTCCTATCGATTATGTTTCGGATGGTGAGCGTGTGTATGCCATTGAGAATGGTGATCCCCTTTTGGCTTGTATCACTGGAAGTGGATGTATGGTATCATCTATTGTAGGATGCTTCACTGCTGGTAAGGCCCTTCATACAAAGGATTGAGCACATTCATGACTCAATTGGGTATTCTTTTCTCAATAGCCAACCGAAACGATTACTTGCTCGCCACTGTTGCAGCGTAAGTTTGATGATCCAAGTGATGTTCATCTTCCAATGCTTACCATCTTTATTATAGCATTCTCACGGTGACCATTGCTTCGGAGCTAGCTGTCAGACGCAATGAAGTTAGAGGACCCGGCACTTTTCGATCTGCACTTATCGACGAGCTTTACAATGTCACCAATGATACCAGCCTTATTGCAGAACACGCCAAAGTTAGAGTCATTCAATAAGTCATCTTTTGTACATCTTTTCCTCCCTCCCATTTTGATGGTATAATAACACCGAAAACCTCTCTCCAAACATACATCTTGGTTACTTTTTCAATCATCAACGTACATGATATCATCAATTTCAGTCAAAAGGGGTGTATTGTCTGTGCATGAGAGCGGGATCAAGCGGGTTTATTGGGGGATGATGTTGTGGCTTGGTGTCAGTCTCAAAGTGAATCGTGACCGAAGTTTCCAGGTGCTCTCTCTTTTTTCACTCAAACAAAAATGGTACGCACCCCCTCACGAATGCCCCATTGCCAATGTCTTTTTTATTGACTCGATCACTATTATGATAGGGTAAAGTCCACGGTTCGCTCGCCCGTGCTGGTAAGGTCAAGTCTCAAACCCCCAAGGTTGCCAAGCAAGAAAAGAAGAAGTCTTTGACTGGCCGTGCCAAGAAGAGACAAGTGTACAAGTAAGTTTGCTTTTTTTTTACTTCTATCTTCCTACGTCAAAGATACTAATGAATGCATGTTTTAATAGCCGTCGTTTCGTCAACGTTACCACTGCCATTGGTGGCAAGCGTAGAATGAACCCTGCCCCTACCCAGGGTCCTTAAACAGCGAACAGCAACAATAGTGGATTCAATTCATCTATATGTGATTCTCTTGTTTAATGTACATTTGTCGATTCTTTCATATTCTCTAAGCGGTATATAATCCTAAGACAACGAGGTGGTAAATGGTGGATGGGAAAGGAATGGATAAGGTATAAATGTGTATATGTATAAAACGAGTTATGAATGGGTGTGATGAGTACTCTGGGTGGTATTATCCGGTTGTTGTTGTTGGTGGATGAAGGACGAAGAAGTGGTTGTAGTGGTAGTAGTCGTAGCGGTGGGAATTGGTGGATGAGGATGAGGAAGGGTGGAAGGATGAAGTTGTTGAACAATAGCCATGACCTGTTGCATTGCTTGCCTTGATAATTCTAGTTGTAAGCACTTGTACATTTCAACAAGATCCATGCCGATGCCCTGCAACACACGCGAATCTTGATGATATCCGAGTTTGGCATTGTTGGTGACATCTTCATAGAATTGTTGACCAACACGGCTCAAATGACCACATAACTGATGCACTGCAACAGTGGCAAAGGGTGCTGCTGATCCTGCTCGTTTGTCATGTCCACGCATCAATCCAAACAAATGCGGATGGTAAGGTGTCCTTGGTTTAAGCATGTCAGGCCATTGCCACGGTGCAGGTATAAATGATGGTGTTGGTATCGTACCAATGATAGGCTGATGATGGCTGTTATTATTGTTGTTGCATGAACGCTTATCAGCATGTTGATCATCATCGTCGTTATGGTGCTCATTGCGTTCTTGGTATGCGTTATTGTTGCTATCTTCTTCTTGTTCCTCGTCGCTAGGATACCATATGAAAGATCTCGTTATTGTACCAGTCGTTAAGCGAAATGGTGTCACTTTGTGTTCAGCTGTTGCCATGGCAATGGGTGTAGTGTTGTGATGACCATTGCTGCTGCTGTTGTTGTTGTTATTGTTGTTTGTGAGAGGATAAAAAACCTTGCTGTAGAATTGGCGCAATTTGGCTGCGAGTGCAGTAGGTCGAGCCATTTGACGTTGAGCTTCCAACTGTTCCAAATTTTGCTGAGCATTCTGCATAAAGATGCGTGCAAAACGCTGACACACACTTGCAATCGTTTTTTCCTGTTCTTCTCGAGATATCTGCCTGCATTCAAATACGATTTGTCGGGTGCCAATCCAACGCCGTCCAAGGCCTAAGCGTGCATAGTTGTGCCGATCGACTGTTGCCAAGTACATGCCCTGCTGCTCTCGATTGACATCGCTCGTACGACTTGCCAGCAGTGAAATGACGACGCTCTCCACATGCTCAGGACCGTTTCGCCAAACATGGTGCAAGTTCGAAATGTCACCAAGGAGTCGTGTGAATACAGCGTGTTCGGCTGTTTTGTCTTCATAGTCTTGGCTCAACTCATGCCACGATATCAATAAATCCTCAGCTTGTAAAGGAGTCAGGGACCGGATACGCCGTTGACGGCAAGCTGTTTCGTACAATTCAAGCATTTCAAGTGCTGTCATTGTCAATGTGTGTCGTAGACTATCAGCATTGGTATTGCCAATGAGGCCAACTACTGGAATAAAACGCTGGACTTGCTGCATGGTTTGCTGAATGTGATATAGCTGCGAACGACTTGCCACCTCCTGGTCAATGCAAAACTGTTGTTGGGCATCAGAGCAAAATATGCGCAAGAGCTCGTCGAGTTCATCATACAACTTGTGAGTTACTGGATCCTCTTCTTCGCTCATTGATGATGGTTGGGTGGGATAATGTAAGGGAAATAGAAAGAGAAAAAAGACAAAGGGCGGTGTCCCCCTTATGGTACGTTAAGAACGAGTGGCGAAACAGAGAAGGGGACTACTAGGATGGTTGGATAAAAAAACAAAGAGAATACTCGTTGTCGAGGACAACGACAACAACAACAACAAAGGATATAAAAAGCAAGCCGTCCACTTCTGGATGATCCTAATGTGGAAGAAAAAGAAATGGGAAAAGAAAGAACACACATACACACACACACACTTGTAAAATCCAAACAATGGGATATTTTAGGCAGGCGGCAGGCTTTGTGTCGAAGGAGAAGCGCCGCCTTCTTGTCAGAATAACGACGCTTGGTTACACCACCCAATGTGTACATGTTCTCTCTCTCACTCTATGATAATGCTATCAATGATTATCCATTGCTACCCCTCCTTATTGTCTTTTGCACTTAAAACTAGCTTGGCATGTAGTATAGTAAATGGCTCATCAATAAGCATGAAAAAATAAAGGGATGGGGACTTCCCAGCACGAGATGATGAAACAAACCGATATTTGCCCAATATATAAGAATCGGTTTGCATGCATGCAGGTACATGTACAGGGCAAAGCCTTTGCTCAGCATATGTAGAATCGTCGCTGCTCCTTATTCCAGCACAAAAGAAATCATGCTATCTACCACTGCATTATTGTTCACCTTTCCCGTCTCCTCCATCCTGTTGTAGGATAGTAAAAGTGGAGCGACAAGGCGAGGAGGGGGCTGTTGTTGCTGATTGTTACAGCCTAGAATGTTTCGAATAATGATCGCCTACCCCACCAAATGAGCCCATCGTCTCATTATCCTTGAAATTGATTGTTCCCAGGGAATCATCCCACACTCTCTAATATTATCTCCATATCGAAAAGATGCAACATCATGTGCATTATTACATGGTAATGTCCGTTTACTGCATCTTTATATGCCTACCCAAAATACGAAAACCAATTATATAGCTTCCCACCCCCTGAATGCTCATCTCTACAACAGCAGCTCGTGGTGGCTCTAACAACGCCTCCGTGTTTCTAGATTACAGTATAATAGCCTTTCAAGTATAATTGTGCATCATAGCTAATAGCTCATGGGGGATCAAACATGTGCTATATATATGCAAGTTTGTTTTCTGTACTTGGCTTTTGGGTTGCATTGAGTCTAGACAAGAATAAATCGAGATGGTTGTGTGATTTCTCCTATATTACACCATGCACCTACGAGGAGAAGAGGAGGAGGAGAAAGTAAAAGAGCCAACTTGAGATCAAAAGGATGACCAGCAATGACCCGATGGTGATGTCAGATAGGACAATACTTGTTGGCTCTTGTTGTTGATCATTGAATCATTGCAACCTGTTTCATACAAGAGTGGTGCCTAGGCCGGATATCACATGTGGTGGTGTCATAGAATCTTTCATGCCTACGGATGCTTTCTTTATGCAGATGACGCACATATGACTACCCTGAGATGGATTAGTGGATCCAAAAGAGCAGCAACAACAAGATCGTGTCACAGCAAAACACCGCATCATACATACGCGCCAATTGTGCCTCATGTTGTGTGTAGCTTATATGTCGTACCACAACTTATATACCTGTCGCACACTTGCCATTGGTTGCGTTTGTGACAAAAATATGGATTGAACGTTGATCTTTCGCGCGAAGACAACAAAGATGGCATTAAGGTTCAAAAGTAAATGTTCGTCAAGGACATGCCAATTCAATTCGCATGATGTGTGTATGTCAATGTTGCATGAAAACTAGAACCATGGATATCAGCTTTACATACACAACGTCATTGCTGGCAAGCATCATGTTCTTTGTCAAGAGTTTTTTCCCTAATAAGGATACACCACCACACACACATACACATTCGCTGCTAGATACAATATGGTATATCTTTCCCCTTCTTGTATACTTGTGCAGCTTCCCCGACGCGGTTGTAGCTGCTTTCTTTTTTGTGAAAAGGAGTGGGGGAGACGTGAGGTGAAGGAGAAGTAAACGGCCGACCAATACACAGCATGACACGCATCTAGTATACGTTACACGCATCACAGCATGTGGTAGGACAAAAAGTGGTCTGTGTCGATTCTAAAATACATCAAGATGACCTCCCGTTAATGATGTTCGCTTCTTGCCTATTTTTGAATAGGGATGGTGTGCTTGTATGTAGATAGATGCATGCGTGTGTGTTGGAACCAGAAGGTAGTCATGATCTACGCCAAAGCACACGTCCCCCAAAAAGGTAGTCAAACCGATGGTTGCCGATGACGGTGAGACAAGGCTTGTGGTAAAAGTGTGTAAGGTTCACAGGGTCTTGCACAAACAAAAAAGCACATGTGCTTCGAAGAGACATATACACAAAGCAAGAATAGAATGCTTTAATAACGACAAGCAATGCAAATATGTCAAGTGTCATGTTCCCATTCTATTGCGTGCATATACACCAGAAGTAAGTAAAACACCGAGATTAGGTGAGTTCCGGAAGCAATAGACAAAATGGGGCATGAGGCAAGATTCAATGTGGTTTCCCCTATAAGGGGAGTGGGAGCACAAAAGCAGCGTGTGGTGCGCTTTTGGTATGACAGTCGATCACGCATGCTCTCTTCTCCCTCTCTCCATATGCTGTCAAACCGTGAGTCGTCGATCAACACCAGAAAAAGAACACACACAAGCTGCTGATGTTGTTGCATCTCACCCACGCATGTATTGCTAGAAACATAATAGCTTGTTTCTTTGTGCTTATTACACAACAACGATCGAGCCACCATGGGTCCATTGTCATCATAAATATGGATACATGCAATAAAGAAAGCATCAATCCAAAGTGCATGGGATCCATCATGATGTTGTTTACCCTAACGACGATATCGATTCTTGCATACGGCCTTGTTGTAGGCGTTGAAAGATAATGAAGCGAGCAACAACAAAAGAAATAATGATGATGAATGAACAAGACCAGGGATGATGATAGTGATCAGCGGGTGTAACCCACTTAAATAACTATTTTGCTGTATTTAATCAAGATCACGCCTAGCTTTCTCGGTGTCTTTGCCGGGAGCTACCCCTTCTCATTCAACACGCTGCCTGATTGTTATATATAAGAACGTCATTGCTCCATTTTCCCCATTCTTTTCGTTTCCCCCTTCCACTCGTTTCTCTTTTTCTGGTCACTCCTCCGCGCTTGTCGTGTATTTCTTTTTGAGGACATCCTTTTCCTTTTCCTTTCTCTTTTACGCTTACATTCAAATCAACATACATACCCATCAGCACCGCAGCGCTTGCGCAGCATCATTGCTTGTTACATACCAAACCACCCAAAAAATTATAAATCAACAAAATGATGACATACGGATACGACCATTTTAATGCTGAACCAATCATGCTTCGTCATTCATCGTCGCTGGCGACGGCAGATGACAAGATGTTTGATATTTACGCTGCGGATCAGGTAATCATAGAACGGGTCCATTCAGGGTCACACAAAGAGACGCACTGGCATTTTTACTAATTCAAGGTTCCCTCTCTTCTTTCAATCTCTTTCTCTTTTCTTCTTTCTCTCTCTCTCTCCTGCTTTTTGCTTTTTCTTTTTCCCTCGCAATTGTGCTTCTACTCAATCTGCACCTTGACATACTTGTGCATACAACGGCGGGCAAACTTGCAATAATCGATCGGACACTTTCGATTTGACATTGCCTTTTTGCATAAACAACCCCACATTTTCCTTTTTCTCTCATCTCTCTTTTTCATTGATATACATGACGACATTGCAGTACTTTGATCGATTCGAAGACGACCAAGGCATTATTGTGCCACAGCATCTCGAACCTGAACAAGCGAGCTATGAGTTCCCATCACGGTCGACGCTTGAACATCTTGCGACATTCCTCAATGACAATGACGATAACATGTTTGATGAGTCACCTCTTGGATCAACAACGTACTCGGATGATGAAGATTCTGGTCTCGCAGGCGATGATCAGTTTGATTCGTTTATTGGTTCAATTGTATCTGCATACACCAACGAGAAACGACAACGATGCACCAAAGTCAATCACATGGCTAAAGAGGCTGCCCCTGGCTGTAGTCATAAGATGCTGCAACAACGCACCAACCACCACAACAAGCTCGTCAACAATAAACCAGTATCCATGTCATCCGACAACGATGACGACTCTCTTGTGGATGATGATGAGGATGATGAGATGAACATGTTGGTGGATGATAGCCGATTGTCACCTCTTCAAATTCCACCAGTCGCTCGATGCGTATCCTCTTCAAGCTTCCTTTCTTCTTCTTCAGCGTATTCGTTGCAACGTAATGATGGCGTGGTAGCACCTTGTTCGTTTCTTTGCCATGAAGATCTTGTGTACCCCAAAAATCGGGCATCAGGCAAGTAAATGGATATTGTGTGTGTGCGTGTGCGTGTGAGAAATGCCGCGCTCTTGAGCTACATTTGGACTGACACTCTTATCCCTTTTTGCTCCACATTTGTTTGTTGTTTACAGTGTCACCTTACCATGGTATGCTGGGCGCTGAGGACCATCATCAACAACAACACCTTGACCTGCCCGTGTTTCGTAATGAATCAGAGCCCATAATGGACGACGATGACAGCAATCCTGATACACCAGCAAAAACTATCACTCTCAAGCTACGCAAATCACTGGACACTCGTTATCGTCGACCTACTTGTCCCATCAGTGACGAAGGCTATGCCGATGACGATGACGACGACCATGTTGATGTTGGTGGCGACTACTCTGACAATGAGCCTCCTTTGGAATCTGAAATGGTGTTCCTTCCACTATCAGCTGAGGAGCAGCAGCATATGGTTGAAGAGGATGTGCTACGCACCACGGCAGCAACACGTATCCAGGCAGTATGGCGTGGTTACCGTGCCAAGAAGCAACTTGCAGCATCCTCTAGCACGTTGCCATCATCTCACCGTTTAATTGTGGATCTGGCGCGTATATGCAATGCCATGCATCAAAAGCAGATGAATACCATGCATAGTAGAATGGATGAACTGGAGCAGCAACTTGAAGAAGAACGAGCCATGCGTATTGCTTTTGAGAAGGCTGTTGAAGATATGACCATCATGGTTGACCAGCAACAAAACATGTTGTATGATCGTCTCGAGCAACAACGTATGGAATACGAGGCCAAGGTTGCCAAGATGGAAACTCGTTTACGAAAGGAAACCAAGGCAAGAATGGAAATGGAGCAATCAATGACACACGTCGTTAAACAGGTGCAGGATATGCACGCTGCACAACAACGCCGTGCCAAGGAAGACGCAGAGCATCAAAAGAACTTGCAACGTAAACTCAATGACGCACTCTATGAAATCAATCAACTCAAAGCATCATCGACCACTACCACAACATCAACAACATCCACTACTTCATCATCACGTACAACAACTTCCACCACCACCACTCCACGTCGTCGTACTATGGTACCAAATGCATCCGGAGCCGCATCCGTTAAAGCATCCGGAACTGGTGCACGACAACAACCACGATCCTCAATAGCACCACGTCCTTCTCATCAACCAGCAACAAAAGCTACTCCTCCTCGACTTAGCTCCCGTCCTTCAATTACGCCACGACCATCCTCTGCATTGCGAACTTCTCAACATAAAACAACCACAACAACTACTACTTCATCCGCCAACAACAAACGCACAATGACAATGACAGCTGTTCGAAACAGTACGTTGCCACGGTGATTTTGACGATACCATTTTTTTTTCTTCATTCATTTCCCCCCATCATTTCATTCGCATTTTTCTTTACCCAACCACCCCACTTTGCATGCATGTAGATAAGGTCATCATCCTATTCTTTTTCTTTCGTTCACAACCACATGTTTTCCCACATTCATCCTCCTCCTCTCCTCCCATCCTCCCATCCTCCTCCTCCTCATTGTCCAAGTATACTTTTACTATTACTTTTTCTTGCCCTGTATGCTAATATAGTGCGAGTACATTACCTGTGCTTCTCTCGCTTTCCATCATAATTACTCCTATGTTTGTATCATGCGTGTTTTAAGGGTCCATGAAGGGTTCAAACATTTGATTTGTTCTATTTAAGAAGGCCATTTACTCATTTCACTCACGAGAATGGCCACTTTAACATGATTTAGTGATCCGTGCGTTGTGTTACCCCCACCACCACCATCACCATCATCCTCCCATTTACCTATAATCAAGACAAAGATAAATGTAATACCAATAGTCATCCGTACCCAATGCTTTGAGATACATTGTTTCTGACGACGATTGACATGACCTTCCTCCTCCTCAGTCGTTTCCTTGATATCTGTATTATGTCCACAAATGGTTAACGTTGCTCAACAAAAACATTAAACATCCCAACATCATCATTGATTCATCATAGGTGGCCTCTTCTACCTCCTCCCCCCAAACCATGCTTCCGGGTGTGATAGTGTTACGCGCGTGAATGATACCCTGCATATTATGTGCACCCAGCCATACCGGTTCTTTCCGCACACATACTCATTTCCCCTCCCCTCCTCTTTCCCCAATGCATTCAATTACCATCTTGTCTAGGAGTCGCCGCGTATTGCATGTCATTCATCATGTGCCACATAATGGCTTCCGTCCCACGAGACATGGGCTTTTTTACGCTCGTGTTATCCGTTGTGGTGGTACTCGTTGTTTTCTCTATTGCATGGATCATTTGTCAACATCACATTTCATCTGCTGGTCAACAACAATGTTCACGCGTTGTTTTTACCTTGACCAGCAGCAGTAGGCTCAGCATTAGGAGTCATGCTTGTGTATACAGTCTAAGAGAGAGAGAAAGATATAGGTGGTGGTTGACACGTGTCGCTATATACCGTGAACAAAACAACAAAGGTGTCATGGTATACGTTGCTATGCTCTCTCTACATACTTTTTTCCTTTTTGTGTGTTTGCATAATATACATACAATTGGAGTCTGGTTGTTTTGAAATTGAAACTATTACAACAAATAGTCTAGACCACCCAGCAGCAGCAAGGTCATGGCCTGTCAATGGGGAATAGGGTTGGATGCATGTTCAAGAAATGAACCAAGCTTGACACATAGACCCAAAAGGTTGACAAATGGGAATGCAGTAATGAAACGGGAGGCCACGGATTTTTGCTTGGAAAGTTGGTAACTCAACTCAGCAACCCTTGGGAGCAGCCCTTATCACCTTTGACTTTATGTGCATGATCTCTGTGCTACAGTATTTTACAACCTAGTTATCATCCCTCACTCTTATCTCTTTGTGTAATTGCCTCCTTATGCGTCATTTTGTATAAAGGTTAGCCATGCATCGCATGAGGCCCTTTCTTTACAAGCACAACTTTACTCTTTTTTCTTCACTAAAAGTATACACACACACACACACACACATGGAGGAATACAAGCTAGAAGAAGCACACACCACTACCACCACCAGCAGTGATACCAAGTCGTCTAATGGCAAAACGAGTAAAATGGCTTGGCTTGTCACCTTTTCCACCATGTTGGTAAATGCTGCTTGTGCCATCATGTGGGTTAGCTGTGCGTCTGCTCCTATAACATCAGCCGAATGGATGGGTGGAAGCCTTAGCAATGTCAACTGGCTTTCAAGTCTTTGTGCTATTGACAACTCGGTCTTTTCTCTCGTTTGTATATGGGCGTATGAACGTTTCGGTGTAAAGCGCTGTGTAAGCATCAAGGCAGGGGAATGAGTAGTAAACATGCTAATAACATGTGGTTGTACAGCTTGTCTTTTCAGCTGTCATCAATAGCATCGGCTCATGGATTCGGTGCATTGCTATAGCTTTGCCCACCGACAAGAGGTATTCTGTGGTAGTGGTAGGCCAAGCGTTAGCCGGTATTGGTGGGCCTTTTGCATACAAGTACGTAGTAGTACACAGGAATTCAAAGGGGTGTAATGATACAGCGTTATGGAGGCGCTTGCATGATAACACATATACACCCTCTTGGCCGAAAACAAAAATATAATTGACATGGCTCATTTATCTTAGTATCGCACCCAAGGCATGTTGACATCAACCAAGACGCGATATCAATAATGCAGGGATGCTAACTTTGACATGTTAGCTCGCCTCCGTATGGTTTGCTCCTCGAGATCGTAACCTGGGTGCAACGTTGGCAAGTAAGTTTCTAGGATTCTATGTTACAGTAACACCTACTATGGATACGGCATGATGAGATAACTAAGAATCATGTTGCATTATCTTTCCGTCAGCGTTATCACTCGGCCAAATCGCCGCACCGCTTTTTATCCCAGCGGTTGCCAATACCGCTGATAAGGTCCCAACCATGGTAAGGTGTTGCTATGAATCCATTTACGATCCCAAAGGTGGTGGCTAATTTAATGAACCCGTTCCTTCTTGTACAGTTGTATGCGACAGCCATTATTGCCACCGTTTGTGCAATCCCTATCATGTTGATGCCGGGTTTACCCAAAGTACCACCAGCCAATAGTGCTACATCACCTCGACTCTCGATTTGCGAAGGTGTCAAGCAGCTTGTCAAATCCAAAGATTACTGGTTTATTGCTATCCCGGCCATTGTAAATGCTGGCATGTTTTACACAATGACCGTGGTCATTATTGAAGCAGCCGTACCATATGGCTATAATGAACAACAAAGCGGTATTGCCAATGCACTCCTTATGGTGAGCGGTTTTGCAGGAGGCGGTATGATAGGCTACTGGATTGGCCGAACGGGAGAGCACTTGGCCATGATCAAGCTATTCACACCCATCGTTTGTGGCATGTTTGTGATGGTGAATTTCCAAAGTAAGCCAAAAGACAATGAATGGATGATGAGATCATGACAATAGCTAAATGCATGCTTCCTTATTACACACACTACTACTTCTTCAAAGTCTTTCCAAATGCATATGGTGCATTGCTTTGCATGTGTGTGCTGCTGGGATTTTTCAGCATTGGTCTATATCCTTCGCAATTGGAATACGCATCCGAAAGTACGTTGTGCATGAACGTGATCCATGATCATTTTTGCATTGCTAATAGCCGACATTTTTTTATGCGTGTAGTCTTATACCCGATCCCTGAATCTCTATCATCGAACGTTACGTGGTCACTTGTTACGGCAGGGATGTTGATTTTTACTGTGATCACCGATACGTTGCGTGCTGGCCCTGAAGCGGATCCACCAAACAACATGAATGCGGCAATGATGGTGTGCTCGATCATTGTGTGTGTCGGATCATTACCCGTGATATGGCTCAAGGGTGAATTAAAGCGCCTGGCTATCGATCGAGCTAGCAGTATATGATACGCGTAAACGATACTCCATCTCTTGCCACTTGCCGTATATAATAAAATAACTATCTTACAAGATCTAAATCACAAAAGAGGAACGTGTGCTACGTCGTTATTGACAAGATCCAATCACGTAAAAAGGGAGGAGCGTTATACACTATCGAACGCAGCCTTTGTTCAAACACAATGAATCAAGCAGATCCTCCTCTCTTTTCCTTTCTTTATCCTTTATCACAACATGTACAAGTGGTTCTCCTTCTACAATCATCCATTCCCCATACCAAAAGTCTTTCTTTTTGCCATACAATCAATCCATCACGTGTCCACACACGACAAGGTGCAACTTCAGGAGAAGGAAGATCTCATAGTAGTAACTTAGAAGTGATTGGTCAACGCAATGTCGTATTCGCTGAAGGAACCCTTTAATCCAAATCATTGACAAGAGATGGTTTGAGAGATACAATGAATTGCTCTAATGCGGAAGATACATCGATGTTGGAAAGAATCTAATTCTATGGTTGTGCATGGAAGAGTGGTGACACTTGATGCGTGGATGATGATGGTTGTACATGGTTGAGAGGTCGCACAAAGGGCGATGATAATAGCTGCCATGGAATAGGATGTAAAGTATGATAGCTGGATGCACCAATCGTTCAGGGTGATACCTATCAACGTCAAGCTGATAATCGATACACTCGTTTCCCACGCGTTGTATATATCCATATCCATATCCATATCCATAGGAAGTTGTATGTATTGAAGCACGTTGCTACACGCAAATAAAGTTGCTTGTATACAATGACTAGCTGCTGTCAGCGTAACAAAGGCTGCAAGGGAGGTTGCTGCAAATAGAGAACGCTGTTTGGGATACAATGCAGTGAAGCTGCTGGAATGAATGCTGTTACGATTGATTGTGGTCGAGGATTGTACAAGAGAAGGTGAAGTGTCAAGGAACGCGGGTGTTGTAGTGGGTGCACACGCCATGGACATGCCATTCAGTCAAAGGCAATCAGATCAAGATAGTTATAGGATCGACATGATGGGTTGAAGCAGGACAATCGCTCGCATGATGGTAGTTGTACTTGAATGGGGCCACAGTTGAGAATGGGAGCAAGAGGCAAGAAGCGGTGAGTGGAAGAACTGGAAATTAAAATGAGTTGACTGATGGTGGATGATACTTGTGTGCTTGAGCATTTTTCAGTCAATCTCATCGGATCAAGAAAGTTGAAGGATGAGCATGCTGGGCTGGAGCAGACAATCGTTCGTATGCATTGGATTGGACAACAAAGGTGAATGGGAGGAATGGGCTATCAAGTGGGAGTTTACATATAATCATCGATTGATTTTTTCCTAATGTTGGATGATACTTCTGTGCTTGAGCGTAACTCGGTCAAAACCTCTCGGATCATGGAAGTTGAATGATGGACATGATGGGCTGGAGCAAGACAATCGTTCACATGCATTGGATTGGGCAACAGAGGTGAATGGGAGGAATGGGCTATTAGCTGGCTGTTTACAAATAACTTACCAATTTGATTCTTCTGATATTGGATGATGTTTCTGTGTTTGAGCATTTTTCAGTCAAATCTCATCGGATCAAGGAAGTTGAACGATGGGCATGCTGGGCTGAAGCAGGACAATCGTTCGTATGCATTGGATTGGACAACAATGGAGAATGGGAGGACTAGGTTATTAGCTGGCATTTTGAACTCTTCCTAAATAGTGTACAAGAATCATGCATCGCCTGTGCTGAATGATTCAAGTTACACAAACACGCCTTCTGCATCTTTGGCTCTATTGTAGTGATACTACTTTACAATGAACAAAGACCATCTTTCATATAGCATCACCCTTACAGCATATGTAAAACATAAAGGTACCTGTATCTTCAAACTTTACAATCAAACGTGGGATCTTTAATAGATCAACGTGCTCGTCGGAGCCAAAGGAATCTTGTGTCAAAGTATGAAGTTCATCGTGGGCAATCCCAGATTTCGCAATGTCGCTACCAGCCAAACTGGATCTGGGGGTCGACCTCTTGGACGACGACGACCAAAAAATATTTTTTGGGCTGTTTGCGACATTCAACGCGAAACTTTCACACAAGGTGCTGTTGGCCAAGCCGAGTCCATTGCTCTATTAAAAACCCCATGTTTCATTGTAACGTTTGGAGATACAGGCACCTTTATGTTTGTAAGCGTGATGCTATATGAAGAGTGGTCTTTGTTCATTGTCAAGTAGGTGGACCCTGGCAGAGCAAAAGATGCAGAGGGACCTCTTTGTGTAACTCAGCTACTTTGCATGACTGGAAGGATGGAAGGATGATACTGTATACTGTTGACAAAAGCCCGTACATTGCGATCTAACAGCCATTTCTTCACAATAGCCACTGTTGTCCACTCTATGACATGTGAGCGATTCTCCTGCTTCAGACATTCATTTCCATGATTGGATTATGTTGATCCGAGTAGATTTGTCGAGATACAGCCAAGAGGGATTACATCAATCCACACATCTAACCATGTCTATGTTGCTCAACTGAAGTAACCTTGTATGAGCGTAGCTCAGCCAAATCAACTCGGATCAACATAATCCAATCATGGAAATGAATGTCTGAGCAGGAGAATCGCTCACACGTATCGCCGTGGACGGCTGGTAACTATTGTGGATGGCTGTTAAATCGTCTTTTAACAGTGCAATATCATCCTTCATCCTTCAGTCATGCAAAGTATCGTGAAACTGGCACCCAAGGTGCAGTTGGCCAAGCCGAGCACATTGCTCTAATAAAAACCCCATGTTTCATTGTAAAGTTCGGAGATACAGGCACCTTTATGTTTTTACTATGTTGTAAGCGTGATGCTATATGAGATGTGGTCTTTGTCACTTCAATCGCCTCGCTCATGCTAGAGTCAAAGATGCAGAAGGACTTCTTTGTGTAACGCCGAGAGTGTAGGACTTGGTAGAGAAATGCATAATGGCTACTTGCCCTGGCCTGCGTACAGTATGATCCGCCTATTATGGTTGGCCGTATGGAATGGTTCGTCCTCATATAATATTGTATAAGATGGCATACGCTGAAAATTGTCATGGGTGATCATGGTATGTTCATGTATTCATGCCTCATTGTATCACAGCCCACTCTTTCTTAAACATAATGAATTAAGCTTTACAATGAACCAAGCTTTCTTTATGTGACAAGCAGTATTGTTGGCCATCATCACTCTCGGATTTATTATCTTTTCAGCACGAACACTTGAGGATCTACAATACTTTTCGCCTATCCGCATGTGAACTAGGAAGCTTTAGCGAACGATACATACGATGATGCAAATGATCCATTCCCCCTTCCCGACCTTCAAGCTTCTATTCCCCGCTTCAGTGCACCGACATCAACCAAGTGATCCACATCTTGCATATACAAGCTGATAATACGATGTCCTTCATAAATAATAGGTTGAATCAATTTTTCATTCCATAAAAGTCGAAGAGTAGCACATTGAAGTGTGGATGTTTATGATAAAGGAAGAGGTTTTCAAATTGAATAAGGTACGGGGTGGTGAATCACATAAAGGCAATAGGGGAAATGTGTCCTTGTACTCGTGGTTGTTGCCGTCATGAACATCCTTCTTCCATGGTTGGAAAATCGTAGCTGCATGCGTTGTGACGCGAGTATCCCAAAGTCATCCATGATTGCAAAACTTTTCGTCAAAGGTATAAGCCTTTTCGCCAATCCCGTCCATCCACCATCATCCTCAACGGTAGCCACGTGATATGATCCATTCTTCCTGCTGGCAACATGACAAGTAATCACCATGATTCTCATCCACTGAATTGACTGAATCCATCCACCATAACCATTCCAAATCCAGTATGTCGGTAGAAAGAAGCCCCCGAGATTGCTGGTGATATGCTTCCTTTTCCATCCAGTCCTTGGTTTCTTTCTCTTTGTTGGTCATTTTCCATTGCAGCTCAACCAGCTGAAGATTGCTTGCATTGTGGTGTAGTTGATGATGGGCGATATGGTGTCATCCAAACTAGACTTCACGTTCTAGATGGGCCAAGGGATCCAAACCAGTCAAAATACCCATTCCTTCCATCCCGTAGTGCAGTATCCATATCCATAGGAAGTTGTGTGTATTGAAGCATGCAACATGTAAATAAAGTTGCTTGTATACAATGGCTAGCCGCTGTTGCACGTAACAAAGGCTGCAAGTAAAGAACGCTGTTGGATACGATGGAGTAAAGAGCTTGCCAATAGCAACTGCTGCAATGAATGCTGATACGATTGTCGTGGTAGGGAAGTGCGCAAGAGCGTGCGTTGTGTCAAGAGACTCGTGTGTTGTAGTGGGGTGCACACGCCATGGACTTGCCATTCAGCCGAAAGCAATCAGGTCAAGACAATCGTATGACATGGAGGGCTGAAGCAGGACAATCGTTCGCAGGTGGTAGTTGTATACTTGAATGGGGTAATAGTTGAGAATGGGAGAAAGAGACAAGAAGTCGGCGAGTGGAAGGAGTGGAAATTAAATAGGTCGGACTCCTCTGGTATAAATGCATGAACACTGTACATCAACTCTTGATTATGACATTGCCCCTCTCGAACCTGAAACTTTCACACAAGGTGCTGTTGATCATGCTGATCAACTTTGTCCTCATAAAAGCCCCACGCTTCAATATGAAAGTTTTGAGAGCTTATGTACGAAATGATGTACTCGTTGTTTGAGCGTTGCTCAGTCAAATCCTCTCGGATCATGAAAGTTGAAGGATGTAAATGACGGGATGAAGCAGGACAATCATTTACACGCGAAGGATTGGGTGATCGAATAGTACAATAAGGTTGTGGTGGAAACCAGTGCAGGATTTAGCTGAGTTGAGTGCCTCGAAGGTAGATCAATCTCTTAAGCCTACTTATCAGCAGCATTATTCAAAAGCTTAGAAGCAGATAATCGCTACACCTTCAGCGTTGTATATAATAAACCACTCACACCTAACAACTTGAAAGTCCACTTGGCAGCTCGACCATGTCGTAATCAAGATGGGAAACTTTGCCTAGCAACCGGACCTTGTTTGGATTGCTTCATGCAATATACAACGCTGTCATGAAAACCAGCCCACAGCTGCTTTGAAGCAACATACATGTGCACTTGACACGTTATCCATGTATATAAGCGATTATACATAACATTTACTTCATTGCTTATAAATGTGCATACCGCAAAGGATGTGAAAATAGCAGCACCTGCTGATCCGATTACTGCATGCTATCTTCTTATAGCACTCAATGCATATGGCAGGGCTAAAACAGTGGTAATGGAAGAGATTGGCTAATAATTGAAGGACGCTGCAACTGAAAAAGAAGGAATGTTTTTTTATATAATTGGGCCAAATGACAACCACGCACTCCAAGTTGTTCTTTTCCTCACATCACTTCTTTTATTCCTCCGAACAAGAGATGCGATATCCTGCTACTGCTAAAACAGCGACGTTGTCGCTTATCCTATTACTCCTCGGTGGTCGGCTACAGGTGAATGCTGACGAAGAAGATCCAGTGCTCCGTGCACAAGGTGCCATGCGAGTGGGCAAAGACAATGCCATTGTGCCAGATGCATCATCAGACCATCCATTAATTGTGTCCAACCCCGAAGATCAGCCATTGTGTGAACCCAATGCAATCATTGAGCCATCACAGCCATTGCAAGTGATGGAAGGATACGATGCCTTTGTACTCACCAATGTTCAAGGCCCAAGAAAAGTAGTTGTGGATGCAGCCAATCATGCACTCGTAACAAGCAGTGAAGGGTTGGTATCGATTCGCATGGATAAATGCGGCAACGTCGAAAAAACCACCTTGTTATCTGATTTAGGTGATGATGGGGCTGTTGCTTATGGCGTCACACTGTATGATGGCAATCTATATGTTGCATCTCCCAACTCGGTGTGGCGTTTCAATTACGTCGATGGCCAACACTCGCTGTTATCGGATGGATTCCAAGTACTACGTAACTTGCATGGTACTGGCAATGAGGATATCGCCATTGATCCATTTGGTCATGCCTACTTCCCTCGTCATGCAACCGATGTCAATGATGACCATAGCTCATCCAAACAAGCCATCATCAAGCGTTTTAATTTCCGTAGAGTGCCTAGTGATGGATACGATTTTGAAGAAGATGGCGAGGTATACATATAAATAATCCTTGTGGATATAGAATGGTATAGATACTCATGATGGTATAGACCTTTGCTCATGGTACCAATGTACATGGTGCTATGGCGTTTGATGCACAAGCACGTTTATGGGGTCTCGATTCCCCTTATCCATCATTCGAACGTGAAGATCTCGGTGGTGCCCTTGCTCCCAATGGCGTGGCAGAAGAAATGAACTTGTATGAATTCCCTTATAAGAACTATGGCTACCCTTATTGCTTTACCGAATATGATTTGCAACCATACACAGCAGCCTCCAAGGGCAAAGGTGCACAATGGGTAATGAAAAAGAATCGATTACACACGTAAATAAGGTGCTCACATGCATACTTTTTATTAGGGACATCCTTCACAAATGAATGACACGATGGATTTGGATGACTATTGCAGCCAAGATGAAAACAATCGACGTCCTGCTGTACCACTTACCCCCAATTCAGGTGCACATGCCATGTTTTTCTTTATGGGCACGTTTTGCTCTGTGGGCGATAAGCAAACCCTTGGTACATCCGTTGGCATGCCATGCAATTGGACCGATACTCCTATTGTGGCCTATCGTGGTTACCCTGGTCAAGCTGAAGGTCATCGTGTTACGCACATTCCTTTTGATGATCTTGGTCACGTGCCCCAATGGGATCGACCTGAAGATCTTATTTTCAAGGCCGCTAATGATTGTCAGGAAGGTTCAGCATGCTTGACACCTACCGGTCTTGATGTTGATGAATTTGGACGATTGATCATTGCAAGTGAGGAAACCAACGAGATCTTTATGATAAAGCGGCAATACAACCAAAACGCTGCCAAGCTCATGACAGCCAAAATGGATGCCAAGGAAGAAATGGAAGAGCGTTTGGAGGAGTTAAAGGAAGAGAAATTGGAAGCTCAAGCCGAAGGACTCGACGTTGATGATGACGATGAAGAAGAAGAGGAGGAAGAAGAGATGGATTTGGACCCTGAATCGAAGCAGCAAATCGATAACAATGACGCACCTGCCATGCTCGACACAAAGAAGTCCAAGAACAAAATTTCAATCATAGACAATTGATACTACATTGTAAACAAGCGCTCCATTTTGGGGGTTGATAGTATTCCTTCCATGATTCCTTCCATAATAATTGCTGACTTTTGTTATCAAGGAGAAAAGCATCATGCTGGGTAGGATTGTAGCGTGCATAGTGTCAGAATGACGAAAGGAGAAAGGGATGTAAAAGGCAAACGCAGATCCATTGATATTTTAAACTCTATTCGCCCACTATAATAATAGCGATGATACTACTACGTGGGTGGTGTTGGTCAATACAGCTACATTAAACGAGGACTACCACACTAACCCCTGAATACAAATCGGACATCCAGTTTAATACTTGTAGCCATCATGTCGCTTGCTGCAGTGCGTAAATGAATCCACCAATGTGTACCAAGGGATGCATGATGATGACTTACTATGCCATTCGGGGGAGGAGGATGGTAGAATATAGTTGCAGATGGATCTACTTTACCTGTTTAGAACACTATTAATGGAAGAAAAAGAGATCGACGTAGACGTATGATGTGTGGGTGTGTGTGTAAATGTGGATCAGGGATGGGAAAAATGAGGAGGGCTGGGAAATCACTTTTTTGACCTTACTCCTTTTGCCTATTTAATCGGTTGTGATAAGCTGTCAAGCAATGTGTGCGTGCTTAATACTCGTTCTTTCGTATATACATCTTGCTCCCCTCTACCAATACTCCTTGGTTAACATCTTGCTTTTCTAATTTTCCTTTCACTTTCTACCTCATTGCTTTATGATGGATACAACAACAACTCCAGTGCCAGCATCAACAACCACAACACCTTTTGGCTCCTGTTTGCACGAGGAGGAACACCAGCAGCACGACGAAGGATTCCACCCCACAGCATCACCAAGCCAGTTGTCATGGTCTGTTGCCACCCATGCTCATCAACATGAGGACATCATCAACGACAGTAGGAGAGCTGCCAAAACCTCCGAAAGCAGTAGTGACGATGATGATGGTCGAGGGACGACTACAATCCATTCATCATCGCCTACAGCCAAAAACAGCATTTACAGCAATGATGAAAAGGCGGATAAGCAGCAATGGTATCGAGTTGACAACTACTATACCAAATACTCTCGATCATTGCTTCTCGAAAACAAAGCTAGTGTAGCACGCGACCATATGGGTAAGTGTGGTGGTGTATAATACTATCATTCACAATCCCCGTCTTGATCAGCTGACACTCCTCGGCATGTACATAGCCAATGAACGAACATTCCTTGCATGGTTAAGGACATCTTTATCACTCATCACCGTTGGAGTGGGTAAGTAAATGATTTGGAATGCTGATGGAGATTACAAATTAACAATGTCAATCATCACAGCCATCACTCAGCTGTATCACCTGTCACCGGAAGATACATCAGGAATGGACCATCGCAGATTGGGAAGAACGATGGGTGTCCTATTTGTTAGTTTTAGTCTCCTATTTCTGTATTTTGGCAATGCACGGTACTTTCATGCACAACATGCCATGTGCAATGGATTCTTTCCAGCAAGTCGAGGGACCGTGCTCTTTGCTTCAGCATCAATACTGGGTATGCTGGTGGCCATATTTGTTGTGTTATTGATGCAGCGTCTTTGATAAATGAAAAAGTACCATTAGAATGCCCCTTGTCCTCTACACTCATCACCATCATTGTCATCATCCCATCTTGGCCATGTGTGTGTGTGTTATGTGTGTGCGTGTGCGTGTGCGTGTGCGTGTGCGTGGCTGGCCCTTGCACATAAAGCGATATATGATTTGATGAGGGGAACTAAACACTGCACCAAGATGAGATCCCATTTGTGTTCCTTGTGTTGCATGAAGCTAATACTTGCCGATGTGGCACACACACGGATCCCGGTTTTTCTTTCCGCATTCCGCATGCTGGGTTCTTTTTGGGTGACATGGAAAAAGAAGGCGATCTCTCTTTCAGCGTTGCTCTCACTCACACTAGACCATCACCACACCTTTCCATAATGATGGTTGCGTGTGTGTGTGTGTGTGATTTTAGCTCCTCGATTTACGTGTTAGGAAAAAGTTTAAAGTGGGGTAATGGGGGTGAGAGTATAAGTAAACTGACAGAAATGGGTGGGTCTAAAGCAATCAACAACAATATAAATGGTCGTGCACTTGCAGTACACAAAATTGCTAACGTCCCTGTTCTTTCTTATTCTTTTCTTTTCAACTTGTCATGTCAACACCAGTTAGCTTTTTTATGGCTTCAACATTACAAGGCATACAACAACCTCCCGTCAACCTTGGCTATTGGCCTGCACCTATCAATACCACTGGCGGACAATGGTAAACATTCCATGTCGCGTCATATGTCTTCATTTGCTAATGATGATACGTATACATAGTTCGTGGTGTGGAAAATATGGTCATCAACGAGGCGTTTGCCCGTATCTCAAGTCTTCTTGAGCGATCACCACCATCCCAAATGTATATATATATATATCCCCCGCTATTCTATACCTTATTAACAACGAACGAGAGGAGAAGAGAATGATGATTTATACGTATCAAGCACCACCACCATCCACATGAACATTTATATATCCTTTCCGATACCAACTGCACAATTCTCACTATCAGCCCTTCCATTCTTTGTTAAACTTTCTTTCAGCAAACCAGCAACAGCATCATCACGACCCTTTTGTATACCATGCAACAACAAGAAAAATGCCTTTTATTGTAGTATCCCATCATCCATGCCCTTGCTTTTTTACTTTCTTTGTTTCCAAAAAGTCAACAGTATATGCAATATCAAGCAAACAATAAAGCTATGTCTCCTACTTAAGTGCATTAAACACACCACCGTATCGGAATCGGGCATGTTTTGAATACGTGTGTGTGAGTGGGGATCACACGATCAGTTCCCTTCGCCGGGCGCGTCTTGCTTTATTTGTACAACACTACTTGGTTTGACATGTCCTGTCGTCGTTTATCAGCAGATGGTGTGCCAGTGTTGTGAACATGTGTTACAATGGTGGTTACTACAGTGGTCGAAGGGATGTGTGCGTGTGTTGTATAATGGGATGGGTTCGTTGTAGTGGTTGGCGAGTGAAATGATTCGCATAATGATCTCTTGCCGAAATGGTCGCTTATCGCTTCTCTCTTTCCTTTTTCGATCCTTGTATGCAACAAGACCATTATCCAAAAGTTGCTGCTGCCATCCAATATCTTTCCGAGCACGCTATTCCAGGCATCACCATCCTCGGTCACCACCACTCGGATCATTGCTACGGGCAAATACACCATTCAGCGCGTCAAGATCGCATCAATGTACGCTTCCAGTACTATGGTCAAATCGTCGATGGTAAAAAAAGAGACACGTTCCATCCTTGACACTCCCTTCAAGCAAGCTGAAACGGGTTGTTGTATAGGCCAAGTGATATTCGATTCTAGCGACTATGCATTTGCACCCGACATTCTCTTTGATCCCAATGCACCCTTGATCTCGAACGACGACGCAAGGCTCTTGCCTATTGCTTGGCATATTGGCGACTCGGCGTGCTTGCACGATTGGCTGCAATTTGTACGACAAAAGGTAACATACATCATTGTGTGGTCAACCAAAAAGCGAGAACTGCAACTGATATGGGGGATGCTGTTCATGCAGATTTTCAATATCCCTCCAGAGATCAATACGCAGCAAGATACGACAAGCGATGATTTGATGGAAGTGGATGGTGAGAAGAGATCGCCGCATTTGGATGAGACGACATCGGCTTCAGTGGTTGTGAATGAGACGGAAGCCAAGACATCAACAGTGGCTGCCGAAGAGGCTGATATGGTTGTGGATTTACCAGAGGTAAGGCTGAAGCGAAGGTATCAAAAGTCTTGGATCTTAAAGATTGCGTTAGGTGAGGCAAGAGCCAATACCAATATCATCACCATCACCACCTGAGCCAGCCCCCAAAGTTACTCGAAAGGCATTCATTGAGCATTGGGTGAAGGAAATGCCAAAGTAAGTGCTCACAAGAGGATCTTTGGATCAAGGGCTAAGATATTTCATATATAGCCATGTCATTCGATACGATACCGATTCGATCGTGTTGTACCTCACCGTCAAGATACCACCATCAATATGGGAAGAAATGCAGCCATATCATCGACAATCAGTGGATGCGCTTGCTGGTTGCGCTGTTAAGATATCCAAACCAAGAGACACTGCTCCTTGCCTTGTACAATGTAAGTTGTATACCTTCAAATGTGATCATGAGCTAATACGCTCGTTTAGTGACCATGCCTGAACAATTTCCTCAAGTCATCCAAGTAACGTTAATATCAGCCATCAATGTTGATCCGCATCATGATGAAATATATTGGCCCGATCGAACTGGATTTGTGATTGATGATATGGATCCGACATTCACTGTGAAGCAGATGGATACACATATAAGGTATAAAGTGTGGCTGGTAAAATTGAAGATCCAAGGGCTGATCAATGCTTTGCAGGCGGATATTAACGGAGGAGATTCCAATGTTTCACTCTGGGTTGTTCCGTGACGAGGATACACAGGCAGTGGGAGTGAAATGATGACAACAAACGCATACACACATACGCACACACACAACACATTACACATATACGTTTTATATGCAGTATATTACATTCTCTTGTACATAAAATTGATCATCAGACTTGCGAAAAAAGGAAAGGTACTTGTGTACAGTGGATCTTGACGAGGCAACAAACAACATGGAAACTCTCTTTTTTGGGGTGACACAGGATGTCGGGTATTGTGATCATGTTTGTGGTGCTCTGCTGTTGCTGCTGCTGCTGCAGTCGGATGAATAGGGGAGCCGGACTGCTTCCGGATCAACTTCATTTTGTGGTTTGCATGATAAACGTTTTACCTTTGGGGGCCGTATTGGCCGACCTTGTTCCTTTATCCGGCACCTTTTTCAACACAAATGATTAAACATGGATACATTTACACACACACACACACACACACACAATTGCTTCCCTGTGTCAATAAGGGGGTGGGTGGGTGAATCAAGTGGATGGTGTAATCCAATGTTTCAATGCAGCGACAGCTTTTAATAACGCTAAAAATGATTCAGGGATGTTTGTGTACGCTATAAAAATTTGAAATGATCGACTGACCTTATTGTTTGGCCCTTCACTTTCTCAATTGGGCAATATGTATGCGAGGAAGGTGTGATCTGGGGAGTGTAGCACCATCCATGCCAGATAATTGGTTTATGTAGTAGACTGTGAAAATCATCATTGCTCATGAAAACGGTGTGGTCTCTTGCTAAGACAGGTCAAGGCTGATGGAACGGACTTGAGGCCATTTTAAGCGGAGCAGGCTGTTCTCACACATTTTGACAGTAAGGAAAAACATTCATTGGCAAAAAAGTGATGCGTGTTGCATATCGGAAGGCATTGGGAGAAACCTCCTCAAACCATGATGATGAATGCTTTCATCCCCCATAGTCTCCTTTTTAAAAAAAGTATGAACATCCATGTTTTCCCAAAAGTATGGAAGATGTTACCCCCCGGCATCGAGATGTCAGCTCAACATGCCGATCGAATTTCTGTGCAACTACAGAATCCTGGGTTTTGCCGAGAGAGAGAGAGGGAGAAAAGAGTCAAGTGCCAAAGAGAATGCAAAAGAGCGTGAAAAAAAGAGAGTGCATCGGGGCGCTATTTTCCCGCTGCCACATGTGATTCATTTCGATCAGGGACCATTGAAGCAAATGCTTCACTTGTCATGTTTTCTTGTGCATCTTTCAAGTGAGTGAACAAGTTAATTAAGTCAATGTCGGGATAAAGGGACAGGGTTAACGGTAAAGAGCAAAGTATATGAACGATGATGTATTTGGGTGATGATGATGGTGATGATGATGCGGGGGGAGGGATTGGATATGTGTGTGTGGGTGTGTGTATAATATGTGTATGTGTGTGCCCATATGCTGGGGGTGGGACAGGAGCGGACGAAGAACCAGACATTTCTTTTTTTGGCTCATCTCTCGTTTCTCTTTTTTTCCTTCTCCAATTTTCCATTTTACAAAAAACGCACACCTTTCACTTTCCTTTCACACACAAAACCACCACAACCATACATTGCACAGTCGCGTGTGCACTACACTTTTTGTTTTTTATTATATATCCACCACCATGCGAACTTCGAGAGGTCTACGGATCACCTCCCTTATTGTCGCATTCCCGGTACTCCTCATCCTTAGTTCCCTCGTTCTTATTTGTGCGCTAGCTATTCAGACACAAGTCAAAGCTTGGGCCGCTCAACATCAACCCCAATTTCTTGATGTAGCCCAGCGTCCCATTTCGAGACTTGCAACATCCACAGCACTCGCACTTTCACCCAAACCATTCACTCGACGTTTTCGCTTAAAACATTTTCTACCATCCACTGTTTGGTCATGGCTCGGCGTGCTCACCGTGTTTGCTCTGATCACCGTGCAAAAGGTAAAGCGGGTTGGGGGAGAAGAGGAGATTACTTATTGTGTAGCCGTCATGACTAATCTAGACCATTTGCTACTAGTTGGATATTGTTTCCTGCAGCCAAAAGGCCTACGCTTTTATTACACCACCATCATCACCCACAATGGCACCTGTATCCACAACCTCAACGACATTGGCAGATGAAAATAGTGATCATGTTTCGTTGTCTGCATCATCGCCGTCATCATCAACATCCTCTTCTTCTTCCACCAAGCCATTGTCTTCAAAGCCACGGAAGAAAAAGTTGAGATCCAAGCAACATCAACAGCGAGTTTCAAAGCAACAACAACAACAACATTATCGTCATCATCAATCTGCAGCAGCTGCAGCTCCACCATCGCCACCTCCTTCACCTCCAGTGCGTCATGCATCTAAGCCTACAATGACGACCACCACTGCTGCACACAATGTACTTGAAGATACCAGCAGCAGCGAGGAAGAAGAATGGATCAATGTTGGCGATAAGAAAAAGAAGCAACGACAATCGCACAATGACCCTATTCATCATCATCATCATCATTCTTCATATGAACCACCCAAGACGCCTGTTATGAGTGATGCTGATGAAGAAGAAGAAACCGAAACTGAACCTGAAGAAACACCAGTGGTTGTTCAGGAACCACAACAACAGCAACAGCAACCACAGGAACAGGAACAGCAACAACAACAACAACAAACAAATGAGCAACAACCTGTCATTCGCAATTGGTATTCGCCATTCTCCACAGGGCTTGATCTGGATATCATGCCCACACGTAACAAGGATCCATACCATCATCATCAACATCATCATTGGCGTGAAGATCCATTTTATCAGCATGCACCCTTGTTCGAACATCAACAAGCATTTTCTTTCTTTGATCGTCCTCATCATGCCATGAGAGTCTAATGCGGTTTTTTCGCTCTCACGTGTAGTAATGTGTGTTGTTCACTGCATTTCGTTGTTTATCATAGCAGCCAAGCCGCGTTTGTATTTTTCTTCCTGTACAGTGTTATATATCTTTTTTCCGTCCCATCACTTTCTTTTCTTTCTCTCTTGTAAAAACACATATAAACAATCCATCTCTACTAATTTCCCGCACATGGGAAATGTTTCAAGCAATTTGCATATGTTTTTGTGCCCATGTGCTACCCCACATGCAACACACAGTTTTGGGTTGATTAACTGGACTTGCCTTTTATTGATCGTTGGACAGGGTCTAAAGTTTGGTAGGTAGATCTCTCTATATACACAATGGGCTTTGTGTTGTTCCACAGTCATGGATGATTGCGTGGGATAAATAGAGGCTCATTGTAATTCATATGATAGGATGTTTAAAACGATGGTGACGGGTGAATGATATCCCAGCAAGAACGTTGTCAAGGAAATGATGGAGGAGGAGGAGGGGGAGCGGCATTGCCATACATGGCGAAAAAGAAAAAGAACGCCAAGGATACACAAAGGTGTCCATGTCGGCGCCAAAATACAAAGGAAAACAACGAAATGCAAAATTAGGAGTTTGAGATATGTACAATTGAATGAGACTCATGGCCCCCCTAATTCTACCACACAATGACAATTCAACAGGAGAGACATGATAACAAAGATATGTGAGGGGATTAACCTATCTGAAACATACACACACAGACGCCCAATTGTATACATGTCATAAGCATTATTAACCCAAGAGAATGGATGCACGATAAGGATGAAACTGTAATATGACATTTTCCAAACGACGGGAAAAGTATATCAAGAGGAGGAGAAGAGAGAGGACGACGACTCTTTAGTAGTATAGCTTGGTGGGGGTGAGAGTGAATGAGTGAGTGAGTGAGAAATCCCGCTGACCATCATCGACACACACACACACATCTATCCTCTTTCTTTTTCTTTTTTACGCTTTGGTATTTTCTCTTCCCTTGGCCCTTTTCTTCATTCGCACTCATTCATCCCACTACAGCCATCCATGATCAACTATGAAGGCTTTTATGCTGTGGTGGTCGTGTGCCTTGTAATTCTCGCTGCCATTGTTTGCTGTCTCGGCATTCGACTCTTCCGACGATCGGCACGAAAAGACGCTGTTGACAATGCCAACCTGATTCGACCCACACGACGAGCCGATGAATGGCAACCCCTGGATGGCATTACAGTTCCCATAGAAACACGAGAGGATTTACAACAAGTTTTAGGTACCGTTTATTATAGAGAGAGTGGAGGGGTTACATACAACGAATGGTATCATTGATGATGATGATGATAATAGCCTGGCAGGGCAGGTTCCCACCTAAATCAAACGAATGGATCGACGTACCAGCTGAGCCACTTGTACAAGAACGTGGTGTGGCTGCATGGACCTTTGTTGAAAACGAGCGTATGGCCGATACAGACGATGATTCGAATGCAGCAGTGATGGATAGGACCACCGTCGTCTTTTGTCAGGGACAAGGATGTGTCTTGACCAATTTACCTCTTCCTCGACAAGAATTTGTGTATTGGGAGGTCAAAGTGCTTCAACTCGATGATCAAGATCGTTTGGCGGTTGGCCTGGCAACAAAACCATATCCCGGATGGCGGTTACCAGGTATGCGGAAAGAGAGAGAGAGAGAAAGGATCGGCCATGGCTAAAGGTGAAATTGATATATAGGGTGGCACCGACATTCTGTTGCATATCATTCACACACGGGTGCTGTTCATGCAAGCGATCCATTCATTGGTCGACCTTATGGCCCACCTTTCAAGGAAGGCGATGTTGTTGGCGTTGGCTATTTATCAAACACAAGCACTGTATTTTTCACGCGTAATGGCAAGGTGCGTAGCAAGGAAGGGAGGAATGAGATATATGGATGGGAGTATGATGGATGCTGACACACACATACAACCTTTGTCTAGAATCTTGGCAAAGCATCCATAGGTTTTAAATTTCCTGTGTATCCAGCCATTGGTGCGGCAGGTCCTTGCCAAGTTGCTGTCAATTTCGGTCAACAAGAATTCCTATTTTCTCCTGGTAAGGAACAACAAGAAGGACATGGGTAGAAGTCAAGGTGATTGATTAATGATGGGAATCTATTAGCCAACTTACGAGAAGCTGCGCTGGCACCTAAACAAGGCACTCTTCCTCCTCCACCAGCTTATGGTGATACACGTAATACCATTATGCTCTTTGGTGCATCCGAAATAGATGACGATTCTCAGCAAAACAACTCCCATCTCGATTATTCACAGCAATCAGCACTTGCTGAACCCGCATCAGTCCCTCCACCTCGCTATACCTAATTGCCCTTGATTCACCACACCCTCTCTCTCCCCATCCTCCTCCTCCTCCCTCTTTCGCCATTGCATGTCATATCCTTTCAACCATGTATCTAAACCTTGTTCGACACTACTTTACAGCAGGCATTTACACATATATACAGCACTTACGACGCCTTGATGCATTTGAATATATACAACAAAAGGTACATTAAAAGATTTCATTCCTCTCTTGTGTGGGATATTACTATTAGCCAAATGGGATGTGGCATGTCTTGGATGAGTAGCATGATGTTCTTGTATACATGATTTGTTGAATGATGCGTCATGTAAATTGGGCATCATCAAGTGTTTCAAGTAGTACCTTTCAATGAAGTCCACAATTACAAGATGTGTACATGATGCTCTAAACATTCGAATTGGGATGAGCAGGGTGCGTTCAATGCAAACGGATAGCAGCTGGTGCCAGTAGTTCCGCTTCTTTTCGCTTGGTGGATATACTACGATGCTTCAACTATGGCAGTGTCTCGTTGATGGATGATTCAAGGATGACGAGCTTTTTGCTTATACTCAATAAGGGATGCTGCATACGTATAGATCCTGGTAGTTGTTTATGCACACTTGACAACATCACCTGGTGGGTTGAAGTCAACCAAATGTAGTCAAATGCTCATTTTGGAATTGGATGACAGCTTTGACACCTTTACTTTTGGCAAGTAGTACTAGCGAATTATAGTGGTATGTTTTGTTGCTTGTCTCTACTCTTAAAGCTTCTCATTAGATAGACATGCACCAGGCCCCTTTGTATCATCTTGACAACCATCGAGATCACCTTATTTAATATCCAAAAATAAGATTCAATGATGCTAAGTATTCGTTGACAACTTTTTTTAATCTCATGGATGATGTGTCTCATGACCCGTGTTTGTAGAGAGAGTCAAACGGTGTGAGAAATTGAATTTGACTCATACTCGGATGGGGCCCTCTGTCTTTTGTAACACACCTCTTCTTCTTCCGCCTTAGTCATACATCCCCATTCCTCTTTCTATTATGGCGACTCCAAAGTCTATTCTTCACGGTGGCTATCACACTGCAGTGTCTCGCTCATGGCAAGCTGAGCGTACGCTCAACAAGAGCATGCTCATGTACCCATTGTTCATTACCGATGATCCTGAAGCTTTTGAACCCATTTCCTCACTACCCGACCAGCATCGTATTGGCATTAACAAGCTCAAGGACTTTATTGAACCTCTTTACAAGAAGGGTCTTCGTTCAGTGATTTTGTTTGGTGTCCCACTCAAGGAGGGTGTTAAGGATGCTACTGGATCCAAGGCTGACGACCCTGAAGGACCCACTATTTTGGCGGTCAAGTTGTTACGTTCCAATTTCCCTGAACTCTTTGTGGCATGTGATGTCTGTTTGTGTGAATATACTTCTCACGGTCACTGTGGTATTTTGCGTGAGGATGGTACACTTGAAAACACCAAGAGCATTCAACGATTGGCCAATGTGGCGGTGGCCTATGCCAAGGCAGGTGCCCAATGTGTTGCTCCTTCGGATATGATGGATGGTCGTATTGGTGCTATCAAGCAAGGTCTTATGGATGCTGGTCTTGCACACAAGGTGATGCTCATTTCATATGCTGCCAAATTCGCTGGTGCCTTCTATGGTCCTTTCCGTGAAGCTGCCAATTCAGCTCCTGCTTTTGGTGATCGTCGTTGCTACCAATTGCCTCCCAATGCACGTGGTCTTGCTCGTCGTGCTATCAAGCGTGATATGGAAGAAGGATGTGATGCTATTATGGTCAAACCTGGTACTCCTTATCTTGACATGATCCGTGAAGCTGCAAACATTGCTGAAGATTATCCCATCGCCGTCTATCAAGTCTCCGGTGAATACGCCATGCTTTATCATAGCGCAAAGGCTGGTGTCTTTGATCTCAAGAGCGTTGTTCTCGAAACCATGACTGGATTCCTCAGAGCTGGTGCTACCCTCATCCTCACTTACTATACCCCTCATCTCTTGGATTGGTTGGATGAATAAGTATATACACGTCAAGGAAGGGATCTTATTGTACCTGCATTCCCCTTAAAGTAGATGTTGTTGTATTCTTTGTATGTATGTATAAAAGTTGATTTTGAGGAATTGTAAGCGATATTCTCTTTGGGATCTACTGGCCACTTTTGGTATATGGAATGACATGCGAAAAGGGAAGATTAGTGTAGTATTCACGTTGCCATGATGATGATGCAAGCATGGATGTTTTTCTAACGTTACATAGCCATAGGAAGCATCATAGGGTTCATCATTACGAGATTTTATTTTCTTGACACAGTACAACAAGTGAATCTATTGCATAGGAGAGAGACAATGGTGGATCAAGAGGCGAATCGGAACAGGTACAGTGGCGATTTCATTGGCTACAGACCTCCGCAGGCTGTCGGTAAAATTCTGGGCAGTGGGCGAGCCATGGAACGTCCTCTTTCCCATCATGAAGGTAAGATACCCTATCAAGAGATATATGGAATCAGCGAGGAGAAACAATAGAGCACCAATGTGATTGAACAAGTGGGAATGGATGAATGATATCGCTCGATGGATGGATGGATGGATTGAATGGGATGGTTTTGGATGAAGGATATCGATACTCATATACTCCATTGTGTTTTTTAGCTGAACATTGCCAACCCAGCCACTGGCTGTCAGAAGCTGTTCGAAATCGATGACGAACGCCGCGTGTAAGGAAGCATTTGCAAATAGCGTTGAGGATTCGGATTGCTCATTGTTGTATGTCTATTATAGGCGCGTCTTTTATGACAAGCGCATGTCGCAGGAAGTTCCCGGTGACTCCATTGGCGATGAGTTCAAGGGCTATGTCTTCCGTATCACTGGCGGTAACGACAAGCAAGGTTTCCCCATGAAGCAAGGTGTCCTTTTGCCCCACCGTGTGCGTCTTCTTTTGAGCAAGGGTCACTCCTGCTACCGTCCTCGCCGTACAGGTGAACGTAAGAGAAAGTCTGTTCGTGGCTGTATCGTTTCCAGCGATTTGTCTGTTCTTTCTCTCGTTGTTGTCAAGCAAGGTGAGCAAGACATTCCCGGCCTTACCGACAAGACCGTTCCCAAGCGTCTTGGTCCTAAGCGTGCTTCCAAGATCCGCAAGTTCTTCAACTTGAGCAAGGAGGATGATGTTCGCAAGTATGTCATTCGTCGTGAAGTTCAACCCAAGAACCCTGAAAAGAAGCCCTACACCAAGGCCCCCAAGATCCAACGTCTTGTCACTCCCGTCACCCTTCAACGTGAACGTCGCAGAAAGGCTCTTAAGCGTAGACGCAATGTTGCCGCCAAGGAAGCTGCTGCTGAGTACAAGCAACTTCTTGCCAAGCGCACCAAGCAGGCTAAGGAGGCCAAGCTCGAGCGTCGTCGCACCTCTTCCATGCAAAAGTCCAGCTCGGCTTAAGCTAATTGCTTTCAACCCTTTTTATACACTCAACTTCTCTCTCCCAGTTATGTTTGTTCTTTGACATTAAACAAGAGAACGGGTTGCGTTGTTCAGTCTCTTTTTTATTTGGATGGTTTGGTAGTATTAGAGATGGGGATGGGATGGGGGGATCTAAATTACTTAGGCGTGCCACAAGTGCATTACATGATCGTAAAAGGAGCAGGATGCAATGAAATCGGGATGTTGGAAAGACCAATCTGCACCATAAGCCATGGATTCATGATCGAGGAAACTGGTAGTGATTGTGTTGTTGTCGGCAGTATCAATAACAAAAGCACCTGCATGCATGGAAGCTGATAACAAAAGATTCGATTTCGTTGGATGCCATTTTAGACGCCAAATGCCACCTCCAGGTGTATGTGCTTCAGATAAAGGTATTCTCATATTCCGCGTGTCCCAAATATGGATGTGCTCGTCATAGCTCCCGGTGGCTACTCGATATTCTTCATGTGGTGAACATTGAATGGCTGTAACGCCCATTGAATAAGTACGTCGATTGGTAATTTGAGCCATTTGACCACCAGCACGTGTATCCCACACCTTGAGAGCTGCATCATCTGCACCAGAGTATAGAATGTTGGTATCCCAATAGTTGAATGCTACAATCCAAGCTTCCAAATCATGAGCCATCCACTGCTGATCAACCATCCAATTCGATTCATTCGCACGCACAAGTGATAGCTGTCCATCCGAATGAGATGTTGCAACGGTGTAGCTATGTTCCACATCACGATGTACTCGACTCGCCCAATCCAATGATAAACATAAGATACTCGTGTCCTCGATAAGTTGGATTCGACTATCAGCCTCAAGCTTGCCATCCCATAATCCATACAGCTGTAGACCACCAATCGAATCAACCACACCAAGCACTTGCCGGTCGTCCACCAACGCGTGATTCCATTTCATATCCAAGATGGCCGCCGTCTCAAGCATTTGGACTTGCTGCAATGGCGTTTTTGATTTTGGATCGACATTGTACAAGTAGAGTCGACCTTTCCGACCATGGGTCTCATTGTCGCGTTCATTTTCTGCAAGCTGGTAGGTGCCAAGTGCAAGGTATTGTGCGTTGTCGGTAAAAGGGCAAAACTCAGTTGAATCAGCACTGAAGATAGTATCGACGGATGCAATCGATTCGGCTTGACGTGTTGCTGTCATTTGTAGGTATCCGAAAAGAGAGAGAGAGATAGAGAGAGAGAGAGAGAGAGAGAGAAAACCTTAAAACAATTGACAACAAACTCGTGTGTGTGCGGTGTTTATCTGATGATGGTGATGGGTCTAAAGGCTATTTTACAGGAATGGATAATACAAATACAAAAAGATGACACATTTAAAGCACCTTGGCTTCGGTCTTGAGCTTATCAAGCAATTCATCCACACTCTCCACCTTGCGACCACCTTGACGCTTAGCAGGCTCCTCCACCTTGAGAGTTTGCAAACGAGGAGAAATATCAACACCAAGGTCTTCAGGAGTCAACTTGACAAGAGGCTTCTTCTTGGCCTTCATAATGTTAGGCAATGAGGCATAACGAGGTTCATTCAATCTATAAATAAAGATATTAGTTATCCCAATTCCCATTTGACCCATTTTGTATCCATGGTTACCGTAAATCAGTAGTAACAACAGCTGGCATCTTGGTTGACACGGTCTCCAAACCACCATCAATCTCACGAGTCACCTTGAGAGCTTGATTTTCAATCTCGACCTTGGAAGCAAAAGTAGCCTATAGAGAGAGAGAGTGTGTGTGTGTGTGTACGCATTAGCCTCATATCCTCTTCCTCCTCCTTCATACACCAATTTATATACCTGAGGCCAGTTCAAAAGACCTGCCAACATTTGACCGGTTTGGTTGCTATCATCATCAATGGCTTGCTTGCCGAGAATAAAGAGATCAGGCTTGTTTTCCTCCTTGTTGGCAACAGCTTGAAGTAACTTGGCGACTGCCAATGGTTGCAAAGTGCTATCATCCTTGATCTCAACGTGTACTGCACGGTCAGCACCCATAGCAAGGGCCGTACGCAAAGTCTCTTGTGCCTTGGTGGTGCCACAGGACACGGCAACAACTTCAGTCTTGGGCTGCTTCTCCTTGATACGGACAGCTTCCTCCACAGCAATCTCGTCAAAAGGATTCATACTATGCTTGACGCTGCGATCGACATCGGTCTTGGCTGGATTCACTCGAACCTTGACAGCTTAAAGTGTGTCAATGCCATGTTGCAATGCTGCCCATTGGGAATAAAGTTTACCAAAGTCAATGACGCGTTTGACAGGTACAAAGATACGCAAAGGGTTGGACATGTTTGGAAAGTGATAAAAGAGGGAAGAATGATTCACGCCCACACGACCTGAGATCCATTTATGGACCGGCCCTGTCATCATCAGCAGCTGAAAGCCTATTAGAAACAAGCATCATTGTTCACCCGGTTCCGATGATGATGCGTCACACACTTTTAGATTCTATTATGCACTCTCGATAGAATATTACCATTCGATTAATTACATGATGAGCACCTTTATTGTTATCTCAAAAGCTCTTTCGATATAAACATGTTGGATGGGAGGGGGATGGAGGGATAAGATATGTAATGGTGTTGGTGGTGGTGGATTGTTATATTTACGCAGCCTGGACCTTTTCAATGAGAGAGTTTACTACACTGGGGTCAGCGAGAGTAGAGGTGTCACCAAGTGAATCAGCTTCGTTGTTGACAATCTTGCGCAAAATACGACGCATGATCTTGCCAGAGCGTGTCTTGGGCACATCAGCGACAATGTAAATACGCTTGGGGGTAGCAAAAGGACCAATCACCTTGCGTACTTGCAAGACAAGCTCCTTATCAAGGCCTTCGGATGCATCCACATTCGGCTTAAGTGTACAGAAAGCATGAATACTTTGACCAGTCAATTCATCGCTACCACCCACGACAGCAGCTTCAGCAACGGCATGATGCAAAATCAATGCTGATTCAATTTCGGCAGTCGACAAACGATGACCCGATACGTTGATGACATCTAAAAAGAAACACACCCCATTAATGATACGTTCTTACATGAGAACCCTTTTCCTCATCCTCCTTCCTTACCATCCACACGACCACGAATCCAAATGTAGCCATCCTTGTCGCGAGTAGCACCATCACCAGTGAAATAGTAACCCTTGTAGGGGTACAAGTAGGTATCGAGGTAACGGTGATGGTTGTTGTAAACGGTACGTGCCATAGATGGCCAAGGTTGAGCAATGGCAAGGACACCAGTGACATCATTACCCTTGAGCTCTTCACCAGAGACAGGATCAAGAATGGCAGGCTTGACACCAAAGAAGGGGAAAGTAGCTGAACCAGGCTTCATGGCAGTGACACCAGGCAAAGGAGTGATGATGATGGAGCCATTCTCAGTTTGCCAATAAGTATCAACCACAGCACATTGACCCTTGCCAACTTGCTCATAGTACCATTCCCAAGCTTCAGGATTAATAGGTTCACCAACGGATCCAATCACACGCAACGACGACAAATCATAGCCTTCAAGCCACTTGTCACCAAGACGTCTCAATGCACGAATGGCAGTAGGGGCGGTGTAGAATTGAGTGATCTTGTGCTTTTGGACCACTTGCCAGAAACGTGATGGATCGGGATAAGTAGGAGTGGATTCAAAGAGCAAAGTGGTAGCACCATTGAGTAATGGACCATACACAATGTAAGTATGACCAGTGATCCAACCAATATCAGCCATGCATGCGTGAATGTCACCAGCCTCTGGGTGATAATCAAAAATGTACTTTACAGAAGCACAAGCACCCAAACAATAGCCACCAGTCGTGTGCATCACACCCTTTGGCGTACCAGTAGATCCGGAGGTGTAGAGCAAAAACATGCCATCTTCAGCATTGACGCTGACGGGTGGGCAATAAGGACGTGCCTTGGCAGTCTCTTCGTGCCACCATTTATCGCGACCTGCAGTCCAAGGGATTTCAGATCCGGTACGACGACACACAAGCACGTGATCGACACAAGGGCTTTCTTTGACGGCTGCATCAACAATGCGCTTGGTTGCAATGTTTTTGCCACCACGACGACCTTCATCAGCAGTAAGCACAACACGAGCACCACAATCCAAAATACGATCTCGGAGCGAATCGGATGAAAAACCAGCAAACACCACCGAATGCAATGCACCAATGCGAACACATGCAAGCATGGCATAAACAGCTTCAGGAATCATTGGCATGTAAATACAAACATTATCCCCCTTGCGAACATCCAATGACTTTAAGACATTCGCCAAACGAGATACTTCTTGTAAAAGTTGACGGTAGGTGATCTTGACAACATTCTCAGGTTCATCACCTTCATGGATAATAGCCACCTAGCAAACGCGTAAAAGATGTTTGATGAGCAACGGCACAGCCACATGTGAACCCCTCACCCCTTTTTGTTCCTTATCATCATCATCATCCCTTACCTTGTCTGGAGTTGCAAGTGCATGACGATCCACACAGTTGTAACAAGCATTCAACTCGCCATCGGGGAACCATGCAACATCACCTTCGGCAAATCCACCAGTGCGTACAGTGTTGAAAGGCTTAGACCAATCCAAGATGTCGCGTGCCAACTATAAAAGAGACGCGTGTTATGTTGTCCATGAGTCATCCTTGTTGTATTCAACTTTTTTCATGACGATAGTTACGTTGCCAAAGAAAGTATCAGGGTCATTCACACTTTGTTCCCAAAGCTTCTTGTATTCATCAAAGCCAACAATATGGGGTTTGGGAAGGTCACCATTCAAAAGACGCTTGGGGACTTGGAACACAGGATCGGCTTGCTCAGTGGCAGTCATTTTTAAGAAAAGTGGTGAAAAAAAGGGAAGCGATAGGGAAAAGAAAAAAATCAAGACGGCTGAAGAATCGGGTTTAATATATATACACGTCGGCTGAGCGTAGGAGGGGCTCGTGTGTGATGATGGTGGATGGGGGGTGTACGACAACCACGATGACCAAAGCACACACTTGTAGAGGCGCGTGAATAAGGTTGCTGCATAAAAAGTGTGTGGCACCCCAAAACTTACCATTGCGCCCAATGTCTCACACAATCCTCCTTTTTTTGATGCGGCGGACGGGTATTTGCGGAACACAGAGCGTGCATCTCATCTTTTGTGTATAATTGATGGTTGCCATGCAACCACTATTACCTAGCAATGTCATTCACTACTCATGTTTATTATGTTTCTGCCACATTGACCATGAAGAATGATTGATTACGTTATCCAACATCTGCAAGTGAAAAAGATGTTTCTTATGTCTCCATGTTCTCACGTCGAAACCAGACCACTCGCGTGGTTTGAGCCCTGAAAAGGGAATCATCAACCATTGGTGTGCTTTTATTCACACACACACGCATGCCACATTACATATCCACATACGAATACGTAAAGCACCTTGTTGAATCACACCACAGCGCTGTATTTGAATCGAAGAGAAAAGGAGACATGTTTCTGCGGTGATACGTACAACAAGTCCGTCTTCCCCACAAAAATTCATGGGAAAGCCTCTTTTTGTGTCACCTTGTTTGAGTTGCAGGTACACACATCAACGGCCTGCTGCAACCTTTGCACATCGATCGTCATTTTCATTTCTCGCTCATTGCTGCTTGCTGCTGTTCTCGACATGGAAGGTGGGCTGAATTAAGCTTTCTTTGATTGCTGTATGCATTGAATGGATGTACGTATGATTGCTTTCTATTCCATCAACACCAAGAACATGATATCCGTTATGGTAATGGGTGTGTGAAAAACAAAGGCCAAAAGGTGTGACCCGAGGTAGATAACCCCCATGATTTTTTAAAGGCAGTAATGAGATGCCGGCAAGATACGAAAGAAAAAAAGCAACATGTTGGTAAAAGAAGTAGCTTCAAACGCTAATCAAACCACCAAAGACCGCCCTTTTATATCTTTCTAGATCCTGTTTGCATGATCAAATACGCTTATGTAGATGCATCCGCGGCCGTGCATCCACGTTTGGTTTCGCTGCCAAAAGTCGGGGCCAAGCACCATTGTATGTCACACCAGCATGGTCTTGCACTACAGTCCGAGCCCAGCACAAGATAGGAACATGTTGTTGTACTATTATAGTCAACAAGGGGAAAATGAAAGATAACATTATCGTAATCAAAAAGAACGTACAGTGTGTGATGGGTGGATGCTGATGAGCTCATCAGGTCGCCTTATGATCCTCCCCAACAACAACGATCGTTCTACAAAGAGTACAACAAGAAGCAACATGTTGGATCATGCCAATGGCCCGTTTTTCCCTCTACGTTTATTCTCATGATGCTCTATCCTTGTTGGTATAGCATAACGATAGTCAAATCCCGATCTTCATGTGGTAGGTTAATCATCACCTTGCTTGATCCAAAACACGAAAGCATGTACGCACATGTCCACTCGCGAAATCACGGCATGATAGCAATATCGCTATTCCTCATCCCAAACAATATGGTTATACCAATACCGATTCTTATTGTCACGTGCCTTAAGTTTGTACAACGACAGCAATGTGAAGCAATGTAGCGAGAACGATCCTTTTTTATCATCCAGTATCCCGTAATATCAACTAGCTAGTCTTGTGCTGATAATGCAAGCTACATATCCACCATTGAGGACCACTGGCCTTGTTGTTCATAATCCCAATCGACATCTCGATGAACCATCAGCATCCTCCCACCTGTAACTCGTTCAACTTGCAGTTTGACAGATGAGCTATGATCCTTGGCTTGTCATTTTCTTCATCTTCATCTTGACGTTGTTGTTACGCTTGTAAACGATCCTCAATAAGCAGTAGAAGACACGGTGACCATGGGGCTATGCGATACAACAATGGTCAAAAGGCTGTTTGAAACAACAAGATAGACCTCCACACGCTATAATAGACGAACCACACATACGAATAAAGCTTGCTGCTGTTATCAGCTGTTGCTGCTACCTTGAATGACGAGTAGATTGAGTCTCCAGAGTCAATGTAAGGGCGGATCTTGTGTAGGCGATCAAGGGACGCTTCAAGCCGACAATGAATCCTATCAATCTTTGCAACGCGAAGTCGTTTTATCACTACATGGTCAGTTACCATACCATGACTGCAACAATGTCACAAGGCAACCGTTTGCCACCATCACTCGTCGACGAAGACGAAGTCTAAGCTCGCGATCACTGTTGCCATATGCATAACCAGAATTGGAATCCCGCAAAACACATACCTGGACTATTCTTGCCCCCCCCCCATCAGGTTCCCAGGCAACCACGACACGAGGAGATAAGCAAGTCATAGCAACCTACATACAACAAGGATATACACACTTCCATAAGGTGGGAGCGCTACAAGGTTCATTCATATTACGACTATTTGTACTTTATACCCATTTCGGTTGTACTTTCATTTGGCATATTCATCACTTTATCTTAATACATAATGCAATGGTGCGGTGGTTTATAGAATGATATAAAGTATGTGGATAAAATACAAGTAGTAATGATAATGATTCAAATGTTGAGAGTATACATGGGGCTTTATGGGCCGTCGTCTGAAACTTCGTTGGTATGCTTGCTTTCATTGAGGCGTACGATTCGAGGCTGGATGTGGTCGAGTAATGAGGATTTAGCAGTATCAAGGTCAAAGCGAGTTTTCTGCACCATATCCTTGTGTTCCTTATCCAGACTTGCTATCACATAACCGAAGCTTCTCTCGCCGATTTGTTCTTCCACGTTCACTCTTTGCCCCATGTTCATCACATTCATGCCCAAGGATCAATTTTTCCTATACTCAATGGCGTATGTATAGCACAATCTATTCACGTGATGGTAAGGTTAGCAAATACATAAAAAAGAAAGCCATCTTTGATTTTACTTACTCTGTGTGCGTATGAATGACCTTCAACCTCTTGAAGGTTTCAAAGCTAGCATGCTTGTATTTTGATGCCACCGTCCGCAGCATGACAAGCAAACCGAACATTGCTTTATGGTGGTCAAAGCTTGTCTTGCCTGAACATCATAGCCTGTGCTGATCGATGGTTGCTAGCCGAGGCGATCTTTGTTGTTGCGAGAATCGCTCAATGTGATGTAGATTAACACCCTCGGAAATGTATCACTCTACACCTTAAATGTTGATTTCCACTGTTTCATAGCCGATGCCTGGTGTGGGCGCTCCTTCGATGTGTCCTCCAAGACCTGATCAATCTTCTTCAATAAGTCATGGCTTGACAGAGTCGAGTAGATGTTAACGTAGCCTTTTAGGATTGTGTCAACAGACCATGTTCCGGGAGGAACTTGCCGCAAGTAATCTTTAGGGCTCTTGAACGATTCCATGGTGAAAGGGATTTTGTTATTTCCACCATGCCAACTTCAGCACCCGATGTACGGAGACCATGGCACCGTAACCAAAAGATGCATCATGGGAGATAGCTATGTAACCAAAAGATGCATCATGGGAGATAGCTATATCTATCGAAAGTAACAAGGTAGCATGTATGAGTAGTGACTCTTCTAACAACATGATTAGGCTTTACATTTTTATAAGGATCCAACGTATCACAATGAGGACGACGTCAACAACAATGGGAGCAGGATAACAAAGACACCTTATGAATGACCACAATGATCAGCGCTCGTTCACAAAGCTTGCGAGGAATGGGTATACGTACAAAATCTTGGAAATTTGGCCTTGTAAGCAATCAAAGAAGGAGGAGGAGAGAAGACAGAGACGTGTGGGAGTAGGATGGGTGGCGACAACATCCTTTTGTTGTGCATTGTTGGCGTGGGTATCTTTTTATCTGTTGGGGATGATGGATCGATAAATTGATGAGGGCGCATATACCAGGATTAAGTCTGAAGAGCCTAGGTCTAATGTTGTCTATGCATACATCGTCCACATTAGGGCGGGTGATAAAGTCTATCAATGAAATCAATCACTTGTACGCCTAATGGAGGTGATGTAATCTATCAAGAAAATCAATTACCTGCATGCCTGAAGCACATCCCGGTTATTAAAAAGGTGCTTTACCATGATGTTGTCAACCTACTTTTAATATTGGTATGCGTGTTCGGTAAGCAGCGAGGATGATCCGATCGCCTTTGATATCAGCAGCCAATCCCATGGCATTGCGCAATTGTGCTTCGAATAAAGGATGGTGCAAGAGACATGGTGCAAATAGCAAAGACCGGTGAAAGAGGTGGTAAGTGAGAATTGAGTCAAACGCGTATCTCTAAATCACTTCTGATTGGCTGACAAAAAGCATTAAGCTCGCCCCAGCTATTTATTTTCTACACCTTCGACTCTACTTGTAAATGCATTGTAGATGAAGCAGGATGGTTGACATGTCATTTTCCTTTTTGAGGATCCTGCTGCTCATCATCCAATTCAACTAGATAACAATGATGTTAAATATTGTAAACAACAGTGCTGTGACCCAATAAACCAATGTCTTTATTTCTTTATACATGAATCAACACAAACATGAGATAATTTTCTCTTGGAACACCCTTTTCCCTTTAATTTGAAGAAAGGACGACACTATTCTCCATGGAAATCCACCTTGTGATCCTGCATAGGGCGCCCATGAAAACTCTGAACATACTGTATATATCAAAGGCATGGATGATGATATGGATGTGTATTTGGAATCATTTGCTTCGATTGAACTTGAGCATTAGCAGATCGCCCACCTCGCTTATGATCCCCAAAGCACGCTCTACATAATTAGCATGTTAAGATTTTATGTCTGCTTTTCCTCTTCCCCTACTTGTTATCCTACCTATATCCTCCTTGGTATGAGAAGCTGATACACAAAACCTTGCTCTTGATGAAATGATGGATGTTGCAGGATAACCAACAACGACGATAGCAACACCTCGCTTGAGTAATTCTCGAGAGAAGGCACTACACAATTAAATGATTCAGCATGATATCCTCCGACACATGAATGCATCTACTTACGCAATCTTGGCAGGATTGAATAACAACAGCGGTATCACAGGACTTCCATGGTCACCATACACAATGAATCCCATTTCTCGTAATCTTCGAGCAAAATAAAGCGCATTGTCTGATAGTTGACGTATACGCCATCGGCCTTCCTCATGACCACTAAGTAAAAAGAACAATGACTGTGATTAGAAATCTTCCAAAAGCTATAGAAAACCTCCTTACCAAATCAATCGCATGCTTGTCATTACTTGCTGAATCACGGGGACCGGCATCGTTTCTGCATACACATAGGCATGATTTGTTGTATGAAGATAATCAATGACAGGCTTGCTTGCAGCAATGTATCCACCGGCAGCACCAAAGGATTTTGTAAATGTCCCCATTAGAATATCCACGTTGGCTGGATCGACGCCATAAAAATCGCATACACCGCCACCATGTTCACCCAAAGCACCAATGGAATGGGCTTCATCGACATAGAGATAAAACTTGAACTGCTCCTTGAGCCGTATCAGCTCCGGTAGGTTGACGATGGTGCCTTCCATTGAATACAAGCCTTCCACAACGACCCAGATCTTTTTCCAAGGGCGATGCGTTCGTGGTTGTCCTTGAGATATCACTTCACGCAATAGCTGTTGTAGATCTTGCATGCTGTTGTGCTTGAATACCCTTACAGATGCGCCTGAGAGACGTGCACCAAAGACGATGGATGAATGATTGAGCTCATCTGAAATGATCAACGATCCCTATGCCATTTGAAATGAGGATCTTGTACATCACATGTTCATATCATCATATACCCATACCTTGCCCACAAGTGCAGGTAGCGTTGTGGAATTGGTTGCGAAACCCATACTGACAACCATAGCAGCCTCTTTTCCAACAAAGCGAGCCACCAATCTTTCCAATTGCACCAACAATTCAGTTGTACCGGCTTCTGCTCGAGGACTCGCTGACACCAAGCCCGATGCAAGTGTTTGTTCATGCACTGCATCAGCGCACGGACCTTGATTTTGTGCAAATCCAAGATAGTTGTATGATCCAAAATTCAGATTCTCCTTCACGCTGCCGATCAATTGAAATGTATGATTGAAATCCTTGGTCTCACGCTCTAGCAAATGCACCGTACGTGAAGCAACACCAGTGATGGGTCGATTCCAGCAATCCCTTCAATGACTCTATATCAGCTACTATCACTTTTCCCTCTTTTACCGTGTTGGGTGCTTACCTTATCCGCATATAGAGACGTCTTGTGTAGAATGAATCAAAATCGGAAACGATCGGTGCATATCCCTAATGTTACCATGGCATCAACACACACATACGCATACAGGATACTTGAGGACGTGAACGTACCTCTGATACTTTGAGATGCTGGTATTCTTTACGCTTGAATATCTTGCCCATGGTATCACGCAAATGACCAAGAAGGATCAATACAAACCAATTGAGATAGGTGGATATGAGGATCAATAGCGGAGCTGATTCCATCTTGTGAGCAAGGTCATCATACTCTCGTTTAGGTTGTCGTTGTGGTGTCCATCGTAAACGAGGTGGAAGTACGGGCGATGTGATTGATTTCGGTGATGATTGATTTACAATGGAGGGTCGTGACAAGAAATGCGTTGGTGCCAAACTCAAGACAAGGTCGCCCGAGGATCGTAAAGGTATTGATGGGACGAGTGATGTGATCGCTGGAGCGCTGCTGATGGTATGTGATCGTTTGCCTTTGCCCATTGTTTGTTGTTGTAAAGTGTAAAAGGGAAGATCCAACAAGCTGATTTCACATTTTGATGATACTCTCTGGATTTTCTCGCCTCGGGCAAATATGGGTTTGACCACCATCACCCTGTAAACCCATGCTCTCCTCCATATACATATCCATGCCTCCATGCCACATAACTCCAATCATGATTTGCTGTTGCATCAAGGATCTTTGAAAAGCAAATGTATTGGAAGATACATTGATCAGAAACAAGCTACCAGCGCCTAATGCTCCCCTTCCCCGGACCCAACAAGGCCGACATTGGACGATGATGGATCTTCTTGTTGTCGCTTGGATGCGGCTGCCATAGCCTTGGCGTATTTCAATCCACAAGCATTGCAAAGCTCCTTAGGACCGTTGGGACCACGTCTCCATTCAGGTGAATCCTTTCGATGACAATGCGCACAAATCTTTGGATTCTCTTCAGTTGTTGAGGCCACTACCTTCTTTTTTCTCTGTAATAAAAGAAAATGTGAGATGGTGATTGTCTTTGGCATACACGTTCATGCACCATCATGTTACCTTTTTATCATTGTTGCCTGATTCGAGTTCTTCAATCTCAGCACGTAGCTTAGCATTGGCTTGCTCAAGTTGATGCATTTCATATTGCCAACTGGTACTTCGAACGGTCTCCAGCTCTGCAAAGAGGTTTCCTTCTCCAATCACTTGCTCACCAGCACCTCGTTTGGTATCATCATTATTGGCCAATCGCATCTGCACCAATGCAAAATCAGCTTTGCCCACACCAGAAGAAACATTGCCAGGGTAAAATGTGGAGACGACTTGGACGTATTGGCCACGGGTATTGCGTATGGTGTGTGTGAGGTTCACAATTTCACATCGGCTCACCAAGCCTAATGCACGTGAAATATCTGGAATATTGCTGTCGCCAGCAAAGCGATAGACGCTGGATCCTTGAAGCGATTTGGGTGTATATCCAAGTACAGCTTCCACTGGTTTGGTCACTCGCAAGAAAAGGCCCTCCAAAGACATCTTGCACCAAAACTCAGACGTCAATGGATCAGCAACAATCACTTCGGGTATGGCAGTGGCATTGGCGTTGGCCACTTCCTTGCGATCGAGATGGTAAACGGAGCGTTCACGACCCGCCAAAATCAAACACTTGCGACCCTTGTTGACATCCATATGAATCTTGCCTTTGCACTCGAACCACATGTAGCCAGAGTACTTGCGTCGTACACGGTATAAAAGACTGATCACCTTGTTTTGGTCACCCGAGGATACGGCATCCTTGATATCACGCATCACCGGTACAATGTCGGATGGATGGCATATTGAACCAAGTGAATGACCCACCAACTCTTCAGGATCATATTCAAGTAGCTTGGAGCATGATCGAGACGAATACAAAAAGAAGCCCTTGAGCGATAAGACATGGATGAAATCACGCGATTGATCCAATAAAAGTCGATTCCATTCTTGTTGTACTTGCTGCTCATTGTCGCCTGTGCATGCAATCAAACGTAAAACCTCGGGTCGTGTAATGGACGTGATAGGGGCGCTGCTGGGTAACTCGTAAAAGTATTCATCCACAGGATCCGTAGCGACTCCTAAATATACATACGTGTTAGTAGGGATCATGATGATGTCATAGTGTGCTCATGGTTTCTTCTTCTCACCTTGTGAAGGGATATAGGGTGGGATGTTGATTTGCTGATAATTGATCATGTAGGTGTTGTCTAAATCAATAAGTAAATCAGCCATGAAATTGAACAAGAGATGCATCCACACCCATTTACTTTTCATCTTTTCAAGGATAGCATTGGGCTGCTCCACCAAGTCAATCTGAAGACCCACAAAGAATGCCGTTTCATTGCTATCATCTGGAACAGGGATCACCGTGACCAAGTTGACGAATGGCTTTTGAAAATAGATTAGCAATCATGATGATGATTGGCTCATTGTGCTTCTGCATAATCAATACCTGGCCACCCTTTTTGTAGTTGATAATGCTCGCTTGATGCTCTTTGGCTTGCAAGAGGTATGACTTGAGATGATACACTGCAAGATTATCCGTATGTTGACGCCTTGATCCCTCGGTGACCAAACCATCTGGTGCTTGAAGAAAACGACAATTGCGACCCAAGATCTCATCACTTTTGTAGCCTGTCAATGTTTCAAAGTTGGGAGAGCAATAAACGATAGGACAATCAAATTGTCGAGCATCCGTGACAAGAAAGGAGCATGACATGTCAATAGGTCCAAGGTTGATAAGTGGATTGGGTCTATCACATCCATGTAAGTCCATGTCACTCCTATATGCAAACAGGCTCCTTAGGCCCTTCATTACCTGTTGACGACTCGAGAAAGGATACCAATCATGTCAAAACCAGAGCTTGAATAGACACCCGTCAATGCACCACCACTCGTCGACGTTGATACGGGTAAGGCTGATGTAGTTGGTGCAGGAGGTGCCGTTGATTGAGGACCCACAACATCGAATGTCGGATCAGTGGACTCAGCATCCAGAATACCGGCAAAAGGATCCATAGCAGCTGTCAAGTCGGTCATGGGAACACCGCCACCACCACTACCGAGTTGCATGGCATCGTCGTCGCTATCTTGCATGAGGTCGAAAGGTTGTTCTTGCTGAGATGTCATTCAGGCTTATAAAGCAATTGGAAAGAAAGGTGAGTGAAAGAGAGAGTGAGAATGTCCTACTCATGCTCTTGACAAGTCGCACCTAAAAGAGTATACGCGTACCAATCTGGTGGTTCCATATCCCCTTGCACTTTCTCGGAACTTCCGATGTTTCAAGGCAGTAATAATGATGATCCATCCTTTATACCCATTTCCGTTGTACTTTCATTTGGCATGTTCATCAGCTTATCTTATACAATGGTGAAGTAGTTTATACGATTGATATGAAACGTGTGGATACGAATACAAATAAATGATAATGATAAAATGGGAATGACTCAAATGTTTGAGGTCTATATGGGACTTTTCGCGCCATCGTCAGATACTTCGTTGATGTGCTTGCTTTCATTGAGACGCATAACCTTTGTACTTGCGTTGGTTCGTTAAATTCCAACAGTGTCCAGCATCGATTTGAACGTAGTAGGCGAGGCTGCATCGTCACTCATTTCATATAGCACACCACCAGGCTGTCCAAAAAGTTTGTAAAAGCAGCAACGGCTTGTACATGTGATGATACTTGGATCTTCGCCATCCAGGTATGCCGTAATGCAACCTCTGCAGTTACCCGTTTTCGGAGATCGATTGTCAAGGGCCCTTTTATCAAGTCTTTGCTATCAAATGAAACGAAGAAAGGTGAGTTATCTGCATATGGCAGCTCACTACTTGTGAAGCTTACCTTTGTCTGATTTTATCATCCCTTGTGGAGGACATACCAAAAAGGGGTCCACATCATCCATAAATACGAAAGTATAATGAAAAAGACCATGGATGATCAAGGAACACACCCAAATGCCATCCAACAATGAGCACATCAAGTAGTGGTAAAGCAATAAAGTGAGCTGCATACAGATGAATGCATCATGAGTACCATCATTTTGGGGATTACCTAAAGACCATCCTTGAGACTTACCAAAGGCCATTGATGGTGATGTGCATACAAGCAGAAAGAAAGGACGTATGATAGTGTTGGTGACAACAGCCTTGTTTATATGTGTGAGTGGGCGTGAGAATTGTTGTCATGATTGATTGGACCGATAAAGTGGTCATGATGCATCATCTTGGAGTAAGAAAAGACAATGTCAAGGCTAACGTTCCCGCTCAAACAGCAAAGGAGGTGATGACTATTATAGAAGCTGCATTGCGAGCCAAGAACATGACCATGTAAAGAAGAGGGGGCGGGGCTTGATGAGTCACGTGTTGACAATGATGGCTATAGGATACATGATCTCGACACGTATTTGAACTTCTCTCGTGACCGTCTAATGCCGATCATTATATGACTTCCAGCTGTGGAGGAGTGGCAGCAGCGTGAAAACCAATCCGAGTAAGTTGCACAGACAAACTTAATTAGATGCTCCAAGAGCCAGCCAAGTGTAACCATAGAATTTCATGGTGGTGCGATTGTTGCCATGTGGATGAATTGGCCCCAGCATACAACACGTTCCTTTCAATAAACGCGTCCTTTCGCAATCCATATTGGAGTCGCCGTTGGGATTCGGTTAGAAGTTGGGTGTTATGGTCATTTAGATGCAATGGTTTGATATATGAAAAGCCCAGCTCATCAATACATAATATAATAATAATGCTTGTGATGCTTGTGGTGGCAACATAATATGACATGATGATGATCCTGATAATAAGTATCCCTGAACTCCCCTTTCAAAGGAACTTCCCCCTTTCTGGTCAATAAGCTACATCGATTAAATGTATATATCACAGGGGAAAGATGATCTATATCCACGCTATACAATTAGGCTACAGCTTTTAAAAGAACCCTGTAATGAGATAGGTGGTGACAGGTCGATAGTACTTGGGCCTCCTCAAATATGAGCGGAATGGCAAATGTAATATGAGAGCTCTCCAAATGCGGTGATGGTGGTGGCCAATCTACTGCTACTCAATACACTCCACTCGCTTGCAGACTCTCCTTCTTTGTCGTTTCTTTCTTTCTCTTCTTTTTCTCTCTCTCTCCTCCCAACCCTTCCTTTTCTTTCTCCATGTCGCACTCTCGTCGTGAAGAAATTACCAACCGTCTCAAACAATTCAACGCAGGCGACCAATACGAGATTATCGACGTGGTTGGTGAAGGTGCCTATGGCGTTGTCTGGTACGCATCTCGTTCTTTTATTCTACAACTCTCATCTGACATTGACAAATAGTTCGGCTGTCCACAAGCCTACAGGCCAAATGGTTGCCATCAAGCGCATCTTGCCCTTTGACCATGCCATGTTTTGTTTGCGTACGTTGCGCGAGATCAAGTTGCTAAAGTACTTCAACCATGAAAACGTAAGTGTGTGGCGTATTTACACATCATTCATGTCTTTGACACATTGCATTATGATAGATCATTTCCATTCTTGATATCGTCAAGCCACGATCGTATGATGACTTTACTGAAGTGTACGTAAAAAAAGGAGAGAGAGGGTGCAAATCATGCATACATATGGGTGAAGATGTGTCAAAGGAGTGAAAAAGGGCTAGCAGTAATAGTATCATCATTTGGCTTACATCCATGTTGTCAACTAGTTACCTCATTCAGGAATTGATGGAAACGGACATGCACCGAGTGATTCGAACACAAGATCTATCCGATGACCATTGCCAATACTTCACTTACCAAACATTGCGTGCGCTCAAGGCGATGCATTCTGCCAATGTCCTCCACCGTGATTTGAAACCAAGCAACCTGTTGCTCAACGCCAACTGTGATTTGAAAATCTGTGATTTGGGTTTGGCTCGTTCTTCCAACTCGGCTGATGAAAACAGTGGATTTATGACCGAGTATGTCGCGACACGCTGGTACCGTGCGCCTGAGATCATGTTGACGTTCAAGGAGTATACCAAGGCGATCGATGTCTGGTCCGTCGGCTGCATCCTTGCCGAGATGCTCAGTGGCAAACCCTTATTCCCCGGCCGAGATTATCACCACCAGTTGACCCTTATCCTTGATGTATTGGGAACTCCCACGATGGATGACTTTTACGGCATCAAGAGTCGAAGGGTAAGGATGACAAATGGATCCTGCATGGATAAAGGCAACTCATAGCAATCATAGGCACGAGATTATATCCGAAGCTTGCCATTCAAAAAGCGCATTCCCTTTTCGCGTCTCTTTCCCAACGCCAATCCCATGGGTAAGTTTGTCGTATGGATAGGATGATCGAATATTGACTTACACTCATGCATGTGTTAGCTGTGGATCTACTTGAAAAGCTCTTGACATTCAACCCAGCGAAACGTATCACAGTGGAAGAAGCATTGAAACACCCATACCTTGAGCCAGTAAGTACATTGGTGATACAAAATGAATGAGACATTGACATGCATTCCATTTGTGTAGTACCACGATCCTGATGATGAGCCCGATGCTCCTCCGATCCATGAAAGCTTTTTTGATTTTGACAAGTATAAAGATCAGCTTACCAAGGAGCAACTTAAACGTAAGTTTCTTATTCATTGATTCATGTTTCGTTTTGTTTCCTTACAATGAATCTTTCAATAGAGATGCTGTATCATGAAATCACCCAATAGCCAAATACCGATTCCTTTTATTCTGTTGTTTTTGCTTTGTTCAATTCTTGCTTTAAAAATGATGAAGATGCTATATTGTGTAAAACAGAATGAATCATATATAAATGTGAGTGTGAGTGTGAGTAAGTGAGCGAGTGAGAAGGATGCGAAAACTACTACGTAGGATGAGGAGGAAAGAGTGGAAGGATGAGTGTCATGATTAGGAGGGGGTCAAGGAGTCTTTCTTTCGTTTGAGCTTCTTGTGGGCGTGTCCCGATGTTGATGATTTCCTTGCAGCAGGTGGAGAGCGTCTGTGTAATTCAGCCAAGCAATCATCACAATACCAAGCACCTTTTGGTGGTGCATCCAAACCAACACAATCCATGTGGAACCATTCATATGGACAATGCTAATGATATCGTTTGAAAAAGCTGTTTAACAACCCCCAATAGTGAAAAAGGACTTACCTCGCCATCGCATGCCACCATTTCTCCATAGGAAACTTGTCGACAATAGCAATAGAGAGGCTCGTTTTCATTTTCATCTCGCTCCTTTCGTTTCCTTGTTGGTTGCTTGATGGGTGGTGGTTCATACAATGCTGCATCATCCAAAATATCATCGTCCTCTGCATAAATCGATTTTTTATCTGTACAAAGATCATGCAATAGATGAGTCGTCTTGGCCTTTTTGTTGTAATACCAAATCATTTGTCCCACCATGCTTCACTCCTTTCCATCCAACATCCCCCCCTTTAATCCCAGCCAATACTTACGCATGCGTGAATATCGCCCTGGCATGGATGATCGAGATGTTGAAGAACCACCACCAGGCTCGTCTACTTGTTCCAGATCATGTCCTAATCGATTCAAATGTCGATCCACCTAGATTGTCTCCATGTGTAAGAAGGAGCCAAGTTTCCATGCCAACCATAACCCCCCTTTCCTCACAACGCACGCACGCACACGCACACACGCACACACAGAGTACTACTTGTGCTACTGGACCCAACCACCCACCCCCAACTTGCCAGTTGCAGTGCACCTTCGACAAGTTCAATGCGCTCAGCTGCTAGGTCCTCCAATTTGTCGTAATCTCGTTGTATCCGCTTGATCAACACCGGCTCATTACGTAGCACCTTGTCCTTTTTTTCTTGTTCTGGATGGAACCATTGCTTGTGTAATTTGTCAAGGTCATGTTGGTTCATGTGCATTCGCCTCTCTAGATCTATGTTTGCTTAGTCAATATGTATTGCTATCCTCTTCACTCGCATAGACGTCCATATCACCCCATGGCTCTTTCACACCCACAAGTACGTATGTAGAGTGTCTCTCTCACTCTCACACACACACTTGCACACACACACCCTCTTTCTTTACCCTGCCCATCCTTTGTAATAAATACTTGCTTTTAGCAACGTCGTTTCTGTTTTGCAGTTCAGCCCAATGATACTTTATCTCGCTCGGTAAGTTTTCGAGGCCTAACGGGGATATGTTTATTGGCAACACACGGAGGATGTTGTACGTTGGTGCTTACTTTGTACGTATTCTTGTAAATAACGACCACTGTCTTGCTGTATATCAGTGTAATCCATGGGGGAGAAGGAAATTAAATGTGGAAGGTAAAGGATAATAGATGCCCGATGGGCGTGGTGTGTGTGTGGGCATACGGAAATTGGATCATTGCACGTGATTCAAAGACATGACCAACGAGAAGCCATTGTTTAATTTAACACTCTTTTTATTACTATGCCATGACACCCCGTAATAATCCTTGTCGACTCGTTACTACAATCTCACGTCCTCCTACTACATTGACATCGATGCCACGCACTTGCCGCTGCGGTCCAATCATCCCTGGTATGGCTGCTACGTTCTCCTTGCTACCCATGATACGTCCCGTTTCAATATCCATGACCATGATCTTGCCTTCCTCCGTCAATAAAAAGAGCGATGTCCTCAACACATTGTATGCAATAAACTTGATCGGCATGCCACCACCATTCTCGTCGTCGTCATCACCACCACCACCGTGTTCATCCCTTTCAAAGGTGTGTTCCAAGATAATGGAGGATCCTTTTCGAGGCGTATAGGGAAGATCGCTGTTGTCATTGCGTATCGACTTTAATCCAAGCCGCTTCAATTGTGGTGTGCCCAACTTCCACCATGGAAATACATGGGTATAATCTTCCATAATCTCATCATTGTCTTCTTCATCTTCTTCTTCATGCTGCTGTTGTCGTCGTTGTAAGGGTCTCCAAACGGTCTCCAAAAGATAGGCAATATCCCATACTTTGACTTCAAGCTTATCGTTTCTGTTATCACCAACAGCAATAAGACGTAAGCCTCGTTCAACAAAGTCTGTACTTGTACATGGATGTTGTTCATGGTTGGACCAATAAGGTGGCAATACAATCGTACTTTCGAATCCCCAAGGTTGCACAATTTCATCCTCATCCTCATCTTCCATCGTTGTTGTTGTTGTAGTAGTTGTAGTAGTAGCATTGCCGTTGTTGTTGTTGTTATGAGAAGAATTCCATTGCAGCGTCCCGACCTTGACTCCAAAGCGCCAATCGTACAAGGTGAGCTCATTGGTATCATAGCTTCCAGTGCAAATTAAATGGTTCAATTCTGGAGGATGTCGAAAGAAAATCATGCAGCTGACTTTGTGGCCCATGTTGATACGAGTCAATACGACAGCCGAAGAGGGTGGACATGGTTCATTGGCACGCTGGATCATGTAACGAGGATATAGAGGTCGAAAGAGACGTACAGATGGCTCCCATATGACTGGTTCAGTAGCTGGATCAACGATATGGCGTTCACCACGAATATCAAATCGAATCAATCTTCCACAACCCGAGATGCTTGGGAAATCAGGGCCCATGACAAGCATGAATACTGTATAATCTGGATCATAGTGGTCGGGTGTTGTTGTTGTATGATGACGATGATGATGATGACGATATCCCATTGTGGTCATATGAATCCAATCCTTTACAGGTTCATTCGGTCGACCCCATGACGTTTCGGAAAAGAAAAACACATCACGACCCAGCAATTGACCATCCAGCGCCAAATGAGCAAGGCATTGTGTCGTCCCATTATCATATAAGCGATACACCAAGATCGTACGCCATTGATCCACCCGATCATCACTATCATCCTCTGTCATCTCTGGTGATAATAAAGGTTGTCCAACGGCCAATGAGAATAATCGAACCTTCTCCTCGTGAGCCATGCGTACTGTTTGAATGCCCGTGATCTGACAAGATGTATCCAGGGGTCCAAAGTGCAAATCGAATTCACGTATGAGACGCCAAGAAGGGTATTCCCAGAATAAAAACTTGTGTTCAGCACGATCATGTCCAATCCTTCGATGCTTGCCAGTGGCCACAATGCCTTGCTTTGTCTCCTTATCCACATCCACTACCAAAGGATCTTGTATCCGAAAAGGGGGTGGGTAATCCATGTCAGGGAAGGGTGATGATGATGATGATGATGTAGGATTGAGCGGAGAAGAGAGTGAAGGCGGCAGTTTACGATATGCATTCTTGGGATGGGATGGTGTAGAACAAGAAGGTCGTGGGTATTCATCCCCTATCATCAGCTTGCGTTTTTGTGGTAAACGTCCTCCTGCTTGAGAATGTTGTTGTTGTTGTTGTTGTAATGATAGAAATTGATGATATTCTTCCTCGTCAGGTACCATCTCGAATGATAATGACTTTGCTGCAGTGGTATTCTGTCGTGTGATATGTAACATGAAGTCCTTCCAATCAATCAATGGTAGTTGCTGAGAGTTGCATGGTATTTGTTGTGACCAAGTTGGGTAGTTGCTTTGAAAGGTGTGGTACCATAGGTGAGTGTCTTGGGCAATTCTATAGAACGCCAATGTCAATTGTCTCATTGCACACCAAGACGAGGACGACAACTATCGCCATTGCTGGTTTCAGCTTACCTGCAGAACCTTCGACACACAGCTTGAAGTTGCAACAAATGGTGTGCATCCGTAACGAGAAATGAGAATATGCGATGCAATAGCTCGTCTGGTAGACTATCCATGTCTTGGAGCAATAAGCAAGTGAAAGAGAAAAGGGTAAATTATCAGTCCACTGCCTGCTGATGAATAGAGAGAGAGAGATTGATCCTCAGCCGAGGACTGCTGCTGCTGTTGATGATGATGACGATAGTGATTCCACTGGACTCTTGTTATACTTGATTGCCTTTTCATCTATATCCCCAATCCCTGTATTTCTATTTGTTGACATGTCATAGAGCTTTTATCTATCATGGACAACACTCTTCTTCGACATCTATCTCAAATCCTTCGCTATGGTTTCACAAGAATGCCGATTCCTGCAAGGATTAGAACTGCGCCTGGTTCAACCATAGCATGCTTCCTTGTCAGCGAGCTTTCCTATTTGTCATGCGGTACTACAATAAACAAAAAGATCGCCTTGTTGTTGGCTCTTTCTCTCTTTACGCACATCTCACTTGTTTCATCGGAAGCACAAAAACGTGGTCGTATGATAACTTGTTTGCCATTCCGAAAACCGGCATTTATATAAATCATTAGACACCCCCATATTCTTAGATTGCCAAACATGCAGTTCCGGTGCATGTATGTATGTATACATATAGAAACGTGGCACTTGCTATTGCTTATCCATTTATATCTATCTACGTACACATTCATTGTGTGTGAGTTGATAACTGCCCTATCTCCTCTTTCTTTCTTTATGCACTCCTTTTACTTTTCTCCTTGAATGGTCCCAATTTCGTTGTTTTGACTGCTTGATCCGGTGATGTATGATCTTTCTCGTGGCACATGGACATTGTAGCACAATCAACTCTATAGCTTCACACATTTGTATCCCCATCACCAGGTCGGTGGAGTTCCTTTTTAATTGTGATAACTGAGAGCATAGAATTTGGACAAATGATGGTTGGTTGGTTGGGTGGGTGGGTGTGGAGCGAGCGAGAGAGAGAGAGAAAGAGAGAAAGAGAGCAAGAAAAGACACAGGGCACTAGAATAAGGTAAACTAAATATTGAGAGGAAGACGTAAAACGCTATCTATAGCAATACATTTAATATCCAAAACCCTTTTATCCTTATCCTTGTACCATTTACCTCTGTATCGAGCAGTATAAAGAAAACACGTAACAGCATCCAATTCCTTGACGGTTTGATTGGCAAAGTGGCGAGACACGGCCGCTACTAAATCCTCTTTACTGGCAGATGGATCGATCTTAATCTTATGTACTCGTACATATTTTCGTAGCACTGACACGTCCAAAGAGTTGAAGTTGATCTGTAAACGATGGGGTTAGCAATCCACACCATTGAGTCTTTCTCCATTGTTGACTTGCCGTTTGAAATTCCTTTCCAACGTTGCCATCGGCCACTCGTCGTCTCTTTTCACGTTCACGGTCGCGATCTATGCCATGTTTTAGCGACGATGAGGGACTATTGGCTCCAATACCATTCATGGCTGCAGTCGAGCGTTTGGCTTTCATCGTTGGGGTATGTTGTTTGAAAAAGAGAGGGGTGAAGCAAAGAAAATGTAATGGGAAAGGGAAAGAGAAATAGCGGAATTGAACGTTTAGCCTTCTTTTCTTTTTCTAATTACAACAACAGCTATCACAACAACAACAACACACGGACCCATTCCTCAGTCAATCCCAAATGTCAGTCCCATCAAAGAACATTGCCACCATGCACACTGGTAAACGGAAACGCGCTCCATTGAGTAAACAACGACCACCTGATCCATCACCACCCGAGCCAACATGTTCCATATGCATGCAACCCTACACACGCCGCACTTTTCTTCAACCCTGCTTCCACTCGTATTGTTTTCTTTGTATTCGTCAGTGGATCAACATCGTACCACAATGTCCTCTTTGCAAGCAAGGGATTGATTCCTTGATATACAACATTGATGAAGAAGCCAACACATTTCAAGAGTATACACTTGCAGACAACAAGGTGCACAATCCTCCAGAAGAACCACCCGAGATGACATTACAAGATCGCGTAGTGATGGCTCGAAGACAACTTTATCAATCACCCATCTCATCCGACAAAGCCTCTTATCCTCCTCCTCAACCTCGTTATGCTCAAATCCAACTTGTCACCCCTGAATTAATGCCAAAGGTTTGTGTGTATTGTATTGTATGGAACCCCATTTACTAATTAAGAGAGGGTGAGTGCAGGCCAAGATCTTTGTGAACCGAGAGATACCAGCCGTCATGGGTAAATCATGCGATGATTTCATTGAGCGCCACATCAACGCTGTATTGTTGACTCCGCATGAATCCAATATGAAAGCCACCAAAAAACGATCCAAGACGACTTCTTCTTCTTCAACAACAACAACGCTTATGACCATGGATGATATTGTACATGAACTTGGTGAATGGCTTACAATTGGTTCAAGGAATATGGATGGTGATGCTGTAGCACGCAAGTTTTTACAAGAGCTTATGGCGTTTCTGAAAAGTGGATTGGATTATTGGACATTTGTTTCATCAACAGCCTACGACGATTGAGACAACATGGAATACATGGATATTTTGCTTTGGAAAGGACCTATATACCAGCTTCATGACGCCTCTTCCAACGCCCTATGAATATCCCCTCAACATGGCGATTTGCATAAATGACAAGTACACACGCGCACGTGACAATAGCATTGCACACTCGAACACACCCACACCCACATGCATAGTATATTACTCTATATGGACCCGCATGCACTGACCACCCTTAATATCCCTGTTTGTGACACAGCGTTGATGGAACAAAGATGAAATAAAAAGGATCCGTGATCCAAGAGCCAAGTGGGTGAGCAACTATCTTCATTTTGATGTGGCTCCACAATTCTACCTATAGAACATTCTTCCTGTCGATTCTGTAAGGGGCCTGATTTGCAAGTGAAATGTAGGTACCCAATGCATTAGATCAGGTATGCGACTAGCTCTTCTCTCATCATGGATAATGTACGCAGCTTGTTTAGCTAGCCTCTTTTATATTCCCGTCGCATTAACCATTGACCAACATAAAGAAACTAGTTCAAACATCTAACCTTGCCATTGATGTATCGTATTATGAATGATGTCGCTTGAAAAGAACAATGATCGCAACATGCTAAAAGCTCTCTTTCGTCCATGTATATGAAATGCCTCCATACTTCATTGCTTTTAGTGGTACAAAGACAAACCGCCATTGTATATCACATACCAACAACCAATCCATCTGATAATGAACATTCACTTGGAGCTACGTTAAACTTTACTCTGGTTACGAGATGGAGTCGAGTGCTGGAGCACATAGCTGTAAAGCGCGTTTGCTCTCTCTTATGATTGTGATGTTGTTGCGTATTACATCTTGAATCATATACATGCAAAGAAGGGCATTTTCGTACGTGCCGTGAATGAGAATGACATGGCTGCACACTCAATTGAGGAGGCATGAATCGGGGTAAAACGTTTTTCCACAGCACTCCGCTTGTGCCCAAAAGACGTTACACAGCTATGGAATTAGATAAGCGCTGTCAAAATCTAGATGGAAATCTTTTATACACTAAATTAGTACAGCTTTTGGTCCATGTGCTGGTATGTAAATATAGTAACTAGCCGTGGCCCCCCAGGTTTGTTGCCATGGAAACCATCATAATAGCTGTTGTCATTGCAACCTCCCTTAATCTTGGCTTAGTACCCAGTGGTGGGTAACCTGATGATATGAAATCATGTTCCGGTTCAGGATGGATGAAGATGAAGAATACATAATCCTATGAATGGAAGCTGGTTGGTATCTGCAATATGGCAAGAACATGTACAAGTATTCATGAAATATGGGTTCTTGAATGAAGCTGAAAGTATGACTGCTATTTAAAACATGCTTCAAATATGGTATTGCTCTACAACCTGAAAGGAATCTACATTTGTCTCTACGGGGTCTTGATGTTGAAAAGGATCTGGATGTGCTTTTGACAGGTGACTGTGGATTTGGAATCTATAAGGATCGGCACCTTCATCCAGCCTTACTTTCTTATTAACCAATAATACAAGAGCGAGGATCATTCCACGTGATCAAGATCGTCCATACATAGCTTAATAATGTCATCATCATCGGTATTTGTTTTGGCTTGGCGCAAGTCCATCTCTTGGTAGGATTGTCTCTTTATGGTGTTATCGAAAGTTGAATGATTTTCGAAATTTGTTTCATCTTACACACAAGTTCCAGCGACTGGGGGGGAGGGGGTGTGGTGTAAGCATCCTCCTCGATGACATGGTTTCAAAAACCCCAAGCTAGCTTTGTATCGATGAGGCATTCATGATGTTATTTGGATGCACTCTATCAAAAAAATTTCGTTATAGTATTGCAAATGGGGAACAGTGGGGCTTGTCGGCTATTGGGATGATTGACCGAACCAAGCTGGTAATGAAATTAAGGTTCATGGTTATGCATGAATGACGATCTGACATAATGAATACATCATTTTGCCATGTTTTCATGTTTCAAAGGAAGGGATCATCATGATGAGCAATCGCAAAACAACATGGGATAAAGTATTTGTTTGGGGGCAGTAAGAAGTGATATATTATTAACCCATAAGCAGGAAGCAATGCATAAGATGTTACACTATTTACAAGTGATCAAATGAATGGGAAAATAAGGAAAGTAAAGGGGGCGGATAATGATAATGTTGCTATTGAATACGAAAAGGAGATGGGAGTGTGTGTGTGAGTGGCTAAGATTACTAAGTGGTACAAGAAGGTATGATTCGGTGTTGGTGGATGATGTTGATAATGATGTTGATGTTGATGATGAAGATGAATGGTGGTGGATGAATGAATGCATGGAGAGAAAGTAGTTTACAAGCACTGACGAGGAACAATGTCATCATAGTTGGGTAAAGCGTTGCCTGTAGTGAAATGTTGAGCTTGGATTGCACACGAAGGACCCGTGGCTGCAGCGATAACGTGAGCATAGCTTGGCAAGTCGCTTTGAGGAGGATGGCGCAACAACTCGGCCATCAACAAAGGGTCATAGGGCATTGACGCAGTGCAATCTTCGTACGAAGGGATATCGTTACCCTTGTGTGTGGCAGGACGGAATGAAGGACATATCTTGATGGGCATTGAGAGGCGAATTTCGGTAACGCGATCGTCGTAATCAGGGTCCATGACATGCAAAAAGATCTTGAGACGATGGCGAATCTTGACGTTTTGGTTGAAGCAATCGGCTTGGCACTTTTCAGGAGAAGCGGGAACAGTGATAGGAAGTGAGATTTGGTCGAAGCCACGACGCAAAAGACCCGTTTCTTGGACGACACGGCTATGGTTACGAGGCTTGTTGGTGCGCCCATCACGAATTGTGCGACATACACTATATTCCACAAGCTGACAAGAGAGATGCATGATATCCACTTGCGGTGTCAATGCTGCCATGTGGCCTGATAGCACGATTTGTTCACCTTGGCGTACAGCACGCACTGGAATAGTGAACATGTAATCGAGACGATTGTGCCATTGGTCTGCCAAGGTGAAAGGTTCATAATCAAGATGACTTGCTTCTTCTTGTGGGACGCCATCTTCGATCATTCCATTACCACCGGCACCAGATTCGGGTTCACGGCTGATATGGATGGTGCGTTTGCAATTGTAATTTCTCAAGAATACAGTCGGCCGTTCAGCTACCGCTTCAATTTGATATCGCACCACGTATGTATCATTGCCAACACGTGTCGATTCGGGCACATCGGGAGGAACCACAAAACAAAAGTCGCGAATGTAAGACTTGGCTGGCAATGTATGGATAGGTTTATCGTTGGGTAGCAAGGATACGGATTTTTGTAGAATATTCTGGACCTGATGTTCGTAGTGATTCAATCCATTTCCGAGTGCTGGTTTCACAACATAAAGAAGGCGTGTGTGTGTGAGCAACGTGGACAATGCATAACTTTCCCACCTCAACAAAGAGCCCAGAACCCTAATTTTTATACTTACGGATTGTTTGCTGCTTGCGTATATGGCCCGTCAAACGCAGGGTGATGTTGCGCAACTTTGTGGGTTGATCGAGATTGAGCTCGACAATGCCACGCAGTATGCAACCTGCTGGTGTCATGAGCAAATGATCATCTTCAAGATGAATGTTTAGCATGGGATCAGGGATGTATAAAAAGTATGTGGATGACAGATAAGAAAGAAAGAGAATGAAAAACAAAAAAGCGGAATGGACGATCTTTTTTTATTTAGTCCTGCGGAAATGCCGCATTGTGCTACAAAGTCACTGGCCATGGTGCATGGTGGAATTTTTACTGGCCCTTGCACATTTTGATTGTACGCCATGGTTCATTATTATTACACACAGCACACAAGACAATAAACTAACTTCAATTGACCCCTTGACAAACATCACCAACATCATGATACCAATGGCATGCTTATCATGTGCACGCGTGCGATATGGGTGTTAAGATTATCTATGGCTGAGTAATTGGCCTTTTTGTGTGTGTTGGGAAGGGTATTTTTTTTCGCCATGTTTCGGTTTCCCTACCGCAGTTGCCCACGAAACAAGGTTTGAACACACACCCCACATACGGTGTACAACTATGGAAATAAAAAGTAGCACGCTTGTATCGTGCGATCAGGTACGAATGGCTGCAATAGGCAATAATGGATGGCACCAGCGCAAGATGTGTACCTCATGACCTGCAAAGAATCACCAATTGTTGCAAGCAAAAAAAAAGATGGTGACCCGGGCATTTGATTTTTACACCGACAATATGCACCTTGATCTTGCGGCTTTTATTTCTTTCACCGGTAGCGCCGAGAATGGATAATTAACAACTGCAGCATGCCGATTGTCGGTAAGCAATGAGACTATATCTACGGGTATGATTACTAAGAAAGAGGGGAGTTGTTTTCAACAAGGATAAACCAACAACTATGATAATAGTACATCCATAGCCGCGTGATTGATACCGCGGATCACCCGAGTCAAGAGAAAAAACATGTTCTTTTTCTTTCCCGTCAAACCCCCCACTCTTCTTTCCCCCCATCATTCCCGGGAACCAACGACGACCACACCTTGTCGATGGGCAAGATTAATGGATTGAACGGGGAGAAAACGGCACACCATTACAGGGATGTTGTTTTTAGAGATGGACTTGTAGTCTAGACATTCCTTGATCTGTCAACCTGTTATCCCGCATTTCGCACACGTGACACTTTGATAACGCCGGCATATAAGGTTGTGGCGCATGTGCACAGCAGCTCCAAATTTGACTACCACCTTCTTTTGTCGTTCACCAATTTGGACGCTGATTAATCTAACAACATGTCCCATGTTCTTTTTTCCTCCACCACCTCCTCCAATGCAACTGGCGACATGGATTTCGTGATCATTTTCCCAAATACTGATACGCACATAACAACACACACACATAACATTGTCACTGATGACCCATCGTACAAGCACGTGCTTGTATATGATGATGGCGTTTATCTTGATTAATCATCCTTCATTAATCAGCAAATACAAATCGAGAGGAAGGGGATCATAAAAAAGTGGTTGCCTAGGAGATGGGAAGTAATAAGGGAAAGGTGGGGTAGTGGTTGTGGTAGTGGTTGTCGTCGTATTGTCCTCGTCAGTGACAAGCCCAGTCACGCGTAAAGACTCAGTGTTATTGCTGGGATAACATTGCCTTCTTCCTAAACACACACATACAACTCCCCACTCAACAGTAAACATGGCCGAAGCCAACTGGGAATACCCATCTCATCAGCAATTCGAGCGGTAAATGCACCATGCCATAACGAACACCATTTGTCGCCTTCAACATGTTGTTAATGTGCTTGAATCACTTGTCGATTGTATTATACAGTGTCCCCACGCTTGACCAAGTTGACCCCAACGACCGCAAGGGTGAGTCTTCTTCAGCCGCGTTTTATTATTATTCATACGAAGGATGATGATGACTGATGCATCGTATCATGTTCAGCTGTGTATGCCGCCCGTGCTCAAAAGATCCGTGACGATTGGGTCAAGGCTATGGAAGCTCGTATTATCAAGGAAAAGCTTGATGCTTGCTATCAAACCGAGGGCACCAACCACTGTAAGTCCCATTAGATGATAGTTACATGTATAAAGGTGTACTCATCTTGCTTGTATACTCAATAGACCAAAATTGCCGTGATTTGGCTGATCTCTACCGCAAGGCCGTCAAGGAGAACAAGGTGGAAGGTTTCCGTAGAAAGCCTACCAGCGCATAAATAGACTAGAGTAAGTTGTTGTGTTGCCTCCAATGTGATGTCATTATGGATATTGATCCCCAAGCTACTTTTTCTAGTCAATTGTCCTCTCACACACGCACATCTTACCCTTGTTCTGCCGTTTACCTCACAATGAACAATCAACACTATCAAACAACAAACATCAGCATTGAACATGTGGAAGCACTATTTATTCTTTGGGAATGGACACCATTTGGGATGAGAGGATTGTTGAGAGGGAAAGGAAAAGGATCAACAACATCTATGGAGGACGACGACAATGATGACGACCCCGTTGCATCATGAAGCCGTGTGCAGCACTTTTTCGTTCATTGAGGATATGCGCTTCGTTTTGACATTTGGCAACCATCTCATGATCTTTCAACGCTTATAAACACTGACGCATGCCAACCAACGCACCTATTTTTTCTCCCAGGAACACAGCATCAGTGTGCATTGTCTAAGGTTCTAGATCCAACAATGGGATGTTGAATGAGAGATGAGATATGGCAAAAGAACAATGGAAACATTGCATGGAAATATCAAGTGGATTGCATCATTATTGTTTCGATACGACATGAAACTAAACGGCGGCGGTGTATGTGTGTTGGCTCTTTGTGCAGAAATCGTGTGGATTGAGATGGTCCCAGGTTTTCATTCTACATAAACAACAACTCTATCGACGATCACCACCACCATCACTTTTTGCCATCAATCAACAGTAGCTCACATGGCCTTGTCGACCTCACATGTGTCTCTTTTCATCCAATCACACTGACAGACGCCATCCCTATTTTGAAAATAGCTTGGTACCCTGGCCATTCCAAAACGTTTTATCATTTGCCTCACACGCACACACGCACTCTCTCACACACGCTCTTTTCATCCTGGTATGTGGATAAGGCAATATGGGGTGCTGTGTGTTCCTAAAAGTGCTACAAGGAGGACCATGTGGCTGATTTCTTTTATCTTTTGACAAGTTGTCAAATACCCCTTTTCACACAACAAGATGGGAGTTTTCAGTGGAATGGTGGATGGGTGGCACATTTCATACATATGCAAGGAAGAGCCGACGTTTTTATGTTTGTTGTTTTTCGCACTTTCGGTTCTTCATTCCTGTTGCACTTTGTCATGAAGCGTTTGGCAACAAATAGAAAGGAGCGTGTTCCATGATCAGCTGAATGTTTCGTATGTGTATAAAAGGTACATTCTCATTGACATTGTTCATCCCTTCTTTTCTTGACAGCTTTCCTTACTTTTTATCAAACATTATGCGTAAAGGCTATACGCCCATACCGCAATATGATCAGGCGGGAAATCCCATCGCCGAGGATAGTCATCCAGCAGTGACCTTGGAGCGTTTCAAGATGTGGTGTGCCCAATTGACAAGTCGAGATAATGACACCACCACCAGAGAACCTCTCTTGCATGAAAAGATGCCATTCTCCGCACCAACACCACCCTCTCGACGCAAGTCGTACTTGTCTCGATCCCTCAAGCTTGCTATTTCACTCGCCTTGTTAACATCCACTGCATTATTTGCAAGTCGATTCACCATGATGTATAGCTTCGTCTCGAAATGTAAGCTTTTTATTGTTGAAAGCAAGATACGTCTCTCTCTGACACAAACATTTACATGATAGCAATGCCTGTGGATGATGCTATGGGATTGATGAAGGCATTACCATCCAGCGAATACATTCGTGGCTTTTTCCATGATTATGCATCAGTGACCCATTTAGCTGGCAAGGCCAATGATGAAGCTCAAGCCCAATGGACACGTGACAAGTTTATCGAGTTTGGCATTCAAGACACCAAGATTGAAACGTATTATCCCATGCTCAATTATCCTGTTGAGCGCCGATTGGCCATTGTCAAGGGACCTGAGCACTTGTTGTATGAAGCCAAGTTGCATGAAAAACCCACTGCTGAAGATTCCATGGCTGGCAATGAAGCCACTCCTACTTTCCACGGTAACCATTTATAGACTACTACCACCATCCTATGATACGTATACTGATGATGATCTTGTTTTATTACAACAATAGCTTACTCTGCCAATGGCAATGTTACGGGCCCTGTGGTGTATGTCAACTATGGTCGCATTGAAGATTTCGAATTGCTTGCATCCCGAGGACTCAACTTTTCAGGCACCATTGCATTGATGCGTAATGGACTTACTTCGCATGGCGTCAAGGTCAAGGCTGCTGAAATGTTTGGTTGTGTTGGTGCACTCTTGTACTCTGATCCTGCTGATGATGGCCCACTCAACAAGGAAAGTGAGGAAGGCATTCCAGCTGAAGCTTATCCACGTGGCCCATGGCGTTCAGCATCCTCGGTGGAACGCAGCACTGTACATTCACTTAGCGTTATGGCAGGTGATCCTCTCACACCAGGCTATGCTGCCACTGAAAACGCTACTCGTATCCCACTTGAAGAATCAAATGCTGTTCCACGTATCCCTTCTTTGCCCATCTCATGGTCCGATGCCATGCCCTTGCTTAAGGCTACTGAGCATTTTGGTTTACTCTCTGATCAAGAATGGCAAGGCGGTCTCAAGGAAATCGCTTACTTTACGGGTCCCAGTGAAGCTCTTGTCAACCTTGTCAACGTCAATGAAAACAAGATCACTCCTATTTGGAACGTCATTGGCCGCATCGAAGGCAAAGAAGAACCTAACCGTGCCATCATTATTGGTAACCATCGTGATGCATGGGGTTATGGTGCTGTTGATCCATCCTCTGGTTCAGCTGTCATGGTATGTTTTGTTGTGTATCTTTTATCATCATCATCATCTAAATGATCCTATCCTATAGCTTGAATTGGTACGTGTCCTTGGTGTCTTGATGGAACAAGGCTGGCGTCCACGTCGTACTATCATCGTTGCCTCTTGGGATGGTGGTGAATATGCTCGTGTTGGTTCCACTGAATGGGTCGAAGATAACAAGGATTGGCTTTCCGATGAAGCTGTTGCTTACATCAATGTCGACTCGGCTGTGAGCGGTCCTAATTTCCGTGCTCGTGCTTCACCTTTGATGCGTCAACTTATTTTCGAAGTTACCAACAACGTGGTGGATCCCTTGACAAGCAAGACCGTATTGCAAGCATGGAAGGATCGTATCAATTCGATGGCTGATGATGAAGATGAAGAAGAGCAAGAACAAAACGAACTCGCTTTGGGCATGATTCCACCCATCAATGCTGCTTCCGATGATGTGGCGTTTGCTCACCATTTGGGTATCAGCAGCATGACGCTTAACTTTTTCGGTGATTACGGCGTCAGGCACAGCAACTATGACAGCATTTACTGGATGGAACACTTTGGTGACCCTACTTATGAATACCATCGTACCATGGTGCGTCTATGGGGCATGATGTTGTTGCGCTTGTCGTCGGATTGGTTATTGCCCATGCATCCCATCGAGTATGCCAATGAATTGTCTCGCTATGCAACCCATATCAGTGACATGCAAGGCTGCCTTGCTTTGCCAGACTTGTCAACAGCTGTTGCATCGCTTCAAGATAAGGCACGCCATTTTGAACACAAGCTTCGCAAATACCAACACAAGATCAACAAGGGCAAACACAACAAAAAGCTTCGCAAGCATGTAGCCAAGTCCAATGAACGTCTTGCTCAATTTGAACGTGCCTTTATTGACCCAGCTGGTCTTCCTGGTCGCGAGTGGTACAAGCATGTTGTCTATGCACCTCATATCTGGAACGCTTTCAAGATTCAAGTTTTTCCAAGCATTCATGAAGCCATGAAGGGCAACAACCCTGCCTTCACCCGTGAAATGGAAGAACGTACTGCTCAATTTGTTAACAGTGCTCTTAGCACCCTACGTGGCAAGTACGATGACTTCCTTGACGAAGATGATAGCCATCAGGACAACGATACGGACGAGTAGTTTACCATTTTCCCACCTCTCTTTATTTACGACTTGTTTTTTTCCCCTTTTCCCCTTGTCTCGTAGTGTATGAGTAGTAAACTTTTTTTGAATACAGTTGTTGTTTCATCACATTCATGAAGCCTTTATTTCTTTTTGCCGGTTACTATTTTTTGGGGGGATCGTTGTGCGTGAGTCATCATCAATATCTATAAACCTGCTGATTACGTGCTTACCATTGAACTACATTGCAAATGAAACAGGGTATGTTAGTACCTAAGCTACGCTGATCATCTCGAGATAGGATAAACTCACCTTGTAATACATAATATCGCCATCCTCAACAGCGTAATCCTTACCCTTGGCCAAGTACTTGCCAACCGATTTCACCTGTGTTTCGTTGCCATGCTCTCGCAAGTCAGCGTATTTCATCACTTCGGCGGAAATGAAACCACGCTCGAAATCAGTGCTACACAAAAGCAAGGAGATCATATGAGTGTCTCATTGTCATCCAGCCCACTATTTTTTTGCTCTTACTGGATCACACCAGCTGCTTGGGGAGCCTTGGTACCATCCTAAAAAGTCATTCAGCATTATCATTTTCAATCACATGATCATGTGCTTACCCTAACCGTCCATGCGCGCACTTCTTCTGGACCGGCTGTGAAATAGTGGATCAATTGTAAAGACTTGTATCCAGCAAGAATGATACGAGGAAGCTGTGAGCCTACGCCTAGCTCAGCAGTGTATTCAGCAGCCTCTTCGGGAAGCATGTCATTGAGAAGCTGGATGACGATGATGTGTAGTGTGATTTAGTATAAGGATACACTAGCCCGTGGAAAAACCACACACACACATACATACCTTGGATTCAAATGCGACTGAGAGGGGAATAATCAAATCACCGGCATTATTGTTCTGTACCCAATCTTGGATCTTTGGTAACCTATGTACATTGACAATGAGCGAATGCTATTGTCACGAGAGCTTGCGTGTGATTGTGTGTTACCAGTGACTCGAATTGCCGTTGATGTAATCTTGCTCGCTCATGTTACATAGATAGACCATGGGCTTGGCTGTCAGCAAATGCAATGTGTTGATAATATTGACATCGGAGAATGACCATTCGCCTTTTCGAACATCGTTGCCCTTGGCCATAAAGTTGGCAACCTTTTCCACCACATCCTAAAGTTTCACCTATTATTAGCTAAATGGATGGATGGATCCACACACACACACAACACACCTTGAACCTACCAAATGTTCCTTGAGCTGCTTACGATCGGGGAATTTGGAAGCACGACTCAGTTCTGTCAATTGTCGTTCAAGCATTTCTTCATCCTTTAGCCGAAGTTCGTCTTGGATAATCTCAAGATCACGCACAGGATCCACCGTATCTTCAACATGGGTCACATCATCATTGTCGAATCCACGCACCAAATGATAAATGGCATCAACGGATGCTACATTGGATAAAAAGGCATTCCCGAGACCAGCACCTTGAGCAGCACCTCGCACCAAGCCGGCAATATCGACCACTGTCAACTTTTTTTATATCGAATATTAGTATGGTCTCATATGAACCCTGAAAATAGGCAACTCACATGTGCAGGTGTCCGTTTCTTTGGAGAGTATGTATCACATAGCCAATCGAAACGTTCATCCGGTACTGCCACACGGGCTTCGGATGGATCTATAGAAGAAAACAAAGAGTCAAAACAAAACAAAGAACATAGCATAATGGGTGACACTACCTACCTATAGTACAAAATGGATAGTTCTCGGCTGGTACACTGCTGCTTGTCATTGCATTGAACAAGGACGACTTGCTAAATACAAAGTGAGCAACGCATGAATCGAGTGGAGGGAAAGCGATCGTTACCCAATGTTGGGCATGCCAACAATGCCAACTTTGAGATTGTTACTTGGACGACCGAGAATGGCTTTCTCATTGGCAGCTGGGTCTTGTTTACGTTTAGATTTTTTAGCGAGTTGAGTGCAAGAGGATGAAAAAGAACGAGTCAAAGAGAGACGTGTGGTGGTGGTGGATAAAGAGAGAGAACTGCAGGGCCTGAGGAGTAGCATGATGCAATGCGGGTTGCTATGGCAATAAGAAATTCTTCTCCTGAAAATGGGGACCTGGGAGATTGATTAATCCGACAAGCTAGCTGTCATGGACGGTGTTCCAATGATGATGATGATGATGATGATAGGATAAATGATGATGATAGGATAAATGATGATGATGGATGACGGGTGATGATGACACCAACAAGATTTATTTTATGCTCACGTGTTGAAAAGTAAATGGTACTTTTTGAAAAGAAAGTAAGGGGGGTGGTTGTGATTGAGATACGAATATACACCATTTGAGGCGGCTGTTGCTGTCAAGTATGTTTTGATAGCTGTGATTGGAACAAAGACTAGTTGGCGTGGGAAGGGCTGATGCATGTAACAGAGATGTGTCATGTAAATGTGTGTGGTCGTATATATTCAAGCTGCATTCAGCTGTATGTCTATGCAAATACGTCAACCCGTGGTTGTTTTTGATTGAGTGATATAAGCAAGTAGAGAGAGAAAGGAAAAGAGGAAAAGAGAAGATGAGTATTGAAAAAGCAACAATGATGGGTGATTGTACTTTATAAAAGAAAAAAGATCGGCATCCCCCGTTTAAGAGAGGAGAAGAAAAGGATGACATGAATGGCAACGGGATTGGTGTCCTTATACCGGCAACATCTTGCGACACAAACCGTGTGTTCCGTTGCACAGAGTGCACGATCCCAACTATATTGATATGTTCACACTCACACAGTCATCTCTGGCACTTGGACGCACGCACGCACCTACCTCACCTACCGCCCTTTCTCTTTTTCTTTTTTCCTTCTCCTTCACACACACACACACACTCACTAACAACATCCGTGGGTCATTCATATTGCTGCTTCTCTTGTTGTATACTTGTGTGTGTAATTATCCCTCAGCTGTTTGCCGTCACCCTTTTCTCTTTTTCTATTACCATTAACTTGACTTTTTCTTTCACTCGCTCTCTCTCTCTCTTTTCCCCTCTCTTTCTTTTCCTCTCTCTTTCTCTTTGTCTTACTTGACAGCCTCTCGTCGCTTATTGTCTCAATGACCTCTCGCCTGATGCTCAAACAGGAATATCCACCAACTCAAGTCCAACCACAATCTTCGGCTACACGGGACGACGGTCATTGGCAACCTCCTCATTTCGATTACGCAGCATTGGATAAAGTGGATGCTGAAGCAGGGTCCATCCTTATTGCTTTGGCTAATCAGGAACCTCTCAAGGTATGTGTCAGCCAAGTGTTTGTGTGTCTATTCCTCTTCCTCTTCCTCTCTCTCGTCAATGTCCCCCCTTTCTTTCTTTCTATGACACCCCCCAACATCGACATATAGACACACACACTCACTCACTCACATAACGCACATTCACACATCCTCTTCCTCTCCCCCCCCTTTGTTCCGAGTCAAGGGGAAAACATGTCGGCTAAAATACACATACACACACTCTCTTTCTTTTAGACCACAGCTATCGATGATGACCATGACACCGTAATGGCCAACAACAAACCCAATGATCACAACAATAGCAACAACAACAACAATAGCCATTCATCCATGTCTATCAACAATTTACTTGGAGGAGGTGGAGGAGGAGGTAAATTGATTGGGATCACAAAGAGTGGGTGCACTGTGTGTGAGTGTGTGTGTGCGTGTGCGTGCGTGCGTAGTTGATAAATGTTAAACAATGTGTTGTGTGCTTATGGGTCAAATCCCTTTTTTAGGTTCTTCAGCGTTGACACCGGTAAGTCTGATGACCCTGCTTTTGGCACATGTCCCTTGCTCCCACTCTCATTTCTTTTTTTCCTTTGTCCTACCATGAGCCTCCTATCATCCCCTTCTCCAACGGCAGATCTTTTACTTACACACTGATATGATCAATATAGCAACAACAACAACAACAACGTCATTCCAATGACAGTAAGTCAAAAAAGCGAGATCATATGAAAACCTGCATGCTGAAATATGTTGTTGTTATGCAGACGATGCATCAAACAAACCATCCGATCCAGTGACAACTTCTGATCCGATTATGTTACTTGCAGCAGCCGCAGCAGCTATTGATGGTCGTCCCGGCACTAATGGCACTCATGCACCTTCATCCACCACTGCATATACATCTACATCAGAGAGGAGATTGGGTGATAGTGGCTATGGTACGTGGTAACAAAGCTGCTGCTTTATTTGTTTATCTTGCTGATGGGCTTGTCTAGGATACTATTCACAATACTATTCATCATCCTATCCAAAGACAAAGCAGCAACAATACTCATACCATGGTTATTACGAAGACATTCGAGCTCGACGTGATCGTAGAATGGCATCGCCACCTGATGGATATGAACAACGACGTCGTGAATCAGCACCTGTGGTAAGTAAAAGGAGATGCTAATAATGAATGATTCATTCATTCATTCATGGATTATGTGTAGAATCGACATCGACCAGAGAGAGGAACAAATGTGTTTTCTTACCAGTACATCTCCATGGTATGTGTAACCTGCATGTTGACATGTGCTACGATCGACCTTGCGTAACCGTTGGAAAATATTATAGAAACAAAATCCAAGGATCAAGCGAAATGCTATGCATGCCTATATCACGTACATGATTTACACTGACATGACCCATCAGGATCGTATGGTAAGTTGGGAAGCTTGGTGAGAAGAAGAAGAAAAAGAAGAAAAGGATGGGCTTGTGACGAAGATGGCGGGAAAAACAGAGAGTGCTGGGCGGGTATAATAAAATTACTGATGCAAGATAACATCATAGAGAACTAAACTTGATGGTGGACATGCAAGAAAAGTCAACAGTGAAGAATACGATGCATGGGCTACTCGAAAACCAAGCGAAGGACGAATAGAAGCATCTACTCTTGGAGCATCAACGTATCATCGTCGGGGTAGTGGCAGTGTGGCACCACCACAACCACAACCACCTACTGCCCATGGTGGGATGGTCCATGCTGCACCAGGGGAACCACCACAACCTAAATCGTGGTACACATCAACTGGATCTGGAGCACAACCACCACAACCACCTCCCCCTACCACAGCCACCACAACTACAACTACACCCACCACCACCACTGCTGCTGTTACTACCACTGCAACGAGTACTGCCACACCATCCCATTATCGATTACCCCCATCGCCTTCAACTCCACACCAACCATCATCTTCAAGGCAGTCTTCACCATCACAACATAACGGCAACAGTAATGCGATCATGATGGGAAGGCCTTTAACAGCTTTTTTACGTGATGGTCCACCAGATCGTCCTTTGCCGCCACCGTTTTCTTCTACAGCTACTGCAACTGCTGCCACTGTGTCTGGAGCTGGTAATGGGCGATCATCTATCCTATAACCCTATCACATCTTTTGCACACTATTTTTCCTTATCCCCCACCACCCCCCACTCAACGTACACCCTTTTTCTCCCCATGTCTTGAAGAATCATCATCCACCAGCCCAAATAGGTGCATTGCCTTTGTATGTATATGTGTCTTTCTTTCTCTCTCTCTCTCTCTCTCGATCACACACTCTCTCTTTCGACTCTTTTACTTTTTCCCCCTGGTTTGCTTTGGAACAATCTCAAAAATACATAAAAACACACTCACATATCGTTGCTTTTGCGAATTTCTTTTTCGGGTACTCCCCCTTTTTTTGGATCGTTGGGCGGTTCCATGACTTGGTAACACAACGCTAAACGAGTTTTACTTTATGCACGGCTTCCTCCTCCCATCTCTACTACTCATCCATTACCATTCCTCCCCCCTGGCAACCCCGTTACTTTCTTGTTCCCTCTCTTTATATGTCCAATGGAACCTTAATTCAAGGAGTAACCATGTAGAAAAAAATAGAAAAGAGATCCACAAAGTAATAAAGTGGCGATTTACCCGAGAAGGAGGAGGAGAATCTTTTTATCTTGTCGATGGCGTTGTGTTAATAAGTTGTGCTGCGCGGCGGTTGTCTCCGCTTGCCCCGGAATTGTCGTACAATGGTAGCAATAGTAGCAAGTGGAAGAAAAAGAGACGGAGACGGTAAGTGCTCGTGTACTGTACTCACTCTCTCACAATCCCATTTTGACTCACCCTATCAATCGAGAATAGCTTAGATAAATAAGAGAAACGGATAATATAGAGCTTAATTGCTTTGCTGCAGATGGTGTGTATGTGTGTGTGCGTGTGTGTGAGTGTACATGTGTATGTGTGTATGTGTCGTGTGTTTTGTGTGCGCTTGCGTGTGTGTGAAAGAGAAAGAGAAAGCGAGGGCGAGAAAGAAAGAGAGATAGAGTGTGTGTGAGTTGAGTGATTGAAGGTGTGTTTTTCTTTGTTACTCTCACTCTCTCTTCTCTCTTGCTTCTCTTTTTCTTTTCTTCTCCCTTACAAGCTCGTCCTTTTTTTTCACTTTGCACAACGTTGTTCTCTTTCCCTCTCTCTCTCTCTTTTCTTCTTATTTCCTAAAACACACAAGTCGCCGTCCCTCTTTTATTTTAACATCTCGCCCTTGTCACCACCATCATAAGGTTCATCATGGGTATGCCGTTAACCATCGGCTCTCCTCATCAGCAACAACGTACACCGCCTCCTTCTACCACCCCGACAAGCGCGCGCTCTTCTGAAGCAAGCACAGTTTCGGTTCCTTCACCAAAGTCTCTTAAACGAAACAGTCTTCCTCCAAAGGTGGCAACGATAAACACAAATACCGGATGTGGATTGGGTGGTGGCAATATCCCATCTTCGCCACAACAACCCGTCAAAAAGGCATGTACATTCACATACATCTACATACATACATCCGCATACATGTCTAACATACTCTCACTTCTCTAGATACAGATCCCATGGCGGTGTCCGGGGAAATGGCAAATGCCAGATATCATTGAAGAAGCATGGAAACGGCGTCAACAAGAACAAAGGTTTCAACAACAACAGAAAAAGGACAATGACACGATTAAAAAGACGCTTAATACTTCCACCATTCCTCTTCACAAGGTAAAGGGCACACAAAGGGACCATCATTTTCGCTCTCTTTCTTTGACACAATCATTTGCTTTTTATAGCGTCCCTGGATACCAGTGGGTCGTGTACCTGACATTTTGCCATTCCCACCACCAATCATCAAGCCGCAACAACACTTGCAGCACATGCATCCCGAATTTGAAGGCAAGCTACGCAAGGTGTTACCCAAATCAAAATCCATGGAAGGGAATCCACATAAATGTTACGTTGCCATGGCAAGAATTGGCAGTGGGTAAGTGACTCTCTATCACTACACGTGTGTATATAAATGCATGCACATGCTAAAACGTTTTATCAGTGCAAATGGGGCTGTCATGCGTGCCACCAAACGAAACGATAGCACGTGCCAAGTAGCTATCAAGCGATGTTTGATTGAAGATCACGATGTCAACCACCACACCTATGTCTTGCGAGAGATTCGTATCATGGGCTGCATCAATCATCGTAACCTGATCCAACTTCGAGAAGCTGGCATGTGGAAGGATGACCTATGGATGGCCATGGAATTGATGCAATGCTCTGTATTCAATTTGCTTTACAATACCACCCAAGGTTTACCAGAACCCGTGGCTGTTTGCATTGCTCGTCAAGTCCTCGAAGGATTGATCTATTTGCATTCCAAAAATTACATGCATCGCGATGTCAAGTGTGAAAATATTTTACTCGGCCGAGATGGTCAAGTGAAACTTGGTACGTGTGTGGGCTTTTCTTTTATGACAAAACAATTGACTCTCGAGGAACATCTCTATAGCTGATTTTGGCTTGGCTACACCGTTAACAAAGACCAACAGTGCTCGATTGGGTACAGCCAAGGTAATGTAGTAATGAGCAAACAATCAAAGAAGGGTGTATTGATGATTGTCTTTATTCTAGTGGATGGCGCCCGAGGTCATTGCAGAAGAACCATATACAGAAAATGTTGACGTGTGGTCATTAGCAATCACCATGATTGAAATGATGGATCGTGTACCACCTCTTTATGACTTGGATGACACCCGCCAAATCTTTTATCAAATTCTCTACGGCAAACCACCTTCGTTTACTTTCAGCAAACCATCTCCCACAGTGCAAAGTTTGATCCGATGGATGCTGGATCCCGATAGTCAACGTCGTCCTTACGCCAAAATGGTGCGAGAGGTAAGATGATCATCAAACATTGATGGCCGTATGTGTATACTCATTCACTTTATATAGAAATTTGATACATTGATCAGCGAAGGTCGACTAGGATGTACCGATCAAACCGAGGTGGGCGCTCTTGTCCAAGAGGTGTTTTGCAAACCATCTAAAAATTAGTTTCCCCTTTACTGTCTTTCTGTTTTACCCTCCCGTTGTGTACATAATGTCTTTTTTTCTTTTCTATTTACCCCCACTTACCACAACAACCCAAATCTAACGATTCCATTACCCATCTTATCCCCCCAAACACAACACACGTTTTACCCAAAACACTCACACACCACCACTACCACCCAACACATGTATATAAATACTAAACTTAATGATCAACCAAATAGTGTGGACTAGAGAGAGGCAGCACAAGCAGCATTGCGGATACTAACTTTTAATGAAAGAGAATGATATACAAAAAATGCGAGTAATTTACTCTTCATCCTCCTCAACCAAGGTCATGGCGATACGATCCAAATCACGTTGACCATCTTGGGTGATGCGACGGCCACTACGATACATAACGTATGAATGATCCAGATCATACAAAACACGATTTCTCTCTCTCCAAAAACTTACCCCTTCTTGTCTTGCTCAAGGACACCAATCTTCTCAAGGGCCTGGAGAACACGACGGTTGATAGCACCAGAGGCATCAACGTGGTGGGAGGGGCGAGAGCCGCGGTTGATGCGACCACCGTGGACCTTCTTCAAGGCACCAACACCAACGCACTTGCGGATGTAGATGTGGCGGGCAACAGAGGCTATTGTAATGTAAATGTAATTAGTATTTCCATGGATACCATTGTATGTCATTTTTGATAGTTACCAGCACGAACGAAGAACCAGTCAGGGTCATAGGGAGCAAGCTCCTTGTGGGTGCCAGTCTTGACAATATCGACCCACTTGGGGATCTCGAGCTTGCCAGTGCGCTTCAAGTAAGCAGAGTAGGCCTTGATGAAAGCTGCAATGCGTATACATGGGATGTGTAATGAGCAAGAGATAATATGTTTATCAGCGTCCGTATTCAAATAGGTCGTATTGTGCGTGTATTTGTATTCTCGTACCGTGGGCGTTAACGTCCTTGACAGTAATACCAGCCATGGCGATTTCAAATGGGAAAGAGGAAGACCACACCAGTGCTTCGGCAGCGAGACTAAAAATTTTGCAAGCGCACAGCGAAAAAAAGCCACCGATCGCCTCTTTGATCCCACCTCCTCCCTCCCTCCCTCCGCATCCCAATAGGCTCCATTCAATTGTTATTGGGTATCAATTCCCTCATTGTATTCACAATAAAGACATCATTATGCATCGTAAAATTCATCACTAGAAGAATCTATAGGAGATACATACCTATTAGCCATCCTCATTCTCCATCATGCATCCAAAACATACCTTCTTCGAGTCGTTGAGACTGGCTTGCTGCTAGTTGTTCGTTGCTAAGATACGGCACGAGAATAGGCTCAAAGGATGATGGATCTGCTGGGATAATGCCATCCAATACTTGGAAACTGTCACTTGACTATAGATCAAAGAATGAATATCGTATACACTGTAATCCTCGAATATGCCCATTCCATACCTGTCCTTCACGCTTTTCTCGTACCAATAAATGGCACATCAATCCTTGTATTCCTTCTCGGACATATTCCGGCAAGTCGGGATTCTCTAAAAGAAGCTGCAAAGTGTTGTCAGTCCCAACTGCCCTGCCTATGAATCGATCCACACGTGTTGTTTACCTCGCAATAGGTGCTTGCATCACATCCAAGCAATCCCTCCAATGCATCATATACCTTGTAGTTCACAAGCATACCATCCTGATAACACGTCAACTCGGCTGCGTAACTGGCTTGGAAATGGGAAACGGTGTCTTCACATTTGGCGCAATAAAGTAGCATGTCGTTATCGTCTTGAGTGATCGCGACGATCTTTGACCGACATGCCCTGCATAAACGAAATACAATGTCACGAGCGCCGAGGTGGACAAGGCTTGCGCCAGTAATAAGAGAGGGTTCCATGATGCGAAGTTGGGAAGGGAAGCCCCCTCACTGATCCCGACAATCAAACCACTTGCACCACAGCCCACCCTCCTATGCATAGTAGAAGAAGTCTTACTACTAGTAGTCATGGATGCATACACAAATGATAAAGGTGTTAAATGATTGGAAGGGATGGATAAACATAATGGGTATGTAATGTCACTTTTACTGCTGGATGAGGGAGTGAACGATGATGATAAACATACGCTGTTGAAAAAAGGACATGATAATGGCCGTGGTGGATACCTATATAGACCCATCCCCAGGCAGCTACATAGCACTTGTGCTTGTATCCTTCTTCCATATTTGTAGCAGCACGTTTAACACCATCTTGTTATATAATACACCTACATTTGATCATCATCATCATCCGGAGCAATTGTAACTGCATAATACATATTGCCTTGCATGGTGTCATTGGTCCAACCGCATAGGAAAGAGGCTGCTGTTGGATTTGGGTCGTAAGGTGGATCATGTACTTTGAGGTGGCCTTCCAAGATCCCCAACATACATTTCATTTTCATTACTAAGCTTTTCAGTGCCGCTGTTCTTGGTGGTTTGACCTCGTAGCAATAAAAAGATCTCTTGCTGTGCAGGATGCACGGTTCCATGAAATCCGGGATTCAGCGTTCATTGGCTCTAGATATCACAAAGAATTCAACACCACAATGACATCCACGACGACAATGAGCGTGAGTAGGATAACAATGAAGCACATATGAATGACCAAAAATACCTGTGCCTATTCATAAGGATGCAATCAAAGACTTTTGATAGAAGGAAGAGGTATGTGGGGATCATGTATGTTGTTATAGGCGACATCCTTTTATTATGCACGATGGAGTTGGGTATTGTAGTGCTCACAAAGAGTGGTAAATGATTGTTGGAGATGAAGCACTCAAATCGTTGATGCATGAGCTGATGAAGGGATGAGGCTCGTGTGCCATGGTTAAGTCTGTAAAGCCTATGTAGCTATAATGCATGCATAAATCAGCCAACTTGGGATAGGCCATAACATATATTTTCAACTATGAATCAAGTAACTACAAGCCTAAGCACATCCCCATTACAAAGCGGGACCTGTCACTGTTGGGTTACTCTTAATAATGGCAGTGCTGTAAGCAGCAATGGTCAACCATGATCCATTTGTGCAGCAACCTGTCACCGAATTGTGTGTATAACGTCGAAGTGCGATTATCTTCATTTCCCTATGTGTACTGCTCCCGACACCATCCATTAGCAGCAAACAGCCCCACCACGCTTACAGCACAGGTAAAAGATAAGCCTGCCTGATTCTGGAAATTTCATAATGAAGCTTGAGGTCTTTATGAGGACTAAATTGATCGGCGTAGTCGACAGGATCTTCTGTGAAAGTATCAAGTTCGAGGTAGGGTAATCTCAAGGAAATGGGCCGTCCATTAATCATATCTCCCACATATGGACCCCCGCATTCCAAATCTTCACAATGAAGCATGCGGTTTTAAAATGAATGAGGTTGATCAACATGTCCCAGCGAACCTGCTGACCCATTTTCAAGTCCAAAGTGTGGAATCCCAAGATAATACATACTATTTCGATATATCCTGAATCCGGCGCTGACCTCCATTCGGACCTCCATAGTCAATCCCACATTGCACCCTCCCGTTCAAGATTCATATGGATTGTGGATTCTTTTTTAATACAACATTGATCGGCATGTCCAAGAGCATCTTGTGTGAAAGTTTCAGGTTTGAGAGGGGCAATCTCAATATCAAGGATTGATGTACAGTGTGCATGCATTTATACAAGAGGTGTCCGACCCATTTAATTTCCACTTCTTCCACTCTCGGTTTCTTCCCTCTTCCTCCCATTCTCAATTGTTGGTCCATTCAAGTATACAACTACCACCTGCAAACGCTTGTCCTGCTTCAACCCTCCATGTCAAGCATACGATTGTCTTGATCCGATTGTCTTTGACTGTGAACGTGGTTGGTGGTTGGTGGTTGCCATGGCGATATTGTTGCTTCCTTTTGCTCGTTGCTATTCCCGCTCTACGCTTGTTGTCAACAGGTACATTCAGAGTCTAATGTTGCAGCCGAATTGGTTCCATTGACGCGTCAGCTTGTATAGAGGGCAAGTCTGGTTTCAAGACGTTGGCTGGTTTGGCGTTTTGTTTCGGCTATACTACACCATGGTTTTCGGTTTCCAGTAACCAACAGCAACGGGTCTTTGTGTATATGGAAAAGGCAAGTGCAATGAAACAAACAATGAAAAGGGTGTTTATTGTGCGTGTGTGCTAATAATGAATTGAATAGGTTTCTTTGGTCAGGCAATGCAACTTGGGGCCATCATCATCATCTCTTTGGGTTCAAGTCCCAGCCTGTATCAAGTGGCCGCTGCGTCGCTCTGCACTAGCCAAGTGTGCTGGAAAAGCTTCTTGGAACGCGTCCAGGGCTCTATAGGCCTGCGTTGAGTTGAGGATGGTTCGATGACGATGGGTTTTTGGAAAAGCATGGTCACCGTGGTGAGGTAAAAGGGGATTTGCAACAGCTTGTGAATGTGTTGACATCAGTGTGAACCAACACGCTTTTCTCGTGATAGGCTCGTTCTTTCCCTTTGAGGATTTCTTTTCATGAGGAGTGAAATGATGCGAAGGATTGGGGATCATTCTTTCTTTGGAGAGGATGAATGAGAACAACTATGAGCTTGGACTCTACGTAAGTGATGTCCTTCCTTGCCATGGATCGAACTGGCCTTGCGTGATTCGTGCAGTGATTTCTCAAGAACAAGGGATCGCCCGAAGTTGCTCGTATGGTGGTGATTTGGTTTGTGAGTTCCGTCTGATTTGCTTTCTTCCTTTGAGAGGATGGCCTAACGGTATACCAAATCGTCATCATTCCGGTACCAGATGGTCTAACTTGCTTGCTTTCTTATTTATAGAGACGACGATTACGATTATTACCACATTCACAACAATGGCGATTACGATGATCACCCCATCTACAACAATGACAATGATGACGACAACGAGATTCAAAAGGAAGCCTGCAAGATCCCATTCTTTTCAACTTGTGTATTTTTGGATGTTGGTGTGACGGATGAGATTGACGACTGGTGACGAGTACGAGTACGAATGATGACGGAGGACGACTACGAGGATGGTGGTGGCAATGTACAGTACATAGCAAGATAGCTAGATGAAATAAAGCATTGTTTATTTATTACACGCTTGTTGGAGGTTGCTAGCTTGTGGATTACATACTATTGCTTCGAAGATGGAATAATAAAGGTGGTCCGGTTATCGGTCATGCAAGAAGTACATGACTTTTGTTATACAATAAGGAGGAGTGGGAAGTGGGATTAGCTTGAGAAGAGAAAAAGTGAAGAGATCCCTCCATTGAGTTTCAGGATGAGTGACTCATTGAATATGTATATGTATCCTTTTACATATACAAATTGGTTTATGCAGCTCGGCTTTCTTCTACATGCAAATGTGATCCATACCTTGACACACCTTCATTATTGGATGCTGTTTACTTACGTACCTTCACAAAGGCAATCATCGTCATCATCCATTTGTGTAGCAACCTGTCAAGGAGGTGTTTGTGTGACCATCACGTGCTGTTTCACTCAGCTCTTCATCTTTCAGTTAATGCAGCCGACACCATCCACTAGGAAAAAGCAACTCCATCACACTTACAGCATAGGTAAAACATAAACGTGCCTGTATCTCCAAACTTTACAATGAAACGTGGGGTTTTTATTAGAGCAAAGGGCTCGGCTTGGCCAACAGCACCTTGTGTGCAAGTTTCGCGTTCAATGTCGCAAACAGCCCAAAAAATATTTTTTGGTCGTCGTCGTCGAAGAGGTTGACCCCCAGATCCAGTTTGGCTGATAGCGACATGGCGAAATCTGGGATTGGCAAGCTTGATCGTGAAACTTGCACCCAAGGTGCAGTTGGCCAAGCCGAGCACATTGCTCTAATTAAAACCCCACGCTTGATTGTAAAGTTTGGAGATACAAGCACCTTTATGTTTGTAAGCGTGATGCTATATGAGAAGTGGTCTTTGTTCATTGTCAAGTAGCTAGACTCTGGAGAGCCAAAGATGCAGAAGGACCTCTTTGGGTAACTCAGCTAAAAAGTCCGGACCTCAGGGACGATGCATGACAGGTACGCAAACGTCATTTTCAGGTGATACATTGGCAGATAATAGCCACTTTTGTGCATTCCCAACTTTTGTGCATTCTATTGTAGGTGGACGATGCTCCTGCTCTAGACATTCATTTCCATGATTAAAGTAGGTTGATCCGAGCTGATTTGGTTGAGTTACGCTCACGCAAGATTACATCGGTTGAGCTACATCGAGCGTGCTTTATGTCCAGAGTGATGTAATCTCTCTTTGACCGTAGCTCAGCCAAATCAGCTCGGATCAACCTACTTTAATCATGGAAATGAATGTCTGGAGCAGGGGCATCGTTCCCATGCAGTGGATCCCGCAACAATGATGATTGGATAAAAGTGGCCGTTAGCTAGCAATACATGCCTGTTCCTAGATGATCCATAAAGTAATTATACATTGACCCTTTCATTCATGCAAACGTAGCTGTGTCACACAACACGATCCTCTGCATCTTTTGCTCTTCCAGGGTCCACCTACTTGACAATGAACAAAGACCACTCTTCATATAGCATCACGCTTACAAACATAAAGGTGCCTGTATCTCCAAACTTTACAATGAAACGTGGGGTTTTTATTAGAGCAATGTGCTCGGCTTGGCCAACAGCACCTTGTGTGAAAGTTTCGCGTTCAATGTCGCAAACAGCCCAAAAATATTTTTTGGTCGTCGTCGTCGAAGAGGTTGACCCCCAGATCCAGTTTGGCTGATAGCGACATTGCGAAATCTGGGATTGCCCACGATGAACTTCATACTTTGACACAAGATTCCTTAGACCCCGACGAGCACGTTGATCTATTAAAGAGCCCACGTTTGATTGTAAAGTTTGGAGATACAGGTACCTTTATGTTTTACATATGCTGTAAGCGTGATGGTATATGAAAGATGGTCTTTGTTCATTGTAAAGTAGTATCACTACAATAGAGCCAAAGATGCAGAAGGCGTGTTTGTGTAACTTGAGTCATTCAGCACAGGCGATGCATGATTCTTGTACACTATTTAGGAAGAGTTCAAAATGCCAGCTAATAACCTAGTCCTCCCATTCTCCATTGTTGCCCAATCCAATGCATACGAACGATTGCCCTGCTCCAGCCCATCATCTCCATCCTTCAACTTTCTTGATTGGAGAGGTTTTGATCGAGTTACGCTCAAGCACAGAAGTATCGTCCACCATCAGTCAACTCATTTTAATTTCCAGTTCTTCCACTCGCCGCTTCTTGCCTCTTGTTCCCATTCTCAACTGTGGCCCGATTCAAGTACAACTACCACCATGCGAGCGATTGTCCTGCTTCAACCCATCATCCCCATCCCACAGCTATGTTGATCCGATTGCCTTTGACTCAATGGCAAGTCCATGGAGTTGTACACAACCTTCTTGTAACCCGCTACAACACACTCCTTTTTGGCACTACACATTGTCTTGCACAGTCCTTGGCCACAATCAAACGTAACAGCATTCATTGCAGCAGCAGCTATTAGCAGGGTCATTACTCCACTGTCTCATCAAACAACGTTCTTTACTTGCAGCAACTTGTCTTGCATCCTTGGCTACGTGGACAGCAGATAGTCATTGTATACAAACTGCTTTATTCACGTGTTGCAATGCGCTTCAATACATACGAATACCTATGGATGATGCCATATCAGCTATCCAGTACACCGCTATACGAGCCATCTTCAACTGGTTGAGTTGCGAAGGAAAATGACCAAGCATGAAAGAGACCTATAGCCGGATGAAAAAGGAAGCATGTCAGCAGCAATATTGGGTTTGCAATGGTTATGGATGGATGGATGTTATCAAGTGCAGCGATGGGGGATCTTTTGCTTTGGTTCCTTGTCGCGTTGTCAGCAGGAAGGATGGATCATGTCACGTGAATACGGTTGAGGATGATGATGGATGGGATTGACCAAAGGTGTTTACAACTATGGATGGTATTGGGATACTCGAATCAATGCATGCAGCAGCTATTTTGCAATCATGGATGAAGAAGGATGTTTGTGGCGGCAGCAATCAAGAATACAATGACACCATTATCCTCCCTGTTTCCTTTATGTGATTTACCCATTTGTACATTCCTTATTTCAATTTTCGAAGTTACCCCTTCTTTGTTGTATATACTTGATAAACATACACACTGCCATGTGCTATTCTTTGAATTTCATTGAGTGAGAATTGGATACAACATCTTATTTGGAAGAAGGGCATCGTACTATCAGCCTGTATGTGCAAGATGTGGATCACTTGGATGGTTTTTGGATTGGATGGAAGTGGATGGTTTATTGCATAGAGCATACATAACATATGAAGAAAGAAGAGTATCTATGAGTTGAAAGTGGTGAGTGAAGTTGACTGCATAATAAATGAGCACTCTTGCATAAATTAGGCGGGAAAGAAAAGTGAGGATGTCGATCATGGCTGGAATCCAAGTGCTGAGTCAAGCGTGGCGTTTCACATGAATCCGCATGGATTCAGGTACTCACTTTGGTAAGCTCAAAGGTCTGTGTGTTCTCAGCCCAAAAAAATGACGAGCAAAGAGAGCGAAAGGAACCAAACTCGGTGTAACATTTGCCTCGTTTTATTTTCTGCACTTTCTCTCAAGCACCACACACACCCACACACATATTCACACCACGCACTCCTGTTGCTTTTCCACCCCTTGACCATTCCTCTTTCTTGTCTCGTTTCCCGAGTTCCATTTCCTTCTAATGGCGCCCGTTCCTCACATGCGTGGCCCAGATGACGACCAAGATAAACAAGCTTTGCTTCAAGACCGTAAAAACGCAGCCGACTCGGATGACAATCGGTCAACGGATGACTACAACACTGAAATGAACACCAGGCCGTCAGCTACAACCAACGCGTCCAATAGAAACGAGGAACATGATGATGATGATGATACTGCTGCCGCTGCTACAGCAACCACTGAGTACTATGATTCGTTTGATGTGGATGATTCAGAGACAGCGTTGCTTCATGGTAACCGACCCAGGGACTTGAACGAGGCTGAAAATGCCGAGACGACTTACCGGCTACCATCCGAAGGAGGATCCGTATTTGCCAGCTTTGTAAGGATTGGGTAGTGGATAATGTGTGTGTTCTTGTGGCTCATGGGGGAGGGAAACTGGTTGAGTTGTGTGTGTGTCATGTTGTCTAACAAGAATAGCCACCATCTTGTAGCTCAACATGTCAAACAGCATCATTGGTGCAGGTATCATTGGTCTTCCATTCTCATTCAAAGAAGCTGTAAGTATTGGAAAGGATGATGTAGGGTTCATCTTTTAACTTGGTATCCTAGGGATTTGGGATGGGTCTGATACTCTTGGTCATTCTTACGATCCTCGTGGGTAAGTTTAGCCGGTTTTTCTCTTTATGATATCATTTGACCTGAGTTACAAGAGCACACGAGACTCATGCACATGCCACGCATTACAATAGATTGGACCGTTCGTCTTTTGATTTACAATGGCAAGCTATCTGGGCGACCCAATTATCAAGATCTTCTCGAGTACGCCTTTGGCTGGCCAGGGCTATTGGCTATTTCTCTTGCACAATTTGTATTTGCATTTGGTGGTAAGTGTATCTTGTTATTTCATCCCTATCATTTCTAATGCTATCCTTTTCATTGTATATAGCCATGTGTGCATATTGTGTTATCATTGGTAAGGGTACATGAAGGATAATGGGAAGATGACATGTTGACACGTGATCCATTAGGCGATACGATCCCTCATGTATTTCGATCACTCGTTCCCAATATTGACACACTGCCATTTGTGTGGATCTTTGCCAACCGTCGACTGTGTATCACTTTTTTCACGGTATTGGTATCTTATCCACTTTCGCTCTACCGAGACATGTCAAAATTGGCAAAGACGAGTGGTTTGGCACTGATTACCATTTTTGTTATTATCGTCAGTGTTTCACTGGAAGCGCCCAAGATGCCAGCTGAACTTCGAGGTGACCCTTCTTTACGTTTTAGCTTTGCCAACAATGAGATCATCCAAGCTGTCGCTGTCATTAGCTTTGGTAAGAGAGATGATTTGGATTTGAGATTGGGCTTACGCGAGAGAAAAAGAGAGGGCATGTATCTAACACAACGTATAGCCTTTGTTTGTCATCACAATAGTTTCATGATCTTTGGCTCATTACGGCAGCCAAGTATGAACCGGTTTGCCAAGGTGGCTCACTACAGCATGGCGCTTTCCTTTGTAACGTGCACCGTATTGGCGCTTTCAGGCTACATGTCATTTACGGACAAGACCGCTGGTAAGTTGTGTGATGGGTGGATCCATAAGGGAATGGTGAATGACATGCTAATCAACTCAATTAGGTAACATCCTCAATAATTTCCCAGCAGACAATACGTTGATCAACGTGGCACGATTGGCATTCGGCATGAACATGTTCACCACGCTTCCACTAGAAGCCTTTGTGTGTCGTGAGGTATAGGGGAAAAAGGGGATCATATGGCGTTGTCTTACAAGGTTGTTGTGTGTATACAGGTATTGGAGATTTTATTCTGGTCATCATCACCCCACAGCACCGTGCGACATGTAGTCATCACCACGTCCTTGGTGGGTGTATCACTCTTGATCTCCTTGTTGACCTGCAACCTCGGCATTGTATTGGAGCTGACGGGTGGTTTCTCGGCAACGATGCTCGCCTATATTCTCCCACCATTATGCTATCTCAAACTTGCCAAGGACTCCATATGGCAAATCAACAAGATTCCACATTGGGCTACATTGATATTTGGATTGGTGATTATGATATTCAGCACATCTTTCAGCATACAAAAGGTCGTTCTCGGAACATCAGATCCGGGACCAACTTGTGATCTCTGATGAGAGAGGTCGAGCAACATCCATTCCCCTGTACTCTAGACGAATTTACTTTCTGTGTTACTATTATATGCATTATCGTTGAGGAAAATGAGTATTCATCATGCGCTGTCAAGTTACAAGACGTGGGGTCATCAAGGCTGGTTGCTTAGTGCCACAAGGAGCTGGAATCTGGATCTGAGAAAGTAAGAGGGGATGCAAGCAATTGGCAACAATGGTAGTAGTTGTGAGCAATGGATCGATGTTCGAAATCAATAAGGAAGCAAGGTTGTCTTTGATGGGGGAGATGATCCTTTTACGCATATGGAAATGTACAATCATGACAATGCAATAAAGTTACTACTGGTAGAAAAACAAGACATGCTATTTTTTTGGGTTGCATATGGCGTGGCATGCATATGTAAAAATGTACACACATGGACAAGGGAAAACAAAAGAATAAATGGCATAGCAAAAAAAAAGGTAGAAACAGGCAATGTGATGGATGGTGTTAATGTTGAAGGGGAAGCAAGGGGGGTAAAGGTATATACTTTGTGTTGCATATGAGTGAAAGGAAAACTGAATGACGAGAAAAAAGACAACAAGATGCACAATGTCAGGGATTATTGGAGCCAAAGCCTCACCGTACCATCGGCCTTGATAACCCATTCAACAGTGAGCACTGTACCGTGAACAAAATCCTTTGCTACTACGTCGTCGTTCACTGATAATGCGGCCGAAAAATGAGATCTATTGCCATCATTGCCGGAATTCCTGCGTGAAAATGAAGGCTTGTTGTTGACCTGATGGTTATTCAAAGAGACCTTGGAGGGCCGTTGATGTCGCCATAATACTTCTGATACTTGGCTGTGGTGGAGTGAAAGTACTGGACATAGCTGAGCTACTAGCTCGTCAACGGTAGCTTCGCTAAGAACGACATGATGCTTGCTTGGTGCACCTTGATGAAATTGTTGATGTTGAGTAGTTTTGACATGAATGTACAATGAAATGTCTGCTATCTTATCACGTGAGCAATGCTTCCACTTGCAAAACCAGCATATAAACGTTGCTACATACCTGTCTTGTTACTATTAGTGTTAGTGGTGGGTGATGCAATGGTGGGATCATGCTGTGAATGGCTACGTTTACGGGCGTTGCGTTCTTGTGCATCGATTAACGGTGCATCCTCCACTTGGATGGTGCTGTTGTCATTGTCTTCAAGAGTCGACAAGCGTATAAATTCGCTATATGGCTTTGGTTGATGATAGGTGTTCCAAATAGGCTGTTGCTGTTGAGCATCATCTACTTTATAGGTTGAAGCTTTTAACACTTGTTGTGTTGTCCAAAGGAAAAGATGACCTCTTACCTCCATAAACACGCTCCATGTGCCTGCTGATTTGTTTGGCGTCGTCCTTGTTTTTACGCTCGGCACCCTACATGGATAAACCCCCTTACATTAACAATCCAACCAACAACCCCTTTCTTTGCCCCATTGTGTATATACACATTTTACCCCTTACGCACAGACAATTATGTGCGATGGTTACATACCTTGTCCCGAAAGAGTTTGATTTTGCAGTAGGATTGTTCCACATACATATCTCCGCCTTCTTCGGCTGACACAACGCGTGTCTCCATTTGTGCTCGTAATGGGATTCCTTTTACACCCTTGATACGTGAAAAATCAGTCGACAGGCAATTGAATCGGATGTTGAGCTTGGCACTGCCGGTCCAGTCAAATGTGATACGATCAAAACTTGGATACCGCACATTATGGATCCCCATCGATTGACGCTCATCTAAATTTTTGGTGTCATCATTGTATGCTACGTGTATCACTTTTCGATTCCTCCATATCTAAACCCCTACCCCACTTACCTAAGGACATCACACGAGCAGTAGATGGTTCTTTTTGCTGACCAAGCCAAAATTTCCAATAGTTGAGGGCAACCTTGCGATGCGATGGTTCATGAAACATGATGATAAACGTGCTAGTAATGAGCTGATCCGTATCATACACATCTTGTAGATGGATGCTGTACGATTGACCTCGATTAAGATACGTTGTCGGTGACCCATCACTGATCTGGGTAGCTGCTGTCGGTGCTATTATTATACAATACACGCGCACACACGCACAACAACAACATGATACAATTAGCAAAGGCATGTTTAAAGATGACAATGCTTGCTATTTTTTCTTACCTTTAAGCACAATCCGAAATTGCAATGCTTCTTTGCTATTATGACATCCGCATATACTTTTTTTAGCGTCTCTATTATGATGTGACAGATGTGGCAAGAAGAACCTACGTGTCTGAATTTGAATGATTGTGCAAGGCTGATCCCGGAAGAGCGGAAGCAGGTCCCGCTATGATTGCCGATGGTGTTACCATGGGTCTCGCAGTAGGTTGTAGTGGATGTTGTGGTATGGTTGTTGTTGTTGTTGACATCATTTCGGCATCCGTGTGCGAAGATGATATGCAAGCCGATGTCGCCAATGTCATACTATGCATCATGCTGTTTGCAGGGGTTGATACTGGTGCCGCTGTAGCTGCTGTTGTTGATACCACTGATGCCATGTTACTATTACAAACATCACCACCGTTGCTGCCACCACTTGAGACTATGATAGGGGATTGTTGAATGTATTCACCCGCCGAGTTGTTGTATGACATTTGTTGCCGGCATTGTTTTTTGGTGACAATACAAGAAGGATCGTATGGTGGTGTTGCGGAGCTACCATTAGAGGCAAAGGTAGAGGACAGCAAACAAAACGTGCGTTGCGGTGACACGAGGCTGTCATCGGAATAGCATCCGTTGCTAGCAGAGCCTATCATGCCCATGATCGGGTCATGCCCCATTCCCGTGCCGTTCCATACGACTGGCATCCTATTACTGCATTGCTCTCGCATCATGTTGATGTCCGCTGGTGGTTTAAAGTAATCTTCTCCAGACGCGACAACACCTGGTGTAAGCAACATCGATGATGATGAGGTCGTTGTTATTGATGGGTCACCGTATTGTGGATAAAGGCCATTGTCCCCCGTGATTGGTGTCATCATTGTAACTTCTGTACCATAAGAAAGGTGTTGTTGTTGTTGCATATCCATGGGCAATGATGCATACGCTGATGTTGTTAATGGTGGTGGGGAAGATAATGATGTTGTTGTTGGCATGACCCAACCTTCATTTGACAGCTGCTGTAGTTGCTGCTGCTGCTGTTGATGGTGGTGGTGATTATCCATGCTGGTATTTCTGCATATGCAAGAGAAAGAAAGGAACATGAATAGGGATGTCCTGACGTGGTAATCCCGATTATGACAGTGATTGTTTTGTCTTACTTGGATGATGCTTCACAAGGCACGTAATACGACGTGGCGGTGATGGTGTTGTTGATGCAGTCTGTGTGGTATAGCATATGCAAAGCACACACACTCTCACACGTATACACACAGCTGTTGTAGAAAGGGAAAAAAGTTTCAAGAAGGAAAAAGATGTGGATTCAATCTTCAGATCGTTTTATACTACTGCATTTTCTCCCATCCCGGGTACCAAACACACACACGAACACGCACACATATACACACACAAAACCTCTCTCTCTATTCTTTTTTTCATGCTCCCCACCCCCGGTTGTCTCCTTGTCCCACCATCATCTTCACCGGGCAATCGGTATTATGTTCTTGGTTTGGATAGCTTTCCTGAACGGAAATGCCTACACAATTAGGTCATCGTTGATGTATACGCGTATGAGTGTGGGGTCAAATAAAGCTGTACAAGGAAGGAGGTGTGATGATGATGCTGCTGGTATGCACCTGCTGGGGGAGGATGAGGATGAGGGGCGGGGGCTAAAGACGATGATCGCAATACGAAACAAAAGAAATGAGGAGAAAGGGTCTCGTTCTCTCTCTCTTCCTCCGAGAACAAAGAATGTTTTTGTTGCTGGAGCCTTTTTTTTGCATGAGCTTCCAATAAGAGTAGAGGACCCCACATTACTATGGATTTTGACCCATAGCATTATTCCCTTGTTATAGCCTTTTCTCCATAAGGAGCACGACAACAACAAGCTTCCGACAAGAGGAGTGTCAATAAAATAAAATTCTTATGCATCTACAATTGACACAGCATTGTATCGTTTCAGCTTAGCTAGCACATGTCCTTCATAGAGAACGAATCATTATTGATGTCTACTCTTTAACATGCTGCTTACAGCAGCATCTACACGAGGGATCTGCAAAAAAGGGACCCTATTCTTTTGACCTAAAAAGCATCGTATTGTCAAATCGAAGATGAGTATACTACGTATGGGCGGGGAGCTCCTGAACGACATAGCAGCGCCCCTAAATAAGGCAAATGTCTATGTGATAGTAATGCTATCCCTGGCTACTCAAAGTATGTATCCTTTGTTTATCACCGGTGACTAGCGGCATTATACTCTATGCCATTGGACACAGATGATAAAAAGGCGCTTCTTCTTGCATAGCGATCTCAACAATGAATCAAGCCAAGGAGATCAAAAGGAGTGCATGATGCTGCACATCCCTGTATCTGTGATTCTTCTCCTTTGCTCCCCCCACACATATGAACCCATTATCCAGATGTCTCTCTTGCATTCTTACATCTTTAAGAAAGCCTTTTTCATTGGACATGACAAAGGAGTTGACAATGGGCATCAATGAACCCTGACCGAAAAATGATCCCTGGGGATTCGCATATACATCTTTCCATCATCTAAAATTATTCTGATCTACCATCATAGAGCTATCATTGCTCAACCAAATGCTCCTTGATCTTTTTATACATACAATGATCCCATCCATGACATATAGATTCTACGGGGATACCACCATTGCCATTATACAAAAAAGGGAAATGTGATACGCATCTTTGGTGTGCACGCCTATACTGCAGGTTCAGTGGATGACATCGGCATGAATAAACTAATGCATTTTGTGACGATAGTAAACCTCCTCTCTTTATTTTATCATCAGCAATAGCCTGCTGTTGTCAATGCATCCTTGTTGAGATGTTACTAGAGCCTCTATACGCACTTGACCACGAATGCTTGTAATCCTTTGAATGATCAACAACACGCTCGTGTACATGTTCCATCTTGTAATGTTAGCACATGCTGTATCCCCGACGTCATTGTGATGATCCTTTTCCCCTTTCATAGATTATGTACCCAATTCATCATTGAAACAAGCAAGCTGTATGCGATCATTGACATCTAAGATGCATGTGAAGAAGTGTATTGCAACGTAACCGAGATGTCACCGATTGATAAACCGACACAATTTGACGTCGACGTGAAGGAGGAAGAGAGAGAAAGAGATAAAGAGAGAGAAGAGAAAGAAAAAGGGGGGATGCGCATGCATTCTTTTTTCTTTGCCTCTCTCTCTTTCTTTCTTTTGTCTCTTTGAATATCCATTCTTCTTTGTTCTTGACCCCCCCTTTTTATTCTCTCTCCTTTGAACTCCTTTTTCTTGAATCGTCTCCTCTGACGCGATACTCGGTGACCCTTGTTGTAGCATCGACACACATTATCCACCATCACACAAGATACACACGATGTTGAAGGGCAATGATGTATTCATTCAAACATGCACACTAAGCTATTGCTGCAATACGTCACTTGTCAAGGCTGCTGCTATCTTGAAGAGCACCACCACCTCTCTCAGCACCGTGGATGAGATCAAACCAGCGAATGGAACGGGGCAATTGGCCCAGGACGTGTACAACACTGTATGGGGAGTACCGCATGGAATACGACGATGGATAGAAGCCATGTGGGCGCATGTTGTGAACGACGATTCATCCAATATACGGCCGAGATGGGATATGAAAACAGCCTTGCTTCTCACAGCACTCCAAACCATGCGAGATCAATCACTCACCTGCAGTCTTCAATTTTGGCGTATGGGCTTGAATCAATTACGTTGGATATGCACTCCTCCAAGTGATGCCATCATTGTACCTTTTGCTATACCTGTGCAAACAAGAGAACTCCCGGGGATACTCAAGGACGTCGATCAACAAGAGAATGGCACTCGTATCATTGAAGCTGAATGGATCAAGGCACCAACACCCTCAACACCTATCGATCAACAACAGCATCACCATCAAAACAAGCAATATCCATATAAACGCTTTTGGCATCGATACCTTCCATACACACGTCCTGAACTCATGTCCACACCATGCGACACCACAAGTAATGCAAAAGAAGAAAAGGTCGTGTTGTTCATTCATGGCGGTGGCTACGTTGCAATGAGCTGCGAGACACATCGCTACTTGACATACAAGATTAGCAAAGCTACTGGTCGTAATGTGCTTGGTGAGTGTGGCAAAAGCTTTATACCTTGACGAGTGTTGACACGAAAGAGATAGCTTTCAATTACAGGCTTGCACCCGAAGTCAAATTCCCAGGGGCTTTGTACGACACAGTGCAAGCATACCTCCATCTTATTGACGATTTGCATATGGATCCCAAGCATATTACAATCATGGGTGATTCTGCTGGTGGAGGTCTATGTATGGCATTGTCCTTGTATTTGCGTGATCATGGAGCACCTTTGTCTGAAGCTATGGTCCTATTATCAGTTGAGTAATGATGATGACAGTACTACACGTGGCATCCCTCAATCCAAAGCTGACAATCATGATAAATTATACGTATAGCCATGGGTGGATTTGACATTTGGATTTCCAAGCTGGGCGAATGCTGAAGCACACGATTGTTTGCCACCAAAACCTGCTTGTTGGGATAAGAACCCTGCGATGCTCTATTTGGGAAAGGAAAATCATGAAGAGTTATGTCGACATCCATACGTCTCGCCTATCTACGCATCCAATTTCAACGATCTACCAGCGACTCTGATCCAGTCAGGCGGATGCGAGGCACTTCGTGACGAAATTGTGGAACTCGTTCGGAAGCTTAAAGATTCTCGGATGTCCACCATTGTGCAACATGAACAATACGAGGTAACCTTTTCATTATGATTCTCTTTTTACCTCTTGGTTATTGAATTCTTTATCCATAGGACATGCCACACGTATTTCAATTGTTCCCTTTATCCCAAAGCCAAAAGGCTATCGATAGTATTGGCCGCTTTGTTAGATCATTATAGTATAGCGTAGTAGAGAGGACATGATGATGATGGCTACACCAATACAAAAAGGAAAAGATCGCTGTGTGTTGTTTTCGGCAAAGCCGAGATGTGTTCCGAGATTTGTGTTATTTCTGCTATGAGCGTGTACGTGAGCGTATTACCGCCAAACATATCGAATGTTATTCATCCATCCAAAAAAAGAGACAAAGATGCATCGTCATGCGGATGATAATTGTCTTTTGCTCATTCTTCATTGGCTCCCCCACTTATCATTCAACAATTTCCTCAAGTGGATAAGCCGAAGACGTGGTAAAAAAAAGAAAAGAAAATGATGGTAATGGTGGGTGTTTTATGGATCATGGGGCCAGCTTGCTTTTTCAGGTGTGTGGTGGTTTTGTTGGTCGTTGCGTTGGATGACCGGGGATAAGTCGGCTCAGCATGTATTTGCCTATGATTCTTTCCCACAAGGCGTATCATGGGAAGAGTACAACATGTACGATTGGCTACTTTGATTCCATGTGCACGTCGTTAATCTGTCAGATTGCCACGTTACTTGATGTTCTCCTTTGTATACTACCCCATTGTTTAAAGAGGGGATAAAAATGACGGCTACTAGTAGGGTGTGCATATGTCAGCTGTTGTGCGTATTGTTGGATAGAAAATAGAGCAATGATGAAACGTGCAGCCTGCAGCCGATCCCATTTTGTCATGCATAAGAGATGCGTCAGGTTTGCCAATGGGCAGGGATCTTGTAGATAGAGCACTTTTGGTGTGTGAAAGGTTCCTGACGGGCGAGTATCGCCGATGTTGTACAGCAGGCTGCAATAAAAGATGCCTATGTGAGATAGCAAGCAGCAATGTGCATGTGTGTATGTATACACCAGAGTTTAATGGAAATGTCACGTCTGTGTAGGCTGTCCTTCCTCACATGGCATCAATGATGTCCTATCGGGTCACACGCGCGGAACGAGCAATACCGAGATATGCTGTTTCATCCTTGAACAGGGTGCGTTGATTTGACAAAAACCGACTAGCCCGTGCGTTGCAAATATTCTTGGAAAGAACGCCTTCTGGATCACTCTTTTTTATTGCTTCGAGCTTTACACTCATTCTTTGCCCCATTGTTGGCAACAAAAGTAAAAGAAAAAGGAGGGAGTTGCTGCTGCCAGCAAAGATTTGGTCACCACTCTCCTTATAGCTCCGTGTACAGGTGATCGTGTACAGCCAAGCCGAGATGGGATATACGCAAGAGGGACCCACATAAACAATTGCTTTTCTCTGTTGTATGCGTGTACCACGTCAAAATAGCGTTTGTTTATAAAGGCCTGAGCTTTCACATCAACAGCTGCTTTTTCCTTTCTTTTTCTCTCTTCCTTGCTCTTTATCCCACTTATGAACACCAGCTGCACAGGCACAACTCATCCATTTGCATCTCCACCATCAGACGAATTTTATGCCTTGGGCACATTTACTCGCACTCCTGATTTGGCAACGTCTTCATTGACGAGTTCTAGCTGCTCACCTTCCGATGGTACGATCTTGAGCACGACAACACCGAGATCCACTAGTGATTATTCATCACGCTATTACGGACGTACTCATGAAGTGATCAATCGCATACAAGGCATGATGCTTGGCTGTTATCACGATCCCTATGCAATCGACCAAAACCAAGAGAACGCCGTCATTTGTCACCAACAGCAACAACATCATCATCATCACCATGACTTTTTATCCGATAGTGGCATGGAGCCACAACATCATCACACACAACAACAGCATCAAGCATCATCTTATTGGTCATCGCCTATGTTTGCAGGTGCCCCAATACGATTTCCACCAACGTCAATAGTTCATGGCGTCCTTCCGTTCCATCAAGCACCCTTGTTTCAACAGCCCAATGACAGCAAAAACCCCGATCCTGCTTCTTACACCACCGAGTATTTACCTTCGCCATCCTCTTACAGTAATGGTACGGTGGTTGCACCGCCACTTTCAGCAGCACCAGCACCAGCACCACCTTCAACGCTTCAACATCACCAATCAATACCACCTACGGTTCCAAGCACTACTAATACAACACATACAACAGCATCTACTTCATCGTCACCACCTTTTTCAAATGATGATGATGAACAACAAGGCATCGAAAATGACGATCATGCTTTTTTCCCTCCTCTGGAAACAAGTATACAAGAACAACAAGAGCACAATCATCCACAGCCGCAGCCATCACCCGAAGAAAGGCCTTATGGATGTTCAGATTGTGCCTCTGCATTTGGCCGACGACAAGATTTGAAACGACATGTCAGCTCTGTGCATAGAAAAGTCTTTCCTTACGAGTGTATCCAATGCCATCGCCTCTTTAGCCGTAGAGATTCCTTATTACGCCATGAACGTAATTCGTGCCATCGACCTTCTATTGCTCCCCATCATCCACATCCATCACCATCTACAGTGTCATCATCATCATCTCGCCGCAGTAACAATACTGCATCATCATCATCACGTCGTAATGTGCAACGAAGACGTCGCCGCAGTAACCAAGGAACGACGACAACAACTACTTCCACAACAAAGTATCCACGCAACAGCAACAACATCTCCACCACAACCACTTGTAGTAGCAACAACAACAACAACGATGGTAATCGTACCCGATCCTCAAGTCGTCGCTACAACACTATGATGTATTAAGCAAATGTCATTTTCTTGTTATCTTATGTAAATTATCCAAGCGTACATAACTCCTTTTCCATTCCTCCCATGATGCTTTAAATCTCGAACATGCCAAATGCGCACACACACATATATATACTACATCCTTTCAATCACCATTTTTCCTTGTTATTGTGTCTTTATTGATGAGCGATGAAAATAATACACAAAAGCTGTCGAATTTCTAGGCAGCATGATATATGCAACATTGCAATTACGTATGTCATTCATAAGCTATTCATCTCAGAGTTCCAAGATTCTATCATCAGCAATCGGAGGTGAGTGATCATGTGGTGTGATCTCGGGATGAGCGGGTTTTTACCTCCTCCTGTTGAACTTAGAGCTAGCCCATATGATAGATCGTCGTCGGATGTCGGTATCCATTCTTCTTGGTCTCCTGTCGATCCTTCTCCATTCATGGTCACAATAACAATCATCATATTTTTTGAACCGGCAGAAAGAAAAATAAACAATGAATGCATATCAAACCAAGGGCCATGTCCTCAGGGCAATTCTTCCCACCCTACAAGTCTCATGATAAACCACACACACACACACGCATACCATCCATATTTGATAGAATAAAAACCATCCACAGCTGTCTTCATCACACACCACATGCTGTCATTCAACATAAAGTTTCATGTGCAGGCCCGTAACGAAAAAGGAAATTGAATTAAAAATGTACATACAATACACAAAAGGTTTCTTTACAAGGTAATTTGATTGCCTGTCAATAGAGTATACACCTCCTTGTACTTTTCCAAGGTCTTCTCGGTCACCTCGGATGGCAACTCGATGCTGGTCTTTTTGTCAAAGTTGATGGATTCAAGGTAGTTGCGCACAATTTGCTTGTCAAAGCTCTCTTGACCACGGCCAGCTTCATACTTGTTGGCAGGCCAGAAGCGAGAGGAATCTATTAAATCCCGATTCAGCCATTAGCATATGCCTTTTCCCTCTCTCACACAAAAACACACACCCCACATTATCATTTCCTTTCCAGTACATCCCGATACCATCTGTAACAAATGTACTTACCAGGGGTCAAGACCTCATCTACCAACACGAGGTTGTTGTTCTCATCCAATCCAAATTCGAACTTGGTATCGGCGATAATGATTCCCTTTTCGGCGGCATATTCACTGGCCTTGGTGTACAAGTTGATAGCAGCGTTGGTAACCTTGGCAGCCAATTCCGCATCGCCCAAGATCTCAGCCATCTTTGAAGGATGAATGTTTTCATCTATGTAAAAGCTATCCTTAGTATCTCCTTTGCAACATCATCCACATCATCATCTTACCATGATCACCAATCTCAGCCTTGGTGCTTGGGGTAAATAAAACAGAAGGCAACTTTTGGCTTTCAACGAGACCTTCAGGAAGCTGAATGTCGCAAATGGTGCCCTTGCGCTTGTATTCGGCCCAACCAGAACCAGTAATATAGCCACGAACGATGGCTTCAACAGGGAGCACACGCATCTTTTTCACAAGGATGGAACGGCCTTCAAGTTGATCACGGTATTTTTGAACGTTGGCAGGCATCTTGTCAAAGTCGGCTGTGATCAGGTGATTCGGCAAGACGTCGCCAAGCAAATCAAACCAAAACAAGGATACTTGAGTCAACACTTTGCCCTTGCCAGGAATAGGCTACATTGCTTATCAATCTATGCACAAGTCCATATCAAATAAAGAGAGATAAACTTACGTTCTTCATAATGACATCGAAAGCTGAAAGACGATCGGTGGCCACGAAAAGGAGCGACTTGTCATCGACCTCGTAAAGATCACGCACCTTGCCACGAGCAACGAGCTTCAAATCAGGACATTCACTACGCGATTGTCAAGCGTCAATGATAGCCAATGGGGAGAATAAATGGAGAATGAGCCTACCTTGACAAAAGAGCCATAATGGGATATATGCGTTTATGCAAAGCAGGGATATGATGCGCGGAGGAGAAAGGGACCCTGCCTGTCAATTGAGATTTCTCTTGTTCCATCAGTAGTGGCTTATCCCATCTCCAAATCTGTGCAACGATCCATTTGCATGACATGTCCAAAAGAACACATTTATAGCATACTATGATAAGCAACAACATGCGCATTAAATCCAAGTTGCTTTATTTGATGACAAGATGAGCTTCAATGACAGCGTGTTTATGGCAGTGATACCTACGCTGCATGGAAGGTAACCATGTTGCTTTGTGAAACACACGGGTTGAGCCGGACACACAAGCATGATGATATCGTTCCCATCGCGTCGTTTTTACTCCTTGCTGTTGTTGCTGCTTTTGCTGCTAATGAAAATGAATGAATGACTACCATGAATGTTAATTACCAAATCCAATACCAATTGCTATTGGTTTCCATCACCGCCAAGGAGTCAAAAGGAGGGGGGGCGACGAGTTGATATATTAGTTACATTTAGTGGTGATGAAAGTAGCGAGAAAGGAGAAGGTGTTGCCATTGACTACAGTGTAGATGCGAAATGTCTCGCCCAATTGCCCCGAGGTGGACAATGCAATATAACGCAACGATAAATTTAGTAGGACCACGCCACATCATGTTATACAAAGGAAGGGATCGATGAGTTATGAGAAAAAACCACAGGGCTGGTGCCGCTGTCAAAAGAAACTCAGTCCACAATAGATGTGGCTGCCAAAAATATGTTATTCAGGAGCAAGGGGCAAGAGTAAAATGGCGGGGAGAAGCCTGCTTTGGGTCTCGCCTGCTGTCGGAAGGAAAAAAGTTTCAACATGTTGATTGTGATAGCCAATGTATGCAATTACATATCCAATGGATCCTGTTTTCACCCTTCAATGATGGCATTGCATTGCTTTTTGAATGCTTTTTTCTTATGTGCTCTCATTTGAAAGTCAATTCAGCAGGTTCGTCATATACAGCGGGGGGCATGTGTATGTCGCGAGCAAGAATAGTACATATACAGTTAAAAATAGTCGAATTGGTAGCTGTTGTGTCATGATTGGGTTATGCCATGTTGTTCAAAGGAAAAACGTTTGCTACTACTCGACAAAGCAAGCGTCTAATCACCAAACAAGGAGAAATAAACCGCTACCCATTTTCCTGATAAAGGCATTTTAAGCAGACTTGGTGTTGCGTTGTAGTTGGATTCGTGCGACTTTATACTCATTGTGCAACAACACTCGGACAATCACCTTGTAACTCAGTGAAAACAATTCCACCTTTCTATTTAAATAAGGCATTTTGTCGCTCCGGGAAAAGCTTATTAAATGTCACTATAGGCCTATCTTTCCATTTTTCTCCTTTCTTTTTTTCCATCCATCTTTCTCTCGTGAATCAAATCCATTCCTTTCGTTGACGACCACACACACACATACACACACCACCTACAACACCTACCTCCCTATAATCACTCGTTTCAACAAGGACATCCTCATCCAAAATGCTACGACTCTCCTCCCTTTTAATGACTGCTGGTGCATTGTTGCTCGCTAGTCAACAAGCACAAGCAGCCAACCAACGTGCTCAAGTCGTTGATGCTACCAACTTTTGTACGTTCTTGCCGCCCGTTGACGAAGCTGATCGAGAGATCTCGGACACCGAGTGGAATGCCCAAGCGTTTTGTATGGGTGATACACCTGAAGCTGAAAGTGCTGGAGCCATTCCTGATGGTTTCATTCAATCGGCCCACTTTGTTGCAACCGATGACTACGTTCAAATTACTGGTCAAATTGATCCCACCAAGGCTAACTTGGATATCAAGGATTGGGGAGGGTAAGTCAAATGATTTGACATTGGCATCGTTAACCAATAATCATACCTAACATGTTATCCTTTGCCAATAGTCAATATGATGTCAAGGCACCTGATGGTTCCAAATGTGCCGGCTGGACTTATTACGTTAATTTGATTGAGCCTGCCAGCTACACTTGGTGTATTCGTTGCTGCGTAAGTGATCCAAAAGCGTAATTTTATCGAAAGCTATATATTAATACCTCTTTTTCGATCCCTTTCAGAATGATGACAGGCTGTGCAACCGTGGTATTAGTGAGAAGGGCTGTGAGCACATTATCCCTGGTGACTACAGTGGTCCTATGGATACATCCATTACTGCTCCAGCTGGTGGTAGCGGAAGTGCTGCAAGCAATCCCACCACCAGTGCCCCTACTACAACCAGCGATTCCAGTGATTCAAACTCCTCATCAGCTTCGCAAACATCTACTCCAACAAGCAGCAGCAGCAGCAGCAGCAGCAGCAGTGATGCTGATGGTGATAAGAATAATGGTAGCAACGGCAATGGTGATGGCAACTCGTCTCCTTCATCTAGCAACAACCCATCCACCGGCAATGGTAATGGTGACAACAACGGCAACGGTGGTGATCAAAATGGCTCTAATGGTGCTGACAATGGCACCTCTGCTCAACCATCAGCTGCTCAATCATCCGATAATGCCGATCCTAATGCATCTGCTTCATCATCGGATTCTGCTGCTAGTGTTGCTCCTTCGTCCTCGATTGCAGTTTCTTCTTCGGCCGCAATTTCTTCCTCGTCTTCTCAACCAGCTCAATCATCTCCTGCTGCTAGTGCTTCTGACAACAATAATGCCCAATCCTCTGACAGCGTTACTGCTCAAGAGGCTGATGATCAAGAAAGCAGCGCCAACATTATGGGCTATTCTTCGACATTGATCGTTTCAACTTTGGTGTTGGTCATGGCCATGTCTTTGTAGTTGTATCCTGTGTCCTTTCAAGTATTCCTTCTCTCACTTTTCACTCTTTTACACGTTCCCAATTTCACCCATATCCTCGTGTCTACGCATCAAGCACCAAAGCAACAATGTGTCTCGTATTTCAACTTTTTATACACCGTGTATTAATCTTCACTAAACACAAACATACTCCCAGGAGATATACTTTTCATTGTTGATCTTGATCCAATTGAGCAAAAATTGAATCCCCCTTATACAAATGTACTTAAAACTCGCCTAATGAAATCCTACTATACACTGTTAAAGCGTTACGTGTTGTGCAACACGCATCAAATGTATGTACAACATGCCAAGCTATTATCTCCGGGATGGAGTGCTTTGTAACTTTATTGGGGTAAGATGGATGCAACAAGGTTGAAAGAAAGTGAGCAATCAATGATCGAGATGAAAAAGGAGGGTGATGATTGAAGCTTGTAAGTTGTATGTAACCAGGAACGTGGTATCCAGCATCATCATTGCGAGAGCGACATCAAATTTCGTGGTTGCACCCGATGATAAATCCTTTGTGGTGTCTTTCTTGTCTATCTCAGATCCTGGTTTACGGATGCACATCAATCACTGCAAGGCTCTCTGTTTGAGGCTCCCTATCAATCAGCTCAACAAGCATTTTATCAATCTTTGTTTGTGGTTATAGAAATACCCACGCCCCACCATGCACATAAAAGATGTTGTCGCCCATCGCTTTTCTCCCCCTCATCTCTTTCTTTCCATTATCGTATCACTCTTTGATTGCTGACACCTTCAAAACCCCTTTGTGAGCATCATTGTTGAGAGGTTCTTTATTTGAGAGGTCCATGTGCTAATTTGTGATGATCGTCAAGATTTCATTGTTATTCTAGTACCCTATTTTCCTTGTTGTCATTGTGATATCTGGCTCTTTTATTAAGGTAAATCCTATTCATCTTGCTTGATGGAGCATGCATTCATATACATAGTATGTTTCTTTTTGATGTAGCTACCACGTGAGATGCAACTAGAAAGGTGGTGGCGTATTGTACTACTGCCCGCATAATCATCATTTGAGCTTACCAATGTCATCTTCGTTTACTTTCCTTCCCACTTTTTCATACACGATCGTTCATGTTCAACTCTGCAACCACTTTATTCTCCTCATTTGAACCCTACTCTTTCCTCTGAATCCGTGTACATGGCATGCTTGAAGGCAATGGCAACTCAATCACAGTCAACAGTCCACGTTATTGTTTACAATGACCACCGCATCTTGTGCACTTGACGACTCGACACCAACACGACCATATGAACTTCAATTTGATGCAGAGCGCTATCGCTGATGTCTAACGCTCATCAAAGAGCGAGCTCGTAACCTGGCAACATGGGAGGTTAATGCAGTGGGTTGTTTTCAGCACTCGACGACGACTCAATACAAGCAGCACGATCATCGCAACAGGCTGTGGAACAACCATTGTCATCACAACATGTAGAGGCTTGGTGTTATGAGGTAAAGTCCAACCATGTTGATATAAGCGCTTGATGAATCACATACTTATGCATATGTAACCAATCTTTTTCACTATGTAGCCATGGCAGTGATTCGAATGGCGATGTCATCTACGGCATGTGCAGATGAAGTGGCCACTCTTCTTGTGGGAAACGCCCGGATATCGGAAACATCGAGAGACGGCAACATCAGAAGAGGCTCATAATACATCTCAAGTTGTAAGTCATGAAAAGCTGCCAAGCATCTACATTACCTTATTAACATGTGTCATTTCGTAGCTGTGAATCACACGACGGACGTGTATACAGCATATTGAAGATTTCATCCGAGATCATCAGAAAGCAAGCGTGTCAAGCAGTGAAAACAGCTAAAGATGGTCAATTGTGTGATGGTCTTACGGCGTCGTTCAAGGCCGATACACCTGGTATTGCAACACTTAGGCACCACTGTCGATGATACCCCACCATACATCTTCACAAAGCGATTCCAAAGGTTGCAAACGATGGTACGATGAAGTCATTCAAGCATTTGTACAGGCTCCATGAGGTAAGCTATACATCTATGTTATTCAAGGGTTTATCATGGGGCTCACGATTTTTTTTCATCCACATAGCCATCACCATGGATTCCCAAGATCTCTCAGTTGAAAAAGCTACATGAATTGATGCGGAGACAACAATCCTGGACATGACCCAAAACACGTGCTTATTCATGGACATGAGAGCTTGAATCGCTTTCTTTACTTTGGATATGCCATCATGACGAGGATCGACGGAGGTACTTGAAGCCAACAGTAAGAAAGTACGATGACCAATGATTGGAAGAAGGAGAGGGCTTTCATCAAGTGGAATTATCTTTGTCCAAAGCCAACCAATACACATATACCAAGCTGATGTAGACTCGCTCATGCCCTCTTGATTGGAGTATGTCTTGATTTATTGTCAGGAAGAGATCATAATAATACTTGGGAGCTTATTCATATATATCATATTTGTCATGCTAAGGTTGAAGTGGGATGGTTGGGATGTTGCATTATGAGGGTGGGAAGGGAGGGTGGTAGCCTAGGCAACCATAGCGAATATAGTCCGACGTGGTTGGTGGTGGGGTGGGGGGAAAGGCGAGGCACCCAAATGGGAACCCAATGCTGCTGCCAATGATAATCTCCCTCTCTTACATCTTGTACGTATTATCACAGGCAACATTCAAAAAGGGCGTGGATGGATGAATGGATGAGAGCAAAGGATGGATGTTATGTCAAAGGATGCATACGCCAAAGACAACGATAAGATGAATGGATGAAATGGATGCATCTTACGAGGAACCCACCAATACACCACCAGCCCAACATGCGCACCATTGGATAACTGAATTCCTTTTTCACCTCTTTCAACCCCATTCACGCCCACGCTTCATATACCGTTTATATGTTTATTCAATGCTGACTTGTACATTGTCTACAGTTGAACGACATGGCTTCTCACAAGATCACCAAGGTTGCTGGTGCACAGGCCACTAACGAATTCGAGCTTTCTGTTGCTCAAGCTCTCGTCGACTTGGAGAACAACGTTGCCGAGCTCAAGAAGGACTTGCGTCCTCTTCAAATCACTGCTGCCAAGGAGGTATGTTTTTGTTGTTGTTTGGGTGGCAAAAAGGGACATCCTTGTAATAATGGATGTATGTTGTATAGGTTGAAGTTGGCAGTGGCAAGAAGGCTATTGTTATCTTTGTGCCTGTCCCCACCCAAAAGGCATGGAACAAGGTCCAAGCTCGTGTCACTCGTGAGCTCGAGAAGAAGTTCTCTGATCGTCAAGTTGTCTTTGTTGCCCAACGTCGCGTCCTTCCTGTTCCTAGCCGTCGTTCCAACCCCAAGCAACCCCGTCCCAGATCTCGCACTTTGACCGCTGTCCACGATGCCATCCTTGAGGACCTTGCTCACCCCTCTGAAATCGTTGCCAAGCGCACTCGTGTTGCTGTTGATGGCTCCAAGACCATCCGAGTGTAAGTATCTTTTATGAAAAGCGATGATGGGTATAGGGTAATCGATCGCTGATGTATGTTTTATTTTAGTTTCTTGGATCCCAAGGATGCTACCTCCCTCGAGTACAAGCTTGACACCTTCTCTGCTGTCTACAAGAAGCTCACTGGCAAGGCTGTTGTGTTTGAGTTTGCTGCCAATGCTGATTTGATCTAAACGGTATAAACAATATGGAGCCATGTATCATATCCTGTCAATTCCAGCTACTATGTAATTGTTCTTCTTGCTGATGATATCAACATGTATGTGTTTGGAGACAAATATGGGTACTGTGCAAGAGACAATGTGGTGTATTTGTTTGTTTGGGTCACAAGGTTGCATTACAAGAAAGCTGTCAACTCTGTAACAGCCACATTTTAAAGTGCTCTCTTTGGTGACATGGCGTGTGTTTGGTCGATAGCTTAATCACAATACTTGACAGTGCACGGGTACACCGCATGAATAGAGAAAAATGGATTGATTAACAATCGTCATCTACTCGACTCCGCTTATAACAAGTCATATTATGTATTCGATCTGCATATTTTCATTACCTGCACACAGCCGATCACACAAAAAGTATACACGCTTGCATAAGGCGCGTGTTTCTTCCGAACAAGCATTGGAACAAACATTGACAGAGGGGCAAACGCGTCAATTTGTGTACAAGTTGGAATTTGGACCGACAAGCAAGATTGCTGATATCACGTTGATATTGAATGCACGTATATCTCGATAGAGAGAATTGCTGATCACGTATATATAAAAGGTGTCATGAATTTTTTTTACCAGAATATTCATTCATACCTTATCACTTTTATCTCCTTATGAAGCAAGCCTATCTTATCCCGTTGTTCCTTGCATTGCTTGGCCAATCTGGTGTTTTGGCCCAAGGTGATGCCGAGGATGTTGTGGTGCCACAAAACCGTGAATGGCTTGCCGAAGTGGACTTGTCAAGTGTACCCGATATCCCATTACGTCCTGTTGGATCGGGTATCTGTGAAGATGTAGCATGCGATGGTCCCGAAAACGATGAGTGCTTTGAATCATGCGGCAACACACCTGGTGAAGAAGACATCTATGGTTGTCCACGCGATCATACATGGGCATTGTCTTTTGATGATGGTCCTAGCGAGTATACACATGAGCTCCTTGACTTGTTGGAAGAACACGACATCAAGGCCACCTTTTGTGTTATGGGCTCACATGTCATCAAGTATCCTGATGTTTTACAACGTGCATATGAAGCGGGTCACCAAATCGCATCCCACACCTATTCTCATCCACACTTGATGAGCCTTACCAACGAGGAAATCATTTACGAGATCAAGGCAACTGAAAAGGAAATTGAAAAGGCCATTGGCATCCGTCCCAAGTACGTACGACCCCCATTTGGTGAAGCTGATAATCGTGTCAAGGCCTTGTTGCGTTCTATGGGATACAAGATTTTGCTCTGGAACGTGGACCCAACCGATTATGATGTCTACATGTTGCCCGATGCTTCCAAGAAGATCCGTGGTGCATTCAAGAGCGCTGCTTCTGGTGTTGATACTGGTCTTAACCCACATGAGGATCCTGGTTTCATTAGCTTGCAACATGGTAGGTTTTAACTTTGGCTTTTGAATTCGATGATGGCTGACATTAATTCCTTTATTGTTAGACTTGTACAACCAATCCATCGCACAAGTACCCCACATCATCAAGTATCTCAAGGATCGTGGCTACAGCTTCTCCACTGCTGCAGAATGCTTGGATGACGATGAACCCCATGAATTGCTTGATGAAGAATTGATTGCTGCCCAAAGCGCAAAGACGACCAATGCTACCGTATCAGCATCATCAAGCGCTAGTGAGGATGCATCCTCTTCAACATCCGCTACCAGCAGTGCTTTCAACAAGGCATCGAACAACCACAAGGCCGCCACTACATCGGGTGCCAACGCTGTTGTAGCTGCCACCAAATCCGGCTTTGCTCTTGCTATGCTGATGCTGGGTGCCATGTTCTTTTAATTTCACACATATATAGGCATCATACTTTGTTCTCATCTATTCATTTCTAGTTCATTTCTATCCTAGTCGTTCATTTGTTCATTCTGCATTCTGCATTCATCCCATACATACACCCCAATGAAAAATAGAGAGTAACGGATGTTAACCAACAGCCGTTTTAATCACCGCACAATAATCTCAAGAATGTATACTATGCATAAATGACTCGTGTTACTGCAAAACGGGATTGATGATAATGTATTCTCAATTACAAGTATCGCTATGCTTCTTTTATTGTGATGGAGTGAAACATCGTAGCGATGAATGAGGGGGCTGTGAAGGATGGCGTGTAGGCTGAGCTGTGTTTTTTTTCTTGTTGCAGGCACCCCGCATATGGGCCCAAATCCAGTACACTGATATTGTCATTCGTTTGCTCGACTCTTCTCGTGTGGATCGCGTGTTCATAATGTGTCCTGTGAAAGTTGGAGGATGATGGCATATTGTGATAAGAACCAAGTGATCATGTTTGGCCTTGGATTGTGCATGTATCATGTATCCTAGGGCTAAGTGAAGAAGTAACAGCAATTAGCTCACATAACAAGTTATACAAAGAATCAGCACGTACATACACGATGCGCACTTTTCGAATGGTCTCTGATCTTGCTCGCTTTGTCATTGTTTTACATCCTTGGTCAGGGTACCTTATTTGTAATAATACCAGATTTAGACTTCTCAATGCGATCAAGAAAATACATAAGCCGTCACGCACCTCTTTGTGTTTAATTAAACGCGATAACTTGGCATGGACACGTTGGTGTCAAGCATGGTTGCAACGATACCACCTCTACGCATATATCTTAATGAATAACAAAGATGGCCATATCATTCACCAAACTTACCTCACGCGAGTACATGTGACCTTTCAAGCACCGCTGCCATTTTCATTCTCTGTGCACTGCCCTCATCATCCACATGGCTGCCCTCTTGATCTGAGATCCCATGTTCCACCAAATTGCGATTGTCCTCCTCATATCGATAATTGCAAATAATATCCACGGCATACTGAGACCATTCGCCATAGTTAAATGACGGCCACCATCCACTTCTTGATGCACCATGTATTCCATACACGTGTTCATGTATCTTGTAGATCACCATCCATGCAATCACCATCCATCTCGATTGGAATCACGCTGCCTTCGGACCGTGTCTCATTGAATACAGCATCCACCATGCCATAAATGTCATTTGGGGTATGTGAACTAGTTCCATGATTCTAATCACAAATATCAATAACGTGGATGTGAGGCAACGCGAGAAGTAATACAAATACGAACCATTGGTGCATGCCATCTTCATTCAAGTAGCTGCTTAATGCGGCGATGTCGAACGGCCAATACAAGCATAGCCATCATAGCCTTTGAGCATGGTATCACTACTAAGCATTCCTATATATATAGATACAATCAGATACATACGTACGTATTTTAGTATACTAAAAAGGATACCTTCATCATCAAAGCGCTGGTGATTTTCGCGACAACGATCTTTGTGGGGCTCAGATGTTGGTGTGATGGTAGGAATTGGTTGCTCCAGCGGCGCCATCTTCATGTTGGGAAGGATTGGATGGATAATCAGATGGCTGTTCTCTGGTCTGTGAAGGACAAACGATACCACCGGCTGCATTGATGATTGTCGCTGTGCATAATTGCGCTTGAACACCCGCTTCCTTTGTGTAACAAAAAATGAGCATAAAGATAAAAGCAATGACCATCACCAGAAAACTTACACAATGGCGAGTTGAAATTCATTGATCAAGCTATCCCTAGCGAGCTTCTTGAGATTTGAATAGTGCTAGAAAGGATGAAAATTGGTCGTGGGATCATCGTTCGATATGGCTTCCTAGGCGATTGTAACATCCTTCATCTCGATGGATCAGAGAAAACCCGCTGAACGGCCACAGAGTTGTTCGTTTTGAACGACGGCGATAGGAGCTCATTGAGCGAGAGAGAGCACTGAAGTCGACTGGGTATTTGTAATCCTGTAATCCAACGCATCGAGCTGTTCTTGCGAGTATATCATTCTGTCGTCGTAGCCAAAGTCTGTTGCTGCTACCGCATTGGCATCGTTTCATGAGAAGTGCCATGTATCAATTGCACCATTGTATATCCATTTATAGTGTCGCGTTGTCCTCGTCAAGTGCACATGATGAGTTGACCATTGTGAATAAAAACGCCGTTCATTGGCTTGACCATTTGAGTTGCCATCGTCTTCAAGCTCGCATGTTCACGAAGCTGAGAGAAGAGTAGCGTGAAATTGAGCATGGGAAGTGATTGTAGTGTTGCAATGTGCGGTCGTGTAGAAAAGAAAGTGAAGCAAGATGATTTCCCTGCCCCTGGCACTTCCAAATCCAATTTTAAAATTTACCCCAGTGAGCATTGTCACTCACTCAATCACTCACTCACACCCAAACACACCGTCATCATCACGTAAAGCAAAAGGTGTCATTTTACATCATATGATCCAACAACAATCAACATCAGAGTAACAAGCAGTTGGCGTATTGGGTCGCTATATTATCTATAAGATGATGTTCTACACGACGACCTTCTCGTGTCGTATGAAAATCGCCTGTCGGGATCACTACTTGACCGAAGCTTCCACACACAAAGTGATAATGATACCTTGTAGCAACGTACCGGCCTAACAAAAAGAACACGTACATAAACATGTGGGTCCTGTTTATAATCACCCAAGAACAAAGACTTGTTACCAGTTGTTTGTTAAACCTTCTCCCTTTATTGCATGTACACTTTCAGCTCGTTGTAGCCTTTTCCAAAGATCTCCCAAAGACCTCACAGGGTTATCGAAACTCCTTGTAACAGCCTGTCATCCTAAACACGAGAACGCATAAATATGTGATAATGCTCCTCACTCGGAGTTGTTACCATTTCACGTCCAAGCCGCGGGGCATTAACCATGAGCTTGTTGACCGCTCAACGACTATGTATGAAGGTATCCTCTACTGCCCTGAAGATTCTTGCAAGCTTTTTTCCACCCCTACATCAAAAGATTCAGCTCTTTTGTTCATGTAAAAGCGTTTTTCATACATACATACATACATACATACATACATGCCGTGGAAATAATCCACTTCCCCAAGCATGATACCGAGCATGTATGACCAGGATCGACTGCTGGCAAGGCTTTCAATATCAACTATTGATACGCCATGTGTGGTTTCGCGCTCCACCTGCTCATGTATTCTATCGTGAGTGATCTTGTTGGCTTGCGATGTAGCACTTGCAATACATTCGCTTCGGTCAACTCATGACGCAGGGTCAGGTCCTTGATATGACTCATCCTCTGTAGATGGCATAATACATGCTGTCGTTGTCCATCGCTAGGCAGCTTCAATGCAGATGCATAGCTACATCAAAAGATTATATGAGCATAAGCTCCATGAAGCAAGATGATTAGGTTTTACCTCAATGAAAGAGCTAACTATCACAATGACAACAACGACAACGAAAATAGGATCAACAATGAAGCACTAAAGACCATCACATATATTAGTACACACATGGATGTCTCATAAAACGACCTTCCACCATGGTGCTCACATCAACTTGGGCTTTGAAGGTGTCAGCAAAAAAACAAAGAGTGATACGATGGAAGAAAGAGATGGGTAGGAGTAAAAACGATGGGCGACAACATCCATCTTGTTTATATGTACATTGTGGGCGTGGGTATTTCTATGATCACCACAAGGGAGGGAAGATTGATAAATTGTATGTTGAAAACAGTGAGGAGCTGATAGATTGTTGGGGAATCTTATGTATGTTGGCTGACAAGAATGCGAAGATCCTACAAGACGGCTTGAATCAAGTATGGTGACCAATTACTGAGAGCCCCAAGGAGGTCCAAAGCAATGTCACAATGCCCTAGTGACCCATTTGCCTGAAAACTTCTAGCCCATCAATGCTCATAAAATCCCTATGTATATAAAAATACGCTTTGGCCCAACACCCTCAAACAACCATGCATATGAATGAATGGAAGATAACCCTTTAATCATCGTAGTTGCAACTATTATCGAATGCTTGTCTGCAATATCAACTTGATTATACATCCACTAGCTGATGCTTCGATTTGGCAAGCGCAAGCAATGCTTCAAATTCTCCAGAGGCAACGCACATCTTGTGAAACATGGATTCTTCATCGCGTAAAAGATCGAGAGGGCTAGCAAATTCGGCAACGTGTCCATTATCCATGACCAAGATACGATCGTATTCGATCACTGTATGCAAACGATGGGCAATACAAAGGATGGTGCATCCAGAAAATTCACTTGCAATCGTCTTTTGAATGGCTCGATCGGTTTGAAAGTCCACGCTTGCAGTCGCCTCATCCATCAATACAACCTTGTTACGTCTGAGCAATGCACGTGCGAGACACACAAGCTGGCGTTGGCCTTGAGAGAGATTGTTGCCACCTTCGCTAACCACCATATTCAAATCCTGGAACATGCTATTGGTATCATCCAAAAGATGGGTACGACGTAATGCTTCAAAGATCTCTTCATCCATGTATTCATCAAAAGGGTCCATGTTGGATCGCAATGTTCCCGAAAAGAGCGTAGGATCTATAATTAATGCAACAAGTGTAAGCAACAAGCATCATGCAGTGTAACGTATTACCCTTCTCATACCTTGAGGGATGATTAAAAGCCGGCTACGTAATTGCTCAATATCAATGGACTTGATGTCAACGCCATCGATCGCGATACTGCCATGAGTCGTCTCGATAAAACGGAAGAAAGAGAGCGCTAGTGTCGATTTTCCACTTCCAGTACGGCCAACAATGCCAATCTTTTCCGATGAACGCACATCAAATGTCACGCGTTTCAAGACTGGATCAAGGTCTGCAGCATAACGCACTTCCAAGTCCTTCACTTGAATGTTGCCCTCAGATGGCCACTAGTGTGTAAGTAGCGGTTAATGATTGCATTGGCATATACCATAACCCCGCCAAAACATACCAAAGCCGGCAATTGCACACCATTTGTAGCTGTAGCCTCTTGCTCGATCTCTGTAAACTCCACAATGCGCTCCACCGAGTTGAAGTTCATCTCAAGCGTAGCATAATGTCTCATGCCAGTGAACATCTATTTCCAAAAATTAGAAACCTTGTTCATAACATGATGCCACACACATTTACCTGATCCGACAATGAAACAATGAGCGTTAGGACAAAGCCGGCAATGGATGCATCCAATTTATCCATATTGATCAGAATAAAGGCGCCAGTACCAACGTTGACAATGGCATTGAACATGTAAAACCGCTGTGCCACCCAATGATTCGATGTCCATGCAAAAAAGAAGGGGCGTGCATTGGTATCAACCTTATTCATCATTTGTTCCATAAATCGACGACTTGCTCCAAAAGCACGAATGGTCTTCACACCAGCAATGGTTTCAGAGAATTGGTCATAGATCAATGAGCGTGTAACCGAGTCGATACGTTTGAGCTCACGTGCTGTCACCACAAACATAAATCCAAGTGCAATAATCATTGCAATCAATACCAAAAGTGGCACTGTAATCGTAGGTAGCATGATTGTAACAATGACCACATTGACCAGCACAGTCGTCCAATTTGCTGCCACATTCATCAAGTTGTCCGGGATGGTCGAGTCAATGGTTTCCATGTCCTTGGAAAATCGATTCAGGATACGTCCAATAGGTGTTGTGTCAAAGAATCGCATAGGGGCTCGTAGAATGCGATGCAACAACCGGTAATACAATGCTCGACTTGCACGAAGACCACCAAGATACATGGCAACGTATTGAACAACACCAAAGCCAACCGATGCCAAGATGACGAGCGTATACATCTTGAGATAATACTCAACATCAGGATCCACCGCCTGGGTCCATTCTTTGATACTCCAAAACTCTCCCACTTCGAAAATGCATGCACCAACAACCAAAAGGATAAGCACTGGCCAATAGATCCACCTTCCCATCGATGCAAAATATGACCCGTAATAGCGCATTTTGATCCTTCCAGTGGCACGCTCTATAATTCATATAAGTATTTCCAATATGAAGATAAGGTTCCTTGTATGATTACCTTCTTTTTCAATCAACGCTGCAGGTGCCCCTTTCTTTTTTGATGGCATGGTCTCTTCGATATCATCGTATTTCTCAACCTCGCTTTCTCCTTGGTGACTAACTTGCTCTTCTTCATCCTGCATGATACGGGCAAGCGATCCAGATAAGCGGAGTTCAGATGGTGATCCAGCTGCATTGATGCGTCCTTCCTCAATGTGAGCCAAGAATGCAGCGCCAGGGAGACAAAGCTTGATATGATGTGTCACAAGGATACGTGTACGGTTGTTCATCAATGGACCAGTAAGACAATATTGATATAGATGCTGAGCCGTGTGTGCTATGTAATGACCATGCATGAGGAGAGAGTACATCATCACATCTGATACTACTTACAATCCACTGCACTAAGGATATCATCCATCAAGACATTCTTGGCTCTTGAGTACACAGCTCGAGCAAGCGCCACACGTGCCTTTTGTCCTCCAGAGAGAGTGATACCCTTCTCACCAATCTCGGTCAAGTCACCATCTTCAAAGATCAACAAGTCCTTATCCAATGCACATGCTGTCAACGTGACTCGATACCGGTTCTCCTTGTAAGGCAAACCAAATAAGATATTGTCACGAATCGATCCATTCTGAAGCCAAGCTACAAGATGAAATGCCCATGAATGATATGCCATGAATGATTCCCCTATGATGATGATGTATTACCATTTTGTGCAACGTACGCTACTGCATGATCCACAATCCAACCATCGTCTTGATCGATAAAAGAAGAAGTAGACATCATCGTAGACGCATCATGATCACATATCAAAGGTGCACGAGGACAATCAACGTATCCTTGGACGATAGTCGTTTCACCAAGTAGACTCGTCAACAACAAACTCTTGCCAGCACCAGTTTTTCCACTGATCAGACTAAGCTCGCCATGAGGGAATTCCAAGTTGACGTGTTTAATAAAGAAACCAGTGTCGTCAATGCTTGAGTTTGCCGGCCATGTTACTGTTGCATCACGGAATCCGATGCGGTGAATGTCGTTGGCATTGCTTTCTGGTTGAGAGATTTCAGGGACGTTGAAGAAGCGATCAAGTCGTTTGGCACTGGGCGGAAGAAGAGAGATGAAATGAGAAAGGGGGAATGGATGCACGTGATGCGAATTTCATTTACCTCGTGTATGCCTTGATCAGCTCGACAAAGGTTTCAGGGAGAGCATTGAGAGCGAATCGTAATTGATTGAAAACAATGATACTCTAAATAATAAATGCTGAGGAGGAATAATAGAAATTCATTGTGAATGAACCCTTACCGTAAATGCAATAGCAGCAGTGAGTTCTTTTTGCTCCAAGACTGTAAATGACCAGAATGACAATAAAGCAATTAATACGGGTGACCTATGAGATGAAGAGTTAAATCATATGCTGCTACGTTTGTGTATTGGGTATGCAAATTACCCTTGCCACACCAGCTGCAATGATGCGAGCACCAAATAAGAGGTTCGAAGCAAGCCAAGTTCGTTCTCTCTCGTTGCCATGATACGCTTTTCCCAGCTACGTTCAGAAGCAAAAAACTTGATTTGACGAATACCCTGAAGGACCTCGTTCATGAGTGAGACCCGCTTATCGCGAGCTTCACCCAATGCCATTTGTGTCTTTGCAAGTAGTTTGGCGCTGTAGTGATTGACAGGCAATGTGATGAGCATCACCGCTAGGCCAAATAGAGACGAGATACCAAGAAGTGTGTATAGGAAATAAATGCCAACCACCAATTGAACGGGTGCCATGACAATCAAATTCATTGGCCAAAGGGCGATCGTGGATACCCTGTATGCATCCGTGCTCATCAAATTCACTCCTTGTCCACCAATGCTAGCAGAGGATGATTCCCCTTCTTCCTTGTTGGATTGTTGTTCTTGCTCGATTACACGTGCGCGTAACGCTTTATGGTACACCTCCAAATACAATGTTGCAAGTACAGGCACCTGGAACACTTGACCCGCTATATGTATACCGAAGATCAGCATGAAGAACATGTATAAAATGGTCGATGATGATACTTACTCAGGAACCAAAATTGCCCTTCAAGAACACCACGTATAACGAGCGATCCACCTTGCAACAAGATGACTATCCATGCTAACTCGAGATAATTGTCGCTTTGCTCTTGTATCAATTCGAGAAATTGATTCACAAGGAAGGGTGGCAAGAAATGAAGCAAAGCCATGACAACCGATAGCACAAAGTAAATTCCCAACATTGAGCGATTGGCACGATACAGCCGATACAAAAGACGAGCACCTCGAAATCTTCCAAAGAGATCCATCAAATACGAGCTACGATAGCCAGGAGGCAAACTTGGGATATCATCTTCATCGAGACGTTGCTTTTTGTATCCAAAGCGAATCAATGGCGTCAACCATGAAAAGAAGAGTGTTCCAATCACCGAGGATACTTTGTATTCAATCACAGGTCGGCCTTGTGGATCCAAGAAACGAGGTCCTTGTGCTGTGGTCAATGTGATGTACACGAGATCGGTTGTGAGGAGGAATTGAAGCGTGTTGAGAGCTGTCAAAATGCGAGACTCATAGATGTCATAAACAATGCTGCACCATGTAAAGCAAAAGAGCACACAGAGGTGCACGTTGAGCACAAATCCCCAATCATTAGGTAATCGATACCAAAGAGATATCCATGAAAGTATACAAGTATACGACCAAGTCATCAACGCAATGGCAGGGACACCCATCTCGTAAATGTCATTGTCATCATACGTCGTGCCTTGATGTTGCCGGGCAGTATAGTAAACCCCGAAAATGGAAATGATGGTGAGAAGGGTCGTCTCAACGCACAATCGTGTCGGTCGTTGGCTGTCAGAAAATGCCACTGAAGGGTCTCGCTGCTGATCCACTGGCAATAATGGTGGCACGTTGCATCCAGCCTCAGTGGTTGGAGGAGCGCGTTTGTAATAGGGCCGCTGGAATAATAGTGTGACAACGCTCGCACATACCAACGCCGCCTGAACAATCGCAAACCAAACGGCAATAGGAAGAATTTCTACCATTGATAGCAGCAAAGCAAATGCAATGATGGCGGGATAAAGGCAAAAGAAAAGAACAAGGAGGTGCTCTTGGCGGATATAAAAGAGCCCAGTATAGTGGCGCAGCATCCGTGTCTCCAACATATTCACTCACTCTTCTGTATTGGTCGAAAACGGGAGAAATGCCCTAAACGAGTAACCCCATTTGCCGCAGCAACCACTTGTAACCCAATTTCTGGATCCATAGATTTACACACGAGAAGCAGATTGTATGTAGTAAAGGGGTTCTGGATTAATCGTATTAACCATTAGAAGTAGTATATTCAATAATACATAATAACATGTGCGTGTGTGTGTGTTGGGGAATTACAAAAACCATAGGTGGTGCTTTCATTTGACTTCTTGCGGGGTATCTTGGATAGAGACCCGTTCTTGTTGTTCCTCCACCACTGATGAGCGTTTCTCCGCACTATTGCTTGTGGTTTCCTTTTCAGGGTCGATATCTGCAGGATCCTCCTCGACATATCTGATCCATTTGTGAACCCACATGCCATAGACAAATTCCATGACAAATCCAATAAGAGGCAAAATAAAGGAAAGATGAATGCTTCGATGATCCTTGAGTAATGCCATAAGGGGAGGAAATAGAGCACCTCCAGCGACACCCATAATGACTACACAAAGGGATGTCAATACCACATTACAACAAGAGCTGTCATATGTCAAACCACTCTCGTACCGATTGGAGCTCCATATTTGTAATTGCGACCGAGATCCTTGGTAGCCAATGAAAAGTTGGTGGGAAACATGATACTTTCAAAGAATAAGATGACAAGCAAAGTATAAGTGGCCTGTGGCGTGTCGACGGCAATGGCACAGATGGTGGATACGATGGCTGCAAACGAAAAGAAGACGAGCATATGGGCTGGTTTGAACCATCGCATAAATCCTGCACCCACAAATCGACCAATGGTGAAGCACATTTGTGCCAATGCTAATAGCTGTGAAGAAAATTTGTCGTCGTATCCGCCTACGATGGTTCCATAATAGATAAACATGGATGCGATGCCGACTTGGTTGCCAGTGTAAACGAATTGAGTAATGGCACCGAACCACAAGTGAGGAGATAGCATGGATGCACGTCGCACATTCTCGCCTGTTGCATCGGCTTCGGCTGCCATTTGAGCTTCTTCATCAAATTCTGGAATACGAGCAAAGCAAAAGATAATCGCAATAACAAAGACAGCTACACGTCATGATAGCATGTGAGTGTGAGAGAAGTCGTCAATCTTCGTGTCATGTTACACGCTTACCACATCCCACTCCTACATAGGTCCATTTGACTGAATCAAGGTTGCCCGTCTCGGCGTCGTTACCACCAAAAAAGGCATACGACGCAATAACAGGTGAAATAGTCGTGCCAATGCCGTTGAAGCCTTGAGAGATATTGATACGCAATGCAGCCCATCGCCGCGATCCGATAATGTTAATGTACGTGTTGGCACCTGAATTGGGGACAATGACACGATGAGAAAGAGGTCTCTGACAAACGCGACAAGGCTATACATACAGTTTTCAAGCATCGCCAGGCCACATGCGATTGTAAAAAGGGAGCCTACGAAGCCTCCATAGACTCGGTTGGTTGCAGACGGGTAAAAGCATAAAGCGCCCAAGACATAAAGAAGAAGACCCAAAATGATTGTCTTTTTGTAGCCAATCCGCTTCAAAATCATTCCTGCACTACAATCATGGGATCAGATCACAAGGCTCATAAAAAAGGAGTATTTATCCCTTCCTGCCTTACATTGGACTTGTCACAAAGTACGCACCAAAGTAGGCCACCTGCATATACGTCGTTTCCGTCGTTGCTATGGATACCAACAAGCGGTTAACCCATCATCATCCTTTGTTCGTGTTTTTTTGATAGGCACTTACTGATGCCCAGCACATTTTGGAAATGTTTATTGAGCGTGTCTAGTAGACCATAGCTGAAGCCCCATAGAAAGAATAAGGTGGTAACCAAGGCACCAGGAATAAAGTAGCTCTCTTTGCTTTCTTCATCCTCAACTGTTTTCGGTGGCACAATGTGTACTAGGACCTTCTCCTCCCATGCTTGTTTAATACCCATCTTGATCCAACAAAAGAGAAGCACCAGTGTGAAGGAAGAAAAGAAAAGCTGAAAATGCTTTTATGCGTGTGAAGAAAACGTTGTTCCGGTACCCATTTTGTTCTGTATGTGAACAAAAGTGAGAGAAGCATATGACTTGTAAAGGTGGCTTGATATGGAAAAAAGCACACAGCACACCACAAGTATTCACCTTGTCAAATCCACATTGAGACTTGCAGAATAAAAGATCATCATCATCACTAGTCTTTTGATCGGCTCGGCAAGTCCTCCGTAAATGGTCCCTGAACCTTATATATACATGCCCCAGTTGCATAAACGTATAGCATGGATACACGATCAGCGAGTTAATGTCAATCTCGGCAATTTCATCGGGAAGTTTTTCGCTGCGACGTGCGTGGGTAATAGAAGTTGTGTTAGACCACACGACTAATAAGGGTTGGAGGCGTACTCACGGTGGCTGATTACATAAACCTTGTGATTACCATAATAATCGCATCATTCGTTGATCGCTTTTTTCTTTATTAGGAACACACTCACCAAGGCTGAATTGTCACTCGGCAGATTAGCTGTGCTTGTCCAAGGGAAAATACAAATGAGATTATACTACATGTCTCTTCACTTTGGGACACCGGTACCTCTTGTCAAGGGAGGCTTGATAATAGAGTTAGCCTTGTCATACACGTACCATCATAGCTCTTCAAGATTGCATGATACATAGGCTTATCAATATGAGATGAGGGTTCACAGGGTTCAACACCAACAAGGATGCGATTGCGTCCACGCCATTAAAACAGAAAGACTTGCGCTATGCTGATGATGGGATGTCCATTACGATCTTGTACATTATCAACGTGCTGCTTGATAGAAGAATGGAGGGCATACCAATAGCTCATACGATTTGGTTGGATCGTTCCACACGCGTGTGCTTTGTTGAATATGGATGATTATCCATCATCGGCATTTTGGCTAGAAGCAGCTACAGGCGATGAACGTCCATGTGCTTATTAGCCATCAAGACCGGAGCCCTGAAAAACAAACAAGAACGCTAAGGCAATCCCAATTAATTTATGGATACGGGTGGTCTTGAGTAAACTTGCTCCTGAGTGATGATGATAAGCGTAAGTCATATATATGATGGAGATGCTTTGTTGAAGGCGAATACAGGTTTCGATGACACACTGCGCAGTATAAACCAAGCCATCTCGTGTGGTCGATGAGATCATTGTTGTTGATGAAGCTAACGCCACCTATAACGTCTTTGTGCAAGCTGCTTTCAATGATCGGTGATGATGACAATGCCGCAGCACGTGACTTTGGCATGAAAGTGTTTTACACCGATATCAAGTGCGCAGTACATGAGTTGCTGGTACTTTAACAATGCAGCAACCCCTTACATCGACGGCTGTCATTTGATGTATTGTAGCTTCTGTCAAGTGAACAATAACCGGAAGGATCCGATCCGAGCCAACCCAAATAATGACCACACGACAAATAAGGAAACGTGTTTTGCTTGCATCTTTTGTTCATGCTGTTATTGGTTTTACCTTTCACAGATTCATTTGTTGGATCCTTTTTCTCTTCTTAGTGTCTAATCATCAATGTATGCATACCCAGATTTCGAAGTACGAGAGGAAGCCTATCATGCTACGCATTCTTTCACAAGGAAATTTTGCGGATGCATGTCCTTACGAGGAGGATGTGCAATGGCCTGTGCCCTGTGGATAGTAAGTAGATGTAATGCTCTTTGGTACAAAAGCAAGTGCTCATTGTGTATGCTTCTTTCAAGGGACTTCATTTATATTGTGCTATCCTTGCATTTCGATACAGCAATCGTAAGAGTGAAATAACGCAGACAGCAACAACCAATATAGGAAATGACTCATTGTACTATAACAACGTAGCCGTTTTCTCATATCTAAACGTCTATGCATTGATGGTGTTTGGTGGTGTATGTTGCGCTTTCGTCGTTGTGGCAATATTCAACCTTTTCTCTCTTTTTGTGGTACGACCCAGCTTTAGCTACGATGCGTGTTATATGAACAATGACTCATTTCAAGATATGGTTTTATAGGAATCAGCGATCCTCTTAAGGCTTGGCCATCGCATCACTTGGGTTATCGTTGTTGCATTCTTAATCGACTATTTTGGAACAATCATTGTCTTTAGCATTGAAGAATCATCCTATACTTCATGGTGTGTCCAATCAGCACAAGGTCGACTCTCTAATAGCACAGCATCACCGACCGATCCAGCAGTATACAACTGCCACAAGCTATGGGAAGATGAGCTCAAACTTTCTATTGCCATATACATCGTCATGTTCATTTGCTACGTAAGTCCTTCATCCATGTGAATGATCATTAAGCCATGTTCACGCAATGAAACATGCATAGCTCTATTGGGCCACATGTCTTTGGTCCTTTTCACAAAAGATCTTTGCTGTTCAACGAGATGCAGCGACCATCTATAATCGAGGGGCTCCACCACCAGCACCAGCACCAGTTCCTCCTCCACCACCGCCACCTATGACTGGTGTAATGAATATGAAACCCAACATCACAGTCCTTGATGATGGTCATCTTCCAGGAGAGCCATCATCCATAGCTGCCGCAACGTCACAACAACAAGAATACGTCGATGATGGTCAAAAGAGTGCCGCTCAACACGCACGAATTCTCTTTGGAAAGCTCAAATCTCTCTTTTAACATACATGTAATCTCCACCCCCATCCATCCTCGTTGTTTGACGTCTCTACGATCTGTATTGTATTACTGTCTTCTTTTTGTGTCTATAAGGTATACAATTAAATGTTATCTACAGTGTACTTGGCATGTCGTCGCCTGAAGGTGTTGATGCGAAGCTGCTGAATGATGCTGGTTCCGTATCCTTGTCCTTTTCTTCCATCTTTTTGGCCAACAACCGTTGAATCTCGCCGTATTTGAATACACACCGATCGATGCACACCATTTCGCCTTTGTTGAGATCGGGTTCGTGATAGTGGGTTGGGATACATTTCACGCGGCACTGCTCAATGATCCTAAACAGCACGTTAGATTTCCACCATGCCAGTCGATCAACGTTCTCCATTCGCTTAGTACCTTTTGTAAAGCTCAATAAACTGGTCATATTCTTGTTCTGCTTGGACCAGCTTGTTTTGGTCGATCATATAGTTTTGTGCATAACTGCCACTCCAGCTCATGGTTGATATGTGTGTGTGTGTTGTTGTTTGAAAAGGAAACAGCGGTATCGGGATTCCTCCGCCTTAATCCATTGCTGTCAATAAGTAGATACCCAGCCTAATTAGGTACATTGGGTGGTTGCCATGGTTTCAGCCAACACGAAAAAAAATGCATTTACGGGAGACTACAACGTCTTTGTTATGATGGTTAAGACCATCTTGAATCTTTGAGCAATAGAGATATCAATGTATTGATTGAGATCATTCATAACAAGTGCCTTTCTTAAGCGATGCTTGCATGACACCACATAGTCATCCATTTGGTTGCCATGTTGCTCATAAAGATAGATGTGCGCTTTGAATGCTCCCTATTCTTCGTCATTACTATACTCCAACAACATCTCTCGGATATACAAGCGAAAGTATTCGTTTTAACATACACGTTTAATACAGCATGGATCTCCTCGACATGAATGTTAAGGTAAAAGGGATCAGTGTATGCATGCAATAGGCACTCTTTGACTACGCTGTCTCATGCGGCCTTCGAAAGAGCCCTGCGATTAGGAGTAAACACACATAGATCCATTGATAGCCGTATCCATGACCCAATCCTCGTATCCATCCCACGCATATAAGAGAAATCCACCAACTTCTCAAAGAGAAAAAGCATCACGTATTAATAGGAGATCAGCAGAAGAATATATACATGACAAGAATGATGGAAAGAATAAAAGCAAGTGTTGATGCATCTACTAAAATGGGGGAAGATGTGGAATATATGAATTGCTGTAGAGGTGAAAGGGGGGTGGGGGAATAAAGAATGAAGTATGTGGAGCGTGTAATAGTAGGGATGAATTGTCTTCGCTTGCATATCTTGTGTAGGTGCGTTACTATGCAATATAGGGTATCCAGTCGCGTTGCAAAAGCGTGTCGAAATGCCGAACAGTTCTTTCCTCCTCATCATCATCGTCATCGTTATTATCCTCGTCGTCGTCATCCTCCTCCTCATTCTCATCCTCTTCTACCAAATCTTCCTTGCCTTGTTCACGTATTTTCTGGTCACCACCACCTGCTGTTGAAGGTGTCGAAGCTGCTGCAGCTGCGGCTTCAGCAATAACCGTACTACTCCTCCGCCGTTTACCCGTACGTTTAGTATACCGATATACTGGTTTTGATGCCGACGATGTTGATGATGTGGTTGTATTGGTTGTTGTTGTTGTCGCCGTATCAGTCGATGTATTGTTGTTGCTATCCTTCATGGCAACATTGTTGTCATGGCTACCGATATCATCCGTTGCATTATCATCCAAACTCCTCAATCGCTCATAACAAGGATGTTGCTGTATCAAGTTTGCATAGTATTGCTGTAAGATGGCCCCAGAGCTTGCCAAGTTCCAATCAATGAGCCGCAAAAACTCGAGCTCCAATGCATTAAGTTCTTGTGTCGATATGCCTCCCACCTTGGCATAATGAGAATTGGTGCAATAGGCATCACAAAGCGACTTGGAGGACACCGTTACCGCCGTGATCAAGAATCGATGTACGGTGAGGGATGATATAGTGAACTGGGGGTGTAGCTCACATACACGATCGATATAGATGAGTAGAATCAAGAGACACGCCTTTTCGACTGAGGCATACTTGACGATTCGTCGCAAATAGTCGTGCAAAGATATGTTTGGTGGTGTTCGTGAATGGAAGCGCGTAATGTTGCTCGGTGTCAAAGGGATAAGGTCGTTGTGGGTAATGAGCCGGCTCAACATGTCCGCTGTAAAGAAGTAGGTGAGTACTCCACACGCACACACTCTTGACGAAGCTGACAAGGGATCTCTTACCAATCATATGAGTCAAGTAATTAATATCTATAGCATAAAAGTATTCCGGCACTTGAATGACCTTGGGAATGGCCGTCTCTGTCGATTCTGTGGCCATGACATTGATCACGAAAGCGTTGTTGTGTTTCTTTCTTGACCGAGCCGCGGGTTTGTCGCTAAAAGGGCGGAAAGAAAGCAAAAGGTATCGTTTCTACTCAGTCACACTTCTTCTGGCAAATGGGATGTGGGTTTTCTATTCCCCATCCCCTTCAACGTATCCTTCACCTCCAGTAAGCTTGGACGAGCATCGAAAGCCTGCTTTTTTTTTAACGTTCAACTCTTCAAAGGGAAAAGGCAACAAGGTAAATCCTTTTTCTGACATGGGAATGACAGCAACAACAACAGGAGAAATGTGTACATAATGCATTCAACCAGTGATCAACAGGGATGGGGGTCTCGTGCAAGCATCCAACAAGACGATTGGCCTCAAACTTTCCGAAACGCCATGCTGCTTTGCATTTGATCTGGTCATTCAATGGTGGTGTCATTCATGCATTTTACCACAATGGATCCGCTTGTACTATTGAATCAAATAAAGTAACACATGTATTGAAAAGAAAAAGTGCATGATTTGTAGCCATTGCATAACATAGGCTTAGATTTATACCATCAATCCTCATTGTTGAATTTACTACCGGCTGCAAATGTATATGCAATACGGTATAAGATATCATTTTACTGATAAGATAAATGAAAAAGAAAAAAACACATTGGTCAAGAATGATTCTACTATGACAAACCACGCTAATGTAATCGTCTACTGCTAATCCTGCTGTTCAGTTTTTAGCTCGCCCTGCTCTTTCTTGACCGATGTGTGGCTCTGCCCTGGCAGGCTCTGCCCACTCCTATTCATCATCAGAAAGGAATTCGTCCGATTCATAGTTGAGCTGCTCAAAGTTGACTTGGTATCTATCATCATCCCATTTTCGTCAGCTACACCTTTCCACATTCATTGGATCCAAATCCTTGCTTACCTTAGGATACCGCCAATACCACCAAATCCTTTGACAAACTGGGAACCTTCCTGTGATCGATTGGTGATAAACTCGAGAGATGTACCAAAGTTCTTGTAATTTTCAGCAAACCACTCAAGCAAGGGTTGAACCTCCACAACATCCATTTCAGCATTGGGAGCTGCATCAGGAGAAGTATCCTTGATGAAAGCACGATCCTTCTCTTCTTGCTTGGTAGGATGATACACGATCTCATCACCAGCGACATTCTTGAGGACATAACGATTGAGCTCAAGGCCTTCATAAACGATCAAGTTTTCAACAGCACCCAATTCAAGCGCTTTCAAAGTATCATCCACACCAAAGCAGTACTTGCCGCTGTCTTGAGAGATCTCGTTGAAATAGGTTTGGATGAGCTTCTTTTCTTGAATGAATTTGACATTCGAAAGCGACTCTGCTGAGAGTTCAATGGCTTGGTTGAAACCATTTTCACCACCATAGGATACATCCACCACCTTGACAATCTTGGATTGCAAACGTTGATCAAACATATCGGATTGAGAGAGCTCGGTTTTGAAATCAGCTGAACCAGCCAAGACGAGACCCGCCACATTGACCTTATCATTGGAAATGAAGAATTGCACAGCCAATTCGGCCACCTTGCGAACGTAGTTGTGGCGTTTCTCTTCACGCAAACGAGCAAAACGAAGAGCCGATTGACCACCACGACCATGCTTTTTGGGAAGATCGACTTGCATCTTGTGGATCACATCACGCGTGTTGCCTGAAAGCGTACCAAACAATGACCCGTTACCATCCATGATAATGAAACCAAACTTGGCATCATCCTCCAAGAGACTTTGCAACGCCTCGGTGTGGAACTTGTTGTCGCACAGGTACAACGACGTGTTGATGGGCTTGTGAGGCTCAAAATCAATGTTGACCTTTTTCTCCTTTCCCTCCTCGGTGACAATTGTTCCGCAGTAGACCACCAGACCATTGGGAGGAACCTTGGTATACAACTTGAGACGTTGTTGTGTCGACGTAATGGCTGAAAGCACTGAAAGACGATTCACACGCGACTTGATATTGGATGCTGTACCATACTCATCAGCAAGCATCTTGCCAACACGAGAAACTTGATCCTTGGGTGCTGCAAAAAGAGAGAGAGAGAGAAATGAGTATCCCCCATTCTCATCATCATCATCATCATCCTTTCAAACCCTCCCTGAATACTTACGAATGATAAGAGAGATCATGGATGTGCCATTACTACATAGAAGCATAAGCATCCCCGTTTCTCGGCCACCACCATATATGTATGTATACTACACTCACCCTCTGGCGGCCTCCAAACTCCTGATCAGCTTTTTCATCTTCCACATTTCGACCTGTTGGTCACTTCCATCGGATCCCTGCGTATGCGAAGTCGCCATGCTGCTATATACTGACAACACCAATGAGCCTGATTGCCACCCAAAGAGAGAAACGTCACTTACCTTCTCACACAAGAAAAAAAGGAGAAAGAAAAGAAAGCGTAAACTAACCCTATTCAACCTCAGAATGGAGCTAAAATCATGCAACCACGGCAATTCTACCACGTCCTTCGTCATCGCCCCTGAATCGATCCACTTGCATCATGGGTGAGCATTGGATAGTGTAGACTTGTATATACATCTTATAGACCATGAATAATAAACGATGATGGATAATGCTTTTATGTTTCTCTCTCTTCCTTCTCCAATAATGGCTATATATGGAGTTTGCAGAAAATGTCACCAGGGTGGCAAGGTGATGGAGCTCAAACCTTCTTTTTCCTTGTCACACCTACTTTTTTGATGAAGCGCATCTTTATTGTATATTTTTCAAATGTCTCTATTACAATGCATCATCGCGGCCTTTTGGTAGCATGATTCGCTTTTCCTCCAGCTTATAGGTTACGTACGATATCACAATCATCAATGCAGTAGTACACATAGACACTATTTTGCCTGTACCTGTAAACGTGTTGACGTGTTATTAGCGGCAATGGCTCATAAAAGATTTTCAAAAGATACTCACGATACTCGGGTGCTTGTGTCACTGTCCATGCAGCCACCTTGATGAATTCTGAAGCAAGGCTTCCAATGGTGTTAACAATAGCAATAGCGAGTGCACGTGTTTCTATGAATCAATCCCACCAATCAGTATATGGCTAATAAACGCGTTACCCCCTTTCCTACCTGCATCCGCTTGATGGATTTCGTTATTCCATGCCATCATGATTGATACGGTACCGAGTAATGGCACAACCATGTACATGCAAACAAATAAGAGAGCCACAGGAACATGTCCATGATTGACAACAACGAGTAGGATATAAGAGATGAGAGCAAAGGAGGCAGCAATCTCGATGTGCATATGGCGTTTGCCGTAACGATCCGATAGATGGCCTTGTATGACGATGACGGGTCTAAAGTAATTCACATCAATAAGTTAACTTCAAATAATGGGTGCTCATACTGATGAACGTACACTGCAACGATGTAAATGGGCACGGTCATGTAATTGGCAAATGAAGCATCGTATCCCATCTCACGTAAAATGATGGCAAATTGTTGTAGGATACCGATCCCAATGTGGTGACAAATGAAAATGATGATGAAAAGATAAATGTAGGGCGTTGCGCAGACATTGTGTAGCGTGGCCATGTTGAATCCGGTGGCTATCACCTTTTTGCCTTGAACTTCCAAACGCTTGATTGCGACATGACGCTCCTCGCTGCTCAAGAAACGGGTATTGTGTGGATAATCAGGCAACACCATGAACCCAACAATGCCAATACAAATGGCTATCAGACCTTCGGTGATAAAGAGCCATTTCCATCCTCGCATCCCATGTGCTCCATCCAATGTTTGTGCAATAGCTCCACTGATTAATCCAGAAAACGATCCCTTGGGTGATAACGATGATGAGCTAAGATGCACGAACAGTACTAGAAGATTATTGATGATGCTTTACCGAAACTACAACGCCATAAGAAAAGATCAATATTCCTGCTACCGTTGAATGTACATGTAGACTTACAATGGTGACCTGCCGTAAAGATAGCGATGCGCGTTCCAAGTTCTTGATGTGTATACCAGTTGCCAAGAAGATAAATCATGCCTGTATAGAACGGCTGTTGACGAAGTGTATTAATCGAATGTGTGACATGGTGGTTCCCTTTGTGGATCACTTACAGCTTCTGCAAATCCTAGGCAAATGCGTAATCCAAACAAGCCTGCATGTGTCTTTACGGTAGCCATAAAAGAAACCATAGCACCCCACAAGCACACGGAAAGTGGCATCATGATTCGTGGTCGCACCTTGGGCATAATAGCGTTACATGGGATCTGTAAGCTACGTAAAAAGAGGTGTTGATTGTAAGCCATAGACAAAGAAACATATCCTCGAAAGCGCGTGCTTACCAAACATAGCCAATGAAGAACATGGTAACAGCCCAATTATATGCAGCGTTATGCAAATCCAAATCTTCTTTCATCCCTATGGAAATGGGGTTGAATATGGCGCACCTGGATACTCAGTCATCAGCCGTATGTACCCGTTGTATATGCGTTCGCTTTGCATCGTGAAGCATTGTAAGTTTACGATTCTTTCTTTCCCCATGCCATTAGCTGTTAACGTACGCATGTTGTTCCGATCCAGCCCATTCGCCCAATACGCCAGGAATCTGTATAGGCTTCAACCATGAAAAGCTGTTCTTCGCATATGTACGTTCAATACAAATGAAACACTTGCCCCCAAAGTAAAAGACTCAGGTCGAGTTTTCTGATCAGCCGCTTCTCGATAAGTTTCTCCTCTGCCGTAAGGACCTCTTCAGTCGTCGTTGCTGTTGTCGTTGTCGAGCTGCTTGCAACATCGGATCCACGTGGTAATAGCGGCTCATGTTCAAGGTCTTTTCCTTTCGACATTCTGATGATACAGGCGTTGCAAGTCAGCTAACAAAGAGACAAGAAAAGGTGCATATCGAATGGTCGAACAACGCTGAGTGCTTTATATGGCCAAAAAGAGAGGTGTGTGTCACACAACACATGCAAAGACGGCGTGTGAATAAACAATGATGCAGCATACGACGGCCATAAACAATGACATCTATCCCCATCTCACCTTCTACCTTTTAATACTACTCATGTGATTCCATCCCATAGTCTCTTAAATGCCAATTCCTTGCTAAATAAATAGATTGTATTATTGGAGGATAATTATAATATGATAAAAGTATTAGCACGTTCCTTGGGTGGAAAAATGACAAGATTGATCACTCCTTATCAATAGTGCTATCGGTTTCAATACGCTTGACAGGCTTTGGAAGCAAGATTTTCTTTTCTTCAAGAAAGTAGACAGCAAAGCAAACGATGATCATCAAAGCAGTCGTCGAGGTGGTGACAATCTTGCCCGTGCCTACATAATTGGATTAAAGCCATGATGAGCCATGTATTTGTTATAGCAGCAGCAGATGAAATGGATATGAATACTTACGAAAGGCTGGTGCTTGAGTCACTGCCCATGCAGGTACATTGATAAAGTTGGGTGCTAGGTTACCGATAGAATTTACCATGGCAATAGCCAAGGCACGTGTTTCTAAAACAAAAGCAATCAGCGATTTTGCATGGATCACCATAGCAACAACAACATACCTGAATCGCATTGATGAATTTCATTGTTCCAAGCCATCATGATGGGTGAGATGCCAAGTACAGGAACCACCATATAGACACAGACAAACAACAATGCCACAGGAACGTCTCCATGGTTGACAGCAACCAGCAACACATACCATAGCAACGTCCATGCTGCACCTGCTTGGATATGCCAGTGCCGTTTGCCGTAGCGATCGGATAAATAGCCTTGTAATACCATCACCATGCTACAATAAGAATAAAAAAAGCGATGAGCCTCTTGTTAATGTCCTATTTGATCATGAAGAGGGGGTTACACATACGCAGCAAAACACCACACGGGCACGGTCATATAGTTGGCAAAGGAAGCCTCGTAACCCATTTCCTTGAGGATAATGGCAAACTGTTGCAGGATACCCATACCAAGCTGCATGCAGCTGAAGATGATGATAAAGAGGTAAATGTATGGCGTGGTGCATACGTTGCGTAATGTTGTCAAGTTGAGACCTGTGGAAACGATCTTTTTGCCTTGTCGTTCGAGACGTTTCATGGCTACAGCTCGTTCCCCAGCATCCAAAAAGCGAGTATTGTGTGGGTAATCAGGAAGAAGGAAAAATCCAACTATGCCAATCGCAACGCCAATAAGACCTTCAATGATAAAGAGCCATTTCCATCCTCGCATGCCATGCGCGCCATCCAAAGTTTGTGCTATGGCTCCACTGATTAATCCTGAAAAGGCCCCCTTCATTGATACAGAACCAAGTTTAATGTTTGAAAATCCCGTAGAGGAATATCAAATGAGCTTACCGAAACTATAGTATATCATGAGCCATCATTACATGATACGTCAAGGTGTTTATGCGTACTTACATTGTGATCCAGCAGCAAAAAAGGCAGTACGTGAACCAAGCTCCTGGCGAGTATACCAGTTGCCAAGGAGATACACCATACCAGGATAGAAAGGCTGTTCCAAATCCAATAACGAAAATGAGTATGATGAGTGCTACTGCTGCAAGATGGGCGAATTCTTTGATCTTGTGACAATGGTATTTGTGCTAGGGAATATGGCACATCCACTTACAGCTTCTGCGAAACCAAGGCAAATACGTAAACCAAATAAGGCACTATGATTGTTTACTAGTGCCATGAAGCAAACCACAGCACCCCATAAGCACACAGCAGCTGGTAACACGAATCGAGGGCGTAGCTTGGGAAGTACGGCATTGCAAGGGATTTGTAAGCTATTAAATGAAAACGTTAAAACACCATCCTAGTAGCATACCACCACAGCTTTATCATCCTACCAGACATAACCAATAAAGAACATGGTGATACCCCAATTGTATGCAGAGTTGTCGAGGTCCAAGTCTTCTTTCATGCCCGTCGTATAAGCATTAGCTATATAACAAACCAACCCATCATGTGCCTGTTAATATGCATGTTGTATCCATATCCCCTTATTGACAGGTGACATACGCATGTTGTTTCGATCAAGGCCATTTGCCCAATAAGCAAAAAACCTACAAACCAACGTAAGCATACTCGTTTCCGTCCAACAACAAGATCACGTAAATAGTTACTCACGCCCAAACCATAAGGTGATAGTCGAGTTTACGAACCAGCCGCTTCTCGACCTTTTTCTCTTCCGGCGACAATTCATTTGGCTGGGTATCATCCATTTGCACAGAGCTCTCCTGTGGTGGTGGTAGTGATGCTGCCACGGCAGATTGTTCAATATCCTGATCTTGAGCCATAATATTAAAGTGGAGGAGGTATGAGCACAATCACGAGGAAAAGGAAATAGCTATACATCCCGGATAACAGGTGTCTTTATATACGAACAAGGAAAAATATCATCACCGTGTGAATGATTACAGCAGCAAACTGAAAGCAAGAAACCATGTCATTGTACGACCCTGAGCCAAGAGAACACTGGTGATCGAGAAAAAAGAATCAAGCTGGATCAAATGTCTGACGCAGATCAGGGCGCACATGTTGCATACAATAAGTAGAAAGAATACTGGGTGTGTGTGTGTGTGAACGATTTCATACAGGTACAAGATGGCGGTGTGACACAGCATTGCTTATTGTGGCAATGTTTCCCGACGAACCCCACAATGCCGACTCATTTGATTGCTGCCTTGTTGCGTGTATCCAATATTAAACGATATACGTTGATTGATTGATACGTGGTATCCATGATACGGCTCTTTTGTGTGATAAAGATGTTTCTTGTTCAATAGTACGTTGGCCGTATCATAGTCCCTTTGTCGACTGATAACCCAACAATGCGAATCGTATATTCCAGATTGAAGGTGATCGGGCTTTGGCTGCAAAGGAAAAGTGAGAAGTGGGTCTTTTATCCACTTTTGTACTTTGCAAGTTGTATCCCAATCTGCAAAAGGAAGATGGGAAAACCCAAAAGACTGCAGAGGGAGGTATTGCAACAAAAAGGCAAATAGCTCGGCCCTTTTCCTATTAGCTAATTATCACTAAGCGACCACCAACCAGCTTTTGCGTGAGAAAAAAAAAAGAATCAAAAACATTGCATACCTTGTGATCGATCCACCATATTCCCTTTGACCTCTGTGTTGTGGATCAATCATCAATGAGATCTCAAGGTGCGCAAGTTGTATCTTTAAATCGGCTCTCTATCGACAATGAAGTATCATAAAAGACAAAGCAAGGTGTTGAAAGTATCAACGCTGTGATACACGTGATCAAGGTATGTGTAACTTGATACTACAGACTTTGACAGCATACACGATTCAGCCTTTCCGGGAGTATGGTTGCTACCGCTACTCGATTTGGTCGCCAAACATAAACGATCCATAATGAAAAGCCCGCCTCATAATGATGATAATTATGGGTTCTTTGTATGGCATTTCCTATCGGATGTCAATCTAGGCGGCGCGATAACAAAGAAAAAGTGGAAACCGAAGACTTCCAAGAAAAGACGAATCTATGGACCCCACAATTCCCCCAAACCCCTGCGTTTATGGCGTTATCTAACATCTTCCAGCTATTCCAGATCACCTTTGTGTACCCTTTTGATTGCATAAACCTTTATTCCAGCGATACCTAAGCACGTATACAGGATACAAGCTAAGCTTTTGTGGTGGTGGTGGTGGGTAGTTCCTCCGTAGGTACAAATTCGACTCGAAGATGGACTTTGCCGTGGCTGGAGAGCCCTAGCATGGCAGGCAAGTTGATCCTATATATGGATAGTCAGCATAAAAAAAGGAGAAAACATCCCATAGAGTCGTCATAGATACCAATCATCAAAGACACTGCCATTGAAGACATCTTGAAGATCGATTTTAGCTTCACCAATCTTGTCCGTGCCAAGAATATCCTTGTCTTTGACCTTCAAATAAAGCTTGTGCTTGACCCCTTGCCGAACAGTGAAAGCAAACGTCTCGTTGTAAACGGGATTGTTGGTATTCTTGGCCTCGCTCGTACGTTGCTTATGATTCTCATCCACCCACAGCTCACTGAAGGGGAAAAAACGGTTGTCAAATGACATGAATACAAATGATCAATGCTTGGCACTCACATGAAGGGATCATTCTTTTCATCATGGAGGATCGTAAACGATATCAGCAACAGGGTATCATACAACAACAATAAGCATAGAAGAATCCCTCACCTTCCCAATCATATCTTGATCCTTGAGATCCTTGGCTTCATCTACATGAGGATGAGGTATCCTATGTGATTAGATGGATAATATGGATACATGTACAAATCAAAGAGAGTAGTGAGTGACATACATATGGTAACTGAAAGAACACCTTCAGGATGTCTTGTTGCGAGCATGTTTGTATTGGAGAAAGAGAAGGAATGAAAAGCGTATGGGAGGTGGTTGTGGTCGAATGATATTTAGAGTGACAATACAAAGCTGCAGAGGGCATGCGTCATGCTGATGTCTGATGATCTCTCCTTAATGCACTTCGTATACTGCATGAATCGGATGCAACCTTTTTCGTGTCACGATGGATACTCCCAGCGCGTTGCCTTGTGTCATACTGATAATGCCAGGCTGATTTACAAGTAAAATGATGACCCGTGCGTCTTGAATTGACTTGGTGGTGACGATGAGCTGCATAGTCCCAGTGGCTGTTATCGTACTAGGATGGCGACTTTGTCGTTGTCGTTGGAGAATACCATCAATGAAACATTGGTCTTCGTGTCTCAGCAGGAGAGATGAGATGCTTGCCTTTGGTATGTATCATGCATGCAATCGAAAATGTATCAGGTAAATATAAAGCTGGATCTAAGGTCGACACTCTGCGCATGTTGCATCATATACTCTGCTGAGCAACGTAATATCGACGTAAGAGAAAATGTCATAGTTGCCTGTTGATCATGTTGAAAGTGTGCAGGTAGCTGCATCCAGCTGTTGTAAGTATTGTGTTCATTGTCATCCTCCATTCTCCTCCATCAGAGCTGCAAGACGATATCGTGTCGACATGTTCGTTTATTCCTCAACCATGTAGCAATCCTTCTTCACACCATATAGTCTAAGCTGATACTACCTTTGATAGCTCTTCGCTGATCCTGCCATCCTTTGTGCCATTGCCCATTCTCACCATTTGATAAGGTACCAAGCATCGCGTTCCTTATTAGAACCATGTGCAGTTGCCAATCCATATCCTTCATTGATCTTACCTATAGCTTGATGCGATCCTCCCACAATATCAACTCTGGATGTAGTTGTGTATAATCAAGCACCATACTTTGCTGTTCGATGTCGAAGGCAAGAGGCTCGTATACTTTTGGTGGATCAAGAACATGCTTTTGGTGGAAGTCGCCAGTCATCATAAACAATAAAACGCATCGTATAGTTGTGTGCAGATTGAAAAGCTGTGTCAAGGTGTTGATGAGTTGAAGTGACCCATTCCATGCTTCAGCTGCAGTGCCCATTGTTGGAGAGGAAGCCTCAATGTAGCCTTGTTGTTGTGTCAATGACGTTCTGCAGATGGCGGTTGTGGTATTCAATGAGTTGGATGAGGTGTACTGGGTATGGAAAAGAGAAAGAGAGAACATCCCTTTGACCCCTAGGATCATGCAGCAACCAAAATTAGTAGACTTTGTAAACAAATCAGTCTCCATGATACACCCATTTACCCCACATACACGTATCCATGCACTTTTTCCTTGTCAAATGAATAAACGGATCCGAGGAATATGATGAAGCTGAAACATTGCACGTGTAATACGGGTTGAATCGCGTATTCAAAAGACATCTTGAAGCCATAATGATGACACGTGTTCATGCGGCAATACAACAACTCTCCCACGGAACGACGCACACGCGGGGTAATCATCAGCACATGAAGAAAAGGGTTGCTAGTTCCGAGAAACGAAATCGGGTCGGGATGCAAGAAGCTATGGACAACCTATAATTGGCAAATTCCGGAGCGGATGTGCTTATAGCTCCTCTTGTTTGACATGTGAGAAAAAATGGACGCGCTTTCCACCCGAAGCACTCATGTGCCACAGCTTATGCTTCTTGTTATTTGGTCTGGGTGCCTAAAAAGAAGATCAAAGAAAGGATGTCTGAATTCGAAATCACGCCATGCTACAAAATCACATTCAGGGCAATCGGCTATCACCGGAGAGGGGGAAGACAAACCATGCAACCTTGTTACGCACATGCAAATTGCGGGGTGATCATGATGATGATTGTCGTCGTTATCGGGAAAGAAGACCATCACAAAATAGAACCATTATACAACACATTCGAGATCATTATGTCATGTTCAAACAAAAAGGTGATTGTTCCTCTTTAATGGTTGTCGTGTGTGATTGTGGAATCGTATATGTACACTAAAGTATTTTTTTTTGGTAATTTACAGAGCACCATCGACCTTGGCAGCGTGGCAGATCAAGTCGACAACACGGGTGGAGTAACCGTACTCATTGTCATACCACGAGATGAGCTTGACAAAGTTGGGGTTGAGAGAGATACCAGCCTTGGCATCAAAGATGGAAGAGCGGCTGTCACCCAAGAAATCGGTGGAGACAACTTCATCCTCAGTGTAGCCGAGAATGCCCTTAAGCTCGTTCTCAGAGGCAGCCTTGATAGCTTCCTTGATCTCATCGTAAGAAGCACCTTGCTCAATGCGAACAGTCAAGTCAACAACAGAGACATCGGGGTTAGGGACACGGAAGGACATGCCGGTAAGCTTGCCGTTAAGGTGGGGAATGACCTTGCCAACAGCTATACATAATACCGAATAAGCATCACGTTACACATACGCAAACACACACACATCACCCATGCTATAACATCCTCCTTCACCCGGGTATCCTCGGAACCCACCAACACAAATAACAACAACAAAAACTTACCCTTAGCAGCACCAGTGGAGGCAGGGATGATGTTGGCACCAGCGCCACGGCCAGCACGCCAATCCTTACCAGAGGGACCATCAACGGTCTTTTGGGTGGCAGTGGTAGCGTGAACGGTGGTCATGAGACCCTCAACAATCTTGAACTTGTCATCAATGACCTTAGCAAGGGGAGCCAAGCAGTTGGTGGTGCAAGAGGCGTTGGAGATGACTTGGTATTCAGACTTGTAGGAATCAAGGTTGACACCGCAAACGAACATGGGGGCATCAGCAGAAGGAGCAGAGATAACAACCTTCTTGGCACCACCAACCAAGTGAGCCTTAGCCTTCTCAATGGTAGTGAAGACACCAGTGGACTCAACAACATAGGCAGCGTTGTCTTGGCCCCAGGGGATTTGGGAAGGATCACGTTCAGCGTGGACGGTGATAGGCTTGCCGTTCACAATAAGCTTGCCATCCTTAGCCTCAACGGTACCCTTGAAGCGGCCGTGGGTGGAGTCGTACTTGAACATGTAGACCATGTATTCAAGGTCAATGAAGGGGTCATTGACAGCAACAACTTGAACGTTGGGGTTTTCAAGGGAAGCACGGAGGACAATACGACCGATACGACCGAAACTATACGTCATCCACCATTGTCAATATACAAGATACATCATACAACATGCCATGTAAGAGAAAGACTTACCCGTTAATACCAACTTGGACAACCATTATGTGTGATGTGTAAAAGAAAAAGAGAAACTAGAGGATCAAAAGAGGTGGCATGATTGCTCTGAATTTATAGTTTTTGCTCAACGTGTATCGCCTACGTCAGGACGCGTGCCTTACTCCGATTCACCACTCAGCAATCAGCACCCAACTAAATTCTGATGAGATGATCCTGGATAGGATTACAGCTCATACACACACCACCACCACAACACAAATATTCGCATATCACACACACGCCATTTTTTCATGTTACAAACGATTTATTGTTTCATAGAAAGATCGTTTGCATTTAAGACCTATATGACTTTTCGTATGCAACCCTATACGATAACGTTATTATAGTCATTCAGCAGCAATTGTATTTTGATGCCGATAAGCCATGTTAAGGTATTGTATCTATGATATATACAGCGCTGGCATAATGGTGGGAAGAATGGTTGATGCTCAATGGTTAAGCGGGCCAAGCTGGGAAAGCAACTGGAATTAGCGGGACGTGTAATTCAACATCGAGAGATCTTCCCGCAAACATGCGGCACACCAACACATTTTGTCCTTCATCCTTGTTTCCTTGTTGTACCCATTCCAATGACCTTGACGAGTTGTTTGATAGCAATTACGCTATAATAAAGCCCATAGATGTTGTAAGCGAACAATGATTTGGTGATCACCAAATTGCGTACAGTGACTCGGTACCCATCTTATCGTACACAATATTACCAGGCCCGCTTAGCTTATCGATGATCCTTCATATCTGTATCCAATCACCAGCAAGTTTACCTATATTTGTCATGCGAGGAAAACGGGTAAAATGTCAAGTGCTTGACGACGATGGGAAAAGAGACAACAAACGAACTTGATGTGCACCACAACACCAATAAAGATCCCGTGGTGGTTAGTAACCTGCACCACATTACCTTCTTTTGTGTGTGTTATTGCATGTCATTCTCGGTTGGTACCATGCATGTTGGCGTTTTCTCATACCCAGCTTATTTACACTTGTTGTAACCATGGCAACTCGATAATTGAAAATAGGGTAGAGGGCATGAAGGACCCATGCCTACTCGTGGAGTAACCATACAAGACACACAAGGGCCCCAAGTCAACCCCAGGTACATGATGGCTTTTTATCCCCGTGACGAATGGTGTAACAGCATCATCAGCAAAGAAGGTGCCGAATTCATCATCCGTGATGATAGGAGAAGAAAGAATATAGAAGCTGCTTTTGTCATGCTACCCATGATTGTGCTGCATTAGACGTATAGTTTCTCCCGAGTGGTGCGTGCCCGTGATGAAATTTGGGTTCCTAAAATGGGGCAGACCAAAATACAAAGGTGAGGCATAGAGTAACTTATGCAACGTGTCTCAAATGACACATGCGTCTTGGATGCAGATGAGTATAGAACGATGGCTTCATCATTGCTTGTATGATAACAATGAAATGCTGCTGAAGGAGAAAGAAAGAAAAAGCGAACAATGAGGAAGAGGATGGATCGGGAAACAAAGACATCATTTGCCAAAGACAGCGCAAAGAAAAGAAAGGAAAAACATGCGTACACCAAGAACCCCTTTTTATTTTAGGCAAGAGAGGAAATGCATATAGGTCGCCGCTGTCTGGTTTTTTTGATATCCATCAAAGGACTTTCCTTCCAATCAAAAAGATCCCCGTGATGGGCAATGACGGTGTTGTTGTTGCTGATACACCCACGCACATGCGAGACCAGACATATCTCTGCACCCAAAATCATGTATTCTCTTTTGTTATGGGTCATTATTCACAAAAAGGGATTTGCTTTTTTTTTTCTCGAGCTGAATTGTCCTGGTCTTTAAATATAAAGGTAAGGTCCTCCCCAGCACCGTGTATTATTGCCCACTTCATTCTTCTTTCTTTCTTCCCATCAACATGGTATCATCACACACATCAACAAGAAGCAGTACTACAACCATCATCCGAGACATCCTTGCTGTTAGGGCGTACTATCCACATCACAACTACTGTTTACTCCACCGGGTATACTATTCTACAACTTGGTGTCCACACTGTGGCCAAGATCTGAAATAAGGAATCACATCAACAAGAGAGGTAACAAAATTAAGCAAAATGTTTGTTATTGGATATATAAACACGACAACTTACACAACAACGTGCACTATAACAGCAGGCCTTTCTTTCATATTGCATTACATACCTTCCAAGGGTGGTGATGTGTAGCATCCACACAAAGCAGCAACCTTACTTTTAGTATATCCATTATCATCACAAGATCCCATGAGACTGAAAATGAAACGAACCTTTTATACCAAATACCCAACAACATAGCATCTTTAAGGCGCTTTTCCTCTCTCTCTCTTTGTTGTTACTGTTTTCAAATCCCAGCTTTGTATCTGAAATAAATGCAACCGAAAAGATAAAGAGCAAGCGGGGAGAAACGGGTTTGGAACCCATTCTTTGGTCTGGAACTTGCATTCATGGTGTTTTGTTTACAGTTAACCATCAACAGAAGAAGGATTGCAGCACAAAAGGTCCCATGCCCATAACTAGTTTTACACATGATATGCATCTCCCCCATTCTTTTTTCTTTTTCCAATCATTGGCGATCCCCCACCCAGTAATTCGTTTTTGTCTACCTGCTACCAAATTTGGATTTGCTATAAGCATCACCACTTCTTTACGATGTCAAGTGCCAACAAGCAGCTGGTAGAATGTATGTATGGAAATGATACCAGCCAAGGTCAGGTTGCCTAGGTGCTAAGAACAGGCTGCCTTGGTTACCTGCCACGTGCTGAGCAGGTTCAAGTAGTGGTTGCTAGGTACTAAAAGCTATGGCGCAGCACTTGACATCTACCCGAGCAATTCTTTAACTCCTCCCTTTTCATATTGTAAAAGCCATTCTATGACCTCGATGGATGCTGGTCTGCATGCGATAAAACGAGATAAATGTTGGATATGTATCATGCATTATCCGTTTCATGCTGTTGTTATTGCCTTGTTCCTGCATAGGTACGCTACATGCTCTAGCTTTGTGTATCAGAGAGATCACCGTATTACGGCATTGGTGTTATTATCATGCATCATTTTCACTAGTCGACTACCAATGATACATACTTCCCAATGGATGAAGCATACAAGCCTTGACATGGTGCTTAAGCGACTCGTTTATTTCACTCGCATTTATACGTAGCAAAATGGGATGTGCGTAGTTGTATTATACAATGGGTTGTGAAGAAGAGAATACATGATGGAGTTGCCATCAGGTCCATAATTACAAATAAGCTCCATGTACAGTAAGCTAATCAGCTGTTTCGATGCCAATGTTACCATAGTTATTGAGGAAATCCGATTCTATGTACGCATTCCTTGGTCTTCGTTTGTCACACCGTGAAGCGGATTGGTAGTTCCGCGTTCCGAGTATTCTACAGGTGACGTTTTGTCTCCTGGAGATAATGCATTATGCCTTGGCCCATTTACAAGGCTACACACGTCTTTTGGTCATAAAACGTATACCATTCAATTCTTGGATCAACCATCATCGTCCGTTTGCAAAATGTCACGCCGCAAAACCATCCATTGGAAGAGGTCTATAGTGGATCATCAACCAAGACGCCATCCACATAATCATACATGGCTACTCAAGAGACCGGTTCATCATCATCCTCATCTTTTAGTACGTGTTGGATCAATGTAGTAAGTCAACGTTGATGGATGATACAACATCATGGTGTACTATTCAAGCGAGACCAACTTGGCTCTAAATCAATGCAAACATGGGTTTGGTTAGTAGCGTATAGAATGCTTCATGCATAAACAATGACCATGGCTCAAGAAAAGGTGTCCTTAATCCGCATTCTGTATAAAAGATACTTTCGCTCATGTTTGTCAATGACGTGCGTGATCATAATACGGCAGCGTTATGCCATGGTGATAATGGTCCTGTGCATCATGGCATGATTCATATCAAGGAGGGTTGAATTTTTGGGAGAACAAAGCCACTCTTCAATGGGGATGTTACCATAGCAACAGCTTCACCAGATCAACGTATATACATATACACCCCTCCAACCATCACAAATGGATTACCCAGCCACTTAATGGAATATACATGTGTGTGTGAGAAAGATCGCGAAAGGAGATAAATGTTACGCGAGAGGCTTTATTTGCTGATAGGATGTTGTATGGATTGTTTAGTCGAAAAGACCGAAGCCCATATCCTCATCGGATTCTTCAGCCTCTTCCTCCTTGGCCTCTTCCTTCTTCTCCTCACCACCAGCGGGGGCAGCACCAGCAGCACCAGCAGGAGCAGCACCAGGAGCGCTGAAACCGCTCAAGAGTTCCTTAAGGTCTTGACCTTCCAAAGCCTTGGCGAAAATGGAGAACCAGATAGGCTCAACAGTGAGACCAGCCTTCTTGACCAAAGTCTGAAGGTTCTCAGCCTAGAATGAAGTAGAAAAAGAGGTTAGCCATGTTGACCATGGGGTTGAATTGAATTGTGTGTGCTCTATCAATAAAGCCCAAAACACAACAAGATGGGGTTTATCCAATGAATACATACAGACATATCAACTTCACCATCCTGAAGGATGAGAGCAGCGTAGGTAAGGGCGAGTTCAGCAGTCGACATTTTGATGGATGGATGGATGGATAACGGTGCTGTCAGAAAGAGGGAGCTAGCTTATTGCACGCACCCCTTCCTCTTGTCATCCAATCTCCCCTACAAACCCGATCCAAAGCCAGCTTCCCATTCTCCTTCCCCATTGGTTGATTTTCTACAGCCACTCATACAGCCAATCATTCTCGTGATTTCTTCAAGTGGGTGGTTGCTATGCATGATGCCATGACTACCATTCCCAAATCACTCGATGTTTTAAAGTAATCATGTATACATTGATCTACTAATAAAGTATACTTATCAATGTGCGTGCTATATACCACGTTATTCAAGTACGAATTACACACACAACGGAGCTGGACCAATGATTCCCTTGACAACACGAAGTAAGGTCAACTATATTATACAGCCTGCACAAGTGATACCGAAACGTTAGCTGCAGCCTGTAATCATGTGTCTAACGGCTGCATATTAAAAGTGAATTGAGTTTTGGCTTTTCCTCATGAAACATTTCTCTCCCTCGTTATACTGTTCCACAACATTGCTCAGCCCAACTTACTACCACACCAAGACTTCTTTAAAGGTAAATGGACCCATGGGTACGCGACATTGCGTAGCAAACTAATTGCATTGCCCTAAACTATAGTGTGTATTGGGTTAATGTCGGCCGGTCGACACCATTGACTTCTCCATGCAAAGGGACATGCAACAAGACAGCGCCACGAATCACGTGAGCAAGGCTTCTTCTGCAAGGCTATCACCCGGTGATCCTTTTCAACGTTTACCACCCGAGATCATGATTCAAATATGGAGCAACATCAACGTGCTTGATCTTTTACGTTCATGCGTCATGGTATCGAGAACATGGCGTGATCAATTACTGCAATGTGGATATCTATGGACAAAGGTTACAGTGCATCAGGAGGATCATTTATCACCAATTGCGTTATCCACTGTGAGCGATCATGTTCAAAGGCTTCGTCTCTTTTATCTCTCTTCTCGCTGGCTTACTGGATTTCACACTAAAATCATGCAAGGATCGTTTGCAAGTATTACGCATCTCACCATCATGCTAGGTAAGATATCTTCGCACTCATCAACATCATCATCAATGGACTTAAACGGATTACATAGGCGGCCAAGAGCATATGGAAAAGCAGTTGCTGGTTCAAATGTTTGAGAAATTGGGATGCACTTTGAAGTCGCTTTATTGCCAAACACTGCAAAACTTTCCGGATCTTGCTGTTGTGACAAGGACTTGCCCTTTTCTTCATTCACTCGTGTACAAAAACTCGCATGGTCTCTTCAACCTTGATGCACTTGAACCGTATCCTGGAGAACTGAGGTCGTTGACAATAGAGAACCATTGCATCGATGACATTGAACGCGATCAGCTCATCTCCATCGTATCCAATTTGGGACGACACCTCCAAGCATTATCAGTATTTCCATGTGGAGAAGAATGCATAAGCGACGTGCAGCGATACTGCCCCGACATCCACACGATTGTTTGGAATTGCGGATACCCAACATTAGATGGTATCCATGGATGCGAGATGATATTACCACCACCACCATCCACCAAGGGATTACGACACTTATCCATTGCGCCTCACCATATTGACCTCGTGGTTGCTTTGATGACAAGATACAAAGATACGCTTGAGACGCTTCATTTGACCCTGGTATTACTTCGCAGCTGCGATCAATTGGAACGACTAAAGGATGTTGTGATGAAACGCCTCGACTCAATGTCTATTCGATGGGTACGAGATCGTGACGCTGGAACCAGGATTGCTGCAGCTATACTTGATACATGCCAAGAATCCCTTCGAGTGCTCAGCTTGGAGAAATTACACATGAAGCCATTGACACGCCATTTGTGCAACTTGAGAACCTTGAAATCATTGCGATTGGATAGCATAGTACTTCACGAGTATATGGCAATCTACTGGGATCGTTTGTGCAGCATTGACAACAACAAAAAAGTCACCTTGATCTCTCTGGAGTTTCGCAATGTGGATATCACAGATCGTGACTTGATGCTCCTCGCAAGGATTGGCACTTTGAAGGACTTTACACTTTCATTCACTGACGATCACGACCTATCTTTCACGGATCATGCCGTTCAACAATTCTTTAATGAAACCAGGAGCGCATTAAGGAACGTGGTACTGGATTTCACACCGATGTCATGGTCAGCACTCGATATCATGGCAAGGATACCATCATTAAGAAGGGTGACGCTTTCGAAGCATGTACCAATCGATTCGGTGCACACCTTTAGAAATAGATACCCAAGGTTGCGTGTCGAGGGGATGAAAGAAAAGGAACGCGACATTTACGCCTTTTGCTGACATCTATAATAATGTAAATGAGATCATCTTGTTATATAACACGCTTATAGATAAACAGCTTTGTATGAGCATTGATTACAATCCAAGTTTTATCCACTATATAGTACAACAACAAAGATGATATTCTCTTTTGTCTAATTTAATTACTTGAATGGCAGGGTATGTGTTTTTGAATCGAGTTATCCTCTCCAAGGGAAGCTTTTGTACCAGCAGTAATCTCTTTACAAAGGGCAAGTCACCCACTGCGTCCAATATCTTGTCATTGATTTGAGGAAGGAAAAGACCCACAGTTTGTATTGAGCTTTGTGTGTTGATGAAGAAATCAATGATGCCATTTTCAGACCATGAATCCCTGGGACCGGAGACGATCTTGATGCACTTTAAAGTTTGTATCTTTGCAAGCAATGAAAATGTCTGATCCGTAAACGCGACATCATAAATCTCAATAGTGGTCATTGGGCATGCATCACCCATTGCTGCTAGTCGTGTGAAATAGGATGTCATGTGATGTTCGATTGTCTCATCAAGTTGACATAGGCGTAAGCACTTGAGATGCGGCATGTCGGGTAAAGATGGGCTGGGGATGCTGCGATCGCCTTGTAAATAGAGTTTGTGAAGTGATGGTCGGCACATGCCTCGCATCATTTCTAAGAAACGATCCATCCTGAATCCTGGTACTGTGACGATCGAGAGCGAATTCAACCGATTCAATTGCAGGTGCCGTATGATACGTCCGCTTTCAGAAAAGATGTCACCACCATACAATGGCGTATTCAACCATAATTGCATCGTTTCCAGGGTATCGCTGTGCTTCCTCATCAAGCCAAGGAATAGTCGTAAATCTTGTGGTGCCATTGTCAAATGTCTCAATCCATTGTTGTTGTTGTTGTTGTCAGCTTCAATGTCGTCTAATGATAACGATTCCTCTGTGGTATCATGTGCTGGAACAATCAGATAGGCACCGCATGTCAATGTATGTAAATGAGGACAGCATAGCTCCACCACATCGAGATCACGATCACACACAGGAACGTTAAGAACGCGTAATCCATTCCCCAATCGAGAAAGCACCCAAATCAATTCATGCCGTAACAAGGGACGAGTGGAATAGTTGTCCAATTTGAGCGCTCTCAATTTTGCGGAGGGGTAAATATCCAAATCGTCGCCATAGCTACCGTACCAAAAAGGGCTGTTGAATTCAAGACATCTGAGATTGGGACAAGCGGTCATCACAGAGGCGAGGCTTAATGCTGGATCATGTAGACTTATGTTGAGTGTTGTCAGCGTGTTGCCAAGGATCGAAAGTCCACTGAACAAGTCAATGCTATGATCGAAAGCTTTCAATGATATGTATACATCCATCAGTCGTGTTCAAGAGGAAAAGGGATCTGACAAGTCTTACGTAGATTAAGTTTGAGATGCCGTAGATTGACAAATACGCCTCGTTTGATATCCTCAAATAGCAACTGTAGCCATGGGTGATGATGATCAATGATGTCGAGTTTCTGGATATGATGGGCCACAGGTAATAGCGCCCTTGGTGAAAATTGCTCCTTTTCGGTCTTGACGTGGATCCACAATGGAGCGCATTGTATGAGTCGTGTATGCCACGTTTTGGAGACCAAGTATGAGCCGGCTAGTATATCCGCTGTATCGAAACCACTCAACACATGGCACAAGATCTCGGTCGGTAAATGATGGAATGAAGTCATCGAGTGTTGGGACACGAGCTTATTGTCACTATTGAGGTGGATGCTAGGTGCTGTATCAGATATCGTTGTCGTCGTCGGGTCGTGTGTTGTGCCTTGCGTGACGCTGAGTCGTGTCGATGCACTACTTGTTCACATGCTTAGTTGACAGGATTCAACCCATTCCTCTCTAATGTAGACATCGCTTACAGCTTCCAATCGAGATGACAATAAACGGATCAAGTTGACGTAAACAAGTGGGGAAGAAGGGCGGCTGCAGAAAATGTCGGGATGATTGCTTCTTTGCTTTGTGAAACAAGCCCTTTGCCTCTTTCTTCAGATACAGCCAGTGGTGATGTAAGTAGCTGTTATGTACCATAAGTATGCATCCATACGTTACAGGTGAACAATGCGTGTAAGAAAAGTTGTATGTAATGGTTGTGGATAAAAGAAACCTGTAGCTGTAAGCAGATGAAAAAGAAGGCAGAGGAGAGTGCTGGGAATGGGTAAGGCGAATGATACAAAGTGCACCTTGTGCAACCGGTGTCAAAGTCCAAGGATGTAAAAACCGTAGCTGTAAAGGAAAGTCGTAGCTGTAAGGATGAAAAAGTCGTCGTTGTCGCAAGTCAGCTCTCATTGTAGCCAATGACTTTCGCCTGGTGTTATATTCTTGTAAGCACACTAAGGTGTACTTCAAAGATTCCAATGTCTATTCTTCGATGCGAGGACCATCGACCTCGCTGTAGTATGACGACGATAGATTAGGCTATATATCCCCATTCCAAATTTTCAAATGAAACATGAGGTCTTTTTTAGAGAAACATGAACAGCATGTACAAGAGCATGTTGTGTGAAAGTTTCAGGTTCGAGAAGGGCAATCTCATAATCAAGGATTGATGTACAGTGTTCATGCATTAAAACAAGAAGTGTCCGATCATTTAATTTACACTCCTTCCACCTCAACTTCTTCCCCTCTTCCCCGCATTCTCAACTGTTGGCCCATTCAAGTATACAACTACCACCTGCGAACGATTGCCCTGCTTCAACCCATCATGTCGATCCCACAGCTATCTTGATCCGATTGTCTTTGACTGAACGGCAACCCCCTACATCACACGAGCCTTTTCTGGATACTACACCTTCTCTTGTACACTCGTCTACCACGACCAACCGTAACAGCATTCATTGCAGCAGTCGTTATTAGCAAGGGTCTTTACTCTATTGTCTCAAACAGCGTTCTCTACTTGCAGCATCTTGCCTACAGCCTGTCTTTGTTACGTGCGACAGCAGCTAGCCATGTATACAAGCAACTTTATTTATGTGTAGCAACTTATTTCAATACATACGAATTCCTATGGATATGGATATGGGTCTGAACGATGGAGTGTTTTGGTACATGTGATGGAAGGAAGTGGATACACTGCCTGGTTTAATTCCCTTGGCCAATTTAGAACGTGATGTCTAGTTTGGATGACACCATATCAGCCGTCAACTACGCCGCAATACAAGCAACCTTCAGCTGGTCAAGCTGTGAGCTGCTATGGATAATGACCAAGGAAAGGGATTGACCAACAGCCGGATGGAAAAGGAAACATGTCAGCCGCAATATTGGGTTTACATTGGTTATGGATGGAAGGATGCGATCAAGTGCAGTGATGAGAAGTCCTGGAATCTTACTTTGGTTGCTTGGCGCCTCATCGGCAGGAACGATGGATCGTGCCACGTGAATACGGCTGAGGATGGTGATGGTTCGGATGGAATTGAGGAGATGGCTTATACCTTTGACGAAAGGAGGTGTTTCACAGCTATGGATGATATTGGAATACTCGACCCAAAGCATATACAGCACCTATTTTGCAATCATGGATGAAGGGTGAGCATGAAGATAGCAATCAAGTATAGGATGATACAATTATCCCTGATGATCCTATATGTTTCTCCCATATGTGCCCTATTCAATTTGGCTATATTGTTCCCTTATGTATCATGTATCTACCTCATAAGCATCGTCCACAATACCGTGTCTACGTGTTCTTCGACTTTTTATTAAATGAAAATTGGGATTCAACATAATACTTTGGGTATCGTACGATCAGCTTAGATGTGCAAGGAGTGGATCACTTGGTTGTTTTCTGCATTGAAAGGGGAACTGCAAACGTGAAAGGTGGAAAGCGAGATATCATATATTTGGTAAGGTTACACAGTAGGCTACACAAGTTGGTTCAGGGGTGGAGTTGCATAACTAATCAATCGATGTGATGCGCACAGACCTAACAGCTTAATTACGAGGGCTGTTCTCAATTGAAGTCTTGAGCAATGATCAATCTTATGGAGCTAAGAGCTTAGGATATTGTTGAGGGTACGTATAAACAGTAATAGCTGTAGCAAGCGGGGTGGCATGGAGTGCACGAATTGGAGCGAACAGGAGGAACAAAGAGGCCACTCTTCTTCACTTCCACTTCACAAAAAAGGTAAGCGTGTCTCCATTTACAAACTACAACGCGTTAATTGCTGGCATTCCTTCCAATGTACAGCGTCCATTGGGTTGAACATGTGGTCAATGGCGACGCTTTCCAGTTGCAGACATTCAACAGCAAGTACGCGCGCGATCTGCCCATGACTCATGCTTCCATTGCAATACAACATGTACGTTCCATCGCTGCATTACTTTACCATTCAAGCTGGACATTGAGATACTAAAGTTCACGTGTAGTTTACTATTCTCGCGTTTATACGAGATCCAAAGGGGGCGTCGTGTGTCGTGTGTATGCTTTCCATGGTTGTCGTCAGGGAGGGTCGCAACCTATTGTTACTATGGGTATGTCAACATGAAAAGCGAATGCTATTGTTACCTTACACTTCACTTACTGTAGCTTGGACACGTTGGATTATGGTACCTCTGGCAGCAACAAGATACGGATCTCAAAGCAAGAATGCTTATGGTTGGCTCAATGGTGTTGACAATCTTTCGGCGCATCACGATTTCACTGTCATCGTCAAAAGGTAACTCGCCAGCCAATAAAGTGTACAAGATGATACCAAGCGACCAAATATCGGTTTCTATGGCAACAGAGTAACCATGAGCAACAAAACATTCAGGGAGGAGAAGGAAGGGGGAATTTAATGCAACAAAGAAAAAACTTACCAGGACCCGTGTACCGTTTTTGGTTAATCATCTCAGGGGCCGAATACGCTAGACTTCCACAAAACGTTTCCAAAAGTTGCTTGTCTTCGGCATGACGAGCGAATCCAAAGTCGCAGATCTTTGCATTGTGATCCATATCCAGCAAGATGTTCTCAAGTTTGAGATCCCTTGAAACCAAAAAGTGTTAGAGAAAAGGGGGTGGTCATCATTGACATCATTGTAATAGGGTTTTTACCTGTGTACAATGTTACGTTCGTGACAGTAGTGGATGGCGTCGACAAGTTGCCGGAAATAGCGTTGAGCCTGTTGCTCCGTAAAACGACCTGTTTCAGTCAACAAGTCGAATAATTCGCCATTGGGGCAGTATTCGGATACGATGAAGATAGCTGATTCGGTGGATAGGACTTCATACAAGGCGATGATATTAGGATGTCGTAGTTGTCGGTGATGATGGATTTCACGCGCCATGAGCGGAGCATGTTGCTTGCTGATCTTTTTAATGGCGACTTGTTTGCCTGTGATCTGATGTGTGCCAAGCTTCACTTTGCCATAGGTACCCTAATGTATGTATGTATGTATGTAAGTATGTATGCAATCAGCCAGTGCCCCCCCTTAAACAGCCACCACTCTTATGAATATGACGTACCTCACCAATGGTATCACCAATGGTATAGCATCCAATGACTGTGATCTTAGGTGAAGAGAGTTGTCGGAGGAGATCATTGTAATCCGCTGCGAGCTGTGTAGTAGTGTATGCATACGTTAGTAGCTATAGATGGGGGTAGATCCACTATGGGTAATGATGTTACCTTTGCTTTCTGATTGTGGATACTAGAGCGAGGAGAGGATATCATTATACGTATATAAGCTTGGAAGATATATATTCACGGGTGTGTCGTATATAATAATAGGTGTTGTTGATAGGGTGCCGAAAAGTGACGCGATGAAAGAAAGGAATGGGTGTGTTTTTGGTGGTAGTGGTAGGCAATGGATGAGCAAAGGGTTACGAGTGAGTGTGAGGAGAGAGAATGCAATAAGAGTTGTAGTTGTTGTTGTTGGTTGTTGTTGTTGCTCGTATACTTATTGCCGTAGTTGCGATGGAGGAGAGAGAGAAGAGAGAAAAGGAATATATTCACAGGATTAGAAGGAGTGCATTTCCCGTGTGAGGGATTGGAGAGATGAGTGGTAGAGAGTAGAAAAAGAGAAAAGAGAAAGGCTGGACAATAGTAGTCGATGAGGACAAGCCTAATAGGATCACTGGTGTTGTACAAATACAAATTTTGGTGCGCGTAAGGGCAATCTCACAAGCAAGGCTTGCTACTTTTCTTGGAAGGTGAAGACTCTTGTCGCTTACCCCCCTTGGCTAAATACTACATTCACCAATGTCTTCCCATTTATGCCCTCATTCATGTATTTGATACCATTTATTACCCGCTCCATCATGACAACGCTTTTACATTCACCCTTGCAGAATACATGGATGGAAGTTGTTAATAAAAAGGGATCGATGTACAGATTTTCTTCCTATCTCATTGTACGCTTGTCTACAAGCAGCAGCTTGTACAACGTGGCAATTTGACTTAATATTGTTGCTCCCCCGCTGGTTGTAAGCTCCTGTCGTCGAGTCACACATACACCACATTTAGTGGCCTTTGTCGTTACAAAAAGATGACCGAGGATGTTGTTGCTAATCAACACACACACACGTAGCAGCGCGCTTACACCAATAATGCAAACATGCTAAAGCGGACTTTCGGCAATGAAATGTGGTGTGAGAAACATGATCGACCGCTTGCTTTTTGTTGCCAGCCACACACACATTCATTTTCTCTTGGCGCCTTTCTTCTCCTTAGAGCATAATACGTCTAATGCAAATGGACATTGTTTCATTTATTAATGAATGGGACAACATGTGTGAGTGAGCTCATGATACATGTGATGTCGTCAGGTGGTGGATCATTACAACACCCATTATCATCACATACATACCCGCGTGGTGTATGCTGCTGCCGGTTAATCAGATTGATCCGGTACCCAATCATGCACATGAGCTATTTACACCCTGCTGTGTTGAAGATTTGGATCATCATCCAATAAAGCCCTGATTTTCATTATTGCATACAACATCTCCATTGTCTTCCGATCATAGTCTTATAGTAGCATAGAGTTAATTGATGTATAGGCCTCCGCCAAAAGTTTGTTGTAATGATCAACTAGTCAATTATCCATGTCCTTGCTCAAAATGTATGCATGTAAAGAAGATCAATGCCGGATACGGCATGTTGCATATAGCGCCACAGTAACCAATGAATTTTGACCAGCGTATGCAGCAGCATCAACAACAACAGCCGGGGGTCATTGTGTATGTGTCTATTTCTGTATACACAAATGTGTGGGATGATGATTGCATAAAGCTAGACAACCATCATTATCCATAAAATGGGGTTAAGGAGGTAAAAGAAAGAAAGAAAGAATGAGAGAGCAATTCAAGCTGTATTATTACTTGACCCTATCTCAGCGGGTGTGAGTGTGAGTGTGTTTCATTTTCTCACCCATCCTAAATCCCATCTCAGTACACTATTTGAAAGGAACCCTTTGTTTTGATAAGGTAATGATCTGTGCCCTTTTCATGCACAGCAGGGCAACACTCCACGAGGATTATTAACTGGGAAGGTCCGTCATCGCCGAGTAACTAAAGTGGAATCCCTTTTGCTCCTTGTTCTCCACCTCGCCCCCTTTTTTCGATAGCCCAAGCTGCTCTTTGTATTCGGTATCTATCGAAAAAGCGAGTTGATCATTGTTAGGTGTATTATGCAACGAGATGGTTGATTGTACATATATATAGAGTCTTGCACGCGGGCACTGAATGCAGGATTGAATTTGTGTAACCTGCAAGTTCAGGCACATGCTAAAGCCAAATAGATTACGCCACGACATGAATGACTTTTTTGATAAATGTATCCCATTGTACCCTAATTGTGAAAGTTTTGGGGGTTTCCAGGGGAGGGAATTGATAGTTTGTAAGCATCAAATGAGGTCTCTTGGCTTTCCACAAAAGAAAAAGATGAATCATCTGCTGCTTTGTTGTCTATTATTGATTGGTACGATGAGAGAGTGTGAGAGAGAGAGATTGCTGCATAATTGCAAATTGATTATGTATGCAAATGTCATTTTGTGATCTAGGTGCCGATAGTATCTTTATACTTCTGACAGGTTGATCGTGTGGGGGAGTGAGTAGAAGCAGCACATTCAAGGAGAGAGTATGTGTGTGTGTGAGTGTCTCGCATGACACAATGGGGATATTCGATCCACCAATACAAGACCTCTCCTCACATGAGAATCAAAGAGCTGACCTGTGCTCCATTGTGTGTAATGGTGCATGATACAATATTCTCTTGTTCTCTGTCACATGCACATACAATGAGTCGGAGAGTATGGGTGATGGGGGTTGTGGGGGTAAGAATAAAGTGTGCACATGTAATGGCTACTGTGGGTGTAAAAGCATAATCATCCCAATCTTTCTACTACGCACACCTCTTTTTCCCTTTTCCTTTTTTTGCTGTACCCGGCAGAAAAGGTCCAACATCACGCTTACGCAAAAAAACAAACGCTATTGATTCTACCCAACTGGCATGGTACATGTACATAACTATATTTATTCAATGCCTCTAATATCGATTGACTACTACTAGAATACGCCTCCTCCTGAACAAGATACTTTCATCAAGCCAGATCCCTTCTTTTCAGTATCAACGCCTATTGTCCCATTACCCAATACCACAACTACAGCTTCCACCGTTACCACCACGGGTTCTAGTTCGAGGCCTCGGCGATACACACAACCCACCAGGACTGCACCAAAAGACGAACGCCATTTCGAAAAAGAAGACAACCATGACGATGAGCTCGATCGCATATCTGATATTCTCGCCAATCTCATCCGTGAAGCCAATGATGCAGTGCATGGACTCGAGCGTGAACGTGGTAAAATATTAGAGCAACAGCAACAACGACGCAGTGTGCGAACCAGTTCAAGGTTACCTAGGCCCAAGTCTTTTTCGTCGTCTTCGTCTTTGATCGCGACAAGTAGTAGTAGTAATAATACAATGTCAGTTCCACCACCACATCCACCACTACGACGACGCCCCTTTCCACCACCACATCCACCTCCTATTGAAACAGCACCACTCCTCGAATCGTTTCAACGACTTGATACATCCATGGCTATGGTTGATTCGTTATCTCGCGATCTTAGTAGTCAACAAGAGCATCAACAGCATGATCATTTTACTGCTCTCTTTATCGTACCCCTTTTGCATATACCCCATGCACTTATCACCACCCTTTTCAATGCAGCACCACCGAGTCTTTCAGGCATGGTTGCTTGGGCTTGTCTCTTTGCACTAGGCAATCTCATCATGGGTCCCAATAACAACATGGACAATTCAAGGCGTCTTTCACTTCCTGGTGCTTATCATGATGATGACAACAAAACTAATCTCGCTGGCCGGGATGATGATGATGATGATGAGGATTTACAACAACAGCCAATGCCTACGACAACAACATCCACCACTTCTCCTTCACGTATCATCACCACCACCACCACCAGTGTACGTAAACGTCGTCCTACCATTGTACGTCGTTCAATCTATAGGAAACGTGCTCCTCTTACCAGTCGACAAAGCATGATGCCTCTTTCATCACAACCCTCCTCTTCGAAACGTTCCACCATCCTCGTCAATACCACCACCACTGCTACTGCTACTGCTGCCACTGGTATTAGTAGTAGTAGAAACACCATGCCACTATCACCCAATCAACAACGACGACGCAATTCAGTATGATAATTTATAGAGAGAGAGATACTTCACAACACTTTTTTATTATCCATCAAATCACGTCTATAGCCATGCGTTTTATGTACATTTTCAAGTATTCCATCAGTTCAATCGAAAAAAAAGCCCAGGTTTCATTATGACAAAAGAAGAAAAAGGAAAAAAACGCAAACAATTGAGGAGGGAGAGGAGAGAGAGTGAGAGAGGGGAGATTGAGGGAGAGAGATAGATACACTCACGCACACACATTGATGTCAAATCCTATAATCCTTCACCACCGCCACTGGGAAAGAGACCAGGTGGCAAGTTGCCATTCCGATGTTGCTGCTGTTGCTGTTGTCTGAATTTCATTTCCATTAATGCAGCCAGCGGAGGGGGAGGTCCATGCGGATGATGAGGATGATGATGGTGCATTGAAGGATGTGGAGGAGGAGGATGAGGAGGACCACCATTATTGTTGTTGCCACCAGGATGCATCATACCTGGCGGTGGTGGCGGTGGGGGTTGTTCATGTTGTTGTTGTTGACCAAATGGCGGTGGATGATGATGATGTTGTTGTTGTAAATGATGGGGTGGTGGTGGCATCATACCCATAGGCATTTCTCCAAAGTTACCAGACATGAATGATGGGGGTTGTTGCTGTTGTTGTGGCGGTGGTTGATGTTGGGGATGTTGTTGATGATGGAATGACATGGGCGGTGGTGGTGGTTGTCGCATAGATTGATGATGATGATGGTGATCCTGTTGTTGTTGTTGATGCGGAGATAAGAACATATCAAAAGGTGGTTTGTTCATCATATCTTGATGTGCAGGTGGTGTGGATAAGGGTGCATCGAAACCAGGTCTTTCCATTGGAAATCGCGTATGCTCTGCAGATGCTTGTGGTTGAGCTCCCAAGATTTGCAAAATGGCATTTTGTGATTCTGTCATATCCCTCCTCTCATTCATCACAGCTGCTGCGGGTCCAGGGCTACCATTGCTCATTCTTACTGACATGATGGCTGGATCTTGGAAAGGCATCGATCCTGGTTCTATATATACATACACAAATGAATGAATACACCATATCCCTTCTCATCATCCTTCTTCTCTCTTACCTTTGTAATGTTGTCCATTCATGAGATGAGGTGTCGATGCAGCTGCCTTTCGCAAAAACTCGCCGAAAAAGTTTTGTGCTTCTTGCTTCACATCAGAGTCCTTGCCAACATTTTCCTTCTCCTTCTCCTCCTCTTCTTCAGGATAAGCATCAGGCTTGTGGACTGCTGAGCTATTGTTGGTCAATGTCGAAAGAATCTTGTCATGTTGCTGTTGTTGTTGATCCGATTCATGCTGTAAGATAGGCGTGTTGCTGCTCAAATCGGATGGACGACGATGGAAAGGATCTTCTATTTCTGGGGTATGGGGCTTGTGTGAAGGATCCTCATCACGCATAGGACTGAAGCTGATATTCACATTAGGTAACAGGGCTCGTAGATCATCTTGCATCGATCGAACAGGGTCTTCCCTATGTTCCGCCATCGGTCCATTAGGATGTTGTTGTTGTTGCTGATGCATACTCAATCTCTGCATATTGTTTTCCAAATGCATCATGTCGTGATGATGATTCTCCATGGGTGATTGTTGTTGCTGTGGAGGTTGTGGTGGTGGATGATGTTGAGGACCCCCCATTGGACCAAGACCTGGTGGCATGTTCATGAAATCAGGATGACGATGAGGATGATGGGGTGGAGGTGGAGGTTGATGATGGTGATGAGGTGGTGGAGGTTGACGTAACATGGGTTGCGGTAAACCAAACATGCCTGGTGGTGGAGGTGGCGTGTTGCCATGGAAATCAAACAAAGAAGGTGGTGGAGGTGGAGGTGGTCTTCCAAATCCTGGGAATAAACCTGATGCTTCCAACATTTGTTGAGAGTGCTGTAAACGACGAGCAGCTGCAGGATCTTGACCATTAAATGGATCAAAGTGATGCGATTGCCATTCAGGTGGTCCACTGAATCCAGGAGGAGGCCCATGAGCACGTCCACTGCCATGTTGTTCCATTGGCATTCGCAAATCATCCAATAATGTAGGAGAGGGTCCATGCTGTTGTTGATGAATGGTATGGAAATGCACGTGATCCAATTGTTCATCCAACAAAGGTGGTCGTTCGGGTGATGGTTGAATCATTCCATGATCAAGAGCTCCCAATGGTGATGTACCTCCCAACTCATCTTGTTGTACTTTTTCAGATCGCGACATATGATCATACAAACGTCCTTCATCATCCTCTGATGCCAAATCAGCCTTGAGACTCGATAAACCACCTTCATCATCCAAGCTGCCATGTTCATCTTGCTGGTTCACGTCATCCACCATCAAATCACCAAGCACGTAACTGGTAAAGGATGGCTGGGCTTGTACACTGAATTCAGGGGATGGTGATGATACCTTTGCACTTGTCGACTCCACGTATTCTTCCTCCACATGATCCACTTGTTGATCCACCACAACTTTGTCTTCCTCGGGCTTAGCTTCAGGTTTCTGCAAGGATACAGTAGGCTGTTGTTGCTCATCACGGTGATCCTCTTTCTGATCCTCTTCCTTTTTGAGCTCAAGAGCCTCATCCTTTTGATCCACCAAGGGTTGTTGTTGATCATCACGAAGCTCTTGAACAGGTTCAGCCATAACCACATCTTCTTCCTTGGGTCGTACATTATCCACTTGCTCTGGTTTGACAACATTTTCAGAAACTGGTTCCTCCTTTGGCTTCACAGGTGCAGCGGCAGCAGGTTGTTTCTTTTGCTTTTGCTTCTGTTGCTGTTCCTTTTGTGGTTGTGGTTGTTGATCCTTTGGCTGTTGTTGAGGAGTTTCAGCAGACTTGGTTGGTGCAATAACAACAGGAGTGGGCTTAGGTACGGGTTGCCATGCTGATTCACCGCTACGTCGCAATTGGGTAGATAATGCACTTGTACCACCACCACCAGTGACAGCTGCCTTGCCCTTGATATTGTTGCTACCACCAGCAACAGGCGCCTTTTGCCCATTGGTATTGTTCTTTAAACCTTCTTCAAACTCTTCCAATCGTACCATCTTGGACTTCAACTTCTTTTCCTTTTTGCGTGGGATTGTCGGAGAGTGCTTGGGCTTTTGTGGTGCACTAAGCGCGTCTGACAAAGAAGGACCAAAGTTGACAGGTGTCGTAATGGTGCTGTTTTCAAGACTCGATGCCACCGATCCAGTGCCTGTACTCGTGCCAGTGGTACCTTTGCCCCATGCTGCAGCTGCAGGAAGTGCTGGTTTCTTTTCAATTGCAATGGGTTTGGTTGCCTTGTCAGATGCACTCTTGACTGGTTCAGGGGCATGTGTTTGCTTTCTTTGCTTTGGTGATGGCACTACTGGTGCTGGTGTTGATTCAAGTGGTCGTTGTTGTTGCTGCTGCACTGACACAGGCTCCTCTTCCTTATTAGCAGGTGTCTCTGTCGACGATGAAGATGGCTGTTGTTCTTCTACAATAGGCGCAGGTGGAGGTGGTGGTGGAGGCACAACTTTTGGTATAGGCGCCCATGCAGATTTCTTTGGTGGTGAAGCAGGTTCCACAGCCATTTGCGAAGTGGAGGTAGAAGATGAGGATTCACCCAATGCAGCACGAGTGGTTGTAGCAGGCTTGGCTTGAGCAGGTGCAGGTCGTTTGCTAGGCACCGTGGATGTTGTGGATGATCCACTTGGCTGGGGTTTACTAAAATAGAACTCGAGTTAGTTATAGAAAGTAAAAAGAAGGGATAAAAGACCATCCACCATACCCAATGCTATCCTTGGTGTAACTGTCAACATCTTCCCCTGGCTCGTGCAAATACATGCAATTGGGATTGGGACATGCCATATGCCTCAAGTAGTAGGTGCAATACTTTGTGGTGCCATACGACGCTCTAGTATCCAACAACACGTATTAATGACAAGCTCAATCGCATTCACCCTTTATCATATCATACCTAAGCGATCGACCATCAAAAGTTGAGCCATTGATACCCGCAATAGCCTTGGCAGCATCGTCTTTGCGTTGATAGGTGATATAGATGCCAACTGAGGATGTTTGACTGCCATTGCTGGATGACGACTGATGCGTAGTGGTGCGTTTGCTTACAACAAGCTTTGCAATCTTGCCATACTTTTTGAAGAGCTCGTTCTATAATTACATAATTAATAAACGGATCCCTTTGTCACATAGATCTCCTCCTCAATCGATAGAATCCCCTTTTTATCTCTTACCTCTGCATTCGCATGTTTGGAGCTTAGGCCAAGGACATAGACAAGATTCTTTTGGACCACCCTGACATTGGACAAGTGCTTTCTGCTCGAATCCTTCATATCCTTATGTTGCCGTTCCTTTTCCTTCTTTTCCTTCTGGAACCGTACAATCTCGTCCTTGCTGACAGGAATGAACTGCACGATCTGATCCGTATAGGTGCGTCGACATGCTGGACATCTCCCGTTCAAATTTGACTTGATGTGATGCCAACAGAAACGACAAATCTATATATTGCCATCCGTGATGAGACGTCCACTTTTTCTTTCTTTTGGGTTCCTATTCCAAGCTAGTTTACCTGGTAGCCACAAGGACAAGGGCGAAAATTGCGATCGGCTATATCGAATTCCTCCATGCAAAGAGGGCAATCCAGATCCTCGTCGTCCGAAACCATGGTTGCGTCAAGATGATAAAGAGACGTTTACGCCGGACTTGTGTGTGTAAAGGAAGAGAGAATGAGAGAGAGAGAAAGGAAAGACAAAGAAAAGATAGCGTAAACAAGAAAAGTGTAAGAGTACGCAATAAAGAGAAGAGGGTGTGTGTTTATGTGTAGTGTGTGTGTGTATGTGTGTGCGTGAGAGAGAGCGAGAGCGAGAGTGAGAGTGAGTGAAAGAAAGAAAGAAAGATTGTTTGACTGGTGGGAAGTGATGTTGAACCAGCTCTTTCGGACTGTCAAAGCAGTTCTGTATGTGTGTGCGTGCGTGGTTTTGGTTGCCCCTGTGAGTGCGTTTATTATTGGTTACCTGAATATCCCTTTTGTCAATTCCACACCTTCCTTCACAATGATTGTTTCATGTAATGCAAAAGCTTCATTATATTGTATCAAGTCAAAAAAGACATATGCAAAGCGAGCGTGTGCGTGTGAAAGCGAAAATGGTGAATATATATATAATGCTAAGAATGACTCGCTGGGGAGGAGGCCAAAAAAGAAAAAGTGGTAAAGCAAAGCAAGAAAAAAGACAGACATCATTGTCGAATGTCTCTATAAGCAAAAAAGAAGCGGCATGATGCAGGTAATTTGTTGTTGTAGGGGATGAGGAGGCGTGAGGAGTGAGAGAGGGCGATTTCTATACAATATTGTAATACCGCATCAGCATTGTTGAACAGATACAGAAAAAGAGAATTGACGACATGATGCAAAGGAACCAAGTCAAATCCTCCTATTGGTTCATTATCCAAGTTAATATACACGCATGTAATCACATGGAGATAAAATCACCCTCTTCTTACCTGAAATTGTCCAGGCACTTGGACATTCATTCCCCAAAGGCCGGTGACAAGATTCATGGGTATAAGGACACTACCAAGTGCTGTCAACTTTGAAAGAACGTCGTTGATTTCATTGTTGGTCTGTGTCATTTCAATAGAGATTTGTGCAAGGTAATTCGAGTGTGAGCGTGACGAGATTTTTTCGTAATGGTTCAACGACTGCAGCATGGTAATGATGTGATCTACTATCGGGGTTAGCACATGCACGATATGCGTGTTACCCACGCCAACATGATTTTTACCTTGAACATCACCGAGATACAATGCAACCTCACTTGAAAGTGCCGGACGCGTTCCACCATCCATGGCTTGAGTCTCACCACGCTTCACCAATGTCTTGATCACATCCGCCTTGGATACCAGTAATCTCAAAAGACCCATCATCCTCTTGCGACAATACCCAATGCGCCGTAACATATCTGATTGTTCCGATTCCTTGAGGATCAATACAAGTTCATCGATAGAATCAACTTCAAATTCAATGGTGCGTATCAATGGTGCAAACGAGTCAGTAATGTCGTCAAGAATGGCATAGCAAATCCAATCTACGTAAAGTGATGAGTATGTTGTTCATCGTTTTCCCATCCTTTTTTATATACCTGGCGTCACATGGATGTAGTCTTTTAGTTGTTTAATACGTTTACGAACACTGTATGGATGAGGCGTTGGCCTGAAATGAAACTAAATTGTGCGTAAGAGTGCCGTCAGCCAACAAATTTCTTCATGGACGCATGATGCAACAGCCAAAAAACAACAACCAGCCCATGTCGAAAGCATCGCCCCCCGCATCCACATCTCACTCTCTCACTCCTTCTCCTCACGCGACACCATGTGCGTATCCTTTTTTAGATTCATCACAGATGCTGTTGTTGTTGCTGGCACCATACAAATACACATGCACATGCAATCAGAAGAAAACTTACCGTCAATACGCCTTCTTTTAGAATGATAATATACACGTCCAATGGTTGCAGATAGCTGACGGAATATGGGTCTTGATCGAAACTGCGGAAGCAAATAAAGTAATAATTCTTGAAGACCTCACATTTTTCTCTAGGTTCTTCCATAGTGATGTCTTCAATCGTGAGTGGATGGATATGGAAAATCTACATCATCATGTAAGTTCATGCATGATCATGCAAACGATACATTTACTCCAAATGGCCCTCTCTCTCTCTTTTTTATTTACCTTTCCAAGTGCTTTCATTTCAGCATCGGTTGGAGAGAGAATGTCGATCCAAAAGCAACCCTTTTTCATCATGGTCACAAGACGCTCGCCATGCGATGGAATTTCACTCAATGATCGAGCATGGATGCTGGATGGTTCGGATGGCGAATAATAGGTGATGCGATAGCTTGTATCATGATCTTCTGGATACTATATAATTATATACACAAATCAGAAATCAAAGATCATCACCCATCATTCAAAAACATACCTTGAGTCGGTCGCCATAGTAACCATTAAGCTTCCTTGACATGTTGGAAAGGCGTCTACGTCTAGGTGGGTCCTTGGTGCGTTGCTCTTCTCGAATGAACTCTTCCAGTACATCAAAATCGATTCCACTGCTATTCTTTTCATCTGCATTGGGAAAGCATACATCTTCCTCAATCGAATCCCGGCGGGACCCGGCGGTATCCACATCCGAATTGTAAATGTTCATAAGCCCATCGGGTTTGCCATTGGTGGTGCTACTGGTATTGAGGGTGGTGCCTGTTGTGGGTGTGGTGGTGTTGCTATCATATCCCATGTCGATCAAAACATTGGCGGCATTGGTAGTGAAGTAAGAATCAGCGGTGGTGGTGGTAGGTGGGGGTGTCTGTAGATCAACATGATCAGTCAGTCAAACTTGAATATCTCTCCTCGACCCCTTGCCTAGTTCAAACAATAACTCACTCACCTGTGGTTGCTGGGGAATAGCTGAATAACGAGAATTGCGGGATCGATGGAAAAACATGTTGAGTGGTTGAAATGGAGACGACGATGGGGCCGTTGTGGTGGGATGCACTGCTGGATCGCCAGGTGCTGTCATGGGTTGCTGCTGCGACATTGGCCTACTAGCGTTGGCTCGGGTCTTGTTGTTGCGTCTCTTTGATTTAGCCATTGGCATCTCTTCAAGTGGGGAGGGGGTTGAAAGGGAGGAAAGGGTATATATAGATAACGACAAGCGTTTACAGAAAAGGAGAGGAGTGAAAGAAAGAGAGAGAGAGAGAGAGAGGAAGAAAGAAAGAGGAAGCCAAGTGGTGGTGGTGATATTATTACAATACGTCGACCTAAAATATCTGCAATGTTCAAAGACAGATGTGTGGGCGTTTCCGTATGTGTAAAATGTGGGGTTAATATGAACACAATTGCCTCCTTGTCCTCATCATCATATACTTTATAGCAAGATGTATATCATTATTCTTTTTCTACTATCACAAGTAAATGTAGGAACCTCATGACGATAGGCCCTGGCACCCATGCCCCCATCCACATGGTACAAGTGACCCCATATATCGATTGTTATCTCCTTGATGGTAGTACAACATTGTTTGCCTCTTTGTTCAACATGTTACCAAGGCGTCAACCTATCCCAGACCCATTCTGTGTCACGTTACTTTATACTCTCTTCCCCACCTCCGGCATGACCAACAGTAAACAGATCTGCACATTCTGCTTGACACATTATCACAGTATGTATTTTGTTGATGCATCCACTTTTAGCTTTCTTCTTCCTATGTGCCGTTTAGGCGTGCTCTATAAAAAGATAGAAAAGGAGAAAGCGGCAAAGTAAATGTACGTGGCTGCATAGAGAATGCACATCTTCGAGGCTTTTCTTGCATGTATAAAATTATCTTTGACGTAGCAGAGTCTAATGCCGATGGTGCTCCTGATTACTCCTTTCAAGCAGAAATGCCTCGTTATCGTTCTCACACACAAGCTATTTGTATCAAGATCTCTCTCACTCTCTTTACAAAGCAAACGAGGCAACCATGTCAAATCACGTGTCGCTCGCATAAACAACGCATGCTTGTTCTTGCCGACAGCCATTTGTTCATTCCCCCAACATCCCAACAACATGACGGATAAATACAAATACATACGCAAACCACCATTTGTGGATACATTCATACTGCCTTTTTTCTTATCTGTCATTGAATCCTTTGTTAATATGACTGAAAGGAATCCACCATTCCGAAAGCCAACCGAAAGCCGATGCAATGAGGTAGATGATGGATATCGATTGATTACGTTCGCATGCATGGCTCAGGTACCCAGTTGAATACGCCCCTAAACCGCAACCATCCCATCAATGAATGCATAAAAGTAGGTCTATTGTCGAAAATCAAAAGTAGGCAAGGTGGAAATGTCGAATCGAGGGGGTGTTGTCAATGATGATATATATAGTCTACTTTTTCTTCTTGGATTCACTGATGGATGTCAAGTCACGACCTTGACGATACATCTCACGCCATGACAAAATGTACCTGTATCACCATGTGAGTATCATCTCGATACTATTGTAATGCCAACTACTACTTACTTGCGTTGACGAGTTGGGATACCGAAATCATTTCGCATTGTACGGCTATCGGTAGTGAACAAGCTCTCCCAGGTCTATCATCATCATCATGACATCAGTATCAATTCTTTCTATCTTTCTACACCACGTGATCCTACCTCAAATTTGCTGGCATGCTCGTCGCAACCTCGACCGATCGCTGTGAGGAAATCAGCAGGCTCCTTAATGGCACCTAAAAGCATCGCATGTCAACAAAACAGCTGAATCGTATCGAGCGTCAACCCACCTCTTGGCTTTGGGATACTGCTGGCAGCTGTGTGGGCGCATCGTGCACCTCGAGTAATAGAAGATCTCAATGCAGCGGTCAACATTATTGTGTTTAGAGGAGGAAAAGCAAAAATCCGTGACAACCGCTGAACCAATAAAAAGAGCAGGGCCATTGAAGCCAATTGCGTTACACATATCGTTGATGTTGTTTTCTCAAAGCAAAGAGTCATCAACAATGAGTGCGACATTGTATTCGTAATGTGGATGGAAAGATGTAATTCATAGTGCATTTTTAGCTGTGTGGGTTGCGTAGATATGGAATAACAATGAAAGAGTGTGCAAGGCTCGAGGTAGTGTAGATGGTTGCCATGGAAACATGCAAACAAAACGACCTTGTTGAAGACTCGTTGACACTACGTGGTCACGATGGCAACCATGAAAATGAAAGTTGGATACATAACAATGAAAGGCTAAAATTGTCACTGACATCAGCACATGGGTAGAACTATCCACTTTTGGCATACTCACATCAACTTGGGTTATGATGGAGGAAAGAGATTTTTGGGAGTGTGATAGTAGGCGACAACATCCTTGTTTATATGTGCATGATGGGTATCTCTATGATCGCAAAAGAGAAAAGAATGCTCAAGCCCTGTCGAAAGGTAACCTTTTGATCCCTTCACTACCAGGATAAGATTCGATGCAGCTTCTTCAACACCAACATGACGCTTATGGATATTCTCTATGACAAAAAGTCAATGGTGATGACACGTGTGGTCGTGTATGGCAACAGCAAGGATAGTTACCCAGTGAGAGGCGGTTTGCTTATCAGGGAGCATCCGCTGAGGACGACTCGCTACTATTTCCACCTCCTTCCCTCTCTACCCATTTCGTAAACCTCCCCAATGTACGCCAACCGATCTACAGGCTCGACGGCTCTCAAGCGCCTCATGACAGAGTATCGAGGTATGCAAGCACGCGTGTGATGACTATAGTAGGCTCATTCGTTACGGCATGTATATGTAGAGTTGACAATGAATCCACCTGAAGGCATTACTGCAGGTAACGGTTTTACACGTCGACACCCTCTTCAAACGACAAGTCTAATGGATATGATTGATATGTATATAGGCCCTATTGACGAGAACAACTTTTTCGAGTGGGAGGCTCTTATTGCGTATGTTATCTATTATGAACCTAAAACGCGGGCAGGTGCTGATCCAATATGATGATGTTGCAGAGGTCCCGAGGGCACGCCATTTGAAGGAGGTCTATTTCCTGCAACATTGACCTTCCCAAAGGATTATCCATTGAGTCCACCTACTATGCGCTTTACATGTGATTTCTTCCATCCCAATGTCTATGCCAATGGCACGGTGTGTATCTCTATTCTCCACCCTCCAGGCGATGATCCCAACATGTATGAAAGCAGTTCCGAACGTTGGAGTCCCGTACAAAGTGTCGAAAAGATCCTTCTCAGTGTTGTTAGTATGTTGGCAGGTGAGTACCATTACATCCCAAATAACACGAATACGAGGTTAATGATCTTGTTATCTTTAGAACCTAACGATGAGAGTGGTGCAAATGTGGATGCTTGCGTAAGTTTGATATCATAAGCACAAGGGAGGAAATCTGTATCATCTGATGCATGGCTTTATTGGATTAGAAAATCTGGCGTACTGATCGAGAGCGATACAACGAGATTGTTCGTGAAAATGCACGCAAGACATTGGGACTTTGAACAGCACCATTTTGTAACCGCATCAATCACCCGATCCCTTCATATCTCAGAGGGCTGTCTTTCCTTTCACACTTTGGTTATCGATTCAATCATCCACCACTTCACTATATGTCAAGCGCATTATCATTGAAATATATCCTTCAACAAATTCATCATCAAACATTACGAGTGTTGCTATATTGAAGAGTATGCTCGACGGTGATACTGGTTAGGGTGGTAGGGTGTGTACATGGATCGCTCACAAAAAGGATCATCTATCATGATCAAGTTGGGCTTTGAAGATGTGAGCAATCGAAGAGCGACATGATGGAAGAAAGGGGCGTGTGGGAGTGCAATGATGGGCGAGGTTATTTCAGTGATCACAAAAGGAAGTGCTTGCTGGGGTACATGGATTGATAAATTAGGAAGATGGCTTCACCAGTGATATGATTGAACCTTGGTTTGATTGATAGTCAATACATAAATCAGGATCTGGAAATGAACAAGGTGGCAATATCCATCATCATCAAACAATGCCATCCATCGACTTTTGCTATGTTCAAATGGAGGTGGGTGTAGCGATATTATGGCTTCCGATGAAAGGATTTACCCATTGGGATCTTTGCACTAGGCTATCTATCCTCCTTTTGCAGAAGAAAATGCACTCATAAGACTACGTTGTCAATCACGTGATTGTATGTTAGCCAATCTCTCGCCTATTGATCCCATAATGATGCTATTCTATTTGCATTATCCTTATAGATTATGCGCCATATTTCTGTTGGATGGATATCGATGCTATTGCGAGAAATGCAACTACTACTTTTATGATTCGTTGGCATGGAATTGTACAGGGTAAATGACATGGCAGGATGAAAGAAGAAGGGATGGAAGTTGGATGATGGTGGCTGTAATTAATCGTCTTCGGACGCAGGTTCACTAGATGGTAGTTTGGATACTGTTTGTGTCTTCAAAAGTTCCTGATGTAATGCTTGTTGCTCCTCAAGCTCTCGCATGTTTTCTTCACGTTGTTGTAACTTTCGTCGGCGTTCATCATCCTTCTCCAATCCCTGACGCATAAGCTATAAACATACATACACACACATAAACATTATCAACTGGATACGTTTATATATAGTAAAGCTGACGTACGTCTTTTTCAAAGCGCTGAAGGTAATGAACACCGTAAATGGTACCACAGCAGAGGACGATGGAAGCACCCAATGTGAGTTTGGCTTTGGTTGACATTAGGAATTACAAAAATAGAGAGCGGAGGAACAAGGGGGTGGGTTTGGTTGACATTGACACACACCCACACACACACGCACGCACCTCGTGGCTTTTTCCATTCTTTCCCTGGTTGCGCTCGGATTACCCAACTGCCTTTTCCGGTCAACTTGCATCCATACTTCAAGTGTCATTGGCTATCCGCAACAAGCCCATTGGAGCCGGGAATGCGAAATAGCAAAAAGACAAAAATAGCTTTTTCTTTCTTGATGAGGATGGCTCTTGATATAAAAGGACGTCAGGATCTCGTCTAATTACTCCTTTCATTTTTTTCCTAAACCTTTTTTTGACATTTGAACGTCTCTTGTTGTACTTGGAGCGGGTGTGCGTCGTCATGCAATGATATTTGATAAGGTTGTCAGGTACTTCTCCGCCAACAGTGGACAGCAGCTCGCTGGAAGAGGAGGGAAACAACACCACCATCACCATGTCAACAAGATACAAAAAACCAATGCTACTGCTACCATGGCAACCAATACCAGTACTACCACTACACTCCTTCAAGTACCCAACCAATCATCTATACCAACATCATCATCATCCATATCCCAATCAGCATGGCATCAACGTATGATCCTTTCTCGAGCTACTCACCATAAGCTGCGTCATCCTCCACCTATACAGCATCGTGGCTTACAAAGGACGATTCATTTAAAGAACATGTTAAAACGACTACAACAAGAGGACATGCACGAGGATAATGTACCACTAGCTAGCATTCAATTGTAGATAATCACAAGCACACAGCATCTCTATAAAAGTAAAAATCCCATTTCCCGGCAAAACAGCAATGTTTTAGTCTTTCGGTTGCTCTCCTCCCCCTTGGCCCCTTTTGTGTAACCTTCACACAAACGTGTTCTTGAACGTGGGTGTAAGCTGACAAGCGTAAAGCAATATCCATTTGATTCATTTGAATCCATTTGGAACGAACAATGATAGAATTAAAGATATGAAAAGGGAAGATCCATAGCATTCTTTATTGTGTTATAATTAATAATGGTCAACATGATCCATGACGACGACGGCGACGACGACGAGGATGACTAGGGCGTGTGCGCGCTGAGAGATTACGGACTCCGGAAAGGAGGCGAGATAGCAGCGACACAAGCTGATCTATTTCATTTGGCGTAAGTCTGTGTTCCCACCCTTCTCTCTTTCTTTTTTATCACTCTTCTTCACAGTAGCACATATCACACCACGCATATAAATACAACCACAGCAATGTCGCAATTACGGCGACCTTCTGATCGCAGTGCTCATTCCAAGAGCAAGCGGACCTTGAGCACCTTGACAAGCACACGAAGTATAAGGTCAGTATACAAAGAGACAAGGATTGTTGTTATTATATGAGCTGTTGTCGGGTGACTCAGAAGTAAAAGGCAACATACGATGCTACAATTTGCAACAGAACGATATCCGACATCACACCTGCACCAGCACCAGCTATGTATTGGTCAAGAGCAGTGACTTACGGCCATGGTCCCCGTCCCATTCGTGCACACACAAGCGTGCCTGTAAATGGGACCATGTATGTATTTGGTGGCACTGATAGCCGAGGTGGATTTGGCAAGCTCTATGCACTTGATCTAGGTATGCAATTGCATTGAAACAAGGCGTTGTATATAGGTGCTGTTGTCTCATCCGAATGTGGCAATTATAGATACATTTACATGGAACAAACCAAAGACATATGGAGAAACGCCACCACCTTGTCGAGCACACAGCGCCGTGGTGCATGAGGATTGCATTTACATCTTTGGTGGAGGAGATGGTCCACACTATTACAATCACTTGTACAAGTTCGACACAGCATCATTGATTTGGTCATGTCCAACGACATCAGGTCCTTGTCCATCACCTCGTCGAGCTCATGTATCGGTTGTTTGGCGTGGTCACATGTATATTTTTGGTGGTGGCGATGGCATCCATGCACTCAATGACACATACAGCTATGACATTCAAAACAAAACATGGCAATTGATTGAAACAACGGGACCAAAACCAGAACCAAGAGGATACCATAGCGGCACGCTGGTCGGTGAGAAGCTAGTGGTTTATGGTGGAAGTGATGGTCATACCTGTTTTGGGGATGTCTATCTTTTGGATCTACCCTCCAATGCTTGGCATCGCGTCAAACTTGATCCTCAGGTCCCTCGTCTCTCTCATGCTCCCGTTTGTGTTGGGTCGTATCTCTTTGTCACTGGTGGACATGACGGCTCACATTATTGCAATGATTTGCTTATGCTCAATTTCGGTACGTTGTGGATTGGATTGTGTGAGAATGTTGTGAGGGTGTAAATATACACATCATGCTTATAGAAGCGATAGTTACAATGGCATGGGAAATTCGCCGGGTATATGGGAACGCCCCAACTGCACGAGGCTATCACACCATGGTTTTATATGACAGCAGGCTGTTCATCTTTGGTGGTTATGATGGCAAGCACTTTTTCGATGATGTCTTTGTTCTTGATCTCAGCTCCCACGCTTATCTTCCTCAGGTCACCAACTTTGCTATAGAAATGTTATAGAGCAACCAACCCCCTCTGGCCATTTTACATCCCAGCTTGTGCTACTATTTTCCTTGCCGTCATCTATGTTGAATTTAGCTCTCTCTTTCTCTCTCTCACACGCACACAATACTATGATTGATACAGCCTTTTCGTCTTTTACCTATGTGATTACTCAAAACGTGTGTTTCCAAATATGAGCCTTGAGTCACTGATATGATCTCCTTTCGCCACCAAATGTGTCATTGTAATCGAACTTCCTATGTAGGAGCATAAAGCCCTACATGCTTCTGATGATGATCATGGACCTATCAATGGGTCAACCTATGTATGCAACTAACCTTGTGTAGCTTGAGCCCTTATCCATAGGTGTAATTTGAAAGTCGATATCCTACTACTCGTAGAGCAAAATACCTATCCCTCAACAATGCTGCCGTTTCCAAGAGCAAAGCCCGGTATAATTAGCATTACATTATAGAACGCAATAGTTGTGGCTCCCAATGGTACTCAAAAGAACATGCCTTTAAATGCTTTTACTTTGGATTTCACAAATGAGCCACCTATTCATGTGCGTTTCACATGCCACTTTATACAAGATAAGGTGATGGTATCCATGGCAACAAGATTTGATCTTTGCACCAAATGGCGCGTTCGTGCTTTATTATGACTTGTCGTACATTCATGCAACAATGCCGGGCAATTGTGCATGACTCGAGTCATTCCCCGAAGCGGCATAACAGTGAAACCAAACGTGTGTTTCCCAGTACCACCCGACACATTCATCCACACACTCCTCTTTTCCATTTCTTTCATTTATATCTCAACTTGCACACGGCAGTGTAGCGGCAGTAGTGACGCTCATTATGTCGACAAAATCACTGAATACACCCATCGGTGATACTTCAAGAGATACCGCCAGCAGCATTGCTGTGACCTTGGAGAGTGATCGGGTCGCTATTGCTGCAAACAAGGCTGCAGTGGCTGCCAATACAAATCCTCGATGGAAGTGGTATCTCATCTTTTTTGGTCTGCAGCTGGCATTATTTTCATCAGCGTTAGAGTAGTAAGCATATGGATACCCACAGCTTGTATATCTTTTTTTCATTCACCATCATGGTTTTTAGCTCCATTGTATCCACAGCTTTACCCAAAATCGGTTCCGACTTGGATGCCATGCTCATCTCATCTTGGGTGGTCACAAGGTAAAGGGTCGCATGGATAGCCTAACAAACAAACACAGCCATTTATTTGTTACATGAATCCGTGTATAGCTATATCGTCACTCAGAACGCGTTCCGTAACGTATACATTCCTTTGCTGAGCACTAGCGCGTCATTGTGAAACTAAGGATGATGATGATTGTGTAATTCATGTAGAACCCATATGGGCCAAACTTTCGGATATCTTCGGTCGCAAATGTATCTTGCTTGTTACACTCTCCCTCTTTCTGACATGTTCCGCATTGTGTGGCGTGTCACAGGTTGCGTACAATCGCAAGCTTTATTGACATTTATTATCGAGCTGACAGCTATTGCACATTTCTAGTCTATGACATGGCTGATTGCGGCACGTGCCTTTCAAGGGATCGGTGTTGCTGGGGTGAGTGTCATTGTTCTTAAGTTAACGTTCTTAACCACCCTGGATAATGAATGCATGTACTACATCATGATAGGTATTTCCATTGGTATGTGTGTGATCAGGAAAAAAGAAGCTGAATGACTTTTGGACTCAAATCGGCAATCATCCAAGATGTACATTATTGTGGCAGACATTGTGCCACTGGATAAACGTGCCAGCTATGAAGGGTAAAAAATGAGGTATCACTTGCATTTGGGATTTCTTGTGTTAACATCTATAGCATAGGCTCATTCAAGCTTGCTTTACCTTTGCTACAGTATGCGGTCCTTTTGTTGGTGTAAGCTTTCTGATACTATAATACCTCCAAAGTAGGATGGACAAAAACTCAACAAGAATCATTGTGTGGTTCATTGTAGGGCACATTGACCGACCACGTGAGCTGGCGAGGGATTTTCTTTGTCATGTAAGTACAAAGACACCTGCCTATGCCTTTGTCAAACCATTCACTCATATATGACAATTAGAATTCCTCTCGGTGTCATAGGGATGATCATTATTGCGCTCTTCCTTCATTTGCCAGTTGAAAAACAAGATCTCCGAAACAAGCTTAAACGCATTGACTATGCAGGTACGTGCACTAAATGGTATCATCTTATTTACGATATGACTTTTTCTACATAGGGATTCTAATGGTTATGGGAGCTACGGTTCTTTTCATGCTGGCCATGAGCTTTATCAGTCAAGGATATCCATGGGAGTCTCCTTTCATTATTGTAAGTGGACCTACAAGGGACGGCATGGTGAGGGAGTGTTGTTTTCCATTAATGCGCGCCATAGGCTCCGGTGGTATCCGCCACCGTCCTTGTTGCTTTACTGATCTATGTCGAAACCAAAGTTGCCATTGAACCATTGCTGCCTCCTCGATTGTTCACCAATGTCCCTGTCGTGTGTTTCAACATTTACAACCTGTCATGGGGCATCGCCTACACCGCTTTCATGTACTACGTCCCAACCTACTTTCAAGTTGTTTTTGGCGATTCGGCAATGCAATCAGGGATGCGACTCATACCTCTTGACGTGTGTTCCATGATAGTGGCGTTCGCTGTAGGGTGGTACATTACACTGAAAGGAGGCTATCGACTACCGCTCTCTGGTGGCATGGCGTTGTACGTTATTTGCTTTGGTTTGTTCTTTTTGTTTGATGCCAACACAAGCTGGGCAGGTAAGTGACCAAAGTGTACACCATCCGATACCAATGTCTAATTGGGTGGGGCGTTACAGAGATACAAGGAATCATGGTCATTGGAGGTGTTGGAACGGGAGGCATTGTTGGATCCAGTGCTATTGCACTTCAAGCTGCCGTTGAAGAAAGGGATATCGGTAAGGGTGGAGGGGATAGGATGGATATGCATTGTTTTACCCCATATTTGTCGCTCATTTCCGACATTGCAACAGCTGTGGCCTCAGGATTGCTTGCATATACGTTCATGTTGGGTGGAGGACTTGGCGCTGCTTTGGCATTTGCTCTCATCAACTTGTACCTTCAAAACAACCTTCCTCGAATGATTCCACCTGAATACGCTGACCGCATTTTCGAATACCCCGGCTTTGTTCGTGATGGCCTTCCTTCACAGTACTTTGATGCAGCCATAGCGGTCTACAATGACGCCTACAAGCGATTATGGTACTTGATGGTGATATTTTCTGGTATAGGTACGTTGCAAGTGGGAGGGCACGAGAATGCACATCCTTGAGTAACTCTGTTCATCCTACATACAGCATTCGTGAGCTCGCTTTTTATAAAGCAGTTCTCATTGATCCGGGTTGACAGCGATGATACCATACATGAAGAAGGCAACGATAGGCAAAGTCACAATGTCTCAGAGCCCAACAAGAACCCAAATAGGTCACCCACGTCAATATCGGGCCAATACCAAAGCCTGGCAACGGATCAGCAGCTGTTACGTAGTTATTAAGAGGGTAGCTGTTATGCACAAGTAGAGCGTGCGTGTCACATGCATATACATAAATGTGATATTTGACACTGGATATAAGATGGTAAGGGGCAGGGCTTCTGAATGCAGAGAATTAGGGTGTCGTAAAAGTTATTTGAGGCAGGAGAAGATCATAACAAATGAGTTTGCGAAGCTGTGCTTACCCCCTATGTATTTGTTCAAGTGGCGTACATGCATAGAAGCCTTCAACGACGAAGTGCAATATTCCAAGTGTTTCTAGACGCTTAAAAATTTACATACCTTGGATGGCCACGTTTAATGTGCTGAACCTACCATCTACTGCAAGGATGATTTTCATTTTCAATGCCTTGTAAGTGATAGCAAAGCCTTGGAGACATGTTGACAACTATACAAAGGATTCCAAACACCACCTTGTAATCCCATCAAACGCAAAGGGCTTCTCCAATGGTTACCACCAGCAAAAGAAACAGCAACCATAACTTGCGGCAAACATGCCATATTGTATGCTATTCAATACAAGCTGATGTTCGTGACAAGAGAGCTTTATCGTCGTAGGATACAGTAATACGATACATGCACCTACTAGCCATATGTTTATACACAACGTCGGTATCTTTGATCGCGCATAAAAGCGCCTTTCAGCCCCACATTTCTCTTCTTTTCTCCTTCTCTTATAATATAAAGTGTATGTACACGATTGTACAATGGCTATCATGATCCAAGATATGGCGACAAAACAATCGAATCCACCTCCGCCAATCGGTGATGCTTTGAGAGACAACGCAAGCAGTGTTGCCGTTACCATGGATAGTGATCGAATAGCTGCTGATGAAGATGTGGCTAAAGTTGCTACTGCTACGAATACAAATCCACGATGGAAATGGTACCTGATCTTTTTTGGTTTGCAGCTGTCACTATTTTCCACAGGATTAGAGTTGTGAGTATACGCGTATGGATCCGCTTGAAGGCGTTAACAAGCATACAATACGAACTCATTATCTTTGTTTGCATCCCAGCACTGTTGTATCCACAGCTCTCCCTAAAATTGGATCAGAATTGGACGCCATATCCATCTCATCTTGGGTGGTCACCATGTAAGGATCGAATGGATAACATAAAACACAACGAGAGACATCCATTCATTGCTAACATGCATGTGCTGCATAGCTATATCGTCACTCAAAACGCCTTCCGTAACGTATACACCCTTTTTCTATGCGGGCAAAGACCCTGAAAACTGAGGAATGGTTGTGCTGTTGGCTGCTGTCTATGGCTCATGTAGAACCCATATGGGCCAAACTATCAGATATCTTCGGTCGCAAATGTATCTTTCTTGGTGCACTTTCTTTCTTTCTAATATGTTCTGCATTGTGTGGTGTATCACAGGTTGCGTACAATTGCAAGCATTATTGACATTTATTATTGAGCTGACAGCTGTTGCACATCTCTAGTCTATGACATGGTTGATTACAGCACGTGCCTTTCAAGGCATCGGTGTTGCAGCCGTAGGTGCATCACACGTTGTTTTAACGCGACCATCACGACTCAACATGTCCTATTAGATATATCCCTTGGTATGTCATATGGGGCAAATTAGATGCAAACGAATGATAAGCTCAATACAGCAACCATGCAAGACCTACATTATTGTAGCTGATATCGTGCCACTAGACAAACGTGCAAGCTATGAAGGGTAAAAATAAGGTACCTATTGCACCTAAGACTTCATGTGCTGATATGTATTGTACAGGCTCATCCATGGTTGTTTTACCTTTGCTACCATCTGTGGCCCTTTTATTGGCGTATGTCTTGCTGATACTATTGTTGGTGCAAAAGTAGAATGCACAAAAACTCAAATGATTACGTGACTCATTGTAGGGCACATTGACCGATCACGTGAGCTGGCGAGGCATCTTCTTTGTCATGTAAGTAGAAGGGTTAACCCTACATGCGTTCGGGAAATCATTCATGTAGCAATCAGAATCCCTTCCGGTGTCATAGGAATGATAATTATTGCGCTTTTCCTTCATCTGCCCATCGAAAAGGAGAATCTCAGCACCAAGCTTCAACGCATTGATTATACAGGTACGTACGACAAATCCACTATACGTCATCATCCTAATTACGATATGACTTTTTCTACATAGGTATTCTCCTTGTTATGGGTGCTACGGTTCTTTTCATGTTGGCCATGAGCTTTATCACTCAAGGGTATCCATGGAAGTCTCCGCTCATTATTGTAAGTGAAATAAGGATGTCAATCATTGTGATAGAGATGTTTGACGTTGGCGACATATACTAGGCTCCGCTGGCATCTACTCCCCTATTAGTTGCTTTGTTGATCTTTGTCGAGAACAAAGTTGCCATCGAGCCATTGCTGCCTCCCCGATTATTCATCAAGCTCCCTGTTGTATGTCTGAGCATTTGCAATTTATCATACGGCTTAATGTATATCGCAGCTGTGTATCACGCACCCACGTATTTTCAAATCGTACATGCGGATTCTTCTATGATTTCAGGCGTACGACTGATACCGCTCTATGTATGCTTTATGATAGCAACGTTTGTGGTGGGATGGTTCATCACATTAAGAGGATACTATCGCCCGCCACTCTCTGGTGGATTCGTATTGCATGGCATCGGCTTTGGTTTGTTCATCTTATTTGACGCCAACACAAGCTGGGCAGGTAAGATTTAATTTTATGGATGCATTACTGTATTTGATACTAACATTCAACCGGATGTATGATATAGAGATTTTCGGTGCTATGTTGATTGGAGGCATTGGTATGGGTGGCATTGCCGGATCCAGTGCTGTTGCTATTCAGGCTTCCGTTGAAGAAAGAGATATTGGTAAGGACGACATTCATCGTTTCTACTAGGTACTTGCTTCTCATAACCAGCACTTTGTTAGCTGTGGTATCAGGGTTGCTTAGTTACACATTTATGTTGGGCGGAGGGATTGGCGTTGCGTTAGCATTTGCTCTCATCAACTTGTACCTCCAAAACAACCTTCCACGAATGATACCACCAGAGTACGCAAAACGCATTTTCGATAATCCCACATTTATCCGCGATGGCCTACCTTCAGCTTACTTTGATGCAGCCATAATGGTATACAATGACGCGTACAAAAGGCTCTGGTATTTGATGGTGGTATTTTCAGGTATAGGTACGTTGTAAATGGGAGGACCTGAGAGTATCACTCCTTGAGTGACGTTGCTCACCTTACATATAGCATTTATGAGCTCGCTTTTTGTCAAGCAGTACTCGTTGAAAAAGGGTTGATACCAATCATAATATACATGGAGAAATTGGAGCCAGGGATATCAAGATTCTAATGACCCACAGGAACAGTAATAATGATAATAATAGTAGTACAAAATGATAGGCAACTTTACTATACTTGATGATGATTTGATATATTCACATGTATTATCTATCATAATGATGATGATGGGTGAGGATGGTGTGTGCGTGTAAGGTGAGTGAACGGGCTCAGTGTGGCCCCAGGGAGGATTGTCAGCTCACTGGGGGAATTTATGCGCTCCACGACTTGGAGACAACGCTTCTCTTCTTTTTCTCCCACCTTTCCTTATTCCATTCACGACATCTCGATCAAGGTAATGTATTATAAAAGAGTGCTCTTGTTGGCTGTGAGGTGTTAATGTCGTTCTGAACTTGCATTATCAGGGAGTGAGTGTGTCCAAATGCTGAGGAATAGAGCGTGGTTGGTGGTTGGTTGTTGCCATGGCGATATCGTTGCTTCCTCTTGTTCGTTGCTATTCCTGCTCTACGCTTGGTGTCAACAGGTACATTGAAAGTCCAATGCTCCAGCCGAACTGGTTCCATTGACGTGTTAGCTTGTATAGAGGGCAAGTTTGGTTTCAAGACGTTGGCTGGTTTGGCGTTCTGTTTCGGCTCAACTACACTACACCATGGTTTTCGGTTTCCAGTAACCAACAACAACGGGTCTTTGTGTATATGGAAAAGGCAAGTACAATGAAACAAACATTGAAAAGGGCGTTTATTGTGCGTGTGTGCTAATAATGAATTGAATAGGTTTCTTTGGTCAGGCAATGCAACTTGGGGGCATCATCATCATCTCTTTGGGTTCAAGTCCCAGCCTATATCAAGTGGCCGCTGCGTCGCTCTGCACTAGCCAAGTGTGCTGGAAAAGCTTCTTGGAACGCGTCCAGGGCTCTATAGGCCTGCGTTGAGGTCGACGACGATGGTTTTTGGAAGAGCATGGTCACCGTGTTGAGGTAAAAGGGGATTTGCAACAGCCTGTGAATGTGTTGAACCAACACGCTCTTCTCGTGATAGGCTCGTTCTTTCCCTTGAGGATTTCTTTTCATGAGGTGAGAAATGATTGGAAGGATTGGGGATCATTCTTTCTTTGGAGAGGATGAATGAGAACAACTATGAGCCTGGACTCTACGTAAGTGATGTCCTTCCTTGCCATGGATCGAACTGGCCTTGCGTGATTCGTGCAGTGCTTTCTCAAGAACAAGGGATCGCCCGAAGTTGCTCGGATGGTGGTGATTTGGTTTGTGAATTCCTTCTGATTTGCTTTCTTCCTTGGAGAGGATCGCCTAACGCTATACCAAATCGCCATCATTCCCGGTATCAGATGGTCTAATTTGGCTGCTTTCTTATTTGTAGAGACGACGATTACGATGATTACCACATTCACAACAATGACGATTACGATGATCACCCCATCTACAACAATGACAATGATGACGACAACGAGATACAAAAAGAAGCCTGCAAGATCCCATTCTTTTCAATTTGTGTATTTTTGGATGTTGGTGTGACGGATGAAATTGACGACTGGTGACGAGTACGAGTAGGAATGATGCCGGAGGACGACTACGACGATGGTGGTGGCAATGTACAGTAGCAAGATAGCTAGATGAAGTAAAGCATTGTTTATTTATTACACGCTTGTTGGAGGTTGCTAGCTTGTGGATTACATACTATTGCTTCGAAGATGGAATAATAAAGGTAGTCCGGTTATCGGTCATGCAAGAAGTACATGGCTTTTGTGATACAATAAGGAGGTGTGGGAAGTGGGATGAGCTTGAGAAGAGAAAAAGTGAAGTGATCCCTCCATTGAGTTTCAGGATGAGTGACTCATTCAATATGTATATGTATCTTTTTACATATACAAATTGGTTTATGCAGCTCGACTTTCTTCTACATGCAAATGTGACACATACCTTGACACACCTTCGTTACTGGATGCTGTTTACTTACGTACCTTCACAAAAGGCAACCATGATCATCATGCATTTGTGCAGAAACCTGTCAACGACGTGTCTGTGTAACCACCACGTGCCGTTTCACTCAGCTCTTCATCTTTCGGTTAATGCAGCCGACACCATCCACTAGGAAAAAGCAACTCCATCACGCTTATAGCATCACGGTTACAAATATAAAGGTGCCTGTATCTCCAAACTTTACAATGAAACGTGGGGTTTTTATTGGAGCAATGTGCTCGGCTTGGCCAACAGCACCTTGTGTGAAAGTTTCACGTTCAATGTCGCAAACAGCCCAAAAAATATTTTTGGTCGTCGTCGTCGAAGAGAAGCCCATCCCCAGATCCAGTTTGGCTGGTAGCGACAGGAAATCTGGGATTGCGTGCTTGATCGTGAAACGTGTACCCAAGGTGCTGTTATTGCCGAGCACATTGCTCTAATAAAAACCCCACGTTTCATTGTAAAGTTTGGAGATACAGGCACCTTTATGTTTGTAACCGTGATGCTATATGAGAAGTGGCCTTTGTTCATTGTCAAGTAGCTAGACCTTGGAGAGCTGTACATGCAGAAGGACCTCTAGCAATACGTAACTGAACGAAGTACAATGTTGTTCGACTGTTGGCGTCAAAGAGAGATGACATTTACTTAGATTACAAGTACGTCGATGGCCAATCATGGTTCGTGGCACCAAGAACAGCTCGGATCAACCCCACGAATCATGGAAATGAGACACCGCCGAGCAGGAGCATCGTTCATGCAGTGGATCTCGCAACAATGATGATTGGATAAGAGTGGCCGTTAGCTAGCAATGACGTCGTAGGATGATCCGCAAAGTAATTATACATTGACCCTTTCGTTCATGCAAACGTAGCTGTGCCGCCAAATACGATCCTCGTGTCTTTGGCTCAAGCGGTCAGAAGCATTTACATTAAACAAAGACCACTCTTCATATAGCATCACGCTTACAAACGTAAAGGTGCCTGTATCTCCAAACTTTACAATGAAACGTGGGGTCTTTGATAGAACAATGTGCTCGGCTTGGCCAACAGCACCTTGGGTGTAAGTTTCACGATCAAGCTTGCCAATCCAGATTTCGCAATGTCGCCACCAGCCAAACTGGATCCGGGGGTCGACCTCTTCGACGACGACGACCAAAAAAATATTTTTTGGGCTAGTTGCGACATTGAACGTGAAACTTTCACACAAGGTGCAGTTGGCCAAGCCGAGCCCATTGCTCTAATAAAAGCCCCATGTTTCATTGTAAAGTTCGGAGATACAGGCACCTTTACGTTTGTAAGCGTGATGCTATATGAGAAGTGGTCTCTGTTTGATGTAAAGTAGCTAGACCCTGACAGAGCAAAAGATGCAGAGGGTCGTGTTGTGTAACTTGAGTCAGTCAGCATAGGCGATGCATGATTCTTGTACACTATTTAGGAGTAGTTCCAAATGCCAGCTAATTACCCAGTCCTCCCATCCTCCATTGTTGCCCAATCCAATGGATGTGAACGATTGTTTTGTTCCAGCCCATCATGCCCATCATTCTAGTTTCTTGATCCGAGTGGATCTGGTTGAGTTACGCTCAAACACAGAAGTATCATCCAATTTCACAACAATCATTTTGCAAAGTTATTTGTAAACTGCCAGCTAATAGCCCGTTCATCCCATTCAACTTTGTTGCCCAATCCAATGCATACGAACGATTGTCCTGCTCCAGCCCATCATTTCCATCATTGAACTTTCTTGATCCGAGGGGATTTGACTGAAAAACGCTCAAACAAAGAAGTGTCATCCAACGTAAGAAAAATCTGGTTAATTTCCAGCTCTTCCACTCGCTGCTGCTTGCCTCTTTCTCCCATTCTCAACTGTTGACCCATTCAAGTGCAACTACCACCAGTGAACAATTGTCCTGTTTCAACCCATCATGTCAATCCTACAGCTGTCTTGATCCGATTGCTTTTGACTGAATGGCAAGTCCATGGCGTGTACACAGCCATCCCATTCTACTACGACACACGAGGCTCTTGACACTTCACCATCTCTTGTACAATCCTCGACCACAATCAAACGTAACAGCATCCATTCCAGCAGCTTCGCTGCATTGTCTCAAGCAGCATTCTTTCCTTGCAGCAACTTGGCTTACAGCCCTCCTTCACGTGGACAGCAGATAGCCCTTGTATAGAAGCAGCTTTATTTACGTGTAGCAACTTGCCTTTCAATACAAACGACTTCCTATGATGGATATGGATATGGATATTGGTTTGGTCCATGGGATGGAAGGGATCAGGTGTATACAATGCGTGGAAAGAGTGCATCTTTGTCAACAAGACCTTGATGGTATCATCGTGAACGATCTGTGCATTCAATTATCGTACTTTACACGCGATTTTCATGGCAGCTATGTGCATCCTATCAACCATATGCAATCCTCATCACCATCCAACTGCATTTTACCGCATTATGCATATGATTGGTCACCATGCATCAAGGACCACCTCACATCCATCCATTCACCTTTGCAAATGCACGCCCAAAGGATAGCAACTTACCATATCGATCCATCCCCTATCACAGCAATACATTTTACCTCTCAATCTGTCTCCTATGTATGAATGATGTTGGATTAAAGGGGTTACTTTAACGAGTAAGAGATTGTGTTGCCAACCATCTCTAAGTTTTTATAATGTAAGAGACCTTCCTCCTTGCTGAGTAGGGCCTCGTCGTGTGTGGGCACTTCATGCATTGTAGATTAGAATAATCTAAATGTTGTGATAAAGAAAAAAAGAGAGGAAGAAAGGGCCTGATTGATTCATTGTGTCTTGAACAAAGACTGTATTCGATAATGTCACTCACCTCCCTTTTCAATAACGCCGTAACACACGTTCTTCTTTTGTTCATTTAGCGAGAAGGCATGGCCATTTAACAGGTCGCATTGTTATCGTGGAAAATGAAGGCGCAGAAGGTGGAGACCAAGCCTTACCATATACACAAGCGTATATGCAAGGATATGCAAGAGAAGCCCTAAGGGCCAAAATCATGCATATCAACAGTCGTCTATAGGTCGATGCATTTCTCCTTTCTTTTTTCTCCACCATCACAATACACGAATGCAGAAATCATCTAAAGCGCTCTCTAGCGAGCATAAAGAATACGATAACAGCAGCGGCAGCATCAATGACAATGAAATCATTGTAACGACTGAAGAAGACAATGACCACCATACCATAGCGGACGACAACAACTGCTCTATCCATCCTCCTCTACCGAGGTGGAGGTGGTATGTGATATTCATCGGCCTTCAGCTGGCTTTGTTGTCATTTGCATTGGAGTAGTAAGTAGCTCCTCACCAGCGAGTGCATCGATAACGAAGGTTAGACTCATGATTCTTTTCCTTTCTTCGCTCACCTATAGCTCAATTATAACAACGGCCATCCCACGAATAGCATCTGATTTTAACGCCATGCTAATCTCGTCCTGGGTGGCAAGCAGGTATATGCGGCATCATTAAACCATCTCCTTGCCATGGCTTAGTCATATCCATGCTAATGGGATTCTTTGTTTCCTCGTCTATATAGTTTCTTGGTTGCTCAGAATGCCTTTCGTAATGTACAATGTTGTTCCTATTACGCACAAGCTGCTTACCAAACGTTGTGTAGAACCCATTTGGGCAAAATTATCTGACATCTTTGGTCGTAAATGTATCTTTCTCATTGTCCTTGGCGTATTTACCATAGGTTCCATACTCTGTGGTGTTGCTCAGGTAGGGTAATCATGGAGAAAGGGCTATGCTACGTGGCGCCGATCAATGATTTCTTACATACTATTGCATAAAACCCCTTGCTGGAACATGCATACACCTAGTCCATGATCAACCTTATTATAATGCGTGCTCTCCAAGGCATAGGTGCTTCCGGGGTAGGGAACAGCGAAGATTTTCGTTTCATTTGTTTTAGATCGTATGAACCATAACAAGCTTTTCATTGGTATGTAGATTCTTCCGCTTGTAAGTTATAATGATAGCCTATGAAAAAAGCGCTTTCATGTGGGTATGGAGGTTGATAAATCACATCACTTGAAGGTATACACTGTACTGGGTGACATTGTACCATTGGAGCGACGAGCGAATTACCTAGGGTAAAGATAATACAGCATGATCCCTTTCGATAATTGCTAATGGCATGTATTCATCTTTTAGATTCCTGGATATGTGTTTTTCGATTGCAATCATTACTGGTCCATTTGTCGGGGTAAGTAAGCGAATAATGCATCAACGCACTTTGACAAGGAATAATACCAAGCAACCTCTACCACAAGGGTGCATTGACAGATCACGTAAGCTGGCGTGGCATTTTCTTTGTAAAGTAAGAGAGCTTGTAAATATAATCCAGCGTGCATTGATTCAATGATCAATGCGATCTTGGTAATACTACTAATAAAGCTTCATGAACCAGCATTCCGACTGTAGTTACGTCGATGGTGATTATAGCAACCCTTTTGAATATACCGACCAAAAAGCAAAACTTCAAGGCAAAAATCATGCGTATCGATTATGCTGGTACACATTATTCATATTTATTGTAATACAAAGGACGTTTATTGAATGAGTTGTTCAAAGGCATCCTGCTTGCAATGACTGCAACGACGTTATTTATGTTGTCCATGAGTTTTGCAGCTCAAGGTTACCCGTGGGATTCCACAATTACCATTGTAAGTTTGCGCCATCCAACAGCAACTGATTTTGGCATATATGTACTAAAGTTGAACAAGGTCCCTCTTGTATTGTCATGTGCATTGGTGGCTCCATTGGCTTTTGTAGAGAGAAAAGTAGCCGTTGAACCATTGTTCCCTGCAAGGGTGTTCAACAACCGAAGCATCATCTTTTTGACTATCTATAACGCCGGATGGGGTATAACATTCATTACATTTATATACTACGTCCCCACTTATTTTCAAGTTGTACGAGGTGATTCTGCAATGTCATCAGGCATTCGACTGATACCTCATGAAGTGGCCGCTTGTACAGCAGCATTCATTTCGACCTGGTTTATATCACGCACAGGGCATTATCGTGCATCACTCTCTTTTGGCGTTGCTTTGATGGCTATTCTTAGTGGACTCTTTCTTACGTTTGATATTAACACCAGCTGGGCAGGTAAGTAGTCATCGACTGCAACGACCCTATCTCACACAAATTCTCACCAGAGGTCATGGGTGTTGTTGCTGTTGGTGGTCTTGGAGTGGGGTGCGTTACTCAAGCCTCCATGATTGCTATTCAAGCATCTGCCAGCAAAGATGATCTTGGTATGATACGTGATTTACTTGTATCGTGTCCTTCTTAATAACCAACATCCTATGAAGCTGTCGCATCAAGTCTAAGGCCCTACATGAGCAATTTAGGTGGTGGTATTGGTATCGCTGTGGCGTCGATGCTAATCAACCGGTCCCTGAAAAGCGATCTTCCTCAAACTATCCCCCTTGAATATGTCCAACATGTTATTGAGCTTCCTACCTTCATTTACGATGGACTACCTGAGCAATACGTAGAACCTGTGATCCGTGCTTACAATGATGCTTTCAAAAATCTCTGGTACATGATGACGGCAGCTGCAATCATACGTAAGTTTATTGGGAATGATACTGTTAAGAGCTTGGGAGGTATAAACAACATTGCTACGTTATAGAATTTATAAGCGCATTGTGCATCAAGCAATACTCCTTACACGGTGAATCTGACAAGCAACATGAAAAAGAAACCATAGCAACGTCAAACGAGCCATAAAATTACATCCTAAGAAGTTCCTCGATGATAATAGTGATGGATCATGCACATTGTTGGGTGTGGATACTGTACTTCATGTGATCACTACATTGGATAGAACCAAAAAAGCAGAGTTACCAAAAGAGAAAAATCAAAGGCTTGATGATGGGAATCATCCCAGATTTGGAAGGAGGCAAACATTGAAGCTCACCATGGATTAAACAATCGCCTGATTTTATGAGCAATGACAGCTGACCTTATTCTTGTTCCCTGATCTATGATCATCATTGAGCGTTGATGATAAAAAGTGGTGCCATTTACAATCACAATAGAGCCGTATCCACAACATGGTGGTTTCCATGGCAACAAGTGCTGTAGTATAGACGGCACAATAAATAAAGAAGTATGATCCATGCAAAGCTATTTATCAAAGAAAAGGCAGACTGGGGGGTTTTGTTGTGGTTGGATTCAGAACACGCCAAATCTCTTTCTTTATGTAAGTGTTATGTAATAAGTATAAGATGTAGTATAGATGATTGTGTGTGTGAGCAGGGACGGGAAGCATATATAGTGTGTGTGTTGTGTGTGTGTGTGAGAGATGTGTACGACTACTCATATAAGAATGCTGGTGGGGTGGGGTGAAGAAGCATATCTGCATCATGGATAAAGTATATACGAATGGAGGAAAGAAGTGATAAATAATAAAAAGAAGGAAAGGCTATTGACAAGGAAGAAAAATAAAAGAAATGTGAGGAGTGTAGTAGTGTAGTATATATGAAAGACGAGGAACTTAGTATTCCAAGAGCATGCCCTCGGGTCCATTCCAAACACTGATAATGACGGCAGTGGTGAGAATCATGGCAAATCGGCACCATCGCCAAACAGCTCTGAAGAAGATGAAGACGGCACGACGTACACGACCCACAAAAGTCTTTGGTGCATGCTTCACTCTTTCAACCACGGCAAAGGACGTGTTGGGATCTGGATACAAATCACGAGCGGGAAAGATATCAAAGTCCATGTCCTCGCCTTCAACGTCGTATTCGATAAGATCAAGGCATTTGTCATTTTCATCCTCAAGCTTGCTGATAAAGCTGAGAGCTTCATCAAGGACATGACTATCGATACCACTGACTTTGGCAAGAACGGATTCGAGAGCATTGCGTTCCATGGACATGGTGGATGAAATAGCCTCGTCATCATTGACATCATATCCCTCCTTCAAAGGTGACGTCTTGATACTTGTACCAAACGATGTGACTGATGCAGCTGCTGACAATGCGGATGGAAGGTATTCAACATGTCGCTTGAGCCATTCGGATTCAAGTTCACCAAGCAAAGTATGGCGGATCCCTTGGTTGCTAGGGCTTACACTTGCACCACCACACACACTGGGTGCAGGCGTTGAATGAACGCTGACGCCACGATCCTTCAGCTTTTGTAATACGGTACGATGTTCCTCAACACTCGCATTCAGTTCAGCGATATGGCGGAATTGTCGCTCGTAAGCTTCTTGCAAAGTTTCATAATCCTTTTGGGTGAATTGGAATTGCTCAAATTGATGCTTGAGTTGGCTAAGATCACGTAACGTTTCAGCAAGCTTGGATTCCAACTGGGCTTTGGATGACAAGACAGTGTTGTTCTCCACTTGCAATTCATCAATCTTGGTCAAGAGATCATCCATGATTTGTTGTTGTTCTTGATCCTCTTCTGGTAAGCGACGTTGTTCCTTGAGACGATCCATTCGACGTTGTCGTTCATTCATCTCCTCCAATTCCTGTATTTTGGTGCTGGCAATCTCCAAGTTGCTCTTGAGAGCATCGATTTCAGATTCCAATTTGCGTGTGTGCTTTTGATTGTTCTTGTCAGCCGTCTCTTTTTCAGCCATCACCGTTTCCAATCGTTTGGCCAATTCCACATTTTTACGTTCAAGGACTTCAATCATGGCTTCACGTGTACGATGCGAGGGTACAAAGCGCATTTCATCATCATCATCGTCATCATCGTATTCCTCACTATCTTCTTGTTGTAGCTGATGATCGTCGTCATTGTCGGGATATTGTTGGGTGGCAAGTGACGAAGACGGTGTTGGAAGCGGAGCAGTGCATGATCGCTGAGTCTGTTGCAGGAGATCCTCGTAACTTGTCTTTAAACGGATATTGTTCTCCAAGAGAGATTTGCCAATTTCAGCTGCCAACATTAAATCTAAAAAGGGGAACAAGGAGAGAGAGAGCGAGAAAGCAAGAGAGAGAATAAGTCATCATTTTCACATGAAAGGCGCATGTTGCCTGAAAAAGGATAATGGTTACTTGCCTTTCTCCTTATCTTTAAGAGCAGAATAGGCATTCTTCAGCATAGGAATCAATTCATTGCTCGACTTTTCAGCCATCCATGATACTGAGGACATGAAAGAAGTTGTCGACAAGGAAGGTGAAGGAGGACCACCACCGGCACCGGAAGTTTGAAATGGCGACGAAGTCTTCAGGTCCAAATGAGGTGGGTTCAAATGGGACATCATTGTGCACACTGAAATGGGGTATCAGGCAAGTAGGGTAAGGTAGAGAAAAGAAATGAGAAAGGGGGGAAGAGAGAGAGAGAGAAAAGAGAGAGGGGGAATAAGTAAAAAGTGCGTGTGTGTGTGTGTGTGTACGTGAAGAAAGAAGAACGGTAGGTTTTGTGAAATAGAAAAGGGTCAAAGAAATAGTGTGCGCACGTCACTGTGAACCCGCTGATACCTTGTGCATGCGCGCTTTCTCTCTCTCTTCCTTTTTCTATATGCATCAGCTGTCCTTCCCATCACATGATGATGAGTTCACCATATGAAAATATCCCATTCTGCACACCCACCCGCACACCCACCACCCAACATGCAGCCACACATACACATACACAAAAATAGGAGTCCATTTTTTCATTGCACACACGTTTATTGCATACATTCATCTCTACATTAACTCCACGCTTGTCCGCTACTTTTGGAAGCCTGCATTTACCTAAATGGCATCAAAATCCATGGTTAGATCAATATCCAATGCAACACTGCATGCAGCTAACAAGGACAACCCGAGCATTTTCTTATGTGTGTGCTCTTGCATCATCAGATAGGGGCGAAAATTAGATCAACATGACGAGGGTAGTAAGTCCTCTTTCAGTTGAACTATGCTTTAACAAACATCATCATGTGAAAGCAATTTTGTTTTGGGCCCTTGATTATTGCTGCATGCAAATTAAAGCCAAATGTATATCTTTACCTTATTCTAAACAAACGACATAGTGGACCACAAGGAAAAGAAGAACGTGTTCTTTCGAAAGCCCACGCGTCCCCTCTTTTATAACTGCTGCCTTTAGGGCGGTTGTCTAAGCGGGTCAGAAAAAAATTTTCACTTGGATACGTAAGATACTACTTGCTGCCCGTCCTTTCGGAACGAGAATCGTTTCCACCTCGTGGTACAATTGTATGTGCGTCACCTTGCACGACATTCATCACAACATCTCTCTCCTCCATCCCCGCCGAATGCATAAGCAACAGCTCCTTGGACTTTCCATAAACGACTTTTGCCCGTTGTCACTTGCGCCCATCATCAATCACAGACATGAAGATCTATTTTTGTTCCCAAAGCAACATCTTGTTCCTGTCAAGAAGACATTAGGACATAAAGGGGGCGGAAATTGCATATGACATTCAAGGTGTCCCGTTCCACTAGTTTAGCATTTACATGTATAGCTGGTCAAAGTTACAAAAAGCCTACATGTTTTCCTCTACTCATTATCGAGTGGCTGATGATCCATCTTGGTAATTACAGGCTTTATTTAAGGGGATGGATGACGTGAGCGTGATAACTAAAGTGCATAGATGTGTAATACCATCATTCAACTTGGGGATAAAAAGAACTTGCTGTAGCTATGAATGAGATCGGTGGGCCCTTTTTAGTACTAGAATGTTGCTAGTCGACGAGCATCGCACATGTAGGCATATGTTGTTCTGATCTGGGACCACCTACAACCGAATTCACAAGACGAATACATTGGGGTTTAGTAGATAAGGCGATCCAAAGCTGATGATGTCAAGTGGTTATTTAGAGGTATTCATGCACACTTTATTGCTAATGGTGAAGAGAATATACACATCTTCTAGCTTCTAGACGTTCTATCCAATCATCATTCGTTGATGCATAGTCAATGCAACCTTTGGCGTTCTCGTGCATAATTGTACATCCTTTCAAATTCCCATTTCTTTGTTGTTGTATATAAACAAGGATCAACCATGTGCATAGAGAAGGATAAAGTAGACTTTTAATCATCCATTTCATCAGCAAGTAATGCAAATGCACCGCCTTGGGTAATGTTAATCTTTCCCCCTTGGTCTCCTTGTTCGATATCGCTGTCATCCGAATCATCCGAGCCATTTGATTGTTCTTCTTGGGCAGCGATAGCTAGCTGTTTTTGCTCCTCCACACGAAGTTTCTCATACGTTGACGTCTCAAAAAATCCAGGGGGTTTAAATGACATCAGTATACGCCCATCCGTTGTAAGTCGTAGGATGGTGTTGGCTGCACGATATACATCAGGACGCGCTGCTTTGGCGGTATAGAACCCACGCTGAATAGCATAAGCTATGTTGAATAACATCTTAATACAAAGCAACCTCAATTGGCCCATTCCACTTTCACATACCTTCAAGAATCGTCCACGCAGACCATCGGAAAGTAGACACTTGATCGACATCATCCACGGGGGGTATCAACGCCAAGATCTTTTCAACAGGGACCCGCTCAGCCTAATTACAAGCATTTCTTATTAATCATGCAATCAATGACATAGGAATTCGTCACACCCAGACGATGATTTCATCTATACTAAAAAGAAAAAACACTCACCAGGTACTGCACCACGCTATAAGGCTCCTGAACTTGTGCAATTGGGTACATGCCTGAAAGAATCTATGATAATGATGATGATTATCAATCACATGCTAATGCATTTGTGGCGTCTCGTTGTCCCTTAACCCCCTTGTTCCCATCCAAATAATATACAAACCTGTAGGGCCCGAGGCAGCAAGGTCGGGAACACTAATCCGGGTGAATCGCACAATCGGACGTTATCAGTCAGGTGGATGGTTTGGAAATGCTTCGTATGGCCTATATAAACATAAACACGTGAATAAATGTTGGGAAAGACTTGATCCCCATAGATTTACCTGGTGTGCGACTGGCACTGACCACCGTCTTTTGCATAATGCTATTGATCAAACTGCTCTTGCCCACATTTGGATGACCTGTAAAAGTAGAAAGTGTTGGTTCCAGACTTTTGAACAATGATGACCAATACTACTTACCAACCAATCCCAACGTAATATAATCCCTGTGCGGTGTCGCTTGTTGACTTGAGATATCCAAAACGCGACTGAATTCGTCATCTATAACAAAATGTAAGTAGGTAGTAGCTTGACAAACGCGTTTCCTTTACATACCAAGACCAACCATGCTCCCAGTATCACTTTCATCATCCCAATTCTCTTCGTTATCTTCGTCATCCCCTTCTTCTTCTTCCTCCTCCTTGGTATTGTCATAGCGATCAATCAATGCTTGCCAATCCACAGGTACTGATTTGTTGTCCAATTCAAGCTTGCTGCACGTGCGAAGAATGTTGGCAATGCCTTGTGCGTGATAGTACCATTTTCGGGGTCGTTTGGCGCGCTGCTTCAACACATCTTGAATCATCAAAGATTGTTAACAACTTGCTTTTGCAATCTTGATTTTGATAAACTTACATGTAGACGTATCATCGATCAACTTTTCATCTCGAGGATAGCAGCTGAATGTGGTGACATGTAGCTCTGGAAATTCTTGCTCAAAGTACTTTCTCCACGCAAATACTGTAAACTCGGAAACGAGATCGACCTAAAGATGTCGCAAGAGATAAGCATGATAGGTATGATAGCTTGATCTTTTTCTGCTTACCTTGTTGAAAACACCAACAATCTTGCGTTTCAATTCCTTTGTAACATAGTTGTATAACGCCCTTGGGAAATGAAGAAGGGGGTGCCGGATATCCATCACCACGATAACAATGTCGCTGATCTCGAGAACACGCCATCTAGATTTATAAAAGAGTTAATAACGGATGATGATATAAAGTTATATACACTCACAGCTGACGCCAAACTTCAAGGTTCCTTTCAAACCAGCTCAATGATGATTGCTGCCCCTCATATCGTTCGTATATCCCTGATACCCATTGCTGAAAGTATTCGTTCTCTCGTTTCTCAAGCTGTTCCTTGGACATATTGTAATCCCATGGTGGTCGTTTGGGAAAATCCATTGAATCAGGAAAAGCATCCACGCCAATCTCAAGGGCGGTCTACAACAACAACAAAGAAAGCATCAATGATCCATCCTCTTTGTAATAGGCACTATACCTCTTTTGTTACCTTGGGCAGTTTTTTCAATGGCTTCATGCTTTCCAGACGAGCACGCTCGATGGTCTCGCTTGATAGCTTTTCGAATGAAGACACCAGTCTATTGCATCAAATCAGATACTGTGTGCATGAATCATGTGGATAGGGACCACTTACTTGCGAGAACTACCCGTGTGTTTCCTATCAAAGGTGGGTGCAGCTTCACGGGCTGGTACAAATGCTTGCAAGACATTGGGCTCATCGTGTTGTTGCTCTTCATTGGCAGGATGGGGTTCATGGGCAGCACGATCTAGTTGACCATTGTTATGCATTCGAACAAGAGTTGCTGATCGCATGCACACGCATACGCACCTTGACGCGCCGCTTTACGGGCCTTACGAGCTTGCAGTTGAGCCTTCTTTGCTTTTCCACTGAATGGTTTCTTTCGATGGCCTGTCATGCTGGAAGAAAGGGTAAAACGGGAGATCGGAACAAGGTTGCCGGTTGGATAAAGAACACAATGACACCCACCCCCCTCAGTCGCCGTCGAGTTGAACAAAATTCATGCGTCAAAATGATTGGGTCCTTTATACTGCTTTTTCTTTCACTTTCTTCAACCATGTTCAATGACTTGCCTTTCAGATCCATACTTTTGACCCAAAGGACGCCTCCAAGAAGATCGATGGTGCTGCTTCCATTGCACACAACCATGCAGTTTGCTTCAATTAAGGACGTATTGGTATTAGCCCAAACGCCTTAGTCACTTGATCGTAGCAGAACAAAGATAGACAAGTTGATAATAGATGATCCTATGAGTAGCTAGGCACTTGCTTGACACGTTTATCTGATCACCAAATAAACGAAACATTTTGAATGCTTCTATGTAATGATTTCACTCCTTCGTCATGGCGAATACACATACACAATGAATATTTATAATGAAATGATGATCATGAAGGGATAACTAGATGCTAGAATTTATACATTTAATAGACTTCTTGGCTGAGGACAAAGTCGTGAAGGGCCATCCCTGCCAAATCATCGGTACCATAGGATTTCCTTATGCCATGCCGAATTAGCCTCGAAATCCCGAAAGCCCTTCACACTGAATGGTTTGGCTACGATCGAAGGCTCCAAACCTGCCAAAAGATCGGTATAGGGCGAAAGAATCGTACTGTCGTTTAACGTTGTATGTGTATGATGTTGTGAAGCTGCTGCTGAAACAAGTGGCGTTGTTGTTGCCACAATTGGACTAAGATGCTTCGATCCATGAATAAAGTCCAGCCATAGGAGCGGCTCCTCGTGCAAGGTTGCATACAAGAAGCATCACTTGCATATTGCTCTTGTAATGATTGTGGTGTACGGCTTCGTCGTCGGCATTAGTGATCCGATCAAATGATAAAGGTCTCCAAAGTGGACCGGCGTCAGTATCGAATGATCCTTACATGTGAGTGAATTTGCACATGAGCCCGTTTTCCTCCGCAACCTCTTGGAACTCTCCTTTGGATGCTGTTACTATATGCCAAAGACCGGCTATAACGGTTTGTGTAAGAAGAGCTATGTTGATTTTGACATGGATGAGATCAATACCTTGGCTTCTTCGTTGCGCTTCTTATCAGTGTGTTTGTCATGGTTCGGGAATGAATAATACATCCTTGAGACGAAGTCCTTTGTGACCACTGTTGGCATGTGCTGATACATGGCTGGAGCTGATTGCACATGGATAATGAATCGTATGAACTCGGCCTCGGGCATGTCAAGCTTTGCACTATGATAGATTAATGTACATTAGAACCCTTGATGAATGTAGTAAACAGCATGCATTCTTACCAGTTGCAGGCTATGCATATGAACTGCATAACTTGATTAGGACCAATGGCCGGTAACGTAGCATTACAATGGTCTGAGCTGGCATGTACTTATGTCACCTACAAAGGAGTCCCAAATTTTCCATCAGATTGAGAGGGTGCCTTTTGCCTACAAATATACCTATCACAAAGGGTCCATCATGGAACACAGCCAAATGCCGCGCCATTAGGCTGCATGATAGATTGAATTGATAAAGTGGTCAAGCACCATTGAATACTGAGTTGAAGTGGTGGAAAAGTAAGTTGATAAATTTGTAGGTGACATGAGTATGCTCTCATTCACGTCACTTTCTTCTTGGTCCATGGCGCCCATTAACATCATCATCCAAGGTGTCTACACCATCATTGTTTGTATTGATTGCACGAGGCTCGATATCCACAAGCAAATCAGATAGCGGTACACCTGGTCCCTCAGCTTCAAGGACTCTAATGGGTTGGTCATTGGTGTTGTCATTCGACATGAGGACATGGGGTCGAAGGTGGTGGGAGATGACAACACTGAATTGCTGGGCCTTGCTGGTTGGAAAGGAGGATTCCCTTTGTTCTTGGATGACGAGCTTTATGTCCCTTTGAACGTCGCGTATACTCAATAGTGCAGAAGTGAAAATAAAAGATGCCGACTTTTATAAAACGCGTTGTGCCTGTCCTTACGCATTTCATGCAACAACTATCTCCCTTCCCTATTGGCAGTTACTATCCCCCTTTCTCATTGGCCAGAGCTTTACTATTAGCATTTATTATTCATCGTAGTTACTATTCTTCGATTCTATTGGCTTGAGAAGCTCCACTCACGCTATCCGTACCTTCGCACGAACGCGTTTTCTTTCTTATTCGGAAAACGAAAGAACGTACCCTTTTTACTGCTTTTTCTTTCACTTTCTTCAACCATCATGTCCACTGACTTGCCTTTCAAGATCCATACTTTTGACCCCAAGGACGCCTCCAAGAAGATCGATGGCGCTGCTATCATTGTAAAGAAGCACAAACTTTACTTTTAAAGGCCATGTCATGATAACTAAGATGCGTATGTGGCTAGGTACTCCAAGAATGGTGGGGTGTTAATGATACGATCCTAAATCACGCCCAACGTATTGCCAACAACACTGGTGCTCGTACCGTTGTTCCTGACTTGTACAAGGGAAAGATTGGTTTGACAGCCGAGGTAAGTACAATAGTCATTCGATGCATGCATACCCACTAAGCTCGTATGTGACGTTAGGAAGCAAGCCATTTGATGTCGAACCTTGACTGGAAGGTTGCCATGAACGAGCTTGAAACGCTTGCCAACCATTTGAAATCAGAAGGTTACACGTAAGTTTTGCTTTTGGTACTAAGTAGAAAGAGCTGGGGGACATGGGACGCTGAAACTGTATTTTGTGTTTACATAGCAAACTTGGTGCTATTGGATTCTGCATGGGCGGTGGTCTTTCTTTGGCTTTGGCTACACAACTCGACAACCCACCTCTTAAGGCCGCTGTGTCATGCTATGGTACTCCTCCCGCTGACTTTGACGTATCCAAGATCACAAGCGCTACCGCTGTTCAAGGCCATTTTGGTGGCAAGGACGCTATGGCTGGTTTCAGTGATCCTGCTGCAGGTAAAAAAAATCAACTAACGGCACCAAAAGATGTCGACCCTTTTGATTAACCAGCCTTATCATAGCTGATGCACTTGAAAACAACCTCAAGGGTGCCTCTGATGTGATCATTTACCGTTATCCTGATCAAGGCCATGCTTTCCTCAATGACGATGATTGGAGTATTGAAAAGCGCAAGGAATTGGGCTTTGTTGATAAGGACATTGAACCTCGCTCGGCCGAACAAGCTGTTCGTGATGAAGCCTGGAGTAGAATCTATGCCTATTTCATCAAGCATCTTGCGTAAGTCTTCATTTTACGCATGAACAATAAAGGAAATGAATCACATTTGTATATTGACATGATGAGCATCTCTCTCTTTTTATTTGCAGTGCCTCAAATCCTCATTTGTAGAGACAACACTCCTCCAAATTCATCTAATATAGCACAATAACACTCCCTTTCTATCTATCCATGGTAGCTAGTAGTATCGTCATCATGACGCAGGGCCTACAAATAAAAAGTGGGTATGCGACTCAGAAATCAAGTCTGAAGATTGATTGTGGTTGCCGTCCCTGGTATGCTTACACCCGATAATAACAGTTGCCTTCTTTTCCAACCACCAAAGGCCACGCCATGAGCCGCACAGCACATTCTTCGCCTGATTCAGAACACACCAAAGATCCGGGAGCGAACAAGTGGATCGATTATGCCACACGCCAAAGCCAAGAAAACGAGCCGAGATTACAAGCTTCACCATCGTCGTCCTTGCCGCCACCACGACTATCGGAATCGCGCTCATTCAGCCATGAACAACAATATCGGCCGTTTCTCGATGGCAACAAGGGTTGCCATGTTATGAACGACAAGAGCAATAGCACGACGACACGACAACCAAGTTATCAACCCAATTTATGCCATGCGAATATCGTCAAACCACGCGAGTTATCCGATCACCCACTCTGTTTTTGCGGCAAAATAGCGAGTGAAAGAAAGGCAAAGAAGGAAGGGGATATTACAGTATACGAGTGTGGATACAATCAGCATCAAGGATTGACTAGCAGCATTGTTATATGCACTTTTCATATGCACAAAGGACCATGGCTAAAGTATCAATGGCGAATGAGGAAGGAACGACCCGTGTTTCAAGACGACGACGACCTTTCATCATGTGACATGTTCAACTATACTTTTTGCGTCCTGTTTCAAGCACACAACACTTTCCCTTTGCGTCCATTACGTACGCCTCTTTGCTATTGCAATGTGCCAGCTGAAGTATACAGCTGCGTGGAAATGGATCATCGCTATTTTGCTGGATGCCATACAGACTTGAAGTGCCTTTGGACTTTGCCTGCTGAAGACATTCGTGTGCTTCGTATCCCTTGGATCAACAATCAACTATCTCAACCTTCCTTGGTAGCCACTGAAGAAGATGCACTAATTTATACAAAGAAGGGATCCCCTGTGATGCGTGCTGGTGGTGATCTCAACTTGCTACCAACAACCGGTGGTGGTGCCGATATTCTCAGGTTACTCCAAAAGACCAAAGTCTCTTCAGGTGATGACAATGACAACAAGGAGCCACCTTTCAATGGTGAGAATGATATTCTCAAGTTGCTTCAAGAAACCAAGCTTTCTCCCGACAACCCCTCGCTTAGTGCTGATGATAGTGACAGTAAGAATGATGACGTCGGTCACACAACACACAACAACGATAACGATGACAACAACAACAGCATCACCACCAACACAACAACATCGCCCAATATGGCATCCATGTCACCAGGTGGCACAACCAGCTACGTTGAGAGCAACTCTGGATTGGAAGGATTACGACGCCGATTGGAGCAACTTCAAAAAAAAGTACAACGAGTGAGAATGGAGAATCAGCGTTATCGAGATCAATGTTCTGATACCGCAGCGAGTGAAAGTGACAATGACACCATGACATTGACGCACGTGCCTTGCCGGACAAATGAAACGGTAAAAGCCGCCGACTTGCATGACAGCCCACCTACCCCACACATGGCTGACGACCTTCCTCAAGAGGAAGACCTGGGAATTAATGCAGATCAACAATCATCATTGACAACAAATATCGAGAAACAACATCGCACAATGCTCCTTCAGAGTTTAATGCTACCTTTGGACATGGCTGATGAAAATATACTTGGTCATACTACTCAGCAAATGAAGAGTGATACCGAAGCAAAAAAAGGAGATGGACAATAATAGGTAGCATATCAGATTCATAATCCGCGCATCGTTATCATCACCTATTTCCAATCCAGCAATGTATAAAAGAGATACCCCCATTCATGTACCCAATGTTGCAATAAAACAATGAATAGCATTCTATTTAGTGAGTGAAACAAACTGCGTGTCGGATGACCTGGACGACGATTGAAAAAAAAATAATGGCGGGCCGACGATAGAGGAGTTTTGAGATTCTCCATGGAAACCATCACAACAACAACAACAGAGTTTTTTGTATAAGCTTATCTTGTGTGTCCCAATGTGTTTCAAGACAAGGGGAATTGGGGTTTAATGTCAGGATAGATACACACGGCTACTTGATGATCCGTAGTCGGTGTGATATCATGATGAGCGGCTGTGCGCGTGCCTTTTTGCTGGTATCTCTAAAATATTCTCGGAGACTAGCACCAATCAAAAGATCTCTATTAGCCTCGACCAAAACCTTGTTCCCCCGCCTTTACTTTCCTCACCGTTTCTCCACCCTTCCTTCTTCCCTCGTTCGAGTTATTTTATTCTCTCGTGCTCTAAAATGGTAAGTTGTTCCCCGAGAATTAGACTTGAATCCCTCCATGGAGACTAATCAAGGAGTCATTGGGACTACTAGTATACCCCATTATACGATTTCGGGCAACATGCCCTTCCACAGGGTGAATACGGGTTCAAAGGAGGACAACAAGTACGGCCACCACAGCCATCACCACCACCCACAGCAGGGTTACAGTTGCCACCGCAACAGGAGACTTTTTTATTCCTTCCACCATCATCGGCAACGACACACCATCATCATCATCATCCGCCTATCTCGGTAAGCGTTAGTACCTGCATCGTTTGTGTTATTGTTATCACATGGCCAACACGCACACCTCTTTGTATTTCAGACCACGAACAAGCAACAGCAACAGCAGCAGCATCACATCGCCGATAATTACACGAGTCAACCTTTTTCATCGGTAAATAATTCATCTTCCTTCTTTGTAATGTAACTCACACGTATCCATGTAGATCATGATACCCGAGGACAACAATGATTTTCTCGCCTTCTACCCGATGGTCAATGTTACAGTAACCAATGCCAACAATGACAACCCACAAAGTATCGATGTGAATGAAAACACACCCTCGGCATTGTACAGCAACAATAACAACAGCAACACGACAATGACAGCATCCTCCTCCACGTCTACAATCACCGTTGAACCTGATCCAAAAAGACATCGCAAAATGTTGGGTGAACGAGAACCATGGACGCCTGAAGAGGACAACTTGTTACGTCTTGCAGTACAATTATATGGTGATCGAACAGAAAAATGGGCCAAGATTGCAGCTTGTGTACCGGGACGATCCAATAAGAAATGCCGGAAGCGATGGTTCCATTCTCTTGATCCATCGTTACGCAAAGGTGCATGGACTGAGGAGGAGGATCAGAAATTGAGGGAAGGGGTCATGAAGTATCCCAATCAATGGAGCAAGATTGCCGATATGCTTGAAGGAAGAACAGATGATCAATGCGCTAAACGATGGCGTGAGTCACTTGATCCAAGTATCGATCGATCGGAATGGACCACGGATGAAGATGAACGGTTATTGGCATTATACCAGGATTATGGTTCACAATGGCAAAAGATTGCTCAGCATTTTGAGGGCAGGCCTGGTTTGCATTGTCGTAATCGATGGCGTAAACTGCAACGCATGGCTCAACTCAAGAAATTACAACAACAGCAATTGAATAGCAACAATAACGATCATCATCATCACCATCATCATGCATCACCTGAACAACAACATCATTATCCTTCTTCCATGGTTACAACCTCCTCCACACATCCATCCCACCATCAGCATCATCATCAACAACAACAACATCATCAGCATTATCAGCATCCTCCTCAACAACAACAACATCCTCCGCATCAACACGTGCTTGTATTGGAAGAAAGCAACCATCATCATCATTTACAACAACAGCAACCATTGGATGATCCTTACAGTGAACATAATCCTTATGGCTGTGCCATTTGCAACACCAGCTTTCCCCAATCCAACGGCTTATTTATGCACATGAAGAACGTCCACGTGGATCAAGTACAATCGTTTGACAAGCCCTATCGATGTGCCATGCCCAACTGCACCAAGCGGTATAAGAATATGAATGGATTACAGTATCATTTACGGGAAGCCAAGGGCTCATCAGGTCATAGACCCCTTTCTCGGTAGCAAATCGCCAATCCATGTAGCAGTAGTAATAGTAATAATAATATTGGGACGCATCTCTCAGGTATTCGATTGCTGGTTCAATAGCCTATCCTTCCTTTTGTTTTCTTTGTGTATGGTTACGCTTGTGAACGAGAGCTGGCACCTTTGTGCTCATTCATTGTCCTTCTATCTCATTGTTGTGGTCGTCATTGTGATTTTGATTCTTGTCATGAGGCAAAACTTGGTGCTATTGCATGATGAACCATACACTCATCCATTTTGGATGTAGCTATCTGCATTGATGGGTTGGCATGGATACACCATCCGGGACTAAAATTGGCATGGTTGCGTGGCAACAACATCCGATATGCAAGGATCCTACTCATCAACCAATCCAATATGGCGATGATGCGTTGCAGCAGTATCCATGGCGTGTCACAATCTTCGAAATAGATAGCCAAACCAGTTGCTGGCTTCGTATGTTATGCTGAAATCGGCGGAACGCAAAATCCCGGATCCTCTTGGAAGCTCATGTAAAGCAAAGTCCTTGATGTCTTCCATCGTGTATAGATATGACCAAGTACTTTACAATGTACGCAAGAATACCATCGGCAAGCTATCATTACCCCCACCATTATATAGCAACCTAGATCAAAATCGTGATCCACCCTTAAAGCGTCGACATCACTATACCTGTTATTACTGATTCAAACATCTTTCGTCTTCAAAGAAGATGTGCTATCGAAGAAAGCAGCAAGAAGGATTTAGTCGTGTTCCATATGCATCGCAAGGTATGTAAAATTTAAAAGGTTGGTTGTTTTCACGAATTGACGGTGATCAGCAAGTGGATTAATAAGACGAGACTAATTCCTCTCTCCGTTCGCTATTTCCCAGATTCTCCCAATATAACACAACGTATCACCTTTTTTCTCCACCCACACATATCTCTCTCCCTCTTTCCACTCACACACAACATGAGCAACACCACCGACCTTAAGGCCCTTTGCGCTACCTTGTTGGAACAAGAAGCCAAACTTCAGTTTACCAAGTTTACTTCTGAAGATGCTCTTCAACTTGGTCTCAAGTTGATCGAAAACGCCAAGGCATACACTCGTCCCGTGCTCGTTGATATTACTCTTGCTGGCCATCAACTTTTCCACTATGCCATGCAAGGCACTGGTCCCGATAATAACGAATGGGTCCTTCGTAAAAAGTATGTTCATGGTATATATATACAACCCTGCTGTACCCATGCATGATTGGGCTTATCATCTCCCACCCCATAATAGCAAAACAGTGATGCGTTTCCGTCACTCAAGCTTCTACATGGGCCGCTACTGCGCCAGCCAGAACAAGACCCTTGAGGAAAAGTATTATGTAAGCGAGCAAGAATACGCTGCACATGGCGGTGCATTCCCCTTGATCATCAAGGATGTGGGTGTTGTTGGTACTATCACTGTCTCTGGTCTTGCTCAAGAGGTAACTACCCTATGCCTTTTTGTTCTCTTTCTCTTTTTGCTAATGATGGTGTCTATATACATAGGACGATCATGCCTTGGTTGTTCGTACTGTGCAAGAATATATTGGACAATAAATAAAAAGCTAAATGCATGTGTATCTTTACAAAGGTGGATGAGAGGAGAAATGCATGGTGGTGGTGGTGGGGGAGATGTATACGTATATGGATATCTACATTATTACAGACTCAAGGTCTTCGATCTCCATCTTGACGAGGTGCTTGCCGGGGATCATGACAAGTCCAACGATTCTATGTTCATCTAGAACGTCAAGGAAAAAAAAAGAGCATGAGAAGTGGTGACCAATGACGATGGTGAGTACATGCACTACCTCCTCGGTATTCTGTGGTATGGGCAAGAATGATATTCTTTTGCTTGTCAGTGCAAACGAAGGTGCCGATGAACACACGACCGTCCGTGATTGCAATGCGAGCTTTATGGTTGAGGTATCCTCGTAGTCGTGCGATATTGTCTGTGTCCGTATCCATTCTTCAAGGCTGGTATAAAGATAGGCGAAAGATGAGTCTGTTTTCACTTCCCAACATGTCTTAGCCCGCTTCAACTTTGGCGACAGGACTCTTGTAGTGATATAGAATAGCAGTAACCATGTTAAACAACAAGCTTATTTAAAAGATCTGGATCCCTATGTACTATCCAACGCTACTTTAAAATCCCATCTCATTGTATAATTGATGCCACCACAACTCCCATTAAAAACATAAATCATTGTGCTTGGATGGAGACCATTGCTGATGATCCAGCATGGACGCTCTTTATTCTCTTCAAAAAAGGTGATTGAAAAACACAAAAGAGCGTGCTTAGTCAAAGAGACCGAAGCCCATGTCTTCATCAGACTCTTCCTTCTCTTCCTCCTTGGCCTCTTCCTTGGCTTCCTCACCGGCACCACCAGCAGCGGCACCACCAGCAGGAGCAGCACCACCAGTAGGAACGGAGGCGAGCTTCTCCTTACCCTCAGCAAGGACCTATGCAATGAAAGAATTGTCAATGGAAACCGTTGCCATGGTGGCTCATGCCCATGATATTACCTCGTTGACGTCCTTGTCCTTAAGGGCAGCAATCAAAGCAGAGATGCGCTCATCCTCAGCCTCAACACCAACGGAGCTCAAGAGAGACTTGATGTCCTCAGCGGAAGGGTTGGCCTTGCCACCGGCAGTCAAAAGAAGGTAAGCAGCGAGATACTTCATGATGTCTATATAGCAGCCAAATCATCCATCGATCAATAAATCCATTCATCCATCATTCTGATTCATTCATCCATCATTACCTGATTGATAATGTCGCTTTGCGCAAAGTAAAATTTAACTCCTAAGAGAACCGAACGCTTCAGCGAAAAGGGGAGGAAACAGATGCTTGCTCCTCCTCCAACACAACTTGTAGCCCGTCTTCTCCCCTCCCCCCAAATCCCAGACACACTAGTTTGGGGGTCCTTAAGGGTTTCAAATCCCGCCATTCAACCACTACTACTATGATGGTCCATGTAATTGAAAGCTTATGACCATCTATATCACTCCCGCAATCAATACCAGCCACTTGTACCCATAAAAGTATGCATCCACATATCAATAAAAGCTGAACATGCACAATGTATGTATATCGTTTATCATCCAAGTATGCTGCAAATCGTGAAATGGCATTACATGATGGTAGTAGGTATTTAAGCGGGCTCGGGAAGAGGACCTGAAAATCGACCATGCGTCTCAGTGCGGACATGAAGGTAATCTCTGCCACCAAAACTAAATGATCCCATTAATCATCATTGCTCTAACCCCATATCATGTTGTATGCTAGCCTTACCTTTCCCATAAAAAGTCAGTGAGCAAGTAATAAATGTTGGGGTTTGCATTATGGTAGCTGATACGATGGTTGCTATCGGGGTAAAACTGCACACGGTAGTTGTGGATATCGGCTTGGGTAAGCTTGTCAACGAGAACTGCAGAATGTTGGAAATGCACTATAAGGAAAACAAGAATGAGATACCACTCGTTACATCAAAACCAATATGCCCTTTTGTACCATTGTCATCACCAGTGCCATGAGCAAGCAAGTACTTGATATGGTCAAAGCCTGTCATGTTGTTCACAGCACTTTGTGTATAACCATCAGGATTCAGTTCTGGTGTAAGCATGTAGCGCTCAGTGTAAATAGAATCTAGAAAAAGAAAATGTCAATTCTCCATGTCAAATTAATAGTGCGCCACCCACAGCTTACCATAGAAGCGCCAATCGGTCACAGGTGCAACTGCCATAGCTGTTGAAAAAACGCCATCATTGGATTCGGCAATTTTGGTTGCCATGTAACCACCATAAGACCAACCCCAAATGGCAATGCGATAGGGATCCACATAATCAAGTTGGGCCCAATGCTTGGCTGCATTTACTTGATCAATGACTTCCAGGTCACCCAAATGCTTGCGAACAGCTGTTCTATATTGACGACCTCGGTAACCAGTACCTCGGCCATCCACCATCACCACAATGAATTGAAGCTTGCTTGCCAAAAACATGTGCCAATCGAGCTGGAATTGATACGATACGGTTTGTGAACCAGGGCCACCATATACATTAAATACAACAGGGTACTTTTTGCTGGCATCAAATTCGGGCGGTAGGATCTCAACGGCATTCATTTCTACAAACATGGCATGTATATGAGTGAGCATCCCCATTCGTGGATCCTTCATCCTTCAAAGTGTATACTTGCCTACACCACCACTCTCTACAGTGACCATCCTCGATCTTGGAAGGCTGTAATTCTGAAGAAGCTTCTTGAGATCGCTGTTGTCTTCAAGCACAGATTCAAAACTAGGATCATCAACGCTCTTGACAACCGTTGTTGGGATATCGGGCCCATCATAGTTCAAAACGTAATAGCCAGCCTTAGGTGAGAAGGACGCTGAATAATAGCCATGTGTCTCAGGATCCTCAGGGCACGTAAGACATGTCTTGGTGGATGCAGGATCGGCATTGTCAAGTGATATGGTATACAAGTGTCGTTCCAAGGGTGATCGCTCAGTCGAAATAAAATGGCTAATGAAAAGGTATGAGTGCCTTTCGCCTCCATGAAAACGCATCCACTACTCACATTAACTTCCTATCCACATCCATAATAACCGAGTTTGGAACAACTTCCCATTCACCGGCGGTGAGCCAAAGAGGGTCCGCTGATTTCTTGCTGTCAGCTGTAAACATGGCAAGATGCAAATAGCCTTCATCACTATCAGCGAGATCAATGTATTGAGTGCTGTTGCTGCTGCTGTTGTTGTTGTTGGGGACATAGACCATGGATTGCGAAACTTCAATCCAGCCTCCATCACTAGGCTGATAGCTACGTGCGAGTGTCACGGTTGTTTTGTTCAAAGGCGAGCCAATGGTAACAAGGCTGGTAATTTCATGATCTTGAACACGATTCATTTGCTTAAATAAAAGATGGCTGTGGTCGTCAGAAGCCCATGTGACATCGGTAATCAAACGATCGTCGTCATCAAAGTCTTGATGGTCGCCCACAGTCTCTGCTGACGAGTGTTCGGTTGCATTTTTGGTGATCATGAAAGAAGCATTGTCGATCAATGAGTGGATGTGAAGAGAAACGAGTGGATTGGGGCTACCAGCCTATGATGGGACAATGAATCATCAGCTTGTCATTGATCATCATCGTTGACTTACCTTGGGATACTTAATACTAAGCTCCACGGGATAGCTCGAATTGCTCACGGTGTAAAATGGGACATTGTATTCAGGCACAGCCGTCTCATTGAAACGTAGGTACGCCAAATGGGTAGAATCAGGTGACCACCAAAGGGTGTTATCAGTGCCAAAGACCTCCTCTGTAAAGAGTGCCTATCATTAATATCCAAACGCTTGGGATCATCATGTGATTTCATTTACGCACCTTCATATACCCAATCAGGCACACCATTAAATACAGTAGCTGATCCATCAAATGTAACACGAGTCGATTCCACAAGGTCGGACACATATAGATCGTTTTCCATGACATATGCCTAATACCAATGAGATTATTGAAAATCGCAAATGTAAACAGCAAACTTACCACGCGATGACCTGTGGGACTCCATTTTGCATAAGCGATCTTTGGTGTATCGGCGACAGTGGACAAATCGGAAAGGGGGAAGAGGGCCTTGTTATTCATCTTGTAAATGTAGACATTGGATCGGGTGGAGTATCGCCATTGCTAAACATGGATAGTGAATATACTGGGTACATAGCAACAATGAGCATCTCTCTCTTTTTTATACATACACTTGTCACATTGGACCATAACATGAGAAACTTTCCATCCGCCGATATCTCAAAGTTGGATACATCCAATTGCTCATTGTCAATCACCTTTTAATATAAAGTTAGCATCATCGTTGTCAAGTCTATCATAGCACTATGTACATACCAAATCGGATGCCTTGACTAGTACTCGACTTGTGCCATCCTCTACGGATTCCAATAGAATATCACCAGTGACCCAATCGAAATAGCTGAAGACACCATCGCGGGGATCTGATAAAAAGAACAGTTATGGACCTGTTATTGTTGTTGTTTCAGATAGTAGATTGGTGCAATGATACGAACCATTTTCGACCCACACAAGGCTACGACGATAAGGAACAAAGGAATCATTGTAAAGATCATCGAAATCGATATGGCGTGTAGTTGCTTCGGATGCTTGTTGGTCATCTCCTGTAAAAAGCATTAGGGAAATGATTCCAATGTACCCCTTGTTTCCGCTTCGCAAAAAGATACTTTACCCTTGCCCATCTGGGCAAAACTTAGACCCCACATGATACCACCCACAAGCACGATGGCGAGAAAGACCGCACAGATCCACTTTTCATTGCCCTTGCGCTATTCGAGAGAGAAGAGAGAGAGAGAGAGATTAATGCATGTAGCCAAAGACGCTACCTTTGACATGGATGTATAGTACCTTGCCACGTTCTAGACTCACGATACTTTGGTTGTCGTCTTCATCACGGTCGCCATGTTCAATGTCATTGTCGGAAACGAGTCGTTGTCGTGATTCGTCAAACTCGTCGTCAAAGTAAGGGCGGCGACCTCCATTGGTGGATGGGTCGTAATACTCCTTGTCGGCCGCTTGCATATTATGTATAGAGCTTATGCTGCTATCGTCGTCGTCGTTGTCGCTGTTGTCGCTGTTGCTTAAGGAACGTAGAGTATGCCGAGCGTCTGTGAGAGCCAATATCCGGTCAATGTCTACAATCTGTGTCATTTCCGTGGCATCGGGCACGTCATGGTTAGCTTCATTGTCGCTTTGATGTCTGCGAAATAGTGGTAAAAGGGAAAAGCTGGACATAAAGAAAAGAAACAGAGCACACACCCGCTTCTATTGCTTCAGTAGAAAGACTCTCTCCAACACGGTTGGTGGTTGCTTGGCAAAAGGGAATAAAAAAGAAAGAAGGGTGGGTGATAAAATTGAACCATCTCTCACACTCTCACTCTCACTCACGTACCGTTTGGGACGCACAACGTCATTTGCTGGCATCATTCACTTACTACTACAATCATCCCTTCAATCGCCCTTCTCCTTGGCTATCTCCTTTTGTTCTAGCCCTACTACTAGTGCATTAGCATTGACAACTTGTTATTGGCCAACTATGACTCCTATTCTTTTTGTATGCATTCATTTGATAAATAAAGTAGCGCTCAGGACATGATGATAGATATGAAACGTATATATTATTCGATTATTGGGATATCGCATAAGTGAAAGATTACTAGTATACTCCAGGGATGATCCTGTATTTGACAATAGAGCAGTACTTTTCCCAATCCATGCCATATTTCTTTCTGCACTTTTCATCATCACGACGTTCACGGTGAATAAGCAAGATACCAAAATAGATACAGTAGAAATAAGGGATGATGGATCCGAATCCACAAGGAAGGCACCAGGCTACAGACATGAGCCAATCACCAAGATAATTAATATGACGAGCCTTGCCCCACCAGCCGGATGTGATCAATTTTGAGCCTTTTGACGTTTCAATGTACTTGAGATCTTTATAATAAACATCCATTAGCAAATGTTGTCAATGGTGGCAAATGAAAAAGTAACATACCTCGCACTGCAGGGTCATTTGGATTTTGTCTAAAGTTATCCTTTTGCGCATTGGCCGATCGGAAAATGTAGTAACCAGCACACTGCAAAGCAAGGATACCAGCCAAAGCAGGGTAGGATAAGTCCACGGGGAAATCGACCAAGTAACGTGCTTGGAGACTGTACATCATAGGCACCCAACAAAGATTACCAAAGGCCAACATGAATCCAAAGCCATCTATTTCCATACACAATGAATCAAATGTTCCCTTGCCAGCTGTGTCCATATACATACCGGTTGTGATATCCATTGTTGTCAGGATGGAAGATTCATTGTAAAGAGCATCAAGTACATACAATGCCTGGAATGCCAATACGAGCACCATGCTATTTGTCACACGATCAAGGTTGAGGTATTGCTTGATGCCCATACAAATGTTGATCACCATCCAACCCAATAAGCCAGGTCGCAATTCGGTAAAGAACTTGATATCAAATTGACCAATACGAGGATTCAATTCACGGCCAACCATAAACTACCACCATCATCATCGTTAGTCATTATCCCTTTTGAAAGAACCCACAGTGAGGGGGGAATACTTACATCGTAAATAGCATTGCCAGTGTTTCCTCCCAAAGCCAACAAGCGAGGGTTGCCTGTGAAGCTCTTGATGTAGACGCCAATCGATACAGCAAAGGCAATGATAATGGATGCGACTGCCAAGTGTTCAAAATTGTCAAACACGTACAAGGGAGTGCGGTAACCCAAGCCTCGGTTGGCCATCATGCTCACCATAAACAAGGTCTGTGCGCTTTGTAAACCTGTGGTACAACAATGAATGATTTGCTTTTCCCTACTATCCCTTCATCCCCCCTCCTCTCCTTCCATTTACCATTGAGCTTGTATGTCAAACGAGAGCCATCTCTTAACTTGGTGCCTTGAACAGTATCACCAGGCATAGCAATTGCGAACGTAACGAGTTGGGCGATGAACATGATGTACCAAAACAAGGCACTGATATTCCAGCTTGTCGCCATGGAGAAGATGATGTCCCATGAGAATTTGCCTTTGACCAAATCAGTGAACAACGCATAGGAGCGTTGCAAAGGATCATATCCAGATGCATCACAACCAAATGCAAAAGCAAGAACGACAATAGGAAGCAACGTGATCATAGCAAAGGCACCCACAGGCCCACCGAATCTACATGATATGATACGTACGCACGGCACTTAGTAACCCATGCGCGACTCCATGGCCATCAGGGAGCATACACCTACTCGTAATGTTCAGTCTTGGGATTGAGCTTCTTCCATTCAGCTGCCGTTAATGGAGGCAATGTCTCAGTTGGTGCGTCTTTGGGTTGCTGCTGTTGCTGCTGCTGCTTCATGGCTTTTGCTTGACTACGCGTTACTCTACGCGACGATGAAGGGGAGGCTGCAGTGCCCTCTGTGGTGGGTTTTCGACGAGTACTACGTGCCATGGAGTGGGAAGAAGAAAACTTGTCGGGATTTTTCAGCCGAATAAAGCATTTCAACGCTTTCCCGTCCTCGAAGATGAAATGATTTAGCAAATCCATTACGTTGCCCATGCTATGCATAATACACCCCCCTTTCTTATGCAACCTTGATCCTTGACCATAAAAGACCATTTGTAGCCTATAATAGTCAATTTGTCATAATAAAAGATCTTTCATATCATATAAGAATGTGAGCTTGTTCATAGGTAACCAAGCAATTTACAACACTCAAGGCAAGCTGCGTGCTAAAGACAATTGGTTCTTTCTCAACATTGGGGATGGGATGATGAGGATGATGGCGAGAATAGGCCGGTCAATTGTCAACAAGGTTACTTATTAGGGATGAGATACGCCTTCAATGTGTGTGATCTAAACTTCAATAGCATCATACCCCATAATGCCCTATACTTAGGTGGTGGCGATCAATTCTATCCTAAGCAAGAGCTCTAAAACCCAAGGTTGCATTTGCACATGGTCGAGATGGATATCGAGAACCGGAGGAAAGAAAAGAACACCCGAGTTTGTAGGAACAACATGCGAATGCTAAGCACACGTGAACGTTGTTATTCTAATCCACGTCTTTGGTAAATGTTATGAGGATGACGAAACGACAATATGACATATGCATCATGCTGTGCACAGTCATCAAGTATCAAGCACGCGCTTTGACCGATTTTGTGTAACTTTTTAAAAGCATACCTTTGTCACGGCCAATCACCACTGATGGAAAAACATATTGAACGAAGCGCTGTTTAGTCTCGGTACACGGCACACAGATCCATGTATGAGATGATTGGCATACCACCTTGTCATATGGTAGTAGTATTGTGATAAAGAAAACCCCTCATTGCTATTACTGCTACCACTACCATAGTAGTCGTCATACAAGCTATTGGACACAATGACGTAGTACGCCATTGTATGTTATGTTCAATGAGCTCAGTGGAAATTCGAATCAACAAAGTGCAAAGCAGAATATGACAACATTTCAAGTCATGTAACGTGACACATCATGGTACAGGTGAACTAAAAACAGAAACAAAAAAAAGGAATGTGCCACCATCCAATATAACTTTGTCTGCGAGATACATGGCCAATGTTTATTGAGGATTTAAGATGGCTTTGACTAGTTTCCGATGTTTGTGGAGAGACATTGGTATCATTTGTATAGTGGTTAAAAAAAGAATCGAATGGGCGATGGCGGTCTGGAGAAAGACAAAAAGCGGCGCTAAAGAGTAAAGGGTTAGTGCCAGTAATGCAAATGGAATGTGGCGGTAAAAGGGCGTGTGTGTATGTGTGATCGTTAAGGTGCGTATGACATGCATATGTGTGCTGCATGTCATCCCCTACTTTAGAAGAATCCAGGAGAACAAAGACAGCGGGGACCTCTCTCCTCCTCCAACAACCCTTTATTTTCTGTGTATAAAAGAGCGCTGCTGCTGAGCAACAAGAAGAAGTGATTACCGATTACACAAACTCAAAATCCGATATTGCCCATGCCAGGATTCAGCAAAGCAAGGAATTACATTATATAAAGTACATCCTCTTCCGGTCAAGATGCCAAAAAGGGGATGCCGCGTTGTCAGCAACAAGCAAAGATCGCCGTTCAAAATACACATGATTACTATAACTTGGCAAACATTCATCCCTCTTGCTCTCTTTTTGCTTTATCCTTTTTCTCCTTTTTCTCTCAAAAACTCAACAACACCTCGTCTACTGGGACATGAGGCAATGACACAACGCGAAACGAATCACGATCGGTTCCGCATTCCCAACGTGGTCCTTATTCCCTTTGCTCTCGTGCAATCGCAAGTTTTTTGGGTGTGTTCGGTTATATGGACGCTGTGTATGCAATGGTCCACTGAAGAGCATCAAGCACCAACAACGACTTGTGCTATTACCAAAGATGATGAACACACCAACAAGATAGCACTTCCACAAGATCCTCGAGTTGAGCATTTACGGCGCCTAGGCCGACAACGACGACCACGCGGAAATTCGGAACCACCCACACCGACAACGACAACATCAATGGCTGATCTTATTGATGGTGGTGGATGCAGTGATGGAGGCATTGGAGGAGGAGGAGGAGGAGGACGTGCTCGATGTACAACGATTAGTTTTCCACCTTCACGTAAACAACGATTATTACAGACTCGTCGTCAATTAGAAGGGATTGAAATTCGGCCAAGTCGAGAAGATGAAAAGGCTGGTGCAACTTGTCCTCCTCAATGGTGGCAAAAGACCCGATTTTACATTGACGCCCTAAAACATCAACAACAACAACAACCTGCAGCAGCAGCTTCCTCATCCACTTCCACTCTACCAACATTGCCAAGCTCAACAACATCAACACCTCCATCACCTGATGCATCTCCTATTATTGTCGCATCTCCCCCTGCAATGTCCGAGGATGTCCAACAACAACAACAACATGAACTCTCCTCTTCCTTGGCATCACCAAAACAGCAACAGCCATCATCATCAGCCACATTACCATCTCCATTACCATCAGCAGCACAATCAAAACCTCAAGTGGATGAAAAGAAAACACGTCGACGAGCAACCATTCTTGGTCTTTTACATCATCAACATCGTTCATCATCAAAAGAAGACGTGAATACCCGTGACACTAAGACCAACAAGAAACCACAACGCCGTACTCGTTCATTCTTCTGGAAGAAAAAATCGACCGTCAATGCATCCTCATAACTCCTTTTTTTTCCTTTGACATATACACATCACACGCACATATATATATCCATTTTCTCTTTCATCAAAGGCTAGTCCTATGTACATAGATATAATCGAATAAGAGACTTGCAACCAAATAAAAAAGTTACTGCTACATCAAGACATCATGATCATTTTCGTTTTGATCGCGTGGTCCAATGTAATTGTCACGTCCCCAGCCGCACCAAAACATCATGGTCGTCATGATAGCGCCAAGTAAAGCGACCGCGCTATAATTAAATGTGCTTGCTGTAACAAAATGAGACATGTTGTTCGGTTGTCTTGGCAACGAGAGCTTCTTTTTACCTTCGATTGGCCATACAGTAGGCATCGTGAATATACATACGGCGATCACTGACCATATAAAGGCGATCCAAGTTACAGGCCCTGACCATTTACCCAATGAGAAACGACCCCTTTCTTTCAAGTAAGGTTTGACGGCGATCCTACAACCGAGGAGAATTGCTGCATGATGGACCCAGGTTAGTGGTACAAAAGTCATCTTCATTTTCATTCTTCAACAACAACAACTCACCATAAGCCAAATGGGTCGTGATGGTGGTGGCACTAATGAGCATTTCAAAAACAAAGTCGGATAGTGGAAATGGCGTAATCACAAAACAGCACACGATAAAGACAACAAAGTAAACGGCGTTGGCTGGCAGCTGATGATGATTCACCTTTTGCAAAAATGAAGGCGCGGCATGGTCACGTGCAAGGGTATACACCATACGAGAGGTTGTGGTAAGTGTGGCTGCACCAGTGCAAAATTGGCAAAAGATCAAGAGAACCAAGAATCCCACTGTTCCGGTTCTTCCGATGGCATTCTGCAAAACAAGGAGAGAGGGGGTTTGAATTTCATTGTTAAAGGGGGTGGGGGTCATTATCATGCATTTGTAACAGAGTTTGTAAACATACCCAAAACAGTTGCGCCACTGGCATATCCAGGGACGAATCCAGAATAGCATCCACATCCTGTATGGATATAAGCAAGACAATCAAAAATGCCAATCCAATAGCCCAACTCATCACAATCGACATAGCGATCGCCCTATAATAATAAAAATGGATCATTGTTATTAACTTCTCTTGTTGCTGCTGGATGATGATGCTTACATGGGAGCAGACAAATCGGCATCCTTGGTTTCCTCATTTGCATAAGCGGCTCCTTCGGCACCTACACATTTGTAATAAACTTTTAGGTCAGCATGATGATGATAGGGATGACGCTTATCGCCGCAAGAATAGAATATGGGGTTTGACATGTTACCGAACATGGAGTAGCTTGCACCAATCAAGCCAAGAACAAAAACATAGATAGGATTGTCAAACCCAGTTCTATTTTCATAGTCCGTAAACACCCATTCGAAGGATTGTCGTTCGTCCACACCCAAAGTGAGAGCAAGGATGACCACCAAAAGACCACCGCATGACCAGAACACGTTCCACTGATTCAATGCCCCAAGCGATTTGAAGTGAAATGCATTCAACATCCCGTGTATGCCTGTGATCACCATTGCTATGCACATGATTTGCAATTTAGTCACCGCATAGCCTATCGTGATCTCGAGCAACGAGCCAAATGAAAGTGCTGATAATGATATCACCTATCAGCATACATGTATAGATACATTCTCTCACGGCACACTTTTGACCATTTACCAATAATGACATTATTTGCCCCGAGACTGATAATGCAAGCAAGGGTATACGTCCATCCGGTGGCAAATGCACTGCATAAATGGTCATATTAGCTAGGATCCATCACACTCAACTTTATCCTTTTTGCTCACATGAAGGGTGCTTTTCTTGCATGGCGTGGATTTGAACGCAGCATCTCAAACACCCAGTAATAGACACCACCGCTTGTGGCGTACTGCCATCGAAAAAAGATGCCGTCAGGGGTAAAAATAAAGGTATTGATTTATGCAACAACCTTCAACACATACCAGTGAACAAATCTCAGCCAGGGACAATGCAATGCATATCATGAACAATGACACAAGGTTCCATGCCAATACTACTGTTCGAGGACCCCCACGTTGTAAAACTTTTTTTCCCCTCTGTGTGGTTAGATACAAGCGGAGATGTTCCATTTTACCCATGAAGGATGGTCCCTACCGGTTTGAAATGTTGCAGATGTGTTTGATAATATCCCAATGTTGGCAAATGCCAGGCCTATAAGATTAATGCAAATCCGTTATTGGCGTTTTTCTCAATCGTCGTGAGAACCATCATCATCATCCAAATGACATCCAAATGATCATTACCGAATGTTGTAAAAAGAGACCATCGGCGTTGAAGTTCCTGAAAAGAACCATTATCATGAACATTGGCAAGGTGCTATTGTTGTCTTTGTGGTCATCATCTTTTGTAATACCTGCTTGTACCCAAGTCGGTTCAAAAGTTGCTCACTTTGCTCTACAGGATTATCGATTGATCCATATAGAGTCATCTAATAGGTGGTATTATTATGGTGGGGGATGTCAATGGATAGGGGATTCGAACAAAAGATATAATAAAAAAGAAGAAAGAAAAGAGAGAGGTATTTGACTGATTCATTTTGTCTCTGGGATATCTCTTTTATTCGGTGCCTTCCAAGACTGTGCAACGTCGGAGGAGGTATGAAGAAGGGGGGGTAAGAATGGGTAATGCTGCGTATTGTGGGTTGTGTTTGTGCGCGTGTATGTTGTGTGTGTGTTGTTGTTATTTATCAAAGGAAAAAAAGATCCATTTTACTTTTGGCCCTTGCCCTTCTTGATAAGCCATTGTAATGTCACATCGATATTAACTTGATTTTTGGCCGAGATTGAATAACACGACACCTCCCTGTTGGTGATGGATTTCAGGTGCCTATCGTGATCATTAACGGTTAGCTCCTGGATTCCAAAAACTGAAACACCCCGCCGCCCATCATCGAATCTTTGATCGATCCCACACATATTTGATATACATACAAAGCATCAATGAGTTCCTCAGCGGTCAACGCGTTCTGTAGATCATTCTTGTTTCCAAGTACAAGCACAGGAATGTTGGCCAGCTGTGGTTTGTCTAGCAAGTTCTTGAGCTCTGTATATGCTGCTTGGATCTTGTCATGGTCGGCTGCATCCACCACAAAGCTAAAGATGAAAAAAGACATAGATTGGTATCTCGTATCATCATCATCATCATCATCATCATGATCCATAACAGCTGACTTACACAATAGCATTGACTCCACGGCAGTAACGCTCCCACATGCTCCGGAATCGTGGCTGGCCACCAATATCCCAAAGTTTCATTGTCACGTTACCCTTGGTAACTTTGCGCATATTGAAGCCGACCGTTGGTATCGAATCTTCCATAAATTGACCCGACTGTATGATATGATATGGCAACCCATGAGTGAGTGGGATACATCCCTCAAAAGACAACAAGCTTCTACGCTAATCTTACCGCAATGACATTGACGAGAGTTGTTTTACCGCTGTTTTGGAGACCTACCAAGGTTAACTCCATCTCGGTCTACAAGGACGAATGAGCGGAAATGCTATGATGGGCTTTATGCATAAATCAGCAAAGGGTTCGTACCTTGAAAAAAAGGCTCCGTAGCCAGTCGAGGATTGCTTGTATGAATGAAGCCATCTAATTGAGATGCGAGCAGCAGTGGTGCCCAATGAGAGAAACGGGGGATTAGGAGAGAGCAAGTGAATATGGAAAGAGAAAAGGACAAGAAAAAAAAAGTCGACTCGTTTGCTGTGTGCTACAGAAAAACTTCCACTCTCGCGCACTCGTCTCACACACTCGCTGATGGTTTTCATGTGCAACGCAACGCACCAGCAGCTTTCGAGGACCGACGTCACTGCATACACAGTTTTGTTTTGCCACAAAGTACCACCACACTCACTCACTATACATGTTGTATCCAACCCACGTCATTGTGGAATGCTTTTTATGCACCCGTGTCTTTTTATTTTTGATGAGTGGCACCATCCCTTCCCTTCCTTTCTCTTGTAAATATCATGGGATCCATCTCTTCATTCCACATTATTGCTGCTGCCATGTTCTCCTGAAACGATTTCCTCCTTCTCATTGATTTATGTACAACCTTGAAACCTATTTCGTAGAGCTGTGTCGTGTTGACAGATGCATATGCACGCCTGCATACATAGCAACTCGCACGTGCTTGTAAATTCGGGAGAGTGCTGAAGATGTTTCAACTACTACTTACACCGACAACGATTACTACAGCTGCTCTTAATGAGATACGTCATCATTACATTAGGTCGCTCTTCTCAAGGTATCCTTACAAAGATTTACAAGGTCAAAAGGTGAGTTGTAGGATATACGGAGCTGTACACCATGGTGAATTCGGTCTCAGATAATGCATCATGTTGATACGTTTGATCTCGATTGCTGGTATCATTGAATTGGGTCATAGCTTTTTACGCTGCCGAGTGTGCAGGCATAGTACACAACATGCTACGGGAAATTGCCATCAGTGATCATCATTAGGGTAGAAGAGATATCGATTGCTTGTATTAAAAGTCTATTCATTACTATGACACAATGGAAAATGTGATGGTATCTAAATTGTATGTGTGCTTGTGCGTGTATATATATGTGTGTGCGTAATGGCTTTTATCCTACAATATCATCATCCAGGAGTAAATGCCCATCGATATCTTGTCGTGCTCGCACCGTGAATGACAAATCGTGGATCTCATATGCATAGTCCTGATCGGCTGTACTTTGTAGTCGAACAAAACGATATCCAGTCTCGCTAATACTGAACCTGCATTCTATCATTGTACCATCAGCAAAAGCACTGCAATCAACCTCTGATCCAACGGGAACTTTCATCTACAAGACCAACGTATTAGTATACGTCATAACCCTTAATACCATCGTAATAAAGCTGCTTACCCAATGCTGTCCATCAAACGATATTTGGATATTCAATGTGTCTCGATAGGATAATGGATGTCGTGCGAGAAAGCGAAATTTGAGCGGTATCCGCATTGGCATTAATAGATCGAGCCCAATGTAATCCCCTGCAGTGATATCTACCATTGCATGCATGTATATAAGCACTTGCCCATTGTTGATCCTATTCCAAATACCTACTCTTTTGAGCCTTCCAAGCAGTAGTATCATCATAATCCACGGCGTTTCCATAAGGAAATTCGGCATAGTGTCCACGTGAATTATAATAGCTCTCATGCATATCCTCCCACTGGTTGAGATTGATGCTGGGATTGTACTTGAATAGACGTGGATCTGGAAGTGCTGGTATGTTTGTCAAGAATAGACATCGATCGTTGCGACATGGGGTTCTATAAAACCAAATTCATTAGCCCTATTGTTGATGGTCCCTATTCATGTATGTATATATACCTTGCATCCTGCTCATTCAATCCTGGGTATACTTGTTCCGTGGCAAATACATTGGTGCGGCGCAATAGATGCTTGTATAACATCACTATACTGTTGTGCTATAGGAGGGCCACAAGATGCATTAGAGCACAAGGCAAAGCGATTGCATGTATCCTTTCCTCACCACATGGTTCCTTCCAGCAGCCGTCAAGTTTGGATTATTCTCGTTTTCAATCAGCCTTCCTTCGCGATCCTCTTCATCATTGAATTCCGGAAATACAGCGGCGGTTCCTTCAAGCTGATACGGGACTTGATTCATGAAGGTAGTGAAATACATATCCGATTGCATGACGTCGATTGGATCCAGCTCCATCAAATCAATGAACCTGAGAACATTGTCTCGTGATACGAATGTGCCATAACCTTGATGTTGGTGACATGTATGCATGTGCACATCTACCATATTTCCCATAAGTTTCATAGATCAAATCCTTGTTCAATTATCATACCATCATTGAAAAAGCACCAACGCCAACGTGCCTGTGCATATGCATCAACATCATGTGATTCGCTGTGGATCAAATGGGGATGTCGTAAAAAGTTGGCATATAAGCTTCGTAAATGTCTTGAACCAGGATGATCTTGAAAGTAGCAATAAGGCGTAGTGACAATGCTGCATCCAAGATATCGTGCTGCCTGATGCATGTTGCTATAGGAGTTGTGGATATCCACCTTATTGCAGGATGACAAGTGGTCGTGCGTCAAGTTGACGATGGGGTTGTTGTTCCATATCAAGATGCGATGCATGATAGGGTGGTCGCATAGATCCTTCAACAATGGTGCTAATTGTTTTTCAGCATCTTCTTTGACAGACCATTCATCCTGGGGTTCAAATAAGAGCACGGCAGTCGTCAATCCAAGCCCATCATCAGGATACAGTCGATCAAGGAGTTGTACGTCTTGCTGCCAAGGTCCACCTAAACTCCCACTGGTATGATCATAGCGCCAATCTTGGAATTTGCGTCCACTGAAGAATCCAACGTGCACAAGCAAGTACATGCCGCCGAGAAAGATGGTCACTGACAATGCAAACAACTCGATGGGTGTCGCTCGTTTGTAACGCTTCACAAGACGTGCTTGCAAGTGTGAAAGACGACTCTCTTGCCATGCTCGTTGTAAGTACGGTGGTATTCGATGCTGAAACGGATCGGAGCTAATGTTGATGTGGATGCCGCGTAGTGGAATGTCGCCAGGCCGTTGCATGGGGGGGTTGTGGAAGTTGAGGAAGCGGTTGTCTATTGCAGAGCTAGCACTAATTTGATGCGACCTTTATTCCTACACCGATCCATTCGAAATTACTGCTGGCTAGTGTGACATCTTTACTAGTAGAATTGTACTATCAATAAAAACTTGGCCTGTGCACGCCTACCTATGCTGCTGTTGATAGCACAGCCCCCTTTCATTCATGCATCCCATCAATACACATGCTTCAATCAATGATGTCGCTGTTGCATTTACACATTCGACATAGCAACCTTGAATGATTGGGCTTGTTGTGTTGGTACCATTGCTACTAGTACTTGATAGAGAGAACCCCAGCACCACCACTTAGTGATGTGATGCTGCCACGTATGGAGTTGCCGGGAATTGATGATAGTCGACGCAAGATTTCATATCATTGGGGGGGATGTCGGATGGTACCAATGGTAGTAGACGAGGAGTAAGTGATGATACTCGTAACGGATCTTCTCTTCTAGAGAAGGATAAGGAAATAAGGATTACATGTATTTATAACCAGTGATGGGTACCTTTGAATATCCATGGACACTGGGTATGGATACTTTTGTGATCCTAAAAAGGAGGAAAGAGTGATACATAAAACATCTATTAGGAATGTTAGATTGTTAGGGAGCCACTACTACAATGAGCCTTAACGTTGATCATTGAATATCCATTTTTAGAATATGCTTTATCCCGCCTAAGATAGGACGCATAATGAAAGTGGATGTCCATTCATAAACCAGGAACTGAGATATACAAGGTATCAACATTAAGCATACATCGGCTATCACAATTCACTCCGTGTGCTCAAAATCCACAAAATAAGACGATGTCCAAGGTTTGTGTGTGTGTACATTACAGAAAGGAAAAGCGATGACACCTTCTAACTGATAAGCATAAACATATAGTGCGCAAACGTACATGTTCCGGCCACCACGTCTCCGAACGGGAGGGTTGTTGTGATATAACAGCTTCCATTTTCATACATACCTTGATAGATCTTCATCATTGGATGTTGTTTACATACCTTTTTAAAGACAACCGTCATCCAATTTATGCAGCAACCTGTCAACGGCGTTAGTATGTAACCACCACATGCAATTTCACTCATTCTTCACCTTGTCTATAGTGCTCTCGACACCAAACATTAGGAGTAAGCATCTCCATCACGCGTAAAACAGGTAGCTGTAATGAGTGAGATGCTACGGGAAAGCGTTTGTTCTTTGCTCATTGTCAATGGCTTCACTCATATTAGAGCCAAAAGATGTGGAGGGGCGTGTTTGTGTAATAAAGTCGAGAGGGGCAAACCTTGAAGGACCGATCCTATTGGCGGGGAGTGCATAATGAATCTCTCACCCTACTATAGCAATGTCCTCCTACGATAGCGCGAATGGAGCTTTTTAAGTCACCATGGTATGTCTAGTAGGTCAAGGTGATCAATGCACCCGAAAGTGTCTTGTAAGAAGGTGTACCAAATGTAAGGTGTAAAACTGCTTTCTTGTGACGCAAGCTGTTTTATTCTAGCTGTTTGAGCAAAGTGAAGCTTCTAGATGTTGCGTAATAATTCATCCAGCAAAGAGGGATAATTCGGGATTATTCAAAGGAGCTTATGCACAAAACAAACGCGCATAAAAGAGAGGGGTCGGGAACTTGAAGGAACCTTACTAAGCCGTCTGTCACTTTGAAGGGCCAATCGTAAAAGGGAAATTACCCGGCGATCGGGAAAATGTGGGTGGGGTTGATGATTTTCTATAAAGCCGATCCATGCACACGCGTTCTTGTTGTCGTGTAGTACAACCCTATCTTTCTTTTCTCTCATTTATTGATAACGCTTACTATGGTCCTTGCCAATCGTCTCAACGCCTGGAAAAACTTGCAACAACATTATGACCAAGCCGGTCAACACATTATCATCAAGGATCTTTTCAAGCAGGATGCCAACCGCTTTACCAAGTATTCAAGACGTTTTGCTGGCACAGATAGCGAAATCTTGGTTGACCTTTCCAAAAACCGTATCAATGATGACACACTTTCACTATTGCTTGAACTTGCTCGTGAGGCCAAGGTTGAAGAAATGCGTAACAAGATGTTTGCTGGTGAGCACATCAACTTTACGGAAGATCGTGCCGTGCTCCATGTTGCCTTACGAAACTTGAGCAACAACCCCATCTATGATAATGGCGTGGATGTGATGCCTGAAGTGCGTGATGTGCTGGCACATATGAAGGAATTTTCAGAGGCCATTCGTTCTGGTGCCTGGAAAGGATACACCGGTAAAGCTATTACTGATGTCGTCAATATTGGTATTGGTGGCTCTGATCTTGGCCCTGTCATGGTGACTGAAGCTCTCAAGCCTTATGGCAAGGATGGTTTACGTGTACACTTTGTATCCAACATCGATGGTACCCATATTGCTGAAGTCCTCAAATCGGTGAATCCTGAGACGACCTTGTTTATTGTGGCAAGCAAGACATTCACCACCCAAGAGACCATTACTAATGCTACAACGGCCAAGGATTGGTTTCTCGCTACGGCAAAAGACGTAAGTCGGGAAAGCTGAGATGGAATGTCATACCTTACTAATGCATAACAAACAATAGATTACTCACGTGGCCAAGCACTTTGTTGCCTTGTCCACCAACACCGCTGCTGTTACCGCATTTGGCATTGATGCAAAGAACATGTTCAAGTTTTGGGATTGGGTTGGTGGTCGCTACTCGCTTTGGTCAGCTATTGGCCTTTCAATTGCTATCTATGTTGGCTTTGACAATTTTGAACAATTATTGCGTGGTGCCCATGAGATGGATCAACACTTTTTGAATGCTCCTCTTGAAGAAAACATTCCTGTATTGCTTGCTGTCATTGGTGTGTGGTACAACAACTTTTTCGGTGCTGAGAGTGAGGCCATTTTACCCTATGATCAATACATGCATCGTTTCTCTGCATACTTCCAGCAAGGTGATATGGAGTCGAATGGCAAATACGTGTCACGTTCAGGCGAGCGAGTTGAAACCTCCACTGGTCCTGTCATTTGGGGTGAGCCTGGTACCAATGGTCAACATGCTTTCTATCAGCTCATCCACCAAGGCACAAAGCTGATCCCTTGTGATTTCTTGGCTCCTGTTGAAACACACAATCCCCTTGGCAATCATCATGATATTTTATTATCCAACTTTTTCGCTCAAACGGAAGCTCTTATGGTTGGCAAAACCGAGGAACAAGTGCGTGCTGAGATGGGGCCCAATGCCGACTCCAATATCGTTCCCCATCGTATCTTTTTGGGTAACAAGCCAACCAATTCGATCCTTTTCCAAAAATTGACGCCAGCTACACTTGGTGCATTGATTGCCATGTACGAGCACAAGATCTTTGTGCAAGGTATTATTTGGGATATCAACTCGTTTGATCAATGGGGTGTGGAGCTTGGTAAGCAGCTTGCCAAAGCCATTCTTCCTGAGTTGAGCCAAGAAGGCGATATCACTTCTCATGATGCTTCTACCAACGGCTTGATCAATTACTACAAGTCCCACAAGAAGAATTAGATGATAGCAATGTAGAAGCGTTTTAACTCATTTCCCACACCAATTGCTTTGTAAATAGCACCCAATCATCTTCACAATAAGCACATCATAGATAAAAGCAAAATCCAATCGCCTGCATATGACTTTGCTTATGCGGATACCACTCTACTCGTAAAGGATTAGAAATGGTCCACAACGAAGACTAGAAGATGATAATATAGAATCATTGTTTTTATTTTCCATGTCGTTTGCTTTGAATACTACATTCACAATAATAAACTTTAGGATTAGCATAGATGGAGAGGGAGAAGGAGAGAGACATTGTATTGATTCTCAGTGAAACACGTGCACTTCCAGCAGTGGGGATAGGTATTCAAATGCTGCGACGTCACATGAGACGGATAATGATCCACCAGTGGCAGGAGAGAAAGAGAGGAACCCAATACCTTTGCTTCCGCTTTTACTCTTTACACACACACATACACACTATGGAGGATCTTGAGCAATTGGAGCGATTGTCACTTGTCAACAAGGTGGTGAGCGAGCTCTACAATCATACAGGATTGAGCGATAAGGTGTTAGGTATGTGATTGCTTGAATGCAGGTTGACAAGGTGGACTCCATGCTGATCCATGCACCAACCTCTTTGTAGCCGAATACATTTTGCATTTGCATGACGAAGCCAAGGGATCGCTGGCCAAGTTCAAGTCTTCACTCAAGGATGCCGACTTTTCAGAATCGTTTATTGAGAACCTGGATCGCATAATCAACACCATGAAGCCGAAACCGGGTTTATCACAGCAACCAGCCGAAGTCAAGGCAGAGACGTTACCAGGTCTTGCTATGGCGGATGACCCCAACTGGTATCAAAAGCGACAAGAAGATTTGAATGTAGCAGATGATATGATGGCAGAATTGGAACGTGGTGAGCAACAACGACAACGAAGCCCTTCACCACCCGCACGTTCACGACGACGATCTCGTAGCCCTCGACGACGACATCATCGATCTCGTACTCCACCTCGTCGACGTGAAAAACCAGATGATGCACCTGTCATTTACAAGATTTACAATGGTCGTGTTACCAACATGCGTGATTTTGGTGCGTTTGTACAACTCGATGGTGTTCGTGGAAGAGTGGAAGGCATGGTACACGTCAAACAGATTGCACCTGGTATGGTTCGTCATCCTAGTGATATCGTACGTCGCAATCAGCAGGTCAAGGTCAAGGTGATGTCTGTTGCTGGATCACGTATCAGCTTGTCAATGAAGGATGTGGATCAAGAGACTGGCGAGGATTTATCACCCAATTTACGCGTACGATCCAAAGAGGAAATGGATTCACTTGCAACTCGTAATCCTGATCGACCAGCATCAGCTATTCGTCGCCAATTTGATGATGATGGCCCCAATCGTGCCGTTAAACGCATGTCTTCGCCCGAACGTTGGGAGATTAAGCAATTGATTGCTTCTGGTGTGGTGAATGCTGCTGATTATCCCGATATCGACAAGGATGCAAATGACTTTGAAGCTGATATGGAAGCTGAAGAGGAGATTGATGTGGAAGTGCGTGAAGAAGAGCCACCCTTTTTACGTGGTCAGACCAAAAAGACATTGCAACTTAGTCCTGTCAAAGTGGTTAAGATCCCTGATGGTACAATGAATCGATCAGCATTAGCAGGTGCAGCATTGGCTAAGGAACGACGTGAACTTCGACACCAACAACAAAATGAAGAGATGGATCAAGCTGCAAAGGATGTCAATAAGCCATGGTTGGATCCAATGCCTGAACCTGGTGAACGCCAATTTGCGCAGGATTTACGTGGAGCAGCAGCTGCTGGTCAACAACCCAAATCAGAATGGAAACAAGCTACGTTCAACAGTGCAACTAGTTTCGGCAAGATCACCAATCTATCAATCCAAGAGCAGCGTGAATCATTGCCTATCTTCAAGCTGAGATCATCCTTGGTACAAGCTATTTCAGAGAATCAGTTCTTGGTGGTGGTTGGTGATACTGGATCTGGAAAGACGACACAAATGACACAATACCTTGCTGAAGAAGGTTTCTCGAATCTTGGTCGTATTGGATGTACTCAACCTCGTCGTGTGGCTGCCATGTCCGTTGCTAAGCGTGTTGCTGAGGAAGTGGGTTGTCGTGTTGGCCAAGAAGTGGGTTACACTATTCGTTTCGAAGATTGTACAAGCCCCGACACTCGCATCAAGTACATGACCGATGGTATGCTTTTGCGTGAATGCTTGATCGATCCAGCCATGTCCAATTACTCGGTGGTCATTCTTGACGAAGCTCACGAACGTACTATTTCTACCGATGTATTGTTTGGTTTATTGAAACGTAAGTTTAAAGGTCATTGGTTGCTAGGTTACGCTTTATTCACTAACATGCATGAATTATGATAGGTGCCGCAAAGATTCGACCTGATCTCAAGCTCATCATCACGTCAGCAACATTGGATGCCGATAAGTTTGCCAGCTATTTCAACAATTGTCCTATTTTCACTATTCCCGGTCGAACGTATCCTGTCGAGGTGCTATACACCAAAGATCCTGAACCCGATTATCTCGATGCAGCATTGATTACGGTGATGCAAATTCACTTGTCAGAACCACCTGGAGACATCTTGCTGTTCTTGACAGGTCAAGAAGAGATTGATACATCATGCGAGATTCTTTACGAGCGTATGAAGGCCCTTGGATCAGAAGTACCGGAGCTTATCATCTTACCGGTGTACAGTGCTCTTCCCAGTGAAATGCAATCACGTATCTTTGATCCAGCACCTCCTGGCAGTCGTAAGGTTGTTATTGCTACCAACATTGCAGAAACATCCATCACCATTGATGGCATTTACTATGTGGTGGATCCTGGATTTGTCAAGCAAAACAAGTGGGATGCAAAGTTGGGTATGGATTCGCTTGTGGTGGTACCTATTTCTCAAGCAGCTGCTCGTCAGCGCGCAGGACGTGCTGGTCGCACTGGTCCTGGCAAATGTTATCGACTTTACACTGAAGCTGCCTATCGCAATGAAATGCTTCCCAACACAATTCCTGAAATTCAGCTTCTCAATCTCAGCATGACCGTATTGATGCTCAAGGCTATGGGTATCAACGATTTGTTGCATTTTGATTTCATGGATCCGCCACCTGAAGCCAACATGATTCAAGCTCTTGAACAACTTTATGCATTGCAAGCATTGGATGATGAAGGGTTATTGACACGTTTGGGACGCAAGATGGCTGAATTCCCATTGGAACCACAATTATCCAAAATGTTGATCCAATCCGTTGATCTTGGATGCTCCGAAGAAATCTTGACGATCGTTGCCATGCTCACAGCACAAAATGTGTTCTATCGACCCAAGGAAAAACAAGCTCAAGCTGATGCCAAAAAGGCGAAGTTCCATCAACCCGAAGGTGACCACCTCACACTCCTCACTGTATTCAATGGATGGAAAGCCAACAGTTACGCCAACCCATGGTGTTTTGAAAACTTTATTCAATCACGCAGCATGAAACGAGCATTGGATGTACGCAAGCAACTTGTGGGCATTATGGATCGATATAAGCACGACATTGTATCATGCGGCCGCAATTATACCCGTGTCTGTAAAGCACTTGTGTCTGGTTATTTCCGCAATGCTGCTAAGAAGGATCCACAAGAAGGTTACAAGACGCTATTGGAAGGCACACCCGTATACATTCATCCATCAAGTGCATTATTTAACAAGGGGCCTGAATGGGTTATTTATCACGAAATTGTGTTTACATCCAAGGAGTACATGCGTGAAGTGACAGCCATTGATCCAAAGTGGTTGACAGAGGCAGCACCGACCTTTTTCCGAGTGGCCGATGCTAACAAGATATCCAAACGCAAGAGACAAGAAAAGATTGAGCCATTGTTCAACCGATACGAGAAACCCAACCAGTGGCGTCTTAGCAAAGTCAAGCGAGGTGGTAGAATTAGTCAAACATTTGGATAGGGTATTTTACGAAGGATATAAAGATAATAATATATCGCGGGTCTTGTTCCTGGATTTCCACCTTGTTGTTGTTGTTCAATAGGAATGGCTTGTTCTTGTCGCCATGTCCACCCCGTACATTTTGGATCGGAGGGTGGGTGATCACGCTCACTTGAATATGAAATAGATAGCCATACACCGTTAGGTCGAGTTACTGATAAGACATGATCTGATAATTGATGTTGCATTGCCAAATCATCCGTATCACCCGTTGCTAGGCAATCACATAAGCTCTTGTCAATGACAACACTGAATCCTTGGCTTGTAGGATCAAATCTTGCTAATCCATCAAGGCAGTTGGCTGCATGCCATTCAATTTTGGGATAACGATTGACGTCTGTAAGCTGCTTCATACGCTCAATCACATTGGGTGCGTAATCAACGTTGATCACATGGGGATAACCGCTATCGGCAATATCGAATCCAAGTGTCGAGTTACCACAACCTGATCAGGATCGGGCGATATGAGCACATAGCATAGCTTATGCATTGTTGAGTTTACACACCTATATGTAAAATAGGCTCGTCTTGGTGCAAGTAAGGCTCTACCAGTGGCTTGAGGATAGGCCAATCTGCGAGCCATTCAAAATGTTCTTCTTTTTCAAATCGATCCTCCCAATATTCTTTCAAGTGAAAAGGAACGGTTTTAGCCATTGAAGAAAAGGGTAAAAAGAGATAAGAGAAAGAAAGGAAAAGGCAGAAAGTAGATTGAGCTAAACAAGTTATAGTTTCGCGTTCGTCGATCGATATCTTATTGGCTATACGACACTCTGGTGGCACCCAAATTGTGTTTCCGCCGTGTTCCATTTCTCCCACACACACGCACGTTCTTTTCTCTCTCCCCGCCTCGCTCCCTACATCCCTTCCGTTGCACGGCAGCTGATATCCTGTATTTGACATGGGCCGTCAAAAGTCCTCTTCAACAACCAAGAATGCTCTCATTACACAGTTCTTCAAGAAGCCAGAAGCCAATGCCAAGAAGCAAATAGCCAAGAATGACGAGAACGCTTTGACCGAACAAGAGATTCAAGAACGCAATCGACGTCTTCTTCAGCGTGTGGACGAAGGTGATCACAAGAAGAAACGACCCGTTTTGCGGCCAGCTTTAAGCGATAAGAGTGGTTTGGGTGGTGGTCTTGGTACAAAGCAAACTGCTAAGGCACCAAAACGACACGAGCCAGCATGCAATGTGCTATGTGATAATGAGGAACCTATCAAGAAGGACGTTGGAAACAGCAAAACGACCATCAATGTTAAGGAACGACGAGCACCATTGCAGGAAAAGGAAGTGGAAACAACCAAAGTATCGATGCCAAAATCATGGTCGACGAGCAGGAACACGTTGAATGAAAAAGAATCACCATCACCCATCCGCAGTCGCGAGGAACACCACAAATCTGAAACCGTTGCCAAGGATACCAGTGATTCATCGTCGTCAATATCACCATGCACCAAAGATCAACCTACAGCACGTGTCAAAAGACGACGCATTGAGGATGAATTTATGATGCCCACCACCATACGTAAAGTACTCCCTCTCAGACCATTATCACGACAATCATCTGGAGAGGAGGAACAGCACAAAGGAGACAATGAGACAACGAGCGACAACGACAAAGCAACCATATACCCCAATGAAGAAGAAGATGATGATGACGATGATGAAGATGAAGATGCCGTTTGTCCTGTTTATTCTTCTCCTTTATCCTCTCAAGACGACCCATTATCACTATCACCAGAGCTTCGACCACCCACATCTGATTTACAACCATCACCTGAATGCCCGTCATCACCTTATGAAAGCCAATCATCCAACAACAACCGATCACCTACCCTTCATTCATCACCAGATCACACGCTTCCATTATCATTGACTGAACAATACGAGGAACATGCTGCTTTTCCAGTACCACGAGGAAGGAATCTGGTAGAAAAACTTGGAATCCAGGACCCTGCTTCAAGTCAATCATCATCACATTCCACCGACAAGGACGAACAAAATCTAGCATAGTAATATCATCATTTTGACCATCAGCTACAACCTCCTATCAATCCATTCTTGCTTGCACACAAACGTATATATACATTACAAAATCTTGTTTACTTTATTGTTCCTTATTATAACATGACATTCACCTTTCTTTTTGTTTGGAAATGCCCTTTGTGTGTTGTACAATGAGCCATTGTTGAGGAATGTTTGTAGTCATAGCGTCTTTGTATGAGATCAATAGTAAGCATTGGGGTTGGCCATCTCATGTTATCAAATACACATGTTGAAGTACTGTCAGGAGCCACGTTTCCACTGATGGCATTGATAAAAGATTCCAACAATTGTCCCATAGCTCTCTCTTTTAATACACTTGCGGTATTATTATTATCCTGATTTGTTAACCACACTACTATAATCGATCCTTCATCATTCACTATTGCTGTCAAAGGAGTGGAGATCCTGCAGCACTATCTGTAGGCTGTGGGAGCCCAGCTGGCCAATCACGACGATGATTTGATTTCAGCAAGTTAAAGAGTCGCCGACACTTGCAACGTGTTGCTTTCTTTACAGTTCCTCTCTTCTTCCGTTGCAACGGGGCTCTATCCGACAAGTAATTCACATCTCTCAACAACAATGGCAGCACGAATAAAAACAGCTTACAATGAACACGTATAGGAAAAAAGGAACGCTACTGTCGATCGCATTTCAACATGGCAACCACCGACCTTTGTTACACGCTCGTTCATCAAGATGACGCGACCGAGCAAATGACCTTGCAGGATTTCCAGCGCGCACTCGAAAAAGGCTCTGATGAAGTGCGAATTCAAGCTATGCAAAAGCTGCTTGTCATCATGCTCAATGGCGATCCTATGGAGAAGCTACTGCTGCACGTTATCCGTTTCGTCCTCCCTTCCAAAAACAAGCAGCTCAAGAAACTACTTCACTTTTACTGGGAGATTTGCCCAAAGACGAAGCCCGATGGCAAGTTGAAGGAAGAGTTTATTCTTGTTTGGTAAGCATCGTTTTTCTCTTTGCTTGCTCTTTGGATGATCGATTTACATATATGTATTCTATAGCAACGCCCTGAGAAACGATTTACAACATCCCAACGAATACATTCGTGGTGCCACTCTCCGATTCTTGTGCAAGATCCGTGAAGCTGAAGTCTTAGAACCACTTATTGCATCCATCCGTGCATGCTTGGTAAGATGAAGGATATAGGGGAAAGATCAGGAACAACAAATGGATTAACTATGGGGATCATTAGGAACATCGTCATTCGTATGTACGCAAGAACGCCGTATTTGCTGTTGGATCCATCTACAGACATTTCGATTATCTCTTCCCTGATGCTCCTCAGGTGATTCAATCATTCTTGGTTGGCGTAAGTATTTCAACCCTATAACGAAACAACATGCGTTGACGACATATTATTATTATTATTATAGGAAGCGGATATGTCTTGTCGTCGAAATGCATTTGCCGTCCTTTGCAACGTGGATCGACCTCTCGCTGTTGAATACCTTCATTCAGTATTTGCACTTGTCCCATCATTTGATGAATTGCTTCAACTCGCTGTTCTCGAATTGATTCGCAAGGATAGCAAGGCAAACTCGGCCAACAAGGTGAGTTACTATAAACAATTGACATGATTCATTTTATTGATTTGCATCTTGTATACAGGGCGCCTATATTCGATGTGTCTCAGAATTGTTGACCGCCGCCTCTCACTCTGTAAAGTATGAAGCAGCCAATATCTTGATGGTGTTGACGTCCAATCCTGCCGCTGTTAAAGGTAGGTTCTCGATACAAAATGACTCTGTACATACAGCTTATTGATGAACAATTCCCCTCCACTAGCTGCTGCAACATGCTATATCGAATTGGCTGTCAAGGAGTCCGACAACAATGTCAAGCTGATTGTGCTCGATCGTTTGGACAATTTGCTTTCTAAGCAGGAGCGCAAGTTGGATGATTTGGTCATGGATATTCTACGCATCCTTTCCAGGTAATTGAGAGAGTGTAGGTAGCATGGATAAAGAACTCGTTGCTAAAGGATGTACTATTTTCTTTGCAGCCCTGATATTGACGTACGACGTAAGACGCTCCGCATTGCTATGGATCTCGTGTCTTCAAGAAACGTACAAGATGTTATCCTCTTTTTGAAGAAGGAATTGGTTAAAACACACGACCAAGAATATGAAAAGGTTCGTACCCATTGCGATTCATATACGTGTTTGCTTACATAGATTGTATGCTTTGATAGAACACCGAATACCGCCAACTTTTGGTACAATCCATTCACTCATGCGCTGTCAAGTTCTCTGAAGTTGCTGCCAATGTTGTTCATGTGCTCATGGAATTCCTTGGAGATTCGAACAACCCTTCAGCTGTGGATGTTGTATCATTTGTACGAGAAGTCATGGAAAAGTTCCCCGAGTTGCGTCAATCTGTGCTTGAGAAGCTTTTGGACACATTTATGGATATGAAGTCTGGAAAGGTGTTCCGTGGCGCTCTTTGGATTATTGGTGAATACTGCTTGGATGCAAAGGAAATCGATGAAGCATGGGCACGTATTCGAGAAGCTATTGGCGAAATCCCTATTTTGGCATCAGAGCAACGCTTGCTTGAAGCAACAGAAGAGGATGAGGAAAAACCTGCCGAAGATGCCAAATCAGTGCCCTCTGGTAATGCTGCACCACGTCGTATCTTGCCTGATGGTACCTATGCCACTGAAAGCAGTTACACTGTTCAATCCAGCAACACCGCCAAATTGGATGCTGTCAAATCAGCCACTAAACCCCCTCTCCGAGGTAAGATTCTATCTCTATATTTACTCCCTTACCTTTACTAATGTTATTTTGTTATAGCTTTGTTGCTTGTCAATGGTGATTATTTCCTTGGAAGTGTTTTGGCCACCACCCTTGTCAAATTGGTGCTGCGATATACCAAGATCGTTTCCGATACAGCCGCTGTCAATGCTCGTCGAGCAGAAGCTATGTTGATTATGACCAGCATTATCCGAGTCGGCCAATCTCAATTTGTCACTCATCACATTGACGAGGACTCCTATGACCGTATTATGCAAGATTTACGTGTCATTGGTAACCGCGATCAACCAGTCATTGATAAGGTGTATCTTGAAGATAGCCGAAACGCTTTTGCAAAACAAATCCAAGCTGAGGAGGTATGATATGAAACATTTGAGAATCAAGTTTATCTCAATTTAACACGCTTTTCTCATCTTTAGCAACGAGCTGCCGCTGAAAAAGAAAAGGGCAAGGCCGCTGAAGTTCAAGTCGATGATACAATTGTATTTAGACAGTTCTCCAAGAAAGCCAATGACACTGCCGTTGACGAGGTAACAAGGAAAAAATGGCTTTATTCATGTCGTGTGCTTACACATTACTATAGTACGAACAAGATTTGGTCCGAGCTACTGGTGTTTTGGATAGCAAGGATGACCTCATGTCCAAGTTGAGCCGCATTGTACAACTCACTGGTTTCTCTGATTCTGTTTACGCTGAAGCTGTTGTTAATGTCCATCAATACGACATTCTTATGGGTACGTTAGTTATAAGAGAGAGAGAGCGCTGCAATCGATGGTACTTACTTTTTTTTCTCATATAGATGTCCTTATTGTCAATCAAACAAATGAAACTCTGCAAAACTTGACGGTGGAATTTGCCACTCTTGGAGATCTTAAACTTGTCGATCGACCAGCAGCACACAACTTGGCACCCCACTCATTCTTGACCGTGAAGGCTCCTATCAAGGTTTCATCCACTGAGACGGGCGTTATCTTTGGCAACATCGTCTATGATTCACACACTGCCAACGAGAATAGCTGTGTCGTGGTGCTCAACGACATCCATATCGATATTATGGACTATATCAACCCTGCATACTGCACAGAAACACAGGTAATTATGATGGCTTTTTCTTTATCTTACATGTAATTAATGCGTCATTTATTATAGTTCCGAAGCATGTGGAGCGAGTTTGAATGGGAAAATAAGGTCAATGTGAACACAAACATCACGTAAGTATGGAACGGATCTCATGATATTGGATATGCAATAACATTTGGATATAGTGACTTGAGAGAGTACCTTAAGCACATCATGGCATCGACCAACATGAGTTGTCTAACACCTGAGAAACAATTGGAGGGCGATTGTGGTTTCCTTTCTGCAAACATGTACGCTAGAAGTATCTTTGGAGAGGATGCACTTGCAAATCTTTCGATTGAAAAGCCTGGTGATGCACCCATTGCCGGTCATATCCGTATTCGCAGCAAGACCCAGGGCATTGCATTGAGTCTTGGTAAGTCTACTCCCTCATGTTTCATCATCCTCCCCTCAAGTACTAACAAATCATATCATATAGGTGACAAAATCACATTGGCACAAAAGGTTGCAGCGTAGAAGATCCATTACTATTGATAGAAAAAGTTGTTGTTGTCAAGTTTTAATTCTACGTATCGCACTTTGTATTCATATTCTCCTCTCCCATCCCTTTATAAAGAAAGCCATTCCCATATCATTCTTTTGTCCGCTGATACTGTAGACCATGATTGTGCTGGCATAATGGGGAAACCCGTCCTTATCATTGTTATATTGCCAACTCTACAAACAGATATACAGTTTATTTGCGATCAAGGTGCTTATTTGGAGAGAGCATTTTGGATGGCCTCGTAGACTTCGATCTCGATCTTGGCAGCAGCCTTCTCGGCATCAGAGCCAGAGCCGTTAGCGACACGTTGGGCATCAGCGAGAGCAGCTTGGACGTTCTATGATTGGAAAAATAGCCATATGATCAATCATCCTATCCATTGCATATATATCCTTTTCTTTGTTTCATCATCCTCTTACCTCGGCAGAGAGTTCATCAATAGCAGCAGCTTCAACAGCGTTGATGTTGAGAGTGGAGTCAGGGTTGATGATAGCGAAACCGCCAGAGACTAGAAAACATGGCCATTCCCCCATGGTAAGTTATGACAAGTCATTATCCTATATCCTTATCGATACGTACCGAAGAACTTCTTGGTCACATCACCAGATTCAACGACCTCGACAACACCAGGGTTGAGTTGCTCAATGGTGGGAACGTGGTTGGCAAGGATACCCATGTCACCAGAGGTGGCAGCCAAGTTAACTTGCTGGACGTCAGTAGCCTTGTACAAAGCCTATTTATATAGAATGTAGGGTTAACAATCGCGTATAAAAAAGCCATGTTGACGCGCCCTGAGGAGCATGGGGTGTTGCATTACTGACCTTGTGGGGCAAGACGAAGGTCAAACGAAGGTTGTCAGCAGCAGCAGGGGCTTCAGAAGCGTAACCTCTGGCTGTAGAAAAATAAACGTAAAGGTTTTTTGTGTCAACATTGAGAATGAGATGAGCTGAATGCGGTGGTAATTACCAAGGGCAGGTCGAAGAGCGCGAACAGATCTGGCAAAGACGTTCATGGTAGGGTGAATGGAGACAACAGGAAAGAAAAATAAGAGGTCCAGAGAAATTTTGCCTACCACCCCAGCGCCTACCCTTGGCTCGCCGCTATCCACCAGCCCTAGCGGACGATGTCATCATCCGCGTGACTTTTGCTCATTGTGGGGGACCTAATTTCCGTTATCACTTTTCTTCTTGTCGATAGCCAACCTTCATGCACATCATACATTGTTAGCATCCTAGTCACTTTTACCTTGTAATCCATATGAATACAAATACCTTATGAAGATTGATAAATTATATATCGAGGCTTTGTGTATTCGTCGCTAGGATTCATTGTTGACGGGGGTCGTCTAGCAACTGTTGTTACCATGGCAACCATAACCATCCTACCAACACATCCCATATCAGCGCCGTTATTAAGTAGAGTACACACCGGCAGTGCTTGTCATGTTGTTGCGCTTGAACCCATATTCCTTGTTGCTCTATGATACCATGTTTCCCCAATCTCAATGTTTAACCTTCCCAATCCATTATACAACGGGAGCAATTTTCTCTCTGCATATAGTTTACACTCATTTTCATTGTCTACTACTACCACCAATTAACGACACCAAAAGCAATCTGCCACTTTTGTGCTGTTCATTACATTAAAAGGTACAGGTCAAGATGTTTGAAAATGAAAGCAGCATCCATGTGTCGAAAGATGAGGAGCACAGTGCAGCAGCCATTGGTAACAATGATAGGTATGGGCAAATGCTATACGTTAAGAAACGTCGCTGTGGGTGTTGTCGACAACATCCAAGACATCGACAACAACCCCGAGTCTTTGATGTCGCAAATGATCTATTATCCAATGAAAAGCCGTCTCAGAGTTGTCGACAACACCAGGATTTTGAAGCGCCGACAACACTCTTGTTGTCGACAACGCGAATTTCCCAGCCGAGTGAAACAGATCTACTTCTGTTCTCTTTACCAATTGCCAATCGCCCTGGAACACTTTATGAGCAAGCACATCTTGGAGACCGATGAAGTCAAAAAAATCATAATTGACGCTGTGATGGGTGAGTTCCTACTAGGTCTACTAAAGCTTTATTGTATACTCATTGCTCTTTCATGTCTTTTGGGGGTGCCTGTATTAGGAGGAAACCACGACAAGTATTGGACAAGACCTACAGAGTGGCCAAATGGAATGAAGTCGGATATCTTGTACGCCACTGATGACAGCAAGGCTATGCCTCCCGTTCTTGTTGAGGTGCAGCATGTGGTGGATGACAAATTTATGCACCGTGTCGTTCGAAATTGTGAAGAGATCATCAGCCGATATGATGTTGCACCTACTGTATTGATCATTGCAGTAAGCGAATGCAGGCTTCAAGTATTGAAGAGGATAACTGCTTACAAGTCAAAGCCCTTTTTCTTCAAGCTCCCTTCCTACCCATGGGCAAACCAGTGCTTGATCCTCAGCAAAGAATCAATCTCTTCACATGTTAACGAGCCAACTCTGGATCCCATTGTCGCTCTTGGATCTTTTTTTGTGGATCAAAAACAATCCTTGGCCGACCAAGTCCATCGTCGTGACCCGACTATTCAACAATTGTACGAGCTCGCCAAACATATATGTAGGAACCAGATTACAGCCGAGTCATCTTCATCAAGTCATCTTTTGCGTGTTATCATGGATGTCGAATCACATTTTCGCAAGGCAATTGATGTGCTTAACGAGGATGTTGCTGATGGAAGTGCAAAGAGGACCATTGATTGTTTGGAAGAAGGGATGACTGTATTAAGAGATTGCAAGCGCCAACACATGTCAAACCGCCGGTCACCATCATCATCATCTCAATCATCAACAGATGGCATACCCGAATCACCATCTCAGCCATCTTCAACAAATGAATCATCATCTCGTCGACAGTCTACCTCTTCAACAATTCTATCAACAAACGGCAACCTCAATTGGCAATTTGTTGAGAGGTTCTTTGACCAACTTGGAAACAAAAAGATGAATTGGAAACTTTGTTATGAGGAAGGCCGTCGCAAAGGCCATTTTAAGAATTATTCCAATCACGAAAGTCTCAAGAACGCATACAATCGCAAAAAGTCCAAGAAAAAGTGAAAGAACCAATCCACAACTTCATATACCAGTTTCCCCTTAGCATGTAAATCCCCCTTGTCATCTCATATATAAAATGCAGCAACCATTAAAAGCATGTTTTCATTGTTACTTATAATGACATTTGGCCATTGTCTCCTACTACTAGGGCAAGTGGCTCTCTTTAATTACGGCGTAGAGTGATCTACGCACACCATTATATGGGCTACAGCCATTTGAAAGTAAAATGAGGAACAACACAGGATCTCACTGTGAGTTTGTATGTGAAGAGAACTTTAATTATTCGCAGCTATCTACATCCTAATGCTTATCATGCAAGTGATTTGCAACGTACAAGTGACAGGCTCAATTTTGTCTCAGCTGGGAGTTGGATGTCGTCCTTTCGCCCATCTTCCAACAATGGACCACACCCTGTAAGTTGCCCACCTCACTCCTTGAATCTTACATCCATTTTGATATCTAACCATGGTGTAAAGTGACTTGAAGATCCCTTTCCCAACAAACCGGTTAGCGAATATCGCTGAGCAAGTTCTTGGTGTCGACAAGGAACTGAAGACCGATCAAGTGAAACGTACAACGGTCGTCAATGACAACATCCTCGAAGCGTAAGCGATGCCTATTCTTCCAGTAATCCAACCCGCTGACGTCTAACATGTTGCTTCTCAAAAGGCGATTCGAGTGTGTGTCAGCACGCATGATGCGCGTCTCGGTGAATTCCTTTTTGGAGATGCTGTCCATGGTGACGAGAACGATGGATCAATACGATGTATGAGAGGGAAAATACTATTGTGTTTGTATGTTATATAAAGCATGTGTTACTATTTCCCCTCGTTCATTTTACCCGTGTACTGTATTTGCAGCTTGTTGCGACAACACCTTGTTTCGACTTTGCTTTTTATATTTACATTCTCGCTCTGCGTGTGTGTGTGTGCGTTATCCAAGATGGTGCTCGCTAACGAACTCAGCGCATGGAAGAAGCTTCAAAAACACTATGATGATACGGGCCGCAATCTTGTGATGAAAGAGCTCTTTCAAAAGGATGCTGATCGATTCAAAAAGTATTCACGTGAATTCAAAGGCTCCACGGATGATATGATGATCCTACTCGACTTTTCGAAGAATCGCATCAACGATGATACGCTTGCATTACTACTTGATGTTGCTCGTGAAGCCAAGGTCGAGGAGATGCGTGACAAGATGTTTGCCGGTGATCATATCAACTTTACCGAAGACCGTGCCGTGTTGCATGTTGCTTTACGCAACTTGGGTGATAAGCCAATCTACGACAATGGAGAGGATGTCATGCCTGAAGTGCGAGAGGTGTTGCAGCATATGAAGGAATTCTCTGACGCTATCCGATCGGGCCAATGGAAGGGATACACTGGAAAAGCTATCACGGATGTTGTCAATATTGGTATTGGTGGTTCTGATCTTGGACCTGTTATGGTGACTGAGGCGCTCAAACATTACGCCAAGCCTGGTTTGCGTGCTCATTTTGTATCCAACATTGATGGTACACACATTGCCGAGGTGCTCAAATCGGTTGATCCTGAAACGACCCTCTTTATTGTGGCAAGCAAGACATTCACCACCCAAGAAACCATCACCAATGCCACATCAGCTAAAAATTGGTTCTTGAAACATGCTGGAGGCGAGGTATTTATTGAAGCAAAAGAATCATAGTGTCTTTTTCGTATTCAAACGAATGATTTTAGATTGCTCATGTTGCCAAGCATTTTGTGGCTCTTTCCACCAATACAGCTGCTGTTCAAGAATTTGGTATTGATCCAAAGAACATGTTCAAGTTTTGGGATTGGGTTGGTGGACGCTATTCGCTATGGTCAGCCATTGGTCTTTCAATTGCCATTTACATTGGATTTGACAACTTTAAAGAGCTGCTGCGAGGTGCCTATGAGATGGATCAGCATTTCCTCAACACGCCACTCGAGAACAACATTCCTGTTTTGATGGCATTGATGGGTGTATGGTACAACAACTTTTTCGGGGCGGAAACAGAAGCCATTTTACCCTATGATCAATACATGCATCGTTTCCCTGCATACTTTCAACAAGGTGATATGGAGTCGAATGGCAAGTATGTGTCACGTTCGGGCAAGCGAGTCAAGACGTCGACGGGTCCTATCATTTGGGGTGAACCTGGCACCAATGGACAACATGCATTCTATCAGCTCATTCATCAAGGCACCAAGTTGATCCCTTGCGACTTTTTGGCACCTATTGAGACGCTGAATCCAATCGAACATGGGAAGCACCATGATATTTTGCTGTCCAACTTTTTTGCACAACCTGAAGCATTGATGGTGGGTAAAACGGAGGAACAAGTGCGCAAGGAAATGGGATCCAAGGCAACCGACAACATTGTTCCCCATCGTATCTTTTTGGGTAATAAGCCAACCAACTCGATCCTCTTTCAACGATTGACGCCCTCGTCACTTGGTGCACTGATAGCCATGTATGAACACAAGATCTTCACTCAAGGTGTGATTTGGGATATCAACTCGTTTGATCAATGGGGCGTGGAGCTCGGCAAACAACTAGCCAAGGTGATTCAACCTGAATTGACAAAGAAAGGCGACATTTCCAGCCATGATGCATCCACCAATGGTCTCATCAATCTTTACAAGAAGCGTAAACAAAGCTATGAGTAATCAATCAATCACATGGAGCAAGCAATCATGCTTGGGAGATCACATGTAGTACAAACCCATGCAGCGTGCAGTAATCATACATAATAAAATTGGTCTTCTTTTCCTGCATCTTTATTCTTGTTCTCTCTCTCTCACGCTCTACTCTTTTAACCATGCCCACTTTTACTTCTAGTAACCACACAATGTCGCCTGAAGAAAGCTACGGTCGCCTCGACGAATTCCTGTACACCAATCAGAACAACGCCATGAGCTTCACAGTCGACGATGACAACCACGGCATGGGTCTTTTATGCGCCCATTTGAAAGACGATCAAACGCGTGCTACTACTGTAAGGCTCAACAAGCATCAAATTGGAGACTTTATGAGAAGCCATGGTTTCAAATGTGAATCGCCTTCCCTTCAAGATCCTTCCACTGCCATTCGCTGTGTACGCCCTCCTATGCAACAATAGCCTTTCTCTCTCTTTCTTTTTTCCTTGAAACCCTTCATCCCTTACATTGAAAACAAACATGTGTTCTTGTATTATTTGAAGCAGCTTACCGTTTTATATGTCGGCTATCGCGTAGATAATACTTTGACAAGTTATCTTCATTAAATGAATTGCTACTATCAAATCGTCTATATATGAACTATAATGGTTACCATGACAACCATTGACCAATGTGGTTTTTTATATCTTGTTGTTGGCAATGAGACTCTATCTGAATACGTTTTGAGAGAGGAGCTCGCTTCTAATGTTCCTGCTGACCTTTCTTCCTTCAACTTCAAGTGAGTAATCGGGGTTAACATGCGTATCCATGACGGCCTTCAAGCATGAAATTTATTCCCTTCTGGTTGCCACCCTTCCCATACGTCCTTTCCAATGGCACTATCATGCTTGTTGCTTTGTTCTCTCTCCATGGATACCAATAACACCATGAATTCCCGAAAAGGCAATTCGGTGGGCTAACATGTCATTTCAACACTCACTGTCAGTTAAGCGTAGATAGTTGAATGGTACAATTTCTGCCTTCCAAGCAGAAGGTCGGGGTTCGATTCCCCGTCTACGCATAACTTGCGTGTTCTTCTTTTTTAAATTGTCGTTATCGTATGGCTGATTAGATCAGTGGCCAATGATATAACTTTTGGTGTTGCTATGATAAGTTGATCTTTTATTGCTAAGGATGTTCACGATATATATATGTTCAATGTATGGATTCTATGAATGATGTGGAAGATACTAGTAAAGGGCTTCTAGCAATTGCCAGCATCAAAAGGAAAAGGGTTCTAGAAGGAACGAGCAAAAGCTAGGTCACGTGGTCACATGACCTACGACAAAATTCCGAACGTTGATGTTACACAAACATCCGTGGTCTGTGCGTATCACGCTGTTCTTTTATCACCATGAATCCATGGTATTGCATGTATGTGTATGATCACAAACATCAAAACTAACAACGTATTCTCTCGCTTTTCGCTCGTAACATGTTTGTGTGTGTGTATTCAATAGCTTATCACTAATTTTGCTTACTACAAGATGATATAAATGTATCTGTACAATTATGTGTATTGTATGTGTATATGAGATTGCGCTAGCAAGATGACTAAGGATGCTTTTTTTTACATTTGTGGAGGATCATTGGAAGGTGCCTGATGTTGTTGTTGTTGATGCTGCTGCTGCTGTTGTAGCTGTTGTCGCTGCAGAAGCATACGTTGCTGTAAATCTCGAAGTGCTTGTGGTGTTAGATTGGCAAGGCTTGCATTCATTTGTAACCCGGCAGGTAATCCATTGTTTCCTCCCATGCCTGCATTTTGTAAATTAAGGTTCGACATCAACAAACTCTGCTGTGTTAAACCTGGTCGTATACCTATATACAACAAGATTAGCTTCCATTCATATCATCCCGCATGAGGAAGAATGAAGAGAACTTACCATTCATTGCATTGACAGGACTTCCCATCGCTGCCGAATTCATCATGCCTTGTTGATTTTGTTGCTGTTGAGATTGCTGTGGTTGAGATTGTTGAGGCTGAGACTGCTGCTGCTGTTGTTGTTGTTGTTGCTGTTGTTGTTGTTGTTGCTGTTGTTGTTGTTGTTGCTGTTGTTGGCGTTGGATGGCTTGCAATATAGCAGCGTTATTCATCATATTAGGATTCATATTCGCCATCGACAATCCCATAAGGGTCATAGGTACATTGCTAGTAGGAGCATTTGGCGTCATTCCAGGATTACTTTGAGGTTGCTGCTGCTGCTGCTGTTGTTGTTGTTGTTGTTGCAGTCGTTGTTGCTGCTGTTGTTGCTGGGCAGCCATTGCTGCTGCAGCTGCAGCTGGGTGCGATAAATTGTTAAAGTCTGGCAATGGGACGCGTGCAAAAAGAACACCCGCAAGACGAGGACCATATGCTGTAAGGATCAATCCATGCTGTGGTTCATTGGTGTTGGTAGAGAATACAGCTCTAGCAAGCTAAAGAATACATGGTCTTATATTAGAAAAGAGAGATCCATGAGCTCCAAATCATGAAGGACTTACCGATTTCTTTTGATCCAGGTTCTTTATTAAGAGGTTAAAGTTGTTGTGGTCTTGTGCTGTGCTGGTGTCGAGTGGTCGAAAAATGCAATATGGCAATTGATGCTCATTCACCTTCATATTCAGCATTGCATTGGCTACAGCATTTGATGCTCGTCCTGCGATGGTGATACGCTGTGGCCACATCTCAGGATAACTAAATCATAGCAAGGTTAAATGGATGCCCTTTTTTCCATAACAAGTACTTACTAATCCTCTCGGCTGATGGTGGTTCCTTTCTTGATCATAGCAAATGCACCACAAAAGCAAGTGAATTCTTGAAAAGAGTTATCCATTTGCTTGATATGCCATACAATTTGACCAGTCCAAATAGGCACGTTTTGAACAGGCTGTTGCTGTTGTTGTTGTTGTTGTTGAACCATTTGTGCTTGCATCATTTGTTGTTGTGAAGGATTGCTGCTATCAGCTCCACCTACCATGGCAGGTCGTTGAGGAGACTGTTGTTGTGATTGCTTTTGTTGCTGTTGCTGTTGTTGCATACTGAATTGTTGAGCTAGCATCATGCGTTGTTGTGGAGTGAGCATGTTTTGCATTTGAGCAGGATTGGATGTGTTGATATTCCTTTGTTGTATATCAGCCTGTGCTTGTTGCGGGGTATTGGAGACGTCAGATACATTGGGAGGTCGTACTTGGGTGCCACCAAATGCCATGGGTGATGATGTCGCATTGGTTGCCATGGGACCAGATCCTGACATTGGTATGTTTTGTTGCTGTTGTTGTTGTTGTTGTTGTTCGCTGCTTTTCATTGCTGCAAACTTTTGTAATGCTGCATTGATAGCCATTAATTGTTGTTGCTGCTGTGCCGTCCTTTGAGGTTGTGCCATTAACAATTTGCGTTGTTGTATGAGTTGTTGAATTTGTGCAGGTGTTGGCATAGGTCGTGGTGGTGTACCTCCCTTGGCCATCTGTGCAGGCTGCTGTTGATGCATTATTTGTTGAGGCGTCTGCTGTGGTGTTTGTTGAGGTTGTGGTTGTGGCTGTGGTGGTTGTTGTGGAGGTGCCGGTTGTTGAGTAGGCATTGGTTGTGCTTGAGGAACTTGTTGCACTGGTTGTGGTTGCTGAGAAGGCGTAGTCTGTGGCTGCTGCTGCTGCTGTTGTTGTGTAGGTGGTGCAGGTGGTCGTTGCTGTGCCATTGTTGGAGCCGATACTGGTGCTGCTGTTGCAGCAGTGCTTGGTGGAGCCGATGCAGCTGCATTTGCCACATTCAACTGCTTTTGGGCCAACTGTGCAAATTTGGCAGGATCCACAGTAGCTTTTGGTAGATTGATTTGCCCAGGCACATTCTCTCGCTTTCTCTTTTTTGCTGATTCTGTCGATGATACTGATTGCGGTGAAGTAATCGCTTCTGATAGTCGTTTAGGTGTTGTCATTCCTTGAGCAGGCGTTGCTTTGGGCGTTTCTAATAGTGTGGATTAATACATATCTCATGAACCAATTAAGATCAAACGAACCTTGTTTGCTGATCTCTGGTGTTGGTTGCTGTGCAGGCTTTTCAGGCAACTTGAATCCAGCAAGCTTCACCGTATGCGATGGGGAAACAGTATTGGCCACCGTATGCAGCTCTATCTTTTTGTCGTTGACCTGGATACAAGTCATCGGTTATTAAGATAAGAGACAAGTGATACTAAACAGCATACTACATACCTCGTTGACGATTCTTTCATAATCGGCATAGCCTTTGGATGGTGTGATCAATGATAAATGGATATCATGCTAAGGGATAGCATTATTAATCTCTCAACTTACATTCACCATTCCCCCCTCCCGATGATCCTTTTACCTTGCGCATGTCTTGTACAATGTTCTCAAGCGTATAATTGCTATACTTGTCATCCAAATTTTGTCGAGTGCCTATTTGATGCGGCAAGCTGTTGGAAATCAAAATGCAGTGCAACGTAGGTTCGCCGACCATTCCATCCAATTCAGTGCGATATTCATCAAACATCTATATGAATATGTTTACATTAGCCTATACCCTTTATAATAGTGTCCCATGCAACCTACCTCGAGAGCAGCGACCAATCCTTCACTTGTTGCGTTCCTTACAATACCGCCATCCACACAAGAAATGCTCCTAAAGATCTCTTGGAATAGCGATAGATCCGATGTAAAGTATTTGCGATCCACTGTCACCATCGATCCAGGCTCGTAATCACCAAAGATGACCATGCCATATTTGAGGATAGGCTGTATAAGACATGTATCAATTAAGAGTAGAAAAAGAGCGTTCGAAGATCACTTACGGTTACTTTGGTCTTTGGGTGTCGCTCGTCCCCTTCTGTTGAGGAGCGTAGCTGCCTATATACATCCAACGGTTGGTAAGGAATATATCCTGCTTGAAAATATGCCGGCTATAACTCACTTGAGGATCGGATCAACGTAGGCATTGATAATCACGTCGAGATGTGGTTGCATTCGTGCTGTTCCTTCTACGACAAACAGACATGCCACTTCCTTTCGGATATGACTAACAGTTTGCATTTGAGGAGAAGCCTGGACATGAGGTGTAGGCGAAGGATGCGACCTTGGTGTGCCGATTGTTGTTGCAGCTGCTGGAGTAGACATAACTGCCAAAACGTGTCCGTCTAGTCAAAAGAGCAAAGCCAAAGGAGAACGCCCTCTCGCATTTCACCTCAGCTGAATTAAGTAGAACACACACACACACGCACCACACACGCGCCCAAAAGTATTGGAATGCTTTTCTTTCTTGTAAATCAATTATCATGCATCAATAGATAAACATGCCTTTATTCTTCCTCTTCTCCTTCAATACACATGCAAGATAATGTTTTTATGTACAAAGAATGTTCCTCATGCAGGGCTGTTTTTATTATTATTTTACTTTGGTTCCTGTCTTTTGTGCTCTATCATAAAGGAAAAGATGCATTAGCACACCACAATCATCTCTTCCTCTTCCCCGTCATCAGGTCATTTACCTGGCAGCTTTATCTTCTTCAAGAGCCTTTTGAATCAATTCAGTGGTCTCGCTCACCTTGACGACAGCAATTTGGGAGCAACGCAACACTTGATCCATTTCCAATGGTATACCTCCTGCTTTGGACAATGCGCATATTTCTTTGTGGATATTCATGGTGATCGTCATTGTGCCCACTCGCACCTTTTCTTCGAGATAATTAGGATCCACAACCATCAATTGACTAGAGATCATTGTCAGCGACCTATCCTTGTTTGTCTGATCAATCATCTTACCCTTTGTCAAAGAACGCAAATGTGACGCATATAGGGATATGGTGAATGCTCAATGGCACAGGATTACGTTGATCCACAGGATGCTGTAGCCAATACAATATTAGCATACGCTCATTCTATATCCAGACAAAGACACACTTACGATTGTTACTTCTTCGCCAATGACTGTGACATCAGGTCGTCGGAAATGCAAAAGGGCAGCAATAGCAGCGATACCAGCACAATCGATAATATTACCATCATGATCCAAAAAGTGGAGATCCACTCGAATAGCCCACACCTATCCACCCTTGAAATCAGTATACCTCCATCCTATCCAATACTCGTAATCACCATGTACCTTTTCACCAGCAACAATACATAAGCCCTCGGTATCAATAGCTCTGCTACGCCGTAATGCCTTCTCAACAATGCGGCTGATCAATACTTCTTCTTCAGGACGGCTACGTCATGTGATTGATCTTAGTATACATGATCCCTTGACCCATAATAATCCAAACAATGTACCTTCCAGATTCGAAAACAGGACTTGCCATTGGGGATATCTCTGTATTGAATATCAAGACACCTTCTGTGGGTTTATCAGCACGCGGCCGCTCCACCTTGGCAGTGACTCTTGCAGCCACTCTATGTAATCCAACGTGTATCAGTACCATCCTCATACCAAAACGACACCCATATCCTCATTCTCTCTACGAGGGGCCCCCATCGATCCCGCTATACCTTGTGCGTCCCAGTTGTACATTGACCTGGCCATAATCAGCACCAAACGTTATGTCGATAGATCGTACATCGTAGATACCACGGCCGTCGATGCGTCGTTTTTCTTCCAAGGCTTGCAGCAAGAATGTGCTTTCGTTGATGCTGGGATCAAGATCTTTGACCATGGCGTGTGTAGCTGTGTGTGTGTATGTCGCAAAGGGAAAGAAGACCACCAAGCCCGCTGGTATGCCTGACTCGAAAAAGCCACGGAATTCAAAGTAGCTGACATGTAGCAGTATCCATGCAACCCGTATCATGTATAATTCAATAATCCTTTAATCACGTGCATTTGCCAATACAATGTCTTTACAATCCAATGTCATCTCACACGTCCCCATTTCTTAAAGATATTGTTCGATCATTTCCTTACTACGCACATGTCGAATGCAAGCAAGTCCAGCCCAATCATTTATTCTTCGCTGCGAGTAGTGACAAATACATCTGAGGAACGGGTAGGGAAGTGACGAGAAGTTCATATCGGTATAGGCAGCGAGAATTCTTCTTGTAAAGGATCATCATCTATTGCTCTTCGCGTGCAGGAGGAGGACCACATGGTTGAAGCATTTTCTAATGATAAAAACCATCGAGGTTGAGTTTTCTTCCATTACAAGCATAAAGGATCACCTTACCTCCATCAAGTTGAACTTGACTCGGGCGCTGCATTCATTCTCGGCAATAGAAAAGTAGTTCAATAAAGGTGCATGGCCGATAAAAGACGCATAGCTGTCTCTGTGTTGGTTCGTCATCCATTCACTATGTTGATATCGTTAGCAACCTATCATCGACAACGACGTATCCTTGCATGATGACTTACTATTTGATCGTATCAGCATGGCCTGTGCCAACGTATTTCGACTGCACTATGAAGGTATAGATCATACTATTAAATCGATGGTCAATTGTGGACATTCCATATTCACTACTTACAATGCTCGATCTGACTATTGATGTTGAAGCGATCCTATAATAAAAGAGGCAGGCGATGAGTATATGGAAGTCGATCGGTGTTGGTTACTTACCATGTTGGTTGAAGGGCAAGACGTACAATCGGACTTGATCCACTTGTTCTGCGCCTTAAGAATATCGGGGGCTCTGGAGTTGACACCTTCCTACCTGCATCCTGCAATCACGCTTTGCTTTCATAGATGAACACCTGTAGACCCACCACAAAGATATCAGAGGGCTCCATAATAAAATAAACCATAGTCTCTATATCCCATACACGTATTCAGCGCTTTGATTCCTTGATGGATCACTTCGTTAAGGGCCATGATGATGAATGTTGAACCATCTTATAAGTGAACAAATCTATATAAGTGAACAAGTGATTAAAAACCCATCCTTCACTGTATGCAATGAACGTCCCAATCCCATTGAACAACTAGATTCATCCAAGAGTGAGGATGGTATGTTAAAGAATCTCAGTGCACGCATAATGTACACCACCCTCCGGCAAGTCACGATCCCAATGGTTATTATTTTCCCACAATCCCAGCGGACCTAATGAAGGTGCTTTCTTCTTCCTTTTTCAACACATCCATCATGTCTGCATTTCTTACCACTGTATCAAAGCGATCTATGCCTGCTATCCGTTCTCTTCAGCGAGCATCATTATCCACTCTTTCACAATCAGAGCGCACATCCCTTTTGCAACCCCTCTTATCCTCAGGATGGGCAATGACCGAAGGACGTGACGCGATCCACAAGAAATACGAGTTTAAGGACTTTAATCAAGCATTTGGCTTTATGACCCGCGTAGCTATCAAAGCTGACAAGATGGATCATCATCCAGAATGGTTCAATGTAAGCTAAATAGCCGAGTAGGATTGAAATTGAGACTCATTGTTCCATTATTATGCAGGTGTACAATCGCGTCGAGGTCACCTTATCAACACACGACTGCCAGGGCCTTTCTACACGTGATATTGAGCTAGCCAAGTTTTGCGACAACGTCAAGCAATAAACGTACTACCTTGTTGTGCACATTGTAGCGGGTCATTTTAACACAACGAGGATGCTCAGCGCATAAAAAGAAAGATGGTACGTGGGGGTGACCATACACACTATTGTTACCAATGGATACTGTACGATGATCCTCATCTTCCGACACATGGATGCAGCTTTCATTTTCAAACATCTCGATATGGTGGGCCTTGATAATGTCATGCTAAAATGGAAAGTCGTAATAATGGTTTGGCATCTACTTCTGATGCCGTAAATTGGTGGGAGTTCATTTAGAGAGAGCATTTTTAACGTTGTATAATGCATTGTTAAGCTGTGAGGATATAAACATTGCGATTTTGGAAGACGATACCTTAGGGTAATGAAAGATATGGATTCAAGCGCAATAACATGGCAAGCACTGCCGACGTCTAATGCTTGTTGTCGGCCAACTCCTGGTTATGGTATGTGTCTTCAAGTACGATAAGCATCAAGGATGATCCAATCATCTTTAATATCAGCACTGGGATTGCGCAATCTTGGTTTGAAGGTAGCATGCGGCAAATAGCAATGCTCGACCTTTTACATAGAAGATCAAATCATTGTTGGCATTGTGGTGGGCACTATCAGGGTGAAATGAGATGCCATGGATTATTACAGTAAGCACAACAGCGATCCAACTACTACATCTTAAATCTAGAACCATTTGTATCCATGCGATCACCTCCTTTGCCATAATTTTGAGATGCATTGAATTGCTTTTGCAAATGACGCCAAAAGATAAGGATGTTACTCTAGCCTTGATATGATGTTGATGCATAGGCTACAACAACTGCTGACATAGTGTTGATTGCTAAACTACCCACACGTGGCATTTGAATACGCCTCAACGGGAAATGACAGTAACAAACAACGATGATCACGTACACGCTTTAATCCCTTCGATCGTTTCACTTTGTATCCTTATCCGATGATGATGACAATGATGACCCAATAGTAAAAGTAGATCTTTGGATTCAAAACATCCTATGCACGACTTTTTTATCGAATGCCTTGGCATCTTCAAATGCATTACGATGCGTAGGTTTTAGCCGACGATGCAATATCAATGCAAGGGGTGCAATGGAAAAAAGAAAAACGTACACAGAAAAGGAGAATGACATTTGGGGAGTGTTTTTTGACTGGCATGAAGCCGATCGATGCTTGTGGCGTAACTCTATTTGATATCATTTCGAAGTGCGTAAATTTGTTTTGAATGATTGAGAGAGGAATAAGAATTATAGGCTTTATAATATCTCTATTATTGATGATGATGATAAGGTCTATGTCTTCTTTCTATGATGACATCGTTGTTTGCCTCGGATGCATGCTTGCACTTCGGGGCTGGATCGACAATGTTCTTCCATACGCCAATGTCGCTTCAGGGCATCGGTACGTGCAAACGCCTTTTTACAGCAGTGACACTCGTAAGGCTTATCCCCTGTATGTACCCTAAAATGACGTTGCAAGTCGTGCTTTCGAGTGAACCCACGTGGGCAAAGTGAGCAAGTGTAGGGTCGTGTTTTGTTGGAGATGGGGCGATATTGATGATTGTATGGGCTGGTTGTTGATGGAGGAGAAAGGGATGACGGCGGTGATAATGATGATGACGATGATGATGAAACACTAGGCAAAGAAGATTGGGTGGGTGGTAATGGTGGTAGTGATGTGCGTGGTGAAGGTAATGTCAACGCTGGAGGTATTGGAAGTTGTATATGACGTCGAGGAGAATGTTCTTGTTGCATTTCATGTTGATGGTGATTGTGGTGATGGTGATGATGGTTGCTATGGTGATGTTGACTTTGTACTAGCAGACTAGGAGAACAACAAGCCAATCCAACGGTGGATGAAAATGATGGCAAATACATGGCTGATAGGTCAATCGATGGGGGAGGAGAAAAAGTAAAAGAGAGCAAAGAAAATGACACCACAAACACGATTTGGTATATATATACATGCATTTATATACAGAGTTTAGACGATGATCCATGCACATTACGAGAAGGAATACCATAAATATAAACATGGCGTAAACCTTAAATATGATTCTACTTTACTCTCTCTCTCTCTCAAACACGCAGCGTCCACGACATTCCAGATTCCATCTTTTTCAGATATTTCTTCCGTGTCAATGAGCCAACCAGTAAATTCAATGTTGCCCGATCGTAATCCGGTATAAGATTTCTCAAATCATCCATGCTTAATGCTTGACCTTGTCGTTGATAAAACACATTGTAGACGTGAGTGAGTTTGGTGGATCCCGGTGGAATTTGAAAAGTGCGTCTGAAATCCTGCAGCCTAAAAGGACGTGGACCTTCTTCATCCTCTCGACGTACGCCGCCTTCTCCTGCTCCTCCACCTCCTCCTGCTCCTGTTGCTGCTGCTGCTGCTGCTGCTACGCCTCCTTCAGTGGTGGTCACTGTGATCAAACCCGTTTGTGAATTGAGTCCTGACATGTCGCTAGGTGTGGGTGATGTGGGTCGTAAGTAGTTTTGATAATCAGCCATGACTTGTTCAGCGATAGGTGTACTCGCAAGTGGCGACTGGTGGTTGTTATTGTTGTCATGGGAACGTTTCCTGCTAGGTGATTGCAAGCCATGATCATAAAGACGTGGTAATTCTTGTTCAGGAACCATGTTACGGAATGCTTCTCTACGCCGATTTGCAAAGGTCTGGAAATCAACAGCAGGGATGTTGTCGTTAAAAGAGTCGTCACCATGATCATTATCATCACCATCACCACCACGTTTGTCCTGAGCTGCTGCTGCTGCTGTTGTTGTTGTTGCCTGGCCAGCAGGTAAATCATCATCACGTGTCTCCTTATCGGAAGGTGTGCTTTGTGCATTCTGAGTATACATTAAATGATCCACCATCATGCGTGCTGCTTGTCGTGCTGGTGTTTTAAGCAATGTTTCAGGTGATGGACCAAATGGCATTGTATGTGGAGGTGAAAAACGTCGATGGGGCATGGATGCTGATAAAGATGAATCTGATAAGAAGGATGAAAAGGGACCTGCTGTTTGTGTTGGTGGTCGATCAGGTAGATTGTTTGGAATGCTTGTTGTAGTACGAGTAAGCTCATTTTGAAGTCGACGCCAAGGAGATCGGCTGACACTTGATGCGATCCTACTTGATGTTGAAGCAACCGATGGAAAAGGGGGTCGACTGGTGCTATTGATAGGTCGCTCAAATTGCTCCAAGAACCATACCCATATCTTGAATCATGTATGTTGTAAGTGAATGGATGATAGGATAAGCTTTGTCCTTTAATGTACCTGGTAGCCTTCTCGTATACTGCGAATGGTCTCTGCAAATTGCTCTACTTCAGGTAGGATTTCTCCAGACACGATCTGGTTGCATCGGACGAAATTCTGATCGATGTGTTGCAGTGTCAAGGTGATCTTTTGTTGCACGGCTTCCAATTGTGTGTTGAGCTCCTCTTCATCTGGTATCGATGTCATGATGTGTAGGTGGGGGGGGGGGGAGGAGAATAAAAGGTAAAAGCACAACGCGCTCCAAATCAATGCGACGCCACCACTATATTGACGAGGCAACAGAAACAAATTCCGCTTGGATCACGACGACCAATGTATGCATCAAGCCTACTTGTATTAGCTATACAATTGTTCTCAACTCATTAAACAAGTCATCGATTGCAATCATATCATCATTGAATGCTAAGGAATTTTCAGGCACGCATAGAGACCACATCACATGACTTTATTAAGCGTAAAGTATAGCGACCTTCTTCATCCTATGCATGTATAGCAGCTGTAGCTTTTATTGCCCCTTTGAGAGAATACATGCTTATCCTAGATTATCTAAGCAAAAGCAGCTGTGGGAACATTGTGACCCAGCTAATTATATCGCTTGCCTTTATGATGGTTCATTGAACGAGATCATTTGAACACGAATGTCTCGAAGATAGCAGTGTTTCTAAATTCATCATTCAACATTGATAAGATTACCAGGTTAGGGTACTTATAGAGTAGAACGAGTTTACTTGACATTGACAATTGTAAAATAAGGAATGATGCGTATTACACAATAGCGACGACGAGTGGCAATAGATAAATAATGGAATGGGTTTAATGGTGCAAGTGGGGTTTCGCACCATCCGCCGTATCGGGTTTGGCATAGTATTGCCCTGCAGGTGGTGGTGTACTGGATACCGCTGTGCTAGTATCATAATAATATCCATCGTATCCTCCATAGCCTGCTGGTGGTTGTTGCTGTTGGTCGGCATAGTAATAAGCTTGCTGTTGTTGCTGTTGCACAGCGGGGTTATCATAATAAGCTTGATGGGGTCCACCACCACCAGCAGCATAGTAATTGCCTTGATCATTAAGTCTTGGTAGGGTGGGAGATGCCATCATCGTTGTTGGACGACCTTGTTGTTGAGGGAAATCACTTTCAGCCAAACCAAAATCTTCAAATTCAGTGGGCCGCTTTTTGCCTTTGCCATTGTTTCGTTTGCGTTTTAGGCACAACCATGCAAATAATCCACCAACAAGGGCAACACCCACTATAATATCATTTTCATGTGAGTCTCTAAATATATATATAAATGGATTCACTTACCAACACCACCAACGGTACCACCGATAATGGCCCCTTTATGCTTTACGTCGTCACCACCATCGCCATCTTTTCCACTTGAAGAGCTCTCTGATGGTGTCTCTGAGCTAGTGTTAGAAGGTGACTCATCGCTGTTGGATGATGTTGGCTCATCGGTTGTACTTGGTTGGTCTGTAGGACGATTAGATGTGGTGGGATCAGATGACGTGGGTTCTTGGCTACTGGGTGGTGGATTGGATGATGCTGGTGGTGGGTTTCCACTGCTTGATGGCTCACCACCTGAGGATGCAGGGGGTGGTGGATCAGATGAACTTTGTGGTGGTGGATCACTCGAAGTAGCTGGTGGTGGATCACTCGAAGTAGCGGGTGGAGGGTCTGAAGATGTTGGTACAGGGTCTGAAGTAGCAGGCGGTGGTGGGTCGTCTGAAGTTGCTGGTGGTGGTGGATCATCACTCGACTGAGCATAAATCGTGGACACCAAGAAAAAGAGTATCCACAATAACGATTGTCGCATCACGAATAAACAATAAGGTAAAAAAGGGAGAGTGAGAAGGGAAAAAACTGTGTACAATCCTTTGTTTCTTTTCGAATGATGTGTGTGCTACAGTGAATCCTCTTGTCTTTCTATTTTAGCGCGCTTCAAGCTCCTTCTAATCTCTTCCTTTTCACGATCACTCTTGCGAGGCACAAACGCTGATCCATTCTCTTCAAGTGCTTTCACATCCATATCGCTAGTGGCCAATTGTCGTCGTCGTCGTCCAACAAGGGCAATGTTCTTGGTGCTGGGAATCCTTAAATAATCTTCTTCGCATTCAAATCCACATTGACCAATGATTCCTTTGATATAATTTGTGTACGCCTTGTATTTGCCTTCTGGTGCTCCGCCCAATGCCAATGTGCGAGTGCCATCCAATGCGTAAAAGCAACATGGTATCACAAAGAACCTATCCCCCAATGTAAGGAGCATGTTCAAAAACAGCATCCAATGATTTCCTTAACTTACTTGCATTGAGGACTCGATTTGTGAGCAATAACTGGTATCCTGTATGCCATCCATTGACTTGTAAGCTCGCGGGGAAAACGAGGTTAGGGTGAAAGTGATATACTTACCATGGTACAAGTTCATCAGCATGATTTCCAATCAACCAATCGGCATCCGGGAATGTGGACTGCGACGGATAAAGCGATTGCACTGTTTATGTTAGTTTCAATGTGTAACGCCAATGCTAAACCTTCAATTCCCTTTTTTCCCCACCCTTTTTGTTTACCTCTTAACAGATCATTGTTGCCATTTCGAAGCTTGGACCATATTTTTCTTTCAGCAATGTCAATCCCATAGCCTTGATATCCTTCGCTCGCCAACAAGTATGTCAAGAGCCCATTGCCACAACCAAGATCGACGAAACGAGGTTTTCTAAATATATCATCAGTTACCTGTTATTGCATCATTGTACCACGTTCTCCATAAACATGAGCGCGGATCATGCACACAAGTCCCTGATGTTGCTTACCTTTCCTCCTGTTGCCACAAACAAATAAGATAACTCGCAATAGCAATGTCTTCAAATACGAATTTGGAAGGATCCGTCTTTTCTGTCCACCCTCTTTTGAAATGTAAACAACATGCATGAGACCTCCAGAAATAATAATAACACCCTTGTTTCATCCTTACTTGACAAGATCTTGTGCATATTTTGATTTGAGTTTTTGGTACATGTCGGTGTAGGTATCCTTGGGAACGAGAACATCGTGGAATGCCTTCTTTTTGTATCCAATCCTTGCTTGAATGCACCATTTAAAGAGCTTGTGGAAAATCGTCTTGAGGGCGTATTGCTATCATCATCCAAATGGATTACCTTTCCTCTGTTCCATCACGTGATCACACGTTGTATGTATCCCCCACCTCCTCCTTACCATCTTTTTATCCTCAATTGCAGGAGTATCCAATGGGATGATCTCTAGCCGTAATGTGCCTTCCTGTTCGCTTCGAAACAAACAAATCAGTACATTGCATTGCATGCATGCATGGTTGTTGCACTCTCACCTGCTAGGCGATTCAATATATACAAAGCTGTACGATTTGACCTACATGGCATCACCACCACCACAACATAATCAGATGCCGTTCTCTCCACCTTGACATAGGGATGATACTACCTGCCTTTGGATAATAGAATGGTAATGATTGACCTTGATCCGGTTGATAAATCACGCGATTGCTTTCCTCTACAACATGATGAACATGTGAGTCATCATCATCATATCCATCCATCCAATTCATTTACAAGTATGTAATCTTACCTTGGTAAGTGACAATCTCGGTGAAGATGTCATCTTTGGACTTGCGTTTTGGAACAAGGTGTCTGTAGATGATACTCTCAGTGGATCGATCGAGTCGATTGGCCTTTTCAACCGGTGGAATGACATGTTGGGGTTCATCAGTCCATCGTTTCTTTATAGAACATGAGTAAATAAAGCGCGTTTATAGTTGTGTGTTGCCATGACAGCAATGGGGTGGCCTTACAATGGTTGCCCAAAACTCAATTTTGCTCGTGGGAACGATCTGTTCAGCGATCAGGTACCAAGTGTCTGGATCGTTGCCGTGGGTTATCGGTACAGGGTTCTCGAAATGCAATTCAGGGGCAAATTGTGCAAAGAGAGTGGAGGGATCAATGGCAGGTTGAGTCATGAAGGAAGAGGGCTGCTGGGTTTGCGTTTCTCTTTTACAGCAGCAGGAAAAGGAGCCAAGGTCGGGAGCACCCAAACCAGCTTAGTGTGTCTATATTCTTTGTCCGGATTATTATGCATGATGGTACCATAGAGCAGCAGCACCCATATATACTCCTCGGGACATTGATATGATCCATGTTGATCTATACTAAGGAGACTCTCTATCTACTTTTACTATAGACGCCCATTCAAGTTAAATGTTTTAGCGGGGTGTGAAGCCTGTTGATCTGCTGTACATGTACACAGCATTAGATTGAGACATCTTGTATGCATACAAACACGCCAGATGTATTTGTGTTTTTGTTACACCTTGTATGGATTTGGCGTTATAGCCAAGTAGTGGCAGGGGTGATGGCGGGAAGGCAACCCTTCATGTGCTTTATACATTATTTGGTTAAAAGCTCTCCCTTTCACTCTTTTTCCCTTTCTTTCTTTCTCTCTCTTACTCTCGGGTTACTCTTTCATTTGCGCATCTTGGGTTTACTCTTTCTCTTTCTCTCTCTCTTCCTCTTTCTTTTTTCATCCCCCGCATCAACTCGCATAGCAACCCACTTTTTCCCCCCTCTCCCTCACTTGCTCTTTACACTATTATGATTGCTGTACATGCTCAAGATGTCGAAATGGCAGAGATCGAACGACCCACCAAAAGAAGACTAAAGTGTTCAAGTGTCTCTTATTCACGTCAACTGAAACGAATTGGTGAGATTAAATGTCGTACACAGTAAATGCTTCCCCCCTTTAACATTCCCAGTCATAGATTTCCTGACAAACCTGCCATGTGAGGTTGTGCTACAAGTCATGTCATGGATGGATCTTGCGACTTTGTTGGGAATGGCAAGCGTATCGAAGAGGTGGTACGAGTTATCAAAGACAAACGACATTTGGCGGAGGCGCTTAATGGAAATGCATTGGTTGCCGATCCGCCCTTGTTCTTCCTCCTCCTCCACCACCACCTCCTCCTCCCGATCAATATCAGCATCCACAACAACCACCGATTGGTATTATTGGTACAAGCAACGTTATCAATTAGAAACCCGTTGGCGATCAGGCAATGTCACAACCCATTATTTGCTCGGTCATCAAGATAGCGTTTATTGTCTTCAATTCGATGCATCACAAATTGTCACTGGTGGCCGGGATAGAACTATACGCTTTTGGGACATGTCAACTTACACTTGCACTCGCACATTGGTCGGCCACGAAGGCAGCGTCCTTGCTTTACAATACAATGATCAGCTGATGGTATCAAGCTCCTCGGATACAACCGTCATTGTTTGGTGCATGAAAACATTCAAGCCCATTCAACGATTAAGGGTATGTATACAATCACTTCATGATTTGATAGAAGCTGACATGCGATGGATGGGGAATAGGGCCATGCTGGTGGTGTTTTGGATGTCTCTTTTGATGATCGTTACATTGTTTCATGCTCCAAGGACAAGACGATCAAGATATGGGAAACGAGTACAGGCCAATTGATTCGTACGATATCAGCACATCGAGGACCTGTCAATGCAGTACAACTTCGAGGAAATAAGATCGTATCAGCATCGGGCGATGGTTTAATCAAAATGTGGAACGTGGAGACCGGTGAATGCATTCGTGAATTTGCAGGTCATCATCGTGGGTTGACTTGTGTTCAATACGATGGGCGCAGGATTGTGAGCGGATCAAATGATCGCACTGTCAAACTTTGGGACGCGGAGGTAAAGTTATCCTTTCATATTATCCGTTCCTCTCCCCTTTGCTCCTTTTTTACTCATTCAACGCCATGTATATATTACTATAGACGGGCAATTGTATCCTGACTTGTGAAGGTAAGCTTAATCCCACCCTCTCCTTTGACTCCTTGCTTTACCCCCCGGGCCCCTGGATGCTGATCATTGCCTGTGTTCATTATTACCAATTATTTAGGTCATCAAGATCTCGTGAGAACAGTCCATTTTGATGAAGACCGTGTTGTCAGTGCCAGCTATGATCAAAGCATTCGCGTTTGGGATATAAAGTAGGTTGCAAGCGAACATGGCTACATCAAGCAAAAGAGCTGATTGATTCATTTCATTAGAACGGGAATGTGTATGCTCAACTTTCAAAGTGGCCACACAAGCTGGGTATTTGATGTGCGATTCGATAAGAACAGGATTGTCAGGCAAGTGATTACTTGAGAGTGATTAATTGCCCTATCTAATCTTAATTTATAGTGCAAGCCAGGACCAGCGTGTGCTGGTGATGGATTTCTCAACCGGTTTGGATACCAGCATCTTTGTATAATGCTTTATCATCACCTTTTTTTCTTTGTTTTACGTCATCTATCATTTGTTTTGCTTTCTTCTTTTGCCAAAAATGCACACCTTACATCTTAATTACAGAAGCTTAATACAACTCACAACAAATCTTCCATACATTTGCTTTTCAAAGTCGACCGCTTGCTTGTACATATATAAAAATGAACGAATCAAGTACAAAGACCATCATGTCTTGGTATGATGACTTTTAACCTTAACCTTCTTTTCTTGGCACGTTCCCTATTCGCTCTCATTCTTTGGCGTACAATTCAGGAAGCAATGACCGCAAATCATCGATAATGGATGATACCATGTAGCATTGTGGGGGTGAGTTTAGTAAACGTTTGACGTTTTTCAATGCCCTGGTATCGCACGTCGATCGCCAAATGATCGCCCGGTAGCTGTACGACTAAACAATGACGACGAGGTGATTGAAAAATGTACTTTGTCGCTGGTCCTTCCGTTCCGGAAATGTCGTTCATGACCAACCATTGTGACCAGCAACCTATACAATTCCGCTATCCACGCGTTCTCTACATACATATACCACCCATTTCATCGCCAATGTTTGTGGTTCTTTAATAATAAGATCACCTTCCACAATGATGAAGAAGCAATGATGTGCGTATCAAGGAATGTATTTGGGTATACGTGAAACGTAGGTTGGGTCACGATGGTTGATATGGGTGGGCTATGGAAGTAATTAGCTAGAGCGGACAGCACCGATGAATATAAAGTTTATAGTGCAAATCCTTGTCATGATGGTTACAGCGGCTTCGACCGAGGTAAAAGTTCATCTTTATATTGACAAGTCAGCAATTATTGATCACTGCTTCTTTTCTTTTGTACATACTTTTGGACCACCTCCGTAGTAGTATCATCCATGATGTTTGATCCTTCGTATACCCAAGCATCACCTTTAGAACAGCAACCATTCTTCCCCATGGATTGGTTAGAGTGCATGTATAATATACCGATTGCAGCATCCAGCAGCATCAATCCCGAATGGTATCATCAGCAACAAAACGCTACCCATCAGTATCAGCCTTCATCTCTTGTATCAACACCTACTTGCTTTGAAGCATCACTGACGTTTTCATCCCAACAACCAATGGAGCACGAGTTTTCGTTCACCTACCACCCGATCCAAAGTATTTGAGCATGAACCTTGCATAAACGAGTTGCCATGACTGATCAAGCGGATATAGATGTTAGCAATAACAATGATCCAATGTTAGCTTCTCACATACCACCTTATCCTAATGATGGCAACAATAAGGAGTCACCCACTTTGAAGCAACAAACCACCATATGGGGGCAAAATACGCGATATGATACCCATGAATCGAGCCAAGATCACTATACTCCCCGATGGGTGCGGTACACGGGCCATCGCAAGGAAGGCTTTTGTGAGAGTTGTAAGCCTGGCAGATGGCTTCAGCTGAAGAACAGTGCCTATTGGTATCATAAGCAATTCTTTCATGGCATCTCTTCTGTTACAGGAGCACGATTTCGAGATCCTATTGAGCGTCGTGTGAGAAAAGATATGATTGAAGGTCTCTGCCACCAATGCCATCAATTTGTTCCAATGGGTAGACAGGGTAGAAAATACACGAGATACTCTCATCAACAACCAAGCGTGCTGTGGTACAGGCATGCACACAAGGTAAAAGCGAAAAAAAGAGTACAAACATGCTATATGATCATGCTAATATCCATTTATAGTGTCACATTAATGATAGATCAAGGCCTACTGCAGCTGAAAAACGTGCATTAGCCAAAAAAGCAGTAATGATGTTGTAATGCTTCCTCTACAATCATAAAGCCTTGTTGAAAATGCTGTGAAAGGTCACAATGGGTTGTCATTCTCTCCTTTTTCCACTTGAGTGCTCATCAGACCTGAGATATGAAATGCATCGAATTACATTCGTAGCTGGTGGTGAAGCATGACTTTATCCTCTTTTGGATCATGAGTGCATAAAAGTAATTATGTATGTATGCAGGGCCACCCCCATCCCCGAGCATTAAAATGACATCAGCCGTCGTCAATTCCATCATTACACAACACACACAGAGAGACAGGGATGATAATAATAAAGATGTTTTATCCGAGAATAAAAGGTACAGTACCAAAAGCTTGACCTTGATGACGCACTTGTCCTAACACTTCTTGTACCTTGAGATTGTACCAGTCTCGCTCCGAAATGTTCATTCTCCATTTGCTTTGTAAGGTGTTGTGACCATAATGTTTGCGATAGAACCAAAGGATGGGCCATGCGAGAATCCACAAGCAAGTAATGAAGAACAAGAATCGCACCGCCTTGTTATCAGCAAGTCGTGATAAATCGGATCCTGATTTGATGGTGATTCGATATTCCTTCATCTCGAATGAGATCTCCACCGAGTGATAATAACCATGGGCTCGAATGGCGGCTGTGAAGGCTATACATATACCCATACTAATCAGATGACACGTATTGTATTCTCAATGAATGTGTTTACCTCGTGTCAATTCTGGATAATTCCATTCAATCACCTTGGTGAGTCGTAATTCCTTGAGCTTGTTGTGCTCATGGACGTAATCATCACACAATTGTCGTACAGTCTTCACTTGACCAGTCTTTTTGTCGGGTGTCACATACATTCCAATGCATTGCGGAGAAACGTATTCGCTGCAATCAATTTGAAAGCAAAAATCATCCACACGTGTCGTTACTGGCTTTGATCCCCTTGTCAGTTTTACCATGTTTGATCCCCCTTTGCAAGTCAACTTACTTCACGTTCCTCAACCCAATTGCCATCATTGTCACGTGAGCTACGCGTACGCCAATGCGTCTCCTCATGGTATCCTTTACGAGATGACGATGATGATAGGTGAGATCGAGTCTTTACATCACATGTTTCTTTTTTCAAGTGATACCATAGAATCGTACTGCCATCTTGGGTGTCGTATTATGCTGATGAAGGAACTGGAGGATGGCTTCACCATCTTGGTTAAGGTGCTGGTCGCGTGTCATGATTTCACCTGAGGATGATGTCTCATAAGGTGCTCGATAGATAGAATAAGTGGGTGGTGCAGGACGTCCTCGATAAGGGTCATTGTCATTCTCGACGTGGCTCTCTTGTAACAAGGGATCAGTGACATCGTCGTGATCGGGTACTACAGCTGGATTGTATGCAGGAATGGATGCATCTGGTACATGAGTTGACTTGTCGTTTGTAGTGGTGGTATTATTATCAGCGAGTTGTCCAACTGCTTCGTCATAAGAAGGTGGTGCCGAAGCCGATGAGGACGAGGGCATCTCATTAGCTGGTGGTGCACTCGAAGCTGGACTGGTATAAGTGTAATAGTAGTTGGCAGGATGGTTCTGTTTGCTCATAAGGGTCGTCGTATTCTGAAAAAGAAGAAGAGCTTGGCTTCTTGGCAAAGCCGACTTTATTGAATTGTCTCACATTTGTCCACACTCTATTTGCATATAAATACAACATGATTAGTTCCTTTTTCTATTCTTGTCTCTTGTATCCTTATTCTCGATTTACCTGTAATCTTAACGGGTAGCTTGGGTCGATTGTTTTGTCCAGTGGATACGTTTTCTATTCAATCATTCATTATTCAGTGTTCCGTTCACGTGGATCAATATCCTTTTGCTACGTACCAATCTTTCGCAAAGTCAATAAACCATCCACCAAATGTCCAAATACAACGTGTTTTCCATCCAAAAAGTCGCACTTGTCGCAAGTGATAAAGAATTGGCATCCATTGGTGTTGGGTCCTGAATTGGCCATGGACAATAATCCTGCTTGGTTGTGCTTGACTGTAAAGTTCTCATCTTCGAATCGCTCACCATAGATGCTCATGGATCCAGTACCATCACCCTACATTTCATCCCACATGATGAATGAACCTTTGAATACCATTCAATCCATCCCTTGTTTTACCTTGAGGAAGTCGCCACCTTGCACCATGAAATCCTTGATCACTCTGAATAGCGAACCATGGTTAAGCATGTTGCCATGGATACGATGGCCCATTTACCCTACCTGTGGAATAAGCAGTTCTTGTATCCTTGAGGCACACCGTTATGTCTAGACAACAAGATATCAGTATATGGATTGGGTGATATTATCCATTGATGCTCACTTGTATTCTCCTGTGCAGAGTTGCCTATACGCGTCGAATTAGCAATGGTATAGATCTCGAGTATAGATCAAGCGTACCGAAAGTTCTCTGCCGTTTTGGGGACAATGTCAGAATAGAGTTCCATCTTTAGGCGTCCTACAGGGACATCGCCAATAGAAATGTCGAAAAAGACAATGGGTCGCTCTTCAGTGGATGCCATTTGAGAGTGAATGTGTAGTGTGTGTGTGTGTGTACGAGTTTGAAAGAGCGGAAATGGATTCAAGCAAAGGAAAATGCAAGAACAAGCCATGTACCCCACCCCACCCAACCCCACTGAGCTCCCAATACTCGTGATAGTACAAATAGGATGTCTTCATTGATATAATTTGGTATGATAGCTAAGTTAAAACTTGCGTTTGCCGGTCATCACTTCGGACCACATCTTAAAGTCGCAAATAAAGGACCAAATAGGATAACGGAATGTAGCCGGTTTGCTTGATACAACATGGGTTAATAAAGCCGTTGCCAGGATACCATGGTTGTTGTTGCTTACTTTTTTTCAAAGATGAAATGACCAACCCAAGCAAATGCATAGCCTTGTATCAATGCCACGAGCAACAAATGTGGTTTTCGTTTCATTGCAGCCAACAATGTGATCACCAATGACAAGGTGGTACCTGCATCATCGAATCGCGGATATACAATCAACCCCTTGTCTCTTGCACACGACCCCATCGAATCGCCCACCATTCCAATTACCCATGAGATGCAGACGACGATTGGTCACATTGCAGTGTTCACCGAGATAGAATGGATAGAAAGCTGCAAGGCTCTTGAAGCCTCCTTCAGGCTCGCTACGTTGAGAATAGTTATGGTTTACAACAGTCATCCTGTGAAAATAAAAAGAAAGAACAGGGAAACAAAGAGCAGTAGGATTTCCCCAGATGGTTCTCTAAAGGGAAAATTACACAATAGAAATGACATGTGAAGTGGTGGATAGCATTGTTGCATAGCAACCACAAGTCTTTGTTAAGCGTGATACAATCGACCCCCGTGTACATGATTGAAATCCAGAAAAACTTCTTTGTAATCTGTTTCCCCTTTGTGGGAGTATTTACCTTTTGCCCTCTTTATATTACGGCATGAGGGATTGTACGGCAGAAAGAAATGGGTGTTTGCCCACGCTGGTATATCTCACCAGAGGCCGTCTAATGCTTGGGCTCACGGGATTACCCGCGTAACATTTCTCTCCCAACAACATATATATAAAAGACAATGACAGTGGTGGCTTTGCTCAATCATGCATGAATCCTCCCTTTTGAAACAATGAGCATCCCATCATCCAAAAAGAAAAAAAGAGAATATAAGCGGATTTTATACTACAAATGGTTGCATGCTTTCTTATTTCATGGCATTGACAATGCTATTTACAAAGTATGGCACGATCTTGGGAACCACTTCCAAATCGGGCATTTCAATAGTCATCTCGTGGGCCACAGCAGAAGAGGTATCGCTGCCTGATTCCGAGTACAAGTCATCTTCCAATTCTTCATCATCGAGCTCGGCCAAATCCTGGAATACACCCATGACTTCGGACTTGTTGGGCAAGAAATCAAAAGCTTCACTGGCCATGGCAACATCATCATTCTCCTCCATCATGAGCTTTTGTCGTCGACGTTTCATGTGCTGATCCTTGCGCTTACGATGATACTCGCAGATGGCATCAATATCCTTTTGCAAAGCAGCATCCTTGGCAGAAACACCGGCATCCTCAATCACCTTATCCAAATCAATACGCTGGGGCAAACCATGGGCAACGAGAGCAAAGGTATTGTCAACGTAGCTTAAAAGCTCATCAAAGAGACGCGTCTTGTCATTGGCATGCACTTGGTGCACAAAGTGATAGAATTGCTGTTCATGGCGTTGTACCAGTTGCACAAAAGGTTGAGCCGTGTTGGTAATGTCTTGCATATCCAAGCTGTCAATCACACCGATAAGATCGTCAATGAAGGCTGATAGGTGCTGGAGTGAGTCACCAATGTTGGCAGCTCGATACACTTCTGCAAGTGGTTGGTAAAACATGGCAAAGATTTCACGCAATAGATCGCCAGTAGCTCCTTGGAACATGAGTTCACCCAAAATACGATGTTCACGTTGACGTGCATACATGGCCCATAATTGATGTAATTGAGTCACAAGCAAGCGAGATTCCATGTTGGATGAATCCTTGGCTCCTGCCACCTTTACGATTTGCTCGGGAGTCAATGCAGGTTCAATATCAGCATTCTTTAACATGTCCAATGTCTCGTCCACGGTGGATCGTACTAGTAGTAAATGCCATGTGAGTGAGTGATGGAGTGTCTTTTGTAACCTATTATCTTGAACCTACCTCGAGTACGTTGGGTAACAATATCATCCGAAATGGGCGTCTCAATAGCATTCTTGATCTTTTGACAAAGGGCAGGATCACTAATCTTGGCTTCCAAATTGTTGATATCTTGTTGAAGCTGCTTTGCATTATCATTCATGTTGGATGCAATGATGCGCTGCAAGAGACTACGTCGACCAAAAGGCTGTGTCAGGAACAGATCCAAAATACCCTTGACCATAGCAAATGGATTGGAAAGCTTCAACAGCTGAGCAATGGCACGATAGGGCATGAGCATGTTGGTACGCTTGAGATTGGCAATGTTTTCAGCTGAACGATCGGACGTGACAAATTGAGTATGAAGCACAAAAGCAAAGCTAAATGACAAGAGGAGGCGATTAGTATCCATCATCACCTATATGATAACGTCTTTCTACTTACTTGATACGGCCCCATTCAAATGCTTTACGAAGAGCGGGTGGTAATTCCTCAATCTTTTCAGTTGTTTTGATAATGTTGAAGATCTCAATGAGACCACCAGGCTGCATGATTTGTTTCTTGAGCATGTCCAATAAATCATTGAGCTCTGCCATCTTTTGATCCACCTCGTTCCTGAACTTGGCTTCCTCTTCAGCTCTCGCCTTATCCATCTTATCACGCATATCAGCGTCAGCGACTTGAGACTCAGTCAGCGTGATAGCATTCTCAGTCAAGAAACGTTTCAAGATTTGGCTCTTGGCAAGACGAGGTTCGGTTGCTATGCGACGTAAAAAGGATCGGAGCAACAAGCGATCTTGTTCACGATAAAAATGACTTGGCAACGGGTTGTTGGATTTGCTGCTGCTACGACGACGAGGAGAACGAAGATGCAACGTGTGCTGTTTTTCTGAACCCTCATCAGTGGCATCGGATAAAGCATCGCTGGCTTTGCGGGGTGGACCGGGGACATCTTCTGTCGGGTATTCGGCAGCCAAGTCTTGCGCAAGTTGTCGAAAGTCGCCATGTCGTCGGGCCACAAATACAGGTTCTGCATGGCCTTCCATATAGGTGCATACAATAAACTCGGTATGGGTCTTTTCACGTAACGTACGCTTCTCGGTCATATCACGTACAGTGACAACGTTAAGAGCCAATCCATTGAATCCCATCCATTCCAAATAACGATCATCATTCTCAAGAAGTGTCATGCTCTGGTCAACAGCTTGTGCAAGTGCCTTGTCCTCTGCATTATCTTCCTTTGGTTGCTGCTGCACGCTACTAGGATCCACCTTGATGCCTTGTTCCTCGCCTTGAACAGTCTTTACAGTGGCACAGAGAGCTACGGTCATGAGCTTTTGTAACTTGTACATGAGGATGCGTCGTTGAGAAGCTCCCGTTTTGCGTGGCGTATACGTGTCGAGCTTGACTTTGGCAAAGTCGTTGAGGAACTGTTGACATTTGGACCAGAATTCAGGGTTGCTGCCATGTTTCAAGAGGGGGAATTCAATGACAAATTGGTTGCTAATGTAGCGTAACAGTGGATAGTCATTGCCGGGATCGTTTTTGGCATGGAGAACAGCGTCCAAGTCCAGGTTGTGCTTGAGCTTGCTTATTTCCTCGAGTAGCTGCTCCGAGATAAGCTCTCGTTTCAAGTAGTGAAGTTGCGTTGGTGTCAGGTCCATGAAACAGTTGTTGAAAAGGAAAAAGAGAAAGAGGGAGGAAAAAAGTAGGTAGGTTGCACACGAGCCTCTTGGCGAAACTAAAAAAGACTACATCATCACCTTTATTTATCATCATCATCTCCCACTATTGCCTACTTGCCGACCCATGAGCCGCCGCCCTAATTTACTGCTATCACTGTTGCTAGTGCTACTGCTACTGCTGCAAGTCGGCGATCACGCGTGGATTATGCGGTCCATTTATGTGTAACATTTGATGCTTTACAGCACAGACTTTGCATAACCTTGCTGCGTTTGGTGTGTATTAGCGTGTGCCCTTTTGCAATAATAAAGTGTTGCTTGGTAACAGATTACATACAAAGCTAGCATGATTCCATCATGTTGCATATACACCATAGCAGTTCTTGGTTTGTGTATAAGGTATGATCATTTGGATGATGCATATCCCACAGTGGCGATAACACATGGTGTTCAGGTACATGAAACAAGTGACAAAGGATAATGCTAGGTCTTCAAACAATATAAGCAATACGAATGTCGTCGGCAAATGCATGAAAGCATAACCTTCCTCCATTTGTCCGTTATCAAATGTAGCAACAACAATAGCGTAAGGTATCTTTTACCCTATCGTAGCAAACAATAGGCATCACGTGGTGAGGCACACAACATACAATAGTACCCATCATTTTGTATACTCTTTTACTTTGAGTCGTCTTCTTGTATCCCGAACATTGATTCAATCATCCAAGACAAAAAATGTCCAGGGCACTTCATTAATCTTTCTTTTTGCATACATTGATTTGATTTAACATACATGATACTGCATATGAATAAACAAAGCATCGAATCGTCTACTATTTACTTTACTTCGCCTATGAGGCATTCTCAATACGAAAAAACAAGACATGCAACAAAAGAGATACAGCCATCCCCTTCCCGAATCACGTGACTCCAAATCGACAAAATTCAAAAAAGAAAGTGAAGAGAGTGGGATTCGAACCCACGCCTCCGAAGAGATCAGGGCCTTAACCTGACGCCTTAGACCAACTCGGCCATCTCTCCAGTTTCGCGCTTTTTTTCTTACTTTTGAGTGCGCTAATAAGTCTCTAAACTTCCTTATTTGGGTGGGGTCAGTTTAGTAAATGAGGTTGTAAGCCAATAAGGGGATTTGGAGCTTTAAAACTAGCCAATGACGCTCACTTTGATGTGTTTGAAGGAATTGAGAGTCCGTGCTCTCGACACGTGATCATATGGCTCCCTTGACATCATTATCGCTTTGGCTTTATACTTTTGTATAAAGTAAAAGACATTGAAAACGTGAAGTTATGAACAAATTTCGTGCTATCATGGTTGCCATGGATACAGGCAAACCAATCTTATGGCTCATATTCTTTATTGTGTGTTATAGTATAGAAAAACAGTTACTATGTGTCATATTCACATGAACAAAAAGTCAAATCGATTATGCATTGAATTGCTGCTGTATTGGTATCCGGGATAATATGAATGTTCCCCAATAAATGGGAGGAGCGGGCAAGCTATTTAGTTATCGTCGTAGTCCGCAGAGTAGTTATTTCGATTGCTTTCTTTTTTGTCACCTTCATGGAGCATCTCTGTCTGATTGCACAAAGCTCACCATTGTTGGCAACATTGGCTGCTGTGGGTGCTGCTTTCCTTGGCTACAAGGCACTCGGTTTCTTGAAGACTTTGTTGGACGTTTATGTGTTGGGAGGCATCTCGGTAAGCAATCGCGTCGTGAGTTGTGGAATGGGCTGTACTGATTGTGGTTCGTGGTGTAGCTCAAAAAGTTTGGTGCTGGCCAAGGAGCTTGGGCAGGTATGTTATCATTCAAAAGTTGGAGACGCGTCTATTGATTGACTTATTGGGGGCGTTGCTTTAGTTGTTACGGGTGCTTCGGATGGTATCGGTAAAGAGTTTGCAGAGCAATTGGCCAAGAAAAAGTTCAATGTATTATTGGTGTCTCGTACGGCATCCAAGCTCGAAGCGATTGCAAAGGATATTGGTAAAGGGAAAAAGGAATGTGTGGATGTAAAAGCATGTGATTGACAAATGGATATGGATGTGCAGTTGAAAAGTATGGTGTCGAGACCAAGACTTATGCCATGGATTTCACCAAGGGTGACCAGAACGACTTTGCTCAGCTTGGACAAATGATGAATGAGATTCGTGTGGGTGTATTGGTCAACAATGTCGGCACCAACCATGATATCCCTACGCCCTATGATGAGGAGAGTGATAAGGTCATTGATGATATTATCGAGGTGAATGTCAAGGGTACGCTTCGTATGACCAAGCTTGTCTTGCCCCAAATGCGTCAAAAGTATGTATGAAAAAGGGAAACATGTGTAAATGAGATAAACTCACATGTATATTATACACAGCCGTTCGGGTCTCATTTTGAACTTGGGTTCGTTTGCTGGTTTGGTACCAAGCCCTTACTTGTCAGTGTACTCGGGTGGCAAGGCTTTCCTTTCTACATGGACTCAGGCTTTGGCAAAGGAAGTTGAGAGTCAAGGCATCGTGGTACAAAACGTCAATACATACTTTGTTGTCTCGTCCATGAGCAAGATTCGTCGACCTACTTTCTTGATCCCTCTTCCTAAGCCTTATGTTGCAAGCGTCCTCGCAAAGATTGGTGTGCCTTGTGGTGCCAATGTTCCTTATACTTCGACTGCTTATCCCAGCCACGGTATTGCCAATTGGCTCATTTCCAACACCTTGAGCACCAAGTTCTGGATCAATCAAAACTATGGTATGTGTACATACAACAATGCATGAATCCTTTCTAATGACTTGTATATTTGTTATGTAGCTATTCAAAAGGATGTACGTCGACGTGCCTTGCGCAAGCGTGAGCGTGAAGCTGCTGCTGCTGCTGCCTCATCCAAGACACAATAATTGACATTTTATACAGTATCCATTTCCACCATTCAATAAAGTACTATTGCTGCAGTAAAAAGATTCAGCAGCTGTGTTCATTGGCTAAGCCCGACCCTTTTCCGAATTTTTATCCCTTCTCTTTTTGTTTCTTGCCACTTGATCGCCACTCTACGCTTTTCTAAACCATGGGCAAATCACGAGCACGCTACAATGAAAAGGGCAGAGCATCGTCTCGCAAGCCGAACCAAAAACCACATCCACGTGCGAGAGCGGGAGGTCTCGATTGGGACGATGTCGACAATCAGCAGCCTACAACCACGATCGATCCGTCGTCGGCCACCGAGTAAGTTGTTGTACGAACATTATCTCGGGTGACAGGTGATAGTGACACGCTGTATTAGACAAGATCCCAATGCGTTGATTATGATGCCCAAAAAGTCGACAGAAGCAGATACTACCAATGATACGCCCAAACCAAAGGTACACACACACATACAAGCATAAGCTTTCAAATGACTTTTTACTAATGCATTGATATGGATAGGGGCCCAAGATGACCAAAAAGAAGAGGGAGAGAATGGAGCGTTATATTGTATGTGGAATGGGAAAGGGAACTCGTATCACAGGGACTGACTGAGATTCATGCAGCAAAAAAAATTGAAAAAAGACACCATGGTCAAGCTTATGGATCAGCTATCGTAAGTCAATCCACCAACAACAATGAACAACCCATTGATTGATTTGTGTGTGCAGTGAATCAAAATGGTCATCGGATCTCTTGCGATCATCCAAAACCATCGGTCGACCCAAGCAGAGTGCACGTGAGCAATTACGACAAGCGTTCTTGGAGCAAAAGGCGGGTGTCAATATCACAGATACAAGCAATGCACGTCTATTAGTGGAAAGAGAGATTGATGAGGAAGAAGAGAACAACAACAACCAGCCATCAGCCATCGCTTCATCATCATCATCCTCCTCCTCCAACAACAACAAGGCAGCAAAACCTCAACAACCCCAATCTACACCTGTTGTGGGTAGCGCTTTGAAACAAACGGATGGAACACCAGCGATGCCATTGACAAAGCGGAAACGTAAAAAGAAACAGGTGAGAAAATAGGATAATGAGTCGAGGGAACAAGGAATTGAGGGCTCATATCATTCATTGTTCTAGTCAACCATCCCTGAATCAGCAAAGAAACGATTTAAACAACGCATGGGCATGGAATCCGACGCATCCTTTGACAGCTCTGATTCAGAATATGATAGCGACAGCAATGACGATGAAGCAAAGCCTAGAGAATCCGTTGCCAAGTTATTGGAAGAGGAAAACATTGATGAAAAGCCAACAGCTTTGGAAGAGGTGGTGGAGGCATCCAAGAACATCGCCAAACCCGAATTGCGCAAAGAAGAAGAGGATGAGATCAAAAAGAAGCTTTTGGAGGAGAACAAGGGTGGTGATTTGAATGATGATGTGGCTAGAGTAAGTACACAAATAATCAATGAGGGTCATGTACTCATATCGCATTAGCCTTTCTATGTGCCAGTGAACCGATTGGAGAGTGTACAAGAGGCACGATCCAACTTGCCCGTGTGTGGTGAAGAACAACGCATCATGGAAGCCATTCGCAACAACACTGTCGTCATCATTTGTGGTGAAACGGGTTCTGGTAAAACGACTCAGGTCCCTCAATTCTTGTATGAAGCTGGATGGTCCCATCCTGATAGTGGTAAGTCATTTTTGGGATGATGATGTGATATGAAAAGCTAATCACTTGCCCGCACAGACAATCCTGGTTTGATTGGTGTTACTCAACCTCGTCGTGTGGCCGCTGTCAGTATGGCAAAGCGTGTTGGACATGAGCTCAATTTGTCGAATCAAGAAGTGTCTTATCAAATCCGTTATGATGCTACGACCTCTTCAAAGACCCGTATCAAGTTCATGACTGATGGTGTGCTTTTGAGAGAATTGTCACAAGATCTTCTCCTTACAAAGTACTCGGTGCTTATCATTGATGAAGCTCATGAACGCAACCTCAATACGGATATCCTTATTGGTGTGGTCAGCAGAGTCCTTAAATTGAGAGCCGAGCTTAGTCGTGAGGATCGTGAGAAAATCAAGGTATGAGAGGATGATTGGAAAATGTATAGATAGGACATGCCATTAACCTTTCAATATATAGCCTTTGCGTGTTGTGATCATGTCGGCTACTTTGCGCGTGACCGATTTTACAGAGAACAAGACCTTGTTTGCAAAACCACCACCTGTCATCAACGTCGACGCTCGTCAGTTTCCAGTATCGATTCATTTCAACAAGCGCACACCCGACGATTATGTTGGTGAAGCATTCAAAAAGGTCTCCAAGATCCATGATCGATTACCAGCGGGTGGTATTCTTGTGTTCCTTACCGGTCAAAATGAAATCACACATCTTTGCAAGTTGCTGCGGAAAAAATACCCATCTCTTCCTGCCACAGCAAGCAAAAAGAAGAAACGCCAAGAGGAAAAAGACAACAAAGTGGAGTCTGAGACACAAGATCTTCCCAATGGTCAAGGTAGGATAATCATGGATTTGTATCAGTATATAACAAAGATATTGACATATGTTTATATCATCTAGCCGACGTGGAAGTAGAGGATGTCGAACTAGGAGACAACGATGTGGTCGAGGAGGACTTTGATTTGGAATCGGATGATGACGAAGATGATGAAAGCGACTTTGAAGCAGGATTCGATGATGAAGAATTGGGAAGCGTTCGGGATGGTACGTTGTCGTCACACATGCATTGCACCATGATACTCACATCTACTTGTTTAGCACCATTACATGTGTTGCCTTTGTATTCCATGTTGCCGACTGAAGCACAACTTCGAGTATTCCAACCACCACCTGAAGGCACTCGTTTGTGTGTCATTGCCACCAACGTAGCTGAGACATCGATTACTATTCCTGGCATTCGTTATGTTGTGGATTGTGGTAAAGTAAAGGAGGTACGTATCTTATCAGCTTGGCTGTTTGGAAATTTCTCATATTCACACGATGATAATAGCGCAAATATGATGTCGAATCAGGCATTCAATCCTTTGACGTGGACTGGACATCAAAAGCATCAGCGGATCAGGTATGAATGAGCACCCCTACAATTTTCTTGGTCCACTTACATTGTTGCTGTAGCGCGCTGGTCGTGCTGGTAGAACACAAGCTGGTCATTGCTATCGATTATTCTCTTCAGCCGTATTTGATCACGAATTCTCTCGCTTCTCATTACCCGAGATCCAGCGTATGCCTCTTGAAGGTATGTAATTGTTGTTTGGTATACAAGCAAAGAGAAGGTACTCATGCAATCCACTGTATAGGTGTTGTGCTCAATATGAAATCCATGAATATCGATCAAGTGGTCAACTTTCCATTCCCTACACCCCCACCAAGAGAGAGCTTATACAAAGCAGAAAAGGTAAGTTGAAATCTTTTGGACGTGGTATACATACATACTCATTGGGTGGTGTATCTAGTTATTGGAGTACCTCGGTGGTATCGATAAACGCACCAAGCACATTACCGATTATGGTGATGCCATGGCACTTTTCCCTATCGCTCCTCGATTGGCAAAGATGTAAGTTGATAAAAGTGATCGTAGGGTCAGTGTCTAACAGGGGGTGGTATTTTCAGGTTGATTATCGGTCAGCAGCATGAATGTCTTCCATACGTGGTGATTATGGTGTCAGCGTTATCGGTCGGCAATCCATTTGATACCGAAGATGCCCAAAAGCGCAACCATGCCATGGTAAGTTTCGTGTCGTTTTTCATTTATCCATATCCTAACATGGATCTATATAGACCTTTGTATCAGAAAAGAGTGACATTCTCACGCTGGTAACGGCCGTTGGTGCTTACGAGTATGCTGGAGGTACCGATGAATTTTGCAGGGAGCATGGATTGCGACAAAAGGTAAGGATGATTGCAAGATGTTATGTAATAGAACTTGATGTTGATACAATGAATGATAGGCCATGACAGAAATCCGACAACTTCGTCGACAGCTTACCAATATCGTTGCAGCCAATTTCCCGGGTGTTGATATTTGCGTTGATCCCAAGCTCAAACCACCTTCTCCCAAGCAATTGACAATTTTGAGACAAATCCTTACTGCCGGCTACATTGATTGTATTGCGGTGCGTGCTGATGTATTGGAAGCAGGTGGAGGTCAAGGTGCTCGTCATAAAAACGCTAGCGGTGTTGCTTACAAGCTCATGTGGAGCGATGCTGATGCATACATCCATCCAACCTCTGTGCTTTACGTTCAAGAACCTCCTGTGATGGTCACCTATACGGAATTGACAGAGACTCCCAGGAATACATGGCTCAAGGGTGTTTCGGCTGTTGAGACGAAATGGTTATCCAACCTTGGCAAGACGCTTTGTACTTATGGTCGTCCCTTGAATTATCCATTACCAAAGTAAGTATCTTTTGTTATTGATTATGGGATCATTTAGTCAACCAACTATGTAATGTATAGATTCGTGGATGGCAAACAAGATCGACGTATTGTGCATGTGGTGCCCAACTTTGGACCCAAGGATTGGCCGTTACCGGCTATTGAAGCAGAGCAACATCGTGTAGGCACGCGCTGGGTGATGACCAGTAATCAATAAACTCTTAGATGTATAGATTCTTTCATTGTCATATAAATCTTTGGCTAATGTCACATTGTGGATACGTTGATGCATTTAACACAATTGAAAATGGGGGGTGGGAGGGGCGTGTGGGTAAATTTGTGAAACCGCTAGATTACCATACTTGTAGAGCAGCCTTGTGTTCCGATCTCCTTCTCCTTTATCAACAATCCACATGGCGCCAAAGAGCTGTGAGTGATCAACAACAATCATCGTGTATCCCCTCGTATCCATGAGAACGACACTACGAATGAATGGATGAACGCATATCAACAATGGATGAATGGATGGATACACGAGAGAGACACTTTTTTCTTCGACATTGGCAACATGAGAATGAATCAACTAACGACCCCATTCGCATTAGCTCCCAAGGCTAAAGCCCTCGCTGCCAAGAAGGCTGCTCTCAAGGGTGTTCAAAGCAAGTCTGTTCGTAAGGTTCGCACCTCGACTCACTTCCACTTGCCCAAGACTTTGCGTTTGGCCCGTAAGCCCAAGTATGCCCGCAAGTCCGTTCCCCACCTTCCTCGCATGGACCAGTACCGTGTTATCCAATATCCCTTGAACACCGAGACTGCTATGAAGAAGCTCGAGGAAACCAACACTCTTACTTTCCTTGTCGATGTCAAGGCCAACAAGAACCAGATCAAGGATGCTGTCAAGCGTCTCTATGATGTTCAAGCTCTTCAAGTCAACACTCTCATCCGCCCCGATGGCAAGAAGAAGGCTTTCGTTCGTCTTACTGCCGATGCTGATGCTTTGGATGTTGCCAACAAGGTATGTGTATATATTATAATATGCATGAATGGATCATTTTGTGTACTCATCATTATGCGGCATGTTTCCTTTTCCGATGATATAGATTGGTCTTATCTAAGCCCGCTCAACAATAAAATGCATGTGGTTCTACTCTCATCTTTGAAGTCATTGTGATTGTATGTGAAATGAAAATGATATTATATTACAGTAGTCAAAAAGCAAGGCTTTATTACACAAGCTATGAGTTATATGCACGTAATGCGATATGGGATTTAGCGAGACTTGAAGTCTATGGAATTGATTAGATACCATCATCACATTCACTCGTTTTGAAATAAATACTTACAATCCAAAAGGACGTTCATGGCTTCAGATTCTTCACCAAAGTCGGTGACAGCAACGCAGGAGCAGCCAACAACCTTGCGGGCGTTACCTTCACGGTCAATCTTGCATTGACCAACCCACTCACCGAGCTTCTTGGGATCAGAGACCTTGATCAAGTTGATGTTGTGCTCAGCGCAAAGAGCTTCGACAAGCTTGACGTATTCGCCTTCAGTGCAAGATTCGTTCAAAACAGCCAAGTGAGCTTGACGTCTGTCGAGAGCCTTGACAGCCTGCTTAAGACCACGGGCAAGACCATCATGAACAAGAGCACGACGCAAAACTTCTTGAAGAGCATCCTCAACGCTCATTTGGCCTTGAGTGGCTTCAGCGGCAACCTCGACCTCTTGGGTCTCCATGACGATATCTTCCTCGGCAGACATGCTAATTTTTTTATCCATTAAATTAGTTTATGTACTGCCTCCAACATCAGTCAATCCTTGATAATCCAATCCATCCATCCATCATCCTCATCCATCCGTTGTGTGGTGGCGGCTGGTAAAAGGTTGATTGGACTGATTGATAATCATCGGGATCGAGTGTCGAACATACATGTTGATTTAGTGGGTCGTGTGGATGGGTAAAGAAAAAGAGAAGGAATCCAAATGGATATGAGGTTGCGGTAGGCTTTTGGATTGTGATACATTGCTGAGGTAGAAAATGTGCGGCTCGGACATGCCCTGGGTCTGATCCCGAAATCTTTGTGCCTTGGATGAACATGAGATCTCAAAACCATCATAGGATCAATGGCATGGTCAGCATGATGATAATGACGTTTTGATCCAACAATGATCCAAATCAACAATGGTAATAATACAGCGTGTTTGGGGTTAAGACGTATATGCCAATTCGTTATGCGTGGACATTCAATCACTCTCCAAGGATCTTTATGAAGCAACCCACCACCATTTCACACCAAGCACTTCATCACTCTCTCCTCTTGTGATCACGAAGATGCCATCATTCATATAAGCACAACATTCCACTGATTGCTTACATCCACCAAAGGCCTTTGGTAAGTATCATGGATAGCCATCTTGTAACCCCGTGAAATTGGGTATGATCATTGTAATCATTAGCCTTTCTTTGTTGTGGTTGTCATTGTATTGTTTGGCTACTGTAAGAAGGTAAAAGACTGATCCTCTTCCATATAACGCTGAATGAACCACACTCATGCATGCCACAACACCACCACAGCCTCCATAATGATATGCCATTTTCTTCTCATATGAATCAAGCCGCTCGATCTTTATTTTGCAAGTATGCTGAAAAAAGGGAGAACTGAAGCTGACTTCTTGGAGCGAGTCGGTGGTTCATGCATTGTAACCTCTCTTCTCTTTATTACAAGTTCCCAGCTCATTCCTTTCCCTACTACAACCAACTCAATGTTCGCAAGGCAACCGACATTTGCAACAGCTTTCACCTTGATCTCTATTACAACAAAGCCTCTTGAATATCGCTCTCTTCTCACTGGACAACGATCCCCTCCATGAACGTGTACAACCTTTGCATGCCATTCACCCCGTTGTCCTTGTCTTCGACACCAAATCAGCTACCCACATTCTCATGTGACCGAGACATAGCTGTTTATGGAGCAGCTCCTTCGACACAGTGTTCTGATTGCCTTGACAGCAACGCGACTTAATTGGTGTTCTCTGCACTGACAACAATGCCCACTTTCATCCGCATAAAGCAAGGCTATCGTCATCAACGTTATCATCACGCATCTCTTCCCTTTGTGGCATCTATGTGATCTATCAATGTCTTTTTGTAAGTGTCAACGATAGCCGTTATGCGATTGTATATGGCAGGCATTGACCTTTGTAATCATCTTTGCAGTTCTTCAGGGATGTCCTGATGATGACGGCTGACTTTATTCCATCACGGGTCCACATGTATGTATCGTTTTGGTCCTATGTGTTTTGCTTTTGATTTGTATGTTTACATGTCTTCGAGTAGTGTACTTGTTTCTTGATGGCACGAATACCTCAGTCAAGAGAGTTGAAATAAGCATGTCCAGTAATGTTGATGCTGTAAGGTACTTTGATGATGACCAGGGCAATGAACACGTGCAATAGAACTGATTGTGTGATCGAGATAGTGGTGAAAAATCAAGCAAAGAGTAGCCTTGGGAGCGTACAAGATGAAGGAACCAAGGTGGGTATGCTTTTTTCAGCACAGCGATTTGCGTTGGGAGACGATTGAAAGAGAGAACATGGAAGGATTGCACTTTTCAGCATGACAGTATACGGCGCTTGCAACAGCACACGCTTCGATCATACAAGCATTTCAAGGAGCCAGCCAATCGTGGATAAGACAAGCATCATGTTGATTGGCGTTATTCGAAGGCTATCCAACGATGTTCCCACCACACCAGTTGTATCGGCGAAACCAGAAACACCTCACTCAATAGGATCATCGCCTCCCCCTTTCATTTGCTATACCAAAAGGTAGGTCAACTATAGGGTCGACTACCAGTCAATATTAATGTCCATGAACATCCTTTATCGATAGGATGAGAAGAGGGGAACCAAATGGTAGCTGCAGCCAACGACATGGTTTTAGAAGTGGTCATTCTTTAATGGATCTATAAAAATGCATATGTACGCGTTCGTTCATTGGATATTGTAACTACGTGTGGAAGCAGGAGATGAGTGTGCGGGTGACAAACAAAAATGTGATGCATGATATTGGCATTAGCTGTGATTCCCTTGCAAACCACTGAAGAGGAAGAGGTGTTGTTCTCAGTAACCGGGAAGGACAAAGCAGGGGCAAACAAAAGTCATCTGACATCATTGAATGAACCTATGAGCCTTTGCAACCCCGAATGACTTCATGGCATCCTCAAACGGGACATTCACTTTGACGACAAAGTTGGCACAATGATCCATCTATTAAGGGTTAACGAGGTATAATGCAATCTCTTTCAATTCATTGTTCACAACACGAGCGTTTGGAGAGCTCCAAGAACCTGACGACATTTACCAGCAGTGACGTATGGCGCTGCTCCTGTACCCAAAAACAAAAGAAAGATGTCATTGAGGAGCACTTGCTATGTGTGACAAACAATGCGATGCAACAAAGGGGTCAGTATGCCTTTTATGCGATGCAAGCGAGGGGAAAAGGTGTGGTGATGGATGATGAACAAGGAAAAGGTCTAAAACGCTATCCCATATTAACCCGAAAACAATGGTGCAGGTAAATGGAATCCCAGCTCAGCACCCTGATCACATATATACAAAGCATGATTGGGGGATGCTTCACTTTATCATAGCGATGGATGGTGATGTGGGAAATTTATGTCAAGAGGAGGAGACGCTTTGTGAATTTGGGCAGCACCAATCATCAAGCTGCCCGTATTTTTCAATGCAAGCGGGGCTATTGTTGAAGCGAGACAAAAACAGCAACCACCATTCATTTTTCTACACACATGCAGTTGTTGCATAATCCAGCAGACACAAATGACGAATGGCTCGCAGGCATGTGAAGAGTGAGCTATATGGTTTGTTTATAGTTGTACAAAGTACACCTGCACCTGTCTGATAAAAATAGAGTAGAGAGGGTTGGTGCCTTGACGCAATTCTATCGGCTGTATTGTCGGTAGCACGCCTAAAATGGAAAAACTCGGGCAACGTGGAAAAAGCAAAGACACCAGCCAAGACTTTTTCCACACACAGAGGCTCCCGGTCAAGAAACAATGCCAAGGTGACACAAATGGGTGCAGTGTGGCTCACCACATATAAAAACCATCATCTCCCCAACCATGTCATGCTTTTTTCATCTACATTGACTACCTTTACAATGACACGCTGGTTTCCACGCCCTTGGAAGACATACTCTGAAACACGCAAAGGCGATAACAACAACAACAACAACAAAAAGAAACGCCATCATCGTTCCCTCTCTGATATCATCCACAACGCCCAATACGTCCATCACTACCGTATCGATGGTGAAATTGGCTATGGTGCCAACGCTGTAGTGCATTCAGCCATGGATAAGATCAACAAAACACCTGTGGTACGTTTTATCACTCAGCTGTCAAACGAATGTGATCGATGAATGATTGTCTAATCCCATGTGAAAATGTGTTTTCATTATCAGGCGATCAAGGAATTGAGCAAATCACGCTTACGTCGAATGCAGTACAACGATTTGATGCGCTTTGCCGGACCACGTGCACGAGCCGGTGCCCTCACTTCAACCGCTTCATCCAGCCAAGACAATCTTGTCCTACAAAACAAACGCCGAAGGATCATGGAAGATTCTACTCCGCCCATTGATGAAGTTGACATCCTCAAATCAATCAACCATAACAACATTATTCGTCTTCTTGACGTTGTCGATGATGCCGACAGCGATTCAGTGTTCCTTGGTAAGCCATTTTCATTCCCCTATAATAGCTTACGCATGATTGGCTGATGCATATTATCAATCAGTTATGGAGCTGGCCAAAAGAGGTCCCGTGATGCAACTTGATACCAAGCATACAGCAGATCCATTGCCTGAAGCAAAATGTCGTGATTACTTTGCTCAGCTAGTGGATGCAGTCGATTATTGTAAGTAGTCCTAAGCGGTGTTTGGCTGCATAAATTCAGCTCACTGATCTCTCAAATTGCTTTTTCTTTAGTACACTCGCAAGGTATCGTCCATCGAGGTATGTTGTCAACGTCTTGTAACCATGACCACGATACTCATCCATCTATGTAGACATCAAACCCGAGAACCTATTGTTATCAGACAATGACAAGCTCAAGCTTGCCGACTTTGGAAGCGCTAAAAGAGTTGACCAAAAAGGGGTTGTTGCTGTATCCACTCGATCCATTTCTGGAGGCACACCCGCTTTCATGGCTCCTGAATTGTTGTCCAGAGGTATGTCTCTCATTCATTCCACTAAAGTGAAATGGTCGCTGACAGGGGTATCATTCTATTTAGGACGTTCACCAAAGCCTTTGAATCCTATTCCTCCAACAGCTGCCGATATTTGGGCCATGGGCGTAACCTTGTACTGCTTTTGTTATGGTCGCCTACCCTTTGCAAGGGAGAGCTTGGTTGATTTATATGAGGACATCAGATACACAAGGTAAGTTGATACCTGCACCAAGTGATTTAGGGATAAGAACTAACATGAGGGCATCCATTAGCATTAGCACCAAACATCCTTCCAATGCCGATGATGACCTAATCGACCTTTTGAACGGCATGCTTTGCAAAGACCCTTGCAAGCGCATAACTATGAATGAGATCAAGGTATGAGCAATGCAACAAGATTACAATACCACGTGAGAGCAATGATATTAATATCAGCATCGATTTTTAAGATCCATCCTTGGATGCTGAAGAACACTTAGCCAGCCTGGATACCTATTTCGACCCACCACCAATTGCTTATTGCCATGGATACCGTTACATCGATGCTACCAAGCACAAAATTTCCATGGCAACCACCATCGGAGCAAAAGCTCTGATAACCAATATCGGCCATTGCTCATTACCATTATACGCAGCTGCCAAGGACAGCACAGACAAGCTTTTTTGTTCTGCTGGTGCGCCATTCACACTCGTCACTTCTACAATACCATCTTCTACTATAGTTTTCGTATTATGTCTTTCCTTTTCCCCCATCCATTATGCAACTTGATTATTGTATGCCGACATTGCCCACCCCCTTCTTGTGGATTTCTACCTTTCAATTATGCCGTTTTATAAAGAATAAGCCATGTTCTCATCACTTTACACGTATTGGTATATATACTTTGCTTTACGTTGTCATCTTTCCTTGGGTACAGAGGCAGGTATTGGCAATAGCATTGCGTACGACAGGTTGTGGTTGTAGTAGTTGACTGCATTTGACACCAACCTTACCTCGCTTATTTGTATTGTGTCCCGGGTTCTGGATCCGCATTACCAAAATTGTTATAAATGACCCTTTTATTATCACTCGTATGATTGCATGTGAAGAGACAAAGAGTCCCAATCGTCTTCCGTGATGGTTTGAAGTATGTTACATACGATTAAGCCCAATGAGGGGGTTGCAAGTGGTTTCATTGTAATGCCAAACATAGCGTGATTACCACGCGACAATACAGGGGTGGATAATGGGATTGTTGGTGGTGGAGATCAGAAAGCAGTTGCGGGATAACATATACTTTCGTGTAACAAGTAGATCCATCCGATGGTTGTGTTGCATCATTGCGTTGTGCAAAATGTCACACAAGAAAGCTAAAGGATTTCGACTATGCCTTTTCACTTTCTGCACCCATTTACATACTGCATTCTTCTTTCCCTTCCCTTTCTCTCTTTGACCAACCCTCCTTCCTTCCCATTCATTTAACAAATGGCTCCTCCAAAGCGATCCCATTACTTTGCCCTACTCTTTGCGCTCTTTGCACTAGTGCTTTTGATCTTTGCAAATCTCGGCATAACCAACACCAGCTCGTTTCTACCTAAAATTTTCATTGTGGAAGCCAGCCAAACGAAAACGAATCAATCCATACGATACGGCTTTTATCGTTCATGTATCTTCAAAGGCGATAGCGACCAACCTGATACCTGCAACGACTCCAACCTCTTGTATACCTTCGGTAAGTGGTGTTGTGTTTAGCAATAATCGTTGCGCCTACATGAGGTGTTGGTTGCTAATATATAATGTATGCGTGGGATCCGATTTATAGACATTGACCAGCTTGCTGAAATTAACAATATAAATCTTGATTCAAGCGATGTCATCAAGCAGGCTGTACAACAATACAGCCAAGGTGCCCTCAATGCACAAAAAGCGACCGTCCTTGTTCTACCTTCAGCTATTCTTGCATTCGTCGGCATGATCAGTACGTGTTCATCACCATTGTCTTTATCCATGATTCACTAAGCCATTTAAATAGTTGCAATGATGATGCGACGTATGCGTAAAAACAACATGCTTCCTACATTGGGTGCATTATCCGGTCTCTTGGGTGCCGTGTGTAGTGGAATGGCAATCGGATTTGCCGTAGTCCTCTATCGCTCTGCATTCGAGGAGATAGGATCAAAAGTGGATGGATTAACATACCATTGGGGTCCTGCCGTATACATTGTGGGAGCTGCTTGTGGATGTCAAGTGATCACTTTTATTTGGTTTATTGCTAGCTGCTTTGCCCGTTTGCGTATTGGAAAGGAGCATGATCATACGTACGAGTATTATGAGCGTCATTCCTTTTCATCCGTTAGCATGCATCAGCATCGCTATTAAGCATTACATGTCGGCAGTGCTTGCCATGCTATTGCGCTTGGATCCATATCCTTTGTTACCCTATGGTATCATCTTCCCCAATCTCGATGTTGTTTATATCCTCACACCCTTCCAATCCATTATACAACGAAACGATTTCCTCCCTTTGCATATATTTTACACTCATTTTCATTGTTTACTACCACCAATTAACGGCACCAAATGTAGATGCCAGATCATTATTAAAACTTACCATATTTGTGCTGTGCACAACATTATCGAGGTACATTTCGAGGTGTTTGAAAATGAAAGCAGCATCATGGCGTATAGGCTTGGGGCTATTCCTTTTCAAGACGCAATCTTGCAGTAGGCTTGTGCTACTCCTGTCACCATTCTTTGGATTCCATACGTAGCCTTGCTTCAGCCGTGTTGTCAACGCAATGTTCCCGATGCATAATGCCTGCCATGGTAGGCCTTACACACTCAAATGAGCCTCTCTGCAATGGCAATCCACATAATGTACATAGGGAATCAAAGATTTATTACGTCGAATACAGAGAGAATTTATCAATATAAGTATACAGAAGATGTAGTGATAGCAAAATATTGAAAGAGAAGCACCAGTGCTTTAGATTTGGATACGATCGTCGTCGGAGGGGCAGTAGATCTGGTTGTTGTGGTATTAGTATTATGGGTATACAGCATGCTAGAGGCAGCTTACCTTTGTATCAGGATCAAAATTGTATACACCACCACGTTGGTCTTGGGGCTTGAAAAGATTGTTCCAGAAGATCTGTGACAAAGAATGGTTAATGCAAAATCCTCGTTTTTTATCAGCCGATATTACCTTGGCCACCAATTCGTGAGTCTTTTCGGCGGGATGGAAGCAATCAAGGTTGCTAAAGGTTGAAGAAGTAAAGAAGCAGTGAACAACGGTTACCCGAAAAAAGGTTGTAGAAGCATGGATCATTCTTTTTTCTTTACCTGAGAGCGTCAACAGGGAATCCAGCAATGTTAATGTCGGCAGGTTGGAAGGTGACTGCAAAGGTATCGGTTTGTTGGCCCTTGTACTTTTCATAGATGGCAACCAATTGTTCATTGTAACCTGTTATTACGAGCGTGAGCAACTCAAATTTCATATAAGCCATGACATGTGACACCTACTAGCAGCAATGTTATCCATGTTTTTAATCTTGTCGTCACTTTCAAGGAAGCAAGGGCATTCAACACGATTGGTGAGAGCGTTTGGTTGATCAAGCAATGGGCGACAATAGTCTTGGCCATATGTCAGGTTGTATACTTGGGAGACGTTGAAGACACCACCAAGGTCAACAATAGTGCGAGGGATCTCATCCTTGATACGGCCAATAACCTTGTCAACGTAAGAGCCATAGTTTTCAGGTTGAACATCATTGACCCATGGGCCAAGGCATGATGCACATTGATCATTGCTGCCAATTTGGATGGTAATCAACTTCCAGTCATTGTCAAAGTCGATGTTCTCCATGGACTTCATTTCTATTACAGCAATGGATGGCATCATTAGTATACCTGTAAACGATCAGCATGCAGTCATTACGTACGTTTCACTATATAATCAAGCTCAGTGTCAAGGTTGACAGCAATGGCACCACTCAATGCGCCATTGAGCACATCCTTCTTGGGGAAACCTGTACACCACAAATAAAAAGGAACATGCAATAGCTTGGTCAATCAATGGGTTTGATGTTGTCGAGAATCATTATAGACATACGATAATCTAAGCAGAGAATATCTTGGCAAATCTCAGCAATGTGTTCACCCTTGGATGGGCCTTGGATCTTGGGGCTATAATGTTGCATAAAGTTGGCCACGGTAAAAGCTCCTTCATCGCCTCCAATGGCCCAGCTCTTGCCACGGGATTCCATGACAGCGCTAATGTTAAGAATACCAGTGCCATCAGGATCGATACCAGCGATACCAAAGCCTGCCATGATACTATAAAGCAAATGGATGTGTCAACATTGTATAATGGGATTGCTAACGTGTGTGTATACCTATCACCCATGGCACCAATGACCTTGATATCATCGGGACGTAAATCCTTTACGCTGGTAGCATTCGTTTTACGAGGGGATAGTGCAGGGCAATCACCAATAGAGGAGGCGGTCAAAGCTGAGACTGCGTGCACAGCAGCAGCAATAGTAGCAGCAATAGACCAACGCATGTTGTTGAATCAATGAAAGGGTAAAGTTATATGCGGGGTAGTAAAAGGATCCTAATGCTTAAATCAACAACGATTGAATCTGACGAGGACTTTATATACGATCAACGATGGTTGAGCTGTATTCGTCTTAGCTCGATTTCGATGCTGGGCTGTGATGATGTGCACTACCATTTTGTGTCTATCCCGACCTTGGTTCTCTCTCACACACAGGGCGTCGTTCACAAAGGAGCGGTGATTTGTGCAAGCGGTATATCGATTTTGGGTCGTACACGATGAATTAGTGATCGCAAAATGCATTCGTGTAGCGTTGGGGTTTGTGTGCTTGTGAGCGTGTGTATGTGTGTGGAGAAATGGGTGGGGAAGGATGGTAGTAGTAATACGACAACCCTGTATATGAAAACCTTTTTCCTTCCCTCATCCATTTTCTTTACAAAGCAAGTAACAGCAACTCTTGCACATTTTTCCTTTTCAAGTTGGCTCCTGTAGCACATGTAAATGTGCTACTACAATGTTTATATGACTTTTTTCATATGAGCTTACCACACTTCCTCTTTTGGTCTATTACATCTTTTGTCAGATTTTCATCTCAATCGATACACAACGATGGAATTCTGCTAATGCAACGTGTCCTCACTAACATGGATGGGCAAAGCAATGATACCCCTCCCTAGGATACAACGTGGCAGCAATAATAATGTAAATGCCTTATGCTAAGCTGATCCACCTCATCCTGCTTCCCTTTTGTGCGGTGCTTTGCATTGAGCATCATCAGCATTTGTGATATGGATATAAGGATGAAGAGCTGAACCATGGTAGATTTACCACGTTGCCATGGGAATATCAAAAGCTTGTACCTGACAACTTAGAGTTGTGTCGGATGATGTGTGCAAAAAAAAGTGACGTTAGGAAGACGGGGAGCACCGCGCCATATCCATTGGTAACAATAATGTGCATGAGTACACACATGCCGGTGTGTCAAGTGACATAAATCCATGGCTTCAAATCATATATAATACGTTGCTATGCTCGATATGGGCGTTCAGCCGAAACAACCCCATCAAATTGCCAGCCTGATTCAATGGCTAAAGTTTTATGGAAGATTTTAATATCACAAAAGATCATCCACAAGCAAGCGATCTGTGTTCTAGGTCTGTTGTACAAAAGGGCAATCGATGTCTTACGCATAAGATGCGGGGATCAGGTGCCAGGACCATCACCACCAAAAATGTAACATGGACAAGATGGCATGAGCGAAGCCATATCGGACGTCCTGCCAATACTGCGCACCAATTGTTACACGTTCATATCAACGTAGAAAGGATGCTATCCTGCTTCTCGGGTATCATTGCATTAAGAGTACATCCATTCAAGAAGGGGCATTGTGTAAAGCATACCATTTTACATCAGGCTTGCCCTCCTGGTGGCGGCATTACTTTGGCGGTAAGCGGCAGCTCGTCATTTTGGGAAACCTTTCGCAACGCCCATGGTAAGCTATTCTATGCTTCTTTCTAGGAAATGATGCATTCATATTCTCATGGAACTTTTACCAAGATTCGATAGACCTTAATCCTAGCAGAACAACGATTGATGATTAAATTCGAGACGCAGTGCTCATACATAGTCCAAGATGTGCATGACTAATTTGAACAATAAAAGCTGATGGCATCTTCTCTTTCAATGACTTAAGGCCATGCACGGTATACACTTTCTACACGCCTAAAGAATAGCCATCCAAACGATAGGATGCAAACGTTTTTAGAGCCGCTAGTAATATGGGTATGAGTTGGGAGGACCCTCAGCTACAAAGGTAACAAAGCACATGAATGCATACATAACCAAGTTTGCATGCGAATACAAGCAACAAGTGACAGTGTCAAAAAATCCACGGCAAACAAGATCGCTTGTCATCTGCATGCGTAAATTCCACGCATTGTTGCCTAGGAAACGACGCTGTACAGCCTACACAATCCCATCACAACCACTAACCCATTCACTGATAAGATCCAATACAAGCGTATTGTACCTGACATGGGAGCCTGTAATCCTAAATTTGTTCTTACTCCAAAATACTCATTGCTTTCATAGTGTGATGTAAGCCTTTACTTAAACGACAATTATCTTTATCCTCAATGGGGTACTTTTTATACGGGTTCTTTGTTATCCGATATACCATCGGAGTCAGCGTATTGCTCTGCATGGCTTACTTCACCAAAAAGAACATCGATTTCTTCTAGAGATTTTCCATTGGTCTCGACACACATATAATACACTAAATCGAAAGGTAAGCGTGAGCACTCATAGATAGGACCATGTGCAGCCATTTGTAATTGGAAATACTCGTACTGATAACAAAAGTGAGGAAACATATGACCGCGTAGAAAATGTATGTAAGGTAGCCGATGCCTTCAAGGAGTGGCGGGGTCCACAACCCCACCGCAAAGTTCCAAGCCTATAAAGATGTTATCTTGTGAAAGTGTTGGTGAACCACGTGCCCTTACCCATTGTGTCAGCGAAGCCAATGCCATGCCTCGTGCTCTAGCACGCAAGGGGTAGATCTCAGATACGTCTATTTAAGTGGGCTCTTAGTTAGCTCTGAATGTGAGTGGGTGGATAAAGATGATGCATAGAGCATACACCTTGGGCTATACTAACAAAGCCATGACACCGGTGCCCATGCAAGGCCAAAAATATACATAAACACCACCCCACAAATTATGACCATGATTTGGGATATATGGGCTTCGACGACACCACTAGTAAACACCGCCATGATTGCAAACCAGACCACTAGGTGAAGGCTTGTATGTAAAAACAATGGTCGTCGACCAACACGGTCGACCAAAAACATGCACGTCCACGCTCCAAATATGAAAAAGGTAGCACTGACGCCATTCATTACCAGCGCCAGCTTACCAGGACCGAAAACTGATTCATAGATTATTGGTGCATAGTACTACATGATGAAATTTACAAGGTTGGATACCATTTTCTCGATGCTGAGGGCTCTGGATTACTCAACTGGTATGACGTTGATTCCTTGAAGCTGAACACAAGTTTGCACAATGATAACTAAAGCTGAACGTCGCTTGTATGTGGTAAAAAGTTCTCGCCAACTCGACTTGCCAAGGGATGTTTCGTATTGCACTGCATGTAGAATTCGGTTGTAATCATTCAAGACATCAGGATGTTCGCAAGGTTTATCATGTCTAAGAATCAGTAAGCATATGATGAAATGTCATTTTCATTCATTGGATAAGGCGCTGGTTGCCTTTGATTGGTAATGGAAATACGCACATGATAGATAGCACATTGAATGCCTTGTCATTTTGTTCTTTCATGATGAGGTATCGTGGTGATTCAGGGAGGAAAAAAGTGCCAACCACAAGAATGGCTGCAAACAATGGTTGCATCAACAATGGGCCTCGCCATGACCAATGACTTTCCACCCATGAAAACCCGAGATCGATGTAATCTATTAATGATGGTGGTATCATAGCCAGCTGTAAATTGGTAATGATCGTGGTTCCTTATGCTCATCGCGAACCTGATGATGCCAAGCCTATAAGAATGATGCTGGTGCTGAATACTGAGACTCTTCCACGCTGTGAATGAAAACCCAGTTATCCCCAAGTCGTGTTTTGATCAATGATGGCTTACATTGGTGGTACGGCCTAGCTCTGCAACATACATAGGGATGACAGTGCTAAAGAAGCCAACACCAAAACCAGCAATGAGACGACCCAAAAGTAGCATCACAGTGTTGTTGGACGCCGTTTGGAGTGTACCACCCACAATGAATATTGCACCACCGATACGGATGGCAGCTACACGTCCAAGATAATCAATGACCCAACCAGCAATTATAGAGGTTGCCAATGCTCCTAGCTCAAAAATGGCAACAATGAAGCCCTTCATTGTCGCATCCGGATAATGGAATAATTCTAGCCATCGCTGGTTTACGAGAATAGCGGACATCACTCCTTGATCGTCTATGAAATAATGTTGTTGTTGATAGGCGTCTTAAGTTTGCCATGCTATTGCCTACATCCAAAGAGAAATTGTCCAAGAGCTGCAAACGCGGTGACAACATAAAGAAAGCTATTTCCTCGCAATGGTGATGATTGGCTGTATCTTCTCATAGGATTCGATAGAGCAACAACGTATGTGGTAATAAGGAAAGAGAAGGTGCGAATACAAGATGTTACGGAGAGCCGGCTCAAAACCGTATTGGGTCTTCCTTTCATGCATGCATATGCAGGTGAAGTGGAATAGAGTGCGTGTAATGCTGCGTGATGTTAGCAAGCTGTAGCCAACTCCTTCTCAACCAGTCAACAGATGGCATCGAAAGCATTGTATGGGAAAATTAATATACTAGCTACCTAACATTGGCTATCAAGAAGGCTTCTAGTAATAAAATGGGTGTATTCGTGAGGGTGAGTCGCCTAAGGGAACCGTCTAGGGGAACCACCAAGGGGGTAAAAACTTAAATTATTCGCGATTTAATATGAAATCTAGCGGGATGTTTACAAGAACGTGCACCATGGTTGGTTTCATTGTTGCTAGGACCATGTACGATAGTACATCCGATTGATGGATTTTGTTTGTAATAAGTGAGTTTGCATGGATACATGTGGGCCCAACCTTATTACGATAACAGGGGCTGACATAGCTTTGTCAGGGGTAGTAATGACAGCTGCTACTGATTCAAGCCCACAACATGCTTGGTTCCCTGGTTGTAAAGATGCCTTGTTGTGCTCATTTTCAAATAACACGCACCGGGTATAGCTTTTATTGTTGAGGTATTATCGGTATACCTCCTCATTGTATCAGAACCATGATCTTATTGTGCCTTCAGGTTCGAACAGCATACTCGTAACCCATGCTTCTCGCTAAAGATTGCTGCTGCCATGATTATGATGTTAAGTGGAAGGTGGTTTATTGTTGCTTCCAATGCCAGAATGAATAAGTTGTCTAGCATGTTGATTGTTGTCACCAAAAAGGGTTTCAATTTCCTCAAGGGTTTTTCCTTTGGTCTCAAGAAACGTAAAGTAAACTACGTAAACCATTATTAGATTAGTCGTTCAAGATGATGTTTCATTAAGATTTAAGGTTACATTACCAATGATAAACGTGGCAATGCACATGGCTGCATAAAGAAGATAGGTAACCCAGCCGATGCTTTCAAGAAGCGGTGGCGTCCATAATCCCACCGCAAAGTTCCATAACTATTTGTATCAATCATCATTAATACTGTGTGCGGTGATCATTGCATATTGTCATACCCAATGTGATATTGTTGAGAGTGCCACACCCTTTGCCCTAGCTCGCAATGGGAAGATCTCGGCCACATCTAATTCGTGGTTGCATGGCCACTGGTAAGTACACGTTGAATTATAGGAAGGTGGTACTCACACAACCATGCGACGGGTCCCCAAGCAAGGCCAACTGTAAAAATGAACACCATTGCACAAACAATGGTCATAATAGAAGAAGCCCTTGTATCACTTACAATACCACTTGTAAAGATTGCCATGAGAATCAGCCATAGAGCAAGATTGAGGCTTGTTGCTAAAAAGAGAGGACGGCGTCCACATCGTTCAACCAGCAACATACATGTCCATGCACCAAATACAAAGATCGTTGCAGTAACCCCATTCATGAGCAATACCAGCTTTCCCGGACCTAGCACTTTTTGGTAGATTATAGGTGCATAGTACTAATGCAAGGTTACCGAGTTAAGGCATGCCTCAAAATAGGGATGTTACGCACATTAATAACGTTCATTCCTTGAAGCTGAGCACATGTTTGAACAATAATGGCAATCCAAGAACGTCGTTTGTATACGACAAACATGTCCCGCCAGGTCATCTTGCCCAGCGTTTCTTCAAACTTTACCGCATCAAGAATTTGGTCGTGATCCCGCACCACGTCAGGGTGATCATGTTCCTTGTCATGTCTACATTTCCAAAAGACCATCGTGTTGATTCATCCACCCATTTTCATGCATGCTAAGATAAAGAAGGCATTTACATGATGAATAGGGTAGGGGATATGCTGATGATGTTGCTAGGACTACCTGATGCTGCAAGCCCGACAAGGATGATGCTCATACTAAACACAGCTACGACACCACGCTTGACAACATTGTGTTAATGTAATTGATATATGAGGTAATAGCCTTTTATCATATTCACCTACATTTTCGGCACGTCCAAGCTCTGCAGAATAGATGGGTATGACAGTGCTAAAAAAGCCAACACCAAAGCCAGCAACTAAACGACCCACCAGCAATAGAGCAATGTGGTTGGCAGCTGTTTGCAAGGTACCGCCAATGATGAAAACAAAGGCACCAATACGAATGGTCCCAACGCGACCAAAATGATCAATGGCCCAACCAGCTATCACTGAAGTTACCAATGCTCCTAATTCAAAGATGGCTACAACAAGGCCTTTCATGACAGCATCCGGATAATGAAATAATTCAAGCCAACGTTGATTTACAAGTACACCTGACATCACTCCTTGATCATCTATTTCACAAGAAAGTATATGTATGGATGCTCTTTGAAAAGTGATCTCGTTCCTTACATCCAAACAAGAATTGCCCTAACGCGGCAAAGGCGGCAACCGAATACAAGAACGCATTCCCACGCAACAATGTACGCGATGATGGTTGTTTTCCACCACGCTCGGTCACCATCATGCGTCTTTGAAAGAAAGAAAAAGTGAAGAAAAGAAGTGGCGAAATGCAAGATGGCTATTGATTTGCTGGCAATTGCATATTTATGCATGACTATGCATCATCAAGGGGTTTGCCAGCGTGTCGTTGATCTTCCTATGTACCCGTGATCTACCCTTATCAGAGGTAAATAGTCGTATTATGGCTGAAGCTGTAATGTTATTAGATCAACAGGTCGTGGATCAAAGTAGTTGTGTATCTATTATCATTCCATGCACCACCATTTTTCTCCAAGGGGGTTGGAGCGCACGTGGCAGTGACTGCAACACACGAATTTTCGAAAATGAATCAAGACGAAGATGTTTGATCCACAAAGATGAGAGAGTGATAGTGCTTGTGTGCACACGTGAGCCCTATGTGTGATATTAAGCAACATGGGAGCGTGGCAACTGTGACACAGGCAACCATGGAAAATACCATCGTGACACCAAATTCCATGATCCGGCAGCTCGGCACGCTGTTCCATGTCCATCCGACGACCACAACACGGGGCAACAGCACCCTGTGTTTATGTGTGTATTACAAGCTGAGGAGTGTAAATATGCCTGTTTTCCAATAGCGATCATCGTAAAAAAGTAGATTGGGATTTATTCAGTGGGGGGGGGGATGTTTTTGCGTCCATAACATTCTTTGAGTGGATGATGGGGTCGATTATGCATTGGTGCAATCTCTTAGCAACAAGGGCTCGAAAAGGCAATAAAGAATAGGTTAACTTCCTTTTTGTTATCCACGTGAGATCCGAGCATCCCGAGAATGTAACTCGTGTCCACATTTTGTGTGCCCGTGGTTCTTGTCTTCCCGCCAATTAATCTTGCACCTCTTCATGGGCTGCCCGGAAAAGGACATGTGCGTAAATAGAAGGATATGGGAGCGCGCAGCAAGGAAGTACGACATTGTACGTTAAATGTATGACATTGGGATGATGTTAAGGTGTTGTAATAGGTAACCACATAAGCAGGCTCACTCGTTGTCTCATCCGGTAACGGTTCCACCAACCAATTAACGGTAAGCGGATTCGATCATTCGATGAGATGATATCGTTGGGGTTCGATATGCCATGAATACTACGACATTGACAGGGCGAAAAATGAGGGAGAAACAACGATATGAGAACGTGTGCGTGTTGTCCTATATAAGCAACAACAAGCATCCTCCGTTTACATTGGTTAGCCCGATCCTTTTCTCCTCTCTTTTTCCCATCTCCCACTTACTTTCCACATCTTTTTATCTTTTTCCCTCTTACTTTTGACGAGAAGTATGACAACCAACTCCAAGATTTGCCCAGTTTGCAGTGCCGATCTCAATGAGCAAGACCATTACTCATGGTGCGCATTACACAAGTAAGCGTGAACTCTGTCTTTTGAGTGTGTGTTGTCCTCCACTTGTTGGTGGCTCGCCACACACATGCCAAAATGACACGCCAAGTTGCGTCGAGCCCTTTCAACCAACATTTGCTTTCATCATCATCACAGTGGCTATCGTATCTCTTCTTCATCTCTCTTGATGCATTTGTTTCATATCCATCATCATCGACGATAATCCTTATTATGCTTGCTTTTTACACACCATCATGCACCAACAACAACCACATATTGCACATTCTCTTTTAACCAGCATTCATGATCACAAATTGTAGTATGTACGCACAGCAAACCATTTCATTGACATTTATATCTGTATCAATTTCCTCTATGCATTGACACATTAAAGTGCTGGATAATGCTCTTCTTGCTTTTATGTATTGATATGATATCGAGTATGGTCAAGGAAGGGGAGAGCGGGATGCTGCTGAGTTGTAATAATGAGAAGGGAGGACACTGAAACCAAGGTATGCCACACAAAGTACTACACAATCATTCCCCGTGACCCTTTGGCGCCCTTACTACAGCCGTGCTTACTACAGCAATTGATTCCGCAAACGGAATGGGCCCATCTTCTTCTTACACGTGAATAATATTATATCTTGTCTTGCTTCTTGCTTCATGAATGAGTCTCTTTATTCTCTTTTTCGCTTCATCGTTATGATCATACATCCTCCATATTCTTTATTATTTGTTCTGGCATGCATGCAACAACTCTCATCACTACTATCACTCGTTCATATAACATTTGAAAGCTATGAATAAAGCGATCGTACATCCCCTTGAAGTATAAAAGTGTGTGATAATCACGCCGTTGAAAACTAGCGTAAACACCATACACACATACACAAGCCCAATCCAAATGTGATTTCATATCCTACACGACCATCTTATTAAGTATTAAGGACAACTTTATAGCTCTGTAATGGGTATTCTCATCTTCTTGAAGCTATTCCTTGTACCTTGTCTTATAGTCTTTATGATGAGCTTGATTCTTTTACAACGGGTTTCTGATCTGGGTATTGGTAAAGACTATATTAGCCTAGGGATGGCGGCATAATTTGCTCGTGTGCATGCATCATGCCCAGCCTCAAGGCAAATCTAGGATGGCACGTGACACTTGCGTAGCTGCGTTTTATCTCCCCACCTGCCAAATAGCTCTGAACAAGATAGTGCGGCTACAACAATAAGCGGAACTTGATCCTGAAAACAGGTAGCTGTATGCATACACCTAATCCACCAGGGAAAGCTATCAAGCCATTCTACGCTTTCTATGCTGGGATGATGCATGATTTAAGGTACATGATGGTATCGGAGGAGGAACATGGTAACGTAAAGATAAAGCTAAGGATGATGAACAACTAATCATTAAAGTCTATAGAACAAAGGGACTCTCGAAAATGGAACGGGTGGAATCGCGGATATCACGCCATGTTTAATAACAAATGAGTCAAAAAAGCCACTGACACACACATAGAACCAGGTATGCAACATGGTGGAAAGGCGATATTCAAGGTCAGCATGCCCGCGAGCCCGCGCACTTTGACACTTTGACACAGCTCGTTGTTGTTGTTCCTTTGTCAACACCTCAAACTCCACAACCCCCCCCCACTCTCTTGCATACAATGCTTCGCAACTCGTTGCATCGTTTAGGCCGCCTCGGTGCTACTTGCTCACACCATCACCACCGTCCATTCACTGCATTGCGTGCGTTGCCACGTTCGTCTTCATTCACATGGACCGCAACAACTACTACCACCTTTCGATCGATGCACTCTTCAAGTCTTAAGCAAAGTGCCCTGGCTCAATTGCGTTCCAATGGTGTGTTCAAACGACTCATGAGCAATGCTGCTGCTACTGCTACTGCCACCAATACCACTGCAGCGGCTGCCAAGGCGACCGTGACAAAGCCTATTGTTGCTTACTGGTTATACTTCAACGCTGGTCTCGTGTTTGCTATCGTGGTCGTTGGCGGTCTTACACGACTCACTGAGAGTGGTTTATCTATCACTGAATGGAATGTCATTTCTGGTATGAAGCCACCACGTTCAGAGCAAGAATGGATCGAAGAATTCGAAAAGTACAAGCAATATCCCGAGTACAAGTTGTAAGTAGGAAGCAGGAATGATGAAGCATGGTTGTTGATGAATGGGGGTTTATAGGTTGAATCGACATATGGAACTGAATGAATTCAAGACGATCTTTTATTGGGAATGGACACATCGCATAATTGGTCGCTTTATTGGTGCAGCTTTCATCCTCCCTGGTTTATACTTCGCATCACGTGGTTACATGTCGAAGCGTGTCATGAAGCAAACATTTGGAATCACTGCATTGCTTGGTTTCCAGGTAAAGTAAAACGAAAGGATTTCATATGGGATGATGGCAACGGGCATTAATACAAGGAAGTAGGGCTTTATGGGATGGTACATGGTTAAATCAGGATTATCGCAAGCATTGATGGAGGAGCCTGGTGCTGTACCACGTGTGAGCCAATATCGTTTGACAGCTCATTTGGCAACAGCATTCATGATTTACGCCGGCACGATTTTTGTGGCTGCTGACATTTTACGCCAACACAAGATTGCCACAGGCACTTATCCAAAGGAAGCTGCTGCCATGCTCAATAACCCTGTCTTGCACCGTTTCCGCCGATTCGCTCATATCATGGGCGCTCTCATCTTTTGCACAGCAATGTCGGGTGGTTTAGTGGCTGGTTTGGATGCTGGTCTCATTTACAACGAATTCCCTTTCATGGGTAACAGCATGATTCCACCCAAAGCTGAACTCTGGTCCGATGATTATGTTAAGCCTAATGATGGCGGCAAATGGCGTAATCTGCTCGAGAATCCTACCACTGTCCAATTTGATCACCGTACTTTGGTATGTATAGATAGCTGCAAGTATGGGATCTATATGCTAATACATCTTTTAGGCTGAATCCACGGCTACTCTTGCAACAGCTCTTTGGTTGTACTCACGCAGATTGCCTTTGCCTAAGAATGCACGTGTTGCCATGAATACCATGATGGGTGCTGTCGTTCTTCAAGTAACACTCGGTATTTCAACCCTGATCTACATGGTGCCGATCGAGCTGGCTGCGGCACATCAAGCTGGTGCTTTGGCCCTTTTAACTTCCAACTTTTGGTTAATCCATGCTCTTCGAAAAGTTCCTATCTAATACAATCGCACGCTCCTAGACTCTTTTCCTCATTTTATATTACAACTTTTTATCTTGAAAGGGAGCAGTGATGCCAAGAAGTGGAATGCATGGACCAGCTGGGGAGGAAAATTCAGGGACATGTCGGGATTATGAATACATTGTTTTGGAGCTTATATCATCATTTGGTTGGGGATACGTTGAAAGATCTGGTTGACCCTATCTCCATGGAAACCCTTGCACTTGACCCATATTTCAGCATCAATGCTGTGAATAAATTAAAAGTGGGGGCTGGGGTAGTGGATTATACATTGTGGCTGTTGCTATCAGCTGACAGAAGTGAAAATCTCTCAGGGTGTACGACGTTCCCACACTTTGGAAGCACCAATTTGACGCCGATATCGCTATTTTATGCAGTGGTGATACATACTTATAATACTGCTTTGCACTTGTGCCTTACATTGAAAAGTGTGGGAGTGCTCTCTTTTCTCTTTTGATCATCCCCTTACTCTTCTTTCATATACGCAGTACCCATTCTCGCTTTCAATCATGAGCAACACACGAGATAACCTCCTTGTCATCCCTCTGAACAACAAAGTGCTGTTACCATCGGTCCTCTTACGCCTTGAATTATCTGGACGCCAAGCTGAATATCTTGTGGACGAGTATTCTTCAAGTCAACAACATGACGCTGAAGCCAACAAGAGCACTACACTACCAATTGTTGCATGCATCCCTTACAAGCCAACAGCAAATAATAACAACGACGACAAGCAATCATGGATGGATGTTCCTCATCATGTATTGTGTGGGTATGGGTGCACGGGCCGCATTACGCGTATAGTACAGCAACAAGATGATCCTGCATCGACGCAAAAGGAAAGTGCTATATGCTATGACGTATACGTGGAAGGCCTTGCAAGATTCAAAGCGTTGTCATATGAGCAAGATACCGATGGCTTAAGAGTACGAGTGAGCCATGTGAGCAACCGCTCTGAACGTGAGGCACGCGAAGCAATGGCCATTTTTTCATCAACGACCGTACCATCATTTCTACAACGACTTGAAACATTGCAAGTGCCACTTGCGCAACAACTACAAGAACATGTCAGCACATTACCGGTGCCTGTGCTAGCCGATATGCTTGTTTCCATCGTTGATACAACTTTTGAGGAACGATTAGCTATGCTCATGACTGAACCTGTCAAGGATCGTATCTACCTTGCACAAAAATGGCTCACTCGTGAGATCCAATCACTCCTTACAGACACCACTACCAGCACCACACAAGATAACACACTCAGCAAACGACAACGTGCATCCTATTTGAGACAACAATTGGAAGCCATGCGTCGAGAAATTGGCCCACTTGGATCCGGTGATACAAATTATGCAAATGATGTGGATGATTTGACATTACTCAAACAGCGATTAACCAACGCACACATGCCAGAGGATGCAGCCAACGTAGCTATTCGAGAATTCAAACGTCTTCAAAACATGTCCACCTCCTCCGCTGAATGGAGTGTTCTTCACAACTACTTGGAATTGCTGGCCGATCTACCATGGAATACACAATCCAACAACGTGCTTATTGACATTGCTGTAGCGAAAAAGCAATTGGAAGATGATCATTTTGGGTAGGTAGTAGGTGGCTACAAGGGAAACAAACGACAAGATCATTGACCTTATTAAGGATGATAGGTTGGATCATGTCAAGAAGCGCATTGTGGAATATCTTTCAGTGGCCAAAATCAAAGGTGACCTCAAGGCTCCTATTTTATGTTTCGTTGGACCGGCAAGTTTATTCAATATGCATGACACGCACTGCACAGTGGGTTCTTAATGATATATCTTTATTACCAGCCTGGGGTGGGAAAGACGTCATTAGGAAAATCAATAGCCACAGCCTTGTCACGCAAGTTCCATCGCATAGCTTTAGGAGGTGTACGTGACGAAGCTGATATGCGGTGAGTAATTGGGTATGGTGATGAGTACGTGCAGTATAAGTGATTGGTATATGGATCATGTGTAGCGGTCATCGAAGAGCATACGTATCTGCCATGCCTGGTCTCATTATTCAAGGCATTCGTCGTTGTGGAGCGAACAATCCGGTCATGTTGTTGGGTTCGTAAGATGGGTATGTGCATGTAGACATCATAAATTGACTATGGGAGATAGATGAAATTGATAAGCTATCCCGCTCTGCTTCACATGGCGATCCAGGTACATACATAGCGTATACAAAGGAAGCAAGCACACGTGACTAATTATCCTTTATCCAGCTGCTGCTCTCTTGGAAGTATTGGATCCAGAGCAAAACAACACTTTTCACGACCACTACCTAAATCTACCCTATGACCTATCCTCCATCTTATTCATTGCCACAGCCAACAGCCTTCACACCATCCCAAAGCCACTCTTGGATCGTATGGAAGTGATTCAACTCCATGGATACACATTTGAAGAGAAACTTCATATCGCAAGGACCCATTTATTACCCAAACAAATCCAACGGCATGGGCTAGCTGCAAATGAGATTGATATGGCTGACGACGTGATATTATGGATCGCTGAACAATACACACGAGAATCTGGTGTGCGTACTTTGGAGCGTACGTTGGCATCCGTTATCCGCGCCAAATGTGTTGAACTTGCCGATTTAAGAGAAAACGACCTTGGATACCAATACGCGCCAAGTGTGACACAAGAGGATGTTTTGGATATACTTGGGGTGAGCATAAAAGACAACATGATTGTGCTTGGATCGTGATCTGACAACATGTCATCGATGTATAATAGGTTCCTCCATTTGACAAGGACATGGCTGGTCGTCAAGCAATCCCTGGTGTTGTAACTGGGTTGGCATATTCTGGAAGTGGCAATGGTGGGATCCTTTTTGTTGAATCGAGCAAAATGCCGGGAAGTGGTGATCTTCAGTTGACAGGGTCTTTGGGAGAAGTCATCAAGGAATCAGCCCATATCGCACTCACTTGGGTCAAGGCAAATGCTTACGACTTGAAGATTGCTACTACCACGCATGAGAAAATACTTGCCAATTATGATATCCACATCCATATGCCTCAAGGAGCTGTATCCAAAGATGGCCCAAGTGCAGGTAATAAGGATAAAGTCCAATGTCCAAATGACACATACTAATGCATAATGGCTGTGATAGGCGTTACGATGGTGTGTTCCTTGGTCTCATTACTTACTGATTCTGCGGTAAAATCCACCACGGCAATGACAGGCGAAATCTCGCTTCGAGGGTTGGTATTACCAGTAGGCGGGATCAAGGAAAAGGTCATATCAGCTCATCGTGCTGGGATACGTAAAATCATCCTACCCGAACGTAATCGAAAAGACGTGGTTGCTGATGTGCCTATTAACGTCAAGAACGATATCGAGTTTGTATACGCAAAGACGATTTGGGATGTCATCGAAAATGCTCTTGATCAATTTGCCAACAAAAGCCTCAAACCAATGGAAAGCCATCTCTGAAGATATCCACTGTAGCCATATATCCATTCTTTCATGTTGCTTTCAATAAATGCAGCTGTATATAAATCATCATCACTAGGCTGATAGAGTTGAAGGCGTCGAAAAAGTGCTGATAGCGAGAAAAATAATGATCGTGCGTGCGTTTATTTGGTCTTGATCAATCTAAGCTTGTTGGGGTTGTACTTGAAGTTGTCAGCGTAAGCCTTCTTGACAAACTTGGCCTTCTTAGGCTCTTGAACGTAGTAGCTCCAGCCTATAATGTAACAAGGATCATTATTAGGAATCGAATGCATATGATTGTTTATAATGCAATACATACCTTGTCGCTCAGCAAAGCTGATGGCCTCCTCCTTGGAGAGGAACTTGATTTGCAAAGCTTGCTGAGTATCAGCACTAGTGATAATATACATCAGTATCCACGTGACATCATTGCCATGCCAACAGGCCCATCATGTGCTTACCTAGAAGCCCAACCGATCAAAGGATTTTCCCAGCGGTCAGCATCGGGCAAGATGTCAAAGTCGATACGCCAAGTGCGGGTGTTGTTTCTGCCGGATTGAGTAGCAGGCTTAGCAGGAGCAAAGATACGGACCATACGCTCAGTGGTAAGTTCCTCTAATTTGAATGATATAAACATTAACGATTCATGTGATGTAACAAAGGTTGTGTATGGTTTTTGGGTAAAAGTGAGTGTTGTTTACCAGGAGCACCCGAGACGGAATCGACAGCAGCAGGCGTATGTTCAGGACGAGTCACTTCAGTGGTGACAAGACGACGAGCTGTATACAAGGCAGGACGCGAAGCAATGGCTGCAATCGATCGAGATGCGAGCATGTTTTAAAAAGAGTGGGGAAAGTTGTGTGTTATGTGTGAGTGTTGTATTGTATCCAAAACCAGCCAAAAGAAAAAGACACCCACCTCTCTTAACTCAGCTTGCGTCATCAAAGTGCGGTTGGGCCCAGGCAAAGTGTTGTTTTTCTGCTGCCATAGAAAAGTTTATTGTATCTCTTTCCTCCCTACTCCTCTCTCTGTTATCCCATTAACCACCACCATGCTTCGTACTGCTCTTACTGGTGCCATTGCTCGTTCTCGCATGACTGTCGCTCCCGTGGCTCGTCGTGCTCCATTCGGTAATAGCTCCCATTCAACATTTGGAATATCCTAGCAACATTGATCTCTAAATGGTATTCTCTTTTATTCCATACAGCTCTCAGCAACCGTTTCTACTCTACCGGTCACGAAGACGAGAGCTTTGAATCCTTCACCGAACGCTATGTCAAGTTCTTTGATGGTGTTGAGGATCTTTTCGAGTTGCAACGTGGTCTCAACAACTGCTTCGCCTATGATCTTGTCCCTGCTCCCTCTGTCATCGAATCAGCTTTGAAGGCATCCCGCCGTGTCAACGACTATGCCACCGCTGTCCGTATCTTTGAAGGTGTCAAGGAAAAGGTTGAGAACGAGGGCCAGTACAAGCAGTACTTGGATGAGTTGGCACCTATCCGCCAGGAATTGGGTATCCAAACCAAGGAAGAACTCAACTTGTAGATAGAGAATGTGTATACACGCCATCTTTGTTTCTTTCCTCTCTCTCTCTCTCTCTCTCTCAATCACTCACTCATACACGACACATTCGCGGTGATATCATCCATCGTACATCCCAAACCAATCAACACACACACTCTCTCTCTTTCACTCACACAGTTATCTCCATGGTGATCGGCTGATATTTCAAATCGTTTGAACACGGTTGTCCAAATAGATTTCGTGCATGATTTTTTTCACTTGCATTTACACTCTTTCCAGAAATCAATTTCATGTTGTACGAAAAGTGAAGGAAAATGAATTCATGGGATGGCAAGAACAGGATGGGTTGCTATGTCTTATTTGTATATCAAGGGATGGGATGGGCCGGTGTATAATGCGTAGTTTGCTCAAGGTGATAACCATGACGCTTGTTCATATGGGAAGCTTCATTGCTTGTTCTCCCAAAGTGATAGTCATGTGATTGAAAATGTAAGCTGTATCGTACTCGATCTCATGTAAAGCTGTATCATAAGATAGCGCTTATGATAGGGTTGGCAAACGTGGTGTGATTATGTATCCATGTTTCTTTATATCAAATTTCTCTTTCTTGAACATAATGAATTAAGCATACAATGAACCAAGCTTCTTTAACTTATTATGTAGACAATTGTACAGAGAGTCGTTGCTGCCTATTGAATATCTACATAGCATACGAACGAGGAAGCTTTGGCTGATGCAATGTGATAGAAATGACAATAGCATCTCGTACAATGATGTAAATGATTCAATCTCCCTTTCCGACCTTCAAGTTCCTGCCCCCACATCTCGCTCATATGAGCCGGTGGTAAGATACTCCAATCACTAAACATGTTGAATCCAATTTCCAGTCAATGAAAAAGCTGAAGGATAGTAGATGGTACTGTGAATGTTTATCAATACGATAAAGGAAAAGCATTGCAAGCTGAATAAGATACGGGTGAATCATGTAGAGGAGACAGGGATAATTGTGTCATTGTATCCTTGGTTGCTGTTGCCATAGTCATCCTTCATCCATAATTGGAAAACAGTTGTTGCATAGTTTGACTTGAGTATTCCACCACCACCCATGGCTGTAAAACACCCTTCGTCAAAGATATAAGCTCTTCTCCCGATTCCATCCAATCCATCCTCATCCTCAGCCGTATTCACGTGACATGACCCATCCTTCCTGCTGACGAGGCGCCAAGTAACCAAAACAACATCCGAAGATAGCCCGTCACTGAAGTTGATCACGTCCATCCATCATCATCATTGTACGTCCAGTATGGCTGGTGAATAGAGCCATGGGATCGCGTCCTTTTCCATCCTCTGTTGGTCTATCCTTTTCTTGGTCGTTTTTCATCGCACCTCAACCAGGCCAAGGTTATTTGCGTACTTGATAATTGGTATGGCATCATCCATTGGAATCCGTATGTATCAAAGCAAGTTGCTACACGTAAATAAGGCTGCTTGTATAGAATGGCTATCTGCTGTCCACGTGAGAAGGCCTCAAGGCAGGTTGTTGCAAGTGAGGAACGCTGTTTGAGACGATGAAGACTTTGCTAATGATAGCTGCTGGAATGAACGTGGTTACGATTGGTTGTGGCAGAGGAATGTGCAACACGCTGTGTAGTATCGAGGAAGGCAGGTGTTGTAGGAGAGTGGCAAGAGGCTGTGTACACGCCATGAACTTGCCATTCAGTCAAAGGCATTCGGATCAAGAGAGTTGTAGAATTGACATGATGGGCTGAAGCAGGACAATCGTTCGCAGGCTGTAGTTGTACTTGAATAGACCAGCAGATGAGAATGGAAGGAAGAGGCACCAAACTGAGAGTGGAAGAAGTGGAAATTAAATGTAGGTTGAATTGACATTTCTGTGTATGAGCGTTGTTCAGTCAAATCCCGTGGGATCAAGAAAGTTGAAGGATGGGAATGCTACGCTGGAGCAGGACAATCGTTCACATGCATCGGATTGGGAAACAAAGGTGAATGGAAGGAATGGGCTATTAGCCGGCAGTTTACAAATAACTTTGCACAATGATTTCTCTGAAATTGGATGAACTTCTGTGTATGAGCGTTTTTCAGTCAAATCCTCTCGAATCAAGAAAGTTGAGTGATGGGCATGCTAGGCTGGAGCAGGACAATCGTTCACATGCATTGGGTTGGGAAACAAAGGTGATTGGGAGGAATGGGCTATCAAGTGGCAGTTTACGTATAACTAATCAATTTGATTCTTCTGATATTGGATGATACTTCTGTGTTTGAGCGTAACTCAACCAAATCCTCTCGGATCAAGAAAGTTGAAGGACGGGCATGCTGGGCTGGAGCAGGACAATCAATCGTATGCATTGGATTGGGCAACAAAGGTGAATGGGAGGAATGGGTTATTAGCTGGCATTTTGAACTATACCTAAATAGTGTACAAGAATCATGCATCGCCTATGCTGACTGACTCAAGTTACACAACACGTCCCTCTGCATCTTTTGCTCTATTATAGTCATACTACTTTACATTAAACAAAGACCATTCTTCATATAGCATCACGCTTACAAACATAAAGACACCTGTATCTCCAAACTTTACAATGAAGCGTGGGGGGTTTTTATTAGAGCAATGTGCTCGGCTTGGCCAACGGCACCTTGGGTGCCAGTTTCACGATCAAGCTTGCCAATCCCAGATTTCGCAATGTCGCCACCAGCCAAACTGGATCTGGGGGTCGACCTCTTCGACGACGACGACCAAAAAAATATTTTTTGGGCTAGTTGCGACATTGAACGTGAAACTTTCACACAAGGTGCTGTTGGCCAAGCCGACCCCATTGCTCTAATAAAAACCACACGTTTCATTGTAAAGTTTGGAGATACAGGCACCTTTATGTTTGTAAGCGTGATGCTATATGAAGAGTGGTCTTTGTCCATTGTCAAGTAGGTGGACCCTGGCAAAGCAAAAGATGCAGAGGATCGTGTTGTGTAACACAGCTACATTTGCATGAATGAAAGGGTCAATGTATAATTACTTTATGGATCATCTAGGAACAGGCATGTATTGCTAGCTAACGGCCACTTTTATCCAATCATCATTGTTGCGAGATCCACTGCATGGGAACGATGCCCCTACTCCAGACATTCATTTCCATGATTAAAGCAGGTTGATCCGAGCTGATTTGACTGAGCTGCGGTCAAAGAGAGATTACATCACTCTGGACATAAAGCACGCTCGATGTAGCTCAACCGATGTAATCTTGTGTGAGCGTAACTCAACCAAATCAACTCGGATCAACCTACTTTAATCATGGAAATGAATGTCTGGAGTAGGGGCATCGTTCCCATGCAGTGGATCTCGCAACAATGATGATTGGATAAAAGTGGCTATTAGCTGCCAATGTATGACATAAAAGTGAGGGTTGCGTACCTTTTATGCATTGTCCCTGAAGTCCTGACTTTTTAGCTGAGTTACCCAAAGAGGTCCTTCTGCATCTTTTGCTCTGCCAGGGTCCACCTGCTTGGCAATGAACAAAGACCACTCTTCATATAGCATCACGCTTACAAACATAAAGGTGCCTGTATCTCCAAACTTTACAATGAAACGTGTGGTTTTTATTAGAGCAATGTGCTCGGCTTGGCCAACAGCACCTTGGGTGCCAGTTTCACGATCAAGCTTGCCAATCCCAGATTTCGCAATGTCGCTACCAGCCAAACTGGATCTGGGTCGACCTCTTGAAACTTTTTTCGACGACCAAAAAAAATATTTTTTGGGCTAGTTGCGACATTGAACGTAAAACTTTCACACAAGGTGCTGTTGGCCAAGCCGAGCACATTGCTCTAATAAAAACCACACGTTTCATTGTAAAGTTTGGAGATACAGGAATCTTTATGTTTTACCTATGCTGTAAGCGTGATGCTATATGAAAAGAGGTCTTTGTTCATTGTCAATCACCTTATTCGCATTGGAGCGAAAGATGCAGAAGGACTTGTATGTGTCACAAAGTGAGGGCCAGGCAAATCTTATTGGTGGAGTGTGCATGATGTATCCTTGTTGGCATTTCCATCTATTCTGCAGAGTTTGGACCCGCGGGAAACGTGATGGACATGGTGTTTCAATTCTCAACCTAAATGGAATGCTGTAAAACATGATCTCGTAGCTGTGTTTGGCATGAGTATCGTTTACATTGGACGTGCATCATCAGCATACATATTCCCTACCATATGAATCAATGCATACTTGTTCACCGACGATATCCATCTTGGATTCTTGTGGGTCGAAAGTGATTCGCCATGGTGAGGTCCATTGTTCGTGCGACTGGTGCTCGCAGCCATCCTCATTATTGACATACTTGTGTTCTTATACAGATTCCCCACGATAGCTAAATGCATCGACAAGGTCAAAGCGATGAATCGTTCTTTTGGCATGCATGGAAATTGGGTGGTTGAGTCAACTCGATAATGCCTTGCGTAATATAGACATGACAAAGTACGTAGCCTGACTAATTCTTGATGTAGAGCAGTATGAAGAAATGCTAGGCAAAGTGACCTGGTGGGGATATGGTTGCCGTGTACGAACAGCGTTCTTGCTGGATTGCTTTTATTGTTCAAACTTGTGTTCTCTACCCGTTGTTCTATGTAATTACGTAGCCAGCACAGATCACAGCATTTGAATGGTCATGTTAAATTAAAGTTGAGTGTAACTGTTGCATCGTAGATTTATGTGATGCAATCGATATCTGTATCACAAAGGGCCGACAACCGGGGGCAACATCCGCCTTTTGCTAACCCAATTTGCCGGGCTGTATTACTCCATACATCTTTAAATCTTTCTTGGGAGGCATGTAACATTCAAAAAGTTCATTAAATGGCATCTTTGAATGGCATGGCATAAAAGAGTGGGACGGGGGGTATCAAGTGGAGAAGGTACTGTGGCAGTAATTGGAAACAAATAGAAGGAATACAGCAGCCAAGTAGGTTATAGATCCTTTTCTGGATAAGAAAAGAAGTCTATTGCCCATTTGCCGTTGAACTCAGAAGACGTGTACCCGATTTCCTCCACTGATTAATCGTGATACGACCACGAGGGGTCACGATTTCTCACACAAATTTGCTTATAAACATCAAGATGCTTTACAGGCTACGCACCTTTGCTAATACTATTGGGAATGAACGTGTGGTGCAAAAGAATAAGGCCGTTTATTATGCAAAATGGGACTGACAACAAAAATGCGTCTACCTATGCTGGATGTTGTCATTAGTAGAATGCCATGTGATACTGATGCACAGATGTCGGCAATATACCTAACTTTGTATTTGAGACAAAGGGACTGATCCCTACTTTTGGGTTTGGAAGGTCAGCAGTGAATAGAAGGAGAAGGAAACACCAACCCAGGGCACTTTGTTCCTCTTTTTCTTTACTCACATTTCATTCTATACATGTCTGCTTCGACAGCCAGTGCAATCTCGACATTGGCAACAAGCACAGCGACTGATTCGTCCCTTGCACATGTAGCAACGACTACAGCAGCAGCCGTTGTTAACAACGATAGCCGATCAGGTCTTGCCAGCATAGCCAAGTTTCTACCGGCGATCCTACTCAAGCTCATTAGCCTTGCTACCATATCGATCCCTCTCTTGTTTTACCGAATCTTGACAATGTCATTCACACTCCATCTCAACTTTACGTCTCTACTGGTTATTGTTGGACTGGGTGCTGTGGGAGCGTATCTTGTTCTTCGATATCGATATTTGAACAAGTACTCGCGTCTGAAACGGATCGAACCTCCTCAGTCAACATCTTCCTTTTTCGATTTGCATCCTGATGATCCCAACGAGGAGGATTCACAATACAAAGCAGGCTTCAAGAATTATCCAGACGAGTTCTTGTCAGCATTTCTTTCATCGATCAAGATCTTTGGCTATTTGGAACAGCATGTCTTTCATGAGTTGGCACGACATTTGCAAACAAAGAAGCTTCTGGCAGGTGATACATTGTTTCGCAATCCTGATCAAGAACGCTCGTTTTACATCGTCGTACATGGACACGTGCAGCTCTTTGTCAAACCTGATAATCATGAGGATGAAGATGATGAGATTGATGATGAAGATATGGCAGCAGCAACAGCAGCAGGAGGAGGGGGAGGGGATTGGACACCCGAGGAGACAAGCGATTATCATTATCGACATCAACAGCAAACGAAGCGTGGATATGATCGATTCAAGAATTATACATTGATCAATGAAGTGGGTGCTGGTGGTACATTGTCATCATTGTTCACTATTTTATCCATCTTCCGTGAGAGTTTCCTGCGTCAAGAGGCAAAAGAACAAGCACGTAAGCGATCCATGCGACAACATTTAGCCCGCATGAGTAATGCCGTTGCACAACCAAGTCAAAGCGAATCAACCATTGCTAGTGGAAATAGTCCTCGACTTGATGCGGATGGTGGTTGGCGTACCGTTTTTCCCAACTTGCAATCAGGATCGGATAGTGAGATGGCACCTTTGGCATCATCATCCACTGCATCTTTACGACATGGCAGCAAAGGATCGTCATCGGTTGTACACCCTCTCACTCACAGCCATCACAACATGGAGCTCGCTGATATTGCTAGTGATATGGATGATGGCGAGGATGATTTACAAAGCCCACGAAAGTTATCGGCTATCCATCGCAATTCATCAGCTTCTTTTGCATCATCAGGAAGATATCGCTCTGTGCATCCAAACATTGTCGCACGTGCTACCGTGGATACCACGTTGGCAGGTAAGCTTTTATGATTGATGTTACAATCAATGAACAATCCATTAACACATGCATTGTAGTTATCCCTGAAGAAGCATTCCATAAGCTGACAGCCAAGTTCCCCAAGGCAGCAGCACACATTGTCCAAGTGATTCTTACTCGTTTCCAACGTGTCACCTTAATGACGGGTCATCGCTATTTGGGTTTGACCAATGAGCTCCTTCGTTTGGAAAAGTTGGTGAATGAATCAGCCAGCATGTCAGCATTACCTGAAAACCTGTTTGTGCCAGGTGGCATGGAAAGATTACGTCGCAAGTTTGCCCAACCTAGCAACGAATCGGGTGATACGAGCAGTCCATCAGTACCATCAGAAATGTCACCTTCTGAAAGCAGCGGATTTATTCAAGCTATGGATATCCCATCCACTCCTTCGCTCAGCATAAAGAGTGGCGTCGTCAGCAGCAACAATAGTGCAGCATCACCTCCCATCGTATCGGGTCATCATCCTCTTGGACAATCACCTCCTCAAAAACAACGCAACAATACCAAGCTTCAAGAATACAGCGTTGAAGATGATGAACATTTACGCTCTGCAGTACGTCGTTGTTTAGCAACAGCACTTGGTATGAAGCCTGAGCATGATGAGCATCACGATATGGATCATGGTCTTTCATCACAAACCTCGTCACCACACCCACGTCATGCATCAACAAGCCAAGCCATGCAACCACCTCCAGAGTCATCTCGATATTCATCACGTTATTATTATCCAATGGATCTATTCTCTGTTGCAGGCACCGCTGACACAAGTGCATCGCCTTCTCTTGGTGCATTAAGTGTACCCTATGATGAAGACATTGATGCTCTTTCCACTGTATCATCAGCTCAATCAGGCACTGATTCAACAGCATTCACGGATCATCATCACCATCACCAAGCACTCTCAGCCAATGATGTACAAATCTTGTTCTTTGCCAAGGATGCAGTGTTGGTCAAGGAAGGTGAACACAACAATGGTCTATTCTTTGTGATTGATGGGTTGCTTGAAGTATCAATGACACCTGCTGATGCTGAGGACATTTCCCTGGAACGCGATCCTGCTGAAGAATCCGCATCCTCTTCATCCTCTTCCCCTGGAGGCAAGCGCAAATCATCGTCGTCACGTGATGATAAACGTAAGGGTCATCGTCGATTCACATTATCTCCATCACCCACACCATCAACTTCAACCTCATCCATTTCATCTCAAATATCAGATCGTGATGCAGCTTCTGGTGTTACGGGTCTCTTATCGGATGCTGAAGAAGCAGGTGGTATTGTACCCATGTTGGAAGGAAGCGAACTTGTGGAGAAGCATGGCCCTGTTCTTGCATCCAAAACACCTGCTGGTCGTGCAAGTCAACAGCCTGATGACAAGGATCCCAAGCACAAGGCCAAGAAACCTCTCTTTGTGATCCGTCCTGGTGGTCTTGCAGGTTATCTTGAAGCACTCACGGGTCATCCAAGCTTTGTCGAGATTCGCGCAAAGCGTGATACCTACGTTGGTTACTTGTCACGCAAGAGTCTTGATCGTATCATTGATAAGCATCCCAGCGTCATGCTTAAACTTGCACAGCGTCTTGTTGGTTTATTGAGTCCTTTGAGTAAGTATGAAAAAGAAGGATGGTAGTCGACATGTCACTCATGGATATTCTAGTTTTGCATATCGATTTGGCACTGGATTGGATGCAAGTCCATTCGAGTCAAATCATTTGCCGTGAAGGTCAACCCAGTGATTCGATTTATATGGTATTGCATGGTCGTTTGCGTACTATTCGTGGCAAGAAAGAAGGTGGTATTGAAATCATTGGCGAATTTGGTCGTGGAGATTGCGTATGTGAATTGGAAGCTTTAGGTAAGTAGATACCCTCACAATGATTAGTAGTAGTACTTGGAAGCTGATATTGGTAATATTGGGATTTTCATAGCCGGCATCAAAGCACCCTCAACGCTCCATGCTATCCGTGACAGTGAGCTTGCTCGATTACCCAAGACTCTTTTCAATGCTCTTGCGTTACGACATCCCGAGATCACTCTTCAAATATCGCGTATGGTGGCATCCCGTTCCTTGGAGCTCATGACCAATGCTACACCGGGTCAAGGCAAGAACATGTTCCGTATCGGTGGTCAACATAGTGGAGCGGGTGGCATGGGTGGTGGCAGCATGGTAGCACCTACACGTAGCAGCAGTTCAATGATGCAATCCGCCAATGTCCCCTATGTGATTACCCCTGAATTATATGGTCACAACAATGCCAATCTCAAAACCGTGGGTATTATCCCTGTCAACGCATCCGTGCCTGTCACCGAATTTGCAGAAAATTTAAAGAGTGCCCTGGTGCAAACAGTGGGTGCTACTTGTGCTCTTCTCAACAGTGCTACCATCACATCCGTTATGGGTAAACATGCTTTCTCTCGCCTTGGAAAGCTTAAATTGGCATCTTGGCTCGCTGAACAAGAGGAAAAGTTCCGCATTGTGTTGTATTTGGCCGATAGTGGTGTGAAATCGCAATGGACTCGCACATGTATTCGTCAAGCCGATACCGTTTTGCTTGTGGGTTTGGGCGATGGTGATCCATCAGTGGGTGAATACGAACGATTCATGATCAATATGAAGACCACCGCTCGTAAAGAGCTTGTTTTATTGCATGGTGAACGATCTTGTACCACTGGCACTACACGTAATTGGCTCAAGGTATGGTATTCAAAGAAAAATGGGTATTAGCGTATCATCATCTAATATAGGTTCTATAGAATCGACTTTGGATTCAAGCACATCATCACATCTTCATGCCGATGCGTAAACATGCAACTCTTGCCAACGAACGCTTGATTCGCCCACCCTGGTTGAGAGAGACTGGACGCAAAATGACTGAGAATTCAATGAAGATGATGAAGAAGGCCAAAGCTCAGCTTGAAAAGTATCATTCAGTGGTGCCAACATTTGGAAGACTACTTGTGGTGAAGAAGAATACGAGTGCACAATTAGGCAGTGCAAGCAATGCAGCACGTGATGACTTTGCAAGGTAAAGATCAAATGCATGTTTATTGTTGGGCTTTTTATAACTCATTGTGTGCCATTGTTATTAGACTCGCACGACGTCTTTGTGGCAAATCAGTAGCACTTGTCCTCGGTGGTGGTGGAGCACGTGGTATCAGTCATATCGGTGTGATCCAAGCATTGGAGGAAGCAAATGTACCCATTGACATTATTGGTGGTACCAGCATTGGTAGTTTTGTTGGTGGATTGTATGCACGAAACCGGGATCTTGTATCGACCATCGCTCGTAGCAAAATGTTCTCGAGTCGCATGACGAGTATTTGGCGTAATCTGATGGATTTGACGTATCCACTTACAGCATGGTTCACTGGTCACGAATTCAATCGCTCGATTTTCAAATGCCTTGGTGATAGTCAAATCGAAGACTTTTGGTTGCCGTACTTTGCAGTCACCACCAACATCACCTATTCACGTATGGAGGTGCATACCACCGGCTATGCTTGGCGCTATATTCGTGCATCTATGTCTCTTTCAGGTTACATGCCACCCATTTGTGAAAACGGCAACATGTTGGTAGATGGTGGATATATGGACAACTTGCCTGTATCGGTGGCTAAGAGCATGGGTGCTGATATTATCATTGCTGTCGATGTGGCCTCTGAAGATGATACAAGTCCTGTGCATTATGGTGACTCTGTCAGTGGATGGTGGGCCCTTTTGTACAACTTTAGCCCCTTCCGTTCATACAACGTACCCAGCATTGCCGAGATCCAAAGTCGTCTTGCTTATGTCAGCAGTGTATCAAAGCTGGAAGAAGCCAAGGTGACCGATGGCACACTCTATGTCAAAATGCCTGTACAACAATGGGGCACGCTCGAGTTTAACAAATTTGTCGACATTATGCAACTTGGTTATGATACGGGTCGCCAAATTATCGATGGATGGCGAAAGGCTGGTTATGCATCTGGATGCCTCGTTATGGAAGATGTCGATTTACCTCGTGGCAAGCAAGTCAAGGGTACTCGTGGTCGTCGCAACAGTATCTAAATGCGCTATCTATTCATGCATTATATCCTGTATACTAGCCTTCATATCCCATGTACAAAAGAAAGAATAAAAAAGTAGTAAAGAGCATCAACATACTGCAAATGATAGAGAATTGTATACACAATATCTAGAATGACTGTCAAATCCATTCATCGATCAAATGATATATTTTCAATTCAACGCAAGAACGAGGACCAAAGTATATATAATAGCTTATTAGAATGTGTGGAAGAAAAAAACGAGAAGCAATGGGACATGTACAAATATGGGGTTTTATCAAATGGTAAGTTTGCCGACTGCATTTTCGATGAGCCGCACGTCGCCGTCCTCCAAGCCATGCAGTACCCTTCGTTTGTTGGCACCTGTCGTAGTCAACCTATTTGGCAGGCCAAACATTGCTGCTACATTGTTGGAGCGTTGGTAAACGAGATCGTTCAATTCCAGGCAGCTCTCCACAAAAGCTTGACGTCCGCTGTGTGTTCGTTCAAGTGATGCAAGCTGGTTACCAATATCGCATTCCATCCAATGTTGTGTTATGGGGTTGATGTCTTCATTAAAGAGGTTGTTGGTGCGCTTGACAAGGTCGATCATGGCATCAATCGTCTTTGTGATGGTGTTGATAGGAATCTTGTCGTGGTCATAGTAGAGAATACTCATGAGATCGGTTGGTAGTTGACGATATGATTCCAATAGAGCTCTAAAAACATCACTACAATGAGTACAAATTTCATGTAGTAGTTTGGGATAGAATGTACTTACGTGATATGCGCATCACAACCCACTGTCAAGAGGTTACAAACGATCCACAGAGCTTCCATTGTCACTTTCCAATCCTCGTCAATGGGATATCGTATATAATATCGCTGAGGAGCCCATGTTGCTGTAGATGGATCAAATACGTGTGAAGGTACGCCAATAGCCGATTCGACTTCTCGCAATATTTGGTCCTCCTCAAGAACTTGTTCCACTATCGGTGATTCAGTTGCTACCAGGTTGGCTACGACCAAAAAGGCATCTCTTCGAAGGCAAGTAGGCGTATCTTGTGACATGAGATTCGAGAGAACGGAAAGAAGTTGCGAGTCGAAGAACATCATGGATTGATCCGTGGGTGCTGATGTGATATTGATGAGCGTACGTAAGATAGGAATCGATACGGTGATGTGTGGTTCACTAAATACATCCTTTAGATCCCGTCAAGGTGCTCAAAACAAAAATCATGTACTTACACAAGAAGTTCAGCGAGTCGTGTTCCTAGATTTGGATCCACCTTCACATCGTGATAGAATGCCTCGACGTCATGTGTGTTGTGTAGAATGCGTGATAATCCCCAGCTATATCCATGTTGTGCTGTAAGAAGCCATGTCCATCTCATTTGTTGCGGTATAACCTACCCTCCATCAACCCAAAGTTCCCTATGATCAAAGAGGATGGCTTTTGATAATGCTTCGAATGCCGGTATGTACTTGATGGAGAGAAAGAGAAAAAAACGAGTTAGAACCATTCAATGACCATGAATCCCTCCCTCCTCATTTACCATATCCCAAAAGTCAGCCGTGCGGAATCCTCCTCGAGCCATATTGGAGATGGACCATGTAAGCGCTTTGATATCGGTGCGTAAATCTTCATTAAGGATGGTCACTCGCTTTGTACTGCCAGCCCAGATAATGGATTCATCATAGGTCTCATCACACACAAGTGAAAGAACATGAGCGACAGCTGTGATGGCACCTTTCCGCATAAGTTCTTCTCGCAATGCAGCTGATTCGCCAGCGAAGTTGGATAATGCCCATGCTGCCTATAGCACTCATTAATGCCGTCTTCTATAGGATAATATCATGCTGTAACTAACCTGAGCTTTGACGCTGATAGAAACACGTGGTGCTTTGAGGCATTCCAATAAGGCAGGGACAAAGCCGGCTTCGATAAGGGGATGAACTTGCGCCGACGTGCCAGCCTATTTTGAAGATGTATCAACGACATGGAAGGTATTTGATATAGAGAGATAGACTTACAGCAATATTGGTAACGATCCAGGCGACTTCAAACTACAACAGTGCGAATTAGAATATGAGAGGCCACCGCATCCTTACATTCCTTACTTGTAAATCCGGCACATTATCTTCAACCAATAGTTCACGAAGTCGTGGTAGGATGTCCAGTTGTAAAATGTCGTTGGTACTCATAAGCGACGCGGTGCCAGTGCCTGAATGTTGACCTCATGAATAGAATCAAATATGTAATTGGTCTCTTTTTTGGCTCCTCCTCTTTTTTCATCCCCTATATTATTACCTTGTGTCAAATATTTTCTGATCATTTGTACAGCTGTGAAGCACTCCTTTTCACGAGGATGGGACGCCTCCAGATATTGTTTGACATTGGGTAGCTGGAATAATGGATGGCGGCGGATATGCATAACCATCATGTCAGTGCTGCTGCGCTTTTCTTGTCGCCACAAAGAGACACCTTCAACCCTCCCTCCCTTGTGCCCTTACAATGCTTTTGTCTACGACATCGCCACTGGAATAGTTCAAGTTGGTTATGCTGACGTTTGCAAGCTTGCGATTGATCTCAGTTAAGACATCTTCAGGTTCAAACTCGTCAATGGTCATAATAGCAAATCGAGTGTAGAATGTTGCTGGTTCAAGCAATAAAGCGGATACTGTGTGAATGCTGCGTATAAAGGAGGAAATAGGGTGCGTTGATAAGAAATACCTTGTAAGAGAAAAATGGGAAGAAAGAAAGAGGGAAGAACCGTGGTTTTCGGACTACCCGCGCATTCCGTGCGTGTCCAAGTTGCTGTTATCAACACACCACCACAAGTTGCCAATGATATTTCTAGACACATGTATCATAATAAAGATCAGTCTGATTCGTGGGATATGGATTCATTCATCCTTTATTATAAGACTATGATGATGATGATGATGAACGTTATTTACGCGCAATGAAATCATTAAAGACACGCTTGAACACGCGATTAGGATATGTGCAACACTGCTCTCGTCACACAAGAGTCATAGGTCGACCCCCATCGTTGAGTCATGATATCCCAATTTCACAATTAAACAAGGTGGCATGGATCGACCACCTGATTCCTCGCCTTTTTTTATATCCTTGTGCTCATTCCAAATGATCCCATTCTTCACCTTCACTTGACACAAGAGCAGATTAGATAATAAAATATCACCAAAGATTAGAGAAGGAAAGTGTGGAAAAGTGTAGTTGAGGTGTGGAATGTGTCAATAAGGTATCGGCATAAAAGCTGCATGCTATATATATAAATGGCAATGGGCTTTCATCCACCAGTGTTCGGAGCTGTCATCATCCCAATCATGCTGCATGAATTGTCCCCACCATCACCATCATCAACTTTTTTTGGTACATGATGCTCTATTGCTGTGCTTTTTCTTGTGCTACAGAGTTCGCAAACGATATCATCTCATCACGTGTCGCTTGATCTATATAACTTAACAAATCGGACGTGCAGCTATCTGGATGAAGGTCTACAAAGGGTGGTTTCAGTGATGAGTTCCAATTGGGAAATTCTCAGATGCCTTACCATATGTATCAAACTTGTCACAACTACATTTTTGATTGAATGCCGGGTTGACAGGGCAATGGTTGGCTACCGAATGGGAATATCCAATTCGATCGAAAAACTGAAGCTTGTTGCGTGGAAGGAACATGGCTGCTGCAAGTGTTCGCACTGGGGCATCTCCCCACCTTGTTAAAGAATCATGGTTGGGTCCTTTGCCTTTTTGTTTGTACCATAATTGCTACTCCCACCCCCCATGTATTGCTTACCGCTCATAAAAGAAGCCACCTTTACGATCGAGGTACGAAAAGTAATCTTGATACGCTTTTGAACGCAAAAACGACGTTTCCACAATCTCGAAATTTGACCATATATGGCACATGTTGTACTCGGAACGCAAATCATCCGTGATCCATGGCATAATCGTCTCATTGGCTTGTAGTAAATGTTCCGGATGTTCCTCCATAAAGTCGCGTGTAGTAGACCACAGGGTGGGAATAGAGTCATATGATTCTCGCATGGTAATTGCAAAGCCTATTATGTTTGTGAAACGTGCACATTCATGCAAAATAAATGAAAGCGTTCACATGGCGGCGTTATACATCACACTTGTGGACTCACCCAATGTCTTGTTATGATTCTTCATGAATCGAAAGGGATCAAATTCCATATCACAGCTGTATTCTGCTCCAGGCTCCACACGCCATACATAGTCAACGTCTCGGAATAAAGGATGGTGGATAAAGAGACCTGATTGGTACCTAAATGAGCCAAATCGAGTAAGTTGCTGGAATTTCCTTCATGGAGACAACAACAAATAATGGGTTCTTTGTCGCCCTTTTTCCGACTCATCCATTTTACCAACCTAAGCATCTTTCGGAACGAGAGACTACCACCCATATGCAATGCGGTTCGGAACGTCATGTCGAGTATCTTGTTTTCAGCCAAGGGGATATCAATCCAACTAGGATAATCCCATGCTGCCATGTCAGTCTTGCCAAAAAAGATAGGAGCATCAGTGACTTTGCGGATGAACTTTCGAAAGGTAGGTGAGAAATCTTGGTTGTTCAACAAAATCCAGGGGTATTGATAATGCTTGTTAAAACGATCCTCCACACTCCTCATGGCTGCTCGTGCATCTTGTAAATTCTCATTCCGAATCACCATATACAAAGCACCACGCACAGCATGCCGTTGCCATGTTGCTGGTGGGATAAATTGATCGGGAGACGTTTCAGGTTGCAAATGTTGAGCCATGTCGTATTCTGATAAAACACGTCGTGCTCCTTGGGATGATGTTGTTGTCGTAGTAAGGCGCTGCTGTTGCTGCTGCTGGCTATGGTTGCTGCATAGTGAAGATTGCAACAAATCTATATCCCCCATATCGATAGTAGCCACGTTGCTAGGTGATACCATATCACGTCCAAAGAAAAAGACGACCACAATGATACCAGCGATCACCAGAGCTTGGAACATTTGTCGCATAAAAGTACGACGTGCAGGCCTTTTGGTTAGGGGCGACCTCAAAGCTGTATGAAATCCTTCGCCATCCAAGCAGCACATTGGATACGATGGACGAGAGGCGTTGATTATGTGTATACGTGGAGAAAGCAACAGCAAATGCTGCTGTATGGAATGGTATATAAAGGCATTGACATGGTCCATAATAAAATCAAGCATCAGTGCCAGGCATGCAGCTTGCATCAGCAAATTGTTACCAAATTGATTCTCCCGCGTCTTTGAAGTTTATCTTGCATCGTCTCTTTTGTCCATTGTGAGATTGTTACAACACGTAGGTGCATTATTCAATTCAACAAACAACCCCTCGTAGTGTTGTCCATAATAATGCATAGAACAAGAATGTCATATCTTCTGCATAAACGCACGTGCATCAGCACTTTTATTGGCCATTGCTCTTTTTGGCATATATCAAACGAAATCGTGTTGACACATTTCCTGTATTCGCTTCATCAAACGCTTGTTTCACGGTCTTGTCGTATTCATCCTCTGCCACCGACACCAATTGAGTCACCATAACCTTGACGGCAGGCAAGGCCAAGTGCTGGATTGCGAGAAACAATTCACCTGCATCCTTACCCCATGGTCCTAGATCGAATCATACAACGCCTATTAGCTTGAATAACGTAACTATAAAAGATACTCACCAATTGGTACGTCGTAATTCACATCCTTGATATCAACGTATCCTGCATCCTCAAGGAACCCAGAAACCTTGTCAGCAATAAACGAATCTAGATTTCGCTTTTGCATCGCTTCATGGACTACCGAGTCATTATTATTAGTAGGTCCAATGATACGCTTAATGACTACTTACTCCAACCACCGATATTTTTGAAGGCAGGGGTAGCGTTGTTGAATTCATTGACCAATTCAAGGATTTCAATAGCACCATCAGGTTTGAGCACCCGTTTCATTTCACGCACCGATTGAACGTATTGTTCTACCGATAACCCCATCACAAGGAATCGCTGGAATACAAAGTCAAATGAATCTTGCTCGAAATCCAATCCAGATCCAGCATTCATAATCTTGAAGGTAACGTTGGATGGCATGTTCTCGGTGACAAAGACATCTGCCATATCAATGCCAACAAATTGGGAGTTGGGGTACAACCTGGCCATATCCTAGAGGAGACTTCATTACATAAATGGCTACCTTTTCTCATACGTCTTTGACTTTACCAATGTCCACCATCCAGGGCCACAACCAACATCAAGTACGCGGATGCCTTTTTCAAGCTTGTCATGCATATCGGATTTGTAAAGGCTATGCAGTGTAAAGAATACGTCAATACCCAACGTTGTCAAGACGCTGCAAAAGGAAGCACAAACCCATTCATCAAGCTCCTAAGATAATAAAATGAGCCTCTTGATTCATACACACGCATGAATTTGTTACAAGTCTACTTACTTCCACAAGTCATGGTTGAGTCTCAGGCGTTCCACTTCACCTTGATCGCTAGGTAGAATGTAGGCTACATTTTTATCAGCAGCAACACGACGACCACCGCTCCACGAAAAAGATGTCTGGATAATTTGCCGAGTCATTCCTCTTGATAATGGTGGGCATTGTGTCGTTGCAGGTTGCTTTTATGTGTTTTTCGCCAAATGCAATTTCTTTGTGCATTGACGATGTCTATTGGCTGAAACGCTCAATAAAGATCTCCCAGCAGCTGCAGCTGGCAGCTGATTCACATCCCCTTGCTCCTTAGAAAACGAAGCACATGGCACAATTCAAGTGAATAGGCACCATCATCCATTCCCTCGGATCATTGCTGTTTCACACTTTTCATCCTCAACCATCCATGTCATGTCCATAATATCCGATCATGTATCATAGATCACACAAAGCAAGTAAAAGATGTACATCCACAATGGATCGTTTATATGCGAGCTAGCTGTAACATACACCTAGCTACCATCGTCGTACATTGCGTCCCAACGTCCATGGATAAAGGGTTGTAGTGTATGTCCATCCAGCCGGGTAACTTGGGGATAACGCATAAGCTGACAAATGATGCACAGTCAATAGAGCTGATAAAAGCGGCAAATCGTCTGCATCAGTATCGTTGATCAATAGAACTCAAAGTCGAAGTGGCAAGAGAAGTCGAGAAAGGCGATGGTGTTGTAGTAGATTTGGATGATCGTTTGGCGAAGATATTGGTGGAATGTCCTGTATCTTGTATTCATGTAAGGCGAGGATTTAGCCGATAACAATGAGCAAAAGCATGGTGTAGCAAAGACGTTTATAGTATGGTGTCCATGGCAACGTATCCCTCCTGATCCTTTCCTGCAAAATGATGTAGCTGATAGAGTATCGCGAAATCCACCCGAGTTGAATCGAAAGATAATATTGTCCATTGATCTAGGAAAGCACAAAGATATAGTATCCAAGAGCTAGCTGAAGGGCACCTTTCACACAAGCAGCCATTCTGTTGAAGGAAAGTACGGTACGCTAAGTTGCTTTCACGCTGCGACATGGTAGTCATTGGGAGTGAAAAAGGGATGATGACTTGAAAATGATTGGCAAGCGCAATGTCATGTTCGCTAAAGTAGCCCTTTGATCCACATCGTTCACAAGAGATAGTTTGAAAGGTACAACGAGCTGCTCCAAAGAGGAAGATACATCGATTCGGGAAGCTTCTATCGTTTGGACGTGCATTGTGCAAAGGTGAATGGATGCACGTGAGGTGGTACTTCATGCATATGGCGAATTATAGGTGGTTGGATGCTGTTGATGATGGTACATGGTTGACAGGTTTCAGAAGAGATCATGATAGTAGCTGCCATGGAATAGCGTCAAGTACGATAATCGCATGCAACAACCGTTCACGATGATGGCATCAAGCATAATGGTCAAGTTGACAATCGATGCGTAAGAACAAAGGCTCTCTTCCCACGCGTTGTATATACCCAGATCCTTCCATCCCATGCAGCAAAGCAATATCCATATCCATATCCATATCCGTATCGGTATCCATAGGAAGTCGTTTGTATTGAAGCAAGTTGCTACGCGTAAATAAAGCCGCTTCTATACAATGGCTATCTGCTGTCCACGTGAAGGAAGGCTGTAAGCCAAGTTGCTCAAAGTAAATAACGCTGTTGGAGACAATGGAGTGAAGCTGCTGCAATGAATGCTCTTACGTTTGATTGTGGTCGAGGATTGTACAAGAGATGGTGAAGTGTCAAGAGCCTCGTGTGTTGTAGTAGAGTGACAAGGCTGTGTACACGCCATGGACTTGCCATTCAGTCAAAGGCTTTCGAATCAAGGCAGCTGTAGGATTGGCATGATGGGTTGAAACAGGGCAATCGTTCGCATGTGGTAGTTGTAGTGGAATGGGGCAACAACGAGAATGGGAGGAAGAGGGAAGAAGTGGAAATCAAATAGGCGGGACACCTCTTGTATAAATCCACGTACACTGTACACCAATTCTTGATTATGAGATTGCCCCTCTCGAACCTGAAACTTTCACACAAGATGCTCTTGGACATGCCGATCAATGTTGTATTAAAAAAGACCTCATGTACATTTGAAAAATTGGAATGGGAGGGTGCAATGTGGGGTTGACTATGTAAGTCGGAAATGCATGTCAGCCCCAGGTTCATGTTTTATCGAAATAGTATGTATTACCTTGGGATTCCCCATCTGTAACCTGAAACTTTGTCAGAAGGTTCGCTGCACCATGCTGATCAACTTCATTGATTTAAAAGTCGCAGGCTTCATTATGAACACTTAAAATGCGGGGTGGTCCAAATGGTAGATGACGTGAACAAAAGAGCGGACGGCCCACCGCCCCGAAGTTGCCCACTTCCACCTTGAAAATTAGTCAGGATGGTGCTACGAGCATGCTGATCCACTTTTTTCAAATAAAAACCTCACGCTTCATTTGAAAATTTGGAACGAGAGCGTCCAAAAGTTTGAAAGACGGAGACATTCGCAGGGTCTGTCTTTCAAGAATTGACACATCCTCTGTTTGGGCGTAACTCAGTCAAATCAGCTCGGATCAAGCAACTTGAATGATGGAAATGATGGGCTGGAGCAGGAGAATCTTTCACATGCAATGGATTTTGCAACAACGCTGATTGTGAGGAAATGGCTGATAGCGTGCAATATATAGACTATTGTGGATAGTCATAAAGTATAATCCATCAATCCTTCCAGTCATGCAAGATAGCTGTGTTACACAAACACGTCCCTCTGCATCTTTTGCTCCGCCAGGGTCTAGCTATTCGACAATGAGGGGCCAGTCCCCGTAGCGAAGTGGTCAAGATCCCGCCGACCTTCCCGCCAACTCGAGTTCGATCCCGCTTGTGAGCACTTGGTGCCGTCCTGATTATGCCTTGAGCTGTCCTCTGTTACGCCTTCGGGCTTTCCTTTAGCCTTCGGGCTGTTATGCCTTCGGGCTGTCCTCTGTTATCGCCTTCGTGCTGTCCTCTTGTTTGTGCCTTCGGGCTTACCTCTAGTTTAGATTTATCTGGGAATCCAAACCCAAATAAAGAACATTTGAATACAAAAAAAAAAAAAAAGCTATTCGACAATGAACGAGGATCACTTTTCATATACCATCACGCTTGCAGCATAGTAAAACCATAAAGATAGCCATAGCTCAAAATCTTACTATCAATGTTGAGGTCTTTAATAGAGCAAAGTTGCTCGGCTGGGTCAAAGCGATCTTGTGTCAAAACATGAAGTTCATCGTGGCCATTCCCAGATTTGCCCAATGTCGCTACCAGCCAAAAACTTTTCAAGAGGTCGGCCAGATTCCAATTTGGCTGGTGGCGGCATTTGCGAAATCTGGGTTGGCCACCACGATCGTGAAGCTTGCACGCATGATCCAGTTGACCCCGCCGGGCAACTTTGTTCTATTAAAGACCCCACGCTTTATTGTAAAAGATAGAGATACAGGTACCTTTATGTTTTACATATGCCGTAAGCGTCATGCTATATGAGAAGTGGCCTTTGTTCATTGTCAAGCAGCTAGACCGTGACAAAACCAAAGATGCAGAAGGATCGGCTTGTGTAACAAGGCCACCAGGATAGGACGATTCGAATTCATGCGTCGACATTCAATCACACCAACATTCTTTGTGAAGGCCGCCTCATAAATGTACCGACTCATCGCCGCTCCAATCACTCTTTGCGATCATAGAAATACTCACAACCACCATGCAGAGAACAAGGATGTTGTCGCCTACACATCTCTTTCTTCCATCTTATCGCTTTTATCGCTTTTTTCGATTACATACCGACACCTTCAAAAGACAAGTTGATGTGAGTGTGATGGTGGATGATCTTATTTTGTGAGTGATTCATGCTATTAATTCTTTGTGGTGCTCTACGACGTTTCATTGTTATTCGACTTTCATTGTTGTCATTGTAATGTTTGACTCTTTTATTAACAAGCGATGAGAAAGTTACAGCAGCATAAAAACAGGCTCTACAGCAATAGACAAAGAGCTGTAGACGTTGTATCAAATTACCTTGTCAACACCTTTAACCGCTGTCGCATTGAACCAGGTACAGCGAAGTGATCTTGTAGTCTTGCACACGAGCATACCAATAATGCCTGCCTTATATACATCTATACACATTGGCCTACGTTGTTCTGTATCCATGATACCGCAAATGCTGATAGCGTATCCCCCTTCCACAAGGAAAGAAATATAGCAGAGTTATGCCTTTTGGTTTTACCGTGGATAGATTTGCTGAGTTGTAGTTGGCTAATTCGCGTAGATGAAAAGAGGGTAATATTCATTGTACTCTCTCGAGGGCTACTACTTGAACATGTAACCATCATGATGGGGTCACCCATAATGACACCTGCCTGTATCATTCATCACCTCGATTACTCGATACTTGGCTATTGGTGATACATTGTATGGTTACATTTACGTCATCAATTCAACAACGGGACACCATCCCCAGGTTGTTGCTGCTGATCGGGTGAAAGGCACCATGACTGGAGCATGGGAACTATTAAACATCCAATCAGGAGCTGAGGTGATAAAAGAAAGCAAAAGAATTCGACGCAATGTTTGCCAGAAAAAGTTACTTTGTGATTTAGTTGTTGGGTATGTTCATTTCAGTGTAGCGACTGCTGATCTTATCCCATTCAAGGATCATCATTGCTTATCGCTATCCATATGCTGGTCACCTGTTGGTGCGGTTGATGAGTGACAACATGAGGGAAAATGACGACTCTATTGATTCATTGGGAATGTTTACTCGAAACCTACCTTTAGGAGGCCGATTAAGAAACATCTGGAAGAGGTTAATAGGCTTACACAAACAACAGCAGCATCACATACCACACAAAGTTAGGGGGTGTTTGCGGCAATGGTGTTCACCAGCCAATGGTGTCGCACATGATCGGCACGATTCTACCGTCAAAATCCGACAATAAGCGATTATGGCATACCCCGCTTGATGCCATCCCACCTTTATATACCTCGCCCTTTTCCGGTCATATCTTATTTTTCTTCCCTCGCACTCACTCGATAGCGCTCACGTCCAAATACAATTGACTTTATTACCATGTCATCCCTACAAGTGGATTGGAAGAGCCCAATCACTCGACGCATCATTCGATCCTATATACCTGACTGGGTATTGGTGGTTGTCATGGCAGCCGTATTCCTTGGAGTCGACAACATCACTCCTTTCCGCCGAGAATTTTCACTCGAGGATAAGACAATTATGTTTACTCATTCGGCAAGAGATTCTGTACCCATGTGGCTGGTAGCAGTAAGTGGATGATAGGATGCATGAATTGCTACGCAACGAATTGACCTTGTTGCATGTGGCGGTGGATTAGATTATATGCTGCATCATACCTATCATCATCATTGCCATCATATCCCTTGGTCTCAGACGAAGCTTGGTCGATTGTCACAGTGGCATTCTCGGTAACACATGTTCTGCCAAGAACAACATCATGGATAAAAGGCAAAAAATGGGATAGATGAATTTATACTCGTCGTGTGTAAATGTTTGTGTTATGTAGGTCTTTGTGTAAGCCTGAGTTTGTGTGCCATGTTGACTACGGTTATCAAGGTAAAAGTTCCTTTTCTGGATCATTTTGATTCTCTTCATTGTGCAACCCGATCGGCTCGGCACTTTTTTGTGTTTTTCATTCGCCACAACAACACGTCTCACACACGCTCTCTTGGCTTTAGGTATCAGTTGGAAGACCAAGACCTGATTTTATCGACCGATGTCAACCACCAGCTGGCTCGTCCGATCCAGAATTTGGATTATCCAATTACACCATTTGCACAACGCCTGCTGATACCCATGACATGATAGATGGATTCAAGAGCTTTCCTAGTGGACATTCATCATGTACGTTGTTGAGATTGTGTATCATTGCAAGTAGGAATGAGGTCACTTAAAATGGAGTTACCAGTTTCATTTGCAGGTTTGAGCTACCTTGCTTTCTACCTTGCCGGAAAGATGCAGATGTTTGCGGATGAGCTTGGGGTAAGGGACATAGGGCTTCACCAACAAATGCAATGCATAATAGCAGCCAACTTACCTATACTATCAATCATAATAGCGTACCTACAAAGGATTTCTTTTTTCATTTCCTATCATTGGTAGCTTGCTTGTAGCCATTTCCAGAACGGAGGATTACCGTCATCATTGGCAAGACGTGTTTATTGGATCGTTGCTTGGTATGTGTATGGGAACATGATGTCTTGTCATTTGCCGTTTATGCTAAATGGATAAATCAAAAGGCCTTGGTTGCGCGTATTTTGCTTATCGGCAATACTACCCGGCTCTTGGCAGAGTAACATGCGCTACACCATTCAAGGCCCGTTTGGATGGATTCAAAGGTCGTGCGACCAACTTGCAAGTTCCCGATGGACCATTGCAGCAGCCCAACTATGGTGCCAACAATGAGCTTCCTATGGTTGACCAACCATTGCAGACCGTCAATGTGGATGGCGGGGATTATATTACACAGCACAATGTACGCTGATGAATGATGAATGGGACATTGTAGTAATGTCATTTCCCACCTCCCCCATGTGCTCTTTGTATTTTGTACCATTCTATTTGACATAATGATACCATCATCTCTCCTCCTCCTCCTCTTGTATGTTGTAATCACCCCCCAAACAAACATTCCATATCTCCAAATATTTATTACCATAAGGGGATTGTATCATCTTCTTCCACGCTATAAGCTATGCTGTGCAAGAATAAGCGATGGATCACACTACCAATGCAATGCTTCAAATGTGAATGAATATGGCTTGGTAGCTAATGCATGTTGAGCAAGGTCTTCAAATTTCAATGGCTGACGATACAACGAAGTTTCAATGCGGTGCCTGGATCAGCTTAATGTTTTGGATGCCAGAGTAGCACAATGATTCGTTCGGTAGCGTAAATACAAATGGTAAGCAAGGACCCTTTTTCTCTCTCTTGCGGGTCGATGCTCAACGTTGGTATGTGTAACATGAAAACATGTGTGTCTTGCCAACTATGCACAATCATTGACACACGCACACACACACGCACCAGCCACCACCCTGAATCACATTCATTTTCTTCATAGAAGCAAGAGAGCGACCTCTGAGTCATAATAAGCTGTAAGCTGTTTCTCATTTTCTATTCCGCTGTTGTTCTCCTCCTCTTCTCCACTTCCTCCTTTATTCAACAAGATGGCAATCCTCGATGAACTCAATGACAGAGATGCCTGGGCGCTCTTTTTCGGTTATGCGAGTATCGCCTGTTGGTTCGTGGTGTTTACGCCGTGAGTGTCATTCGCGATCGCACGATCGGGTCAGCAGTAGCTTGTGTGATCAGGTTTTTCATGTGTCAAGATAGACAATTATATGAAAACTATCGCCTCAAGAATACGGATGGTGTCTCTGTACAGTTCTTGCTATTATGGATCTTTGGCGACATTTTCAACTTGTTGGGCGTGATCCTTGAGGATCTATTGGTCACCATGGTAATATGAACAATGCATACACACACACACACACACACAAAAGATATTCACACACACACCACCATGATACGATCTAGCTACTTGTGGCAGCCTATTACCTTTTGGCCGATTGTTTATTGATGGGACAAGTTCTCTATTATCGACTCTTTTCTCAAGGATATTGTGACGATGGCGCATCTGTTACCAGCAACGAGACCACGCATCTTCTTTCCGAGCAGATCGAAAATGTGGATGAGGAAGCATTCAAGGAACGTGCCGACAAGTTGTCTGAGCGTACGCAAAAGATCGTTCGAGTATTCGTCTTGTCAAGTGTGGTGTTCATGGCATTCACATTGGGTGTTTCGGCTTGGTACTTTTTTGCTCCATCTGACGATCCTGTGGATTTCAGCCAATGGCATGTTGTTGCTCAGCTCCTCGGTTATGCAAGCGCTTTTCTCTATTGTGCATCTCGTATTCCCCAAATCATGCAAAATTTTCGAAAGGAGAGTGTTGAAGGTCTCAGCCTGTGGATGTTTATCTTTAGTGTCACGGGCAATCTCACTTATTGCATTGTAAGTATCAAGAAATGGTAGGATGGTGGAATGGTATGCTTATTGGGTGTATGTTTATGTAGTCCATCTTTGTCAAATCCATGGATCGTACCTATCTGTTGATCAACTATCCTTGGCTGCTGGGCAGTGGTGGTACTTTGTTCTTTGATTTCACTGTAAGTATGCTTACCATGAGTCTTTGGATGTAAGGCTAATAGGGGATGGATGTATAGATCTTCTTCCAATTCTACATTTACAAGATTGCATCCAAAAAGTAAACACAAGCAGCTCTTTGGCGAGCCATTTCATTTGCATCCCTTCCCATATCACAACAAAAAGCAACCTTCTTTTATCCCCCCCCCTCAAGAAAAAAGAAGCTACATTTCCTACACAGTAGAGCTATATCAAAAGAATACCATTGTCTTCATTTCATTTATCATCTTTCATAAAAGCTAAAGTTCTTGCATGTGATTTGGTGTCAATGATGGGTACCAAGATATCAGGAATTTCAGAGACCAGTCATGTGGATGATGATGGCTGGCGTTTGTGGTATCACCTTACAAGCTGCTTCAATTTGTTATTTATCCTCTTTCTTTTCCTTTCACACTCTGGAACATGGCACCGGATGTTTCATGCTATTGTGGCGTTGGTGCACGTAAGCTGGTGACCAAGAAAGAAGGGCGAAACAAAGGACGTTGGTTCTGGACGGTACGTTTATGCAAGTGCAGCAGCCACCCAGGCACGAAGGGCATATTTTTTGACATGACCGCCACCTCATTAGTGTCCAACAAGACAATGTCGATTCTTCAAATGGGACAACAGCACACCAAGAGAAACCGATGCAACCCCATTGCAACAGCAAAACCAGAGCACTCTTCAACCGAGCAATAGCAGTAACAACAACAACGGCAGTGCATTGATGATATCTCAACCACGCCCTGCAGCCAGCAGCAACACTGCTCGAAGCAATACCAATCATGCTCACGAGCCTATTCAGATTTATTTCATGATTCATTCATCCAACAAGATTGGTATTCGAGTCCAATGCGATCCTCAAGTAATAGCAGCTTTACGCAGTATACCAGCACAATGGGATCCAGTGGCACGTCTATGGCTTGTCTCAGCTACCAAAGAAATGTATGACAAGGCCATCCATGCCATCACATCATCCACTGCTCGCTTGGGTTGTCACATTCATCCTTTACCCAAACAAGTCATCCATATCCTTGAACAAGAAGAAGGCAATGGCTCCTCTACTGTTGCTGATAAGGATGAACGATTGACAACTATTCAACAATCGCATGTATGGCCAATCCTCAAAGAGTTTCAGAAGCAAGGTGTACGTGAAGGTCTACGCAGAGGAGGAAGAATGCTTCTTGGTGATGAGATGGGTCTTGGCAAAACCCTTCAGGCTCTGGTGATATCACAAGCGTATAAAGAAGCATGGCCGGTGTTGGTGATATGCCCATCATCTCTTCGTTTTACTTGGAAAGGCGAGATCAGACGTTGGTTGAAGATTCCCGAGGATGAAATCTATGTCGTGCTCAAAGGTGGTGATTTGGAATTGACCGTCGCTGCAGCTGCAAAGCATGGTGCCACTGCCACCAAAACGGTTCAAATGGATGGCTTTATGATGCAGGTGGATGGCAGTAATGATGATGGACCAAGGAATTCAAAGCGACGAAAAACACAATCAACCAGCACCACCACGCCAAAAGATATCCAATTTTACGTGATCAGCTATGACTTGGCCACCAAAGATATCGAGACCATCAAAAAGTGCAAGTTCAAGTTTATCATTTGTGATGAGAGTCATTACATCAAGTCTCCGCAGGTAATATTAGGTATCATCGCTGCTGTGGGAGTGATTGCCAATTAACATGCCATCTATGTCCAATAGACCAAGCGCACAAAGGCCTTGAAACCAATTCTTCAGAAATCGGATCATGTACTTCTCCTATCAGGCACGCCTGCTTTCTCACGACCGATTGAGCTATTCACTCAAATCAACGCCCTATGTCCCAAGCTATTCCAATCACGTGTTGCATTTGGTGATCGTTATTGCCAGCCCCAGGTCACACCCTACGGCGTTCAATACAAAGGTATTACTCATGAAAGCACAATGAGAGTGGTTCATTCATACAAATGACTATGATTCTAGGAGCGCAAAACCTCTCAGAACTCAATTTCATCCTTGAAAAGACTATTCTGGTGCGACGTCTAAAGGACGAAGTTGGCCTTGAACTACCAGCCAAGATGCGCCAAACAGTGATTGTACAGCCATCTCAAAAGGACGCCAAGGCAGTGAAACAGCTAGGCGAGGGCTTGGATCGATTGCAAGGATCAAAGGATGGTAACCACGAGAAGCAAGCCAAGCTGCTGGAGATGGTAAGTGATGGGATCTCTTATGGACAACCACCCACTATAGTGGCTAACTTATCATCATAGTATACTGCCACAGGCCTTATCAAGATACCCATTGTATGCGAATACCTGAATCATATGCTGGAAAGCACCGAGGAGCGCATATTGATCTTTGCATACCACAAGACAATGATGGATAGCATCGCAGCAACGCTCGAGAAAAACAATGCAAGTGATTGACATTGATGATGATAGTTAGGCCACTACTAATAAGCCGTGCTTAGGTCGAGTACATTCGCATCGATGGAAAAACGGATCCCAGAGTACGACAAGAATTATGCGAGAAGTTTCAATCGCCTACCAGCAAGGTGCAAGTAGCTCTCTTGAGTATAGTGATCGGCGTTGGTTTGACCTTGAGTATGGCAGATATTGGTTTGTAATCGATTTGAAAACAAAAGGTGCTGGATATGATGATGGTGCTGATTCTGTTTTCTCAAAACAGTCATCTTTGCTGAACTTTTCTGGACACCTTCTCAATTGCTCCAGTCTGAAGATCGTGCTCATGTAAGGCCTCTGCTTCAAGATTTTGGTTATCAACAAAGACTAACATGCGCTACGTCGTTGGTTTCTAATAGCGTATGGGAAGAATTGGACCTGTCACTGTAAAGTACATCCTTGCTTTGAACACATTAGGTAAGTGCAAGTGGTTATCCCACCGGATAGTGTCTTACATGTCACAATTTATTTGCAGACATCACGTTGTGGAAGATGATCAAGAAAAAGCTGACCATCATTGGAGAAGCTATCGGTACGAAGGGAACAATGATGTATAAGGAGGCTGTGCAATGACTGATTTTTATGCTCCTATAGATGGGAATGCAACAAAGGTCACTATTGATGAGAAGCTCACCACAGAATACGAATCGATTGAAGATGACGGCTTTGAGGAAGAGGACCTAGATGAAGAAGGCTTAATTGATATCACTGAGAGCACTTGTCAAAGCATTGCTTCCCAATTAACATTCTCCTAAACTACCCGACACGAACACACATCCCTCACTTAGCAAAGATTCCATGCATTGATATCCTTTTTATGTAGCTTTTATCCTAAACATGTAGCTCACATCTATGTTACAAAACATCCAATAGTAAATGGTATCCCTATTTGGCTTGCAATCATGTCAATGCATTGGTCTAGTTTGAGAATTACTGAATTTGGTCAGTGAAATTAAGGTGGGCGACTTAAATGCTAGCTGCGTCTTCTCTTTTCTCTTCTCCACTCCTCCTCCTCCTCCTCCTCTCCTTTAAAATACCATGGGTAACGACGGTGGATCTATCCCTCGACGCATTGAGCTTGTCAAAGAGAAGCAAAAGGAAGTCAAAGTCAATCCCGATCTTGAACGTGTCGCTGCATGGTTCTATTGTGCTCTATCCAAGGTGAGAAGGCATTGCATTCGAATAACGAGATCGTGTGGACTCATCCTTTTTTTTGCCATAGCAACCGTTGCAACCACCGATCGTCGCATGTGGTCTAGGCAAGCTGTACAACCAAGATGCCATTATCGAGTATATGCTTGACAAGAATGTCTATGGCGATGGTGACAAGATTTGCTCGCATATCACTTCTCCAAAGGACACTGTCAAGTTGACCCTCACTCCCAATCCTGCGTTTGACGAGAATGATGCTGCCAAAGACTCGACCACCATGGGCCATTTGGATAAGGATATTCAAAGTCGATTCATTTGTCCAGTATCAATGAAGGAAATGAACGGCAAACATCGATTCGTCTATCTCGATACATGTGGATGCGTCTTTGCAGAGCAAGCATTAAAGGAAGTCAAGACATATGAATGTGTATCGGTAAGTTGGTATACAGGTTTCATGCTAGGAATCATTTACTGACACAGGTTGTAATAGTGTGGCAAACCTTTTGAGCGAGAGAATGTGATCGTCATCAACCCTGCCAAGGAAGAAGTGGATGGAATGAGAGCTGTTATGAAAGCCAAAAAGGCCAAAGCCAGGGCTGAAAAGGTAAGAAGGAAGAGGAAAGGAATCAGATCATGTGGGATAAGAGATTAATCAATGGATTTGGGTATATAATAGAAAGCTAAAAAGGCTGCCAAACAAGCGGATGGAAATGGTACTACTGAAAAGAAACGTAAACGAGAACAATTGGCATCCGAGTCACCAAGATCATCCAGTGCAAGCACACCTCCTCCACCCAAGAAATCCAACATCTCATCGGCAGCAGCTACGGCTGTGATGGGCAAGGTCGCTCAAGAGCTTGCGGAGAAGCAAAAGAACACTGAAATGTCCAAGGCGATCAAGAGTATCTATGAGAAGAAGGAAGTCAAGGGCAACTATCTCACTATGGGTACCTTTAATCGTTATGCTTAAAAGATCTGTATATACCATTTTTTACCCAATAAATCCATCCTTGTGCACATAATAAACATCATCGGATTTCTCACGGAATGGAGAACTGAGTTTTGTTTCCTTTTTGTGCATGCGGATCAGCGTTGTGGTGTGCTTACGGATGATCATGCAGACTACTATGCAAGAAGGTAACCCGCTGCTGCATCATATAACATACAAACCCCCTTCTTCGTCCCATAGGTTCCCAGTCAAACTATAGAAAGAAAAGAGTGAAAAGGTGATTTGGATATAGTGATGTCGACTGCTGCACTTGCATATCACATGAGAGCCAAAAAAAAGTACCAAGCGGACACCATATATCGACCATCGTGTGACAGCGGGACCTTTCTCTCTCTCTCTCTCTTAGGTCGTGTTCTTGGTTCTTCTTGTACAGATACACTTCTTTCTTTTTTACCTCTTACTTTTTTATTCCCCCCACTTCCACTTGACTTTCAGATAACCAAAGTAAAAGCAATATGAGCCGAGACGACGAATATGACTATCTCTTCAAAGGTATGTGCTTTCTACTATACGCGCTTCCGTCACACCAACTCATCTGGCGTTACAGTTGTCCTCATTGGTGACTCGGGTGTCGGCAAGACCAACCTTCTCGGAAGATTCACTCGCAATGAATTCAACCTTGAGTCCAAGAGTACCATTGGTGTCGAATTTGCCACTCGTAGCATTCAAGTCGATAACAAAGTAATCAAGGCCCAGATCTGGGATACAGGTAAAGAGACAGAGATATCGCAGGGGCGACACAGCGAGAGGGGGTGGATAAGCATGACCCTTTTCTTCAAGGGGGTGGGGTTTTGGTTACGGTTGTCGTGGTGATGATGATGATCCTGCTTGGAACACCCTATTTTCTTTTGTTGGAGTTACACAATCCCATTCTTTTCTTTTTATTGATCATACTATTGCTTTTATTTTGTAGCCGGTCAGGAACGTTATCGTGCTATCACCAGCGCGTGAGTATCTCTGAAGAAGGAGAGGGGCGAAAAAAGGACATCTTTTTGACTCAAACATGATGGGTGTGTTTTTCAGATACTATCGTGGTGCTGTAGGTGCATTGTTGGTGTATGATATTTCAAAGCACTCGACCTATGAAAGTGTGGGACGTTGGCTCAAGGAGTTACGGGATCATGCAGACTCAAACATTGTCATCATGCTTGTCGGCAACAAGAGTGATTTGAGACACCTGAGAGCTGTACCTACCGATGAAGCCAAGCAATTTGCTGGTAAGTGACATGGCACCTTCAAAGTTGAATGGTTATTGATGGATCACCGTTTACTATAGCCGAGAATGGTCTCTCTTTCATTGAAACTTCGGCTTTGGATGCTACCAACGTTGAGCTTTCTTTCCAAAAGATTTTGACTGGTATGATGGGCGAGAACGGGAGGGCGAGAAAAGAGATCACGCAGGATGAGGGTTGTTTGTTTTTTCTCACACATCTGCTATAGAAATCTACCGTATCGTATCCAACAAGGCCCTTGAATCTTCCAACAATGCCATCAAACCTACCGGTGGTCAAACGATTTTGGTGTCACAAACACCCGAAGAGCAAAAGCAAGGTGGCTGCTGCTAAAAAGGCTTGGTTTAGCTTGGCAGCTAAGAATAAACTTTACCTGCGTATCTGCTGTGTATATATAATCCACAAACACTTTCCCCTTCCCAACTTGTCTTTTTTCATTCTACAAGATATAAAAGGATTTTATTATAAACTACAATAACAACAACTTGTTGGTAATGATGTGCTGGAGTTGACTTTTATAAAGGTTAAGACATGAGTGGTCATGAGAACAAGCGTGATTGACGGATAGCTGCAACACAAAAACTTTGATATCAGGTACGTCGCTCACGTGGAACCACCCGTGTAACATTTCGAAAAGTTAAATGCAATCTTGAGTATTGGATTTTTCCTAAAAGATGGAGGGTGGTGAATAACAAGATGATGTTGGCATTTTAGTGAGAAGGAAGCTGGTGATTTTTGATTTGGCGTGGTGGAGGGTTTCAATTTGGCGTCGACTCTTTTATGCGATGGCGTATACTATATCATTGTTTCTGGTGTTCTCCCTTTTTACATAACATCCAGTGTCGCGTCTATGGTAAGCTTCTAAGCGTAGCTGAGAATCATCATCGTCCGAATTCGTTCATCAAGCAAGGAAGTGCTACTTGATAGTGGGAGAAAAGTAGACGCCATTGTATAATTGTATAAGAGTCGGCGCCAAGCAGCTGAAATTCTCCACCATGCCGAATCAAAAATCACCAGCTTCCTTCTCACTAAAATGCCAACGTCATCTTGTTATTCACCACCCTCCATCTTTTAAGAAAAATCCAATATTGGCAGGAATCTGCAATCCTTTCCATTCTACACAGGTGCTCACCAACCAAGGATGCGGCATGCAGCTGAGGTTTCCTTTAGCTAACGCCTTGAACATCAATGCAGGCATTATGATGGACAGCATTTAATAGTATAGGTGTGTCAAGGTACGTGTATGAAAATAGTGGTTGCATATCACGTTTGGTGCAAGGGAAGGTCGAGATGCATAAACCAATTTGTATACAGTATGTTCAATGCGCACGGATTTATATATCGATGGGTCACTTATCCTGCAACTCAATGCAGGGATCACTTTACTGTTTCTCTCAAGGTCATCCCATCCCTCCTTATTGTACCACAAAAAGGCATATACTTCTTGCATGACCGATATCCGGACCACCTTTATTGTTTCCATCTTCGAAGCTAATTATGTAATCCAAAAGCTAGCAAACTCCAAGTGCGTAATAAATAAACAATGCTTTATTCCATCTAGCTACTTTGGCCACTATCGTTGTCTTTGTCGTACGTCGTCATCCGTACTCGTACTCGTACTCGGCAACAGTCGTCATTCTCATCGTCACCAAATGCCCAAAACACGCAAGTAGAAAAGGCTTCCTTCTAGATGTCAACGAGATATGGATATCATCAAGCAACTTCATCTTGGCAAGAAAAAGGTAAACCATGCTTGTTTGTACCGCTGTCGTTGCCGGTGCCGTTGTCGTCATTGTCGTGGACCTCGTGGTCGTTATCATCGCAAGCATCGTTATTGTCGTAATCATCGTAATCGTCGCCTCTATAAGTAAAAAGCAGCCAAGTTAGACCATCTGATACCGGGAATGATGACGATTTGGTATACCGTTAGGCGATCCTCTCTAAGAAAGAGAGCAAATCAGAAGGAATTCACAAACCAAATCACCACCATACGAGCAACGTCGGACGATCCCTTGTTCTTGAGAAAGCACTGCACGAATCACGCAAGGCCCAGTTCGATCCATGGCAAGGAAGGACATCACTTACGTAGAGTCAAGGCTCATCGTTGTCCTCATTCATCCTCTCCAAAGAAAGAATGATCCCCCAATCCTTCCAATCATTTCCCACCTCATGAATAGGAATCCTCAAGGGAAAGAACGAGCCTATCATGAGAAGAGCGTGTTGGTTCGCACTGATGTCAACACATTCACAAGCTGTTGCAAATCCCGTTTACCTCAACACGGTGACCGTGTTCTTCCAAAAACCCATCGTCATCGACCCATCAACTCAAACGCAGGCCTATAGAGCCCTGGACGCGTTCCAAGAAGCCATTCCAGCACACTTGGCTAGTGCAGAGCGACGCAGCGGCCACTTGATACAGGCTGGGACTTGAACCCAAAGAGATGATGATGATGCTCCAAGTTGCATTGCCTGACCAAAGAAACCTATTCAATTCATTATTAGCACACACACAATAAACACCCTTTTCATTGTTTGTTTCATTGTACTTGCCTTTTCCATATACACAAAAAAACCCCTTTGTTGTTGGTTACTGGAAACCGAAAGCCATGGTGTAGTATAGTTGAGCCGAAACAAAACGCCAAACCAGCCAACGTCTTGAAACCAAACTTGCCCTCTATACAAGCTGATGCGTCAATGGAACCAATTCGGCTGCAACATTGGACTCTGAATGTACCTGTTGACACCAAGCGTAGAGCGGGAATAGCAACGAGCAAAAGGAAGCAACAATATCGCCATGGCAACCACCAACCACCAACCACGCTCATTCCTCAGCACTTGGACACACTCACTCCCTGACAATGCAAGTTCAGAACTGCATTAATACCTCACAGCCAACAAGAGCACTCTTTCATAATACATTACCTTGATCGAGATGTCGTGAATGGAATAAGGAAAGGTGGGAGAAAAAGAAGAGAAGCCTTGTCTCAAGCCGTGGAGCAACCGTCTCCAAGTTTAAATCCCCCTACTGCTATTACACTGAGGCCACTCAATGACCCCACATACACCATCCACCCATCATGATCATCACCTTCACGATAGACGATAAGCACGCGTAAATAAAAGTTTAGAGATACAGGCACCTTTATGTTTTACATATGCTGTAAGCGTGATGGAGTTGCTTTCTCCTAATGGATGGTTTCGGCTGCATTAACGGAAAGATGGAGAGCTGAGTGAAATGGCACGTGATGGTTACACAAACACGTCCTTGACGGATTCCTGCACAAATGGATGATGACAATGATTGCCTTTTGTGAAGGTACGTAAGTAAACAACGAAACATGAGTCGCAAAGACGATAAGCGAGCGAGAGAAAGAAACATTAAAACGCCATAGGTAGACAATAGGATGTACAACAATGAGTCAGTATTTATATGAGCGATATAATAGTGTTTATAAACGTATGCATGGAATGCTATCTTTGTTGTTGGTGGGATCCAGGATATCTCCAAGTCGGTTATCATCCAACGAGGTCGTCTTCCATTTGCCAACCTTTTGCTTGCTTTCTGCGTCCAACCTTGTACAATGAATCCGATATGCCATATAAATCCGTTTTAAGGTGGGCAAGGTCATTAAAAAGTGCGGCAGTTGATCCAGCGTTCGTGGTATTGTGATTGTTGCCACTTGCACAAGGGGGTAGAATCCTGGTGCCAATATCTCCATCATGTAAAATGTCACCGTCAGACCTGCAATATACCTATTAATAATCTCATTCCAGCTAAAGCATAATCATTTGTGTTGTCTTACCTACTGCTTGCACCACCATCATTGCACGAATTTCCTCTTTGTCAATGCCACTTTTGGCGAACAGTCCCAAGCGCAACAAATCGGTAAAGGAAGATGTCAAACACACAGCACTGTCGGCAGGCTTGACCTCGCAGAAACCCAACGCAGAGGCACCGTGATAATGCTCGCGCAAGGTCATTGTTGCATCGGGTCTTTTGGTTGCATTTCCTTCTACCTCTGTACAAATCCGATTTGTCCTATAATATGTATTAGCAACAATTTCGCCAAAGTAATCGTATGTCATCGTGTGTATCACTTACCATCGCAATAAACGCATCTGATCCGGATCATGTAACAGCGGGCGGAGAATGGGATCAAGGAAAGAGGTGATTAATTCGAACTCCCCGATGTTCGCATCCGTCATAAAGCGGGGAAGACCAGAAATGCTAGAGATGGGAAATCGTGTTGGATAAAAGTCTGCTGCAGTTGTGAATGGACCACACTTACCAATTATAAACCATATCGACGATTGCGGTATCATTGTCTTCAACACTAAGCTTCATCAATTCGCGTTTTGCAACTGATCGCGTCGTCTCCTCCTCAACCACATGCTAAAATCAATCATGCTTAGATATAACTCATGGTGGGGGTGTTTTTCCTTGCATACCTCAACAATTTTCTTCATAGCCAAAAAAAGATCATCACATAGCTTGACATTCTTGTCGAGATAGCGATCACGGAGACTCTTGTACAACTGGGTCAAGCGGCTTTCTGAAAATGCAAGGGATAAAGCCTCGTCATGCTGCCTGGGTTTGATGAGCAAGATATGAGATAGCGATCTACACACAACGTACATAATCAATTAGTGCCGATCAAAACAAACCATCATATCCGCTGCTTACAATATCCGTTGAAGATCGTTAACGACTGATAAGCCCTTTCGATTGGCTATCGTAGTTGACTCTCTTGTATAATGTCTCCACAACGCAATGATCTCTTTGTCGATGCCATCATCATTGCTTTCAAAGTCGTTATCGCTGTCGCCACCATAGTCACCACCATCCTCGCCGCCATCCTCGTCACCATCCTCAGCATTTGACATATATCCATCATTAGGTTCACGTTGCTGCTAAAAAGAGATGAAGAGATGAAACTGAGTCCCATAGAACATACCACAGAGTTGCAAGCCGATATTACCTCCTGTGTTGATCCTTCTAGCTGCTTTACAACCCGAGGCACGACCGCTCGCATGCCTTGCATAACGGCTATTTCCAAGTTTTCACGCGTATTTGCCTTCTCAAAAAGCTTCATCCATCGCACATTGTCCAGTTTGGCTTTTGTTTTGTTCAAGTTGTTATGCAAAGTCAAATAGCGCCTGGTCAGATGTTTCTTCGCGTCGTCGACGGTGTCAAACTGTTCAATGTAGTCGAGGCAGATCTCCTCATGTCTCTTGATAAAACCCGCAAGCGTTGGTACTTTGGTAGACGCCAAGTAATTGCGAATCTCTTGTAGCACATAGTTAGTACTTTAAGTTCCCACATTTGAAAAGAGCATAATACATACGAGTGTTCACGTTTGCCATGTTCTGTTTGACACTGTGACAACAAGCGCTGGTCCAAGGAACAGACTGCGCAGCGCCTTTTCCTGATTAGCTGACTTCCAATCTTACTGCCAATTTCCTCTCGTCTGCTGTTGCATAACAAGCTGGGTTCGTAAAATGGAATACGCATTGCTTTTCATACACGGGGACTGTCTCATTTTCATAAATCGGCTCTGTTTCTTTCGCAAATGGCGCGTTGCGAAAAAATGGGACTATATCTTTCATCAACGGAGCTATTTAAATGGTTGGTGCTTTTTCGTGGAAGGGCAGGTTGCCTTTTGTAAAAGAATGGCAATTTTCTTGAATGGGTACGATGCTTTTGTAACGTGAATAGACATATTGCCCTTTCGAAAGGGATTGATAGATGTAGTGCGTTGTACGCGACGAAAGGTAACTCGTCTTTTGACAAAAGCATCGTACCCATTCAAGAAAATTGCCATTCTTTTACAAAAGGCAACCTGCCCTTCCACGAAAAAGCACCAACCATTTAAGAATAGCAACAACTCCCGTTGATGAAAAGATATAGTCCCATTTTCGCAACGCACCCATTTGCGAAAAGAAACAGGGCCATTTATGAAAATGAACAGTCCCCATGCATGAAAAGCAATGCTCCCATTTACGAAAAGCAATGTTCCCGTTTACCAAAAGGAAACAGTCCCAGGTGCCAAAGCAGCTGCCCACTTATGAAAAGCAATGCTCCCATTTAAGCAGCATTCCAAAACGAACCCAGCCCACGCCCATCGCCGAAATTGAATTCAAAATCACGTACAACAAGGCTATAAAAGTTCATACACTTCATCCCGTTTACACCTTTTGCCCATCCCATCCCTTGTTAACAATGCTCCTGATTCTTTGCAATCTTTCCGTGATGCAGAAGGACTTGTTTGTGTAACTAGCCGACAGGGCTAAGTGTCGAAGGGTCGATCCTATTGGTGGAGGGTGCATGATGGTGTTGCAAGATCCCCTTGCAACAATGGATGCGTTCCCCCATACGCCTATAGTACCGTCCGCCTATTATAGCCCTTGTGGTACTTTTTTCAAGTTGATCACGGTATGGTTAATAAGCCAAATACGATAACTGCATCCGAAAGTAACTTGTTTGAAATTGTATGAAGCATGAAACGTAGAATTGGTCTTCTTGTCACGCAAGAAGGTCACCACGGGATGATTTTATTCTAATTGACAGCAGTAGAGAGTGGCCATCAGTGAGACTTTTACCATTACAAGATGCTTTCAGATGCGCTGGACATTCCTGGGATAATAACCATACCATGTTTGATTGTGCAATCTTGAGTTAGTAAGAGTGATTTTTATTGGTGGGAGTAGTGTGATTGGGCGCATGTATTATTCAAAGCGAAAAGCGAAGGGCTTTCTTTGTTAGGGCTAACATCGAGCATTCTAGGAAAAAGGATGCTTCGGAACAGATTGAATCAAAGAAAAGGCCGATGCTTGGGGACCTTGTAGTAAGGCAACGACTGTTGTTGGATCATCATTACCATGTAAAGTGTAAAATGGCACACACACCCTTTTGCTATACGTGAGGGATCATTTCTTTTATTTACACGTACATATTGTCTATCGTGAGGGTGATGATTATGATAGGTGGATGGTGTGTATTGGGTATTTGAGTGGCCTCAGTGTAATGGCAGTAGGGGGATTTAAACTTGGGGGACAGCAGCTCCACGACTTGAGACAACGCTTCTCTTCTTTTTCTCCCTCCTCTGCTTTTATCCAATGCACGACATCCCGATCAAGGTAATGTACTATAAAAGAGTGCTCTTGTTGGCTGTGAGGTGTTAATGTAGTTGTGAATGTGCATTGTCAGGGAGTGAGCCGTATCCAAGTGCTGAGGAATGGAGCGTGGTGGGTGGTTGGTGGTTGCCATGGCGATATCGTTGCTTCCTCTTGTTCGTTGCTATTCCCGCTCTACGCTTGGTGTCAACAGGTACATTGAGAGTCCAATGTTGCAGCCGAATTGGTTCCATTGACGCGTCAGCTTGTATAGAGGGCAAGTTTGGTTTCAAGACGTTGGCTGGTTTGGCGTTTTGTTTCGGCTCAACTATACTACACCATGGCTTTCGGTTTCCAGTAACCAACAACAAAGGGGTTTTTTTGTGTATATGGAAAAGGCAAGTACAATGAAACAAACAATGAAAAGGGTGTTTATTGTGTGTGTGTGTGTGCTAATAATGAATTGAATTGGTTTCTTTGGTCAGGCAATGCAACTTGGGGCATCATCATCATCTCTTTGGGTTCAAGTCCCAGCCTGTATCAAGTGGTCGCTGCGTCGCTCTGCACTAGCCAAGTGTGCTGGAAAAGCTTCTTGGAACGCGTCCAAGGCTCTATAGGCATGCGTTTGAGTTGATGGGTCGACGACGATGGGTTTTTGGAAGAGCATGATCACCTTGTTGAGGTAAAAGGGGATTTGCAACAGCTCGGCTGTGAATGTGTTGAACCAACACGCTCTTCTCGTGATAGGCTCGTGCTTTCCTTTGAGGATTTCTTTTCATGAGGTGGGAAATGATTGGAAGGATTGGGGGATCATTCTTTCTTTGGAGAGGATGAATGAGGACAACGATGAGCCTTGACTCTACGTAAGTGATGTCCTTCCTTGCCATGGATCGAACCGGGCCTTGCGTGATTCGTGCAGTGCTTTCTCAAGAACAAGGGATCGTCCGACGTTGCTCGTATGGTGGTGATTTGGTTTGTGAATTCCTTCTGATTTGCTTTCTTCCTTGGAGAGGATCGCCTAACGGTATACCAAATCGTCATCATTCCGGTACCAGATGGTCTAACTTGCCTGCTTTCTTATTTGTAGAGACGCCGATTACGATGATTACCACATTCACAACAATGACGATTACGATGATCACCCCATCTACAACAATGACAATGATAACGACAACGAGATTCAAAAGGAAGCCTGCAAGATCCCATTCTTTTCAACTTGTGTGTTTTTGGATGTTTGTGTGAGGGATGAGATTGAGGACTGGTGACGAGTACGAGTACGAGCATGAGTACGAATGATGACGGAGGACGACTACGACGATGGTGGTGGCAATGTACAGTAGCAAGATAGCTAGATGAAATAAAGCATTGTTTATTTATTACACGCTTGGACTTTGCTACCTTGTGGATTATTACATACTATTGCTTCGAAGATGTAACAATAATAAAGGTGGTCCGGTTATCGGTGATGCAAGAAGTACATGGCTTTTGTGATACAATAAGGAGGAGTGGGAAGTGGGACGAGCTTGGGAAGAGAAAAAGTGAAGAGATCCCTCCATTGAGTTTCAATATGTATATGTCTCTTTTTACATACATACAAATTGGTTTATGCAGCTCGACTTTTTTCTACATGTAAATGTGATACATACCTTGACACCCCTTCATTATTGGATGCTGTTTACTTACGTACCTTCACAAAAGGCAATCATCATCATCATCCATTTGTGTGCTGTAGCAACCTGTCAAGGACGTGTTCGTGTAACGGGCCGAGAGGGCTAAGCGTCGAAGGGTCGATACTATTGGTGGAGAGTGCATGATGGATGCGTTCCCCCATACGCCTATAGTACCGTCCGCCTATGATAGCCCTTATGGCACTTTTTACAAGTTGATCATGATATGGTTAATAAGCCAAATACGATAACTGCATCCGAAAGTATCTTGTTTGAAATTGTATGAAGCATGAAACGTAAAATTGATCTTCTCGTTATGCAAGAAGGTCACCACGGGATGATTTTATTCTAATTGACAGCAGTAGAGAGTGGCCATCAGTGAGACTTTTATCATTACAAGATGCTTTCAGATGCGCTGGCCATTCCTGGGATAATAACCATACCATGTTTGATTGTGCAATCTTGAGTTAGTAAGAGTGATCTTTATTGGTGGGAGTGTAATTGGTATTATGTACAGTTGTTGCAAAGTGGGACTTGTTTTATTTATTTAAGGATGTCGAGCACACTAGAAAAGACTGATGCTTGGGACCTGGTAGTAAGGCAATGGTATCTACTATTTTATTGGCAGGTGGTGCTTCCATGGTGATTGTAGACAACAGGCATATGGCTTACGCTACCAATGGATTGCAGCAAGTACAATCACACTGTCACTTGGGACCGGTGGCACAAAGCACAAGCGATACCCTCTAAACGGGTGCTCACCGACCAGGGATGAGACAAGCCGTTGGGGATTCCCTTAGCCATAACAAGAGGAAGAGGCGAACAGGCTTTTTTACAGTACGTTGACGAAATTGTATGGCCACCCAATCACAAACTGTGAAGCTGTTGTACGTGTTCGTAGGTCACATGCCCTGTTGCCTAGACAACCACCATCCTCCGCCCCCATATAAATAATTCCTTTTTCTCTGCTCTCTTGTCGTTTGGCACGGTTCTGCCACGGGTACCCGCTTGATTGCAGCCTATTGTACGTTAAGGCTGTTCGTTGTTTCATCGCTTCGGATCGATAAGGCCAAGACCTCAAGTTGTATCTACGTATGTAGTTTTCTTATACTTTTCTTGGTCGCCGCTGTTCCATAAGACTCTATTCAAATCTCCTCGTTGATCTTTGATCCTTTCGGTATGGAGAGTCCCCCTAGCATGTTACATCCTCCAATGCGAATCACAGCAGTCAAATAAAGATCCGCGACACCTTGTAGGCGTAATGTATGATTCTTACATGCTATTGATAATAGTCCATAAGTTGCGAGCTAATAGCCCCTTCCTCCCATTCACCTTTGTTGCCCAATCCACTGCATGTAAACGATTGTCCTGCTCCAGCTCAACATTTCTATCCTTCTACTTTCTTGATCCGAGGGAATTTGACTGAGCTACGCTCAAACAAAAAAAAACATCATTCAACCTCTTTGATTTCCATTTCTTCCTCCCCGAGCTTCTTGTCTCTTCCTCCCATTCTCAACTCTTGCCCCCCCCCCACTCAAGTGCAACTACCACCTGCAAACGATTGTCCTGCTTCAACCCATCATGTCAATCCTACAACTCTCTTGATCCGACTCTCTTTGACTGAATGGCAAGTCCATGGCATGTGCATGTGCGTGCACCACACGACAACACCCGCGTTTCTTGACACTCCACCTTTTGTACAATGCTCGACCACAATCCAACGTAGCAGCTGTTGCTATTAGCAACGTCTTCATTGTCTCGAACATCGTTCTTTACTTGCAGCAACTTGCTTTGATGCACATGGATTCTTATGGATGATGCCATATCACGTATCAAATTCACCGCAATACAAGCAATCTTCTTCACCTGGTTGAGCTGCGATGGAAGAAAGTGACCAACAGCCGGATGGAAAACGAAGCATATCAGCAGCGAACACATGAGACTTTTTTCAACCAAAATATTGGATTTTATGGATGTGATTACTTGTCGCGTTGTCAGCAGGAACGATGGATCATATCACGTGGATACGGCTGAGGATGATGATGGATTGGATGACATCGACGAAAGGTGTTTTACAGCCATGAATGATATTGGAGCACTCAATCAAGGCATGCAGCAGCAACTTTGCAATCATGGATGAAGGATGGCTATGACGGCAGCAACCAGAAATACAATGGCACAATTCTCCCTGTTCCCTCTATGTGGTTCACCCGTACCCTATTCAGTTTCCAATGCTGTTCCTCTACCATATTTACTTGATAAACATCCACACTACCATCTCTTATTCTTCGATTTTGCATTGAATGAAATTGGGCTTGTATATATTTAGAAGGGGTATTGTGCTATCCACCTCTCTGTGTGAGATGTGGGTCATTTGGTTGCTTCTGGGTTGCAAGGGGAATGTGTACTATCAATAGATAATAGATGAAACCACATCATAGTCTCTGCTATTCTATGTAAGATGCTCCCTAGGAAGTATGGCGCAATGTGTTCTTCCCAAAGTAAAGGAAAGTAGATACACCTAATTGCATGGACAAGAAATCTTTAAGCAATGCATCGTTGCACGTTTCTTTTTAATGAAGCTGGTAAACCACTCGCGAGTGCTGTAGCGTCAACGTTGGTCAACTATTCGACATCATAGGCTAGCAAATTGTCGCCAATTGTAAAGGAGTGTTTATCTGCTGCAGGTACTGATGTTATGTACGAGTGTATCACAAGCCATGTCGAAAAAGAGAAAGAGGAAGTATGTACGTAGGTAATCCCAGGCCAACGACATCATATCATGTAAACACAATGCATGCTCTCCATGAATGGTTAAAGTATTCAAGTCCTCGCCGTCAAATCCGATAACCGATGTATTAACAAACACAACATTATGATCACTAAAACAAATTATGTACAGAGATGTCATGTTTACAAGAATAAAAAAAATGTCTACAGAGGGGTATACAGTGTTCCATGCTTGATGTTGGTGGGATCCAGTGTGCCGTCAACTTGATCAGCCAAAGAAGTCTTCTTCCATTTGCCAACCTTTTGCTTGCTTTCTGCATCCAACCTTGTACAATGAATTCGATATGCCATATAAATCCGTTTTAAGGTGGGCAAGGTCATTAAAAAGTGCGGCAGTTGATCCAGCGTTTGTGGACTTGACGTTTTTGTCGAGATAGCGACCACATAGACTTTTGTGCAACTGGTTTAAACGGCTTTCTGAAAAACGCAGTGCATGAAGCCTGACCATGCTGTCTTGGCTTCATCAGCATGATATGAGATAGTAATCTAGATAACATGCATAAGCATATCGGCTATTACAATATTCGCTGCAGACCATTTACCTTTGATAGGCGTACGGTTTTTAGGGCTTCATTGTTATCCTAGTACTTCCATTTGCCTTGTTGTCATTGTGTTTGGCTCTTTTAATAAAGTAAAACTTTGAAGCAGCGAGAGTGCCATTGACGAGGATATGATTGTGTTGTGGAGGCGATACACAGAAGAATCGGCTGTCATAGCAAATATTAGTACATGGGTCGCTTAAATAAAGAACTCTCAACCATGATACTCACCAAGTATTTTGAAGTAGGCGTCAGCAATCAAAGAGTGATACGATGAGAAAAAAGAGATGTGTAGGAAAAAAGCGATGGGCGACAACATTCATCTTGTTTATGTGTTTATGGTGGGCGTGGGTAATTCTGTGACCACAAAGACTAGTATGCATATGGCTAAATTGATGGTCTCCACCGAGATGGTGTTGCTGAGCCATGCATCACGTTAATATCATCATGGTAAAGAATGTCCACGATGACCATCGCACAGCATGCAAGGATACCTAACCATTGTATAGTAGGTTGACGAATGACTACGATTAAAGACACCAAGGTATGGTATCATCGAAATACCTATCAGGGCACTTTGATTCTTGAAATGGGGCGCTATGTATGTCGTCGGATGTAGCATCCTTTGCTGTCATTTCTCGATTTATGCATCACTCATCCTCTCTCGCCCACTTTCTTATACCTGTATGTGGATCACTTTTATAAACAAAAAGTAAAAGTCATCAAAGAGCACTCTAAATAGCTCCAAAGGGAACCTTCGATCTTCAAGCATTCATCTTGCAATAATGGGCGCACCCCCTCACATACACTTGGCACAGTGTCTTTTACCGCAACAGTTTTACATGATGAAAGTTAAGGTATAAAGTATATTACTATATTAGAAAGACTGCAACAAGCTGTGTGTATGTAATGTAGACGACCAGCAGCAGCGGCAGGGGTATGATAAAATGTGAGCATGGGGATTATCGTTATGGTTGTTGACATCCTGGACCACCGTTTCCGGACACTCCTCCTGTTGCAGGGCCAAACTAAAACATCAAAAAAGTAGAAGCTTGTCAAAATGATGCATAGCGATATGGGGAGTTGAATCTATGTATGACTTACATAGTTGCTTGGAATGATGCCGATTTCACCCGTGGCCTTGCGTGCTTGCCACCAGTTGCCCTTACGATCAACAACTTGAAGAATTTCACCCTTTTCGAAGCTCAATTCGTTGGGATCATCAGGATTTGCTGTATCTGAATCAGAGATCGAAGTTCAAATATGAGAACGAGGATCAATCTTCCTATGTCATGTGATGTTGGCTTACAAGCATGAAGTGCCTCCACTTGTTCGTGATATTGAATGACCGTTTCTTGTGGTGTTGGAAGCGATGAATGTGCTGGTGGTAATGGAGACGCAAGATTATCTTGTGGTGGCGGTGGCGGTTGGTGACCCATGATGCCTGTGATTTGGCTCGTGGATGATACACTAATGTCTTCAAGATGTTTTTCACCGTATACAATGGTTGGTGGTTGATGATGTCCTGCATCCTTGGTCGATAATGAGGGTGGTTGTTCTAATGTACCAAATTGTCCAAAATAGCTGGTGGGATCGCTGCCGAAAACGACTATCCACATATACTACATCATGTCAGCAATGAATGATGTATGTATTCCCTCTCTCTCTCTTTCAAGGTTACCTGAACAATGATAAGGACAATATAGCCGGCTGCATATGCATTGGCAGGTTCACGTGGTACAGTTGGCTTTGTGTATTGAATGACATAATCAACTTGGATTGTAAGCAAAGGAATGCTGGCACCCAAAAACGTCAGGAACTAATTGAAGGATGTATGAATGACGCGTGTGTGTGTATTATTCATGTGTAAGGGTATCTTACAGAGTATCGATAATGCTGCATGCGATTGGACATGAAAACCATCAAGGTGCCTGCGACGATCAACGCCTCATAGATCACCACCCACCAAGCCCCGTATAACGCCTTGAGGACCACAGCTCCGCCAAATGCAACGAACCATCCGCCCTACATGGATGAATGATGTTGGTTGTTGATATACGTTCCCCATTGAAGATGTTGCTCACAGTGGCGAGTATGCTGGTTAATAAAACGAATCGATTTTGTGCAAGTCTGTGAAACGATAATCGTGGCATGATATAAAGAGAGGAAAGGGAAAAAGAGAAAAGAGAGGATCGGGTTCTTAAAGACGAAGGAATGAATGAATGAATGAATGGAAAGGGAAAAGGAAAAAAAGTAATAATCGCATTCTTCCAAAACGTTGAATGACATGAATGTTGCTGCATGGATTTGGGATTGGCCAAAAGTCACGTAACACACACGCACACGCACATAGACATTGACGCATCTACGCACAATGAGTGAGAGAGCACCTTTGTGATCACCTCCCTACGCGTTACTCACTCCCTCCTTTTGAAACATGACTGACGTATCATCCACTGTATTGCAAGACCTCTTTATTCAACTTGTGCAACAAGGGCTCGACCATAACTATCTTGAAGGCGTCATCCAGTCGCTTGATCACCAATCGTTCCTGACAACGGACCATGTGCAGAACCACATTCGTGCTTCCATGGCAACCTGCAACGGTACAGCTTCAAATACTCAATACACCCCCTCTTTCTCCTTACCATGCTGCTTGATTTAGTAACCGACCTGCAATGTCATAAACGGCCTAATTAGGGAGAACGTCGGTGGCCGAACTTGCTCAAGAGTTGAACGTCGAGCACGAGGCGATCCTAGAGAATTGGTCTGTGCTTGCACCCGAGGAAAATTGGATCAAGGCAGGTGATGATATCTTACTCACCAGGTATCTGTATCAATGCTCTATATGTATGTATCCGTAAACACCTTATACTCATTCGAGATGATGACATAGTGAATACGTCGACACGCTTCCAAGTCAATTGGCTACCGATATTGAAACCAATGGTCATTGTTCTCTGGTTACGTTAGCGCGTCAATGGAAATTACCCTACAATTTCATTGTCGAGGTAGGTTGATCCACATCACATTTCTGGGGGATCCGATGCTATGTACACGTGGATGTTAATTTGCCACTTTTGCTTCATGCAGGCACTTGAACCATACATTACCCAACACTATGTCCGATATCAGCAATTACCTGACACTATCATGACGCGCGATTATGCAAACAAGGCAAAGCAGTATCTTTCGGATGCCCTTCAACAAGCTACAGAGTAAGGAGAGAGGACATGATATACAGGGGGTGGGGGAAATGTGGAATGATAGCGAGAATGCTTGTGCGGATATGAACATTGCCTATGTGTGTGTTTGCGTGGTGGGATCACTGAAAATGCCTATATGAGGGAGATTAGTAGTAGTTGATTGACCTGACTAATATGCTTAATGATCTATAGACCCCTATCCATGTTTAAACTGCAACGTAACACTAGCATACTCGGATCCCAGGAGGCGCTGTATTATGGTAATATTTTTCATTTCATCTTTGAGTGTGCTTGCATATTCTATACTCAGGGTTTAATGATCGCTGATCAAGTCAATGTTTACAGCCATCTTGGATAATGTCATTCGTGAGGAACAAGCACCAGGTACATTCCGTGGTCGTCGTGAGAAATCGATTTTTATCCCACATTCCTACAAGGATCGTCAATTGTCTTTGATTTCATCACTTTTGGAAGCTGGTGGTTATATTGGTAAGGAAGAAAAAGAGAGCGTCAATCAATGACAGGTACCTTAACCTACTCTTGCATGTATAGAATATGATACGGTGGAACAACATTACAGCTACTCGAACCCCAAGGACCTGTTACTGCGATTGGATGGTGACATTACGTTACTTGATACCTGTGGAGCCACACAGTCATTGATCAAGGACATCGAGAACCAAATGGAGGAGCAATTATCCGCCCGTGGTTGGGCAGACGTGTCGGTAAAACATGACATGGAAAAATTCATGCATTGTTCATCTAGACTAATGGAGGTATCATGTGACTCTACATAGCAATTAGCACCCTTCGCCTTTAGTGCTTCGGATGTTGGATCCCTTTTGGATGTATTGACGTCTCGTGCAACAAGGCAACAACAGCGACAGCGCACTATACTCAATGCATGCTTCATCGTCACATCGGATTTTATTTCTACTACCGTCAGCCAAGCACAACCACTCATTGATCGCCTCGCCCTCAAAGAGATACAACAAGAGAAACGATTGCACAGCGGTAAAAGCAAGAGGAAATTAGCAAATGAAGTGGCCGTACACCTTTCCAATCAAGAGGTTCGTCTTGCTCAAAGAGCTACAAGAGTAATAAGCTAACATGTAAATAAATGAACCAGATTTCAGGCTTTTTGGTGGATCAACAAGGACTGAGCCCTGCTTTTGCCGAGAACTTGGTGCCTGTATTGAAGAAACCAATGACCGAAGCTTTGGCTAAAGCCATTCAGACCGTATACGTATCACCATCCCTCGTATCTTCAGGCCAAGATGACAAGTATCTCACGCAGCAGCAAGCGAATGTGAAGGATTTGGCCCGAAAGATCTACTTCACCTTCCAATCAATAGATCGCTTTCAAGGTAAGAAAAGAGAAGTTGATATTGAAAAGGGTTCAAGCTTATGGGTATACAACGTAGATGAGTCGGCGAGGAAAAGCTTGGAAAAATACATCGTACGACAACTGGGACTACAATATCTATTTGGTCTGACAGCTTTGAAGGAGATGGAACGGACCGGGGATGGAGAAGGGATCATGAAAAAGTTTGACACCAATATGGACGAGGCCCAAAAGAAAGAGCTATTAGCCACTTTTACCAATGACGATGACTCCAATTTATATACCAGTGTATTGAATGGCAAGGTGAGAATGCTATGGATGACAAAGGCTTTATGTGTGCTAACACTCATCATCACGTGTCTTTTTGAAAAATAGAAAGCTGAACAGCTTATTGAACATTTGAAGAAATCTTCTTTCCTCACCGATGGAACAATGGAAGAACAACAAGTGTATGTTGCGTGTGCAAGCATCGAGGATGTTAAATCATGATCCTAACTTTTTACGGTAGGCAAACGAACAAAGATGTGCAAGAATCTCTATGGCAACAGCTCAAAGGCACACCTGTATCTCAAGCAACAGCACCTTCAATTTTGCATTTGGCAAGTTTACTTTGCTTCCAAGCTTTGTATCAGCAACCATTATACGTTTCTGGCAAGTTTGTTCCTCATATCATCAAGCAAATCACTCCAAGCATGGATGAGACTTCGGCTGCATTGTTAAAGGATGGATTGGCGATGGCGAGTCCGAAAAATGCACAAGCAATAGACATTGAAGTGTTTAGAAAGGTCCAAGATTTAGGATTAGAACAACAATTAAATCATGCATAGACAAGTGTTGGTTTCAGATAGGTTGCCTGAAACGTTTGGTGGAGAAGTACACAGCTTAATTTGACACGCGTGCTTTAATCTCTGCTGCAGCTGCAGTGTTCTCGATCCTCTCTCTCTCTCTTTCTCTTTTTCTTCCTCTTCTTCCACTCGTCGTTTTTCGTTCTCCTTTCCTCCACTACACTAACACACTTTCTCTCGATACACAACCCGATACCCTTCCGCACAATGACACGCACACCCATCATGAAGCGTCTCATGACGCTCTTCAAAAAGACACACGACTCTGACCAGAGCTATCCGAGCGATCTCGAGAAGCAGTTCATTGTCACCAAAAAGACTCTTGGCGTCGGATCCTTTGCAGTCGTCAAGGAATGTATTAGGCGATCGGATAATCGGCCCTTTGCTCTCAAGATTATTTTGAAGAAGGCTATTGCTGGTAGGTTGCAGACTTTGAGGGTACCATAAAAAAGTAAGGCTTTTCTCATCAAAAGTATTGTATTGTATGCGAGTATAGGCAAGGAGCATATGTTGGACAGTGAACTAGGTACGTATATATATGTGTGTGGGGGCCGTAGGAGGAGCAGGAGTCGGATCAAAGATAAGGCGGGCATTCCTGGTTTTCGATCTGACCTTGTTGCTATGCAGACATCCTCAAGTCAGTTGAGCATCCCAATATTGTATCCATGGTCTACTTGTCCGAAACCACCGAATCAGTCTACATTGTGATGGAGCTTGCAAGTGGAGGTGAATTGTTCCAGCAGCTATTGCAGAAAGGCAGCTACACTGAAAAGGACGCGTCCAATTTGGTGCGACAAATGCTACAAGGTCTTGCCTATTTGCATGATCAAGATGTAAGTCATCGAATGGTATTGGGTTTTTCTTTGTTAGACTCATGGTGGTATCATAGATTGTACATCGTGACATCAAGCCTGAAAATGTAACGTAACCAATTGCATGTGCTGGATAAAAGCAAGCTAAAACTGATATCTCATTTACAGCTTTTATTTGACACCAAAGAAGAAGGTGCCACACTCAAGATTACCGACTTTGGCCTATCCAAGATCCTCAAAAACCACAATGATATCCTTATGACAGCATGTGGTACGCCTGGTTACGTTGCCCCAGAGATTTTGTTGCAATCGGGCCATGGAAAACCAGTGGATTTGTGGAGCGTTGGTGTCATCATGGTAGGTCATACTTTATTCTTGATGGATACGACTTTTCAGCTTACGCATCTATTTTCAAGTATACGCTGCTAAGTGGTTATACCCCATTCTGGGGAGAAGGTATGTTACAGGGCGATGGATGGTAGGACCTATAAGATGGCTGATATACGATTCTTATAGATCAAACTGCCTTGTTTGAAAGTATCATGTCTGGCAATTATGAGTATGACGAGGAATATTGGGAAGACATTTCAGATGATGGTAGGCTGTTTTTATTAAAAGGAATGTGTGTATGTTCAAGATTGCTAATATGTGTCAGCCAAGGACTTGATTGATCGCCTATTGACATATCACCCATCCAAGCGTATCACCGCCAAAGAGGCTCTCGAGCATCCATGGATCACCAAGGAACACGATGAGAATGCAACCAACTTGGCACCTAATATCCGCAAGGGCATTGATAGCCGTAAATCGCTCAAATCGGTTGTCACCGCCATGACGCTCTTGAACCACTGGAAGAATTTGGAAGACGTGCCTGAGGATGAAGATGAGACAAGTGATGAGGAGACTGTCCATGGCCTTGGAGTGCATTAGAGGAAGAAATCTTGTATCTACATTGAAGAGTATTATTAAAAAATGTGACACCATTACAATGGCTGTGTGTCCGTACCATGTAATTGGGGTGTGGTCAAAGATATTGTGGAGGAGTACCAATGCTTGTAATTGAAGATATGCAACATGAGGCGGCTGGCACTGAAACATACACGCTTCTTACTCACTCTTTAAACACACATGGATAACCTTGAAAGGAAACGAAAGGCTGATGCGGTCGACAATGAACTCGAAGCAAGGAAGCTACAGATAACAGAAGACGCGGTTCGACAGTACACTCAAATAACAAACGACGCTGCCCATCACAAGGTACGATCGTCTTGCTTGATTCGCTACGAAAAGTTGACATGAGTGATAGTCAGACGATGCAGGCGATCAACAAGCTCCAGTCCCCGTACTCGACAAGGTCAACACGCCAGCGTCTATTATTCCCTTCGATCGTCTCATCGTATTGAATGTGGAAGCAACATGCGACGAGAATCCAACGAATCCTGCTGCTGTTCAAGTCACCAAGGTATGTATGTCGCGTTGTGTTCGTGCCTTGTCGTTGCTCATGCTAACTGCCAAGCATAATAGGAAAATGCAGAGATCATCGGTATGCATTGTACTACACACGCATGTATTGTGGGATTATGATTAACTCATGTTCTATAGAGCTTGCGTATGTTGTCGTTGATACAACTACCATGGAGACAACCCATCAACAGCATATTTTCGTACGTCCAGAACGCACACCTTTGACGAGCTTTTGTACATCCATCACTGGCATCACGTGGAAACAGCTTGATTCAGCAGGAACATTCAAAGATGCGATCCGCAAATTGGACGAGTATATCCAACAGGAATTGGTAGCCAAGAAGCTGAGCTTTTGTTTCGCAACGCATGGTGGATGGATATTACGGATGCAGCTACCACGAGAAGCACGTGACAAGAATATGGAATTACCAGCCTACTTGGCGTATTATCAAATGTTTGATCTGAAGCAAGAAGTGCAACGATGGCAAGTGTATCATCAACCTGAAGTGAGTCTACGAACGACATCGCTGGCCGATTTATGCGAGACCTTTCATGTGGATCGGGTGATGGATAGCAACAATGCGAGTGGATTGGATGCATGTCTTACCGTGGTGAATGTGTTACGATATCTTGCGGCTTTCCATTATCAAGACATATTGACTCGGCCTATTGATTTTGGTGCTGATTTACAACATTTCAACCAAGAGACATCCAAAGTGGTACGGCTAGCGGGTCTACCGTATGAAGTGACACAAGGTGAATTGGAAGCATGGTTTTCATCCAACGGGCTACGACCTGCCATGACCTATATGATCCAAGCATCCGAACACAATGCAAAGCCAAGCGTATCGGGATTTGCCATGTTCCATTCACATGAGGATGCATCACGAGGCTTAATGTTGAATGGAAGGTGTCTTGGTGATCGACCTATCGAAGTATCCCCCAGCAGTGAACGTGTGATTGAAGCAGCAGCCAATATCCTTACCCAATTCCCAGTGCAAGCCAATAGTCGACGACGTGTACGCCCTGGAGACTGGAATTGTCCCAATTGCTCCTTCCATAACTTTGCTTCTCGGCGCAACTGCTTCAAATGCAATGCTGAAAATCCCAACCCACCACCCACTACACATACCGTCAATGCTACATCAACAGGGGGCGATTGGTTATGCTCTTGCGGGTTTCACAATTATGCATCTCAATCTCGTTGTCTCAAATGTGGATCCGAACAACGTAGCAGCACGGGTACAAGTGGTTCTCGAATACATGTGCGTCCTGGTGATTGGTTTTGTCCAAATCCTGAATGCAGCTTCCAGAATTTTGCATCAAGAACATCCTGTTATCGTTGCCAAACACCCAATCCCAATCCACAGCAACCACCACAAGCATCCTACAATTATGCTGAGACGCAATTCCGAGTGGGAGATTGGATATGGTAAGTGGATGTTCATTGTAGACGGGGTCTTTTTGGTTCTTGTTGCCAACAATGAGACGCATTTGTAGCCCATCATGCAGCACACACAATTTTGCAACCCGACTCGTGTGCCTGAATTGTGGCACGTCAAGACCCCATGGCTCTTCAGCATCAGCAACTCCAGGCACAGGAAGTCCCAATGTTAAACGTAAGTGGATTTGTGGGTTTGTGGGTATGTATAACTGAAGGCCATTTTATGTTAGCGGGTGATTGGATATGCCGAAACGACGCATGTGGATTTCATAGTAAGCTGTCATTACCCCCTCCTTTTTTCCCAACAATCAAATTAACATGATGCGTATAGATTTTGCAAAGCGAACCCATTGTGCACGATGTGGAAATGCAGCTGATAGTTCAAGCATCATCATTGAGCAATAAATCGTCTTGGAAGGAAATCGATTAAAGACTTGTGTCTCTTGTGGATCACCGTGCGAAAGAAGAATGACGAGTGATGGAGTATCATTACAATGCTGGATAGATCTCCTTATGATAATTCGTGTAGAAAGCTTGGGTAATGGGGTGTTAGTAGATACTCACTGATCGCAGCAAGTACCTATGCACAACCTGGTATCGCTTAAATGATTTGGAGATCGAATCGGTACCGTTATCGAGTGGTCTCTTTATTAAAGTTTTTTGTATAGTGTTAATACTGAGATAGGCTGAAGAACGAAACAAGGCAGGAAGGAATAACTCCCTGTATATGTAAAGCAATGTATGTCTTACCAACGACAGCTGCGACAACATCCTTTTGTTGTGCTATGTGAGCGTCGGTATTCCTGTGATCACAAAGAATGATAAATGTTTGCTGGGGATGATGTATTGAGGTGGCTGGTTGCGTTCTTTGTCTCAAATGTGAGCCTGAACAACGTAGTAGCACAGGTAAAAGTGGTTCTCGAATACATGCGCGTCCTTGATGATTGTTTTTGTCCAAACCCTGAATGCAGTCTCCAGAACTTTGCATCAACAAGAAAACCCTGCTGTCGCTGTCAAGCACCAACCCTTATCCACAACACCCACCACAGACATCCTATAACTATACCGAAACACAATTCTGGTGGGAGATTCAATATGGGAATAATAGAATGTCCATTTCTTTGTCATTGTATATCAGCTCTTGTCAACAATGACGCATTTGCAGCCCATCATGCAGCACACACAATTTTGTAATCCGACCCGTGGTGTGCCTTAATTGTGGCACATAACAACTTCACGACTCACCAGCAAGCATCAATGTTGAACGTAAACGGATTTGTGGATCCGTTGCTATGCATAATTGAAGATTTCTTTTATGTAGTGGGTGGTTGGATATGGAGAAACAAAGCATGTGAATGGTAATCTACTATTCAACCCCCCTCCCCAAGCAACAATCAAAGTATGCACAATGTGGAAATGCTGCCAATATCGAGCAATTCAATCGTCTTGGAAGGAAATTAATAATTGTTGGGTTATGACCCATGATGGTTGTTGAGCATCACCGTGTGAGAAAGAAGAATGATGAGTGATGATTTACCCTTACGATGCAAGGTATAACAAGAATGTCACCGATCCAAGCCTTATGCATGCTTCGATACACAAGGCTTGGATGATGATGATGATGATGATGTTCGCTGTCCGCAGCAAGCAAGCAAGGCTGTGCACAGCCTGGTATACTACATACAAGCCAAAGGGCCAATCGGATCTCCAAATCATCAAGCTGGCTGGCTGGCTGCTCTTTCTTTTTGACGGGCTCACACACCTCACTTCTTTATCGAGTTACGCAATTCTCTCTTTCGTCTACTGTTTCGACATTGACACACCATGCAACAACTCCCACCAGCAAACGATTTTGGCGCAACATGGTCCTTTTTAGAATCAGGCCTCGACCAAATTATGAACCGATTGGAGGAAGGCCTTGATCGCACGCGTTACTCGTTGCTTTACAGGTGAGCTCATCTCTCTCCCAGTGACACTAGATGCCTCTTGCAACTCGTCCTTGCTTCATTTCTATTAACCCTTGCTCTGGCATTGCCGTCTAGTGCTGTACACAACTACTGTGCGCGCGGCACACCTGCACAACCCGCTTCTACCTTTGGCTCTGGCCCTATGAACCAGCGAAGTACGCTATTCATCCACTAGTGATATGACACTCGTATTGATACATTGTCTTTTAGCCGCTACTTACTTGATTGGCGCCGAGCTTTACAATAGCTTGAGCAAATGGTTGGAGGATCATCTTATCAAAATTCGTACGGTAAGCATTGAGATGGATAATGCAACTTTTATTTGTGAATTGGGATCACTAAAACCAATGCCATCCATAGCAATCTGAGGAATACATGGACGAGGCTCTGCTACAGTATTATACCAGGCAATGGGGCCGTTACACGACCGCTGCGCGCGTGGTGAACAATATCTTCATGTACCTTAATCGTTATTGGGTGAAACGCGAGATTGATGAAGACCGAAAGAACGACGTCTATGATGTTTTCACTGTACGGTTCAAGTATTGCTTTGAGAAAGGGATGTTGTATCAGAGAGGCTCATTCTTGTGAATACACCTTATAGCTCACCTTGGTGTGTTGGAGGCGTCACATGTTTGAATTCGTCCATCACAACGTCATTGCAGCAGTACTCAAACTTATCGAGCGAGAACGTAACGGCGAGACCATCGAAACCAGCCTTGTCAAGAACATTGTCGACTCACTTGGTATGCATTGGATGATACACGTTCTTACAAATTGAAAGCGTTGACAATTGAGTGGAAATAGTTTCTTTGGGTTTGGATACGACCGATTCAACAAAGTCCAATTTGGATGTCTACAAGGAATACTTTGAAGCACCATTCATTCAGGCGACTGAGGTGTACTATACCACTGAATCCGAGAGATTTATCACTGAAAACAGCGTACCGGACTACATGAAAAAGGCCGAGGTCAGATTAAACGAGGAGCAAAACCGGATCGAAATGTACCTCCATGAGTCGACACAAAAGCCTGTAAGTAGCTTATTCTCATACACATACGCGTGCATGCATAACTCATTGTCTTTTTATGATATAGCTCATCTCCAAATGTGAGACCGTTCTCGTCAAGAATCATTCAGAAACACTCTGGGATGGATTCCAAAGCCTTATTGACCACGATAAACAGGATGGTAAGTCATGGGATTGGATGCATTATGATAGAGGAGCAAAAAGATTAAACGTATGTGATTTTTTTTTAGATTTACATCGCATGTATACACTTTTGGCACGTATTCCCGAGGGATTGGATCCATTGCGTGTGCGATTCGAATCACATGTCCGTAAGGCTGGTTTGGGAGCCATTGAACGTATCGATCAGCAGGAGTCCGTTGTATGTATCATTGCGGTGGTTGGCTCATTCAAGGATACTTATGAATGCGTATGTTCTAATAGGACCCTAAAACATACGTTGATGCATTACTGGCGGTCCATCGCAAATACAACGAGCTCGTTCAGCATGCATTCAGTGGCGAACCTGGATTTGTGGCATCACTCGACAAGGCTTGTGGCGAATTTGTCAACCGTAACGCTGTCTGCAAAAAGTCATCATCGAAGTCTCCTGAATTGCTTGCACGCTACTGTGATTCCCTCTTGAAGAAGAACGCCAAGAATGCCGAAGAAAGTGAATTGGAGGATTTGCTTAACAGCATCGTATGTTGATTTACTCTCCCCTTACGTTATCGTGCTGGTGACACTGACATTGGCCTTGTAGATGACCGTATTTAAATATGTGGAGGACAAGGACGTGTTCCAAAAGTTCTATTCAAGATTGCTGGCGAAACGTCTTGTCAATGGTACATCTGCATCTGATGACGCCGAAGGCAGCATGATTTCCAAGCTCAAGGAAGCCTGTGGTTTCGAATACACATCCAAGCTTCAGCGCATGCTTACCGATATGTCATTGAGCAAGGAATTGAACGAGCAATTCAAGGATTTGGTTCAGCAAAGCTACAACACTGGTGGTTCCAATGGTTGGTTTCTTTTTATTATTGCTCTTACAAAAGGCATGAATCATTAACGTACAATATGATCCTTGTAGTCGATTTCAATATTCTTGTGCTAGGTGCTGGTCAATGGCCTTTGCAACCACCCAACACCACCTTCAATTTGCCCGAAGATGTAAGTTACTTTGAACATTCGCATCCTTATCCAAGAAGCTAACAATGATATCATGTACTTAGGTTGTCAAAACATATGATCGTTTCCAAAAATTCTATCAAAACAAGCATTCTGGTCGCAAACTCAACTGGCTTTTCCAATCATGCAAGGCTGAACTCAAGACAAGTTACCTCAAGGCGTCAAAGACTGGTTACACCTTCCAAGTGTCAGCGTATCAAATGGGAGTTCTATTGCAGTACAACAACGCCACGAGCTACACATATGAGGATATTCAACAAAGCACAGCACTTACCCCTGAAGCATTGAATCCTGCACTGGGCATTTTGATCAAGGCAAAGGTGCTCCTTTTGACAGAGGGTGAAAAGGTGGGCGATAGCGGCAGTCGTTATGATCTCAACTTTGATTTCAAGAGGTACGTGTGTGAGTGATCTTCTAAGGATGGATAACATTTACTTATGACCGTGATCTTGTTATAGCAAGAAGATCCGTATCAACTTAAATATGCCAATGAAGACCGAGCAAAAGGCTGAAGCCGATGAGACTCACAAGACGATTGAGGATGACCGTAAATTCTTGATGCAGGTAAGGAGTGCTATTCAACTGGAAACAAGCACGCATTGACTTTTGCTCCTTTACAGGCTGCTATTGTCCGAATCATGAAGACTCGCCGAGTGATGAAGCACGTCAACTTAATCGAGGAAGTCATCATGCAACTCCAATCCCGCTTCAAGCCTCGTGTATCAGATATCAAAAAGTGCATTGATATTCTTTTGGTGAGACATTATTCCACGACTTTTGCAACATCTATGTTAACATTATCTTTATGGAATTCTAGGACAAGCAATACATCGAACGCATGGAAGGCGCCATGGACACATACAGCTATGTTGCTTAATTGTTCATCCCTATAATTCCGCACACATTCTCTCCCCCTCCCCTACTTTCCATAAAGCAACCAGTCATAACAAATAAAAGAGACATCTCCATCTTTTTTCTTCAAAGCCTCTTTGCATCCTTATGTATATCAATCATGAAACCAATATCCAGCTCAAAAAAACTTGGCCAAGCATGGATAGAATTGAGACCAGAGAGGCATTTAAAATAGCGTATTGAAGATAAGCTTTATTTCCAAGGTGGAGGAAAAGAGTATAAAATATCAGCAATCGAGCTTCACCTGGCATTGCACAATCATAGCTTGAATAGAGGATGGCGCAAGGTGCAAATAGCAAAGCCTGTGGATGTGCCTTCAATAACATGCATTCATCATTTTGCCTTGTTTTGATATATAGTATTCTTTATATTGTGTTGCTTGTAAAATGATAAAGCTGGAGCTGGGGGTAAATGTAGGATATAAAAAGCAATGACTACTTAATAGTATTTCTTCTAAGTTATACACAATGAAGGATTTTCTTTGTATGAATAAGGCAACAATGAGAATAAAGTGTAATAAGGTGCATGGGAGTTTAAGGAACTATACAAAAATACTGCTTTCTCATTTGGTAGAAAATCGTCGAGCTCGCATACGGGTTGGCAGTGAAGAACGACTTGCATCGAAAGCAGGAGGTCGTTTGCTGGTTTTACGTGTTCGTACAAATCGGGTTGAAGTGGATCGACTTGCCATGAGCTGTGGAAAGAACGAGGTGCTGGTCGCTGAAATAGGGGTTTGCAATAAATGATGCTGTTGTCCTTGAACATCCACCGATGTGCGTCGTTTGCGTGCAAATAGAGGAGATGCAAGTGGAGGGTCCAATTGACCACTGCTGCCAGTATGTGCCAAAGTATCCACAGGGCTAGCTGTCAACATGGTAGCAGCATCCTCACTTTGAATCGATTGTAGCATACGACGTGCTCGTAACGATACTGAATCTGAATGAGCCAAACCATTGTTTCCTCCAACAATACTACTTGAGCGTTGTCGATTGCGACGTCGATTCCCTCCTGTTGTAACAAGCCGCAGCTTCTTCATCAAGCCATCCATAATTGCGTTTTCACCGTTTTCGTTAACTATAGCAAAAGTTGACATTTGATTAGCCATAGTGCTTTAAGCATAGCGTGTCAACTTACAGTTATTGATATCCACGCCCTTTCGAACGGATGATCCACTTCTTGCTCGTGTACGTCGTTCTTGTTCTCGCTTCTTTTGCTTTTCAAGACGTTCCTTCTTTTGACGAGCAAGCTTAACATCAGCAGCACAACGCTATAATGAAAATGTTAATACTGTAAGGTCCAATAATGAAGTATGAAAAGATTACCTCCCAGCTGGAAGTGAATCTCTTGAATATGCCGAAAAATTCATCAGGATGCATCTTGGCTGGATCCTCGCCATAGTAACGCACGACTTTGTCATACCACTCATTCATCTTGTTGCGTAGCAAAAACAGTCTTTTGAATTCACCATACGCCTGCGTGTGGAATTCCCGCATGACGCATACAAATCGATCGGTCTCTTCATGGTGCTTGATCTCTTCCTCGACCTTGTTAAGTGATGCTTCCAGGCTGCGGAACTCGTTAACCATTTCGTTCTTGGCCACTATACAACATTGATCAATTTCAGCCCATGATAGCTAAGTATCACGTCCCATATATATATATACCTTTGCATGCTTCACCACACTCTTCAAGCTCTTCAAGGAAATTGAGCATATCGGGAAAGTATCTCTCCACTGTATCCACCAAGAAATGCAAAAAGGTGCTACCAGCGCTGGTAGGAGCTCCCTTTGTGTCCACAAGCTTATTGATACTGGCAATGCGAATACCAAATGCTCCGCCACGATAGGTGTTGCCATTCAAATAGTTTCCAAGCAAGAGGATCAAATGCAGTAGCTGGGTGAATTCTTTGGCGTTATGCAACGATAGTGAAGCGTCAAAGACAGCGGTCATTTGCTTGTGAAGCTGATGATATCGATCACGGAATGTCGTTCGGAATAGCATGCACTCGGCTCGTTCTTTGAATCGCTTAATATCCACCAGCTGTACGCAAAATTGATCAGGGATCGACAATTCAAAACGCTGCTCAGATCCAACATAGGGCTTCAGCTTCTCCACTTCCTCAGCTGTAGGCGCAAATCGAATGAGATTATTCAATATCTGCTCATCGTCGAAGAATGCATCCATGTACTTTATCCGTGGAACAATGTCGTTAAATGGGATCTTGCGTGCAATGCTTGTGATGAAAATGTCTAATAGAATTACTAGAGGTGAGCCTTTTTTTCGCTTGTTTCCTTTTCCCAATAATACTCACTCAAATTATACGCTTTACGAGAATCAAGTACATGTACACGCTCCTTGTTGTTCTTCACTTTGAGTTCGGCAGCAGGACGTTGTTCAAATATCTTTTCAATATCATCAAAGATCCCGACACGTGCAAGTTGATATTCGATAGAATGATCCGATCCATCTTGTTGTGGTCGTGTATCAAGTGATTTGTCAATTTGACTCCATATCGTTTGTGGAATATTGTTCGCATTCATCTTCTCCCACTCAATAAACTTGAGCTTGCGTCTAGGCTGAAAAGCACTCTCTTTACGCCCAATTGCATTGATCATGAGAGGTGGTGGTGGTGGAGCACGCGTTGCTGAAGATGTGGGCCCTGGTGGAGGTGGTGAACCAACATTGGTTAGAGGAGGTGGTGGTGGCGGTGGCGGTGGAGGAGGCGGTGGAGGTGGAGGTGGAGGTGGTGGTGGTGGAGGTAATGCT